GCAGCGATTCCATTGATGTGAGACTGGTTCAGAGTGACAGGAGAATGTGTGGAAGCTGGCAGACATGGACAAACAGACGACGGCTCCAGCCATGAAGATGTAAAAGACTGCAACGTCCGTCCAGATGATCGTCTCGAGGATGTTGTGGATTTTGAAGTAGGCGAGAGGTGATCCCACAATGCACACGACTGCTCCAATCAAGTGGGTCCATATATTGACTATGAAGAGGAAGAAACATGAAGATTAGGACATCTTGAAATAAAAGATAAAACGTTATCTATCACGAATCAAGCTTTGATTTGCTTTACCACTCTCGTTGTGCAAGAACCCCAAGGATGCGAGGCACTTTTTATAGCTAAAGGTTGGCCTGCGGTATCCGTTCCAGATGGCCGGATTATCCTGCATCCATGCTGGCACCTCGTCCCAGTGGCAGGTCTTCGAGGGTTCTTCTGAGTCCTTGATGGTGCCATAGTTCCGGGGAGAGATTGTTGCCAGGTTCTCTGTCTGATCCTGATCCTGATCCCGCTCGCTTTTATCTCCGTTTGCTTCAGCAGCAGCAGCAGCAGCAGATCCAGTAGCAGACGATGGTCGGATAGAAAACACACCCGCAGTGGCTGTGTCCTTGGATTCCTGCTGGCCTTGAAGAAGAGAGTGTGCTGTGGTTGTCGATGACGATGCCGAAGACGACGCCATGGCTGAAGAAGAAGAGCTCTTTGCAGCAGAAGTTCTTGTTCTGATTCCGGAGGATCCAGACATGACTGTATGACACTTGAGAGGGATAAGGATAACGATAAGGATAGGAGTATAAGAAAAAAGAGTAGGATATGGAATATGGCTGATGAAAGATAGAGAGAAAAGGAGACGGAATAGGGCTGGGTCCCTTTTATACGAATCCGTTTACCCCTGTCATCTCTGCAGCGTACTGTGCCAGTTCTATGTACAGAGGAGAATTAGGTTCAAATACACAAAGCGGACAAGGGGTCCCACCGCTTCCAGCCTATCCCCCTGGCCCTGCGCTGTGCCTTGCCAATGCCCATTGGCCATCTGCCAAGACAAAGAGCACGATAAGAGTTCAGACCAATGACCTCGCCAATTGGCCAAGAACCGTGTACGAAGACAAAAATGCCATGGAGGAGCGTGAAGAGAGATGAATATGGGATTAGGAATGGGTAATGGCGAAAAAGGATTTGTGATTGCTAACTCGAAACTTTATTGGGCGAATTTGATAGCGGAGGTCAGGGAAGGTCGTTCATCTGTCATTTATAGAAATTGAAGCTCCCCACTCTGGCACCCCCTCGTTTTCTTTTTTTTTTTTTTTTTTTTTTAATAGTGCATCCAGGCTAGAGAGGATGGACGTTTTGTTGTTTGGTAAATCCATTCAGATGTATGGCCATTGAAGAAAGCGAAGAGATACTACAGAGAGATAACATTCACCAAGGAACAAGCGGCTGAAAAGGGCTGCTAAAGATACTCATGGGACGTGCGAAGTTCGAGGGAGGGCTCGCACATGCCAACGTCTATTGGCTCTCACTCCTATTTATCTTTCTCATCATGGTACTTCGATCGTGCAACAAACATTATGCAATTTAACAACAATCAGCATACAGCTTGGCCACCGTGCTGAGCGACCGCGTTGGATCAGGAGAAAATGCTCATTCCCATTCTTGGCTGATTAGTGTTCTACTGGACAGTCCATTTGATATCAATCTTCCGGCGCATCCCACATCTTGGCACGGCGCACTGGTGCTGCCGAAGATTGATCAGCTTGAACACGCGTAGTTCCTACAAACGGAGAGCTGCGAGCTAGACTATGTATGCCCTACGACCTATGAACCACAAACTACGAACTACAGAACTACGTATACGGTGAAGATTCGCATATAGAGTTCCATATTTATGAGGTCTGGTAGTCCCTGCCCTGATTCCCCTCTTGCACAACCCATTCCTTGTCCCCCTGCACTGTACTACAACATCTTTGGTATACTCTGTCGCAGCTGGCCCTCACATGTATTGCCCAGCAAGAGTAGAGACGGGACCTGTGCGTCTGAACAACTGCACCTCTACTCCATACAGGTGTTCCTGCTCGTCCCCCTCGTATATCCCTGTTCATCAAGAGCAAAATCCTCATCCATTCCTGCCCTTTGCAATTTCAGTCCTCGTTTGCCAATCTTTACGAGCAGTGACTAGGTAACAATCACGGCCATACTGTAGTGTACTATAGTGTAATATAGAGCGCGCTGGAGTAGTGTGATTGCGTTTACACCGCGCAGGATGGGATGGGAATAAGAAACAAGTCAGATCTAGTGTAGATCTGGCTTCCTTTCTTCACGCATTTGTCTTCCTTTTCGATACGATGTTTATAGCATAGTTGCATTGCATTTCGCTGTCCTATCACCCTGGAACCAACGTCAACAAGACCCTGGTGCTAGCCTGCCATGCTCATTGCTTCACTAATACAAGTGTCCTACTCATGTACTCACAATTGCCGATCGCCTCTGGTGCCGTCCATGAGCATCCGTTGTTGCTACTATATTATCGATCGGTCCATCTAGTGAGCAGATCGAGCATGAGTAGGGCAGGACTGAGCGTACTTCCCTTTGTAGTATATTAGATTCCCTTTTGATCTGCATGTCCCTGAAGCATTTCAATTCTATCTGTTTACATTCTTGTCATCGGTCTCCTTCATTGGTTGCAATGAGTAAGGGAGTTCATCCTCTCTAGTGCTGCAGTGTTTGTATCATCCCCCCGAGGCAGATCAGTTCATTCTAAACCGAGTCCACGAAACGATGCCCAACGAAACGCAATGCGTGGCGAGCGCAGTATGGAAAGAAGAATCACATAACTGTGCTTCTCAGCAGTTACGCTGCAGAACCTACAACCATCAACTTTTGTTCATCTTTGAGCTTCCAGAATCTGTATCAATGCTCACAGAGTACCTGACTTTGCATGATCTCCTGGAACAATTTGAACCATACCCCTTGAAGGAATGTTCAATTCGGCAATATCCTGCCCCTACAAGGCTACAAGCTGTCGGAGAACTTGCATAGTATTCGGACTGTCGACATTACAAAACAGGAGCACATAGTCCTAGAGTGTCTCGCCCGCAACCTGCTACATCCGCCACCATCTGCCGCTGCTTATGAGTCCGACCACCTACTGGTCTCCAGATACCAGCTCTTCTCAGTATGGGAAGCAAATAATTCAACGCCACATCCAGGAAACTGTCGGGGCCTAAGACGGTTTAGAACAACATTCAGTTGCTTTATGGACTACGAAACCAGAGCGGCTGCAGGTCACTGCTTCTTCATTCTCCTTCTCAACAACCGGAGCCTCACCCATCTGGCTGTTGAGGGCCAGATCATATACGAAGATCCACTGCTAGAGAATCAGTTTTTGAAAGGAATCCCGGGTCTACAGTGTCTTCAGAGCATCACCATCACCGGACCAGTCCTGTCGGGCAAGAAAACCGTACGGCTCATGCTGGCTTGCCTTGCACTCCTACAGCTGCGTGAGTTCTATTTCCACTGCGAAATGGAAATAAAAGATGGATATAGTGTTTGTACGCCCGACAACACAGAGCGACTTAAGCAAGGACTGACAATGGCCCTAGAGTATGCCATAAAAAAGAGAACGTCGCTAAAGACTACTGAGTCAAAGGTCAAGGCACTGGTGCTTCCTCATTTTTTGTACCATGGATATCTGGCATCATATGTAACTTGAATCCTGAAGTTCTCGAGATCAGAGATGCTGACAATCTTGACGAGCTGGAGGATGCTATTCGTGAGTACTGTCCCAAAATGCAGGAGTTGGTACTAACGGAGGATCGTCTAACGGACCATCGCTGGGTGTCCCCCTGCACCTTCATCCACGGCTTCTCAGGCCCTTGAAGCTTTCGTGGGAATATCTCGGAAGTCTAGAGTAGTCCTTCGAGTTACAAGATGTTGATTTCAAACCTGGTGGAGTGCCATGCAAAACACATTGGAAGGTATCGAGTTTATGCTCTGCCAGACGCTCGAGGAAGGTTGATTCTGGCATACCTTCCCGTCGTTCAAAGATCTTAAGTGGATTTGGACTGTTCCGTGCAGCACTGAATACACTGAGCCTTGTGGCTTCCAGTATACTTCTATTATCTCGAAGGAGTGGGTCTGTCTAGGGATCAAGTGACTGAGCATGCCGTTAATTCGATTCTTCAATATCCATAATACGCTGTGCGGCATGAAGCAAGCAGCCGAAAGCTATGTCGAAGAGCATCTTCCAGAGGATGAAGAGAAAGAGGCGGTAGGAGGCGACATGATGACGATGAGGACGATTGGTCTGAATATATTATCTGTCCCATTCTTACAAGCGCAAGATCAACGCATGGGTGGCAAGGGAGGTATATGCTCAAATTGGCCGATCAACTGACTTGGAGGTATTGGCACTGAGCTACAGCAAAAGAGCGTATACCAGATTTCCTACAAAGAGGTTCAAAATGGATTTGACCCTATTCAAGCAGGGCTGCTTGGAGGAACTGACAGAGCTCGAGAAGTTAAGGCACCTCCACATTCAGACGGATTTCTGGTCGAGGATGGGTCAAGCAGAGGTTGAGTTCATGGAAGCCCAGTGGCCGATGCTGGGCGAAATCACTTTTGGAGGACTCTCTAAAGATACATCTCAAGAGCTGGTGAGGCAGCCTCACTGGCAATGGATGAAGAATAAGCGACCACACTTACAGCTGCTGCTGGAGAGACCACAGGAATGGTTTCTAAGAAAAAAAAAGAAGCCTATGTGTGCCTGCCTGAAATGTTGCTATCTGCAATGATTGCCAGTCAACTGAAGTATCCAGATTTTCAGACCAAAGATTCCCTGTGGGTGGCCCTCGCACGGTAGAGACAGTCCACATTACTCGTCCGTCGCCATTGATGCTAAAAGTACCGGCGTCTACAGATATTATGCGAGTAGTCGTATTAAACATGTGTTGCCTCAAGCGCATGCATGCATCCAAATGTGGAAAAATGAGAGTATGCTTCCGCTGCACGCTCTCAGCTACCATGGACCAACGACTCATCTTGAAGTTCCCAAACTGGCCGCAGTACTTCCGGAGCATCTGACTCCGCAAGACATTATCCAGTGCATGGTATTGAACAAGAGCCTTTTGCGTCAATTCAAGCCGTTCCTTTGGGGGAACGTTTGCAGATCACCGCATATTAGGCCGTAGTTCTAGAAGAACTTGCAACACATTCAGACTGTTGGCGTTGATGGCCACATTGATCAGGACGATATATTCTTAGGATTGCTCGCCAGTAGTCTGTTGCCTCATCCGCCATCTTCCACTGCTCGTGGAAATCGATTCGTAATGATATCAATACACCTCTTCGATGTACCAGATCTCTCTAAGGCCAATAGTAACAACCTGTGGGGACCTAAGGCGGCTCAAAATATCACACAGTCTGCGACAACTTCAGCATCTCACCATCACTGGATCGTTCCTATTGCCATGGACAATCATATCTCCGCTCCTGACATTGTCTCTTGCTCAACTGCGTGAGCTATATTGTCAATATGAAATGGTCTTTTGCCGGTAATCTAGGTCAAGAATATAAGCCCATGGATCAGCCACATCCGACTCGAGACCGTTTTGGAGCAGGCTGTAGTTACCAGGACGCCATGAGAGACTATCGAACCAACGATCAAGGAAAGATACTCGGCTATATTCTTGAATTCAATCCTGGAACCCGACTTTCTCGATCTCGAGTCCATGGGGACCCTCCACTACTGTCGACTATGTCTACGGGCTAGAACACATCATTCAAGAACGCTGTCTCGGAAAAATCCCGTTGATAGCGAAAATGTATCCTGAACTTCAGACCCTCCTGCGAAGCCATCTGTACCTTTGTCCGTGGCTGTTCAAGCCTTCGTAGCCTCCATGGGAATTTCGAGGATGAAGATGATGCCATGATGGAGTTTTTTTATTTTTTATTTTTTTCTTTATCCGGGGATTGTTTCTGCTCTGGTGATGTTCCATGCATTCGTAGGGCGTCTTTTGCATAAGCTCCTTGATTATATGTCCCTAGTTTAGGCTCTCTCATGGAACAAACCAACACGCTCTCACTGGATGCTATCAAAGCAAAAACCAGATTGTAGTCAAAAAAAGACTGGCGTTCCTTCTCTTTAACAAAACGTTTACTTAGTGATAGTGAGCTGAATAGATCTGCTCCATCATATCTGAGATTTAACCATAAGCGCAATGTTAAATGCGCGGACGAGAGGAAGGCGAACACAACAAACACCCTAATGTGATCCAGGATTTACTTTCTCCCTGCGCTGCTATGCGATGCCATTTCGAGTAACCGAGCCAAGGACCACGTTGCCGCGCCAGATGGGTGCATGGGAATGGTACTCTTGTTGGCCTGAACATTTGTGTATGGCGTCGCTGTTTCTCGGCCTTTCTCGGAATTCTTGCCGTGGTGGATCAAGGCTCCTCGCTCTCATGCATGGACTGTGAGCCATCCCATGCATGTATATGTAGAGGATTCAACCGTGTGCGGCACCCTAGCAAGTCATCAGTTCGCTGCACGAATTATTTGAAAGCGAGCTTCGCGTTCTCCTGTATGAGAGCCTAATGTTGTCTCGCTCGGCGTACCTCTCGTTTTTCATTTCATATACCACTATCGGATCGGTGCAAAGGAGTCCGCTGGTTTGGTTACACAAGCAGATCGCCTACAGCACAGCAGCATCCCAAAGAGTATAATTCTCTCTCGCCTTTCTTCCTCCTCCCCCTCCGCCACCATCGCCTCAGCAAGAGAAGCAGGATTTTATTCTCCTGTTCTTCCACGCCTACCAACATTAGCCGCCCTCCTTTCTTAAAAATTACAAGAATTACTTTTCGATTCCCTGTGAGAAACAACCTTTTCTTCTTCTCACCCAAAAATCAAAGGACACAGGTGGCACAAGGGACACAAGGGAGCACAAACGAGGAGCAATTAAGTATGAGAATCATTTTCAAGAGTCAGAGCCGCCTCTTACTGCTCGGGGAGGCCATTGTATGCTTTTATCGATGTGCGATGCAGGCCCCAATTAACACCGCAACTATAACATCAATTAAAGTTTACCCAGAGGTATTACAGCGGCAGCAACGTTGGCATTGCGAGCCGTTTTCATGTGAACAATAAATAGTATAAATACATGGGTTGCAAAATGTGTCGCCAAGAGACTTGTCTTTCCTTGTCTACTCTCCTCCCTACACTGTATTAGCCACTCAGGCCCTCTCCGACTCCCCACTAATCCTTGCCTCGGTCAGTATGCTCTTTACCGCAATGTCCCAGTCCTGTGGCTGCAAACCTGCGCAAGAAATCTATCACTCATATTGTGCCATTTTGTTCCCTTAGTCGCTGCTCAATCCTGCAAACATGTCGTCTACGTTCCGCGTTTTTTTCGTTGCTATCATTGCTCTGCTGCTCCAAGGTCAAGTCTCTGGGAACTATGTTAGGTTCTGGGAGGAAAAAAAATTTAAGGCCGGATGTGTCGTCTGCCCCATCGCAACATACCAACGGTGTATCAATCTGGACATGAAGACCATAGGAAGGGCATCTTCGTTCAAGTTCTTCAACTTGGACGTTAGCCCTTCTTATACTTTTAGCTCGACACTCTACGACGATAAGGACTGCAAGGGCAACTATTTCCGTTGGAGTGGAACGCTTAACCTTAATCAAGGAATTACATACCCCAATCTTGACCCGTACGACAACAAGATTAAATCTTTCAAGATCGCCGACTTTTTGACGTCGGATGCGGCTGGCTATCAAGCTGTCGGTGACACGAAGGTGGACAGTACATGTTATCTTGGCGGTAGCACGTGCGACTGGTGATTTGTGCAGGTAATGCAGTCTCTCTCCATCCTTTCCTTCCATAGCACTGCCACTTGCAGTAGCGCAACTATTCTTCATACCCTTCTCCCCTTTCTCCTTTCCAGAAGAAATAAACATATATCTGTAGTCCAAATATCACGTTATGTATTCACTGTATGTTCCAAATCTGCACCGTAAGCTATTCTTCCTCAGCTGAGACTGACATCGTTTGTTCACGAATGCGTCCTGCCGCTTGACTATGTCGCATTCGTCTCTCGCATCCGCCTGGTTGTGCTGATCAAGATTGTTGCGGTATTTAATTTTGATCTCGATGCTTGGCACTTCTACTTGCCACTATAATGTACTTCATTTCTCATTGGTAGTTCAGTCCGAATAAAGACTTTGGATGGTAGTAGCCTTATCTTCCTTTAATATATGTGTCTGCCATAAAGGCAAATACAAGGGCCTCAAGCAGCTGAAGCCGGTTGGAATTACCAAGCGGCAGTTTCCGTCGCGCTTCTTCCACATCCCGAACGAGCAATGATCGATCTCTGGTTTATGCTTGCCGTAGACTATAAAAACTACACAGGAATGGGGTTCAGTCGAGCATGTCCTGAACATCCAGAATTCTGAAGAAAGGCACATGTTGGGGACAGTATATTTTTAACGGCTATTATCTACATAGCTGACTTTTTTATGGGGACGACTAATCTTTATTCGTGCTCAGACCCACTTGGGCGGTATTGGTTAATTAAGAGTTCTAATGATATGCATAGTCTATCTCGGCTGCATGATACTGTTCTCTTGTATCATTGTTCCCTCTTGTGAGTCCAAAAGAAATGCCTCGGCCTAGATAAGGTGAGTTGGCGGACGCGTTGTGTAGGAGTTGGTAAAGCAAAAACAAAAAGCATGTTAGCGACGGCACCTTGTGCAGTGATTTTGCGGGTTTCTTTCATTAGAGTTTACGTCCTGATATAAGCAAGCCATCCGCTGGATTAGCTCACAGTGTCTTCCGATTACCAACACAACTGGCTTAATTCGTCGATTAAGGTTGAAACTATAGGGATCATCAGGAGAAAAAGTGACCCTTTCTCGTGGCGAATCCTTCGTTCTTCGTGTCCTTCCCAAGGGTTTTTGCATTGAAACGTGGTTTTCAGTGGTCAATGCGATGGTGCAGATAGCATGGATGAACCAAGCAAGCACTTCCAGACTTTATCTTAAATCTGCCTCTTTACCCCGTACCCCCTCTTCTCCTCTCCCTGTTCAGCCTACAGGCCGCCATGCGTATGGCCATCCAGCTACAGATGTGCGTAGAATAGGATGCCTCTGTCTCCTTTCGAACAAAGACACAAAAATCGCCTTGAATCCTCCTCGCCACCCCGCCTCCTGGACCTTGTCTTTGAATAGGAAATCCACCCTCAAAAAAAGCACGGATGGAGGGAAAGATTCCCTTCCAATTGGCCCCCATTGCCCTTTATTCTTAACTATTTTTTTATGACCTCTCACTGGTCGAACAGCAGTGCTATCTCTCATACTGCGCTAGTCTTTAATTCTATCTCAAAGTACTGCTTCTTTATCGCCTGCCTTGCATTCAGTACCAGCAAACATACTGGCTGCCGAACCACCTCTCCTCTACTCTATATTTCGAGGGCACACCCGCGAGGCTCCTTTCCTTTCCATTTCTTTCCTCTCCCACCTCCTCCTACACACCTTCGTCCTGCTTCGAGTCTTTAAAGGCCATTCTTTCGCTCAATACCATCCTGCGATCACTAAAGAAGTTTTTTTGAAGGATCTTCACTTCAGCAGTGCTCTCATCAGTGACACCATCAAACGCATAAAGGACGTTCCGGCCGAACGATATTCTCCGTCTTTTTTGGTGCTTAAAGCACTCGAGAAACCATCCTCCCAACCTCTGCTCGTGCTTTCCTTATCATCGCCATGTCATCTTACACCACCGCCACTAGCCCATCCCTGAGCAATGGCCCTCAAGGTCCTCCTTCCACAACAGTTGCAGAATTGGTGATCGCAGAAGCGCACTATCTCTCGGTACTCAAGGTATCATGACCTCTTCATGTTTAATTCATGAGCCTGAGGAGTGCGACTCAAATCGTGTTTCGTGTTCCTCGCACAAAGCGCAAAAAGAACACGATGCTCATGCTGTTTTTTTATTATTTTGTATAGCGTGTCGGAAGTGCTCTCAATTTGGCGATAAACCATTCCATAGCAACGGGACACAAGGCGATCAACAAGGTCCGTGCTCTCGAAGAGCGATGGAATGCGATGATATACATCCACAGCAAGTTCCACGATGTAAGCTCGTCACCACGACTAATTGATGTACACGTTTCTAACTCTCACCTACAAACAAAACGAACCGACATCGAATGTTGTGTTCACTTCTTTTTCTGCGGTGAGCCATAAGAATCCTACTTGTTCTTTGACCTTGTTTTCCACAGAGTTTTATTGCAGCCATTAAATCTGCTATTCGCCCAACGCACGATATGGTGTGATGCCACATGGAGGTCCCGGCTTTCTGGGAGCCCAACGGGAAAAAAACAAAAACAAAAAGGCTCTTTTTTTTTTTTTTTTTTTTTTTTTTTCTGGTTCCTGGTTGCCGAGTGCAAGCTATGCGATAATGATGGGGTACATCTCATGGTTGTGGCCTTGCCTCTTCTTGATTGCCGCACCCCTCTTGAATTTCTTGTCAAGATGACTTTTTTTGCACGAGTCGAGCTCCCATCTAGCGCCATCCCCTCTCCTTCCGTGAACTGAGATGTGATATTGGGTCTAATGTTGTGCGTATGTGGCTCTAGGCCGTATAGTGTGCCTAGCACTTCCCACTCAGCTCCAGTGCCCACTCTTATCCCGCTTTATCTTTTTTTTTTTTTTTTTTTTCGCCTGTTTCCCATGCACTCCTGGTCACATATATTTCTACAGATACACACATGGAATCTCTTTTTCGGTCCATTGGTCTATTAAATGCCTGGAAGCTTTATTGTACTCGTTGTAACGGCTCCAGGTCCTCTCTCTTTCTCTCTCCGTAACCTTAGAATATCGTGGCAGCCAAGGAGGACGTCCAAGAGACGATCAAACAGCTCAACGGGCTTGTAAGTAATACCTTTTCACCGACTCGAACAGCCTTTCCAATGCTCCGGAAAGTAATTGTGTGAGGTTACCTACTAACTCGGGTAATACACACTTGCTCGTTTTGTAGTTGTTGACACTGGAGCCAGTCCTTGTTGACCATGGACGCGAATTGTCGAATATTGTTTATAAGTTGAGTCGTAACGACAAGGTACCTCCGTCTTACCGTCACTTATCCTTCAAAACTCAGGGTTTTTTCTTATCCAGGCGAAACGGTGTTAACAGTAAATGTCTCTGTTCGCGTAGAAATCTGGACACAAACCAGTAGCGTGGGATGGCGCTCTCCGTCAGCCATTTGATCATTTGAACGTGTACAACGAGTGGTTGCAGGTAAGATAACGCCGATACATCCATATGCGTGTTTTACATGGCCCAGTCGCGGTAATCATAGACGCCTTTTTTTTATTTTTATTTTTTACTATGTAGCGTGTTGATCCTCTAGGAACGTATAATAAAGAGGGTCTTTTACAGCTCCACAGCATTGTCTTCAATGTCAAGTCCGCCATTGGTGAGCATCGAATTTTCTAGCACATCCAGGAGAACATTCGACCGTTGACCGTCAAGCGATTCTCATTGACCTTTATATTTTTCATGTTTGTGTCTCCGCTATAGAGGCACACCAGAACCCGCGTGGCTTACTTAAGCGTATTAGCACGGTTGCACGCGGAGTGCTCAGACGCCAATCCCTCGCCTCGTCTGCACAGCCTCTCAGTGATGAAAGCCAAGGCCAACTGTCCAGTCCGACCAATTCCTATATGTTCCCGACTTCTTCGTCCAAAGGCAGTGTCAGCACACAGGCTCGAAGGGCTTCAATGGGCTTGCCGATTCCTCGACTGGTCACATCTCCATCGACTATTGCTCTGTTTACGTCTGAGAACAGGATCGAGACTGTAACGAAGGAACAAGTGGTGTCCTTGGTTACTGAGATGGAGAAGAGTAATGGAAGTGTGGGGATGTCAAGCGATAGCGCAGTGACAGATTCAGCTACCGGACCAAGCAGACCTTTGAGTTTTGACACGAAAGTTCCAGGTCGGCATTTAAATCGAGTTTCTGTTGCTAGATCGGATTCGAGCAGTATTGGGTCTCTGACTCTGGCACCTTCGTCCGAGTCGCTATTTGTCAAAGCGGCAATGGCAGCAACGGCAGCGAAGAGCAGCAGTAGCACTATTACAGGGTCCAATAGGATAAATCGTCAGTTGTCAGTGACAAGTCAGCGTCAAAAGTTGCCCGAGAGACATGACTCTCGAAGGACGACAATCCACATGGATACTCAGACAACGATTGTGTCGAAGGCTGAGAGCATGCAGCCGAAGAGGCCAGAAGTTGTGTCGAGGCCGTCGATTGATCGGTTGAGGACGATCACGAAGCGAGAGGCAGAGGAGAAACCTCCAGTAAGGTCGTTGATCAGCTTCTGGGAGCAGGCGACTGAGCCGATTGAAGCCATGTGAGAAGAACGAAGGTCGTTGTTCCTTGATAAGAGTAAGAGCTGGGATGTCTGTGCTTTAGTTGAAAGCAGTATAAACTATCCTGTTACAACGAACCCAGCCTGCCCACCGCTTCCTGAGGGAGACGAGTCAGCGCGACGAGGATGTGGTTAATCCTTAACTAATCCCATCTAAAATAGCAATATAATTTACCCTAGTTGACGCGTCGCGGAATGTTTGCTCCGCAAAATGGCAAATTATAAATGAGGTGACTGGCAATTGGAAAAACAAACAAAGCATTTTTTTTTTTTTTGGGGACCCTCCCTCAACCTTGACACTCCACCTTTTACCCCTTACACCTATCTCGCTTCACAAACTAATAATGGCCAGCGTAGCACCCGCCGGTTCTTGGGAGAGCCTTGAGCCAAAGCTGTCACCGCAGGTGCTCGATGCTGTGAGCACGATGGGCTTTTCAGAGATGACTCCAGTCCAGTCTGGAGCTATCCCACTCTTTATGAAGAACAAGGACGTGGTCGTCGAAGCCGTCACAGGATCCGGCAAGACCCTCTCCTTCCTGATCCCGATCCTCGAGAAGATCCACCGTCGGTCGCATAAGCTTGCGCCGTCAGAAGTCGGCGCCATAGTTATCTCACCTACCCGCGAGCTCGCCACCCAGATCGCCAAGGTGTTGACGGAATTTGAGCCGTTCTTACAGAATATCAAGCACCAACTGTTGATCGGAGGCGAAACAAGTCTGGAGGAGGACATTGCGACGTTTCAAGAGGTACATCCGGATATCTTGATTGGGACACCGGGACGGCTGGAGGATATCTTGTCGCAGAAGCGAGGAGGTGTGAATGTGAAGGAGTTAGAGGTATTGGTGTTGGATGAGGCGGATCGCTTGCTGGATATGGGATTCTCGGTCAGCTTGAATAAGATCATGGGACTATTGCCGAAACAGCGCAGGACGGGATTGTTCTCGGCGACGATGACGGATGGCCTGCATGAGCTTGTCCGGGCTGGTTTGAGGAATCCGGTACGTGTAGTGGTCAAGGTCGAAGATCTGGTCGGTGGTGGAGGACAGCGCACACCTGCTTCGTAAGTTAACAAGCATTACAATGCACGTAAAGGACGCTCGTGTTGTACTCTACTCAAGGTATCTAATCTTTTACTGTTTCTCCTGCGCATTATAGGCTTCATATCGGATACATTCTTTGCTCGACATCCCAGAAGCTGCTCTTACTTACACACTTGCTGCGACAGGAGTCAGCCAACAAAAAGACAATCGTCTACTTTGCGACCTGCGCCAGTGTTGATTACTTTTACAAACTTCTCTCGCGCCTCCCCGCTCTCTCTGGATTCGCCATTCATTCGCTTCACGGGAAAATGGAGACCAAGAAACGATCACTCACATTCAAGTCGTTCACGGACATCCCTGCTGGATCACCAGGAGTCTTGCTCTGCACGGACGTTGCATCGCGCGGATTGGATATTCCAGATGTCGATTTCGTTGTTCAGGTGGATCCGCCCCAGGATCCCAAGGCGTTCACGCATCGATGTGGACGTGCCGGTCGCGCTGGCCGCGAGGGCAAGGCCGTTGTGTTTTTGGTACGGGGCAAGGAAGAGACCTACGTGGATTTCTTGAAGGTCCGCAAGGTGCCGATTCACAGATGGGACTGGAAGGGCGGGCCGGTCATTACAGAAGATGTGGATGAGGACGAAATGGACGATGCCGACCGTGAGCAGGATGAGCGGGGTGTGAGCCAGAAACAGGAACCGGAGGATGATGCCGAGAATGCCGAGTTCTTGAAGGGACTGCAGAAGATTGTAATGACGGATCGGGATCTGCATGATAAGGGTACGATGGCGTACGTATCGTTTATCAGGAGTTATTCGAAACATGAGGCGAGCTTTATTTTCCGGTCGAAGGATTTGGACCTGGGGTCTTTGGCGCGTGGATATGGATTGCTGAGGTTGCCGAAGATGCCAGAGTTGAAGAATGAAAAGACTGGAGGTGGTATTGAGGGTTTCGTACCAGCGGATATTAATGTAAGTAAACACTGGTATAGCATGATGTTTAAAAAAGACGAGTGGAAAACAGGGTTGCTGATATGTATATTGCTCTGCTTGTAATGTCGTTCGGTAGATGGACAAGTATAAATACCAGGACAAGCAGAAGGAAGCTGTGCGGGTGAAGAAGCTGGCGGAGTACAAAGCCAAGCAAGCAGAGAAAGAGAGAAAGGCAGCAGAACAAGGCGGACAAAATGATAAGAAGCGGAAACAGATCCACAAGACATCGGCATGGTCAGAAAAGCAGGAAGCCAAGGAGCGGAAAGTAGACCGGCAACTGAAGAAACAGAGGAAGAGAGAGTACCTAAAGCGGGTGGCAAACGGTGAAATTAAAGAAGGCGAGGACGAGGCGGACAAGGACACTGACAAAAAGGAGCCAGAGGTAGAAGACGAAGATATGGATGGAGATGAGGATGAGGAGGACAGCTGGGAGGCATTGGCACGCGAGGAGCGGTTAGCAAAGAAGGTGAAGAAGGGCAAGCTGAGCGCGAAGGAGTTTGACAAGCAAGTCGGCAACATGTTTGGTGAGCTCTAATTAACGGCCTATTGTCAAGAAATAACAATAAAAAGATTCCTCTTAGAAAGCTATAGTCTTCAGGCACCGAAATGCAACCAACTGTGTCTGCGGTCGATCTACAAAGACTCTATAGACTCAGGTACGATTTTTTGAATCAAGAGAAAATTATATTATGTATATTATGTATACCATAAGTTGTCGGCAGTGGAGCCCTGTACGTTGTCTCTCTCCCCTCTCACTGCTTCCCTGCTCACTCCTCCTTGTCTGCCGGTCTGCGAACGTGACACTACTGATGTACTGACATGTTGTTGTTTTTCCCCTTCGAGTAAAAAACCACTGCCCTCAACTCCCAGAAGGCCATCTCTCTGTCTTGTTATCTTGCACTTCGTGCTAATGCTTACGGGGGGTACGTTTGGCGGGACACCCCGGTCCTAAGTTCGGCAGGCAGTGCAAGGACTAGTTAGTTTTCTCATATAGACACACACTCCTTGGTTGCGGTGTCGCCCACATTCGAGTACAAGCGCGTTCCATGCGTCTCAATGAGGCGCTTTCAGCCAACGTCCGCACGAGCCAAAACTGGTTGCAATTTCTTACGATACGCCATGAAAGATGGCTCCTCCTCCTCTTTGTGGTAACCTTGTCTGACTTCATGGATAAATCATGAAACAAAGTCTTGCTGCAAGGAAGGAGCGCACCACGATGCTGCTTCAGTAAGATGTGTCGCGGCAAGTATCTGAATTTTGAAACTGTTTATTAGGAATGCTTGTTACGATGGAAGATTCCTTCACACTGTTAGACGACCTTTCGAATCTGCTCTCTCGTGTCTCTTCTGCCTGTCCCTCGTCTCATCTTAACTGCAGTCCTATCGTTGCTAACGAGGTAAAAAAAAATGGACGGTAATAGTTGAATAAAAAAAAAACCGCAACATCCAGAAATGAAAAAAGCAAAAATCAATAAAGGCCCGCAATAAGCTAGCCAACGCTCAATCAATAGGCAAGCAAGGTACCCCGTCACTGCATCGATCGTGTTTTGATGGCTCCTTGCGGTCGACAAGGCAAAACAACGATCGATAATGATGAAGACATCCCGATCAGGGACAGAGCCTTGCACACGAAAGCACCTAGAGCGGTACTCACAAGGGTATCGCCGTCCGTCTTCTTTACCAGTCAGGATACCCTTGACACTCGCGCCCAGTACTGATGAGGAGTAGTCCCAGCGTCAAACTCTCGTTCAAAGCGAACGAGAGTTGACCCAGTCTAGCCGTGCCCAGTACTGATGAGGAGTGCGTGCCCTACTGAAGGAAGCCTGCCAACTCGACCAAAGAGTTGATAGATCGTCAGGTCTCGGTCACCCTGTAACTTATGCTTATGCCACTTGCCTCGATCTTGTCTGTTGGCTTGAGGTCGATCCGTCGACATAAATGACCCAAGGATATCGACGCGAATCGCCGAATTGTAATCAATGGAACTGGGAGGTTGGATAAGTGGAGGGATCGATAGCGGGTTCATACCCTTTCTTTCTTAGAAAGTGCTACAGGCCCTCAATGCCCATGGTAATCTGCACAACCAAGGAATATGGTGCATACTGCATACACTTTATTTCGAATGACAGTGAGGGAAGAATGAGGAGATTGACCATGGAAAGTGCGAGATGAAAGATGTCGACGTTAATGGACTACTTAAATACGCTTCACTATTTTCATCCCTAGTTTATTATTATACTTGGCCAGTCAAGGAATTTGAGCGGTCCTGGCCAACCCTTCATTCCACAACTACCACGCCATCGCCATAGTCTACACTATGTCCAAGGACGGCACCCTGAAATGTTACTTTTCAGCATATTTCGAGAATCCGAAGTCCAACTGTACGCCACTTGGCTTCCTCGAGTACGCCAAATTCAACTCTCGGGAGTCGCGTCTTGCCGCCGACATTTGATATCGGGAGCTGGGGAAGCTTGACCAGGAGACCCGAAAACACCTGCAGCAGTTGTGGCGCTCGTCTCGACCTGCCAGGGCAAAATACTGGAAGGACCTTAAACGCGAAGAGGAGAGAGAGAACAAAAAGGCACACTTCACACAAACCTCTATCACATTAATCACGTCTTTATTCGCATAGGTTGAATACGGGATCGACTTGGAGACCATCGTGTACGACGAGAAGAGAACCGTTGCACAGAGCCAGAAGAAGGAGCTGCAGCATTCCTATGAGAATGGTCAGTGCTTGCTCGCTATATCTACATCTCCATGTACTTGGGCTTAGCCTCGTGTTCATGCTGTATTTACAATTTAGAGGAGGAGGGAGACGCAGAAAAAGACTCGCGTGCATTCACCGGCACATGCGGAAAGGACTCTAGTCTTCCTGACGGTGATTCATCCTCAGCAACATCCAGCCCATCGGTTGGGCACGACAGTCCCAGCAGGCGAGCCCAGACCTTCGTTCTTGAGAAGAAGCGTTCCTTCGGCCTCATCGCCCCCGCCATTTCGACATCGAGGCCAGTAAGTCAGCGCCCGCGGCCCGCTGCAGCCGCAGCCAAAGGATTTCATCAGCTTGGTACGTGAAGGGCTTTTTTCCCGTTGCAATTGCATAGTGACCCTCAACGATGGTGAGCGTCGCTTTTTGATCATCTTTCGTTCAACACAATAGACCTTGCGCCATTCGGGAAGCTCCACCAGTCGACGCTATGGCAGATGGACGGTGTAGACTTTTCGAGGATCTTCTCACAGTTTTGAGAGGCAGATACTGGGCTTCATTCACTGAGCGTCGATTGGATCGTTGATATGTCGCGCATGTCTTCGTTCATGAGCAGTCTCTCGTCTCAGAACCGTTCAAGGGCAGCACGTATCACCTTCCCATCAGCTGTCATACAGCAAAAATGGCCAGACTTTCAGGCGCTGTGCGAAAGAGTTTTTAAGGAGGGCGCTGCATACGAGGACGTCCGGCAGGCGCTCAGGAAGGAAGACAGCGGCGACCCGTTGGTGGCATACATTTTGAGCATTGTGCTCTCATAGTAAATGAAACCTGTACTTGACGCAATGACGATCAACCGATTGAGCTGGGCTTGTTGCTGACCTTGGCATTTCTCATGTTGCCTTGACAATAGCCACCACTTTTTTACTTTCCACGATGTGTTGCCCCACGGCTTGAATGAGAGAGAGGGATTTGGCTATTGCACATGGGCGTTTATTCGTGGGGCGATGACTTTAGCTCGGATTGAAGGACGATCCTTCGAGATGCCAGTAGTGGGGGTATCGGAGCGGAAAAACACAGGCCGAGTCCTACTTGCTGAGCGACAAGCTCACCCTCATATGGCCGATGGGGCGGCAGTACATGGGACGGACCAAATCTACCTGGCAGAAGCAGCATCCTTGAGTGCCAACAGGGATGAGAAGCGGCACGCAGACCTGTTCAAGCTGAAAAGGGACATGAAGGACAGCTGGATATCGCAGATGAGGGAGATCATCACGACGACGCTGCCCCCGTCGCGACTGACTGTCTTTGGATCGGCCTCGTATCGACACGAGACCAGCTTCTTCGCCATGGACTTTGCAGGAGTCTTTCGGCTGTGTCAAATAGGAGCGATGATCATCCCGACCAAACAAGCCAACTTTGCCAACAGCATGCGGAGCTGTGTCACGGCCTGTCTCGATTTTGTGCTGATGATGTCTGAGCAGTTGAATGAGCGGCAAGCATGTAAGACCATCACATACAAGGAGCGCCTGGAGCTCGAGGAGGCCTGCGATGCTCTACCCACCACAAGCAGCACCCCGGTGAAGGAAATCAAGAAGCGCAAGGCACATAAACAAGGACCCAGAGATCAGGTCATTTGTCGAGCTTAAGCGTTTTTTTTTTTCTATGAATTACTCTGTTCAAGCAAAGAGGACAATCGCAGTAAGTCACTCTCTTGCTGTTGAAGGATGGAGCTGTCGCATCACCATCTGCACGACTCGGTTGACGCGTCCGTCGGCGAGAATGTCATTTTCGGAGGAGAAGCAACTGTGATTGCTATGTGCAGCGATGAAAATGTCATATGGATTCAAAGAACGCGCTTCCTCCGGTGCTGAGGGCTCAGACAAGCTGAATTAGAGTGGAGGAGGGGCGAAAAAGTGGTGGATGAGGAATGGGAGACACATATGTTTGCCGCCAATGCTCCTTGTTCTTGAGTTCCAGATTCATAGAGTCCTATATGGTTCTTGATTGCAAAATCGAAAATGATTGGAGACCTACTTAAAGCCTGTTGTTACCTTGGTAAGCTGAGATCTGGCGTATCTGGAAATTGTGTACACACTGGCTCTACAGCAGAGGGTTCAACCTGCTTAGCAACGGTCAGTGATTGAGTGGGCAACAAGCTTGTTGCTCGACCACGTTTGATGCTCGACCACGTTTGATGAAAGTATGTTGCTTTTGCACATCCATCTGAGAGTCTATCTCACTAGTGGATCTAGAGTGAAGAGAGGGAGCCTTATTATAGTAAATACTGCTATCTCAGTCTAGGTGTAGATAATGCACTTGTATATACCTAATGGTCGCGTTATCAATGGTACCATGTGTAGAAACTGGGCGAAGCATTTGTTGACATCATAGAACATTAAAAAAGACAGGGAGACCATGAGTGACAAGTGTTTTCATAGCGACGTTGCTTTTTGATCCTTTGATGTGGGCTCTTCCTATCATACTGAGGCAGAATTCAGTTCACCCATTAATAGGGAATGTGAATTTGAACTTGGTGCGAGAGGAACCGTCATTTGGGTAAATCGTATTTGGGCCTACCTGAGCAGGCAATGACTCGAAGCTATCATCCGTTTGATTATGGCTGAACACCTCTTAGTCAGAATCTGCGTTAGGGCTCGACGATTACCGCCTGCACTATATTGAACTATGTAGTACGTACGGGCAGAGAAGAATACCCTTCATGGTGGCAGAGGGGGACATATATATAAGCTACCGTCTGCCCTGAAAACAATGATCCCTCTCTTGTCTTGTTGACTTCAGTCTGTAGGCGAATATAAGGGTAGAATATTGTATTGACCACTGTACCAGAAACTCAGCTACGGATGCCAGGTTTACGACGGAACGACGAAGGCAGCGGATTATATCTGTCACGAACCATGTTTGATCGTAGTGAAGAAGTGTTCAAGCTGGTGCACACGCGTGTGCTACTACATCTTTGGTGACCGCATTTGCACTTGACCCCCTCGCGCAGCGCGCTTGCTCTCCTAGGCATATTCAATAGACACGTCGCAAAGGCCCTTATACTGTCCTAAGGCGCGATCCTAGCTAAGAACAGCATCAATTATAGACGCGTCGATCCTAGCCTTGTAATCATGTATAAATACCACCATAGCTTCATTCGAGAAACCCCAGCCTGCAGTACAATAAATCCTTTATCTTGACCCTCTACTCCACACGCACACGTACACTTACCTTTGTTTGCCTTGTCCAACCGTGACAATGTCCATATTCCCGACACAACCTTTAAAGATAGCCCGAAATACTATGGATACGGACCGGATGGTCTCATTTCCAGCACACGGTGAGAGTCACCCAGGCGTATCTAAGCGGCAAAGGGATTGAGGCGCTTCCTTTGCCGGCACAATCGGCCGATCTGAATCCAATCGAGCATGCCTGGAACAACGTGAAAGCTCAAAAATGGCCTTAGAGAAAGGAGACAGAGAGGTATTCATGATCTATGGGAGATAGTCCTAGAAGAATGAGAGAAAGTCCCTTGCATTACACCCAGACACTCTACAAGCCCATCCGCGTCGTGTTCAAGCTGTTTTGAAGGCAAATGGAGGGCATACAAGGTGCTTGGGGTACATTAGGAGGCTAGTCAAAGAATTGTTACAGCGACACACTTCAATAAAAGCGAACATTCCTCAGTCAATATGGATGCTATCTCGATGCGGGCTTTAGCATGTTGTAGCTGAGTGACAACACTAATGTTTCGCAGTGCGCTAGTACGATGGCATATTGGCAGAGTGGGTTATTTTGAATCAAGGTTTAATGAATAAGTCTCTCTTGCAGCAAAGGATGAATAGAAGGAAGAGAAGGAGCCTCATGGACAACCTTCCTGGTCCGTCATCGCCCCATCTCCTCTTCATCTCTTCCCCCTCATCATCCTCATTCATTTTCACCCTCCTCTTCATCGTCGCCCTTCGCTTGTGAGTCATCCACCCAAAAAAAAAAAGGCTTTCCATTGCTTCCACGAAGAAGCAACTCGAACAGCGGACAACAAGGTTTAAAATAGTCCTTTCTCCTTTCTAGATGGCGATGACCTTTTCTCCTCTCTAACCCTTCCCCATCTTCTTGATTCGTCCGCTAGTTCTCTCTCTCATATCCACTCAATACCGACGAGGAACGCTGATCACGAAGAAGAGCCTGAGGATCGAGAGCTGCTATTTTATCGCTGATTGCAACTGCATATTTATTTCGAGACGGACGTATTTTTACCCGGAGTCAGCAACGCGCTTCTACCCCACACTGAACAACCTGAAGGCAAGACGATGTTTAGGAGAGAGAGTCGTTCCGAGATCCCCTTCCACGACGACAACAAGTATGCAAAGACGCCCCTTAGCATCCACAACAGGGTAGGCCAGTCAGTCACCATGATCGCACAAAGGGGTGCTGTCAATTGCAGGGTAGTTTCTCTCGTATATCTGTCTAACAGTCATCGGATTGTTTCACACATCCCCATCGTGTACTTGACATAGAGGCAGCCCCAGCGTCGTCTTCGTAAACGCCATGCAGTCCTAGTCCTCTGCCTGTTTGCGGCGACATACATGTTCCTGAAATCACCCTCGACTTCAGTATCATGGTCATCACCCTCCTCCCCCGCACCCAAGTCTGGTCAAAGTCAAGGTCAGGACGACAAGAAGTTCATCGTCCCCCGTCCTCCTCCTCCACAGCCAGCTCCCAATATCAACAATGACAAGAGCAGCAACCAAGCCGCCGCAGGAAGCAATGTCAGCGACAGCAAAAAGCAAGAGGAGAAAAAGAAAAAGAAGAAAAAAAAGAATCCACCGACGCTGTTTGAGTTCGACGGCAAGGATCCAACCCTCCGGTTTCATGACGTGCCCCGTGGAGACAGGAAATCGAAGGACAAGGGGCCAAAAAAAAACAAGAAGCAACCCAAACCCGTTGCACCTCCAGCGCAGAAACCAGCACCCGTCATTCCTGCTGTGCCGATCGTACCTGTAGTACCTGATATTAAGCAGCAGCACGATTGGAAGGAGCTTGAAGAGGCTAGCAAGGATCTATCGGAGGACGAACCGGACATGGAACTGCATCTCGATGATGCCGACGACTACGCCGATGTCGGCACTAACAAGGAGAGCCTTCCTGTGCCTGGAAACCATCGATCGAAAGAGAACCCGCCGATTTGGGAAGAGCGCAAGAACAAGGTCAAGCAGGCGTTCCTGCACGCCTGGAATGCATACCGTCGCGACGCCTGGGGCAAAGACGAGTATCACCCGATCTCGAAATATGGATCAAACATGATTCGAAAGGGTCAGGGTTTTACGATTGTAGATTCGCTGGATACTATTTTGTTAATGGGACTCGAGGACGAGTTTCAAGAGGCCAAAACCTGGGTCAAGAACGAGCTTGATTTTGATCAGGACGGCGAGGTCAATTTGTTTGAGACGACGATTCGGGTTCTAGGAGGGCTGCTAAGTGCGTATGACCAGTCAGACCATGATCCAGTGTTCTTGCACAAAGCAGTCGATCTGGCGGATCGGCTGATGGGTGCTTTTGACACCCCAAGTGGGATCCCGTATGCGAGCGTACATCTGAAGGAGGGGCGAGGCGTACCTGGCCATGATCGTGGAGTCAGTTCGACGTCCGAGGTGACGACCTTGCAGCTGGAGTTCAAGTATCTGTCGTACCTCACGAAAGATGATAAGTACTGGAAGGCGGCTGAGAATGTGATGTTCAAGATCAAGGAGCAGGACAGTTTGGATGGACTGGTTCCTATCTTCATTAATCCATACACGGGACATTTCCAGGGTGGTGAAATCCGCCTTGGCTCTCGCGGGGACAGCTACTATGGCAAGCAGCGTGATGAATTCTGGCTTCTGTATCCTTCGTGGGACTTTTCCAGTGCGCATGATCTAACGCTAATTACTTTTCCAAACAGAATACTTGATCAAGCAGTATCTTCAGACTGGAATGAAAGAGCCAATCTACAAGGAGATGTACGATCGTGCGATCGGGGGCGTCAAGAAACATCTCTTGGGTCGAACCATCCCCAACAACCTCCTCTTCGTCGGCGAGATCTCCAAATACGAGCCCACGAACCTCTCGCCCAAGATGGACCACCTGGTCTGTTTCCTAGGTGGCACCATGGCGCTTGCATCGACCGGGGGTGTTTCGCTGGATGACCAGACCTTCTCGCGCTCCCGATTCTCGAGGGCTCAGGAGGAGGACTTTAAGATTGGAGAGGAACTCACAAAGTCGTGCTATGAGATGTATCACCAAACGGAGACCGGATTAGCGTCCGAGATTGTATATTGGGTGCAAAAGCAGGAGCAGATCCGGGGCAAGAGCGCGTTGCAGCATACCCCTGGTTCGGACTTTATTATCAATGATCGCGATGGACACAACTGGTTGCGTCCAGAGACTGTTGAAAGTTTGTTCTATCTCTGGAGGCTTACTGGTGATGAGAAGTATCGGTAAGCTGAACACCCAACATCGTTTGCATGTGGTGCTAAACCAATGAATTGATATATCGCAGGAAATACTAACTAGGGTTTGGTTCTGTTGCGTTGTAGCCAATGGGGATGGGAGATCTTTGAGGCGATTGAAAAGTACAGCAAGGTCGCTTCGGGAGGCTACAGCTCGATCCATGACATTCGTCGGGCAAACAAGATCAACTTTTCTGACAAAATGGAGACATTCTTCCTGGCGGAGACCCTCAAGTACTTTTATCTACTGTTTGGTTCGGATGATGTCCTACCTTTGGACAAGTATGTCTTCAACACCGAAGCGCATCCCTTGCCGATTTTCACACCGCCCGAGGAATTCTTGGCCCGCACTGGCGGAGCTGGTGCTCCTCATGTTGGAGATTCTAAAAAGCTGAGCACAGAGGAGGAGCGGTGGTACAAGGATCTGCTCGACAAGGAGGACGGCGGTCTGGATGCAACTGCTAAAAGTGGTGACGATGAGGATGAGGAGGCAATGAGAGACGGAGATATCGGTGTCGAGGACATGGAGGACGAAGTCGCTGGTACGGACGATAGCCTCTTGTCCGAAACTATGAACGAGACGGGTGGCGAGAACTCTGAAGGAGAGCTAGAGCTGGTTGCTGATCCAGAGGCGGACGAGGATGCCGATGTTGAACGGGATGAAGTTGACCAGGGGCTGGAAGACCTGACTGTGGATGACGAGGATGAGGAAGCAGAGGAGGTGCCGGAAGTCGAGGTGGACTATGAAAACAGCGAGGGCGAACAGGAAGAGGGCGAAGAGGGTGAAGTGGGCGAAGAGGGCGAAGAGGGCGACGAGGGCGACGAGGAAGAAGGGGGAGAAGGAGAGGAGGAAGACGAGATGGATGGGGATTCTGAGCAGGAACAAGAAGGCGGAGAAGAAGAGGGTGAAGATGATGAAGGCGTCGAATATGGTGGGGAAGGCGATGGACAGGAGGAGGAAGAGAATCAGGATTCGGATCGCGATTTATTGTAGGAACTCGTAGTTCGTGTAAAAACATAATAGGAAACACGTAATATTCAACCATTTGCACGCATGTACACATTCTCCACTACATTCATCCAGTTGTAACACTAGAAGAAGCAACAGTTCACAGGGAGGGGGAGGAGAGCATAAAAGAGACCATCCTTTGTGAACTCGCCAACAGACCTATACCTTCTTATTCTCATTCCTCAAGCGTCCAGCCTAGACGGCGTCACAGTGCACCGAGAGGGCGAGCTGTGGCTTTGATACACTTCGTCGACTCTAGACAGCCGTGAGAGAGTTTTGTCCGCACGCCCGTCTCTTCAAGATCACCATCTCATCCATGAACTCATCCCGTTCAGGTTAATAAGATATATTCTTTGACAAATCCTCTCTGCACCGAAGGGTTCTCGCGCTGCGAATGGATTTCGACGCAGTTGGTCTGTGCATGAACGTCTGTTTCAGAATAATTAACACCGATCGTGCCTTAACGCCCTTGTTCTTGCTGTTGTTTTACACAGGTTCGAGTGTTTTTAAAAAAAAAAACACGCGTCTATTTGCGGAAACGGCGACCGGAAAGGGTGGGTCCACTGGAATAAATTATACGTGGTTTAAGAGTCTCAACTACAAGCAACAACTCTTCAAGCATATCCTTTCCTCCTTCACTATATATCAATATCTCCACATTTAGCCGGTGTCAATATAACCCATGTATCGAAGCCTAGAAGTCCCAAGCTGTCAGTTTCGACAGAGCTCAGCACCAGAGGGCATGTTTATAGAGCCGTTCCAGAGGCGATGGCCGAGGTTGAATATGCCAGAAGGCTGGAGTAGGGAGTCATACTGTCATTATCCCCGTGTCAACGGCGAGGTTAGTTTTGAATACTCTGTCTTTCCTTGTAAATGGTATGATTCAACATGGGTATCCAATGAGTCCCTGGAATGAAGCAGCGCGCAAAACAGGAAAAAAAAAATTCTTTTTTCATAATCGATTTCCAGTCTCTTGTTGGTGCCCGATCTAAGACAAAGTACGGAACTCGCTAGATGATCACAGCATTCAATGTAGTAGTAGATATCGCCAGCCCGTTTCTACTGTCTTTCTGGCCGATTGGCTTACCGAGAGTAAGGCTGGTTATCGGCCTCCAGATGACTATCGACCATCACACCACCATTTTGGACGCCATTCAGCGTCTCGATGGGCTCATACAGCCCTCGTTCTAAACTGCGATGCGGTATTTCATGACAGTCGCTACAAAGAGCAAGAAGCGCAAGATGAGTACTATAGCCAAATTCATTTATTGATGTCTTCCCCAAGACCACTCGAGGATGGCTGGTTGGCTTGAACCTGGTAAACGTCTTTTTCCGCATCATGAGGGATGTCACTCCCAGCTCCGCATCCTCTACAGTTCGACAGTGATATTCGGCTATTCTTAAACATGGTAAGGTCATACATCCCAGGGTAAATACAAACGCTTCGCAAACCAATGCCAATCTCACGTCCTCAACGCGTCCAGAGGGGCTATTTGGTGAGATTTTCACGTACAGAGCGCTATCAATCTTTGTTTTACTAGTCGATATACTGCAGAGCCGACGTTTTATGGGTCTATCGACAAGGTGTAAATCGAGACTCTGCATCGATTACTGCGCCCCCAATACGGTGACCAAGCGCAATGCGACGATGCTTCTAATGATACTCCAATCTCTTGATCGAACTATAGGATGAACAGTTTCAAAGCTTGATGCAGAGTCAGGCTACAGCCGGATTTTGGGGGCAAGGACTCTGACATTGAGACGACTTTTAGGCCTCGATGGAGATGTTCAGCCTGCCATGTTTTCAATCCTTTGCTTTGTATTACTCTTCCGTTGTACCAGAGTGTGTATCATTACTCCACTTGATAGAAATCGGCACTGTATGCGTTTTCTACGATTTTCCTTATGCCCCATTTTGGAAGATGTCCACGAGTCCTCTGACCGGTGCTGATGTCCAGTGAATGTGGGTCTGAAATGAAGCTGATAATGTGCTAGGGCCTTTCTGCGGACTTGAAATGCGACTGCGAAGGTTCTGTGATGGTGGGAATGAAATGAGAGCGAACAAGAAAGTTGTGTTCGAGCGCGTTCTATTTTTTTTTTTTTTTTTTTTTTTAGTTAGCCGCACTCAACAGGGGAAAGACGAGGAAGTGATTGAGGTTTAGTCATCTGTATTTTGAGTAAGAAACAAGGGCTCAGTGCAAGCTGAGAAAGTGTGGAGTAAACGGAGGAAGGGGGGAGTTGGGTTCGCGGGCATATGAAAGACAAGTCCGAGTTGTTTGTTACACAGACCAGTTGTCGACAGCACAAAAGAGTGCGGAATAAACATCTGCTTGGTGCGAGCGAACGAGCGAGCGAAATGCGGGGTATTTCTATTCGAGCCTGTTATTTCAACCAGTAATCTACATGGGTGTGTTGTGTGTTGCTGGACACAAAGGAGGGGGGGAGGGGAGGAAACACGTATGCGAGATGAACAAAGAAAGGGAGATGGGGACACACACACAAATATACACACACACACACATATACCATGGACGCACTATTCCCGTTCAACAAGATATGCCCATATCGGAAATTGGCATGTGAATAATGCATGTTCAACCCAAGGTGAAACAATCCGTTGCCTTTTTGGTGGATCTTGTCCCTCTGTGGCGCTACCCCGAGGGCCACACTGCACTATGCCATTCGTGCGCGGAGACCAGGTCCGAGATGGAAATCCAATCCCCCCTCCTGCCCCTAGTTTATACCCGAGACATTTTGCTCTCCCTCTGTCTGTCCGAGGGAACCAAGGCAGGGACCGATCATCCGCTGCTCCGTCCCTCTTCGGGGCCCCTTCCATACATGGCCAATGGTTATGGCCATGGTTATAGCTGTGGCAGGTGGTTAATGGGCGCCTGGAGAGACAGCATTGCGGCATACGGCTGACGATGATGATGAGCGCTACCTTCGGTGCACACAGAACAGCGAGGGACACATCAACAAACAATGCAGACCAAAGGAGGAGGAGCACTCCCTATTCCCTATTTCTTTCTCTCCCTTCTTCTCTTTCTTCTTCTTCTTCTCTTTTCCTCTTGATTGTTGTCTTCCCCATCCTCCCCTCTCTCTTCCCCCTTTCTCACGTATCACTCCCAACCCTCTCGTACATATACTCCAGCAGCAGCATCATGTCCAGCCAAATCATCGTCGTCGGAGGTGGTCTCTCCGGTCTCAGCGCCGCTCACACTATTCTCGAGCACGGCCTCAATGTCCTTGTCATCGACAAGAACGCCTTCTTCGGAGGAAACTCGACCAAGGCCACCTCCGGAATCAACGGTGCCCTCACCAAGACTCAGATCCGTAAGTTATCTTGTCTGTGTTTGTCTTTTGCTTTTGCATGGTGTTCTGATGGTGGTGTGCTCTCTTTGCTGTCGCGTCACGACCTGGAGTGTCATGAGGCCATCAGATTAGAATAGTTCTCTACGGAGACGTAGCAAAGGATGCAATTCCCTTCGGAGTGAAGCATGTCCGGACGTGTTTCCCTTCTACCAGCTGTTGTTTTTTTATATGTTTATACGGGGAAAATGGAAGCAGGGAATTCCATGGGAAAAAGGAGAGCGGAAGTGAGACAGGCTTACGCGTGATGTTACGGGTGATGAGTGCTTGTGGGAATGATTCTACGGATGAAGATGTCTGGTGAATGAGTTTCATCCCCACAGTGGTCCGTTGACGAGAACCAACTCCGCCATATGATATATATTTTTTTGTGGAGAACGGGCTTGCAGCTTCGACCGAGGGAATCGAGAGCCCTACTCCCTTTTTCCGAGCAGAAAACAACCGAGTGACCGTCAAGATGGTACATGGTGTGCATGGCTGCATAGTGTACACTGCATGGCGCATGGCGTACATATGGGACGGGAACAGGGACAGGGACAAGGGGCTGGCAGCAGAAATGAGAAAGTGGGAGTCGCAGTAAACAATAACCACCTTGACTAACATGGTCCTAACTTGTTATCGTACTGTCTTCCTCTCACAGAGCTCGGCATCAAGGACTCCGTCGAGGCTTTCTACGATGACACCGCCAAATCTGCTCGTGATATGCTCCGCCCTGACCTCGTCAAGGTCCTGACCGGCCGATCTGCCTCTGCCGTCGAGTGGCTCCAGGACAAGTTCCAGCTGGATTTGTCGCTGGTCTCCCGTCTCGGAGGTCACTCCTTCCCCAGAACCCACCGTGGCAAGGAAAAGATGCCTGGTATGACTATCACCTACGCTCTTATGGAGACCATCGAGGACCTCAGCGTCTCTCAGCCCGACCGCGTCAAGCTGATCAAGAAGGCCCGTGTGACCAACCTGATCAAGGAGAACGGCGCTGTCGTCGGTGTCGAGTACGAGTATTTGAACGAACCCGGCAAGAAGGTCCAGGCCTGGGGCCCCGTCGTCCTTGCCACCGGAGGATATGCTGCCGATTTTAGCAGCGATTCTCTCCTGAAGCAGGTATGCGCCGAGGCGATATTAATCCATTTCTACTGAACATCGATTGCGTATTGGCCATCAGTGTATTAGTCATATTAACCATCTGACCATTCATGCAATTGCACAGTACCGCCCCGATCTCTGGGACCTGCCCACCACCAACGGTGACCACACCACCGGTGACGGTATCAAGATGACCCTCGCCATCGGAGGCAAGACAATCAATATGGAGAAGGTCCAGGTCCACCCTACTGGCTTGGTTGACCCCAGAGAGCCCGATGCCAAGGTCAAGTTCTTGGCTGCTGAGGCCCTCCGTGGTGTCGGTGGTCTTCTGCTGCAAGCCGATGGCAAGCGCTTCTGCGATGAGCTCGGTCACCGTGACTATGTCACAGGCATGATGTGGAAGAACAAGTTCCCTATCCGCTTGGTCCTCAACACTGCTGCTGCCAAAGAAATCGAGTGGCACTGCAAGCACTACGTCGGCCGTGGTCTGATGAAGTACTTCAAGAACGGAGAGGAGTTGGCCAAGGAGATCGGTATCCCCCCATCTGAGCTGAAGAAGACCTTTGACGAGTACAACCTCATTGCTGAAGGCAAGGCTAAGGACCCATGGGGCAAGAAGTACTTCCATAACATCCCAATTAAGATGGATCAGGACTTCCACGTTGCCCAGATGGCTCCAGTTCTTCACTACACCATGGTATGTTGCCGCTATACGCTTTCAGTTCTTGGCCTCATTGTCTCCATGCTATACCTACCTACTAACAGCTGTTATCAATGATGTCTTTATCAAACAGGGAGGAGTTGATATCAATGACGAGGCCAGCATCAAGGATTTGAGCGACAAGGCCATCCCTGGTCTCTTTGCCGCCGGAGAGATGTGCGGAGGTGTTCACGGTGCCAACCGTCTCGGTGGTTCCTCCCTTTTGGGATGCGTCGTCTTTGGCCGTACCGCTGGTGACTCTGTCGCGAACTACGTAAAGTCCAACCCCGTCATCGGATCTGGTGCCAAGGCTGCTGCTGCTGCTGCTGCTCAGACCATCTCGCTCCCTGGAGGATTCACAACCTCAGTCACCGTTGATCCCCAGAGCCAGAAGATTAACCTCGAGATCAGCTGGGGCGGTGCTGCCAAGGCCGCATCAGCTCCATCAGCACTTGCTGCCCCCGCTGCGGCTGAGGCACCTAAGAAGTTGCCAGCGATCTCTGCTGCCGAGGTTGCCAAGCACAACACACCCGAGGACTGCTGGGTCATTGTCAACGGCCAGGTGCTGGATGTGACAAAGTTCTTGCCCGACCACCCCGGCGGAAAGAAGGCGATCTTGATCTTTGCTGGTCGCGATGCTACAGAAGAGTTCAACATGTTGCACAAGCCCGATGTCGTCGAGAAGTATGCGCCCGAGTCCTTGATCGGTGTCCTAGACACGAACGGCCTGCCTGCACGTCCATCCAAGATCTAAAAGTGTTGCTGGTGTGTAAGGGAGGATAGACCGAATTTCTTTCTTTTTTGCTCTTCAGCTGTGCTTTCTGTACCTAGTTGTCCATATACTATTCGCAATGTAAACTGCTTAAAATAAACGCCATCGTTTGCCTACAGGCATCGGTGTTGCTTGCTTGTATTTGAATGGTCCTATCATCCTTTTTGAAAAAAAGGGCCGAGAAAAAAAGCAAATGGAGGGAAAAGAGCAAAGGGTAAAAGATCGTACTTAAGGAGCAACACCGTAGGAAAGAATCAATAGAGTTCGTCAGAAAGTCGCGTCGTGGGCGCAATATATTTTTTCGATAGCTCTTTGAATCCAATACCATTGCCACCAATCTGCATCCATCCTCATCCCATCCTACACCCATCCTACACCCATCCTACACCCATCCTACACCCATCCTATCCTCCTCCTCCTTCTTCCCCATTTCCTCTTCTCTGTCCTCAGCCCCATCTTCATCTTCATCTTCATCCTCATCTCTGCAAAAACAACCGGGTTACCAAAACGAGGTGGTATTCTCTTCAATCCAAATTATAAATTATATTGCATCCGCAACTTTTGTGGCGAGATCTCTTGCTCCCGTCAAATGCAGCTTGTGCTTGCTTCCGCCCTATCATCAGCTCATCCTTATCTGACCCTGGGCCAGGATAGATCAATTTCTTGACTCCTTGACGCGCGGGAGGAGGGGGGACTACCTGAAGTACGTTTGCTTACGTAGCCAGTAATGCTACATAAACCTTGACGCGTCGGACCAACGCGTCTCTTTTTCCGCGTAATCGGGCATTTAAAGTCCACGCTTGTCACTTTTCGTCGACCGTCGTGTGTAATGCATGTCCTGCCTTATAAGTCTTTAGGGCGATTTATGTCAGCATAATGCATCTCTTGGCATCTTTGTCATGGTTGGCTGCCTGTATGTGCAGCCACCTACCTAGGTCCTAGTCGATAAGATAGACAAGAGCGCAAACATGTTACACCCAGCAAGTTATCCGACTGTCCATTATGGTTGCAATGACCAACGCTGCCCGGTTATGTTTTTGAGTGTGGTACGCGTTCGGGAAGATCGCTCTGCGCAATAGCTTGATAGCATGAGTATGGCTATTATGCGAGGCGCATGTCCTAGATGCGCTCGCGTTACCCAGCATCTCAACACCTTGGCTTTCTACCGTGTGCTTTTAGCGCCGTTAATGCGATGGGGAGAAGCAATAAGAGGATGCGTAGACTATACTAGCAAGCTATTTTTTTTTTTTTTTTTGAGGATGACCTTGGCCATATTGAGTATAGAACTTGTTGATGCATTGCAACAGGCGGATCGCGACTCTATTTTTTAAAAATGGGTTCCCGAGTTGCGGCGCCCAGTGGGACAAGGCTAGAGGGCTTTCGATGGTATATTAGCCAACAACTCAAGCCGCGTCAAGATGATTTCATTGGCGCCTGTGAAAATCGCTGGGCGCTTCCGCTGTATCGTCCTCTGGCTCAACCACACATCATGCAAAAAAAAAAGTGATAGAAGAAAAGATCGAAAAAAGCCATGAGATATTTTTACGAGATGTATGCAGAGCTCAGAAAACAAAAGGGGCAGTCTACGACCTGCGACCTGTGCGTGCATTGGTCAACGTAACCCAGCCAATGATGCGTAATGACGGGAGAGGGGATTTCTGGGTTAAGGGTTAAGCATAGCATAGCACACGTTCTGGATTCCTTCGTGATATTCGTCCCCACCCCTTTATCTGCACAGGCTTTTTTCTCTGTTGGGAGAGAACATGTAGACCTATGCTGAGCTCATCCCCAGAACGCGCCGTCAATATGTTGCTGTAGAAGTGCGAGATGTGCGAGATGTGCGGGATGATCTAGATCCTGCAACTCGACCACTATTATGCCTCTTCTTTTCCTTCACGCGAATGTCCTAGGGATTATTGGGTCGTAGGACGACCTGTGCCACCCCCAGGAATGCAATCAATCCACACCCCCCATATCCATTGTTCATGCGGCCCTATAGCACTGATGGATGCATTTATGCACTCTTCTGTACTGGACGTTCCCTTGTATAAATACGCGTGTCTTCTCGCTTCACATTTCTTGTTCTCCATCCGCTCTCCAGTTTCCAATTCACTCTCCAAGCACAACTCCTCTGCTCTACAAAAAAACACAAGAACACACTCCGAGTATCCAGCATGCTGTTCGCCAAGGCCATCGTCGCTCTCACCTCTGGTACACCGCTGGCCTCATCACCTTGCCTGGCCCGCCTGCACAGCTTTGATCAGTATCCATGACAATACTAATTTCGAGCACCATCTTTGCCCGTATCGCTTTTAGCCGCCGTTGTCATGGCCGCCTGCCGTCAAGACCGCTTCGGTTCCAGGTGGGGTCTGAGCCGTGGTCGGATGTACGACAACATGATGATGGATGGTCTCCGTTGCAAGTGCGACAACACGGGCGTGCACGACGATGAGGTCTGGACGAACAACGAGTGCAGCGCCCTCGGCAAGGAGGTTAAGTGGTGCTACGGTGCGGCTGAATTCTACTGCGAGACCGGAGACAGGGGCGACGAGTTCCGAAAGCACTGTGCCAGTCGCGGCAGTACTTGCTACGCGGATGATTGCTAAATTGTTAGATGAGGCACGAAAAGCAGCATTTGAGGGGCGATCCAGAGCTGGTGTTTGTGAGATGACGGATGGTCGATGATGGATCGTGGGTCTGCTTTGTGGCATCTAACATGTACAGCCGGCTCTTTCTAAAGATAATATATATAAAGGAAGTAGTTTATCTACAACAGAAACGATTCAATCGGTCCCAAGGTTGAGACTTCATGATGAAAGAAAATGTTCTATAGAGTGTAAAAGAAGCTCTTCTTTGGCCCTGACCATATGAAATATTTCCTGTACGCAGAGATATTGTGCATAAATAGGAAGACCAGTCTATCTTGTGAAGGAACCGTGTACAGTGGTTTGGCAAACGCGTTTCTTCAATAGACCTTGAGAAGCTTGCAATGTCTTTTTACACATTGAAACGAGCTTCTGTGTGTCGCAGTCCTGGAGCTGCCGGAAGAATGTCATTTGCTGCATAGCCTTCACTGCTTGAGTGATACTGTACTCGGATCGCACAGCAACATCATCTTCAGTTGCTCCCAGTGACTCGCTGACAGGCTGTCTTATCTCATCAACAATGTTCTTGTCCGTTGGTATATATGACACCTCCTGTTCATCTAGATGATTTAATAAGAATGTTACTGACATCAAGTCCTGACATGGCATCCGTTGAAGAGTGGCATTGAGCTGGTCGATAGCATTATCATCATCGACATCGCTGTTTGGTGTGTCGCTGTCACTTGTTGAGCGCATTTTATATTTTTTGAAGCAGCTGGCGATATTTGTGTCTTTCACCTCATCCCAAGCTTGCACTGCTATTCTAATTCTTGTGAGGATGTTGATCCTTTCAGGTCTTTCGATACCATTCTCAAGGTTGCTCAGAAGCTGTTCAGAGAAAATGAAGCCTGTATCTCACCTTAAATGACCTGACGATACCAGCATCCATGGGCTGAATCTTGGAAGTCATGTTGGGCGGCTAGCAAACTTTTGTGTTCGATAGTTGTGGGAGATTAGCCTGTTTTCCATATGCACTGCAGTTGTCCAATACCCAATACTCTGCGGTTCCCTCTGCCATCAGTAGCATCACACTACGCTGCGCATTTGCTCCGAAGGGATTTGTCAATTGAGGTAACAATTCTAACTTACATTGCTTTTCTGATCTGCTGGCTATAGTTGATGGTGGTCACCGCGCTGTCTTCCGAATCGATTGTCGCCCATTTTAACGCTTCTCAGCCCATCACTCAACGTGGCCGTGTCTCTCGTTTGGTTCGTGAGAATTTGATCAAGCGCGCAGCTCGCTTCAACATTGTCCTCGATGATATCTCTATCGTCCATATAGCCTTCTCGCCAGAGTTTACTCAGGCTGTCGAGGCCAAGCAGATTGCCCAACAAGAGGCTCAACGTGCTGCTTTCGTTGTCGACCGCACCATTCAGGAGGAGTAGTCGATCATTGTCAAGGCTGAGGGAGAGGCCCGTTCTGCCGAACTTATCGGTGAAGGTACGAATCAGGGCATCATTCTTTAGTGTTTTTTTTTTTTTACTGTGCCTCTTTTCTATTTGGCATTCTTGAAGCAGCACCATTGATATCTACTATGGTATCTCATCCTCACTATAGCCATCAAGAATTAGCCTGGTTTCATTCAGCTGTGGAAGATTGAGGTCGCTCGGGAGGTTGCTTCTATCATCTCTCACTCTTCTAATCGTGCCATGCTCGACTCTGACACTTTGTTGTTGAACGTCAACGAACAAAAGTAAGATACCGCACTATTACCACAATTTCGTCTTCTGTTCATGGGGTCGAGGGCGATTCTGACAGTGCCTTATATCTTTATCTGTTTTGAAACGCTATAGGAAGGACGAGTCGAGGGAGGACCATATAACACCGAGCTGTTTTTTTAGAACCGCATTAAATGCTGTGAAATTGTACATTTATCATGATGTTCGATGACCTCCGTCCTTTTGATTCTTGAAAAATGGAACCACGATATAAGCGAGTCTGGAACCAGTTACTTTAGGCGCAAAAAATCAGGCTGCAGCCAGCAGCATGCCATCCAGAGTGCCGCGGGAAACTGGTCATATTGGCCTTTCTGACCAAAGGATGGTCTATTTTGGCGCAGCATGTTCGTGCATATTTGAGAACAGTGAGGGTCCAAACAGGGAGTAATGGCGACTATCATTTCATTTCAAGGGGATCGTATTGTTGAAAACGGTTGAGTTTAAGAGCGCAAGACACCGCGAACCAGGCCATCATCACCGACAGGGCCCCTTTTGTTCCAACTGAGCCAGAACCCGAAAGGACTCAATCATGGCAGAACGGCATCTGCACCTGCGACGCTTCAGGACGGGACCAAGACATCCCGTCGACGCACAACGCGTTCGCAGTCGACGCGGCCCTCGTAGAAGGTACCGCAGCATTTACTCGCAGCGCCAAAATCAGCCAACAGCCCGTCCTTCTGTTTTGCGTCATCCACCCCAACAATCACCCATCATGATGCACCCGATACCTTGTCCCCGACTTCAGCAGAAATCAATGATACGATAGCTTTACCGGCCTCAACAGCGTCCCCTTCACCCCAAAGGTTGCCCTTACAACACTGAGTAAGTGTCGCAGGATGACGTAGTATTCGACTAAGTGGGCATTAGCAAGCCGCTGGCGGCGCCGTTTCAGGAAGGCAGCAATCATTCGACAGTTCTAGTCATCCTCCTTTTGGCTCTATATATTCTCCAGCCAGTCCTGCGTAGTCTGATTCAAGTCAATCGCATTCGGCACAGGGGTCTAGATCGTCCTGGTTCATGAAGTATCGACATGCAAGAGTGCGTAGTCGGTCGACTATGGAGGGCTTTGCGCGGCCGAGTCCTCTGTTTTACATATTGGATACAGTAACTGTGCCCCAGGAGCCCATAACGCCTAGAAAAGCAGCGGCGGTGATGGTAGCCTCGGCAGCCGAGAATGCAGAACTCGAGAGACGGGTGCAGTAACTTACATACTTACATGAGTCCGATTTCATCCAGCACAATAGTAAGGGAGGCGGGCGATTCCTGTATGGTTCTCGGCATTGTTGGTCGTAGGACGATCGATCCTCTATTTTTTATCCAGTTCATCGTGGGGAATGACATGATGTTTAAAGAGACTTGGGTTGCTTATTGGTACACCATATCATACTCATACGTTTTACTATAGTATTAAAGAAAAGAAGAGGTACTCGGCGATAATAAAACTATGGTAATGGATTGTTCGTGTTCTCCTTGTGACCTTGCGATGGAGCTCTTTATTGCGAACAGATGTGAATGTTGCACAGGTGCTCTGGGGGTCAAGATCTATGTGATGCCATCGAGGCTGTGCACCACGCGGGCCAGATATACGCGTCGATCACTATGTCCTTTCGATGCAGTGCGAGCACCAAGTGCAAACCCATTATGCTGCTGACAAAGCTTTTCTTGCTATTTCACATTTTCATCGTTTGGTTCAATCCTCACTCTTTATTTCATTTTCACATTGGCTTTTGCTGACTCTAGGGTATGGGGTTTGAAGCTACACAAAGAAGAGTGAATTGGCTTGCCATCAGTCAATCTTACTTAAAAAAGTAAAGACTGTGCAGGGTACACCGCGGGCAGGTTGCAAGCCATGGCACCCCAGAAAAAAACCCACAAGGGAAAAAAAAGATCGGCCTCAGATACCTTCATTGGCTTTTCTTATTTTATTACCTTTATTTACTTAACTTTTTGGACTGGAGTAACTTACTTGAGCGGATAAAACTTTCTTGAGCGGATAAAACTTTCTTGAGCGGATACAACTTTCTTGAGCGGGTACAACTTTCTTGAGCGGGTACAACTTTCTTGAGCGGGTACAACTTTCTTGAACGGGATATCTTTGGTCTTCGATGCTTACTTTTTCTTTGTCTTTGTCTTTGTCATTATCATTGTCTTTGTCTTTGTCATTTTCCTTGCCGTTGCCATTGTCGTTATCATTATCATTGTCATTGTCATTGTCATTGTCATTATCATTGTCATTATCATTGTCATTATCATTGTCATTATCATTGTCTTTGTCATTGTCTTTGTCATTATCATTGTCTTTGTCATTGTCATTGTCATTGTCATTGTCTTTTTCTTTTTCTTTCTCACTGCCATTGTCTTTGTCTTTGTCTTTGCCTTTGTCATTTTCTTTGTCTTTGTCTTTGCCTTTGTCATTTTCTTTGTCTTTGTCTTTGTCTTTGTCTTTGTCTTTGTCTTTGTCTTTGTCTTTGTCTTTGTCTTTGTCTTTGTCTTTCTTCTTGTTGCCCTTGTTTCCCTGTTCTTTCTTTTTCTTTCTTTCTTTTTTTTTTTTTTTTCCTTTCATGCCATGTCATTCTTGTTTCGTCTCCCTTCCGTGTACCTACTTTAGCTTTTCTCATTCAACCATTAAACGAGTGTACAAGAATACGTGAGAATGTGTACGAGTGTTTGTGTGCAAGTGTGCGCAAAGTGAAGGGCGGAATACGAGATGATTTCGTGCGGCAGATGCGGCGAATGGATTGTGATATGGAAGATACAAAGTGGAAATCGAAGAGGTGTAAGAGTGGGAAGATGAAAGGCGAAAAGGGGAAGTAGGTCTTTATTTGTGTCACTTACTTTCTTGGTGGTCCGTTCGCTTGCCGCCATGGATGCGCCCTAGATACATTGATGTGCAAGAGAAAAAAGAAGAAAAGACAAAACAACAAAAAAATAAAAAAAAATAAAAAAAAAATTAAAGAACGAAAGAAAAGCCCTCCGTATATCAGACAGTCTTTGTATTCATTGGCGATCTGGAGATGCCTTGAGAAATAGAGCTGTTCATCATGTCACGGAAGGAAAGCAGCTCCACAAGAATAAGCAAAATGCGTCTTGGCTGGCCCTCAAATGTTGGTCAGATAGCCTGTACCCAATAGCGATCCAACGTAAAAAACGCGAACAGCAGCACAAAAATCCCTCTGGCCAAGGAAACAGCTCTAAAAGGGGACAATGCGCCAAGAAAAAACCACAAGCCCGTGGAAAAAGAGAGGCTCAAACTCAGTGGCCAATACCCAAAGCTGTCCCCCGGAACTCTCTCTTTTTTTTACTTCAGCCGTTGGATCTGACCACATATGGAAGGCCATCATGTCCAGAAGAAACGTGGAGCCCTCGTCTCAAAAAGAGCGCAATCTGTCAATCAAAAGCGCATCTTCCTCTTTCCGCTCTCTGGGGCTCGAAGCACTCTCACCCTTATTCATTGAAATCCCCACCCAAAGTACCAAAAAAGCAAAATAAAATAAAAAGTAAAAGCAAAAGCAACAGCAGAACAGACAAAAAAAGGGCCAAAGAAAAAGGGTGGCAAATGGTCACAAGCGTGTTTTAACCAAATATGGTGGGCAGCTGCAAGACAAACTCGTGTTTTCACTTACCTCGAGGTCGCATTCGCAGCAGGAGATACCTGAGCACCAATCAACTGCCACAGTCTGCAGCCCTTAAATGGTTGGCTCTTGGAAGAGGAGACCAGGCACCTAACGATAGCAAGAGAAGCAAATAAAGAAAGAGAAGGAACAGGAGGAGAAGGGGAGAAAGAGAGAGGGAGAGAGAGAGAGAGTATTAGAAACAGTTGACACAAGGGACTCGCTGCGTGAGTGAATACGTGAGTGAAATACAGGTGCGGAGGGACAAGACTGAGGTGGACGAGAGTGGGAGAGAACAGCGAGAAAGAAGGGGCGAGAGACAGCAGAAGTGAAGGACTGAGAGTGAAAGTGGGAGCAACTGCAGCAGGGGTAAAGGTGGAGGAGAAGGAAGGAGCTTACCTTGAAGACCGGACGAGAGAAGATGAGGAAGAGAAGAGAGAAGAGAGAAGGGAAAAAAGAAGAGGGCTTCGATAGACAATCCCTCCTCGACAAACGGCAAACGTCATCGCTGCTATCTGCAGTGAAGAGCGTCACCGAGCAGCCCCTACCGCTGCAGTCTTTTCGGACCTTTCACATGAGAGAAAAGGATATAGTGGGCGATAGACAAGTACGGAGACAGTGGACAGAGACAAGCAAGGAGATAATGGTGGCAAAATAAATCTGACCGGTGACCTATCGGGACACGAAATATACTTTGGTGGTAAGGTAGCCCGGCCTTGGCAGCAGGAGAGCGAAGAGAGGGAGAGTGAGAGTGAGGGGAGTGAGGATAAAAGGATGAAAGAAAGAGAGGATGAGAGAAAGAGAGAAAGAGAGGTCTCCTTTGATGAGCATACAAGCGTAGAATAGATTGTAAGCAATAGACAGAAAAAACATAGCAAAAGTAGTGCCACCACAAGAGTATCTTTTGTAAGTGCAGTCAGCACGTCTATTTAAGCAACCAAGGATGTACTTGGGAGTGCACAAGGATAAAGAGGCATAAGACACGGGAACAAGCAGCAAGGAAGAGAACGAGTGAAACAAGGAAAAAGCGGCTACAGCGACGATGATCATACAGGTCACATACAGCATACTATTCTTCGCAGCGTATGGGCAAACAATGGTCCTTAAGACAATACGCCGTGATTATGTCGGACTCGGACCAAATTGTCTATTCCAACGTAACCACTGCTGGCTGCATTCTCCCAGCTTTTTTCTTATTCATCAAGTGCTCATATACGGCTAGCTGCATCCACTCCTTACGAAAATCAGCCTGCTACAGACAACACCACCAATAGCCACGTCGTAGTTGCGGACAGCAGCACTGGAGTGGCAGGAAGGGCTGTCAGCAACGACACACGCGTCCCTCTCCAAGCATTGTCCATGTTTATGCGCATACTCTGCAGCACTTCATTTCTTCCTTATTTGTGTAACCACACGAGAAATCTGCAGTCGTGGTAAAATGGGCATAGTCCATAATTTCGACGAAATCTGAACCCAAACCTTGTTTTAGATGCCGTTGCAGCTTACGACCTTCAGAAGAAACAGAGAAAGGGGATGATGCCGCTGACGACAGAAATCATTGTCGCCGGTTTGCACCTGCTTTCAAGGCAAAAAAGAGCGGGCAAAATACCGACACAGCTGCAGAGTTTCCTTTGCGCTGACACGTCCTTAAGAGCTACATCCTCTCCCTTAATCTCCTTGTTTGGCTCAGGACTATGAAATATCTCACTTCAACCAAACGGACAAGACATGGCTAAAAGAACCTTTTTGTTTCCTATTTATTGTCAGACATGCTGCGATACAAGGGCTAGAAAACCTAATCTCGCGCTCCCCCACTACCCTCGCTTCTTGACGCGCCTGATCCTGTCCACACGTTCCTCCCACCGCTCTCCAGCACCATGACTCAGCCTCACGATGATATTTGTCGCCTGTTCCCTCGTCAATCGCTTATACCCCCCAATATCAAAGCCCAGCTGTCTCAATCTCTGCAATTGCACCTCGGTCGCTGTCAAGTATCGCTCACTCACCTCCCTTTGAACACTTCTTAGAGTGCCTTCGCCCACATTATCACTAATCCACCGACTCGCTCCACGCAGACATCCCTCCAACGTACCCGACGTGATCATCGTATCCGTCTCAGCGTATCTTGCATCTCCTGCATGTACGATCAACTCACTCTTTCGTGCCCTACTCGCCGCTCTGCTGTCGTAGTCCTCATCAGCGCCTGTCAAAGCTACTCGAATCAAAGCTCTGATCCATCCCAAAAACGACTCTTCCTCCCCATCGTCTTCGCCCTCAGGCACGAGCTTCTCAAACCGAAAAAGGCCATCAACGTTCGACTGTTGGATTCTGAACTTGACAAATCCGCATGGGAGCAAGTACTCTCCATCCCTATTATTCACCCGAACCAATGGGGTCGCCTTCCGTGCGTCAGGGGGATACCACTGCCGTCTCCAATGAGCCGATATGAGTTCTCGTAATCGCCGTATAGATCTGCGTCGAGGGCATGTCCTAACGCGGTTGCGCGACCGGTATCATCATTTACAGGGAATGGCATGAAAGCTGGTCCATTCGATTCGTTGTGATCCTCCTCAGCGAGAGCCTGTAGTCGCCCCTGCTCACGGAGCACACCTGCGAGTGCGAGTGACCTGAGAGCTGCCTCATGCCCATCCCGGGACAATAGACCAGTCGGAGCTTGAAGTCCCATAGGGTGCGATGATGGAGCAAAACGTACCCTCCGGTGGTTATAATGTGGATGCGGCCTTGATATCCTGGGAGGCGGTCAAATGAGGGACACGGCTAGAAGTCGCGAGGCTTTCTTTCCTGGCATGCGACTGTTCTCTGTACAGCGCAGTTCGTGGTTCCAGACGGGGGTTCAGATCTGGAAACAGAAGCGGGTATCGCTGGCTCAGCTGAATTGTGAGAAATATCTCCTCGCTGATGACCAGCATCGATGCGTCCTTGGTTTCCGTGCACTGCAGCCTCTTGATCGCGAATGAACTTAGAGTGAGAAGTGGGAGTGGATGGCGCGGACTTTGCTTTCTGTAATCAAAATCTCTTGATAAGCGGGCATTATCAGTGTCCTGCTGCTTTTCGTTCATCGTACTGCTTGAATCCCAGTGGGCTGCTAAGCGTGAGGCCAAGGCCGAAGTTGCAGGCCCCTGGTTCTTGGAAATGAAATCGTCGGGTAGGATGGCAGTGTCGTTCTTCTTTTGCTTTCGATCCACTGAAGCACTCGGCCCCTGTGTTGCACTGAGTTGAGCCTCAGAGCCAAGGATCGCAGGTCTCATGTCCTCGCTAGTGATATTGTTTGGCGGGTCGACAGAGTCGACTATTTGATAATCTTTAACGATGACCCCGTCAAAGACCCTTTCCGAGAAACGAGGGGCGGTATAGGATGGGGCTCCAGGTTAGCGCACCAGGTTAGCGCACCAATCGAATGGTTCAGGGCGCTGTCAACTTTGGGAGCGGCAATGCTAGGATGTGGATCTACCGTGGTCGATGAGGATATGAGCTCATATCTCTGTCTCAAAGTTCTCCAAGAGGACCTGCAGATGTCAGTCAATGAGTAGGACACGGCCAGAGATGAGTTCGTCTTCCAACACGACAGCGATCCGAAGCATATATCAAAGGCCACTCCGGAGCACTTGAAGCTAACGAATGCAGCAGAGGCGGGAGGAAAGTCTGTCTACTGGCTAGCACAGTTGCCGGATCTTGACCTGATCAGATACATGCGGCCGTACCTCAAGGTCCCTGTGAAATCATCCTACTTGTCCAAGAAGGTGCCAGGTGCCAGGGGGGCGGACATCAGTTGAGTGGTACAGGGGCATGCCAAGGAGGCTCAAGAGGGCCCACACAGTGAAGGGCGGCCAAACAAAGTGCTAGACTACCTCTCAGCCCCCAGAGATCCTCAGTGGAGTCTTATTCTGAACGGCACCTCCAAAACTGCTGCTTCGATGGCATTTGGCGAGATCATGATTTATCACGCAACATCAGTGAAGGATACAGTAACAGTATGATGGCTGACGAAGATGTTCGCCAAAGACATTGCTACCAAGGTGCAGACTCTGCCATGGTCTGGCAAAGGGTTGAGAAGAAAGTAGAAAGCAGCAAAACACTCAGGCGGTTTTGCACGGCACTGTAGTAAAAAGGGACAGAAAAAAGGATAGAAAATAAAAGGATAGAAAAAAAGGAGATAGAGAAAACAGAGGGGAGGGGGAATTCCAAACCAAGGGCCAGGAATGGCATGGCTAACATTCCGGATTCCAAAGAGGTAGTCACTCCCCCCCTGTTGGGAGAGGACACACAGGCTTATTCTGATCTCATCTCCGGAACGCGCCGTCGACATATCATCCTAGAAACTCGAGATGTGCGAGATGACCTTGATCCTGCAACTCGCTCGCCCTTCGCAGCAGCCCTAAGGATCTTTGGGTCGTAGGACGATCTGGGCCACCCGTAAGAGTGCAATAATTCCATGCCCCTCATATTCCCTCCTCATGCGGTCTTTATAGCATCGGTGGATGCATTCGCGCGCTCTCCTGTACTGGACATTAATTATTTTGTATAAATACGCGTGTCTTCTCGCTTCACATTTCTTGTCCTCCATCCGCTCTCCAGTTTCCAACTCACACTCCAAGCACAACTTCTCCGCTCTATAAAAAACACAAGAACACACTCCGAGTATCCAGCATGCTGTTCGCCAAGGTCATAGTCACTCTCTGCTCTGGTATGCCCTCAGCTTCATCACCTTGCCTGATCCATCTGCACAGTTTTGATCAGTATCTATGACGATACTAACATCGAACATCGTCTTTGCCTATATCGCTGTTAGCCGCCGTTGTTATGGCTAAACTCCGCTGCGTTTGCGAGCACGAGGGCTGGAACAAAAACGTTGACTTGAACAAAATCGAGGACTTGAACAAAGGCGATAGCTGGGACGGAGAGGATGGCTGGAACAAAGACGAGGTCTGGAATAAAGAGGAATGCAAGAAACTCGACAAGAGGATGAAGCGGTGCTGTGATTCGGGCGAGAAATACTGCGCGGCCAAAGACAAGAGCAACGTGTTTGAAATGGATTGCCACGCTCGCGGCAAAGCTCTCGGTAAAAATTGCTTCATTGATGAATGCTAAATCGTTGGCTGAGGAACGGAAGCTGCATTTTTGCGGCCATCCTGAGCTGACGCTTGTGAGATAATGGACGGTCAATGATGGATCGTGGATCCGCTTTGCAGTTCCCGAAGTACATACCCAAATAAAATAAACAGCGCTGTGCTTCGTGAGAATGCTTCGTAACCGTGCCACACATGAACCGCATGCTAGTTCCTTCACTCCTCCGCTGTTTGGTCGACACAGGAACATCAAGGCATTTCCCGGTTTCTAGTAACATGAACAAGGAATCATGCGAAGTCGTATGGTTCTATTGCAGTTTCCTTTATTCTTTTGGTTTGGCTGAAACTCAAGAGCATTAACACTCAGGATATACGGATGTGCCGACGTCCCTGTCTTGATTCAGATAATAGTTCATAGCTGCTTCTGACATGTCTGGAAACATACGCGTCATTATTGAGCGTAGAGCACAGCCTTGACTGTCGCCCCCGCTCATGAAAAGCCTATTTCGCTGACGATGGCGTCCCGATGGGTAGGCTGGTCCCGGCTGCAGGCCACATTGCACCAAGAAAGGAGGAAGCAGGTCTCGAAGGTGGAGCTATACAATTCGTCCCACGATTTCCTGAGAAGTCGTATGTGCCACTGGAGCGTTCGTCCTTCAATGGGGTCTTCGTGGCATGTCGCAGCCAAGAGTTGAGCAAGGTGATGTGGTACAATGCCTTGTACTCCTTGGCCAATCATAAACAATCATAGGGAATGCTTCGCCAGCATGAGCGCATGCTACGGACAGGATGTATCGCATTTTTGGTGCGCTATCGATTTTAAAAAAGTGAGTGACCACAACCAGCAGAATACGGTGATCAAGGAAATCATCGAACCTGGTCAGCCATCGCACGAGAGGCGAGGCATGTGTATCCGCTATCGCACTGACAGGGATCGTTGTCGACTGGTAGCTATCGCTCTCGGTGAAGGAAAGGTCCGTCAGATGCTGTTTAAAGGAACCCAAAAGCGCACTCTTCTGTCCTTTAGCATGTAGCTCAGCTCACTGCAGACTCACCTAATAAAAGGGACTCACGCTTGTCCGTACCGGTTGCATTACAGCACAACAAAATGGTCGCGACACTGGCGTCAAGGCTATCATCTATATCAGAAAGGCTATGGATCTCTATAGCTCTTGGCTGCACCGGACGCAAAAACATAGCTATTGCGTCATACGAGTAAATATCTTCCAGATTGTCGTTACGAAGGACAGTTTGTAGTTCTAGACATTCCCGAAGGTATGCATCACCGTTGCTAATAGGAGGAGCCTTGATAATATGCCGTTTTTGAATCCTTTAAGCCTCCCTGAAGTAAACTGACAATCCGGTAACGATGTCGACAGGGCGCTGGACGCCATCATGTGGATGTTAATGGCCTACGCTGTAATTTTCCGGTTAGATACTGGGATATCATGATCCAAGAGTCTGTCGATCCATGTCTTAAGGCCAGGTTCTATGGTATGGTTCGGAAGTTCGGCCATGCGTTTCGTAATCAGAGTCAGAGCAACCCGTTGGCTGTAAGCGTATTTCCAGACCTTGTCGTTTAAACGGATACGAGTCACTTTAATATATAATTTCAGATCTTTTGAATATTCCCTCATCATTAAGAGAGGCCGAGGGCCTCTTAATTTATTTTTAATTAAGTACAAGGAGTGTTAAACCGCGGTTCACTTGGCGTGAACCTCTGAAATATGTTAGTTTTTAAACCAATGGAAATATGATTCCGATTGAATCAGAAGGTATTCTAAAATATATTTGTCGGGGACTTACTGTCATGGACTCTACTAGGGAGTCAGTTTCTCGAGCCCTGTTTTTGTCTCAAAGGTATCCCTTGAACATGGCACTGCCCATCCATATTGCTTCCCTATTTGAGTAGAGCAATCTGTTTTGTTTAACGTTTATGGCAAGAGATGCGGTGGTCTAGAAGTAGAATTGAAAATGGCGAAGCGAAGGCCGCAACTTATATTTGGTTTCTTCTTCCATGGAGGCCAGGAGGATCGATTGATGTGCTTGTGAACACACTCATACTGCTGCACTTTGCCCATGGCCCCCTCAGATTACATACATAGCTCATTAAAGTCGCTCAGACCCACAGCCAAGGTGGTGTATCCGGCAAATGGCAGGCGACGCCTAATCGTCCATAGCACTCGCATTCGTTCATTCTCATATTTAATCGAGCGAAATCCTCACTCTCATTTCACAATCCTCGCTCTATTCGCAAAGCTCAACCGCTCCTGACATCCTACAGTAACAACGCTTTCCATTCCAGCTATGTCGCTCGCAATCAACTTTCATCGCATCATGCAGCAACAGCAGCAGCAGCAACAACAGCAGCACCAAAACCTGGTCGATATTCAGGCACAGGTCACAGTAGCACAAGACCAACACCAGATACACATCCTCGCAGTGCACCTGGCCAATCAGTTGCAAGTTCAAAACCAGGGTCAGCCTCAACCACAAACACTACTGCAGGACGAAAACCCAGTTTATCTTGAGGACACAGTGATCGATGTTGCGCACAACGCGGCATAGGTCCTGTAAAGGTGCTCCGCCCAACAGACAAGACTCTTCGCACTTTCCTCAGACGCAGGTCTTCATTGTCCACAGATCGAATATAAGAACGCCGGCTCTTGCAAGTTTTCCATAAAGCATATATATCAATAAAATATTCAACCATCCTTTTTATTCGATCTGTAGATCGTTTCTATGCCTTCCTATCTACTTCCATTCCTCATGGCCCATTCGAGACACTATCACAACGGGTCAGATTTGATGCAGTCTAGTAAACTGCAGAACCTATTCAGACTCTGCGCGGGATGCATTGTTGAGCCCATGACCTGAATATTGCAAACGAAGGAATGTCGATCGAGCAAGAAGGGTCTAGCAATCTACTCAGAATTGATAAGAACGCATTCAACAGTGTTTGTAATCAACATGTTCTGTCTCAGTGACCTTTCCCTTTGAATAGGACGCGATAGACGCGCAGTCCAGCGAGCGGCAAGGTTGCAGCTTTCATGTCTCCATGGTGAATGGATGCCTTCAAAATATCGACATTATTATTGGCATCCAGATTTTGTGCAACGGCATCTAATTTACAATTTGCGCAAAAACGACGAATGTCATGGTATAAACCGAAAATGAAGGCGTAGGATATGGATAGAAGAGGGTTAGAAGCTGGTGAATGAAGGCATGGCGAAATGAATAAGCTCAGGGACCACAAACTGCGTAGACTATAGATTAAACTATAGACTGTGCATTCAATTGGAGGGAACGCGCCAACTTTAAATTCAATTGCCAATTGAGTCCGGTAGTCCATCAGTGACAACGGAAGAGGAGCTGCAGCTTAACCCCACTTTTGCGTCTACGGTTCCTGTAAATATACTTTCCTTGCTTTTCTTTGCTTCAAGAGCGAGGGCTGTTTGTGTGGTATGATGCACGCTATTTTGTCCCTGTTAAGTCCTATTCAATCGTAGTGTACGTTTGAATTGATTTTTGTATCTGTGGGTGTGGGTGAGTAAAAAGGGGCGACGATGGCGGTTGCGGTTACGAAGGTGCTCATTTTGATTTGATCTGCGACAGCTGCATTGGGCCATTGTCGGACGTATGCAGTCTTTTGTCGAGGTGGTGATCCTCATTGTCGTATGTCTGACTACAGGCGATTTGTCCTACTGTCCTTCGGGATTTATTGTGAACGCGGTCGTTCCTTTCGAGTCCGTTGCTCTAGTCATCCGCTAATAAAATAATACTTAAGCATCCCCTCATCCCCGGGCTTTTTTTTTTCTTCTCTCGCTACCAAGCGTCATCGCCATCAGTACTATTGTCATCCCAGGAATCATTCAGAAACACCGGTCATTCCAATACACACATATTGGTTTCATATCATATTCACCATGTTACAAACAAAGCATGCCCCTCACGCTCACGTCGACCGTGGCGACTCAACCTGGGTCCTCATCAGCTTCGTCACATCCTCCATTCGCCCACGGACACACACCCCAACGATGCATCAATGTCAAGCACTTGCACTACAATCATGGCCCTTCAATCCTGTGGCAATACCATGGCAACGCCCCGGTCAAGTCGAACAGGACGCAAGTGCCTTGTTTTCCCGCAGAATGAAAAGATTTTGGGTGAAAAAGAGCGCCACCAAATTTAGAGCAACCACCACAACGGTTACGAAATCTGCAGTTCCGTGATAGCCCTCGTTCTTCCACCTAGTCTTTCCTTCTGGTCCTGGGAATATTATCCCAGATGTGCACCTCTGTAGATTGTATCTAATGTATTATGTTAAATAGCCAAGAAATTGGCAGTTGTTTCCAATTAAGGGACCTAGACCAAATGTCGTTTTGGGCCTCTTGAAATATTCGGAGAAGGCGATTGAGTCTTTATTTCGTATAGGTTGTTGGTAGTACGCAAAAGAGCGAGAATGTACTCAATAGTCTTCCCCTTCAGCAGTGGTCGCCGCAATCACACTAAAATTCAGATTGTCAGGATCCCGCTTCACGAACTCTTTAGCAACCTTGATAGCATCCTATGCATTTATGAGATATGAAATATGAAAAGAAATGTAAGCTGGGGATTTTCCCTATTTCAGCGCGAAAGTTACCTCTTGTTTCGACGCCTGCTCACCAGCAAAAAGGTATCCTTGGAGGTTGTGCCGTGATTAATTGGGTATGGCTTGTTTCCATCCAACTCATACAAGTGACCATCCCGCTCGATCAAGCATACATAGTGGAGATCCACGTCGTCTGCCAGATCAGGTGTTGCTGTCTGTCCGGTTGATGCGTGGCCCTCATGAACGTGCGCCCACGCCTTGTCCTCTTCCAGTGCCTTGGCTCGTTCTGCAGGAGACATTTCGATAGTCCTTTTTAGAAACGTCTCGATGATACTGCCCTCATCTATTATCCGTAATATGTAGAAATGAGCCTGTTAGTGATATTTGATCTCGCTGTTCATATTATTTATTCCCGGTATACTGCAGTAGACATACCGAGCTTTAGTGATTCTCCATAGGCCCAGTTATTGGCAATAGAGTGAAGGACGCCCATGGTTCCGCAGGCATTGGAGATGGTTTGTGGATAAAAAATGACCTTGGGGCTCACAGTCTGTCCTTGTTGATCGATCCTGCTCTGTTCTTCCTTACGGTACTCTTCGTACTTGGGCGTTATAGGGAAGAGAAGAATCAAGGCGTGGACAGGTTGTGGGACGAATGCAAGGAGTTCCTCGTCGAGACCTACAACAGTCAGGGCATGCAAAGCAATTAGCCAGCTAAATGCCTATGGATCTTTTCCAACGGCTGCGGAGAAGAATACAGACTGTCACGTCTCGTACCCATCACATCGGCGTATCTCCAGGGAGCCGGCACTCCAAGATCGCGGACATACTATGAACATCAAGAAGAATGGCGTTATTATATCAGCGGAAATGGGAATAATTACATGAGGTATAAATTGATCGAGTCGTCACCTTGTCAAGGACCTAGTAGTGGCAAACACATAGTACGCAGCAATGGGTATTAGTGGGGACCATGTATCGAAATATCATGAGCCGAAAGGGTGCCAGAGACATGCTCACCTCTGGGTTGGATTCGAGGGGGAGCCAGCGGATAGTCTTCTTAGTAGGCTCGGCGGTAGTGGTAGACATTGCCAGAATGAATGGAGGGAGTTGATTGATGAGAAAGAGAGGGAGTAACTAAGGAACGCGTTGGTGCCTCTCCCACGTAATGGATCGAGCAAGGTGACTGTCTGGCTGTGGGGGACGTGCCCACCACACCAATAGGGCTGGCGTAACCCTGGTATGGACCACTTCAAAGGCACTATGAACAACGAAAAGCTACATCCATTCGATGACGCATCAGCATCGGCACCTTCTCCGACAACACAGCCGGTGTCGCCACCGGCTCTGGGATATAATGTTACCTTTCACGAGGGAGCCAAGAGCAAGGACTCACTGGCATCACCTGCTTCGGCATCCCAGCACCTCAGGAACAGGATGGACAGCAGACCCATGCTCGCTCCAGCAACTTCTGAGCTCAACTCTTCGGTCGCAGCAAACACATCCTGCGTCAGCAATGCTGTCCCAGTGGCAGGTGCAGGTGATATTGGTAGAACCTTGAGTCGCAAAAGCTCAGGACCTGGGGGACGGATCCTGCAACAGGAGAGCAGGGACAGCGAAAGACGGTGGACAGCTCAAATATCCGTCTTCCTGAAGGACGTCTACGCCAAATACTCGCCGTCTTTAGTGCTCGAGAACAAAGGATCTATTGCTCGAGACCATCTTGCTAACGAAAGGACATATCTTGCCTGGCTGCGATCATCTTTATCTTTGATCACTGTCGGCGTTGCGGTTACTCAGCTCTTTCGACTCCAGATCAATACTTCGCCTGCATCGTCCCATGAGCTGATCAAGGTCTCGGAGCTTGGTCGACCATTGGGAGGGTCCTTCATTGCGCTAGGTATCGTGTTTCTTTGGCTTGGAACCTCGCGGTACTTCCACAGTCAGAGTGTACTCTCGTATGGACAATTCCCAGCAAGTCGAGGGAGCGTTATCATTGCTACAGTCAGCATCATGGCAGTTCTGCTAGCTTGCTTCATCATAGTCATTCTTCAGGGCCGATCCAACTAGAACGAACGATGGCGGCCATACCCCATGCAGACAAATGAATTGTAATATATTGCTTTTATTGTCCTGCGGATGGTTCTATTGCGGTGCCTGTTGGAGTCCTGCGGCCTGCTTCCACTCGTGCATCTTTGTCTTCTTCCGCTGCTTGCGTCTCCAGCTCATTTTCTTTTTCCTTGCCTTGGCTTTTGTATGTGCGATGGTTTCATCGTCAGTTTCGGTCTCATCTTTTGTACAATGGTCGTCCACTTTCCGTTTGATCATATTTCGATTGTCACCATTGTGCAATATAGTGTCCTGCGTGATATCGCTTCCTCGCCGTTCGGTGGCAATGGCTGGAATGTCCTGTACGTCCTGAGAATCATTGGTGGTATCTGCGATGGTTAGCTGCGGTGATGCCCCTAATGAAAAAGTACGCTTGATGCTGGTCAAGACATTTTGTCCGATCCTATTAGATTCCGCCATCCATCGAAATACTTTGTCAGGTACCTTTTGCAATCGACATCGCCTCCTGAAGGTCTCTATCACTGTCGTGACTGGTCGAAGGTCTGTTTTCTGAATCGCTTAGTTGCTCTCCTTGAACCATTGTCATCGTGTTGTGAATTTTAGTCTGAGATCATTAGATCTACACTTGTAGATATACAATCGCTGATCGAGCTGAGCGGCGTCTTCTCTGCTCTGGCTCTTGCCTGTTGTCTGTTGCTCTGTAATAACGCTGCTGCTGGTTCAGAGTCGAGTGCACGTACACTGGAAAGCTACAATTGGATCAAGAATAAATTTGATCCTTTGCTACGATTGCATGGTGGCATACAGGGGCCACGCAAAAGCATGGACAAAAAAGCTGAAGACAAGTCGTAGACAAGAACATAGACAGAGAGGCATTGCTGCCGCTGATTATACCTATGCTCGTGTATAGAGCCGATTGGTCGGGGCACAAAAACTCAATTGCACCAACGAAATAAAAATAATTAAAGGTGTTCAGTGGAGATGTGAAGTGTCCCCGTTAGGTCAACCCACGATTCATCCATCATCCCTCTCCCTTCTTTATTCTCCCGCACCCCCGTTTGATCCCTCCCTTTCTCATCTATTTTCATCTTTTTTTTTTCCCGTCATCCTTCCATTTCCTCATCCTCTCACTCCCCCTTCAACACCACGTTTTATCTCCTTGTCCTGTCTTTTTTTAATCCGATCAATATAAGAACCGACCTTTGACTGCACGCGCGTGCACACCACCCCAGAGCGATCAGCACTAATAATGGCCCAGCAGCAGCAGCAGCCTCCAGTCGAGGATGGGCCCATTCCTTTCTTTGGTGGCCCCAATCCCTCTGCTGGAAATAACAGGGCTGGTCCACCCCCGCCCCGTCACTTCCAGCAACAGCAACAGCGGCCTCTGTTCCAGCCTCAGTCTCAATCTCAGCGTCATCCTCAGCAACACCCTCAGCAGATGCCATCTCAGATGTCACCTCTAGGACAGCAAGGATTCCAGAGACAACAGCAACAACCACCTCGGCAGATGAGCCAGTCGCCCTTTGCGCCCGCGGCTGATCTCTTTGCTACCCCACCTAGTTCGAACATGCTTGGGAACCAGAACCAGAACCAGGCACAGCCTCAGGGATATCTGCCCCTAGGCAGCTTCCCTCACGCTCAGGGTGCACCTTCGCACCACCAGCAGCAGGCACAACAAACCCAACCACCGCCGCAGCGGTTGCCCGTACAGCAACAGCAACAGCAGCCATTTGCTCCTCAACCACCACAGCCGAGGCAGCACCAAGGACCCCCGCCTCAGCGCCCACCTGTCCAGCAGCAGCAGCAGCAGCAACAGCAGGCACCTAGCCCCTACCAGCGGAATCCTCAGCAACAGCAAGCGCAGGCGCCATTGCCTTTTGGCGATCAGGCATATCAGCCAGCACATGAAATTATCCCAGCTCTAACTCCAGCTCCAGCTCCAGCCCCAGCTCCAGCTCCAGCTCCAGCTCCAGCTCCAGCTCCAGTTCCTGCAAGGGATCAGACTAGCTCCCCCTTTGAATCTGCTTCCGATCTGTTTGGAAACTCAGTCAGCCAAGGAGCTGCAGGATGGATCATTCCTTCCACAGCAGAGACAAGCATCCAACCCGTATCAACTACTGCAGCAAACCCATTTGCCCCTCCTCCTGCCCCTGTTGTAGCTACTGGACGTCCGCCACTGCCAACTGGGTCGCTTCAGAAACAACCCTCTTTACCGCAAGTCTCACAAGTCCAGCAACAGGCGCCCTTAGCTCCCCCGCCTCAACGCCAGCCGTCTCTTCAGCCTTCTCAGCAACAGCCAGTAAGACAGGGATCCTTCTCGACTCAAAGCTTCTCGCAAGGTCCTCCTCGTCAAAGTCCGACTGCCCCTCATGGTGCACCACATGCTCAGCCTGCTCCAGAGACATCCGCCTCTCAGTTTCCTTCTCTGCCAAGGGCATCCATTGGAACACCTCGACAAGGCCCATTAAGTGCCCCCATTTCCGCGTCTGCAAACCAGGGAGCCTCACCTTATGCAAACCATCCCCCTCCGCAGACTCCGCTCTTGATGGCCATTCAGACGCCATTGATGTTGCCTGCCCAGACTCCACAGGTGTATCAGTCGTCGCGCACGCCTTACATGGGCCCTGTGGGCAATCAATTTGGATCATCGTCACCGCAGCTTTTACTCGAGCCCTGTCCCTATCCCGAGTGTGGCGGGGAGAACAAACCTCAGGCAAAATTCTGTTCTGAATGCGGTCGCTCTATCTCTGTGGTAAGCCGTGCTGCAACCCCTTCGCTCAACCATCGTGCCGCGTTTCCTGTTAGTCAAGCACCTCCCGTACCCAGTTTGGATCGTGTGAATTCATATTCACAAGAATATCAGCAGGCGGAGCAACAGCAACAGGTTCCAGAGCAATATCAGCAGCAAGATGCTAGTACCTACCAGGACAACCAGGCCTTCCAGTATGGTGACCAAACGCAGTATGGATATGATGGATACGATGGCCAGGCGCAAAGTCAGCAGGATCAGGGATACAATAACCAAGGTTACGATCAAGGATATGACCAAGGTTATGAGCAGGGATACGAGCAAGGATATGACCAAAACTACGATCAAGGATACGGTGACCCCACCTATTACGACCAGAACCAGCAGTACTATGATCCTGCTACAGGCCAATACATGGATCCATATGTACAGCAGGAGCAGGTCATTCCTGAGCCCGAACCTGAGCCCGAAGAGCCCGAGGGCATCGACGACCCATTAAACCGCATTCATGGATGTCCCTTGATCGCCTTTGGATTTGGAGGTAAACACTGTTTGATTGCAACACCTGCTTCATTCCCAGAGGTATGTGTTACATGCTAATCATATAGTGTGGATGCTTATTCGTAGGTAAAATTATGACCTCTTTCCCACGGACTGTTCAGCGATTCGATGCCGCCACCTCGATCATGGCGACCAAGAAGTATCCTGGCGATCTCCAGCTTGAGCAAATCAAGGATGTTTTGCAGGTCGATACAGAGATCTCCAGCTACCCAGGTCCTCTCTTGATAGACAGTGCGGTCCAGTTGAAGAACAAGCGCAAGGATGTTCTCAAGTTTATTGAGGACAGGATCAAGGAGTTTGAGCACGAGCAGCAGGATATCACATTTGATGCCCATCGCGTCTTGATCTGGAGACTCTTCAAGGTTATGATTGAGCAGGAGGGTGTCCTCGTTGGGGGGTAAGACTTTTTTGTCCCCCTTTCACACAAGGACATGGATGTTATCAAATACAGCGTTTAACCATTGCGTTTGTGACTAAATAGTGCCAAGGTAGATGAGGCTGTCCGGAGTGTGCTGCTCTCTATTCCTTTGAGCGTGTACCCTGCGCAGCCTGGTCAGGAGCCCATCAGCCCCCTGCGATCGTCAGCATCCCTGGATGTCCTTCAGGATCTACTTCGAAACGGTGACCGAACTGGAGCAGTTCGCTACGCTATGAGCTCGAACCTGTGGGCCCATGCTCTCGTCATCAGCAGTTGCGTCAATAAGGAACTTTGGAAGGAAGCGGTCAACGGATTCGTTAACCAGGAACTGACAGCTAATGGAAGCGACTTGGAGCCCAATGGTCGCGAGGCATTGCGTGTTTTGTACGCGCTGTTCTCTGGCCAAACCCAGAATGCCATCACAGAATTGATTCCTCCCGGTCTGCGTGTTGCCGCTAGCGATCCTCAGAACGAGGCCGAAGCTCCAGCGGATCAGTTCGTGACAGCTGAGTCTCTCTCGATGATGAAGCCCGTTGAGGAGCCCAAGGTTCCAGGAGCCAGCCTGAGCCAGTGGCGCGACACCTTGGCCATGATTCTTTCCAACCGCACCTCGGGAGACCAGACCGCTATCAGCTCGCTTGGCGATCTTTTAATGAAGGAAGGCTGGGTCGAGGCAGCTCATATCTGCTATCTTCTCTCGCCTCAGAATTCCGTGCACTCTGGACCCGATGCTCAGCTCAACCGCTTGGTGTTGATTGGTGCGGATGCCAATCCATTCGCAGTGTTCCCGTTTTATAAGAATGTTGCGGCCTTCCAGAAGACTGAGGTGTACGAGTTTGCCTGTGCACTCCGCAGCTCTGGTGCAACCGGCGGTTTGCCATTCCTTCAAGCATACAAGCTGAACTACATCTGGACCCTTGTGGATTGGGGCATGTTCTCTGAGGCTGGAAGGTGAGCATTCGGCAGGGTTGTATGAAGGCGGTCATTCAAAAGGAAGGGTACTATTATTGACAGTAATCTTGCCCCTCTTTAATAGATACCTTGAATCTGTAGAGGCGATTGTCAAGTCACAGACAAAGGGATCACCTTATTATAACATTATCTTCCTCGAACGCCTCAGGGAGATCACTGAACGTTTGGCTGGATCTTCACAGCTTGCTGTCACTGGGTATGCATTCAGTTCCATTCTGTCATTCTAAACTGCAGTTTTGTGCTCGTGGAGGACAACTATTTACCATATATCTTGATTCTATTGTAGAGAGTCCTGGTTCGCCAAGAAAGTTCCCAAGCCCACCATCGGAGGAATCTTTGACGCATTGGATAGCAAGATTTCGAAATTCATTGCAGGCGATAATGAACAGCCCAAGCCAGATGTTGTCGAAACCAAGGCAAACGCAGTCGAGTCAGGTCCCTTTGCCAATGCCCCTGCTTTACCTGACTTGAGTAACATCCCACCACGCGCCATTTCGCGATCCAGCAATAGCGCTCGTACCGCAAACCAGGCTGCGCCTGGTGGTAACAGCAGACGTTCGTCGCGTCCTTCGTTGGAGGTACCCAAGACGGACGTATATGGTCATCTTCAGCCAATGAGCTCTTATCCAGAGCCTGCACCGGGGACTGCCCCAGCAACGGATCTCACCGCCGGTCAGGATCAGGCGTATAACAACTATGATGGGTATGATCAAAATGGCCAGTATAACGCTGAGGCCTACACGGAGAGCAACTACAATGCTGGCTATGAGAACCAAGACCAAGGTTACGGTTATGATGCTTCGCAGGGCTATGACGGAACCTACCAGGGCATAGATGCCACTGGCTACGATCAGCAGAATCAGTATCAGGAGCAGGCCGAGGTTTCACAGGAGCAGCAACATGCGTATGCTGGCGAGGAGAACTACCAAGTACAGACCGGCTTTGAGGGTCAACAAGATACCCAGTACGATGCACAGTATGACGCCCAGTACGGCACTCAGCAGGATTCGCAGTACAATGGTCAATACGATGCTCAGCAGAGCGCACAGTATGACGGTCAGTATGAGAATCAGCTTGGAATGTCAACTGGAGAGACTGTAGCGGCACTTGCGGTCCAGCCCGACGTTGCGCTGGCCAGCGCAGACTCGGCAAATTTCTCGACGCAGGCTGCTCTTGGTTCGGAGAAGCCTCCAGTGAATGAAGCCCAGAATCCTGCTGTACCTGAAGGAGCTGCTGCCACTGAGGGATATGATACCACATATGGTCAGCAGGCCGAGGAGGCGGAATACAACTACGCCCAAGACAGCACCTACAATGGTGAATATCAGCAAGGCGAATACCAGACCGGCGAGTACCAACAGGGCGAGTACCAACAGGGCGAGTACCAACAGGGCGAGTACCAACAGGGCGAGTACCAGGCGGGTCAAGAGCACCAACAAGACGGCAACTACGACTACCTGCAATATGATCAGTCTGGTTACCATCAGGACAGCAACAACTATGGAGAGCAGGGTTACGATCAAGCAGCCTACCAGGATCAGACTCAGTACCAAAACGTTGAAAGTGGTGATCAGGGCTTGGGAGTGGAGTACAACGACGGTAATCAACAGAATCAAGGCCAGGAGCAGCCAGTGCAGGGCAACCTTGGTCATCAGGAGGCAGCACCGGCAGCTGTTGAGCAACAGAACAACTTTGTAGCCGATGAACCTACTGCTGAACAGCAGGGTCAGGTTGAAATTGCTGCGCCAACTGAGGCGGCCTCTGCGAGGACTGGGGGTCAAGCAGGAGATGATCAGAATGCCGAGTACCAACAAGGAGAATATGATCAAGGCTATTACCAGCAGGGAGAGTACCAGCAGGGAGAGTACCAGCAGGGAGAGTACCAGCAGGGAGAGTACCAGCAGGGAGAGTACCAGCAGGGAGAGTACCAGCAGGGAGAGTACCAGCAGGGAGAGCACCAGCAGGGAGAGTATCAACAGGGTGACTACCAGCAGGAGGAGCACCAGCAGGGAGAGTATCAACAGGGTGACTACCAGCAGGGAGAGCACCAGCAGGGAGAGTATCAACAGGGTGACTACCAGCAGGAAGAGTATCAACAGGGTGACCATCAGCAAGGCGATTACCAACAAGGCAATTATCAGCAGGGCGATTACCAACAAGGCGATTACCAGCAAGGCAATTATCAGCAGGGCGAGTATCAGCAAGGGGACTATCAGTACGCAGACTACCAAGGTGACTACCAGCAGGGTGATGTGAATCAGCAGCCTCCAACTGAGCCTGGCGTCCTGCCCATTTCAAGCGAGCATCAGGATCAAGTTGATTACGGTGCACAGGGAGAGCAACAGCAACAGCCGGAGGATTACAATGCCAACAACAACACTTGGTGGGGCAATGGCAATAATAACCACACCGACGCCAATGCGACTGAACAGCAGCCTCCAGCCAATGATGATGCACAGGTTCCCCAGCGGGAGGAATATGAGGAGGGCCAGTTCATCTCTTTTGGTGCTGTCCCCACGATCCCTACATTCGGCCAGCCTGCTGCACCTGTGAACAATAACAATCAGCAGAATGCGTTTAACGATGACGATGATCTCGGCATGGGCAACAATGCGCTGAAGAAGGAGAAGCCCGCTGTGAGCACAGAAGGCTCTGAGGCGGCTGCTGCAACTCCGGATGCGAATGCTTCCGCTGCCGCAGCGGATGGATCTGATGAGTGTAAGCTGTGCTTGTGAGGAGATGATAATGGTGCTGTGACTACATGACTACATAGGCGTTGCAGAAGCACTGACTAACCAGTTCGTCTTCTTGCCGTAATTTTATTTTTTTTGAAAATTCTAGCCAAGGCAGGATGGTGGCCTAAGATTGCACTCTTTGGAGGCGAGAAGCGTGAGCCGACGCCCAAACCCGTCAAGGCTAACCTGGGCGAAGAATCGTCTTTCTATTTCGACAAAGAGCAGCAGCGTTGGGTGAACAAGAAGGCAGGATCGGAGACCTCGAGTGTGGCTGAACCTTTGCCTCCACCACCAATGTCTCGCACGGCAACTCCTGCAGCAGCAGGATCTCCTGGGGCTGGACCACCATTGTCGGCTCGGGGGCCCCCTTCTGGTGGGGCGCCATCACCAGTAGCAGGAGGACCTCCAAGAGCGGGAACGGGATCTGTGGCCAGACGTGGAGCGCGGTCAAGATATGTTGATGTCTTGAATACCAACTAGAGAGATAGAGGATATGCCATTTTGCTTTGATGTTTTTTCTGTTGTTTTGTTGTTACGATCTGTCGTATTCATGAGGTGTATTACCCTTCTTTGCCTGATTAAGACCACCACAAGCAGGGGGATAGAGAAATTGAGATAATAAAAAGAGGTCTTGTCAAAGAACAAACTGAGCGATTTTTATATCTGGTATTTCAAGAAGTGTTCGTGCATGGCCCGCTTGTGGATCAAGTGGCACAGTCGGAACTGGTTTATGGGCCTATTTTCGTATATAAATTGGGCCCATAAATCAGTTCCGACTGAATTCCTGGGGTTCATGTTCTAGGGCTCAATTTTCTGTGTCAGGAGATAGCGACGTGGCACTTGTTCATACCCCATTGTGTTTGCCGGCGTATAGCGTTGTTGGCCATCAGCTCTGAGGGTCACTCTTGGCGCTCTATGAGACGGAGGGCGGCGCGAGTCTTATTGTGGCCAGCGTTATGGCCTCAGCCTCTCTCCTGGATATATTATTGGGACCTGATGGCCCGACCTCCGATCTTTTCTGGGACATCGCACTGGCAGCATGTTATAGAGGTCTCTCATCCATCGTCACGGACTATAAGTGTGCTGTGGGTCACCATCTAGCCGCATCGTAGCAGCAATAAATCCTCATTAATTTTTTTTTTACTTTTATTCTCTTGTTATATTATAAAACTCAACGGACACACGAGGGGAGAAGGAATGTCAAGGCAATTAAGACGAAAAGGCTGCTAGGAAAAACAAGACGAAGGAACGGAGATGACTAAAAAGATGAAGTGGATGATGAATCTCAAGCATGCTCTAAACGGACTGAAAAAAAAAAAGATAGAGATACTGGCAATTCAGCCTAGGTCCTCCCACTCACCTTACAAGTCTTTTCAGTTCGATGTATGAAGCGAGAGAGAAACAAACAAAAAGATGGTAGGGTGGATTTCGTGCAAAAGATGCTTGGAATCAAGTCGATAGCTCGATGTGGTGCGATAACATTTTACTCTCTAAGGGGCTCAACACGCGAACCACGCGAAGCTCAAAATAGAGTGCATAGCAAAGCATTTCACAGAACATAACAGTTCTTTTTAAAATGTATATTCAATTCAAATAATAGGAAACAGTTCTACGATCCATCATTGACCATTCATCATTTCACAAATACGAATTCAGGATCATATTTCGATAGATACTCTTGTTTTTGATTTTCTTTAACAACTCAGCAAGCATACATATAGTGGGCACAGCCGTGGCATAACACTAATTGATATCCTGGGCTGGAAAGCAGTAGGCGTTGTCTATCCGAAAACCATTGCTATACCATGATGGGGTCCGTTTGAAAGCGAAGCGATCTCGACTGAAAGTGACTATAACAGTGAATGGCGCGATGAGGTAAAAGTCTGTAATCGATGGTGCTGCAAATACGAAAATAAGTTTGAATAGATACAGCATAGAGTAGATTTTGGTTTATTCGATCAATAGCGAAAGCGAGATTTGGAATACAAAGAATGAAGTTGAAAATGATGCATGCAGCGATTTTATATCACCAATAATGCAATGCTGTGCCAGCACTGCTGCAGTTGATAGTTCTGTATGGTGTAAACAAGAAAAAAGAATAAGGATAGTTGAAAATGGCTAGATTATATACGAACAAGGCTTCGAACGATATGAAGGATATGCCGTGAAGATAACGGCCCTCGCACATTTGCAGGAAGGATGGCTTGATAGTTCCTTGAACGCGAAAGTCGCGTTGGCATTAGTTATCGGCTTCGACAACCGGTTGATTCAATGCAATTTGGACGGCCGTAGTTTGGACCATGGCAACCATGGCGACCACGGCATCACCGAGTTCGTTAGGAGTCTCTTCGTTCGGCTCTTGATTCTCGGGAGTCTCGGGCTGAGGCGGAACTGCGGGCTCGTCGGAAACAATGAAATGACGGTGGAAGTTGTAGGAGGAGAGGTGCATGTTGATGAGTGCAAAGCGGAGGGGAAGTGTGAGAAGGATGGCGTGAGGCATAGAGTAGGAGAAGAGGAGCGGGGCAGCAATTGAGAACCGGCGTTTTATAGAAGAGCGGGATCGAGGGTGTTTATCTGATTCGTGTATGAGAATAAATGAAATACCACGCCGATCTCATAGTCTCCAGGACATGCTCAACGAGCCAACAGGAGATCGAAGATGATGTCTGGGTCGCCAATATGTTTATCTCTCCGAAGGAGAACACACACACGAAAAAAAAAAAAAAAAAAAAAAAAAAAAAAACGGCCATTTTAGAGAGCGAGAGGCGAGAGGCGAGAGGCTAAAGCAGGGAAAGAGATCGGGAGTGAAGGTAGGGAGGGAGAGAGAGAGAGGGAGAGAGCAAGAAGTGAGATGGAAAGTGGGGAGCGGTAGTGCAGGTTGCCAGGAAGTGATCGTGGAACCACGCTAAGGAGTTGTTTGTTGCTTGTGTGTTTGTTGTGTGTTGTTTGTTGTTATTTGTTGTGAGTGGTCTGTACGACCATCTATATGCTGTATGCTGTGTGTCCGATCACCTTTTTTCATTTCAGATTAGACAGCTGCAGCCTTACGCACCCTTGATTGAGCCCTTTAGGGCCACATCTCCTCCCCTAATTGCCCACGAGCGCCTTGAGCCTGTTGAGTCTCCGCGGGACGCGATTTTTACATTTTAATTAAAGTCACGTGCGCTTGTTTTCCCAAACATGAAAAACACGACTCTCGACCGCGTATAATTCCTGTCCCTGCCCTTCATCCGCGCCGAACTCCACTCGCTTCATTCATAATCATCTCGCGCCAGAGCAACCCCTGGATTCACAGCCTATTCCGAATAAACAACGGCCTCCCTCACTTTCCCTTTAGCGACACAGGATTTTCGCAAATTCATCTGTAATGACCAATAACGGTATGGTCAGGAGCCTGAGGGCCTTAGAAACTGGAAAGCAGGCAGCGAACAATAGCTAACTGCGTCTGCCTCCATCCTCTTAGATATGAGAGGCAGTACGAATGGAGTACAAGGGTTCCGGGAGCCCGTGTCGACACTGGAGCTCTACTCAAATATGACCCTTGACCTCGGCGAAGCATCTGTCGAGGGTGCCTCAATGGCATCATTAAGCGGCCCAGCGACTACACGGACAAGACTACTTCTCGATTCAGACGACGATATAGACGGCGAGGACGGAGATGACGACGAGGATCTGCTAATGATGCCTATGGGATCGCAGAAAATGGAGCTCCAGATCGACCACGGCTCCATGGGACCACCCGTTCAGCCCACAAGAACAAGACCCGATCCCTTACCCACGGTACCCACCCAACAAACGACTCGTCAGGATAAATTGAATGCGGATGATGATGATCAAGATCTATTTGGGGAAGACTTTGTAGGGCAATTTGGCGATGACGATGAGTTCGAGTTCGAGCCTTTGTTCCCCCGGCGGCTAGACAACCTAGGACTGGAGCGACTCAGTATTACTCAGAAGCACAGGACAATGTCTGGAGCACTGCCCGTTACAGAAACAACTAAATCAATCCACACAGCCACGTCCAGCACCACCATCATCTCATCGCTGGCGTCAAGATTCAATATGTTCAACCACTCCTCCATGGGATCTGTACCATTGCTGAGCCAAGAGTCGACGCAGGTGGAGGAAGAGCTACTGGAAATGTCGGCACGACAGCACGATGCCATGTTGGACGACTTGATTCTGGAGGATGAGCAACTCAGGAATGAGGAGGACGAGATACAGGGTGTTTTGGAAATGCAGTACCAAGAACAGGAACTTTTGCAGCAAAACGGACAGCAACACCGGCAACCAAACGACTACGCGGACAACATCTCCGATACCAACAAACGCAAAAACCCGCCACCAGTGGATGCTTCTTCATCAATGTCCGCAGCTACTACGATTGAGGAAGTGGACCAGTTCCTGAGTGAGTCGTATACAATGGGCTCATCCTTGCTCGCGAGATCGATGGACGCGAGCAAGAAGACGAGATTGGAGCACGCCTCGACCGGATCAGCTGGACTTCGAAACTCTGCCAAGCCATTGGGACCACCTATTCTACCGGGCTTGTCCATGCGAACAAAGATGCCAGAGGCAACAAAGCACGACTATACTCTCCCACCAGAGACAGGATCATTTATCAAAGCAAGAAGCAGCTCAGGACAGACGTTCTATCTCGCAAAGAAAGTGAGAGTGAACGATACTAAGGTATGTCTTATACCGATGGACATGTGGAGTAACGTCGTAAACGCTGTTTACCATGTCCTGACCAATTCTACCATCACGATCGCGAAAAACATGACAGCATCCTTTTATTCAACAAGCGAAAGAGAGTACAAAGAGCATGAAGCCGCTCCTTTCGATGCCAATTCACAGGATGATGGATGAACTGGACGCTGAGATCAGGGTTCAGAAACAGGAGGCAATCAATCGGTTGGAATATGGAGACTATGATGATCTCGACCTTACGGGTGACGACAACAAGGATTCAAGCGAGCGACTCTGGGTCGACAAATACCGCCCGAAAAAATACACGGACCTTATGGGCGATGAGGTGAGAAGAGAATGCTTCAGTTGCGCATGCGATCGATTCAACCAGACGAAGGTTCACTAACCCGTGTTTGTCCTTCCAACAGCGTGTGAATCGTGAGGTCTTGAGCTGGATCAAAGAGTGGGATCAGTGCGTGTTTGGGCGCCGTTATAAAAAACATATCCCTGAGCACAAAAAGCAACATTTCAAAGAGGTACAGGCCTTGTTATGCTCATCGATACGGTTATCGTACGGACGACTAATTACTCTAGGTATTTTCTGCTTCTCGAAATTAGTTCCGTAAGCCAGATCCGCTTGGTCGACCCGATCGCAAGATTCTGCTGTTGACTGGCCCGCCTGGTCTTGGAAAAACGACCATGGCGCATGTCATTGCAAAACAGGCTGGCTATAATGTGATCGAGGTGAACGCCAGGTACGACAGGGGCCCCTCGACCTATATAACATCAAACTGCCACCTAAAATCGCTGTTTACACCTCACTAACAGTTCGACCGCATCGTCCAATTAGTGATGACCGTACGGGCGCCTCAGTGAAGGGCAAAATTGAGTCCGCACTAGAAATTCAGTCGATCCTCGGGAGCGACAAACCAAACCTGTTGATTATCGACGAGATTGACGGAGTATCGTCGAGCGGTGGAGAACAGAGCTTTATCAAACTGTTGATCGACATCGCAACAGTTGAAGCCGGCTCTAGCGAGGAGAAATCGAAAGCAACAAACAAGAGGTCCAAAAAGTTTACTAAGAATCCGTTGATGCGGCCCATCATTTGTATTTGCAATGACCAGTACGTGGTGGTTACATCTCTCGGGCGATGGAAAGCGTGTACACATGAATCAGAGAGTTTTCTAATTGTACTCGATTTATTTCCTCTTCAAAATAGATATGCGCCTGTATTACGCCCTTTGCGCGTTATTGCTCAAATATACCAATTCAAGAAGCCTTCCATTCGTAGTGTTGTTAATCGACTCCAGCAGATTTGCGAAATCGAACACGTCGCCAGTGACACCCGTGCATTCAGTGTCCTATACGAAATGACGGAAGGAGATATGCGGTCCTGCTTGAATACGCTGCAGTTTGTCAAGAACCGGATTAGAGAGAGTACCATGTCGAGCTCGTCTGGTAGTCGGATAGGGGGTGGAGACGGAGATGGCTATGGTGGAAGATTGACGCTGGACACATTGAGCAAGGCCACAATTGGACGCAAGGATCAGAGCAAATCTTTGTTCTCAGTCTGGGAGGAGCTCTTCCAGGCACCCTATGCAAGAAAGGCAAGAGGTGCTCTCAAAGTCTTGGAAGAGGGTCGTGATGGTCTCGTCAAAGGTGAGTTTGAGATATCCTCGTCTGATGATATTAGTCCATACGCCCCTGGCTACCTTTTAATCTTTTATTATACTAACGGTATCTTATTCTTACCGTCCTGGTTCTAGATGACAATAATACCTATGTCAGTCGTATGGTTAATTTGATTCAAACAAATGGCGACTACGAGAAGTTGATGCAAGGTACGGTGAAAGATACGGATCGCTTTGTCTTTTCACGGCAATGATATATAGCGGACTAAACTGACAACTCGACATCGGCTTCTTTTGAAAACAGGTTGCTTTGAAAACTTCCCTACGATGGTATTTCATGATGTTGCGATGAGTAAGGTTGTCGAGTGCGGTGAATGGCTGGCGTTCTATGACCAACTCAATTCGAGGATTACGTCCAATTTCGAGTACGAAGTTGGCGGATACCTCCCTTATGCGCTCGTCAATTTCCATCGGCTCTTTGCTGGCAGCGTGAGGCAAAAGATCGAATACCCGCGCAAGGACTATGAGGTGCGCACCCAACGTTTCTATGCTTCAGCAATGATTACTTGTGTGCGGCGGAAATTTGGAAGAGAAATTAACCTTATTTACTTCCATATTTCATATGGATTTTCGAACTCTAGTCATTTGTGGCGCACAAGGCGAACGAGAGTATTCTGCAGGGAATGGCCCTCAACTTGCCAGCCAAGGCACAAAGACACTTCCGCAAGAGCAACTTTGCGGCAGAGCTGCTCTCACCCTTCCTGCGCATCCTTTCGCCATTCTTGCGGCCTGTGAACAAGCAATTGATCAAGCCGGAGGAGCGCGCTGTGTTGATGCGACTGGTGGATATCATGATCCACTTCCAGTTGACGTTTGTACAGGAAAAGACTGAGGATGGCCAGTTTCTTTACCGCCTGGAACCGTAAGTTCCTTTGGAAATGTTGCGGGATGTGTCGTGGTTTCGATGGATGAATGACATTTCACTGATCATACGATGTTTGCTGTGTTGACGTTGACGTGTGCAATGTATAGATCAATTGAGAAGTTGGGGGATTTCTCAGGCATTGGACTCAAGAACGTGCTGACAAGCCGATATGCGGTTCGTCAATTAATTGCACAAGAGGTAAATTTCTACACAGCAACTGGGAAAATCACATTGAACCTGACATTTATACTGTTGAATATTCTAACTTGAGAGGTATGTCATTGTTATACCAGATTGAGATGGAGTTGGTACGACGAACAGAGGAAGCAAAGGAAGCCAAGAGGGGCGCGTTCTTTGGCAAGAGTGGCAAGGATTTATCTTTGGAGAGTAGTGCTAGTTTTGAAGCCAGTGCCTCTGGACCGATCAAGAATAGGGATCAAGATGATTTTGAGAAGGAGGCGGTCGATTTCTTTGGACGGGCAATAGCTCAACCGAAGAATGATGGATCTGGATCGCTAGATGGGTCGTTGACGGTAGGATTGGGATATGGAGGAGCAGGCGGGTCGAAGAAGAAGACGAGGATCTGGTACAAGTTCAACGAGGGGTTCTCGAATGCTGTCAAGGCGAAGGTCTTTATTAGCGAGCTGCTGTGAAACCCGTACCTGGAAATAAAGCAGAGGATATCCCTGTGCGAGAGCTGGCCAATCAGTGCGAGACCTTGCCCTCGTTTGGCATAGTGCCAAATGATGTCGACACCAACAGCGATAATGATTACGAGCATTTGCTAGAAATGGACATGGCAACCACCAAGTGTCGCAAGTTCCTGTCGATATGTTTCACGTCTTTTTGTCCATACAGGGAAACAAAGGCATGTTGTTTCGTATTTAGCGAGGAGTAGAGATGACGCGGGGGGGAGGGGTGTTCTTTTACGCGTGTTTCCCCGATTTGTTCTTGGCAACAAACTCGAAACACAAAAGAAGCAGTTTACATAATGCAGTCGACTTTACTTTCCGTCGACTTTTTCTTCTTCTTCACGTTCACATTCACATTCATTACTTTTACATTCCTGCATTTGCATCCCGTTTCATTGCATCTGTTCTGTTCTCATTCCTCTTTATTCTTCTTTTTCTCTTTCTTGCTGTGACATTTTATCACTGTCTGTGCACACTCGTCCGTCCTTCCCCCTCTTATCTATTTCGTCACTTTTCACCTTATTCCTCCGCTCTTTTCTCTTCCCGCTCACATCATCTGCTCTCTTGTAGACGTTCATATCGCCTTCTCCCTCTTGTAAACATTCATACTGCTTTCCCTCTCTTGTTTTCTGATCCTTTATTCACAGCACCTCCACACAATACCATACATCGAATGGACTGGCTTGTACTTGCAGGAGCTGCAGCAGAGGTAAGGAAGCATATCCCGATATGGTCTTATTTGAGCAGCCGACTCTGTTTTCCTCTTCTTTTTGAGAAACCCTTGCACCGCTGCACCGTTGAACAGCATCTTCCTTGACGCAAAACTTGGCTGTGTTCCCTGCTGAACACAGGATGTATATTGTGCGGTTGAATTGAATCCGTTGGAATTGAATCCGTTGGGAGCGCAGATCGCACGTCCTTTGCATCATTTAGCCCGATTATGGTGATGACTGTGGTTGATTCAATTTGGAATAGAATAAGGCACATCCTCTCCTTTTTAGTTTCTGTTGCTGCTAATTCTGTAATTTTGTACTTGAACGGATTTAATTGGCACTGACTTGATTCAATACCACCCGCATTTTCCACTAGGCTGTCAGTCAGGTCTTGGTCGTAGTCGCCTGTGGCATCATCCTCTCAAGGACAGGCTACCTCACTCAATCAGCCCAGAAAGTAAGCACCCGTGGCCTCCTTGTTATGTCGTCTGTATCTTAAAAAAGGCCCATTATACCACCATGTACTTAGCCACCTTCATTGAATAATCCGATAGTCGATATCAAGAGTGAATCTGTATTTTATGACGCCATGTCTGCTCTTCACAAAGATTGCATCTACCATCAATTGGGAGCAATTCAAGGCCTTCTGGCCTATCCCCGTCTTCTTTGTCTTTTTCTCATTCATCTCCTGGGCCGTCGCCAGAATCGGATCAAGGGCTTTGCGGTTCTCGTCCGACGAAGAAAAGTTTGTCACTGCCTCCGTCCTCTTTTCCAACACAAACTCGTTGCCGATGGCATTGATTCAGTCCCTGGCCTTGAGTGCTGCAGGAAGCCGTTTGCTACGCGATGAGAACGACACAAAGGAGCAGGTCGCTGCCCGCGGCATCTCTTACATCTTATTCTACGCCATCTTTGGAAACCTCGTACGATGGTCCTACGGGTTCTCGTTGCTGGTTCCTAAGGATAAAGAGGAGCGGACGGAGGCATTAGAGAATCAGGATGTGTCTGCGTCGACGGACCAGTTCCCTCAACGAAGTGAAGGCGTTTTAATCAATGTGGACGACCCTTCAGCTTCGGGACCAGGCCATACTGCCGCTATCAGCAGCGCATCGTCAATACACACCTTGCATGAAGGACAGGATCTTTACAGAGATGATGATACGGATGAGGACGACGTCGACAGCACTCCAAGCAACCAGCGTAGCCATGACCACTCGTCATTCTTCCGATCTTCAAACAACCATAAGAATCAGCAGCAGTCCACGCATCTGCAGCCCCTGTCGCCCCCGATATCTGGACCCAGCAGAACATTTCCAGGACTAAGTAGGCATCAGAAGCGATACCGACATCGAAAGTCCACAAAGTCGATGATTAGACAAAAGGCATCCTCAGCAGTAAGCAGGATCCGCCAGGTTTTGACGCCGCCGTTACTGACGGCCATTATTGCCCTCGTTGTCGGACTGGTTCCAGCACTGCATCGTCTGTTCATGGGTCCTGAATCCAAACTGTATTCGTTCATTATCCATCCGATCGAGAACTGTGGAGCGGCGGCGATCCCAATGATCTTACTCTGTTTGGGAGCACAGGTTGTCGAATTCGCAACATCGTCATCGTCATCATCGTCTTCGATAACGGGACAGTCTTCATCCAACACAGGACCCGTCAAACCTGGTCAGCTTCAGAGGCGACGCAGCGCCAACACGCCATCTGTGTTCCCACATGCCCGTCAAGTCAGCGACTCGAGTTCCTCAGGGGAAGACAGCCAGGGCGAAGAATGGCACCGGGTCCAGAATCCGCCTCGACGGGAGAGTTATGGATACAATGGGATCGGATCCTCGGATGTGCATGCGTCTTCGTCGACGACGCTGTACAACTTTACGGACAGTGATAATGATGAGATGTTGGGGTCGCATTCTGCCTACAATGGATCTTCGGAGTTGAGCCTGCAGGGCCATCGATTCAAATGGTTGTCCCCGGTTGCGTTCGTGCTGATGTCGCGGTTGGTGGTCGTGCCGTTGATCTGCCTGCCTGCAATCTTGTTCCAGCCTGGGTCGCTCTCGCCGATATTGACGACGGATCCGACGTTTGCATTGACGCTGGTGTTGATAGTTGCGTCTCCAACGGCGATCAATTTGATCCAGTTAGCGCAGGTGAAGGGGTTCTTTGAGAACGATATGGCGGCGGTGTTGTTTTGGAGCTACTGCGTGTTTGGGGTGCCCTGTGTCCTCGGATGGTCGCTCGTAGGTCTATGGGCTGCAGGGCGGTAGATGAATCGATAGAGATAGAGATAGAGATACATACAAATAAACACGCTCAGCCCAGGGACAAGAAAATAAAATAAAATGATCGATCGAGCTCTCAATTGAAAGGTGTTATTCACATGAAGGATAATGCAGCGGAGAGGAGGGGAGGCACATTCCTCGGATCGATGCTCACTGGCCACCTGTCGATTTCGATCGTAACGCATTCATGCGAAGCACGTCGTCATCCTCGGCACAGGCCCGAGGTGGACACGGATGTGAAATAGTGTATGAACACGCGCTATTACATTAAAAAAAGAGGGTGGTATGGATCTCTTCGCCATTCCTCTGCCTTCTCATCAACCTTCTCATCCATCCCTCTCATTCATCCAAGAACGAATCTCTCGCAAGCACACCACCTCAGCTTAATATGACAACCGCCCCTCTCCCTCCTCGTGCCCAGTGGCACGACAGGCTCTTGTTAAAGATCGCAGCCCTATCCCAGACATGGCCCCTGGCACTCACCGCCACCATTGTCGGTACGGTGTGATAAAAGAGAACGACTGACTACTTAATCCATCCGCCATCCTCCACTGCTTCGACTCTAACCATTCCTCACTCCGCCTAATAGGTGTCATGGAGTGCGTGTTGAACGTCTGGCAGCTTATTATGCAGCATGACCTGAAAGCTCAGATTAAGAAGAGTCGTCAGCTTTGGATTGACCAGTCAAAGGCATCGGCCGCCTCGGGTCAACGCATTGCTATTGTTACTGGTATATTCATCCAACATGCTTCCTTGACGTACATGATGACCATGAAAGTCATGAAGGATTGGGCGTATACTAAGCTTCTTTTTATTTTATTTTATTTTTGTTGTTTTTGTTCTGTGCCATGCTCTGTAGGCGGCAACACCGGTCTGGGATTTGAGACAGCAAAGGCCCTGGTCGAGGCTGGATTCACCGTGTATATCGGTAATGAGCAATGGTCTTTGACTTGACATCACGTCTTGATTACCATCTTTATTTGTTGTGAGGGTGTTGTGCTGACCGCTTAGGAAAAAAAAAATCCCTTGTTTATTTTGTCCCACAGCCTGCAGGTCTGTCAGCAAGGGACAGGAGGCGTTGGAGAAGATTGAGGCCGCGACTGAGCTCAAGGGAAAGATGGCAGTGATGCCGTTGGATCTGTCTTCTCAGGAAAGCGTCAAGACTTTTGTACGAGAGTTCAAATCCCTGGGATATCAGCACCTGGATGTCTTGGTCAACAGTACGTTTTGCTTATGGAATATGTGTTGACTATTCACTAAAAAACACCGAGGAGTTTATTTCGACTAATTTTTATGAATTTTATGTATGGCACAGATGCTGGCATGATGGATATTCCCTTTGGCCTGACTAAGGAGGGTTACGAGATGCAGTTTGGAGTGGTAAGCACTTTATTTCTCTCTGTCCATTGCAGCAGCGGTTTTTATCTCAGAAAGTCTAGGGACGCGATGCTGATATTTTCTGTTCTAACCTTGAATGAATAGAATCACCTTGGACACTATATTTTGACACTGGAACTGCTCCCTCTGCTCAACAGGGCCCCTCAGGGCCGCATCGTCGTCCTCTCCTCGGGTGCCATGTATTCATCCACGGACATCCGCTATGACCTCCTCCAGTCCTCGAAGGGCTACTCCCGTCTTGGCCACTACTCCTACTCAAAACTCGCGAACCTCTTGTTCGTCAAGGCTCTGAACCGTCGTCTGCAGCGTGTTCAATCAAGGATCACGGTGAATGCGTGCCACCCAGGTGCCTGCAGCACCGAATTGTTCAGACATAACCCGATGATGAACGTGTTGATGGTCCCTGCCCAGATTGTCTGTCGGACGCCGCTGTGGGGTGCGATGAGTTCGATTTATTTGGCGCTGGCGCCAGGTCTGGAGAATGTTTCGGGAGAGTACTTTTTTGATCAGATTCCGAGGACGCCGAATCCGATTGCAATGGATGAGAAGGCGCAGGAGTTGTTGTGGACAAAGAGTGTGGAGTTCACCGGGGTGGACTTTAAGTTGTAATGGAGGTTGCACGGACGAGATGGTGGTACCTGGACTGGGCTGGACTGGACTGGGCTTGGGCTTGGGCTGGAGGAAGCAGCAGAAGGTTTTTCGGCCAAGTTTACCCGTCAATTTTTGTTTAATAAACACAAAACAGAACCCAATTAGACATTACAAAATCATTCAGAGGGGCGAGTTCGTAAAGGGTGGGAGGCGGCGGCGTGTTGGCGCGAATAGGTTCAAGAAAATGACCATTAGACAACTAGCGGTTTACCTGTTGCATGTGTCGACTTTCAGTATATAGAATGTGTGGTTACTCTTCGGTATCCGAGGAGATGAAAAAGTCGAATGCCCGCACCCCTGGTTCATGCTTGGACCGTGCGGTCCATGTCATGCAAACGCGCCTGGACGTATTGCGAGTACCGTTGGGGAAAAAAAAAAGGCTGTTTAGCTTTGTCCAGAGGGGTTTATCATCGTCTCCTTCGATGCCACCAAACTGCGAAGAATCAATCAGAGGAGGAGACGGAAGCTGCTTTGTTTTTGTGTTCACGTTTCGTGAGAATCGCCTTAAAAAAACGTACGAGCGCATATAAAAGGATTGTTTTCTTTTTTTCGTCTGCTCTCTCCTCTTCTTTTTCCCACATACCCTTTCCTTGTCTTTTTTTTTTTGCTGTTGCGCCATTCCTTTACATATATCCACGGATGGTCTTTCTCTTTTAGACCCCACTGGCACTGTCTATCAACTTCCTCCCCCCAATCCCTCACGACAATCGAGCGGCCGCACATTTTAGCGTTCTACTTTCAGCGCACGCCCCCGAGTCACGACAGAAGTGGGGAAAAAAATAATCACACCCAACCATAGATACCATATAGAACAACACATCATCAAAAAAAAAAATGGACAGCAAAGACCCAACGAAAGAATGGATCAGCTTTCTGGTCAACACAATGGGCGGACACTTTTCGATCCTAGGGATACCTGCGATGGCGGCGACGGTGATCTTTATCGGTCGGATCCGGTGGTTGAAGCAGCACAAGCGACCGCACGGATACGGTCGGACAGGGCTGATCTACTGGCCTAGTCAGTTCCTGATCCTCGGAGGGTGCTTCGCCCTATTGGGGCTGGCATTCTCGTTGGCGACGGGGCCATACCTGGCGACGGCGGATGGGCTCCTGATGAGTGCATTTTGCATGTGGATTGCATGGGTGGGTAAAAACTGTGCTTTCTCTTGCTTCGATGTTTATGAGGACAATGATAACGGTTGTGACAATGAAGAAAATGATAGACGTGATGGTGATCTTGAGAAAAGCATGGTACTGCGAGGTGAGAGAAGAAAAGGAGATTTACATTGAGGTCACAAGGAGATGGCTCTCGCGAGGTGCTTACATGAGTAGCTGGTTGGCTGGTGCGCTGCCACTGATCGGTGTGTTTGGCAGGCTCCTGGCATACGAAGATGTCCAGCTGTACCTCTGTATCCGAGCACAATTCGGAGTTCAGGGATAGGAACAAAGGGAGATCGAGAAAGAGGAGGAGGGGGGCTCAGGGGTAAATGCGAGGGAAACGATTGTCGGAGAAAAGATAGAAAAAGCGAGATGTAGAAACTAATAGAGAGATAACATCTTCGAATCCTGGATAGACAACGGCGATGGCTCTGAACACTAACGAGCATCGGTACGAGATCCGCTCCTCGGACTATCTCTTTCTTTACTATCTCATCACTCTGCTCGGGTGCGCACTCTCGCTCTTCATCCTGAATGATGGATTTTCGTTGCCCCCTTTCGTCCCTTTCAAGGGCCCTGCTCAAGCTGACCACCCAGTTCACAAGATGGATCCGCCGCCTGTATCTGATTACAAAATGGATCCTCTTCGGTATCTGCTCCTTTTCACCGGAGTCATCGCACTCGCTTTCTTCTTCGAGGCACTTCCCAGATCCTACACTCGGGTTCAGAGAGAGAGTAGGCAGAAGGAGAGGCTCACACGGTATGATCAAGCCAACTTGTTCTCAAGGTTAATCTTCCATTACGTGCAACCGCTGATGTCAGCTGGCGCGCGTCGCACGCTGACTACGAAGGATATTGATGAGCCGCTGCCGGAGGTGCTGAAGAGTCATGTTAACTACGAGATCGTCTCCCGAACCTGGGAGAAAGGGCTTACCCGGTATAATCGCAAGCATCGCAAGAGCAAGGCTGGAAAGAGGACAGGTTCAGAATCTACCCGTGTTGGCGGGCCATCTTTATTCTTGACAGTTCTGGATGCGTACAAGGCGAGGATCTTCCCGACGATGCTGATCCGACTCCTGAGCTTTGCGCTCATGTATGTCCCGATCTTCTTATTCAGCTACCTGCTAAAGTTCTTTGCAGATTATGGCGAAGCACTGAAGAACGGAACGCCACGGCCAGCTGTGGCGGAGGGATTGTTGATCGCGGTGGGCATCTTTCTAGGGAATGTGTTTAGCGCATTGTTCCTCTCGATGTCGTCGAACGAGTGCGCGTATATGGGAATCGAGGTTCGTGCGGCGTTGACAACTATGATCTATCGGAAGGCCCTGAAGCTGTCACCGGCAGCGAGAAGCAAGTCGACTCTGGGTGAAATCAGTACGTACCCGTTCCCTTCATTTTCTTTAGATGGCCTTGCAGACCTTTCGCTGCGTTGCTCCGCATAACTAATTTAGTTTCGAAAATGAAAATATAGGTAACCATATGGCTGTCGACGCGGAGAGCTGGATGCAGGCCGTCCAGCTCCTACCGCTGTCGTTGACCATCCCATTGGAGCTAGGTCTCTCTAGCCTGCTACTGTATCGGCTGCTCGGATGGTCCTTCGTTGCTGGACTGGCGGTATTCGCGATCATCATGCCGATCCAAACACGGTTGGCAGCATTTTTACACTCCTTCCAGAGAAACAAGTTGAAGGCCATGGATAGCCGGTTGCGGCTCATGACGGAGATTCTGTCCAACATCAAGATCATCAAGTTGAGCTCATGGTAAAGGTGCACCAGCGCCACTATCGAATACGAGCACATCCCTGTCGTTGTCGCCAAGAGGACAGCTTTATTGACTCGAGAGTTTTTTTTTATTCTCGCTCACGTTTTGTCCATGCGCAGGGAAGTGCCTTTCCGGACCAAAATCGACGTGCTGCGAAATAAGGAACTGGGAGCACAAAAGGCTCTGGCCACTGTCCACTCGTTCCTGGTCATTGTATTCTCATCCGTCAACCTGCTGATTCTCCTCGCCACGTTTACAGTCTACTCATACTGGGGCGGTCCTGAATATACACCCGCGAAAATGACGCCTGAGGTCATCTTTGTCGGCATCACGCTCTTTACTGTGATGGGCCGACCTCTAGGGCTTTTGCCTCTCATGATCTCACATCTGATCATGCTCAGGAACGCGAATGGACGTATCCAAAAGTTCTTGCTGCTGGAGGAGATTGATTCAACGGCAGTGCAGCGTCATGGTCGCCTCGTATCGCCTTCTTCACTGGACGTGGAGGGTTTAGCAAAGGGCGTGAATAGTACGACTCTGGCAGTGCAGATCGAGAATGGAACGTTCGCATGGGAGAAAGAACCAGACGTTGAGGGGGTTAAGACTGCAACGTTGACCCTGGCAGAAGGAGAACGCCGACCGCTGCTCTCAGGGTCGTCCTTGGCCTCACCGACGCCGATTCGCGCGACGTTGTTGAATGTCAACCTTCAGGTTTTGGATGGGCATTTGACTGCGATCGTCGGACGGATCGGGCAGGGCAAATCGTCGTTGTTGAGTGCTATTATCGGTGAAATGTACAAGCAAGAAGGAACCGTCAATGTGTATGGTGATCTGGCCTATGTACCGCAGCAGGCGTGGATCGTCAATGGCAGCTTGAAAGATAACATTCTATTTGGCAAGCCCTTTGATCAGGAAAGATACGACCGCGTCATATTCGCATCAGGTCTAGTGCCGGATATAGAGGCTCTTCTAGCGGGCGATCAAACAGAGATCGGCGAGCGAGGCATTAATCTATCAGGAGGGCAGAAGCAAAGAGTGTCGCTGGCGCGGGCTGCTTATCAGGATGCGGACATCTATCTTCTTGATGATCCTCTCAGTGCTGTGGATGCGCATGTGGATCAGCATTTGTGGAGGTATTTGATCGGACCTAACGGACTGTTGAAGCAGAAGACGAGGATCTTAGTGACGCATGGTATCCATCACTTGGACAGTGTCGACCGGATTGTCGTGGTCAAGGACGGTATGATCTCCGAGACGGGTGAATACCTAGAACTCATGGCAGCCAAGAATGCATTCTATCAATTGATCACGGAGTATTCTGTACAGGAGAAGAACCAGCAAGCGGATGGGGGTCATGTCGCAGATGAGGGTGCTACAGTGGATATTGCACCCATAGGAGCCGGGACAGATGCGGGCAAAAAGGCGGCATTAGTGAACGATAGGGTCGCACTTGCGGCTGCTAAGAAAGATACCTCTGGTGGATTGGTTGTTGCCGAAAAGATCGAGGAGGGGAAAGTTGGCTGGAGAGTGTACCTAGACTATGCCAGAGCGATGTAAGTCCAATCCCTTTTGCCTTTTATGAATTTGCACTGCATCTTCTTGTTTGAATTTGTGTTTATTTATTAGTTGTTATTATTTATTTAATGTGGAATTCCTTAGTACACTTCACAATGCCTTTCTTTGCCTACTTCTTTACGCTCTCGGCCAGGCCTGTCAGGTTGCTACCAACTTCTGGCTGCGTTACTGGCTCACGGCAGATGAGCGCGAAGACGATCGCCCCGCTGCATTCTTCCTGTGTGGATACGCTGCTCTGGTCCTCCTCTTTGTGACGATAGATGTCACGGCCAACTACATGGCGAACGTTGTGTGCGGCATCCGCGGGTCCAAGACGCTGTACGATCGGCTGCTGACTCGAGTTCTGCGCATGCCCATGAGTTTCTTTGACACGACGCCGTAAGTGTTTATGGCGATGATAGTTTTGTTCCGCACGAAGATTCAATGAGAACCAGGAAAAATGGGTCTTTACGGCGTATTTGTTACTGCCTTGGTATTTTAGGATGGGAAGAATCGTCAACAGGTTCTCGTCGGATATCTCAACAGTCGATAGCCAGATTCCAATGGAGCTCCCGGGTCTACTTAGCTTCGTTGCCACGACTCTTTCGATCCTTCTCGTCGTCGCGTACTCGACCCCACTTTTCCTCGTCGCCGTTCTACCCTTAGGGATCGTTTTCTTTACAATCCAAGGTTACTATGTGAAAACCAGTGGTCAGCTCAAACGACTGCAGTCCGCATCAAAGTCCCCGCTCTACCAGCATTTCAGTGAATCCCTTGCAGGAGTGTCGACGATTCGGAGCATGAGTGGACAGACAAGCCGGTTCATTGAGGAGAACGAGAAACGGACGGATATGATTGCGCAGAAGACCGACCTGTTTATGCTCACGAACCGCTGGCTCACGATCCGAATCCAGACACTTTGCGCGACGACTGTATTTTTGGCGGCCGCGCTGGCGGTGCTGAACGCGGAGCGGTTGGACCCCAGCTTGGTGGGCCTTGCGCTCAGTTATGCGCTTAATCTGACGAATGTGATTGCGATCCTGGTGCGGACTGTGAGCGAGGTCCAGAATCAGTTTGTGAGCGTCGAGAGGATTCGAGAATACACTGAATTACCGGTCGAGGCGCCTCTAGAGACCGGTGTGCGTTTGCCGGAGAACTGGCCGCAACATGGTAGGATCGAATTTAGGGACTTCTCGGCCCGCTACAGGGATGGATTGGACATGTGTATCAGGGGCGCGTCGTTTACGATCGAGCCACAGGAGAAGCTTGGGATCGTGGGAAGGACAGGAGCGGGAAAGTCATCTTTGATGCTGGCGTTGTTTAGGATCATTGAGGCGGCGGATAGTTACTGGGCGCGGGCAAGCGACCCTTCTGTATCCGCGAGAGATCATGCGCTGGAGGATGCGACTCGATTGTATTCTGAGAGCCATGGAGGTGGCGGGTCGATCGAGATTGACGGGGTCGATATCTCGACGCTGGGATTGCAGGACCTCCGACGGCACTTGTCGATCATTCCTCAGGACCCTACGTTGTTTGCGGGTACCGTGCGCGACAACCTGGATCCGTTTCAGGAGCTCGAGGATGCGGAGCTTTGGGAAGCGTTGGAGCGGGCGCATTTAAAGAACCATATTTCGTCACTTGCAGGCGGGTTATCGTTTGAGGTCGCACAGGACGGCGAGAACTTTTCTATGGGACAGCGGTCGTTGATTTGTTTGGCGCGAGCGCTGTTGCGGAAGAGTAAGGTGTTGGTGCTGGATGAGGCGACGGCGGCGGTGGATGTGGAGACGGATGATTTGATCCAGAAGACGATCCGGAAGGAGTTTAAGGATCGGACAATTTTGACGGTCGCGCATCGTGTGAAGACGGTGATGGATTCGGGTAAGATCCTGGTGTTGGATCAGGGGCGGGTTAAGGAGTGCGATGCGCCAGAGCAGTTGCTGAAGAATAAGGACTCGCTGTTTTATAGCCTGGCGCGCCAGGCTGGCGAGATTTGAGGCGCATGTATGTGTACATTTTCGTAGAAAGAGCGGAATGAAGACATTAGAACGAGTACTCGGTCCTCTTCGATGAAGATCCTTGGAACTGATGCGGCACTTGGTTGTGTGGAGAAATTATCCAGCTTCTTCCTTACTATGGAGATTTCCATGTACAATAGCAAGAGCTGGCCCTATTGAGCCAATGAGCGACTTCTTCTATATCTACCTGCACAGTCCGAGGCGGTGTGTTCTCGTTGGACGGAATACCACGACATTTTCAGGAACCAAGACGTTGCTGCTCCAAGATAGTCAGCTCAGTGGATCAAGGACGCTCTGGAGAGCCGCGTCCTGTTACTGGACAACTCAGACGCGTTTTGTTTAGTGGCGCTTACCCTTTTTGGAAGGTGATCAGGAGCGCATCCAGCAGGATCATACATACATCAACACACCCAACAGCAACAACAGCAACAGATGTCAAAAGCAACGATCGAACGCAGGGCGATCAGCATCTTATACGACTTTCAAAAGGCGCGCAAGGTCTGGGGCGATCTTGTTTCGGATGGATTGACACAGGCGAATGCTCTAGTCAATGTGCAATTGCAACAAGGGTATGCAAGGATCTCGCTGCTCTCAGTCTGGCCTTTCAGCCGCCATAAAAAGAGTTGACCATGGAAAGTCATTTTACAGGGACAGCTGTCGCATCAGAGCTCTCCTAACATTGGAAAGCAACTCATTGGTTCATGAGATAGATATGTGGACAACCCCGGATATTGGCCGCCGGCATTGGATCAATTTTTGGATCTCAAGGAGCGCTTTGAGAGTAAACTCCAAAAGAAGGCGGAAGCCATGGCCCTGGACTTTGAGACGACCTTTGAGAAGCTGGTAACGAGACATCTGGATGCATGTTTATTTATGGTCTTATGGAATAGGCTGCGTTCTCAGTAATGGCACATAATAACGTCCATCATTCTGTGCCCACTGCTTTTTCACGTCGTAGAGCGCACAATACTCAAAGATGAAACTGCAGACGAGTCAGTTTGAATACTTGATGGAGGAAGCAACGGAGACTTTTGGCGAAGCATTCACATATCGGGAACCTCTGGGCAGTACATGCACGTTAGAACAGATCTGGATTCAGCTGGACCGGGTCTTTGAGCTCTACACACTACAGATCACGCTTAACAGAGAGATTCTAGATCAACTCGTCGCACGGAATCAGCACCATCAACCGCAGTTCATTAGGGACCCAGGAACCTTGAGTGCGCAGCGCGGAGGGTATTCGGATACGACAGGGGCTTCAGTTACAGAGAACACGGTTGATATGGGAGGCAATCATGGCCTGAGTGGATTCCTACCGCCGGTACGGAGGGATAAAGATCAAGGCATGATCCTGCTTTCCGCGTGGTTGAACCAGCCGCATCTCAAGCCGGACGTCTTGGTAGCTTTTGATGAATTTTGTCAAATTGAGCTTTTTACGAATGAATAAAAACAGCGAGGCCCCGGTTTGTACATGGAGAACGAAACAACATTGCATGACCAAAAGGAGTCAAGGGGCGAGAGAATTTGACTTTTGACTGTATGCATCGTAAAGTGTGCATGACAAGCAAAGCAAAAAAAAAAAAAAAAAAAAAAAAAAAAGAGATTATATTATGGGTATCTATATGGCTGTATGTGATTAGAGATAGATATCTGTGAGAGTGATTATGACCGTTCGTTATCCTATTGCGTGTAAAGTTTTGGGATGACAGGGTTCGCAGAACGATACAAATTATCGATGTGGTTCGAGCAGAGCAGGGCAACGATCATGACAAGCAGCTGGAGGGGGAGGATAATGAATGCTGCAGAAGACGTGCTGGATAAAAAATCCTGCTGGTATTGTAGGAATACACTTTCACAGGACGGTAACGGAGCCCGTGGAAAACAGCGTATGTCGTATGATGGGTAATCTCCAAGGGAACGGTATCCACAACAAGAGAGCTATTATGTGTATGAGCGTCGGACCAAATTGTGAGCCATGGTACGTTTGTATATCCTTCGATAAAACAGTTTAAAAAAAAACCAGGACTTACAGCATTTTGAATGATCAGGCGGTCATCGCGTGTGTACTCATTGATCCATGAAAACTTCAGCTTTTGGTACAAAGAGACGTGGTTCCTGCGGAAGCAGATGTATCCGATGGATGTGAACATTGCAAATAGCGGCCAGAGCAGGATCGCATAGATACTTAGAACCTTGCGACTCTGTCTCATAATACCAATGTAGCCCAACAGCGCAATGACGATCCCAAAAGGAGGTGTGACCATCATCACTTGAATACATTGAAAAAAGTAGGTTAGCTATGTTACCCCCAAGATGCATTAGAATACTGTATTTTCATTCATACAGCGAGCACATACTGTAGAGGGCGTTGCGGTTGGCGATCATCATGATGCCAGAGTCCAGGTATGGTTTCGACCACGTGGCGCCCTTCCAGGACATGACCATCACCACCGTGCACGCGACCGAGTAGAACAAAAGCTATATTGGTCATTGTTCATGAAAAAGAACACTTCTGTCAGTTCACGAACGATTTTGAACATAACCACTTAATAGAACACGCTCTCTTTTGCTTACGATGGAGTTTGCCAAAAACAGTAGCACTTTGCTCCGGGTCCAAGTCTTGAATTTTCGCATATTTTGAAACTCCCGCTCCTGTTCTAGCTGCAACCTTCCATCATCCTGTCGGTTCGTTGTAAAACTCATCATGCTCATTCCAGCCATTTGCTTGTCATGGTCCAGAGTTCTCCTCGACTCTGTTCCCAATTCTCTGGATTGTCTCCGTTTGTGAAACTCCTGCTGCGGCTGCTGCCATTGCGGCTGTTGTTGGAAATCGATGGACTGACGAGGGGATGATGGGTTCTTTGATATCGAAGGCGCGAATTGGCTCAGCATGGCTGTCTCGAGGATCGGCGACGAGATTTTTGAAAGCAGCGGCGCAGAGTGTTGGGATCCAGAGGTTGAGGGTTGTGACAAGGAGGAGGAAGCGTTTGGAATTGAATCGGTTGATCGTGTGAGTGGGGAGGATGGCACTAACGCGGATGGGGGTGAAAGAAATATAGTTTTATCATGAACCACTCCGTAAAGTGATGCCGGTAATGAGGTAGGAACATTATTGAGAGCGCTGAAGCTAGGATTGGCGACTGTTGTAGCAGTCAAGCTGCTGGAGGTGGAGGAGTCAGGGTAGTGGATGCGGCGGTCGGTTATTGGCCGAGTAAGTTCTTCAGAGCTACGCGAGTTTAGTGTTTGCTGCTGTAGTGGTAGCTGTCCCTGCTGCTGTGATTGCTGTTGATAGGCGTGAAGAGTAATATCGACATCGGGATCGTACTGCGATGCTCTGATTTGAACGAAGTATGGAATAACAAAAATAGGGTTAAAGTCATGGTCCGTGCGAGGGTGCTTCTTTAAAACAACAACTAGCCATTTTTGTTGGAGCCCTTACTTGGTTTGTTCATAGTACCTCTGTGTCCTCGATTCCGCCTGTGTTACCATGTTTCAGGGTCGAGATATGATGCGGGATCAAATAACAGTGGAATGTGAGCTTGGAGCGAAAGAAACAGCAGAGGTGTTCAGATCTAGCTGAAAGAATCGAGAAAGGTATGCTAAAGGATGATGGACAGGAATAAGGCATCCAGTTCGAACGCTGTAAACTGAAGAGAAATGTAAAGGTACTCGCAACGAACCTCGTTCGGTTGGGTAGGACAGAAATGAAAATAGGCAGCTGTGCTTCAAGATCGGAAGAGGGAAACGATAAACAAAGAACGACGTGGTAAGGCGAAAGGAGTGTCTGTGCAAGACAACTTACTGCCTTCTTCTGCCCTTCCTTATCTTTTTTCTCTGGCGGAACAAAAGACATCCTGAAGCTAAACAGTAACCACATCGATTGCCTCGGCCACACACCGCCACCTTACGTCTCTGTGCCTCCACCTTGGATGCCTTTCAGCCTCGTGCTATTGGTCCTTGTGAAAGACTATATGTGTTCCAAACTTTGCACCAGATGGTTTTATCGAGGGCAGCAAATCATGCTTGTCGGTTTGAACACGTCCCACAGAAATGAGGAGGCTCAGGATCAAGCAATTGAAAGAGGGGCACAGGACGTCCTTGTCTCCTTGCCGAATTAGCGCGACTCCCTTTTTTCGGTACCTCAAATATCTATCACAAAATCCTTGTTCCCATGACCCCCCTGTTACCATCCTACATAAAAATACATGCCGCTATGTAGGTCGTTATTCGGAATACCTGCAGTAGCCATTCAAAAACAGAACTACGTAGCGCCCGTGAATTAGACCTTTTGCCCATTTCGTTAGGCATAAGCAATTGACAGCGCCTGTCCTACATTCCTGGACGCAAGGCGATGTATTGCATAAACCCATACGCGAAAGAATGCCCTTTACTACCTGGATGTTTGCCAGGCACTGGCCTGGCAAGGCAGAGCGAACCGTAGAGATAATCCTAGTCAAGCACGCGTATTTATTCACGAAACTCAACAGATAGATCTAGACACTTTACAATGAGCTTGTAGTGTATGGGTATGGAAGGTTCGATATAATGGTCCTGGTCAAGGTAATATTGTACCATCCGCTTAGATATCATTGGAAACATTCTCTCCAACTTCCGACGCAATTTACACTCTTGAACAAAACTCTCATCAGTCGGCCATCCTAATTTCATACCGTCCAATCGCGACAAGTTGACCAATGTGAAAAACGGTTCGAAGCAGATTTGCAGAAATGCCCTATCGAGATCGTTCCAGGTCTTTCTGAGTAGTCCTACGCTGTCCTGCCAGGTAAACATTTTGAAAAAGTCCATTTGTGGGTCCGAGTAGATGGCTTTCCATGATTTGAACAAGAGAATATGGTAATGAGCCTTGAACGCCTTGGATAACCTGGCGCTCATAGGAGTCACTGAATAGAAGATCCCGAAGCATTTTACAACTTGGATATATTGCAGGCCAAGGTCAGTACATCCTAGAGAGTCATCCCAAGTCTCCCCATCTACAAGCAGTAGAACACGACGATCGAGAGAATCGTCAAACCTGGACAGCCACCGCACGTAAGATGAAGCAGGGATATCACATGTTCTATCATCAAGTGCTTTCTCGTTATAGCCATCGGCCTCGTATATGTTCGAATGCTGTCTGGCTGGAATCCGTTACAATAGAGACAATACATCTATTAGCTATATAGATCGCGCGTGCCAGTTTCTACCATGGTCAATGGCACAGCTAGATTTGCATATAGCCTTACCGATAAGAAGCGGCTCTCGCTTATCGGAACCATCAGCGTTACAGCACAGCAAAATACTTGCAATGGACATATCCAAGCCATCATTCGCATAGTGTGGGTTATGGACTCCCATCTCGCTGGATTGCGTAGGGTACATGAACAGATGCAAGACATCACACGAGTAGATGTCGTTCGGATTGTAGCCGTGGAGCATTGACCTCAGTCGCGTACGGTCCAGTGTAAAGCCTGCCGTAGGTTCACGGTGCGGAGAGAGCGTGATGCTGTGTCGCCTTTTGAATCCCTTGAGCCAGCCTGATGTGAACTGACAAGGCGGAAGTGGATTCGTGAGCATAGCCGATAGTGCCCTATGGATGTTTAGTGCTTGGGCTGTGATTTTCGTGTCTGTCACAGGGACGTGGTACTTGAGCATAGAATTGATCAGTCCCTTGAGGAGATTTTCCACGATGTAAAAAGGTGGTTCGGCCATGCGCTTCGTCGTCAGAGTAAGAGCAGCGCGCCTTTTACCATTTGCGAATGCTTGGACCGTCTCATTGTTCTTGAGGACGTCGTAAATGGTGGGGCGCTTGACCTTGGAGAGCTGACTGACTGCAGAGATGGATACGGATGGGTTCTGTTCGTGGAATTTGATGATGTCGAGTTTCAGCTGAACTGACAGGGCTGTCCTCGGACGCTTCGCCTCGCGATTTTCAGGGGTATTGTCAGGGGTCAGCTCGCTGGGCAATTCGATGGCGGCTCGTTTACGATCGCTCGCAGATGAATCGGATGGCCCCCATTCCTGAGACGATGACTCGGATGACTCCATCGCCTTCATAGACAAAAGTTCGCAGATGAGTAAAGGATTCTATTAGGTACCGTCATTAAATAGCCCTGAACAGAACAAACGCCAGGTACGATACCTGTAATGGCAAATTATCTCCAGTTTGTTGTCCCTGGACTTGCTGCCTCTTTTGCACCTGCTGGCCCCACTGTTGCTGATGCTGCTCATGATGCTCCTGCCTATACTGCTGTAATTGTTCCTGCAGCTGCCGGTCTTGCTCCAGCAGTTCTTTCGCCTGTTGCTGAATGCGCTCCCGTTGATTCAATAGACCCTGTAACTCCGGGGAGTACTGGCGCTGGTGCTGTAGCTGAGGCAGCTGCGAGGGACGTTCTTCAATTTCCTGAAGTAAGATATGCAGTTCTTGCGGCTGTGTAGCTGATTGCTGCTGTTGTTGTTGGTGTTGTGGTGGTGGTGGTGGTAGCTGTGGCGGTCGCTCCGGATACGACTGAATCTGTTGCAACGTGTTGGGATTGTCTGCGTGCGACGCACGGCTGGGCTCACACATGTCCAATAAAGCGCTAAGCGCGGTGCTGTAAAGCGCCTGGGGGGTTGCATCTGTGGACCCTCGAGCTGAGCTGCCTCTAAGGCCTTCAATTGAAGTCTCCGATAGAGGCAGAAGAAGTTCATATCCGTGGTGAAGGTGGTTTGAAGACGTGATACCGAGGTCGGACCGTGCGTCTTGAGTGTCAACCGCATAGGAGCTGCTGCGGCCATCTTGCTCTTGAAGATCCACCGGGGATAGCCATTGTAGGTTCATCCTTGTTGAAAGAAGGTAATTTGGTTCAGCGGGCTGAATAATTTGGCGAAGCTTGCCTGGTATTTATATGGATGAGCAGTAAGGAGGGACACAGGGGGGCAACCTTCTTTTAGTCGGATGGTTGATCCAGAGCAGGCCGCACTGTTGTTTTTTGTCGGATGGTTGATCCAGAGCAGGTCGCACTGTTGTTTTTTGTCGGATGGTTGATCCAAAACGGTTTGGTTCCTAGTCAATGCACATTCTTATGCCCAGCGTCATGGATTTTTCTTTGTCGGATGGTCGATCCTCCTTGAAACGACGGACGACTCGGAATAATCGCTCCTACGACTTACAGCTTACACGCATTGTCCGCACAATCTTAATTAATGTCAACCCGATCTCTGTCTTCATCTCACTCAAATGTTGACCCTATCTTGCGTGTCCTGGACATACCTATGTCCTCAAGTATAAAAGACAGCAGCGAGTCGCACTTGGTTTCCTCTCTCCTCATATAAAGCATACAAAACACACAAACCACACAAACCACTATCGCTCCACTCACCTGTCACTTCCACGATCTCAGGCGTCAGCGCTCAGCCTTTTCACAGACATGTCTCAAGCATCCCGCAATTTCCGCATAGTCTTCCAGACGCTGCCGCCGCCGCCACCACTACCGCCGCCAAATCCTGCGCAAAACCAAGATCAGATAACACCAGGACAGAACCAAGAACCGGACCCGGCAGTAGCTCAGATCAACCCGCCGCAAGTCCAGGACTTGGTATTTCTCGAGAACATAGTGTTGGATATATAGGATCCCGACTAGATACCATGATGGCTTTCATCCTGCTGGATAACTCTTGGTGTCGCCAACTCAACCCTTGTTTTAAAAATAAATAAAGCTAAAAAGCCAGCAAGTGAGTAGTAAACTGGCCGGTTGTACCTGAGACTGTTAACGTCCAATTGCCAACGATCTGACTGTCGTTGTAAAATAAAAGGCGATAATATGTTTACAAAGTCCTGAAAAGAGGATGTGTGTTGTGCGTGTGGACGTGTCATGTCCCTTTGGAGTAATAGATGGCGAAGTAGATCTGCTAAATGTCGTCGCGTTGAATTATAGCTGCAGACATCCCCTCAGTAGAACATGCACATGTTCACAATTGCAATATAAACCTCGAGACCCTACATCCAATTTCCCTTTTTATCCTTCACGAAGTACGCCACTAAACAGCATCCTTTCCTCCCACAGCCTACCACAATTCACTAAAACAACGGCTGCCTTTTCTCCGTTCGTAGACGAATATGAATCGCGCCTCCTTCAACTTTCGCCTCGCATCACACATGATGCACCAGCAGCAAAACTTGATTGAGCTCCAGGTACCAGACGCAGCACTACTGGACCAGGCATCCCATGCGATCATGGGCCACACAAACCAACCACAAATCCAGCCACAAATTCAACATCAAGCATCTTTGCAAGATCAACACCAGGTCCAGCTGCAGCCCGAAGGCTCGGTATATCTGGAGGACGCGATAATGGATGCTATGCATGGTCCAGCCTAGGCCCCACGGCATGTCCAACCTCAAGCCCCAAGTTCAAGTCGAACTTCGAGTCCAAATTTCCCAATCTATTTGGAGAACGAACGTAGGACATCCACTACGACCAATATATAAAGATACGTATCCTCGTCTGCTTTCTTTGTTGGATCAAGAGGATATATGGGTCTAGCAAGATCTGTGGCAATGTGTTCACCTGGCATCTCTGCGCGGATAGCCTGCATTGGATGATACCCTTTGCGTGTGATGTTAAATCGTTGACATGCTGTGCAACGTCTTATAAGGTCCAAACAATCATGGATAAGTCGAGGCCAAGTCTGTCTGTCAGCGTGAATGGCTTCCACCATTTTATGTGCTCCAGAGTGACCTTCGCCATGGGCTGCAGCGAGTACTGCTGACCTTTTGTCCTCAGGAACGATGTTGCGTGTTGCTCTTTCGTCTGAGTCTTGCATTATATGCATGTAGCATTGTAAAATATGCTCGGATTCTCTTTCAGGGACATGTGTTGTCGGCCATAATTCTGTTGGGAAAAGGCGAGAGAGGCGATTTGGAAGGATATTGAGAATACCCGGTCTGTAAATGATGTCAAAGTTGAACTGTAAAATCGTTTCTTGCCAGCCTGCCATGACAATTGGTACATTCTTTTGAGTAATCAAAAATGAGAGTGCGCGATGGTCCGTGTACAATGTAAATTTGCGACCTTTTAGATAGTGGCTGAATTTACAAAGTGCGAAGGCGATGCCTAACATCTCTTTTTTGGTAGCTGAGTACTTGCGTTCAGACGGCTTTAATGATCGCGCCATAAATGATATGTACGCAATATCATCCGGATGTTCCGAGCCGTTTGGCAATTGATACAGCACTGCCTCTATGCCAACGTTTGAGGCATCTGTGGCGACAAAGAACTCTTTGCTGAAATCTGGAAATACCAAGATCGGTGCTTGAGTCAAAAGCTTTTTGATCGAGTCAAAGCAATGTTTTTGCTGTTCGTTAAGCTTGAATGATGCCACGTTCCGCAGCGCATCTAGCGGTGCTGAAAGGGTGCTAAAGAGAGGCACATATTCTCTTAAATAGTTTACAAGTCCCAAAAAGCTTTGCATTTGGGTGCCAGTAATAGGGTATTCCACTTCCAAAATATTAGAAAGCTTATGCGGGTCAATGCGTTTGCCCTGAAGATCAACAATGTAACCGAGTAGGACTACTTGCGTCTTAAATAAATGACACTTTTCCTCATTGAGTATCAAACGTGCATCGGTCAATCGATCAATGACTTTTGTAACAAACCTTGCATGGTCTTTCCATGAAGGTGATGGGGTAGTTGTATCATCTAGATAAGGAGATAACTTGAAATCCTTAAGCAGTCGTGCCATCCCCCGTTGAAATAAACTAGGTAGATGTTTGAGTCCAAATGGAGCTCGTCGAAACATGTACTGTTGCCCGCGATGGGTGAAAACGGTCAATGGTTGATCATCTTCATGTATTGGTAAGCGATGATACGCATTGGAGAGATCCAATGTCGTAAAGACGGCATTTCCTGCCGCCGAATCGATGATATCAGGGATCAGTGGAATCGGGTAGTTGTCATCGGGTAGGAAACTGTTTAATAGACGTGTGTCTAAGCAAATTCGTACGCCTGTCTTGTTGCCTTGGGGGTCCTTTTTAGGTACGAGTGTCAAAGGATTATTATGTGGATTATTTGCAAGAGCAAGTGTGATGACTTTATCTTGAAGCCAGCGTTCGATTTAAGCATCAACTACTAGCATTTCTTGCTCTGCAAGGCGCCATTGTTTTCGATATACTACTGTGCCCTTGGGTACTGGTAGATAGACCTTCATCTCAGGTACAGGGCAGTAACTGTCCTTCGGAATGGCTACATTGGCTGCAAGTACTGGTTGAATTAAATTCAAGAATTGTTCCCTTGCCTCATGAAACTTTTTAGTTTGTTCAATGGGCGGTGTTGAAAGGGATACAACAGATGGAGGCTCGTCAGGAGTGTCCTGAATGTCACCTTTAAATTGAGATGCAGGATTTTGTAATCCCTGAATACTAATCCCAAAAAGGTGAAGAGTATCCATACCGATATGAAAATCGTGTGTTGGAAGGTTAAGGATCTCAAATGCAATTGGAACAGAATGTCCGTTACAATGCACAGTGATAAGATCGGTGCGTCCCAATCGAGGCACATTGTTGCCAGCATGTCCTGGACCAACGAGACCTTGTAATGGGTGTCTGGTCAGGTTATGTTTGATAACAACTGCTTCATTAATAAAACTGTGTGTGCATCCGGTGTCAAGTAAAGCATGAAATGGTACTTTGTCAAAGACTTTCGGTAGCTCAATACGATTATCAACTGGCGCTCATGGTTTCTGCTTTGATTTTCTTATGCGCTTCTGGTGTGAACAAATGTTCCGAGATGACCCTTTTTTGCTTTTGAGTCTGTGCGGAGCACGAGTGGTGCTCTGTTTATTATCCACATGGATAGCACAATTCCAAAAATGGGGGAAAGCTATATCATTATCTTTATTAAACGCTTGGTTTAACGCTTCCATATCAAGATCGCCTTCGAACGGGTCATCGCTCTGTAGGGTCGTCTCCATTCTCATAGCAAAATTCTTGGCCTTAATGGGCGAGGGTCTGGACTTCTCCAAGTTGATAGGGCAATGCTTGGGGTAATGCCGTTGGTTACAACTGGAACAAAGTGGAGTCTTGCATTGCTCCGTCGTATGGTTCGACAGATGCTTGCAATAGGCACATTTGAGCGTGGCAGAAAGCGCTGAAGCAACAGACTCAGTAGCCTCCGTCTTGACTCTCTTGAAGCCATAGGAGTTGCCTGTGTGGGCAAATGAGCGCCTGTTTGAACGGCTAAGGGCACCCTGTTGAGTACTGGGCAACCGTAAGGTATTCGAAGTAGCCTGAGAATTATTGTCCTCAGGCCCGGGACCTTTAAAGTAGTTAAGGCCCGCAATGAATTCGCGGACCGAATCCAAGTCCTCCTTCGGTGGCGAAATGTTCAAATGCTTCATGATCTGTCGTTGGTTACGCCAGATACGAAGAAAAGACAGTGTTGTCCAAGAGACGGTGGTGCTGAGGTTAGCAGCAGTTGCTGGAGTCTTGTCCGCAGTGCTAGTGTTCTTCACCACTCGTTCGATGCGCTTGCCATAGGCCTGATGGGATTCACCAGGCTTGCGCTTCATGACTAAGAGTGAACGCGACAATTCCAGCTCGGTCATCTGCGTGTCGTAGTGCCTAAGGAAAAGTTCTTTCGCATCTTTGCAAGTCAGGACCTTGGGCGGTTTGGCTTGAGACGCGTTGGAGACCAGGAGTTGATAGTCCTGAAAGAACTCCTTCTGCAGCGACGTATCCTTGATGGCCACGAACAATAACACGCGAGCATGTCAGGATCGTCTACGCGTTTGTAGCGCACTGTCAACCCTGTAATACAGTAAGATTCAAAACTGCTACAATGTTCTTACAAAATGTACTTCTCACCATCTCATGGACGATCCTTTCATTCAATCTCTTTCAAACTTCACACATTTATTGCCTCGGCATTATTAAAAATTACCGTAAACTTTCGAATCTATTGCTTAAGTAGTTGTTAAGTAATTATCCTCGGCGTATGACGTACAGTGCCGTTCAAAACTGAGCCAATGTTTTGCAAATTTTTACTCTGAGAGCTGGTACTCACAAACAAGTGATTCGATTACCTTGGGACTTTGTAGGAATGTTCTTTGGCCATTGTAGAAGACGTTTATAAAAGATGAAGTCGTTACCAGTAGCCATTGTAAAGTTATAGTCGTCGGTAGAGGCCACGTGGTTGGCTCAGTTTTGAACCATACCCACAAAATTTCCATTTTTATTAAAAAACTCATCTTTTTCAGTACTTGGTGTGCTTTCCCTTAGCCCTATGAAGGGCACAAAGCCGTCTGGGCATGCTGCTGATAAGGTTTTGGCAGTACTCCTTAGGAATGTTGTACCATTCCTTCGAGATGCGCTCCCATAGCTCTTTGCAACTTTTCGGCGGTTCCCGGTACTTTGCCAGCTGTTTCTTGAGGTACGCCCACATATTCTCGATCGGATTGAGGTCGGGCGACTGTGCCGGCCAGAACAGCAAGCGTCGGTCCTCCTCAGTCAGATTGGCGGACTTGAGGTATTGCTTGGTGACCTTGGCGGTGTGCTTGGGATCGTTGTCGTGCTGGAAGATAAACCCGTCCTGTGCCATGCCCCATTCCTCCACAGACATCTTCAAATCCTCTTGCAGAATCTGGATATACAGCTGGGAGTCCAAAGTGTCGTCAATCATCGCGATATATCCAGGCCCGTGCCATGAGAAACAGGACCACACCTTGACGTTCCCTCCACCAAACTTGACGGTGCCTTCCACAGTTCGGCCCGTTACTGCCCCTGGCGCGTCATCCCACACCCATTGCATGCCGTCCGAGCAAATCCGGTTGATTTTGGAATCGTCGGAGAACACCACTTCGGCCCAGTCGTCGACGGTCCACTCCTTGTACTTGTGCATGAAAGTAATTCGCCCTCTTATGTGCTTTCTGGTGAGCTTTGGCTTCCTGACCTTCTTTTTGGCAATCAATCCAGCTTCACTCAGACGTCGTCGAACTGTCGTAACGGAAACAGGCTCCGGAAGAATAGCATTTGCTCGATTCTTGGCGTCGACAGCGCTCCGGAAAATTCCTCTCTTCAGGTTTAGCTTGAGAAACTCGATAGTTTCCTTACCAATCTTTCTTGGACGGCCTCCCTTGCTGATCGGCATCTTTTCCTTATTGGCGGAATAGATCCTTGCGACTGCTCTTTGCGAAATATCGAGTCGACGAGCGGTTTCCTGAGTCGAAACATTATCCATCATCAGGCTTATAGCTTCCTTGAGCTTGAGTGGAGGGATCGGCCTCATTTTTGGCAGAATGATGTACCGTGGAAAGGTGTAACTATTTGCAAAAGAAAACGATCCATTGTTTATGTAAAAATATTTATAACACTACGTTTAGTATTTTTTTACGGGTATGGTTCAAAACTGAGCCAATGATGTGGCCTCTACCAACGACTATAACTTTATAACGGTTGCTGGTACCGACTTCATCTTTTATAAAGGACTTCTACAATGGCCAAAGAACATTTTTACAAAGTCTCAAGGTAATCCGATCGCTAGTTTGTGAGTATCAGCTCTCCAAGTAAAAATTTGCAAAACATTGGCTCAGTTTTGAACGGCACTGTATCATTGTAGCAGTTTTGAACCTTGGACGCCAAAAATCAAGAACGCGCTCTTTTTATTGGATTGCAAGCTGGATTAGTACTTTGTATGCTTGCCTTTCGCTCTATGCACCGCTCGGAGTCGTCTAGGCATGCTTCTGATCAGCTGGCGGCAGTATTCAACCGGAATCTTGTACCATTCTACCGAGATGCGCTGCCACAGTTCTTCATAGGTGTTTGGTACTTGCCAAGCTGAATTTTGAGATATGCCCACATGTGCTCAATGGGATTGAGATCAGGAGACTATGCAGGCCAGTAGAGAAGTCTTCCTTCCACCTCTGTGATGTTGGCTTCCTTCAGAAAGGCCTTTGTGACCTTGGCCGTATGCTTGGGATCGTTGTCACGCTGGAAGGTAAACTCGTCCTTCGCCATGCCCACTCCTCCACAGACATCTGCAAATACTCTTTCAAGATCTGGATATACCATTGCGAGTCCAAAGTCTCATCAATTCGAGCAATACACTAACTCCGGGAATTGAGTAAATGTTTTCCGATTTTTCATTCTTCTTATCAGAATAATTTATATGATGGACCCTCCTTTGTGAAATTCAACCATGTTGTAGTGCTGCCTCCAAAGCGTCAAGCATAGTTCATTTGAACTGCCTACTACATTACTAAAGAAGGTACGAATAAATGTTTGATACCATGTCATTTACTCAATTTCCGGCACCTAGTGTTTTTATTTCGTACTCGGATCTTTCCCACCAAGTCCCTACCAAGTCATTATTCTCAGTAGCCAGTGTGACCTCCATTAGCATTCTTCAGCGCCTCAATCCTTCGCGGCATGCTCTCAATTAGGGTCTGGCAGACTGAAGCCGGAATATTGTTCCATTCGACTTGCAATCGTTCCCACAATTCGATCATTCCCTCAGGAGGCTTAGGATAGTTGGCTAGTTGCCTCTCGAGATGCTCCCAGAGGTGCTCTATCGGATTCATATCTGGAGAGCGTGCGGGCCAAAAGAGCAAGTTGTAGTTCTTTTTCTCGAAAAATCTCCTTGATACTCCCGCGGTATGCTTGGAGTCATTATCCTGCTGGAAAATCATATCCTGTGGCCGGATCCCATACCACTCTTGCGTCAATGGAACACACTCCTCAAGGATCTCGACATACAACTCAGCATCCATTGTCCCATGGATTTGAGAGATGAAGCCTGGTCCGTCATACGTCATGCAACCCCACATAAAAAGATGACCTCCTCCGTACTTGAGCGTCTCGTCAACGAGCCGGTCCTGGTCGCCGATTTTTGTGTTCTTCCAAACCCAGACCTTCCCATCGGACCCGTATCGGTTGATCCTGGTTTCATCTGTCCATAGAACCCGTTTCCAGTCATCGATAGTCCAATGCTCATACATGCGGACAAAATCCATACGTTCCCTGCGATGATTGGCGGTCAGTTTGGGGCGCTTGACCTTTCGCATTGCCGTCAGTCCCTCCTCCCTGAAGATCTCTCTGACCCTGTTGGTAGAGATGTTGATGCCCAGTTGCTCAGAGAGATGCTTCTGCGCATCAACGGCCGTTTTAAGATCGCCGTTTGTGATACGTCGTACGATTGCGCGTCGAGTGGTTGGGGATACCTGGCTTCGACGGCCGGCTTTGGCTGGAGGAATGCTCTGTTTGACTGTTTGCGCAATTTGGGACACTTTGGACTAAGAAACAGAGTACTTCCAAGCAATCTGTCTTGTGGTCATACCTGTAAGACTTGTGGGTGAGCGAGGAACAACGAGGTGAAAACGAGGGAGACGAGCGAACAAGGTAAGTGAATAAGACGACTATGTAAAGATAATAGTTTATTGACTAGACTGTTGTGAGTATATGAACTGGGGTTCAACTACATAGTCTGTCCTTCCTTATATACATCAGACGAATAAAGGACCTGATTAGTAATCCATGGTTCTAGACGTTTCGGTGTTGCCTTTGCTCATCTTTACATCATGGAGCTTTCTGTGATGAGGGCGACGTTGATCCAATCTTAGACGCGTCTAGCGTCACATGACAATACCAATCAGAGCTAAACTCTGACAAATGGTAAGGGATGAAATAAACATAGTTGCTATGATGGTGGGAAGAAGAACTACCGCTTTATTATATGGTGATGATAGTATTTATACTGCTATGCAGATCATGTGCCTAACAGTTGCAGGATGACACGGATGGCGAGGGAGGTATTAGGATATTAGACGGGTGACAGTGCATAATCTAGACTTCAATATTCCCGCCGGATATCTTGATTCTTCCCTACCAACCCGTAAATCGCCTACTAAAGCTAAAAATTCTCATAAAGGTATCAAATACGTCACCGAAGTCCGATGCGCGGATGTCCTTACGTTTTTTTTCATTAATCCTTTTTCATCATTCTCTTCCATCATTTCCACAGCAACCCATCCTCACTCCCACGCCCTTTTCATCACACCAGCTTGTATCTCTACCCCACGTTCTTTTCGTCACACTATCACGCTCTTTGTCGCCCTTCTTTTTTCCTTCCTAACCATTCTCCCCCTCTTTTCTTACTGTCCTTTATTCTCTCCATCGGCGTTCTCGTCCTCGTCTCTCTTCTATTTACAATTGTATTTTTGTTGATCGCCACGCCTTTTGTTCAATTCCTCTGTTCTCTTTGGTTTTTTTCATCCTTTCCCTTTCTACTTTTCTTACTCACCACACGTACACATACTCTCCCTCTCTCTCTCTCTCTCTCTCTCGACATCCTTTCTGACGCAGAGTCGGTATAAACAAGGCAAGTTTTTCTCTCACTCTTCTATTCTACTGTTCAGACCCTACATCCAAACTTTGCTTCGACCATGAGGAATACAGTCTCAGCCCACACTGAAGCCCTACGCCATGAGTGGCCCCGCTTCCTTCGTTCCAGCAGATACACTTCTAGGCTCTGCTAAATGGGGGAGCGATTGCAACGTTGTTGGCCACTTGTCTTAAACGATTTGAAGCTGTGAGTCTAATTGTCATTCTATGATTGATCCTTGTGTATATCTCCATGTTAGCAAATGTTCTCGAAGGAACAGTTGCGCTGGGCCAAGGTCAAAGTCTCTGGCGAGAAACATGTCACGTTTATAAACTTTGTCACAGAGTTCAAACTGACCAACAGACTATTGGCGACAGATACCTATGCGGCCCTCATCGGCTCAGAAGAAATACGAGAACGCAGACGAGAGAAGTTGCAGGAATCTTTCAATGTATTCCAAGCGCACCATGCGGATACATTTTGGTCTGAAAGACGCCTTGAAGTTAGTTCGGAAATCACCGCGAATGGCGCAGCATTGGATTTACAAGCAGCAGCAGCAGCCCAGTCACGGAAAGGGTATTCTAAACTATCATCGAGGAGTACTAGTGAGTGCCTTTATCGTCTTACGTTAAGTGAGTGTCACTTTTATGTCTATTATCCTATATTTGTACCAGTGTGTATTAATCATGGGTTGTGTATCCATCAACATTATCATGGTTTGATATTCACGAAAATACCAGTATCTACCCTAGGTGCGCAATTTGACTCGGACGTCCCGACTGACAGTATGAAGCAAGATGGAGATAAAAAAGGTGTCAATCCGCCGAATCGAACAAAAAGCGACAGCCTACTGTGTTGCTAGGAACCTTAGAGGATCAAGAGCTGCCTCAACAAAAAAGAATCGCCGGCAGCAGGAGCAGCATCAGGAGGAGAATTAGGACCTGTCAATTCAATGTTTCTTTGACTCTACTACCATCATCCTCTCGGACCTGAAGATTCAGGGTATCGACATTGGAACGCCGTTCATGCAACTGCAAAAGGATGCTGCCACCATTGTTAATGATTCAAGGATAACGCTGACGCTCGACCTTCTGCCTTTCTTTTTGTAAGTTCTGTTATTTGAATGTGGGCATCGCAACTGTAATATCGATATTATATTAACCTGTGACTGCAACTCTTCCTGTATACAAATAGGGCTGCCAACTACGTTTGGGATGCGAGCCACAGATTACCGGGCATATCAAGTACAGACCATGATGCTCTTCAAGAAGCATTGCGTATTCCTGTCATTCGCCTGTCAGACCATCTGGTGTTGTTCTGTCGATCTCTGGAGCGCGATATTTTGTCTTTGGGTTATATCAAGTCGCGCGACACGGCATCTAGAGACCACGATATTATGCTAGGACTATTTCAGCAAGCGTGAGTGATCCATGTCGATTTTTTTTTGGACAAGACGGAACATGTGCCGCTCAAATGTATCGCTCAAATGTACTTTTTTAATTTGTTTTTTCTCAATTATTATTGTGTTTAAATGTAGGAGCCTAAAGCTTCCCAGGAAGTTCTTGTCGTTCAAGCATCTTAAAAACGAGGACACTCACGCGCACTCCGCCCTCGACGCTCTGTTGACGTCCATATTCCCCGCGAACAACTACCGATATGATCTTCATTGAGCAAATCGACCATCGGCGGGGTCTAGTGATCGCAAGAACGGGGATGCGCATAAGCCGGATGCAACGGTGCTCAAGGATGGCTTCGAGATGGGCTATTTGGAGATAAAGCCGCCGAAGGAAGAACGTCACCAGCGACTATATCTGGAAGATATCTGGGCGCTTTTAGGATTGGCTAAGGATAACATTGATTTTCATTTCAGATGCCATCGAATCATCACTACTATTCCATGTGTGTTGGTGTTCGGTAAGTAGATTGCTGGTGATAATAGGGTTGGTTTGGTCATGCGAACTTTAGTTGCTTACTTTGGGACTTCATTTGGACCAACATTAGGTTTTCAGATGACATTATACCAGCTCTCCTTCCAAGATGGTATCTATGTGTGGCTAGACGTCCACACCGCTTACTTGCCGAAGGACCAATATGACATCGGCAACATTGTGTCCTGTGTTGAGTTGCTCAATGCTTTCAAGGTAATTAATATCCGATGTGTTACCTGATAACTCTGGATCCCCATGTACTGGTCGCGTAGTATGTCGCTGATTAGTGTTTGACTATACACTTAGGCCATACTGGATGAAGCTGAAACAGAACGGTATACTCGAACGCCACCTAGGCATGCAAAGGACGACAAAAAACTTCCAGAATTGTATTGCCCACGGCCGACTAATCTTACCCCTTCCAAAAGACCGTTTTTCGGATCAGGAAAACGCATGTCTATGTAGATGCTTGGAAGGTAGGAATATACAGATCCTTCAAATGACATTCCGGTCATACAACTCATATTTCGAAAGTATCCTACTGTGTTTTCGTCGGAGACATGTTTGACGCTCTTGTCAAGCTTCTCTTTCCACTCATTCCCTTGCACTTTCTTGCTTCGATGATTCGCAAAATAAACACTCTAACATTTACTATGCACAGACGCTTATGACAATGAATGGAATAGAAATGGGAGAGCAGAAGTCCTTCGATTTTGTAAATTCGTAGAACTATATTTAGATGCAGTTCACAAGAACAATATCAGATAGACCCACCGATTCTCCGTCGGTGAAAGCACTAGCCAAATCCCCCCCCCCCCCCGTTAATGTCCAGTGGTGCAAGGAAGGTGTGAGATAGATCAAAGCAAAGATAATAAAATCGAGGAGTGTGCGAGGAATTGTGGCCAAACAGAATGAAGTGTAAGTGTGGATGCAGGAAGAACGGATAGGATAAAATGAGGGTAGTAAAACAGAAAATAGCTTTATTGTTAGCCGAGGGATGTAAAGTGCAAAATGAGCAGTAATTAAATGTTACGACGAAAGCAGGATATGACATAAACAACAGTCTAGAATATGACTGTAAAAGAACAGAATGCCAGAAAAGGGTAAGAAGGCACGAAGGCAGAGAGTAGATAGGCAAAGGTAGAGGTAGAAGCACCATACCTTGCACAACCCCCTTAAGTTATCCAGCAGATGAACAAACAGTGGCGACGCGCCCACGACATCGAAGGATCAAAAAGCAACGTCGCTATGAACGCTTGGCTGCCACAAGCCAGTTATCCCTGGGTGGGGATTGCGCTTGCACCATTCTATGGACTTCCTAATTAAAAGCCCACCTATCAAACTTTAATTTGCCTTCACAATCATGGTGGCGAATCCTACCTGCATTGAAATTCATTAACCTGCATCTCCTGGCCCTTCGCAATGACGAGTGCTTTTCCCAACCGTGCAGTATCCACAATACGCCGACCCGACCCCAAGTACCTTTCCGAGCTCTTCCCAGAATCTTCTCATAAGCTGTCTGGTCGTGTGGTGTTTTAAGATTCCAGCATCTGTAAAGCCGTACTCGAAATCGCGATATTACGAAGTAGTAAGCGAGGGTCGAGGTTCAGGGAAGAGGATCTGGCTAGACCAACGGCAATGAATATGTCTCACTGGATCAGCTGTAGCTGATGATGTTAATGGCACTGGTTCTGTCGGTAGTGTTGGCTCTGAGTCCGTCGACACTGTCGGCGCTGACGTGAGATGGGTGTCCGGTAGCAATATTTAGCACCAATTCTTAGATACACACGTCAAATTAAAAAATAAAAACAAAATCGTAACACTTGATTTTCGCATGTGCACCTATAACTAGGAAGGGAGAAAGCGAGTTCCAGAAGATGACACGCTTACACACGGGATGCTTGTTCAGAAGGATCCAGAGATCACAATGTTGAGCGTAGCAGCGTTAATCTTGAGTACGGCCTGGTTAGGTCGTGGGCACAGATCATGGATGACGGATTTGCTTAATATTGTGCTATTGGACCTTCGAGGCCGTTTTTCCTCGAGGACAATGGGTGTATCCATGACTTGGTCTTCTTGAATTCGAATGTTCAGTAATAAGAGATATTAGAGTTGTTTGTTGAACTGAACTGTGAGGGAAGAGGCACCTTTTTCATATTCATTTATTGTCGACTCCAGGAATCAGCTGCGCCCGAATGCAGCAGCTATACACTCCATCTGGATAGACTGATCGGATACAAGGAGGTTTCTCGTACGTCAAAAAATAGGGTATTAGGGTACAAAAGACGCGTCGAAACAAAGTAGATCGTTCAATTGTGTAGACCCTGGATTATCGAACCTTAACCAAAATGCACTCTTCGATCTTCTTTCTTTCGAGCGCGGTCTATTGCTTATTTGGTCCAATTGGATATTATTCCTGCAGCTACTTCAGCGCCAGAGTGCCTTTTAAAGGAAGTACGGCGAAGATTAGTGTGTCTGGACCGAAATATCCGAATATGGATCGGGATAAAAGTGCTGACAGGTTTTGGCGATGATAATTATACTATTATTATTATTATTAGGCTGGATATGCTGTATGCTATGCAAGGGTAGGTATATATCTACAAAAATAAAAGGCCGGAAAAGCCGACCCCTGTTTGCTTTCCGAAATAGAGTATCATGGGGGGGGGGGGGGGAGCTTTTTTTCTTTTACACTTGAGGTGGAACGCTGGCGGTGCGACGCATTTTCTCGCGTCTCAGACGGATCTCCGAGCGAGCCATGGCCATGGTGATGAGACCGGGGATGAGGATCCAGGCCAGAATGACCAACCAATTGATCCACATTTGCTCCCTCAGACTTCCAAAGTAAATGGCCTTCAAGCCCTTGACGGCATAGGTGAAGGGGAAAACAGTGCCGACGCGGAAGAATCCAGGCATCAGAACCCAATCCAAAATACCACCCGAGGATGTGAACATGAGAATCATGAACATGGTTGCGGGGACTTGGAAGCCATCGACGGTTAAAAGGTGCGAGAGCAAGAAAAGAGTCGAGATGAAGGACATGCCGACGAACCAGATAAACGCAAAGGCAATACCAGCGTTGAAGTGTGAAGACATCTGGTGGCCGTCCAAAACCTGAGGAACCATCCAGATGAAGATGGTATGAACGAGGGAAAACATCAGTGCGACAGTGTTACGTGCCAAGACAATGCGGAGGGCGGGAAACTTGGGGATCTGGGCAGTCTTCTTGTCGGCGCTGATGTTTTCTTCGGAGCCAAAGGTCAAGACTCCAACGGTCTCGATGGTGTTGGGGAGATACTTGCAGATACTGTAGACTGCAAGCATAGATCCAATGTAGAGGACAATGAACTGTGGGCACAGAGATAAAATGAGAGCGATAGTTAGCGTGTGCTCTGATTTAAACACGATGATGTTGCTTTAGGGGAGAAACGAGGATAAAGTACTTACAACGACGTAGGTGGCAAAGTTCTGGCCATAGATCAGGACGGGGTTCATGATTGTCTCAGTCAAGTGGATTGCCTGGACCCAGAGGACCGGATGCATATTTTGGAGCAAGGTCTGGTTGGCGGGCGATGTGAGAAGACTCTTCTCAAACCCCTTGGTCAACACATCGAGAGACTTGGATATGTACTTTTCGATGATCGAGTGCGTGCCGTAGGCGCGTCCTTGGTCAAAAACGTACTCGATATCAACGACCTTCAATGAATCCGTGGTGGCAGGACCAGCGGTGGTGGAAGGGGCATAGGATAAAAAGTTGTTGGAAAAATTGGCGGGAATGTAGAGAAGGCCCCAGGACTTTCCTTTCTCGACATGATCGACCAAGGAGTCGCGATCCCAGCCAGGCTCCTGAGTCTTGTCGACCCAAGATACAACATGGCTGAGCTGGCCCTCGGGGTTCATGATCTGGCCCTCGATCATGGATCCAAGCGAAGAGTTGTGGGTGATGGTCTGGAACAATTGTGCGAGTTGAGGAGGTGTCTGGGAGTAGTCGAATCCAGCGTCGGCGTTGTAGAGGATGATCTCGACGTTCTTGACGCGAGTCACAGGCGACCAAAGAGCACCAATGTACAGCCAAATGTAGACGATCATGACGACGGAGGTCACCGCCAAGAGGATCCAAGCATTCTTCTTCAGCAGGTGGGGGAGGACAAAGAGCTGGGGGAAGGACTCGTGAAGGCTCTGTTTGAGAGGGTCACGGTCCTCAGATTCAGGGTTAGAGTTAGAGTTGGTGATGGAGGCAACAGTGGTGGTGCCGTTGGCCTGATGAACGGGCGCTGTAGAGGATGTCGAGGATCGGGAGCCATTGTCCTCTGTCTCGTCCTTCTTTCCGAGTGAGGTCATGTTGAATTGCTGTGGTGATGGCGCGTTGTGTGCGGACATAGTTTATCGAAGGCGTCACTGAGCAGGCGGCGGCGGTGGTGGTGGTGGTAGTGTTGGTCGTAGGTGTATAAGTATGCAAACGTTGGATGGCAACGAGGGTTGGGTGTGTGCAGCTTCGGTATGTGTTAGACGGACTTATGAGATGCAATTGTGTAAAGGTGAGATAAAGGTGAAGAGAGAAAGCGAGAAGTTGAGGTGGAGCTGGTTTTGGAGAAGTAGAGGACGTGGGAAAGAGTGGATCAAGGAGCTTTTTTATATAGTCTCGCCATATAGCCCATGCACTAAGCCGACGTACCTGCCCGGAAATAGACGGGCGGCCAGAACGGCGTGTCCAACAGAGAGATATGTCATAGACTAAATCTGAGAGGGAAAACATGGCAGCCGGGGTTGTTTACCAATAGCTGCGGTCTTTATTTCAAATAAGCATTCCTTCACCATAAATTTCATTTTTGAATAAAAAATGTATACTAATGTTGAACCCTAATTTATATTTGTGCCGGCGATCGAATGAAGCCGACCAGTCGCAAGAGCAGGCACACCATTATTAGGTTGGCCCTCGGTATCTCAAATGTCCCATTGCCGACACGGTGACCACTGCCTCGCTTTATCCTTTTCCAGGATCCGTTATTCATCCCATTCTATCCCATCCAACTTGCCAAACAGTGTTCCTAAACGGGAAGCCATCGCCCATACTAGCAATCATCCATCACCCATCGAACGCGGCAGCAGCTATTTCGTTCATTTTTGGCTTATCGAGATCACCAGCGCATTGCTAAACCAGCGATTGGCTGTGCACAAGCACGCCTGTTGATTTCACATCACAACCTACATTTGGAAACACACGGTCTACCGTCCTCGCTCTCTCGTGCTAAACATGAGCGCTGGATGTTGTTGACAACACTCTTTTCAGTGATGCTCCGCCATTATTCCACGCACTCTTTCTCATTTTTCATTCTAGCTGATCTGCACTTTTAGATTATGAGCAACACGCATGTCTCGAATTAGATACAATCACTCTAACGGGCGCGTATACAAAGCAGGCTATCGCCGTATATCTGGTCATTGACGCCATGCTCACCTATGACCCATGCACGGCATTAGCACGTTATGCATATTCTCGGAGAAATGAACGGAACCATGGTGACCCTCATGCCTCGCACTGCACTACCAACGTGATCTATAAAATTGAGCGGTTGTGCATGAGGGCAGAATGAGCTTCTATTTCAAATGGTACTTCCATTTTTGAAAAGTATTTGGGCAGGTTATGCAACGGGGCACTAGTGGCTCATTGATACCCCAGAGAAGGCACCATGTCCCCGCTGCTGGCAAAAAAAAAAAAAAAAAAAAAAAAGGTCTCATTGAACCCTTTTGACATTTCAAGAAGTCCCTGCTTATGAAGACCCAAGGATTGTTCTAGGTGAACGCGGCAAAGAATATACGCGAGGAATGTAATGACGATTCAGGGGAAGAGAAGGCTGATCGTTCATCCCCTCGAATAAAAAATGCTTATTTTTGCTCGGAGGCAATTAAGCCGAATGTCCATTTGCCCTTCCCCTTTTGGGCCGTGATTGCATTCTACGTACAACCACTGTGCGTGCTGTCGCACGTATTGTTCATGCCCCTGTTTCTAATTGCACAAAGACCAGAGCATAGCATTGTCACATGCCAGACTTCATAAAAAAAAGGGAGCCAGGAGGTTGGGCTAACGCTGATCGTCGGGGCTAGCAGGAGCTCTGCTGCTCTTGTTCTAAACTTACCAAAGCCAGCGCAAATTTACGGAGAGCAAGGGGGGTAATACTGAGCTTGAACATGTTTGATCCTTCGCGTCTTGTACAGGCAGCAGATGTATCAGCTTATGAAGTCGCGTCTTTGTGTCTTTGTGGGGTACAATTTTTTTTTTTTTTAGTGAGGACAAGCTAGGAGCCGTTGATCACTCTTCTGGATTATGGGACGTGTTGGGAATGCGGTGTACATTTCATCTTGGTCAGCAATCTGCATGGGAGCCATCGAGGTTAAATATGGTAGGGCGGTACAATTTTTTTTACTCCACGTACGGTATACTTTGACCATGCAACGATCGTCTTGTGCTCTTGGCACAACCATCACCACAAAGAGACACGACAAACATGTACCATACACAAGAACGGGAAATTCCTCCACGTCCACAATCTTCCAGTAATGGTCAAGCGCGGAACAACGTCCCTATAAACATTTATTGATGGCCAGAGTTGGTGTGGAGTTCTTCTCCACAGACACACTTTGAAGACTACCGTTTTCTGTAGTGAATCCAATCCATAATCCTAGCATAGCACACCATGACCAATGGTGTTGACACGCTGTAGGGTGATACACGTTGATTATATTCATCCGCTTGTTCAATCCGCGCCCAGGTGCATTTGCATATGACCATTGGTAAATCCTTTGCGCATGACGACAGGACCTGCAATGCCCATTGCAGTACGCCGAGTATCGTCTCATTTTTCCAAACTGTTCTTTGTGGAAGCAGAAGAGAAACGAGCACGACCATAGAACATGATGAGATGTTCTGTAAGGGTTAGCTCGGCACGTCATGCATTTCTTCCAGCGCTCGATCCCGCAGTCAGCAAGGGGTTGGGGTGTTGAGTAGCTAACCGTGCATGTATACCGCCTTTGTAGCGTTCTCTGTGTTTCTTCAAACACGTTTCTACGACGCTACAAGGTGGGTGGATAGCTGGGTGGATGGCTGGGTGGATGGGCTGGTTGAGAAGGATGGAAAAAGCTTCCAGCTGCAGCAGAATATGCAAGACAAACAAATGTACACAACAAGACACAAAAAAAGGGGATTCCCAGCAGTAAACAGCAAAGATAGGTTTTTTTTTGCTATGGATGTAGTCCTTACCCCAGCATGCTGCTTGCGATTCATGTGTAGCGCTGTAAAAAATAACATGGTTGGGGAAAACAATTTATTCAATTTATTACGCGATGCACGAAAGGGCCATGTTGAGCACGCATCGGAGGGTTGAGTGCGAAGAAGAGAGGATAGACTGAGGATTACAATATCATGGAGCATATGTTACAGCAAAAGAAATGAAGAGAGTGAGAGAGGGTCTATTTGGCATGAGCATTCACAGCAGGCAGTTGGCGGCAGGCCATTGGACGGGTTATGCCAGTGTGTAAATGCAAAGACATAGACGGACGAAGAACGAAGCTGGATGGGTTGCTGCATGGATGTATAGGGGGCAGGTGGGAGATGGGACAGTGGGTTCAAACAGTGTTTTTTTTGGGTTCGGGATAAGACACTTTCATATGTCTGTGCCCTTAGTTGGTATCCGCTCCGTTCCTCAGTCGATCGTGCTGCCCTCTTATAAACCCTTTCTCTATCTTTTTGATCCCCCTCTTTTCTACTTTATCCTCATCACTACCACCCATCAAAAGGCCGTACTGCACTGCAACTCGCTTCCCTGTTGTCCTTTTCCCTCTCCGTCTGACCCTCTTTGGAGGCAGCATCCTGCCTTTTGCTCCTTGTCTTTGCTCATCCTCTGCTGTCTGTTTGTTCCCTTTTCTCCAACATACAGTACATACAGTGTTCTTTCCTTTGAACAGCCAGTCTCTTTCAACCCACGACACTCATCGCTCCCTCCTTCCAGAATCGGCATCAGATTCATCTCTTCCCCATCCTTGATCTCTAGACCCCTCTCCCTTCCCCTTTTTGTGTGTTTGTGTTCTTCTTTCGGGTGTCTTTTGTATCACCCCATTTTTTTTTTTTTTTTGAAGTCGCACACTTCTTTATTTTCACACTAGTCTATTTTTTCACAATGGACCCGTTTTCGATTGTCAGGAACAACCTGCCCTCGCTCCCCCTCCTCCAGCGACGGTCCAGCAGTGCTGTCGTCAATGTAGTCGTCCAATCCAGTCCCACCCGTAAGCACGCTGGTGCCCAACCTGCACAGCCACCCAATCCACCCCATGCACCGACCACCCCCACCCCCACCAGTATCACGACAAAACCCATTGCTGCCAACCCCGTGGTTGTCACCAAACCACGCAGCAACCCTCAGGCGATCCTGCCAGAGCTGGAGAAGAACGACGAGGATATGTACCGTCGCTTCGCCAGCCGCCAAGCTGACGACGCGGATGATTCTGAGGAAGAGGAGGAGGAAGAGGAAGAAGACTCCAACAGCGACTCTGATCAAGTCAGTATCCACACCCTTCTCCTTGATCCAGTCAACCCTGCCACTCCTACCTCTGCCACTTTCACTCCCACAGGCCACAGCACTTCAAGTCGCAAGGCCCTTTTTCGGCACTCGTCTTTCCACACTGTCCAGGCCAGCGCTATTGCAGCCGATGCTATGCCACCAAGGGCGTCCATGGATAGTTACCTGGACCGCGCTCGCGTCATCAAGCCCTCTCCTGCAGACACTGTCCAGGCCACAACCATGGTTAGTCGTCCACGTCCCCCCCACCTGCGTCACATCCGCTCTTCCTCCACCCCTGCCTTTGTTGCACTTTCCTCGCCCCTTTTGAACCCCTCTCTTCCAGCATCCGAGGATGTCTCTGCCTCGGCCTCAGTCCTCAATATACCCGCCGTTACATCCGAGCCTGACCAGAAGCAAGAGCATGCGGAGGTACAGCAGAAGAAGCATGAGCACGTCGATAGCTCGAAGGCCTCTCAGCCTCAAGCCTTACTTCCTGGGTCTCGCACTTCGGCCTCGGCCAACGATCTGGCCATTGCTGCTGCTTTCGCTTTTGTCGAGGCACGCGCTGAGGCGGCTAGGGCAGCGATGATGACTCCGCCCATGACTCCCAAACTCACCGCAACACCTGTCGCACCATCTACCACGTCCTTCGCATCTGCGCCAACACCTGTGCCTGAAGAACCAAAGCCTGCACCTATTATTACACCAGTTGCTGCAGCACCATCACCGCCACCCAGCATCCTCACGCCTACATCGACCCCTTCCCCCACATCGATTGTACCAGCTCCTTCATCAACCACGACTCTACCACCCACGACCTCTTCGTTCCTTTCTTCATGGCATGGACGCTCTCGATCCATGATCTCAACTATCCCTCGTCCCTCACCCCTGATGTCCTTTCGCGCTGCGCGCTCAGTCGTCAGCTCTGTGACCTCGGTTGGCACGGGCCTGTTGCCATCGAAAGAACAATTGGGTGCCATCCCCGTTGCGGGTAGGATCTTGAATCACCCAGTGATGGACTCGACCCTATCCTACATTGCGACGAAGGCCTCGGAGAGAGGCATTTCCTTGGCGGCATTGACAGGCCATGACCCGAAGAAGATGATCTTGCCGGAAGATGTGCCCTACAGGCAATTGAATAAGAAGATGATCCAGCAAGCGATGACGCTCTCGGTTCTTGCGGTCCAAAAGGAGGAGCAGTCCAAGATGATTGACGATGAGGCAGCGGATGATGCCTTCGAGCTGTACCTGATGGCGGTTAACTCACTCTTGCATGCCTTGCCTTGTAAGTCTTTCTTTCCTTTGCTTCTCTAGGGCAGTTTAATATTTAGCTTTCACTCAACTAATCATTGTTGAAAAAATGTGTATCTCTAGTCGAGACATGCGATCCCTTGCGTCGCGAGGCATTCGAAACCCAGGTTCGGGACTTCTTGGAAGACCAGCTCGAGCGAAAGCCGGAGGGCTATCTCAGCGATGACGACGACACCATCAAGAGGCAGCGTCGCCGTCGTAGAAGACGCCATCGACACGTTCACGAGCAGGCCGCAACGCTGATCCAGCAACATACTGCAGCCATGGCCGATCCCCAGGCCCAGAACCCTCAGCCTCGCCAGCATACGCAGCAGCAGCGGAAGCAAAGACGGGAGCAGTATGCGAAACAGCAACAGGCCTTGAAGAAGCAGCAGTTGCAGTTGCAACAGCAGCAGGAGAAGGAGGCCAAATTGCGCAAGCAGCAGGAGAAGCGTGCAGGGTCGGCGCCACCGTCGCCGGCCTTGTCAGCTACCTCAACCAAGTCGACTAAGCTTGCACCTCCTCAGCATCAACATCACCATCACCACCATGGGTCGTTTTCTCGTCGTCGTCATCGCTCTCATCGCGACGTCAATGCTACTGTTCCTGAGAATGGGGCCGTCTGCCCAGCCGGTGGGCCCAATGCTAACGTGTCTGGAGGTATTGGCGACACGATTATCTCGACGGCGGTGCACTCTGCGATCCGACTGAAGCAGTCCCCGATCCCCGACGTTGTCAAATCATGTCTACGGACGTCAAAGACGATTTTTCATAAGGTCGACGAGCGGTTCCATCTACAGGACAAGGCATGGGAACTGTCGAAGCAGTCGATCGAGAAGGCCATCGAGCTCGATGAACAGTATGCGATCCACGAGGTCGTGACCGAGACCGTGTTTGCGACAATCACGGGCTTGGTCAGGGCCGGTATTGCGTACAAGGAGAGTCCAAGCTATACGGCGGTGAAGGCTGCAACTGCCGCGGCGACTGTGTCTGGTAGCGACGTTGCGGCCCTTGAGGCTGCGGAACGGTCGCACAACCCACAGGAGATCAAGCACCCGAAGAAGAAGGGGCATGGAAAGCCCATAGCCCCGGCGAAGGACGGGAAGCCAGCGATGACGACGACGAAGACCATGAAGGGTAGGAAGGCGCTCCCGACTGTCGTAGAGAGTAATACTGACTCGAGCTCAGGTGCGGATTCGGAGGACAGCGACTTCGATTCAGGCGAGTCGGACTCGGAGGCGACGGTTGCTCCATCCATCTCTTCGTCGTCGTCAACGATTTCGTGTGCATCATCCGAGGGTGAAGACGATACTACAGAGGAGCGAGATGAGGAGCTGATTGAGTTGAACCAGCAGACGTTGCGCTCTGTGAAAACGAAGGGCGGATATGGCTCGGACTCGAGGAAGACGTCGTTTTCGGCGGCGGCAGCGCCATATGCAGGTCAGATGCGCGAAAAGATCGACATGTTCATGGCACTCAAGGGAGCGGCCTCTTTGATTGTCGGCAATTTGTGAACAACAAATAACGAGAAAAAAAAGAAACCAAAAAAAAAACCAGAAAAACCGACAACAACAACAACAACATATGAAGCAAGTAGTTTGAACCGACGCGAAGAGGCCTTTTTTTTCTCTCGAGGACTTGGAAGCACTCGGATTCTGAAATAGAGCACGCATATAGAAACAAAAAGCAAAAAAACAAAACAATAAAGCTCCTTGTTTGTGAACAATACTCATTTTAATAATTTGTTTACGAATACGACGCCTAAGCTGCGAGACGCTGCAGTAACAGGTCCTTGCGTTGCTGAAGCTGGTCTTGGAGCTGCCTCTGTGCCTGTTCTTGTTGTGATATATGTTGCTGATGCTGCATTGCTTGCTTCTCTTGCTGAATTGCGTGCTGCTCAAGCTGCGCCGTGATGTGCCTCTGAAGGTTCTTGACTTGTACTTGCAGGTCGCCAACTTGGACGCTCAAGTCCTGGGTTACACGGGCATCTGCTGTATTCTGTGCTGATACGGATCCGCTGCTGGCGTCATCCATCGCATTCTCTGGCTCAGGGAATTTGAGGTCGCCAACGACGGGTTTGGAATGATTGTTCCCGCTGTCCATATCGGTATTGATCCGGCTTCCGTTTCTCTCAGCGTTCTCTTCCGTATTCAGTCCAGGCTTCAGCTCGGGTCCATTTATGTAGTCGTCGTCAAGCTGGAGGTTGCGCATCCACTCTTCAGTCATGTCAGTGTCGGCGGAGAGGGTACGAAAATCATGATTCTTTTCGTGATATGCCCGAACTTCCTTGGTGGTCGCGGTGAAATAGATTTCCTTGGGGAACCAATTGTGCGTTTGACGGAACCCGGGGGTATGGTATGACATATTCTCGGCGGATTCAATGAGGCGTAGTCGAGATTCGATCCAGATCAGGCGCCAGCCGTCGTCGCCCTTGCTGAACGCGACGTTGATGAGTGCTTGTGAGCAGTTGGCAAAAAACGGATATATTAGGACAAGGAGCGAGAAATCAAGGAGCAACTGAGTCCTCAATACGGACAGAATTTTTTCGTTACCAATAAGCATATTCAGCATTAACACCACGGTAAAAAAGAAAAAGAACGCCAACATGAGGTGAAAGGCCCAATCCTGAGTAGAAAGTTCATCATCGACTCTAGATGAAATCATAAAACAAGAGAACACAATGCTATTAGGTCGGAAATGAAGATAAAAACGTTAAATCAGGCTTCTCAGTGTAAGTACATCTTACCATGAAAAAGTAGGTATTTGACAAAGCGCCCAGGAAGTGGCGCGAGAATTTTATCTCTGGCTCTTCGCATCCTTCATATGGACAGGACCATAGCAAGTGAAGCGTTGCGATTGCAAAGGCTAGAATACCGCCGGCAAAAATGACAAAGAAAATACGGATCTTTCCCATTGCCTGCTGGATAATAGTAACGTATTTGCAAATGCTTTCGTTGATCCTTAACTCGAGCAGCTGGTATTCAAAGGAAATGAAGAAAAGTTTGCGCGTGAGCTCTTGGCAGGTTCACTAGCGCAGACAAGATGAAGCCTCATGATGTTTGATCTACATACCATGTGTAAAGAGACCGCCAGGACTGAGAAGCTGAGCGCGCACGTGTTGCCATATGGATCATTTTGGTAAATTATGACCAGCTGGTCGATAGCAGCAGCCATCGAAAGAACGAACGCGATGATGTCCAGAAAGTTGTACCCATATCTAAAAAGCGTACAAAGTAACACAAATGTTTGATACATTTGCGCCTCCGCTAAATCCGTATCTGTTGATGCATTTCTCCATCTAAACAAAGACTAGAGCCTTTGAAAATTGTGCCGCTAATGCCTCTCGGAATTGTCTGCGTTGCTGTGTATTCTGTTCGCTGAGGATCCGAAGATTTGATTTCGCCTTTGGTAGTGTTACTTGCGCGTTTGATATTGTATTGACAAAGGACGAAAGAAACAAAAAATGTAAGGCTGAGAGATGATGATGATGGCGAATCAAGATGAATGCTTCGTCATTGTTCCTGTGGCGAGGGCGAAGCCAAGGTCAGGGCTCTCCAGTTTATGGGAAGGCACAGAGCAGGCCCAATAAGGTTACATTCCACGTTGCACATTTCTCGAGATGGAAGATATCCATTCCGCTGCAACAAGCCTCTAAGATCCTACAACTAGACTACTCTTGGTGCAGTTTCTGCGGCTGTTCCTGAAGCTGTTTCTGCAGGTGTTTCTGAAGCTGTCTGAAACAGTTTCTGGGCTTGCATTTGTTGTCTACAAGTTGCGTTTTAAGATCACCGACTTGAGTGTCCATGTCCTGGATTACGACAAAGTCCATATTCCGCTGTGCCAATTCTGTTTCAATGTCACTTGTGTATCGCGCTCTCAGGCAAATGACGCGCTGATGCACCGCCATTGCTTGCTACTGCGGGTACAGCGACCTTTGACGCCTCAGAATTAACACTCGCCTTCTGCTCCCCCTTGCATTTACCCTTGACTTTCCCTTAGCCCTCCTTGTCCTCTCATCCGCCTCCAATTTCAGTCCGATTATATAGCTGTCATCAAAAGGAACATGTCGTATCCATGACTTGGTCTTAATGACACGTTCATAGACTATGTCCAACTTATGGAGGAAAGACTAACTTTGGCGACTGCAGCGAAGCAGATCTTTTTTGAGCCAGCTGTGTGTCTTATGAAAGCCCGGAATGTGTTATATGTTGGTATATGTTCGTACATATCCTCTATGAACTGAATAAATCGCAATCGAAGTTTGATCCAGACCAACAACGCCAATCGTTGCCCTTGCCAAAAGTGACGCTGACGAGGGCCAACAATGCCAAAAAAAAAAAAAAAAACCAGTTATTTTGCCTTTTTTGCAGCTAGTATGAGTCCTTTACACATCAACATGATCCGCATTAGGATGACGGTAAAGAAGGAAATGAGCGCCTTAATGATATAGATTGTCCAGTTTTCGTGGCCGAACTCGTCGGTGAAAAAATACCATCGTTTATTCTACGTAGTGGCAGCAAAATAAAGGACAAAGACGAATCCGTCGGTCAAAATCTGGCGCGCATTTAGGGTAGAGCCATATAAATGAGATAGATTTGGACAGTACCATGAAGAAGTAAGTTTCTAAGAGAGTTTCCTAAAAGTCGTGCGAGAACTTAGTCGTTGGATCTTTCCATGCTTCATCAGCGCATGATCTGGGCGACTGCAGTGCTGCGATACCAAGATGGGAATATCACCGGTAAGGATGAAGAAGAACAGACGAGTCTCAATCACAGCTTCTTGAATGATGGCGAAAAGCCTCCATTCCATCCCCTTGGTCCTTATTTCGAATAGCTATAAGGATAGAATGGTAGAAAGGCGAGTACATTGTACACTGTCAAATCTAATGATGTTACGGGTGTCAATGCACCTCGAACGCGCTACGAACACCCAGCGCTCTTTGCTCCTCGTATCATGTGCAGAAGTACTACAATAACGAAGAAAATGAGTGAGCGGGTGTTGCCTCTAGGGTCTTATTGGTAGACTACGACCTACAGGTCGTATGTTACTGCCATTGTGAGGCCAAGCGTGGGATACCTGTCCGGACCTAGTGCAGGTATCGATAGCATTCGTAAAAAAAAGGTGCGACCAAACGCCCTGGATGTTCTCTAATATTTATATTAATCATGCATTTGACGCCGGTAGTTGCTCTATGTGGTGCATTCCAATACTACCTGCTTGTAAAAGTTCCAGCCAGAGAAACACAGCACCGTGGCGATGACAGCAGCGAAAAGCCATAATAGGTGACTGGACTGGCTGCAGTACACCAGCATAAGAGATGCAATCAGCGTTTTAAAAAGCGACGAAGGAATCGTGTACGATCTGAGCTGGCCTAAATATAAGAGAGGTTATGTAGCACAGACGTTCTCGCGCTTACATCCTTGTCAATTGTGAAAAGCGCCTTTCATTTATTACTAATACTGTTACAGGAATTGATCTTCCCGCTCCTTAAACAGCTGGAGCACCTCGGGTATTGTCATCTCTCCTAGTCTTTCGCCCTCCCTCGTCCGCACGTTCACCGTCCCCCGCTCCTTCTCTTTCTCGCCAATCACCAGGATAAAGTTATATTGGGCTACCTGTGCATCACGGACCATCTTGTTGAGTGTGCCACCGGATTGTTCAATATCCACAAAGTAGTGCTTGTCATCCATCCCTACCACAGGGTCCTGAACCTTGCCGTCGGCATCCTTCTGGCCCGCCACAAGTGGCTCGCGACCCGCCTTGGCTAGTGTCTCCTTGACATAAAACGCATATTCTGTCAAGGATTTCCCGCCACCGCTGGTGCCATCGCTCCTCTCCGCGCTGGTACTGTCGACTTCAGCTGCCTTTCCACCAAAAACAGGCACGACCATAGCTTGACGCGGTGAGATCCAGAAAGGCCATCTTCCACCAGTGTGCTCAATCAAGATTGCCATCATACGCTCTACACTTCCCAACACTGCTCGGTGGACAATCACAGGGTGCTGCTTCTCGTCCTGTTGGTCATAGAACTGCAAGCCAAACCGCTGTGGAAGCTGGAAATCCAACTGAATGGTCGCAGTTTGGTGCCTCCGACCAAGAGCATCTCTCACCAGAATATCGATCTTGGGCCCATAAAAGGCACCATCGCCCTCGTTGATTGACCAAGAAAGTCCCGAATCATCCAGTGCCTGGCGAAGAGAGTCCTCTGCAGCATTCCATTCCTCGATAGACCCCATAAAATTGGTCTGAGGTCGCGTCGAGAGCGCAAGTTCGTAGGAAGGGAATCGGAAGGTTCTGTAAACGGTATCTACAAACGAAAGGGTCGAGCGGATTTCTTGAAAGATCTGATCCCGCGTGCAAAAGATGTGAGCGTCGTCCTGATGGAACCTGCGTACACGGGTCAATCCAGTAAGAGATCCAGTAGATTCGTTTCTAAGTAATGATAACAAAACGTATATTAGCATGACTCCCTCACAAAAGACGATGAAGTTGGTCTAATACGATGCAGTATGCCCAATGTAACTCACCGGTGAAGTGCACTAAAGTCGGCATAGCGAATTGGCAGATCCTTGTATGAGCGATTCGACATGTCAAAAATCAGGCAGTGTCCTGGGCAGTTCATGGGCTTGAGCCCAAACACCTCATCGTGGCCTTCCCTCAACTCTGCCTTTACGTTGTCCTTATGCTCGTGCGAATGGTCATGGCTATGATCGCATCCTCGCTTGACCTCGAACATGTCCTCCTTGTAGTTTTGCCAGTGTCCTGACGTTTCCCAGAGCTCCTTCTTGTACATCAAGGGCGTCATGACCTCCTCGAAACCATACTTCCGGTACTGCTGTCTCATAAACCGCAGCAGCCTTTCCACGATTCTGGTTCCGTGCGGCAACATAAAGGCTGATCCTGGACTCGCTGGGTGAACTGCAAACAATCCTTGGTTTTTGCCGATGACGCGATGATCACGTTTCTCGGCCTCGCTCTTTTGGTAATGCCACTGCTTCAGTTCTTTGACTGACGGGAAAGCAATTCCATACATCCGTGTCAGTGCCTGGGGCGATTTAGGGTCCCGATCCAACTCTGGCATGAAATAGGCACTAGACGTCCTCAAAATCTCCATCGCTTGCAGCTGTCCCGTGTGTTGAACATGAGGTCCACGGCAGAGATCCACGAATGGACCGCACTTGTACAGTGTGATCTCACTATCCGCAGGGATGTTGCCGATAAAGTGCTGCTTGAACTTGTTCTCAGGGAAAAGGCCGTAGGCGAACTCCTGTGAGACTGATAGCCGCTCAAAAGGCAATCGTTGAGCGACGAACTGATGCATGGTTCGCTGAATATCCGCGATATCCTCCTTGGTGAACTGGTGCGAAGGGTAATTCTGTTGCAAAAGCTCCGCCACAGAGAGAGATGGATCCTGGTCCTGCTTGGTCAATAAAAATTCGTAAAAGAAGCCGCCCTGTTTGATTGCAGGTCCATCGCAGAGAAGCAAGCGCGAGCCATATTTTGCTTCCAGGGACATTCCGAGTACATGCGCCGAAGAATGCCAAAAGAGACTGGTGAGGCGATCGTTGTTCTCCTGAAAGGGTACCAGTTCCAGTTGGCAGGACTGTTCCAGAGGTCGACTCATGTCCCAATACGTGTTGCCATTCAGCTGTGCGATCAACGTACTCTTAGCCAGTTTTCCAGAGATGCCTACACGCAGAATAAAGATTAATGCTTAGCAATGCTTATAGTTAAATCCATATTTGTAGGTCTTAAGTGAAAAGTACCTTGTGCGATCTCCAGCGGCGTGGTAGCTCCTGCGGCTCCGACTTTCTTTGTGCCGTCAGGAAGAATGATTTCAATTGAAAGCCGGGATCCATGACTGTTCCTGTTCAATTCTGACTGTCTAGCCTTCTCCTGAGTGAACGCCAGAGCACGCTTCTCGAACGCAGTTGAGGCTATTATATTGAGGTATCCCGCGCGAGCAGAGAGACGGAATCAGCCAGGGCTCGTCTTTTTTGCGCGATCTCCTCTAAAGAAAGTCCTTACACTGTCGAAGCTGTCCAAATGAGCATCCTATGCGGAATACACAAGCGACCTGCGTGGTCCTGGCACGTTTCCAATGAACCGATAACATGGCGATTGGTGAGCGGCGAAAGACGATTGGGGATCAACTTTGGCGACGCGCTCCCTCTCTCCGAGGCGACTGTTTACGATCGAACCCATTTTTGACAGTCCTGATCGGAATCGACCCTTAGCTGGAGCAGCTTAGTCAAGAATGCCATTGCAATGTATCGTATCATAGAAAGCGCACACTGGCGCCCATCGATAGATGTATTGACCAACCATGATATCCACAGAGAGTCCATTTATGCGACTTTTTAGTTCAAAAAATATTTTGGAGGGCTTGCCTGTATCCATCTAATTACTCTGCTATGCGTCTTCTACCCGTTCATCCACAACTGGCACCTATCAGTGACACTCCTTTCTCAACTCTACTGAACGGCATACCTTTGCAGAAGATACCTCATCTCCGCTGGGATCCAGCTATAACTGACCAACAATTCATACCGTATCCATGGTATACATTACCCAGTACATAAAAAACAATAAAGGCATCAATGTCATCAATAATACCATTTTCTTCGAGTCCGTATAAAGGTCGAAACCATCCGAAGGGAACAAGAGCGACAGCATATTGAGAATAAGGAAATGAGAAAGCAAGGTCAGCAGCCCTGTTGTTGCGTTTCTGAGTGTAATAGGGAATAACAGCATGGTGTTTCAATGTGATGTTTTCGCTCTCTCTTTCATTCTTGCATTTTTGTGGTGTTTTGAATGCTCTGTGAACGAAACGGCTGCTGCTGCAATGTCCTGCATGTCGAACCTCCATCCTAGAGCAGTACTTTGGCCAGTTTCACCCTGTGTACTTCAGCTGGCCACCTCCTTCTCTTTCCTTCTAAATAAAGAACAGAGAGATCAGTCTCGGCTGTCACGATAGCCCCTCGAGTGATCTCCGAATCCTCTGCTTGACGGAAGTCCTGGGCTTCTTGATCGGCTTTTGCTTTTGCGCCTCTTGCTGTCGCGTTCGTAGGGACGATCACTGTAGCCACCACGACTACGGTCGCTGTAGCTGTCATGGCGGCGTCCTCCACGATCTCTATCTCCACCACGTCCATCCCTGTGGTCGCCCCCATTGCGTCCGCCATAGCCACGGTCGCCACCACCACGAGACCGCTCTCTCTCATGTCGATTGTCCCTTCCTGAAGATGACTGATTCTCGTGCGGTGCTCCAATACGTGTACCACCTAGTCCTCCGCCTAACAGACATACATAATTAACAACATATTGTTAGTAAGCTATTATGTGACCACAAAGTACGGATGTTTAGTGGACAGGCGATTAAGGAACCTTACCTAAGCGTTTTGGTCTCCACCCCTTTACTGTCCTGCCACGCTCAACGTCAACAACGATTCGGCGCCCCAGAACCTTGATACCATCCGCATCCTTATATGCTGCCTTCATGTCTTTCTCACGCTCGAATTCGATAAATGCGTATCCTCTGGGCTTCCCCTCCGGATCTTTAACAACTCTAACCTATAAAACAAACGCAGACCGCGTCAGTTGAACAGGTACAGAAAACTGTAATACTTTACGACTACAAGGTCGAAATAGTCTTATGCCATTTCTTGGTAAAGACTTACGTTTTCAATAGGGCCATACATCTGGAACTCGCGCCGCAAATCCTTCTCAGTACACTCGTAGCTCTGCTCGTATATTGCAATTCCGGTAGACAAAAGGAAGTGCTGAGGTTAGTAATTATGTAAGGCCTTTCTTTACGAGTCTGTCCATGAAAAATAGTCCTCAAGCAACTTACAAGGCGAGAAATGTGCAATGTCTTATATGGATCGCCAACAACCTTTTCATCTTTGTTTGGGTCCCCTATGATAGGATTGTAATTGAAACTGCAAGTGAGAAATGATGGCGTTCAACAATAACAGCAGAGCAATAACGCCTCGCAGCAATCGATACGGCGCCTTTACATGCTTCTAGTCCTGTCTTCAAAGCTTCCTGAGCCTTTCTGTCTCGTTCCTCCAACTAGTTACAGGAGCCAAAAGAAGGCAGGAGTTAGACATGAACCGAACAGCAGTGAGTTGGAAGCAGTTGAATAACATGCAAAATGAAAAACCGGCGATCTACCTTTTGCTTCTTCCTCTCTGCTATGCTCAACGTGGGGACATAGTCTGTATCATGATTCTTGCACATATCCAGGTATTGTGATACAGGCATTAACCGCGGCTCGTCCTTCTTTCCGGGATCCCGATCCAATGGCTTTGCATAGGGCAGAGGCGGGCGCGGTGCAAAAAGTCGCAGCAGATGCGGTGGCAGAGCTGCCGTGCCCACACGTCCGTCCGAATCCTGGTTTCCTTGACGACGATTCATTCTTGGACAAGGTCGATCAGAGATTCAGTGATAACAGTTATAGTGGCGAAGGAAACTGAACTCGTTCTCGAATACTGTTTTTCGCAGATTCTATTATCCGCTGTCCGTTTGGCGTCCTGTATCGTTCGGTGTCTAGGAGTGTGATGCAAGTTCGAGAGGGAATGTGGATGGCAAGATCTTGTTTGCCGTTTTGAAAATAGGACTATCTAGGCGCTATCTACGTCATCGTAAATTCATCAACGCCCCCTGTAATCAGCACGCGTGTGTGTGTGGCCGTACACACAAAATGCTGAAGTTCCATCTTTCTTCTTTTTTTGCGATTAGTGGCGCTGGTTCCAACAATCGCCCCTTCGGCCATCTCTTGCCCTGGACTTCTTGACTCCATCCATGGGTATCTACCATCTGCCGTGACGGGGTGAAGATAGAGTGGTCGTTCCTGGTGCAATAGGTACTCTCGGGCAATGTTGGACATGTTTTCGGCCGCCATCACATCTCTGTGGCGATACCGTCCACAGTAGGGGCAGAAGAGTTCTCGAAGGGTGACTTGGGCCACAAACCGGTGGCAATCCGGACGTATAAAACTCGTTGAGACCCACCACAATGTATCTGAGAGACCGAGCCTAAATAAAATAACAAAATATGTTATTCATTGGCACTCACTCCTCTGAAGACATTCCCGATGGTACATGGTGAAGAGTTTGCTTACCAATGGGACGAAATACGACAAAAATGAAGAGTGCAGAGATGACAGTCGACTGGAGCTTCCGAACTGACCAAGGCCCACACCGATCAACGCAGGATTGTCATCCTTGCAGCGCTCACCGATGCTGCCACCAACAATCCGGAGTAGGCTGTTGGCAATAGCCTGGTACTCGATGTGCTTGGCTCGCTTCATATCCCAAGTGTGTTTGTTGAACCGATTATTGTTACCATTATAAAAGTCCAACAGTCGGTCCTCGACTTGTTCAAGCATCTCGATGTAATTGGTGACGCTCGCCTCTGGACCTCGAACAGGAGGAAGACAGGACTCGATGTCCGCGATGGAGTCTGACTGACCCGCTGGAATCAACTGCTTCTCGTCCTCAAGCCACCGTCTGTATCGGAACACAGGCTGCATCACCGCTTTTTGGTTGACAGCAAGATTATGGTGGTGGGCTTTCTTGAGCTCTATGGCTTTCGTGAGCCCTATCATTGTTGATGGCGTGGTGGTCGTTTGTTGTTCCAAAGTGAGTCTCTGCATAACATCCTGTGGTGTTGTTGTCGAGGAAGAGGTAATAGGGAATGAGCCTTTGAAGGACGGAGGGGCTCCTTGCACTGGATCCTTGTCTTTGCCCGATTGTGGAAGATGTGCGTATGTTCCGACGACAAAAGCTTGTCTTGCATCAAGGGTGAGGATCTTGATATCTTTAGGATCGACACTAGGCCAAAGTCTCGCCACATCGTCTTTGGTTCGGACAATGTTTCGGATCTCCGTCAAAAAATCGCTGGTACCGTGAAGTGTTGAAGTCAATCGAGGAGGTAGGCGATCGTCGGGCAACCGTTTGTGTTTGACTGACAGAAGTTCCCTGACTTTGGAACACAGGAGCTGCATAGTGAATCCGTCAGTTCGTAAAGACCCCCTGAGAAAATATCTTCTGCGGGCATAGGTCTCCGGTCTGAACTCTGGATCGTCCAGCATCTGCAAGTGAGTCTCGAGATCATCAAGAAATAACAACTTGATCGCAGCGCGGTGTCCAGCCTTGCCTCTCTGGCGACTGGTCAGGTCTTCGGGATCGATATCGACGATGAGGTGCTTGATGAGAAAGCCTGGTTCTTTTCCTCCTATCCACTCCTCAACATCCTGAATGGATGTGCAGACGGTACCGACCAGCTCCTGAACCCGTGCCCTCAGTGCGCCTCCGCGGTTGAAAAAGAACATGGCTAGTTGTCGCTCCGTGAAACTGACAAAAGGTTGCTTCGCCGTCGACATGGGGATGATCCTACGAGGGTTTGGACTTAATTTGTTGATCGCGAGGTAGTTTTCAATAGCAGATACCTCCTCTTGGATCTCCACGTTAACATCGGATCCCAGCAGCCCCTTCTTTTTTCTTTCCTGGAGCTATAATTGAGAAGATAGAAAATAATAAATGAGAGGCATAATAGATATCGGTTTGATGTACATTGAGATGACCAGCAGTGGCCTCAACTCATACCTTATTATGCAGCTTACAGGTCCCATTACGGTACATTTTTTTGAGTTCGACCTTGAGCTGCAACGCCACCGATAGGAGTAACTCTGTTGGTGAGAAGGGAGTTGTCTCGTTGAGAGCGGCCCGAGGATGTGGTGGGGCGTACAGTCCGAGATCCTTAAGGCGATCAATGAAATCGTTGACTTTCTGACCGGTACCACTTTTTCATGGGTAGTTCCCAGAGTAGAGGTATGACAGAAAGCTCTGGAGGAACAAGAACTGCTCAGAGCCTTTGCCATCCTTGAATTTCTGGTCCATGTCACCACCATCCTCATCGTCGTCCTCTGCAGCACAACCGTCATCCAGCTTTTTCGCGTCCTTCATGGAGACTCGAGGACAAAGAAAATTCATGAATCGACGATTGTTGGGACCCGGTCCATGCTTGTTCACATGCTCGACAAACTTTCCAATTACTCGTTGACCTTGTCGTTTGATCCTGGCAGCCTCGCGCACAGCGTTTCGGATACAGAGGGCAACTTCCTGTTGAACGGTACCGTCGTTTGGCAGAGCTCGTCTGAGGTTAGCGGATAGAGTACCGACGTTCAAAGTAGACGTTGGGTGCTGATATTGTAATAACCGTGTAATAGCGAGCTTGTGGGTGGCTGCACTCGAATCGGACAATGTTTTGAGTTTGGTCTTGGGCTTGGGCTTGGGCTTGGGCTCGTCGCTGGAGAGCTCAAGCTCGTCTTTTGCTTCAGGCTCCTTGTAAGGCTTGAACTTGTAGAGCTTCATCTTGACTGGGTGTGGGGGGTTTGTTGCCCCTGTCCTCGTCTTGAATGAGTAGCGATGGCGATTTCGTGGGAGTTGCGTCCTTGGAAGCGGCGGGTGACCGTTTGACTCCTGAGATGGTAATGTGGTCGGAGGGTTATCCTGCAGATTCGGTGCAGGTTGTTCTGGTTGTGCTGAGGATGGTTGCGGTGATGGCGGCTGTGGTAAGCGCGACCCAAGGCCAGACTTCAACATAGCTGGAGACTCAACTGTCCTATATCGAATGGAAGAATGCGAGGAACGGAGGCGGATGATCTGATCCTTGCGAGTACTATTGACATCAAAACAATAAGTAAGGTAGGCTGTGAGACGATTGCCGATGCCAAGTCCTAAATGCCGCGCGATATTGAACAGAAATATAGCATACCTTGGTTGCAGTTGTGCGCGAAAATCCTTGTTCTCCTAGTACATGGCACAAAGATCCTTGAGTCGTTTGTAAAGCTCACTGTAGGACGAGACGTTGGACAAAGGACGAGGATCACTGACAGGCGTCTGTTGGAGATCAACAAAGACTCTGAGTGCAAGTTCAAGTGTTCTGTTGTCTGTGTTTTTTAAAACGACCTTGGAGTCTTCCAAATATGCATTCACCGTCTGTCGCACATATGCAAAAATAGGGTAAAAAAAAGTAGAAAAAAATATATATTAGTTAAATGGCTCAGCCTCGCTCCTTAATACTTTGATCATTGATATTTACCTTGTTTCTTGATCGTCTTGATAATCGAAAAGTTGGTCGCCGGTCCAAGAGAGTAGATATTTTTTCCGTAGTCGTTGTTGGAGGCAACAGCGAGGGCCGTGAGTTGGATCCTGGACACACCGAGAACCTCACAGATATCCGATATCTTGTAGATCAGAATCAAGTTCTTTGAAATCGGGCGCCACAGGGTTGACACGGATGGGTACGCGAGCATATCGCTGTCCGCAGACACGACAATATCGTCAGATCTGCAATCTCGAGCGATCACAACATCAGCTTCCGTCTCGCATCGCTGAATGTTCCGCCCCTCGTCCTGCATATACTTGACAAATGCATCACGGATGGGCAGGGACCAATAGAAGGAGGACGCAAGGCTGGTCCAGGCATCGGCAAAGTGTCGCTTACGGACCTTGAGGTTGTTATCGATCCGTCTTTGTAGTTCATCCACACTTTCTTTGCATCGCTTAGTGGTCTTCTCCCGAGCTTCTTGGCGGATCTGAGCAGTGAACTCCTTCACCTCTGCCTGGACTCCGTCGACGTAGATAATGATATTTTCCTTGGTCCCGAACCGCATAACATCCAGCTCTAGGATCGTATGGGCCACCTCGATGGAGTTTCGTGTATAAGCATTCCTGATGACTGAAAAGCGAGAGAGAAGGTCGAATCTTCTGGTGGCGGTGCTCGAGGTTGTTGACGCGGCTGATGGTTAAAGTACAGAGGGTTGGTAACCCTTCTTACGAAGAAAGGCGTACCAGCCATTAAGACCCATCACTTCCTGTACGTCGAGTGGTGCGATGAGAGAGCTGCTGTCGAATGTGTAGTGTTTAGCTGAAGTAATGTGATCGATTCAATGGAAAAGAGGTCGGATGTCGGGAATCTGCAAGACGATGAGGTTATGAGGTTTAAAGTAAGGAAGGAAAACGAGTGATCAGTGCTGTAACGCGTGGGTTCATGCCAGAGTTTAACTCTGATTGGCATTGTCATGTGACGCTAGACGCGTCTTAGATTGAATCAACGTCGCCCTCATCACAGAAAGCTCCATGATGTAAAGATGAGCAAAGGCAGCACCGGAACGTCTAGAACCATGGAACCATGGATTTCTAATCTGGATCTTTATTCGTCTGATATATAAGGAAGGACAGACTATGTAGTTGGACCACAGTTCATATACTCACGGGATTTAACAGGTCTCGCGTTTGGATATAACGTCCGCGCACATACCACCTTATTTCGAATAAGGTTCGCGTAACACGTTTCAGGTCACCCCAAGCCGAAAGACCGCATCGTGCTGCTTTATTTCTTCGATAGCTTTCGCCTTTCCGTATATTATCGCCCACCCTTGCATCCGCCTCTAGCTTGGCTATATATTTAGTCATCGTCCAACGACGCCTCCGTTCCTTGATGACTTCAATGTCACAGGAGTCGTGTCTAATCCAGCGATTAATCCAGCGATCACAGTAGAGCAGATATCCTTGGGGAAGTAACTATATGTCCCGCAGAGCCTAGGGATAAGGTGAGACAGGTTCTTGACAGGCTCGGTATAGTACGACCGGGATATGCTGAAGTGAAGGCGTTTGGTATCGCCGATCTTGTTGTATACCATACTGACAGGTGCTAGTTGCAAGGCAAGATCGTGGTATGCGCTCCTAAAACTCGGATATTACTCGGGACATACCTCGCATCTGTAGATAACATCATGTCGCTGCCTCGAAAATATGGATAATGGAAATTTGAGTGCAAATGGAGTAGAGCATTATAAGGTCACGACCCAAATTACCTTGTAACGCAAGCAAATGACAATTGTTAGCAAAAGGAATGTAAGTTCTGTGAGGTTCAAAGTAAAATGCAACTGCGCAGTATGTTAACTCTCATAGTCGTATCCAGGATTTAGATTGCACTCTCGACAGGAATGGCAAGCATAAAGCTATCACGAGAGTATTGCCTGGGCGGCGTGGCGTTCGTACGCTGCACTTATTTGCAAGACGGTTACTAGTTTCGAGACCCTTGAAAAAGGAAACAGATCCCGATCCCATCCATGCAGCTTATCGCCTTTGTGCTCTGGGGCTAATATTCCAGACGTGTTGTTGAGCCCTATCGGTAGATCGATAGCACAGAACTGGCTACATCTACATTGGATGCTGTAGACTGCGAATTGAGTCCTCTTTGCATACTAAAAGAATTTAGTCTCTGAATCTACGTTATTGAGGCCAGTCGCGTGAAAGATCGAGTCGGAAGTATTTCATCGCTATAGATAGTATATATATGTTGATGTTTCTGTAGCTCTAAGGTGAGGAGAGGCCACCTAGACACACTTAAAAACACAGAAAGGAATACGCGTAACGCTGCGTATGTTAATAACAATGCAAACAATCGCCTGCATTCCTGTTCTCGACATACTCAGCTTGATTGATTGCTCGGCATTAATGAGTGCGGATGGTGGCGACCCTAGAACTCAAAATGTCGTCAGGGCGAAAGACGCACTGATAACCAAGGGGCTGTTAGCAGGGCCCTAGTCAGCATGTTCTGCTGATCTCACACATCAGAGTGAACGAGATAACCGTGATGGTACCTACAGCAAAGATTTGTCGCAATGTCGCCTGTGTTTGAGATGTCATGTACATGAATGATTTGATTATTCATTATTAGATCCCACGTTGACAACATGAGTGAACCTGCCAATGCCATGGATTATATGATTAGTCATTGTAGAAGCAAGAATGAGTCCAGCTCCTCATGGAAAAAATCATTCCTATTAATTGTCCCTGCAAAGTTGAATGATTCTGATTACATGAGCCATTTTCTCCGCCATGGATCGGACCAGACTTTTGAGTTTCGATGTAGTGCAACTCAGACGAAGGAGCAGAGCCTACCAGTGTTTTTTAACCAGTGATTATATCCATCTCCGAGAATGCTGGCCTCGTATAATTAGATGCAATTGAAGCACCTTCTGTTCAAACCAAAACCTGTAAAATTGTTTTTGACTAGGATGATCAGTATAAAACATTTTAAAACCAGCACCACGTTCATGATATAAACAGCAATCATGCGGTGCATTTTTATTGTCTCACAGAGTCTACAGACCAAATTCTGAAAGTTCGCCGCCAGTCGCCACTGCAGTGGACATAGGACTATCCTACAGCGAAAACAAGTGTCGTATAGAATAGTGAGCATGGTTCGACGTAGATACAATATAGAATAATTTATGTCTTCAACGGCCATGTAGATCTTAAGTGATATAAAATTAAAAGCCTCGCTATTTATGCCCATAAGAGAGATAAAGAGCACTGTCCCAAAGAAACTATTCGCGATCTCACACATGGAAAACTTCGCTGAGTCAATTCTTCGAACGAAAAAGAGAGAGAGTTATAATATTACGAGGGTAGATTAAAAAAGCCAAAATAATAATAAATGCTGCAGAGCAAAAATACAATAGCAGTGCCCAGCGCCTCGGGTATGTTGAGTCGAGACAAGACAGGCAGAACCTACAGCATGCGAGTTACTTGTGGTACCTATCCTAGAGTACTGGCCATTTACTTTGGCTCCTCACTACTGAATATCCTCGGTAGTATACCCCGCTACCGCGTGTCTCTAGTATTTTGAGGGTTCGTAAAAACCCCCGTTCTCACTGTCTAACGTCCTCAACATTTTCAAGAGCCAAAACGTTACCCACGATTAGGAGTTCTCATTGCAGATATTATCTTATTGCAGATATTATCTTATTGCTATTTCTTGTGGGCCTCATGTTACAATGTTCTTATTGTGTGAGGCAAGAACTCAAATTTCACCCGTTTGCTTCGCCAGTCTCCAAAACAGCGACTCTTCCTTCCTCTTCAGCAAAGCCCCCGGTGCCTCAAACTCCTGCACCCTTCCTTTCTCCAGTACCAAGATCTTATCGCTATCCATAATCGTCTTGATCCGATGCGCGATCGTCAGCACCGTCCGGTCCTTGAACTCTTCCCGAATCGTCCTCTGAATCAACTCGTCTGTCTCCACATCCACCGCTGCCGTTGCCTCATCCAGGATCAAAATCTTGGTCTTCCGGAGCAACGCACGGGCCAAGCAGATTAGTGATCGTTGACCAACTGAAAAATTCTCTCCGTTTTGTGCGACCTCATACGAGAGCCCACCCGGCATGGACGAGATGTAATCCTTCAAGTGCGCACGATCCAAGGCCGTCCACAACTCGGTATCTCTCATCTCGCTGAACGGATCCAGGTTCTCGCGGATGGTGCCGGCAAAGAGCGTAGGGTCCTGTGGGATAATCGCTAGATGCCTGCGCAGGTCCCGTAAACCTAGCGTTGAAATGTCGATTCCATCAATCGTAATCGACCCGCCATCACCAGACGCAGAGATTGCAGAGAGATGCTGGTCCTCCGGAGGTTTGGTGTCTTCTGCTTGATCACTAGCATACGCCCAGTAACTGTCTGCAGCCTCAATGATCCGGAACAGCGCCAGCGTGAGCGACGACTTGCCTGCACCTGTTCGACCGACGATCCCAACTTTTTCGCCGGGCTGCACATCAAATGACACATTTTTGAGCACCAAGTTCAGCCCCTCGCGGTACCTCGCCGAATAGTTTTTGAAAACAATATGTCCCTGATTTGGCCATGACTCAGGAACCCTCACGCCTGTGACCAATGGCGCCTCGGTGTTCCTGACCGAGTACTCGTGCACTCTCTCGACTGAGACCAGATCACTCTGGAACCGTGTAAAGATCCTCAGTAGCCATGTGACATGGTCGACCAGAACCAGTGTAAAGCTGAGCGCCAATCCGACCAAACTGGCTGAGAGATGATCCTTGTTCAAGACTGCCAACAATGCAGACATGAAGACCACGAACGTTGTCAGCAGCTCCAGACGATATTGCATCCATCGATTGGTCATGGACCATGCAAAGAACGCATTCGCATACTTGTCCACCTGCTCGGCATTCTCGTTAATAAACCGCTGCTGCAGCTTCATCGCTCGGATAGAAGTCGCGCCGTGCAGAGATTCGGAGAAATGCTGATAGATCGGGGACTTTGTGACGGACTCTAGGCGCTTGAGGATGTTGGACGTGCGAGAGTAGTACTTTTGAACAGCCCAGTAGAAAAGCGCCAGTGGGGGTATTGAGAGCATGAAGGCTGGAGTCGCAAAGGAGATGATCACAAGGTTACCGATCAGGTTGCAGGCGCTGAGGATTGTTTGGTGCAGTGAGAAAGGGATAGATTCATCGATTCCTGCTACATCTGAAGAAAACCGGTTCAAGATGCGTCCCTGTCTATGAGAGTGATTATATCATTCGAAAGTGTAAAAAAATATATCAGTGGGGGTCGTTTTAGAAAATATCAAAGCAAAGTACACGCGAAAGAAAAGGGAAGGACATACGGAATCGAGTCAAAGAAAGACATGGGCAACCGCATAACACGTTCGAGCGCATCATTATGCAGTACTATTGAGGCCTGAGTGCACGCCGTCACCTTGAAGACATAGGTCAGGCATGTGTCCGCTGCCACGTAGGCCAGTACCAATAACGCATAGATACCCAAGAAATAGGAAGTCGACTGGTTTGTCGAACTTGACAAGCGGATCCAATGCTCAAGCCACAAAGGAACGCTCAGCTGGAAGCACTCCCAGATAATGAACAAAATCATTGTGACCGTAAAGTAACAGTAGGTCCTGAGAACGTAAGAACATTGTATGCGCATTGGTTAGTGAACAACCAAAGAGTCTCATCAATAAAGAAGATAGTAAGCGAGCTAGACATACATAGCCTTGCAGTAGGTGGCGAAGGTTTTCCATTGAACGGTGACGCCCTGGACGTGCTCCTCCGCGATCAGCTCGCCACCACTTTTTCCTTTAGCATCCTTGGCCTCGACCGCCACCACAGTTCCAGTCTCCGCCTCTCCATCCGATGTGGTTATTAAATTCGAACTCGAAGTTGGCGTGGAAACAGAGGTAGAGGAGTCCAGGTTCATGGTCTTGTCCATCAACGCGTCGTCAGCCTTGGACGTCTTGCCGGTCTTCGATGTTGCTTTCTTGGGGTTTTCTGCAACGGAGAAGTCCTTGATGAGATAATAGAATGCATCCCGAGCACTCATTAACGCGCGGTAGTCGCCAGCCTCAGTAATCCGTCCATTCTTGACAACTAGGATATGATCCACCTGCTCAAGGTGGTGAATACCATGAGTGACAATAACACGTGTCTTGTGGCTCAACATTCCTTTAGGACCGATAAGATGTTCCCAGAGATGTTGATCGACATGGGCATCGACAGCGCTGAGCGGATCGTCGAGCAAATATATGTCCGCATCCTGATATACAGCACGAGCAAGTGAGATGCGCTGCTTCTGGCCTCCAGACAAGTTGATGCCGCGCTCTCCAATCTCTGTCAAATCTTTTGCGACGAGAATTTCGATATCGGGCAGCAATCCACAGGCGTTCAGGATACGGTCGTATTTCTGCTGGTCAAAGGGCTTGCCAAAAACGATGTTCTCCCTTAAGGTCGCGTTTACGATCCAAGCCTGCTGGGGAACGTATGCAATCGAACCAAACACCTTGACCGAGCCGTGGCGTTTATACATCTCGCCAATCATCGCACTCAAGAGAGACGATTTGCCTTGACCGACACGACCAACAACGGCTGTGAGACTGGATCGGGAAATAGACACGTTGATGTCGAAGAGAGTTGGCTCGATTGCCTTCCTGGCGTCCTCTGACAGTAGAGCGGTCGTTTCTGTGTCCTCAGTGGTAGAATATGCCTGGTCTGAGAAATCGTGGCCAGGATTCCATGCGAGCGTGGCGCCGGCGATCTGGATGACAGGCGTCCAAGTGTCATGCGGAAGTTCGTTAATGTGCAAGACGGCCGTGCAGTCCATTTCTTCCTTCAATAAGAATCCTTGGACGCGGCGCATAGCGACCCGGAGACCAATCGTCGCCTCGATAAGCATAGACATGGCGCTAATTGGTCTGTTCAGCATAGCAAAAAGCGCAATCGAGACAAATATGGTCTGGGCATTGATCTCCCCAGGCGTGTGTCCGGGACCGCCGATGGTTGCATAGACTGAAAAGCTTACAAACGCCACGAGCAGCGGTAAGCACGAATAGAGGATGGTGAGGTAAGTGTCGACCGTGCCAGCCCGTCTAAGGAACGACACCTCCTTATCCCTGACCGTGAGCACCTTCTGCTGGAATGCCTCGACATAGGAATACAACTTGATAATCTTGATGTTTGCGAGGATTTCGGTCATGAGCCTCACACGGCTGTCTTGAGCCTGCATCTTGCCGCTTTTGATAGAGTCCATGAACCCTCCAGCCCAGCCCTGAATTGGCACATTCATAAGCAGGATGGCCATTCCACAGAATACAGACCAGCCGATCAGGTCGTATAACATGACAGTCGCAACGATGAATTCGATAGGGATGGAAACCCACATAATCATCCAGACTAGATTTGTGATCCATTTCTCAGCGTCTGTTGACATGTAGTTTGTGATCTCGCCGCTTGTCGCGCTCTTGCGGGCGCCAGGCGAGAGAACGAGCGACTTTCGGTAGATCATTCCAACGAGGGCCGATCGGATACGCACGGAGGTCTCGACGGTCCGTGCGTAAAACTGTCCCATAATTATGGAGAGCGTAATACTAACTGCAAGCATACAGAGCGCCAGGGCGATGCCATGAGCCTTGGAATCGGAATCCGACGGAGATTCGAGAAAGATCAGGATTTGTCGCAAGAGTGCCGGTTGGACGAATTGGAGCAATGCCCTCAGGATATGCAAGATGGCCAGACTCGTCAGCTCCCTCCAAAACGTTCTGAGGATTACCCACATCAGATTGGGCTCCTTCCGCATCGTAGCCTTGTCGGTATGAGTTACTGAGATCAAGTTTTTCTTTAGCCGGTTTGATGTCTTGATTTCCGCAACGTGCCTGGTCCACTGAAGGAAAAGCAACTGGTAGGGACCTTCAAGGGTCTTCAGGTGGGAGGGCATCATATCCTGAATATCGTTCATTTTAAGCGGCTGACGGAAACCCAGTGAAATGAGTGCCTGCATGTAATTGAACGTCCATCTGGAGAAAATGTTGGCTTTGTCGAATCTGCTGGCGCCGCTTTCTTTTTGTACGCTTGTCCGACCTCGGGGCCATGTCTCAAAGACAAATGAAATGGCGATGGAGGTGAGGTAATGGGACCGAAAATAGAACTCTGAAAGATTAACGTCTGTTGGATCCTGGAGGCGGTATAAAGAGATGAGTCTGGGGAGGCTGAAAGTTAGGGAGACTAACTCAAAGACGAGAATCAGACTGGAAGAGCGAATCTTGTATAATGACTCGAGACTGTTCAAGCGAATCGCAAGCACCTAGAGTTGATAAAGAGTGTCAGTATTTGATGAAAGACGGCGTGTTGACAGGACCATGCATAATAGCAATTATGGACGTCATGCTGTTTTCTTACCCAAGCGACGATTAGGGACAGTGTGGCAAATAGTTCGGAGGTTAACAGGCCGTTGGTGCTAGAAAGAATGCGTCCCAGAAGTATCATAAGGGTGCCAGAGAGGGCGACCTGTGATGGCCAGTAGAGGATACTGACGCGACCAAGTGCATGTGGATGGCAGTATTTGCGAAGATGTCTTGCCCTGATTAGGAAAGCGATGGACGCGATAATTGCAGGAATACCGAAGAGAACCGTATCCTGAAAGCAAGACGTAAACGAAATTTGGTCATCGGCGATGGGGCCCTATAAAGTACTCGATGAAATGTTAAGGATAAAATGATCCTGATCATTATTTCGGATTATCGTGTACTCCCGAGCTACAAGACATGAGAGACTTACCCATCCTGCTGTGTCGCACCACGAGGAGGAGGATGGATGTAATGGTGAGGGTATCGATGTCATGTCTAAGAGAGGAGGGGTGATATGAATGAGTATCGGATCATCTCTTTAAATACGGTCGAATTTGCGGGGCTCTGGCCGTTTGGGCGAAATACAATTCCTGCGGATTTTTCGGGTGCCTGTTCACCAGTTATATTGACCAATCACATTGCCCCGTCTTCCTTTATGTGTCCCTGGGCCTCATCCTGTCTATGAGACCCGCAGTAATCTAAGTTTTGTACTCGCATTCATGTACAAATTCCTGGCCACCTATCTTTTTACCATAACACAAGGATGCGCAGAGGATCTGAAGCACATTGGTGTTCGTTTGTTCGATAACATTGTATTTTTCCTTTAGTCATCTTCCATGAATAAGCCCTCTATCAAACGCTCTATATTACGACTCATGTTCACCATATGCCGTTCTTGTGCAAACTTATAGCTCATATCTGTCTAGGCAACAGCATAGTGTGGATCCTGATTGCAAGCACATATAATGAATGCGTGTCATGATCGGTATCGATGATTAAATACTTGAAAATGCTCCGTTTAATGCTTGCTGTGTGATAGTAAAATGGTAATATGCTTAAAGCTCCACTGTCTCGTGCTATCAGTGTTACAAGGACGAGAAAAAGCGGACAAATACCAGTGTTAGTAGCTACTTCTTTGCAATAGCCAACGAGCGAAAACAAAAAGAGAATAACGCCTTTTACCTCGTATTCCTTCTCGAACATGTCCTCCATGTCCTCTTCATCCTCGCTCTGGTCCGACACAAACTCACGCTCCTCGTCCTCTTCCTCCTCGTCCTCCTCTGCCTCTGACTGTGAATCGTCCTCGTCTGTCTGATCACTATCGACCTCCAACTCGCCCTTCTCACCCTCCAAAACCTCCTTCCAGACGTCCTCGTGTACGTTCAAGGGCGCGTCGCCGTAAGCGTGTGACTTCAAACGATCCAATAGCTCCTTCTCAATGGCCTTGTCCAACCGTGCGGCAGCCTCAGCCTTGGCCTCTCTCCTTGCCTCCCTGCGCTCGACCTTCTTCTTGATACCAACCAACTTGGGCCTCTCATCCGCCTTCAGTTTCAGCTTCCTCATCTTAATCAGGTATTGTGTGATTTTTGTCAGCCTCTGCTTGCATTTGTGAACCGAGAAGTTGGGCCAGTAAATCAGCTCCTTGTCAATCTGCTCCAGTGCCTGCGCATAGTTCTTCGATAGCTTGATCTTCTCCCACATCTTCGCAGGCGAGTGCGCACGCTCGGGCGTCTTCACAAACAGGTAGATGACTCCGTTCTGCTCACGCACTGTAGCATAGCGTGAGTTGGCAAGAGGGCATGACTGTCGGTTGCAAAGACCGGTCGCGTTGTATTCGTTCCTGCAAAAGTTTCCTGTCGCTGTCCTGGAAATTGAAACAACGCACAAGTGGCGAAAGCCAAGGATTAGTCTCCTGTTATCGCTAAGATGACTCCAAATGCTACCTCACTGCTGATTGCCAAAATATAGGAGGTGCGTTGACGTACTTGACTTTGTATGAGCAGAACTGCTGGTTGATAACCTGCCAGATAACTATTGTACAGCAAGGGAGAAGGCAGCGCGGAGTAAGTTAGGAGTGCGAAAAAAAGATGAAAGCAGTTGGAGTAGGGGTAGCACCAATCGAATAAAGATAACGACTAACCCTCGTCCGTGTTCATTATGAGTATCAAAAGTTGTCGGCAGGGAGGAAAGTGGGATGGTGGTCGATTATGATTCACAACGAGTGAAAGGTTGATGCACAACTGCTCTCTTTAAGTCGTCGATGTTTATTTTCTTTTCTTTTTTTTCTAAAGCTAGTCGCAGTCACATTCTATAAGACTTAAGGGTTTCATTTATTCAGATTTTTTTTAAAAGTACACAGGGTCTTAACCCCTGAAGAGTCCATGAGGACAGGAAGCGGAAGCACGGAGAATCTGACAGCAAGGCTAGATATTACTGTCGTATACAAGTGCCATTTCAATCCGCCCTAATATCGTAGTTGAGGATTTTTTCATCACCGCTGGCGGTTCTGCGTTCCCGCAGAGTGTCTCGTTGTTGCCGTCGCTGAAGATCTTGACACGACCAGACCTGATTCTCTAGACTTCCCCGCCGGCTTTGATCATTTGACCTCGGAAATGCATCTCCTGATAAACCATCGGATGAAACCGCAGAAGGCCGAGGCGATCCGAGTTCCATTGAGGACGTTGCTGCTGCTGCTGTGCTCGCTGAGGATAAGAAGGGGGAAGACTGTGCCTGTGTCGGCTGGCTCATTGCCAGGCTCTCTGCAATGGCCCTCCTCAGATCTTCGTCCTCGTCATATTCAGAACCGTCGTCAGAACGACTCCGTTGTAATGGGTAGGGCGTATGAGATTGGGGCTGGTGACGTGTATGATGACCATGGGAATGGTGTTGCGACTGATAGGTATGTCCATTATAATCGTCATCATCCTGTGTAGGATCCACGACCTCTACTGTAATCCGTGGGAATCCAAGTCGACTGAGCCAGGGTTGTTGTTCAGAATTGAACGCAAAGAGTTGATGGCCAGTGCTGGAGCGGTTGCTGTTTGTGCCCGTGACGAGGTGGTGGGTGCTACTAGAGGGCGAAGAGTTGGTCGAGGGAAGAGGCGCTGCAGATTGCGATGAAGGGGTGGCAGTGGAGGAGCCTCGCCTACTGCTTTGTTGGCTAACATTGATATTAACATTGCTAATCGATGATCCCTCCATGTCGGTGTCTGCTGCAGGAAATCCCCTTGCAGTATCAATGTCCGATCCATTCGATTCTGTCTTTGAGACCAGCGATCGCCGACACGTCGGACAAGAACTGTGGTGTTCCAGCCATGATCGAATGCAGAACAGATGAAAGATATGTCCGCAGGGGAGGACTTTGGCAGATGCCATGCTGTCCCTGCAGATTGCACAATCGTCGCTGTAATCCGCGAGCTGCTTTTCTGTCGCCGATGGATATCTAAACGGCAAAGGAATGACATGTCAGATAGTGCCCAACTAGAAATGATATCATTGATGTTAGAAAGCGTCAATGACCATTCTCATACAATGCCTGCATGTTGCTTAGAGCCTGCCGGTAGGCTTGATGGCCTGCGATCTTTTTCCGTAGGTTGTTGAAGACACTCCTCATGTTCAAGAATAGGACCGCATCGATGAGGGTAAATGAGATTCCGTGTAAATACTATCCATCAAAAAGAACTCCGGTGTATCAATAGGTCATTCTTTGCATATACATTCCAGACAGAAGCGATGATCTATCCTGCAATTACCATGATGTGCAGATAATGTCCAAGAGTGGTAACCAGAATCATGGTGTCCGTGACGAACTCGATGTAGTACTGGACTATCCGTCGCGATTCACATGGTCCCTGCCGTGATAGGTCTCCCAGATGCATGACATATTTAACAAATGTTTGAATTGTATCCAGGAACAGTGTGAAGCACTATACAAATAAGGGAGAACAGTATCAGCATCTGAGATACCATAAACGACGCACTTGAGTTCAGATGTCATTGCCCACAGCAAGAAGATAAAAACTATACCTCGAACGACAGGAGCAGAAGCATTGAGCGGAAGACTGAGATGCAGATAATAAACCAAGCAATGTTAGATGCCAGGATCATGGTGAGCATGGTCAGTATCTTGACATGTACTTTGATGGGGATATTAGGCGACACAGTCAGCTAGAGTGCAATCAAACAAATCAAGTATAAGTTTCGGCGATTCGGCTGTTGGTATTAAGGCTATGTCGGGGTACATTAGGCGGCAGCGGTTTTGCCTACATATTCAAATCGGTCTCGACACAGCATGCTAAACACACGCAGGAACCCCAGTATGGTAAACCATGCTGTCCAGATCAGCAACTCCTCCCAGCGAGGCTCCAGAATTGCTCCGACAAAGACAACCTTGAAGAGGAGAAAGTTAAGCGCCCTGTCATACATGTGCTAGAAGGGCACAGTCGGCGAGGTAGAGTGTTAAGGTCGGAAGACAAGTCACACGATACTTTATCCAAATCGTCGAGTGCTGTCTCTTCTGTTCAATGCATTTTTTACCTGGCGTTCGATCACACGCAGGTCGCCAAAGAACGTTCTCAACAAGAGCCGGCCCGTCAAGAACGCTAGACAAAACGCCATGTTGGTGAAGACCTACAAGTCACAGGACGCAATATACACGGCACATGGAGCTGTAAGCAATTAAAGCAGTCGAAGCCATGCTTCAGTGACGAGTGGTGTGAGAAAGAGAGAGGTCGAGTAAAAAGGCTCTCAACTCACCAAGACACACAGCTTTTCGTTCTGAAGATATGACAGGATAACTTGTAATTGCAATAGCACGGCGGGTGAGGGTGTCCTGAACTTGAGATATCGCTCCGCTAGCATAGCCTGGAAGACCGAGGGGCGGAACCCATTGCCTATGCCAGCAGCACCGCCAAGCAGTCGGCTGTGCTCAGTGCTGTCGACCCCCGCCGTCACAAGTTGAGCGCCGTTCTTGGCAAGGTCGACAAGGTCGGCTGGGTTGCTGTGGAGGAGACTGTTCAGAGCCGAGTCGGGTGATGATTGTGGGAAGGATGACTCTGGGACAAAGGGTCGGACATCCTTGAGGATGGGCTCGAGGGACTTCAGGAGGCCGAGGTTGAGAAAAGAGGATGGGGTGTGAAAGAGCGATTTGTGGGATGAGTAGGCGATGGCTACCAGGGTAGCCGTGAGGGAGATGAGCGAATAGCGGTTCAAGTCGAGGAATCGCATCCCGAGAAGTCGAATGAAAGTCGAATGGGAATCGGGTTGGTGGCAATGAAAAGGAACAAAGGGTGACAAAGACAAAAGGAAGCGTGCGAAGGAGATGGAATGAGTATGCCAGGCCAGGCACCAAAAGGGCTTGCCAAAAATAGGTCGTCTATACCCACGATCTCTAAATGAACAGCTTGACGTCGATTGCGCATTTCTGAGCCGAGCCCTCTTTCCGTATGCAGAGCGAATAAAGAGCACAGCACAGGAATACTCAATGGGTCAATGAACCTTGGTGTGCACACAACAGAAGGAACCACTGAGCGCCGACAAAGAAAAATGAAGTGTCATTATCTCTTCACCCATTACCTGGCTAAAGCATCTTCGAAAGGACGCCTAGCTGGCCATGAACTGAATGGGCACCAGACGACCCATGACTGCTCTCATCGTCTGATCGGTTCGAGACTTACTGATCATATCGCGAATTGGGGACCAGACAGTGCTACCTACTGTAACAGTTACGCATCGCAGGCTCACAAATATATCTTCCACGTGTGAAAGATATGTGGGACCACGCCTCCATACCCGGGGAGTATTTATTAGATAAATACTAGGTCAAGTCAAAGATCTTGAAGAGAGCATACAACTGCCCTGAAATTGGCAGGATTGTATGGCCCTTGATTAGTCTTTCGTGAAGGCTGCTTCTAATTCCCCATGACGAAAGGTGAGGCGGAAATGGACATGTATCGCTATTGTATTGTTCTTTCACGCGTTGCGTAGCCAGTACACTTTTTTGAAGTCATTGTTTTGGACGAGAAAATCAAGTCGCACATTTTCATTCAATGTCGTCCATAAGGACTGAAATCGACTGCCGCCAGTGAGTGCTTCATCGAGGTAACCATTGTCCTTCTTTTAATGCAATGCTACATTTGTTTCGTAGTGGGCCGCCATCTATCACGCTTCGATGTATGCACGTTGACCGTTAAGATATCCAACTTTATTTCTACTTTGAGGGTCCAATGCACCATACACCCATCTTCCCTCTTTCTTTTTCTCCCTATCTCCGTTAATATAAATAGTGGTGAATAGTGGTTCAAAAGGGACTATTGATAGTATAGTCTTCAAGCCCTATTATCGAGGTCGAGATCGCTGCAAACCAAGAGACAACCTCCAAGGAAACTTTCAAAGGAAATCGACAGCTAGCCCTCGAGACGCGTCTCTGCAGGGCCAGATCAAGGCGAAATACACTGTTCATATCAAGGAGCCAGAGCTCCCACTTTTACAAGCGAGAAAAAGGACTTCCTGATCTTTTCTTTACCATGCAAGGAAGTGAAGGGGACATAGCTTGTCTCGCCTAGTTCGTCTTTGCGAAGGAATGTGAGCTGCACAGCGCTTCAACCGTATCCGGCTTATCTTATCGCAGTATCCGGGATGCCATTTATGGGCCTCTAATCCCTATGTGTAACAGGAGAAGTAGTAAGAATGGCATTTCAGATAGAACTCGGTCGGACCGTCCCGCAAGGAATGGAAAATCGCTCTTCAAGTGAGATTTAATCTGGTAGTTGACGGTGAGAGATGACCGCTGCATAGTTGTGCTTTCAGGTGCGCTTCCAGCAGCCCTGGAATGAACTCACGCATTTTCGAGTCAAAACTCTTCTTTAGCACCAATTGCCATACTAATAATGAAAGTTTCCGCGTACCCGGTATACGAATCATGAATTTATTGTTCAATTCTATTTTTCCTTTACTGTGTATAGATGCGACTCAAATCTCGCCTGCCTGCTCCGCCAGTCTCCAAAACAGCGACTCTTCCTTCCTCTTCAGCAAAGCCCCCGGTGCCTCAAACTCCTGCACCCTTCCTTTCTCCAGTACCAAGATCTTATCGCTATCCATAATCGTCTTGATCCGATGCGCGATCGTCAGCACCGTCCGGTCCTTGAACTCTTCCCGAATCGTCCTCTGAATCAACTCGTCTGTCTCCACATCCACCGCTGCCGTTGCCTCATCCAGGATCAAAATCTTGGTCTTCCGGAGCAACGCACGGGCCAAGCAGATTAGTGATCGTTGACCAACTGAAAAATTCTCTCCGTTTTGTGCGACCTCATACGAGAGCCCACCCGGCATGGACGAGATGTAATCCTTCAAGTGCGCACGCTCAAGCGCCTCCCAAAGCTCTGAATCGGGCGCCTGGCCAAATGGATCGAGATTGTCACGTACAGTGCCAACGAACAAAGTAGGGTCTTGAGGGATGATGGCCAGATGCTGGCGCAACTGCTCTAGGCCAAGCGTGGAAATGTCAATTCCGTCGATCCAGATCGATCCTCCATTCTCCTCCACCTGCACTTTCTCCAGCTCCACAAGCATCCTCTTGTTTTTTTCTGAAGTGATAGATTCATCAGCATCCATGTCCGATCCGTTATGGCTCGCTTTCGCCCAGTGGCTATTCGCAGCCTCAATGATCCGGAACAGCGCCAGTGTCAATGATGATTTTCCTGCTCCCGTCCTACCAACAATCCCGACCTTCTCACCTGGCTGGACCTCAAATGATACATTTCTGAGGACCAAGTCCATTCCTTGGCGGTACCGCGTCGAATAATCCTTGAAGGCAACGTGACCCTGCGATGGCCAAGCATCGGGGACTTGGACATCCGTAAAGTTGGGTGCTTCCTGGTTCTTGTTGCAGTACTCATCGATCCTCTCGACGGCAACCATCTCGAACTGAACTTCACACATGCAGCGCACCAGCCAGCAGATATCTTGAGTGATGTTCAAGGCGTATGAGAGCGACATGCCAACCATACTGGGGTCAAGTTTGTTCCTGTTCAAGACTGCAAACAAAGAAGCTGCCAACACAATGAGTGATCCGAGAGCTTCTAAGCGAGCATTCTAATTCCGATGAAACAACAATAAATATTTTAAAACCTCATGTATGAAAGAACAAGCGCAAAATAACCATATAAAAAAAAAAGGAGTGCACATACCAACCACCTGTTGCCAACAGACCAGACGAAGTGCGCATTCGACGACTTGTCTGACCTAGTAGCATTCTGCTGAATAAACTGCTCATGGCATTGCATAGCCCGAATGGTCGATACTCCTGATAAGGTCTCTGAGAAGTGTTGGTACATGGGCGATTTTGACACGGACTCAATTCGCTTGAAATTGCGGGACGATGCGACATAGTACCTCTGTAGTAATATAAACACAACAACGACGGGGGGAACAATTGTCAAGAATATGGGTGTAGTTATAGCGATGACAATGACGCTGCCCAGGACAGACCCCCCACAGAAGAAAATGTCGTGAAAAGACCAAGGCAACTGCTCATCGATGCTGAAGCAGTCCGAAGAGAACCGGTTCACGATGCGGCCCACTGGCGTAGTGTCGAAGAAGGACATGGGTAGGCGTAGGACATTGTTGAGTAGATTATTATGGAGTCGTTCCGATCCCCTGACACCGGCGGTGACCATGGCTGTGTACGAAGTCCAGACGATGAGGATCATGTACGAAACCACAAGTACAGCATATATTCCCATGAAGTAGCTGGTACCGTGAAAGGAGGTCTCGGCGACTTTGACCCAGTTCTGCAGCCAAGAATTGGTTCCAATCTGACAGCATTGGATGACAAGGAATAGGAACAGAACCTGGATTACATAGCGATATGATCTATTTGGACCATATGCAAAGGAAGCAAATAGTTGAGTACACTGAACAAACATATGGAACATGGCCGCCTTGAATGATTAACGTCAACTTACACAGCCTTGGCATATATCCGGTAGATGTCCCATTGAATACTTCCGACCTGCATGACTTCCTCTTTGATCAAATCCGCATTGTCGTCCATTTTTTCATCCATATTTTCGAGCTTCTCGTTGTGAGTGACAATTATTGCAGGCCCTGTCTCAATATCATTGATGGTCTCCTCTTCGCTTTGAGAATCGTCCTGTTCCTTTCGCGCCTCCTTGACAGAGTAGTCCTGAATCAGCCGGTAGAACGAACTCTTGGCATTCAAAAGCTCCTGGTACTGACCCACCTCCGTGATGGAACCGTTCTTCAAGACCACGATCTGATCCATCTCGCTCAAGTGATGGATTCCATGTGTTACCAACAGCCGCGTCTTGTCCTTGAGCAACCCGCTGGGCCCGATAAGGTTTTGCCATAGGTGTTGGTCCACATGGGCGTCAACTGCACTCAGAGGGTCATCTAAAAGGTAGATATCCGCATCCTGATATGCCGCTCGAGCCAACGAAACTCGTTGCTTCTGTCCTCCCGACAGGTTGATGCCACGCTCTCCAATTTCAGTTGAATCTCCAGCGGGCAACATGTCGATATCTGGAACTAATCCTGCTGCGTGGACGATACTGTCATACTTTTCCTGATCTAGCTCAGCTCCAAATAAGATATTGTCTTTCAAGGTCGCGTTCATGATCCAGGCTTGTTGTGGAGCATACGCTATGCGTCCCGAGATTCTGACACGACCCTGTCGTTTATACATGTCGCCGATCATAGCATGGAGCAAAGACGACTTGCCCTGTCCAACTCGACCAACAATAGCCGTTAGATCACCCTTGTAAGCCGATAGATTGATTCCCTTGAGAGTTGAATCGTAATTGCGTTCCACGGGCGTCGAGCACATTGGCTCAGGTAGACCGGCCTCTTTGGCCTCCTTTGCAGCTTGCCTCTGCTTTCTAGCTTCTTTTTTCTCTCGGTTTCTGCTCTGTTTCTCGGTTTCGACTCCAGGTCCTTCCTTATCCCATGCAAAAACCCCATCCTGGATCTTGACTACAGGCTGCTGATTTGAAGCCATTGCAGCTGCGAAAGAATGAGAAGACACATCGTCATCTCTTTCGATCTGATCATCGTTCAGTTCTTCCTCGAGTAGATACTTTTGAATACGGCGTGTTGCTACAACGAGCCCGACTGTCTCTCCGGTGATATGTGAGAGCATACCGATTGGACGATTGAGGAGTCCAAAGAGGGTAATGGAGACGAAGATGACCTGGGGGTTGATATCCCCGCGTGTTCCACCAGGTCCACCGACAGTGGCGTAGATACTGAAGCACACGAGGGCCATTAGAAGCGTCAATGAGCTGAACATAATAGTCATGAAAGAAAAGGCGACACCCATCTTGCGAAGGATAGACAGTTCCCGGTTCCTGAAGACTGCCACTTTAGCGAGAAACGAAGACTCCCTAGAGAATGAATAGCAATGGAGTCAGTAAGGAATTGGGGAAGTAGCGCTTCATATCAGTGGAACGGATTTTTAGCCGACTTCATTATGGTGAGTAGAGACAAACTTACCATCCATAGAGCTTAACGATTTTCATGTTCGACATCAGCTCGCTCGTCAGTCGAATGCGATTGTCCATCGCCTCCAATTTCTGATCCTTCGCCACTGAATAAAACGTCGCCATCCATGTCTGAAATGGTGCCACTGCAATAATTGTTCCTAGTCCTGCAAGAGCTGCCCATCCAAGTTGTCGATATAGTAACCAAAGAGCAATGCAGATCTCGAATGGTATAGATCCCCACATGGGAAGCATTGGTAGCGCCTCGGACCATCGCTCGGCATCAACTGACATATGATTATTGATCTCTCCGGGCGTCTGTGTCTGCCTAGCCGCTGGGGAAAGCCTCAGAGCCTTTCGATAGATCATCGACACCAACGCCGCGCGAGCTTCGATTCCCATATTCGTGACCAACTGGTAGTACTGTCCTTCCAGCAATGCACTTGCAACCGTAGAAAGGAACATTCCAAAGGAAAGAATGATCCCCAAAGACACAGGCTTTGGAGTTTCGGTCGAGTAGGATCCGACAAATCCCATTAAACTGTCCATCAATACGGGGCCAACAAAGACCAAAGCAGAAGACAGGGCCCTGTAAACGAGGATCGGTATCCACTGCGAGTGGTAAGAACTCAGGACAAGCAGCAGCAGACTAGGTTCTTTGCCATGGGCTCTGCGATTGGCGACATGATGATCCCATTGGCTAGAGAGATGTGAATAAGAAAAACGGGTCCTGATCCTGTGTGGCATCATATCCTGAATATCAGCCTGTTGCAGAGGTTGCTTGTAGCCCAGGGAGATGACATGCTGGAGGTAATGGAACCAATATCGAGAGAAGATATTGGCCTTGTCATAAGGGCTTGCATCACTTTGCTGTTGGACCTGTGTTCTTCCGCGGGGCCAGGCTTCGAAGGTGAAACCAAGAAGAATGAGTCCGAAGTAGGCGTAGTAAAGTTCATTAGAGGAAGGAGTCGAACGAATACTACTCAAGGTGCGAGTAGTGATAGCTCCGGCAACGACGGAGACGGTGTAGTAAGAAAAGATGGCAGTTGACGATCGGATCTCGTACTTGTGCTCGAGGGTGTTAAGCATGGCAGCGAGTATCTACATGGAAACAATGTGTTAGGACAAGGGCACTTTGATTGGTGGTATAAATTTAGCATATATCCGCAGTTTGTATTCGATCAAATAAAGTTTACATACCCATGCAGTGCCCATGGACGCATTGGCGAGGACAGTTGCAGGGGAGTGATCAGCCTCGCTTCCCAGCAGACCTGCTCTTACGAACAGAACTAAAGCAGCAGCCAGCATCAGTACCTGTGCAGGCCAAAAGAGGGCATTGGTGCGTCCGAGTCCGTGTGGTTTCCCGTGTCGATAGAGGGAGACTGTCCGATGGCAGAATACGAGAATAGCGAGACAGGCGGGTAGTGATGCAAGGATGGTATACTCGAAGCATAGCGTCAAATCGATGCGATCGGTGCTGGCGGGACCCTATGGTAGCGAAAAAACAGAGTGAAGTAAAACGAAGTGGAGTGGAGCGGGAATAAGGTTTGTTGCAGTGAGAAGAGGGCACAAAAAACTGATAGATCATACATGCTAAAATCCATGTCACCATCGTATGGAGTCGAATCTTACCCATCCTTCATGATCTCGGCAGTACCCCGCGCTCATTATGAAAGACGGATGGAAACGAGTGTGAAAAAAGTGAATGCAAATGCAGTTGGGGCGAGGAACTGTTATGGAAGTGAAGATAAAGGTGGAGGTGCAGGTAAGAGCGAAGGAAATAAACGCCTTTAACAATGGGAACCGGTGCCAATCAAAATAACTTGTTGTACATTGATAAAAGTGATATGATTAGCAAAATATGTGTGCGGAATCACAAACAAAAAGAGTAACATGTCAACGCTTTTATACTGCCGACATTTATGAAAGATCTTCCAATGCATTTGTTGTTGTCTAGACTGTGAATGCGCCACTGGGCGGAATAATTTTTTAAGGAACATATTGTTGGCTGATCTGTTCTTCGGTCCTGCACCAGAGACTCATTCTGTAGCAAAGGGGGTGATGAAGAGGCAGTTACAATCGGGATCCGAAACCTGTTCCGTGCTGTCCATTTTTTTTTTTTTGGAATCGTGCCCTTGACGATTGTATCGAGTGTGTATTCGGACTCTGTGACACCAGGGTGGTTTTCTTCAGAGACCGTACCCGAAACCATCAAAGTGGGGATAAGATGCCGATGATTTAAAAAGGGAATTTGCCAGGTTTGGCTGGGCTATGGTGAATGCAGTCGTGGCTGTGGGCCCGTACTTCAAAGAGAGAAGGGAACTCCGCTCGCAGAAAATGCATACCTTGATTAGCTGTGGTCTTTGTGCCACCATCATGTAAAACAACGGTAGCAGCGACAGCAAATGGCACCGAGATACCCGAACCCCCGATCCCAGATTTTCTAGGGATTGTAACCGAAGATGGTCACCATCACACCCTAACGCCGTCAAACATCGACTCCATTTGCGGGAAATATTCTGCGCAAAAATTACAAGACGTTCATCGCCACCATATACGTCGTATTCCGCTCTTTCGGGCCCGCCCACTCAGATTCATTCCATGTGCTCCTGCATATTACACAAAACAAGGGGCACAGCGTAGGTTCACTCTTGTTGTCCAATAACAATACTGCAACATTCCCAGTGGACGCGACCGGCTTTTAAATTATTGCTCTATTCATTTCGAATAACAGCAGTGCGGCTACGCTGGAAACCGTTGTACCAATAAGTCTTTGGGGCCCAGAATCCGCTTTGAAGGTCGTCAACCTGCGTTTCAGCTCGTCAACCTGTGTGTTCAATTCGGGGCTGTTTGTGGAGCCTCCGGTGGTTCGCATAGATGCCGCCTCAACATTTACGTCCTTCTACCAGCTCTAGTGTCGGCCTGCTTATCCTGGTCCACTTCGGCGTCCTTCTTAATGTCCTCCTTACGCAACAGTATCACCTTATAGCAGTAGTTGTCCAATCGTCTGCGGCTCTTCCACTTCTAAGTCATGTCAATGCCCTCAATTATAATCTTGAGTACACTACGTTTTCACGGTAAGCTTGGACCTGCTTCGACGTCGCTATAAAGTGGATTCCTTTAGGAAAGTGGTTGTATGTCTCGCGGATTTCAGGGATGTGGTGTGACATGTCCTCCACAGGCTCGATGTATCGCAGTCGAGATTCGATCCACACCAGGCGCCAGCTATCATCTCCCTTGCGAAATACCGCATCGATGAATGCTTCTATCGCATTGAAGCAGAGACTTCACGCTCCATGCAGTAGTCAGCATAAGCAGAGTGTCAAATTCGCCCCGGTTGGAGGGGCCAGTCCTCCTCACTTAGTAAGTAAAGTTTGTCAATACCGTTTCATAGAAAATGCGTGGGGTGTGTTTTCTAAAATGAACAGCACCACTAAAACACCTTAGCACCCATACTCTCTGAAAAGCAGGAGTTTCTAATGGAGGATACGATGCGCATAAAGTTCCACATCTTTCTATATAAAAACCATAAGCTCTCTTGAACGCAAAGTCGCCGAGTGTCTAATAAAGAAAAGTAATATATTTTTCAATGGAGCTACTCCCATCGCGAACCTTTTTAAAATTAAGTTGTTTTCGTTCTATTCTTCGCGTCTACGCTTCCTGAAGCCACTCTCGGCCAGGCAAATCTCAACGCCATCATCGTCGATGGCTTCGCAGCCGCGCTTCTCCTGGGTGAAATATTTAGAAGCTGGGTCTTGGTGGGCGTGGTCTTTGTAGGCGTGACGACCGGCTCTTCGGGAACATAGGGTCCAGCAGGACCAGATACGCCTTTCCGTCCAGACATAGGCTACGCGTCGTAGAAACCGCCTAGGGATTGAAGGGGAGATGATGGTGATGGAGGCAGTTACGCAGGCGAAAGGCTTCACATGGATTTTGTGCGGGGGACAAAAAAAAACCCCCCCAATCATGCGTTTGATTCTAAGGATTGATTTTTTGGGGAACATTTCGTCCTGAACTTCAGTGGCTTAACAAGATTTTGTTGCGCTTGGAGATAGTGTTGCGCTTGGAGATAGTTCTTTTACAGTTGTATGGAGTAAGGAAACTCCCAATCTGAATGCTCGAATAATTTGTCTAACGCACAACCACGCACACTGTGACGAGTGATCAGCACAACGGTCTTCTTGTTCAACTGGTACAAGGAACAAAAGACCGCTGGCTTCGATCCTCCTTTTATACAGGCATAACCCCAAAACCTAATATCAAATTCTGCGTACCCTCGGTGGCTGCTGGCCAACAATTTTGGTTTTGCGCCATGAATTTACCCCACAGCGCGTGAATCTACCGTTGTTACTTCCTCAGTACGCTTTTTATTTCTTGTATTGCACTCATTATATTCTATAAAGCTCCTAGAAACCCTGCTTGCGCCGTTTGTTGCTCAGATCTTGATCTGGCTGTGGACGAAAAGAAGGTTCATAAAGGGCCAAAACTTGTCGCATCAGATCTGTCAGCTTCTCTTTGTGAGGTAGTAGCGCTGTTCGATCTCGCAATGTCTCCAGCTCCGTGAAACGTCGTGCGAGGTGATTGAACTCATTCAACGTCATATCGTCGGAAAGCTTCTGGTCCTCTTGCGCAAGTTCGAACGTGTCTAGCCCAAACTGTGCCTCATAATCCCACTGTTCTTCACGGTAAAACCTCATCGGAGACAATTCCAGTTGTACCAGAGCGATGTGCTTGCAGCAGGTGGTATATGAGCGGAAATATTCACACGTGCAGCGGATGATGTGCCCGGTAGGGGTTTTACTAAAATTGATCTCGACGTCGTACGTTGTCCCAAGACGAGTGAAGGATTCCACTATGAGCATCGTGTCAGAGCTTTGGCTGATATAGTCGTCTCTGTATCCCCTTGCCGATCTCGTCCTCAGATGCTCCAAGGCCGCGTTAGTCAGCTGGAGTTCCTTTTTCTGCACAGGACTCATTCGGCCAACGTTGACAACCGACCGCATGCACTTTTGCTGGAAGTGTGGGACAGCCATGACCGCAAGAACGTAAATCACGGTATCCATTCTTCGCTGTTGCTTGTCTTGAAAGAAATGGCACTTCAGGATATTGTGCCAGGACTCAGTGTAGTTGTTCGTATCAATGCTTGAGTAGGACACGTCTTGACGGTAGCAAATCATCCAATGTTTCTGCTTGTCTTCGGCGTCAGCCATGTTTTTGCCAAAGTAGTTCTTGTCCAAATATACGAGGAGCTCTTCATAGTTCGACCATTTCTCTCGGAAGTTTGCAATTCGGCTCAATGCTGCTGCCTTGTCTTTCTCGTACAAGATGGCACAGAGGTCGGCCCTGGCCTTCAGCAACAGCAAGACAGAATGGTATCAGGAACGTTCCTGGTCAACACCGGATATATTTCAAAACATAGTATACAGGTCTGCGAGTCTGCGCACATACCTCCGACCTTATTTCAAGTCTACGCGCAGCGGAGTAGACATCAAGGCCCTTCATCCCGGACTTGACCTCGCGTTCCCATACCTTTAATACATGCCAGGCGCAATAATGTAAAGGCACGGCTGGAAACGCACTCTTGACAGCTAGGACCTCTGTGTTACCTTGGTCGGCGACAACTACGTTGGACTTGAAGTCGTATTCTTGGTCGGGCAGAGAGAAGACGTCCTTCATCCGCCTTCGGAGGGCCTTCAGTCAATTTACGAGGATATGAATCTCACAGCTCTTGGTGAGAAGGAAGGAAACAGGGACACCAGCCCTTGTATCCCTGTTCTTTAGGACCAGCGTAAATAGGTTCGTCTTATGTCTAAAGAATGGATGGTAAAGGTAACCCTTAGTACGCTCTGCATGGCGAGAAGCGAAAGGCGGTGGTGTGCGAGAAATAAAGCAAGCGTACCCGAAGGCATTATGTGTACCATCGAAGCATAGCACCCGTCCATGAGCCTTCAATTGTTCCAACTGCCATTGCGAGGAGAACCCAAAATATACGCCGCTGGTCCTGTCGTTCCGGTCATAAAATGTAAACCCATTGTTCGCCTCAAACTCCCCCATCCATTTAATAGCTGGCAAAGTTAGGTCTGGGTCCTTCCTCATTGCTGCGGTGGTGATCTGATGCCAGACGTTGTACACATCATCGTATGTTATAAGATCGTCTGGCATGGGTTGTTGCCCATTTCCACGCACAATCTGAGTGAACTTCTCATAATCCATGGTCATTTGCTGCATGACCCCTTGTATTGTCGATCCTTGCATAATGAGGCTCCTGATTGTTGCCTTGATAGCAGCCGATTTTTGTCGGGATCCGATGTCCGTCAGACTGCCTAAAGTGTGGTTGTGCACATACTTGTATTCGATGCAATAGGCGTCCTCCATCAAGCCGCTTGCCATTTTCTTCTTCACCAACCTCGCGCTGATTTTGACCCGGCACCCTGTCTTCATGTCACTCTTCCGGTTTCTTGACTTGCCGGAAAGTCCTCCTTTGACTCTATTCATGTGCTCTCTCTTCATGCCGGCGCGTTGGCAGAAGTAGATCATCTTTGTGGCGATATCATCCTCGTTCTCCTCCCGCAGGTGGCAAACAGAATTCGTATGGATATTTAATTGATGCTGCTTTAGCCAAGGAAGGAAGTCTGCAGTAGCAACGTAGAACTGCACTTTATCCTCATTTAGGATACAAAACAGCGCGTATTGTGCAGGAGGGAGCGGACTTTCAGGCAAATACCGCTCCGCAGCGCGTTGGATGAATGGGTCACGAAACAGTACTTCTCGCATGCCGTTCAGCATTATTGCGTTGAGTCCTGCTGCGATTTTTTCCTTCAGTTGCTATAAAATGAAATGCATTGGTGCATTAGATGCTGTGTGAAAAATGCAGCTATATTGTCATCGATATTCGCAACCAGAGGCGCAATGACGTACAAATATACACACCTTGATCGAGTTATCTCTAGCATTAGATGTGTTGTCGCTTGCGCGGCTTTTTTCGCCATCATTTGTTACGAGATCATTGCCCTCGTCGGCCATATGCTCATCGACTTCATTCTCGGCCTCTGTGTTGATCTCCACAGCCTTCAACGCCTCACTCTAAGATATTTGCATACACGAGCATAGGACGCGTCAGTATACGGGATAATGAGCCAACATTGTCTTACAAAGTACCAGAAAAGATGCATACCAGCTGTTCCAGACCCTGCAGCAGCAACTGCTCTATCTGCATACGAGCCAAGCTATCAAGAATGGTGCTGTCATCCAGGTCTGTGGATCGGTGCACTGGAAGCAAACTGCCTTGAACAGGAAGGTCATCATCTGCAGAGGGCAGAGGGCCATGGGTCGTAGAATCATCAAGTTCCATGGCAGGAGGGAAGGAGATAGTGAAAAATGTACTGAGTGGGGAGGGAGGGGTAGAGAAGAGGGGCGGGAGACGCTCGACGCGACCCGGTCGTCCAAGAGGAGAGAAGCAGGGTAGTAGAGCCCAAGGTTCGTGTTGAGACCTTGTGTGTGACTCGCATAAGCAAGTGACCACCAACTGGGATGTGCCAAGTATGAAGAACGCAGGTGCTTCAAGCCTGTCGTTCGTGATGGGAAGTGAGAGTGTCTAGGAATGAGCCGGCGCTTGACCACGTATATCTAGTGGTAGTGTTGAGATATCCCACTTGAAATGTGAGGTGATTTTCATAAAAGACAATAATACCATTGCTAATCTAATAGTCGCTACCCAGCGGCGGATATTCCTCGCATTTGAAACTTGTGGGGATGATCATCATTCAAATTCCATAATTGGTGATATAGGCGACCGTAGAACCGTCGTAGGATAAAACTATCCTTCCTAGGGGGCCTTTAGCCTCCGTAGAGCTGATGGATAACTAGTTTTCGCTCTCAAACCCCCTGACTGATGCGGCATCGTTTGGACGGAACCCTGCAGGAACAAATCCCTGAGATTACGAAAGCGTATTGTTACTTTCTCTAGTCGAACAGCATATTGCTGCTTTCTCCGGCCCCATTTCAATCAGGCAGTAGAAGAATACTTCGGATCTTTGACTAAATGGTCGAATGCTTTTTCCTAATGTCTTTGTTCAATCTTTTCTATGATAAGGTATATAGATCTCAGATCTCTCCCGCTTGTTTCGCTAAGTTGTAAAACAAACTATCTTTCTTCTCCATCAACACTCTAGGCGGCGCATACTCGTGTACCCGCCCTTGATCCAGCACTAAAATTTTGTCTGAATCCATCACTGTTTTGATCCTATGTGCAATAGTCAGGATCGTCCTATCACTGAACTCACTCCTGATCGTCTTCTGAACCAGCTTGTCCGTTTCTGCATCCACCGCCGCCGTCGCCTCATCCAGGACCAAAATCTTGGACTTTCGAAGCAATGCACGGGCGAGGCAGATCAATGCTCGCTGGCCCACCGAAAAGTTCTCGCCATTCTGAGCCACCTCGAATGACAATCCTCCCGGAAGAGCCGAGATATGATCCTTCAGATGAGCACGCTCCAGAGCCCTCCAGAGTTCGGCGTCCTCAAGCTGAGTGAGTGGATCAAGATTCGAGCGTACTGACCCAGCAAATAGTGTAGGATCCTGCGGGATAATCGACAGGTGCTTACGAAGAGTCTGTAGTCCTAGAGTCGCGATGTCAACCCCATCAATCTCGATCGAATCTCCATTTCCAGATACGTCATGGCCAAGGCACTCGGATCCCTCCACAGAGCCGCTTTGCAGAGTTTCGCGTTCCCAGTAGCTATTGGCAGCCTCGATCACTCGGAATAGCGCCAATGTCAATGACGATTTGCCCGCTCCTGTACGACCGACGATGCCAATCTTTTCGCCTGGCTGTACCTCAAAGGACACATTCTTGAGAACTAGGTCCAGGCCATCACGGTACCTCGCAGAGTAATTCCGGAACACGACTCGACCTTGACTTGGCCAGTTTTGGGGTAGTGAAACACCGGTCTGCGCAGGAGCTTCCTGCCTAAGCTGCGTATACTCCTCAATCCTTTCCACGCATATGAGTTGGTTCGACATCTCGCTCCACGTTCGAACAAGGTAGGTGATGTCTAATGTGATCGACGTCGCGTACATCAATGAAAGACCGACTACACTGGCACTCAGCTGACCCTGATTGAGGACGGCCAGTAGTGCGGCTGCCAAGATGATTAATGCTCCCAAGAGCTCGAGCCGCACCTATCGCAAAAAATGAAAGTGGGGAAAATGTTGGTAAAACAGGTTGGACAAAAACTGATTCCATGCTTTCATAAATTTCAATCCATCTCGGTGTACCTTAAGCCAGCGGCCGCTCATTCCGAAAGCGAGTGCTGTCTCGGACGCAAGATCCGCCTTTTCTCCGTTGATTCCAACAAATCGTGACGTTGCTCCCATGGCGCGGATGGTCGACACGCCTGCGAGCGTCTCACTAAAGTGCTGATACAGAGGCGATTTCGAGACAGACATGAAACGCTTGAGTGGTTGGGATGAATGGATGTAATAGTCTTGGATATACAGATAGGCAAGCGTGAGAGGTGGGACGACGAAAAGGAACTGCGGTGTCGAGATCGAGATCACAACCATTGTGCCTCCTATGGCCACCAGGCAATAAACCACATCAATGAAGTTCCAAATGATGACTTCGTCAATCGCGTCAACATCACTTGAGAACCGATTGATAATGCGGCCGACACTAGCAACATGGAAGCAAAAAAAAAAAAAAAAAAAAAAGCACTAGTTAATATAATGCATAGCGGAAGCGTGGTGCTGAATATCGACTATCCAGTGAAGATCTTACGGAGTGGTATCAAAAAACGACATGGGCTGATGCAACAGATTGTTCAGCAACCTGTCATGCAAGTGACGCGCTGCCATGATTGCCGCATTTACGTTCGCTACATAGAACAAGGCCATGTTGAAAGCCATGTACGCCAGAGTAAAGGCGCCGTAGATCACCAGGAACTGGGTCACTGTATATTTTTCCTGTCCTGAAGCGTCAGACCAGTATCTTAGCCAGAAACTGGTGCCGACTTGGGCGACCTCGACCAGGATGTAGAGGAGGATCACCAATATAATGTTGCGATATGATGCAGCCTTCGCGTAGACCATAAACATCTTCCACCCGACGTCGCCCTTGACCATATTTTCGTCTGCAACCAGCTCACCCTTGGTATTGTCTGCTTGTTTCTTGTCATGGCATACTGTGACAACAGCGGCCTCGTCTGTATGCTCCTCTGCGTCGCTTCCAGAATTGGTGTCGTCCTGCGAGTGGTTCCTGACTGTGTGTTGCCGTCGCTTTTTAGCTGTCGCGAATTCGAGGTTAAACATATAGAAGCCCTGGTGTGCAGCCGTGAGTTCGTTAAAGTGGCCCAACTCAGAGATAGTTCCATCCTTAAAGACTATTATCTCATCGACCTCGCTCAGATGGTGGAGTCCATGGGTGACCAGCAGCCGTGTCTTGTCCTTGAGCAAACCGCTGGGTCCAATCAAGTTCTGCCAGAGTTGTCGATCCACATGGGCGTCGACAGCACTCAGAGGATCATCCAACAAGTAGATGTCCGCATCTTGGTACGCAGCTCGGGCCAGTGAAATACGCTGTTTTTGTCCTCCAGACAGGTTGATTCCGCGCTCGCCAATCTCGGTTTGGTCGCCCGCTGGGAGGATCTCTAGATCCTGCAAAAGTGAGCATGCCCTTAGCACATGTTCATAACGATCCTGATCCAGAGGCTTGCCGAACAGGATATTGTCCTTAACGCTGCAGTTCATGATCCAGGCTTCTTGAGCGACATATGCAATTGTGCCGTTCACCTGAACAGAGCCTTGGTACTGGTACATGTCCCCTATCAATGCGCTGAGGAGGGAAGATTTTCCTTGTCCGATACGACCCACGACTGCTGTTAGCGATCCAGCTTTCACGCCGAAATTAATATCCTTGAGAGTCGGTTCTGAGTGTGTTCCCTGATGATCTGAAGCGCTCAAAAGTGGGGTGTTCTCTTCTCTGAGGCGCTGCTCCTCTGTCTGCGCTACCACCGGCTTGCTCCACGAAAACACACCATCCTTCACAACAATAGCACGTCCATCGGTGCCGCGTTTCACAGGATACTGATCAAGTTCTTCGGACAACAGGAAGCCTTGAATACGACGGGTGGCAACAAGAATAGCAGTCGTGTCGCTCAAGAGATGGTCGAAGGCGGAGATGGGTTTGCTTAAAAGGCCAAAGAGTGTCAAGCTAACAAAGATTATCTGTGGGGTGATCTCGCCGGGTGTACCACCCGGTCCACCGACTACTGCGAAGATTCCAAAGGAGAGCAGACTCATAAACATAGTAGTTGAGAAGGTGAGGGTCATGGCCGAGTAGACAACGCCGAATCGACGAAGGACAGCCATCTCGGTATCGCGGTATGCTGCAATCCTCGATTTGAATGCGTCCTCTAAGAATAAGTAATAGTAAAAAAAAAAAAAAAAAAAAAAAAGATTAATATATCTGTTTTGATCTTCCATCGACACTGTCAATCGAAAGTTAAGACTTACCCCATGCATACAACTTGATGGTGCGAATAGAAGTGAAAAGCTCCGTTACCAGTCGAATCCTACTATCCATCGCCGCCAACTTTGCGTCTTTGATATCTGAAAAGATGACCGAGACCTTCTTCTGAATAGGCATCAATCCCACGACCGTGACCAATCCCACCAGAGCGCACCATCCCAATTGATAGTAAAGCATCCAAAGCGCTATAGTCAGCTCGATCGGCGCTGAAATCCACTGAGGTAGTGTATTCAAGGCACTTGTCCACTTCTCAGCATCGACAGACATATGGTTGGTGATTGATCCTGTCGTCTGTGTCCGTCTCGCCTCTGGCGATAGTCGAATAGCCTTCCTGTAGATCAATCCAATGAGTCCCGAACGGATTTCCATACCACGATCCGCATTCAATTGCGTGAGCTGCGCGCCAGCGACAGAGCTCATCAGCGAGGTCATGAACATCAAGAACGCCAGCAAAATACCAGTGGACAGTGGCTGTGGGGACCTCGAAGCTGAAGACTGCATAAAATCGAGGATGCGGCCCAGAAGTACGGGTTGGAGATAGATAAGGGCTGTAGATGCTACACGACAGAGCACAATGGGTGCCCATCCGATCCATCCGTAGGTTGCAGCAATGATCTTCAGTAGGAGCCATGACTGCCTCTTATTCTGTTGACCTTTGGGCAGGGCTAAGAATTGGGCCTCGTGTTTCGTCCAGGTCACACCGAGGGCGGCGTACGCATTCTCTGATTTGATCCGTCTGGGCATTAGATCCACAATATCCGATAACAATAGCGGGCGCTTGTACCCAAGGCTCATGATCCGCTGAATATAATGGAAGGATAGTCGGGAGAGCAGGTTCGCTTTTTCAAAGACACTGGCATCAGAGTTTCGCTGCACTCGGGTGTTTTCTCTTGGCCAGGCCTCGATAAGAAACCCAAGGATGAGAGCGCCGAGATACCAGCTCATGGATGAGGATGTTGTTGGTATGTCGGGATAATTCTGATCGGATGTGTAGAGAACGATCGCGGTGCCGATGATCGCGGTAATATAGTAGCCGAGGATTGAATCAGAGGCCCGGATAGAGAACTTGGACTCAAATTGGTTCAATACGATCGCCAGCACCTATTCGTAACAAAAAATCGACATTTGCACGCTCAGTCTTGAGACTAAATATAGTGGTGCCTTATAGATAGAACTAGGTATCATGGAGTAGGCACTGACCCATGCAATGAACATCGACCCGGGGGCAAGCAAGACGGACAAGTCTGAGGTTTCTGGCGAGTTGAGTAGCGAGTGCAGGAGCGTACAGCATGCGAGCAGCATGAGAAAGAGGGATGGCCAGTAGATCCAGGCGGTCCTGCCAAGATGGTGTTGTTTTCCATGGCGTACCAGCCAGTGGAGACGAATCGCAAAGAGGATGCAGGCGAGTGTGGCGGGCAGAGTCAAGAGAAATCTAAATGGCGACGAGAGGATGGAAGTGTGAGTTAGAGTGAAAAGAGAGAGTGGAGTTGCAGGAAAATACATGTAGAGTCTTACATTCTCTGGAAACATGGATCACTTATTAACTAGACGGGAATAGGGGAAATGTAAGTGAGTGTCCACTTGGGCGAAGCAGATTTTTGTAGCCATAGTTGACATGTACACTCCTTTCGAATTGGCATACCATTGAACTAGAATTCGGGCAAAGACCTGATTGTGGCGTCTGTGGCGGTCCCTTTGGGATGAAGGTGGTGTTTGTAGTGTTCATTTGAAGAAGGATGAAAAGGAACGGAGAAAGCGGTTGCAATTGAAGGTTGGCTATGTGTTAGGCATTATATACAGGAGCGCTGCAATGAGAAATCCGCAGTTTTTGCCTTCTTCCGTTCAGATTGCGGCCGATCCAACCTTATTTCGGCTACCTCTGCTTGGTGTTTGTGCTTCACGCGATCGAGTGCCTGTTCAGCCATCGCTCTTTCATCCGTCGCACCCTCTGCTCAACCTCTTCTCTTCCAGGGTAAATACCTTTTACTGCGCGCCAGGCATGAACTTTGGCCAACGAGGACGGTGGAGTGTCAACGCATATCATTGTGTCAAGAAGTCGATCGTCCAGCGGAGTACACCTATCCTTATCCGCACAAAGCAGTCGAGAAACAGGAGCCGACTGTTGCCAGCTTGCTGCAGGTTCATATGGACAGTCTGTTGATGCTCTTTCCTCTTGGCAAAAGACTGGTGTATTGGGTGCGCCTTTTTTTTTAAAACATAGAAAAAAGGGATTCCCCTTAAGCCTGTCGTCCGCTGAGGGTTTCCCCCTACCCCACTGAGGACATCCACTCAACGTCCTTCCCCGCAAACAGCAACAGCCCGACTTTACCAAAGCGCCGAACTCCTCATTCATTCTCGACACATCCTCAACTGCCTTGGACACATTCGAAGCCAAAGGCGCACATTTCTATTCCTTCTCATAACGAATAACACGCGATCCCTCACAACGGCTTCCGAGAACTGATTTCGAATGGGACTTGCCCAACTACTGGTGCCGTTCCTCGTCACCTGGTTCGGCATCCATGCCTTTCTCTTTCTTCTACAGCGGTTCCTGAACCGCCCCAATTTGCCCGTCGGCCCAGGCAGTGGTCCTGTTCGTAACAATTGACTTCTTTCCTGAGATTACCTATGCGTTTGCTCTTTATTCTAGCGTAAAAATGTATATCCGAGCGTGTGTTCCTAACACCTTCCTCTATCTTATTTTTACTATCCCTCCGCAGGAATACGAGCTCCTCCCTACAGCAATATCAACAACTGCAAGCTCAGGATCGGGACAACTATCACCGGGAGGAACCTCCAAAACCGGAGGGCCTTCCAGCGGATTACTGGTCAAGCCATTCTATATCCGTTTCTCAACCACGACTCTCAACTCTTTCTTCTTCCGACTCGGCAATTCACCCCGACTGGCGCGCTTCTGGAGAGTCTGGTATGGTCTTGGAGTCGCCTTTGGCATGGTGGCCATGGTCGCCGGATGCGCTTTGCTGATGTATGCGGCCATCAGGTTGATCGCAGTGGCGGGCTCAGCGATCTGGACACTATGGCCGCTAGGATCAGTAGACGTGGATCAGAATCAGAGCCATCATTTGGGGTCTGTCAGAGGACGCCAGCAGGACGTGGAAGGATCGTTGAATCGGTTCAGGAAACGTGGTTTGGGCGATAATACGAAGGCGGTTTCCAATACGGCGGCTATTTCCACGGATGCATCGGAAAACGAGATGGTGTTTGTGCCAGTTGTAAGTGCTACATGGAAACGATTAAGGTGCATAATGGCAGGAGGCCCAAGGAACGTTCAAGGATGCTGAATGAAAGCATTGTTCATATTCTCTAGATCCCAGGTGTCACCTTACCCATCTCGCACCTTCCATATTATTTGATCGCGCTTCTCATCTCTGGGATCTTCCACGAAGCAGGGCACGCCATTGCAGCAGCTCGGTAAGCCTTCTTGACAAGAGCTTTCTCTTGCTTTTCTTTCTTTTCACAAGCGATCGATATCGCCTAATGATCATTCCAACATACCAAACTCCTGTTAGAGAAAAGACACAAGTGTCATCAACAGGCATCTTCTTGTACATATTATACCCCGGAGCCTTTGTCGATATTTCGTCGCGAGCCTTGGCGATCATGTCGCCCCTACAACAACTAAGAGTCATCTGTGCAGGCGTCTGGCACAATGCGGTTCTATTTTTCGCAGCATGGATCTTTTTATCTAGTGGCGCACTACAGTTGTCATTCAGACTCATCGGCTGGAAGCACATGGATGATGGAATCAGCGTGGTCGATGTCGCTCAAGTAAGTGGATGCGGATGAAATTGCGTAAGGACTTGATCTGCAAACCCGCTGTGTTGAAAACAACGGCCTCTTACTGAGCATGCTGCTTCTGCGTGAATACCATTTAGGTATCCCCGCTCTCTGAAGTGTTGAAACCCGGCAGTGTCATTACGAGGTTGGATGATACATTGCTAAAGGGCGACCCCCTCAATATCTGGTCCAACGCCCTTCTACCCTCAGCAGCATCAGAATATGGCCACGTATCACCAGCCCAGGATTCCGGCTTTTGCATACCCAACACCCTCCTATTCGGTGAGCCATACGTTTGAGGTTGTTTCCATTTGACGCGGATCAAACCCTCAAGACAAAACGTTCCTCGTGCTAACAGTATCGATCTATCGACCCTCTATATCGTAACTAGTAAAACCCTCGGACTGCTGCTTATTCACCCCGGACACACAATTCGGCCACTCCAAGGACAGTTCGCTCTCATGCTTCACGCCCTTCGACCCCTCAGACCCCTCACAAACACCTCTCTCCGACGATCTCGGCGAAAGAATCCTCGCCAAAAATGGGCAATGCCTCCCCGCGTTCGACATCCTCGCCAACCCAAACCCTGTCCGCTGCACTCCCCGGAATCCAACCTGCAAAGACGGTACCACCTGTTATCGCCCCTTCATCGCCTACAGGACTGGCTCCTTGGTCCGCATCTACTATTCAACACCGTCATGGATGCAATCGAAAGAAACGACAGACACAACAGGATTCAAACCTGATTCAATACCTTCGCGGGCAGGCGAACATGTGGTTGTGTACCAGGGTGATCCGAAGGATATCTGGGAAGCTGTACAAGTGACAACCATGGAGTCTCGATGGTCATTCCTCCCACTATGGCTCCCAAACGCGATCTTATTGACGATTCGGTACACGATGTCGTTCTCGTTGGCGCTGTCGGTCTTGAATATCGTCCCGGCGCGGCATTTGGATGGCCATCATGCGTTCAAGGCGTTTGTTGCGCTACTGTATTCGATAAGACAGAGTAATAAGGCCACACAGTCTTTACGGGAGAGTCTTGTAGAGTGCTTGCTAGATAACGGGTCCACAATTGCTGGATCTTCGTCCTCAGGCCTTTCGACGGCGATGTATCCAAAGGGCTCGAGAGTCGTCAAGGGCATGGTCATTAGCACCACTGTGCTGCTCGGCGCAGTGATGATCGGCAGCCTTGTGCAGATGGGTATTACCTTTATATGGAAATAAACTGCTCTTCACATTTCAGTAAAAAAAAAAAAAAAAAAAAAAGAAACTAAGAGGCAACATTTACAATCACTGCTGTATTATTAATCCGTGCGCTCTATGTTAGGGGTATAGTTGCTAAATCCTTGAAGTCTAATTGAAACTACATAATGGAAGCTGGCGTCGTGTTCTGAAAGAAGAAATCGCTTCGGCTCTTCTTCAATCGCAGGGTCCTCCTTGGCTGATCGACCGTCTGCGCGCCATCATTATCACCACCATCCTCCTTACTCGCAAGATCCGCGGCTGATCCAGCAACCTTGGTTGCCGTGGATGATATAGAACTCGACGTCGACATCGTCTTAATGCTTCCGTTGTTAATGTAGCTATTGCTCTGGCCCGTCATCGAGCCAACAACTGTCGACATAGACGCCATGGACGGGATAGTACGCATCGACGCCGCAAGGAGAGTCACTGAAAGGTTCTGCAGCTCCTCTGGCGTCGCAGTCGAGTACTCATCCAAGCAGCATCCTGCGTCTTTCCGCTCGTGCTCCTCCATCATCGTGTTCGAGCTATAAAGGCTCGATCGGGCCTCCAGTCGGTCTGCCTCCCGTACGCTGAGCGGTTTCAATGTCCATTTGCGGTATCCAGGTCCAATTGGAACCTTGGAGTGGTGGGTTCCTGCAAGGCCACTGCTGCCACTACCCATCATGCCCTGGGCGTTACCGACACCAACGCCCATCGTGGTGCTACTTCCTCTCCTGCTCGAAGAACCAAATCTCTGTTGCCTCGGGCGGTTCACACAGCTGTCGGTAGCCGTTATCGTCGTCTGACTTTCGCCTTGCATATCACGCTGGCTCATGCTCAGAGTTAGCTTCCCGTAATGCTCGTTATGCTCTTGTTCGCTAACATCTCGCAATCGGAAGTAATAAGCCGCGTACAGGGATCGCTTTACAGAGACGTTGTACTGTAGTTTTGCCATCGTGAAACGTTCCAATGCATTCACGTCCTTGACGGAGAGACCTTCAAAAATGGCACAGACGTCCGAGTTAAAGACCGCAAGGTCTTCCCAGACCTTGATAGAGAGAATCAAGGCGCCAAGGAGGAGTCGACGCCAATTGATGGCATGGAAAGACAGGTTTCCAAGCTCTGTCATGCGTTCGACGTAGATCAAAGTGATAACTGCATTTTCAGCTCCTAGGTTCTAAACAAGAGGATTTTTCGATAGTGCATAACTGTCAGTGTTGCATTCAGCCGAGTGCAACAGAAAGTGAGAGTGAAACAGCGAGCTTGGAATATACCTGGCCGCAGTCAAAGATGAACCGCATAAATTCAAAGATATCGGCTTGGGTCATGACAACGCTCATAGATGGCACGTAAGAGGAAGAGTTGACGATGCGTTCAGTCCGGCAGTCGTTCTTTTGGTGCGACTCGAGCACCTTGTCATACAGCACCCTGGCAACACTATTTTCAATCGACCGAAAAAAAATAAAAAATGCTGATTAGTAAGGACCTTACTTAGTTCCTCAAACGCACGTCTAGCATTAGACTAAAATAATGGGTAATGACTTACGCGCGCAAAGTCCCGTCGACATCGCTTTTGGCCATGGTGCTGTCGATATACAGACTAGAGGTTGAATTGCACTTTGTCAACGAAAATTGTGATACCAGAGGCCTGTTCTCAAACGCGCTCAACGCACCGGGAGCAATACCGCCTAATGTATGGACCATGGTCTGCAGGGTAAGCGAGGGTCGGGAGCTGCTATGATTCTTGCAATCTGTAGTCTTTACGTTCATTTTGTCGTGCGCCTCGTCCTCCTTCTGAACATAACCCATAGTTTCAGCCAAGGCCGCAGCAGAAGCTGATTTGATCGCCTGCTGCGTCTGGAGGCTCATCGACGTCGCGGGCGGGTAGAGCTGTTGATCCTGCTTGTGAAGCCCATATAGTGGAGGCTTCTCACGAACCATATCGTCCATTATTAGGGATGGAGCATCCACCCTGAAATCGGAGCTCGAGTTCAGCAAAGTCGAGCTCGGAGAGGCCGACTCTTCGTACGATTGAGATACGGATATGGGATGGGAAGTTGGATACAAGCCTTGGGTGCGCCGAGCTACTATTTTCATATCGCTTTCCTCGGGTAGATCGTCGCCACTATTTTCATGTCCCGAAACCAAGTACGTCAACGAATCCTCAGACTCTTCCTCATCGCAGTTATCCAGGGAAAGAAAGAATTCTGACTCAATACATTTAACAATATCTTCCAGTCTCGTCTCATGGAATTTTTCTTGTTCCTGGGATTGCTGGGTGTAGATGTTGCCGTTTGACCCAGAGGACTTATGGCGTCCATTACAACGCCTCTCGCCGCCGCTGTAGGTGACGTCTAATCTTCTGATATCATTGGATCGCACGCGACGGCCTTTGGACTGACCTTCGACCTTGAGCTGCTGCTCCATCGAAACCTGCTTCTCTGCCCCAGGCTTTCTCGTTCGCCGACGGGGTTTTTTTGTTCGGGCACCATCAGTCTTAGGACCTCTTGCACGTCTGGGGACCATCTCTCTTTCAGAAATGCTATCAATGCTCCTTTCGTCGGCATCTGCAAAATTCGCCTCGGTGTCATCCGAATTGCATATGCATCTGGGAATACAACTCCGACCAGACTCCATGCCTGTGTCCTTCTCAGCGATATCCGCAGAAAGGCCATGATGTACCTCAGACGCGTTCCTCAGACTGGTCGCGTCGAGACTTGTGGATGAAATCAACTGGCAAGGCTCCTCTTCTCGTAGAAGTTCCTTCACAGAGGACGATGTTGAAGACGGACTGGCAGGTAGTCGCCGAGTGCTTGTATATGTTGTCTTCATGGACAAATGCTCGTTACCTGTCGCGGGTGACTCAAACACGTCCTTCGTATTGCCAATTTCATCGAGCGAGTACTCATATTCCGAGTCATCTCCATTTTCTAGACGCGCATCGTAAATGTGATAGTCTTGCACTCCACACCAGGCGGTAAAAAGACCATCTTGAGCGATACATGGATTGTTCTCAATGGGGCGCCCTTCGACTTCGTCATCGTCACTCTCCTCTTCATCCTCCATGCCCCTACTTGGCAGGAAGTTGCGCCAGTCGTCCGCAATCGGTGCAAATCGCTTGAAATACATAGAATCTGGAGAACACTCTCTCAAGTTACGGCGTACGATCCTGAGTTGCTCCTTAGCCAAGAGTTTTTCCTGGTTCTTGTAGTTTATATTGCCTGTAAGTTCGTGATGTTGCTTCTGTGCGCGATAAACCGATGCTGAGTCTTGAAAGGTCGAGTTAGAAGCAGAAAGACTTTGCTGCGTTGATGATTCGCTACGGGTGTACTCCTTGGTCTTTGTTTGATGAGAGGTTTGGTGCTGTTGAGGCTGCTGAAGCTGTGGGTTGCTATTGTTTAGGGGTCGGTTCCGGAAGAGATATTTGTATTGTTCGACCGTGGAACTATCCGTTGAAGCATCATGTTGAGGGCCGCGTCGACTGGCAGCACTGCTAGCAGTGGTCTGTGAGAAGAGGAGGTTGGGGTCCAGAGGCGGGTACTCGGGTGTTCGGCCTTCGTGGTCGGGACCATTGGATGAGTTGCTCTTACGTCCTGCAGGGTTAAGGAAAGCTAACACTGCGGCGGTGAAAACCAAGTGTGGTGGTCTTAATATGAGCCAATCATCTGCCTTGTATTTTTGCCACCAACCTAAGAATGTGCTGTTGAATATAATCACTTGCCTTTTGAGGTAGCCTTGAGCAGACTGATAGTGCTCCCTTGAGCTTTAGGCTGGTTCTCCTTGGCAGCCTTTGAAGGTTGCTTCTGGGACACCGCATGATCTGCGGCCTTGAGCATTGCGTATGGATATATGTAAGGTGCTATTGAGAAGTATGGATATATGGGATCAGACGTGCTTGCTGTGCCTGGTGTGCTTCTTTGCCACGCGTGGGTCAGGGTGATCGACAGGGGTATAGGGGACAGCGGAGAGTAAAGAAGAGGGGGAGGGAAGGGTAATAGAGGGAAGGAGGTGAGGGGAAGAAAGGCGAAGAAAGGTATGGGAGGTAGAGGAAGGAATGCAGAGGACAAGGAGGAAGTAAAAGGAAAGGAAAGGAAAGCAGAGGAAAGATAGCAGCGGTGTGTAAGAAATATAGAGAGAAGGAGGTCCAGTTTCTTCAGGATATGGATGGATACGAATGGATACGAATGGATATGAATGGGTATGAGTGGGTATGAATGGATATACACGGACATGAATGAATAGCGAACACTTGGACGCAGATGCCAACTGGGCCTGGAAAGAGGATGCGTGGGAGTGCAAGTGCAAGTGCAAGTGTCAGTGCAATGGCAACACAGCATGGTACACCACATCTACAGCACACCCTCTGCTATCTACTGCAGCAAAAACAATCCCCCAAGCGCATACGGACACCACCGGTGAACAGCTACAACCGCGTCTACAACTACAACTACAACTACAATTGTAACCGCAACTGCAGCTTTAACTGCAACCCCACCGACGATAACAGACACCACGCATCAACTACGCATTGGTGGGGCAATACGATATCTATAATGAAAACTCCAATTGACCTCTCTCTTTTTTTTTTTTACTCAGTGAAAGCCCCCCGGGGAATGGATGAGAAAACGGGGGGACAGAAGGGTGGTTACGCAGTAACACAGATATTCTACTCCTCAATCTCTCGTTTCCATCCCCATCTCGTTATCTTTCCTCCATTAGTATTCCCATTCATCTCGATGAAAAAGAAGGTATTTCTCCGCCTTGCTGGTATGCATCAGGCGCGCTGTATTTGTAGAGAGGTGCTGTTGAAGAACGACTATCTGTCGCCCAGTCGGGACTTAATGGAAACAGCACCATTGCTGTTACACGACCTCCTTTCTCTTGCCCGGACCGCCACTTCTTCAAATCTATCTACATCAACTTCTATTAATCAATTTTTACTAACTATTACTAAAAAAAACTGTGTCGAGAACGAGAACGGTGAGCGATAAAGAGGATAATAAAAGGGTTGATCGGAGCGAACGCAACAAGCTACCCTTTGTCCTCAAAATGTTTACACAGAAACATGAAGATGGAGATGGGGAGAGGGTCAGGGTGGAGCTTTGGTTCCGACGCGTGAGCCACAGGCTTTCTCTTTAGAGCAATTTATATAAACTATACACATGCCAAGAGCCTTGTTGTTCAACTCCAGTTTCAGCCCCTCCTCTTGTCAATGCTGCAGCTGTGCTTAATCTGCAAGGTAGAGTGCCTGCTGGGGAAGAGGGAAGGAAATCAATCTCTTATGAAATTTAATATTTAGGAAGTCTATAAAATAAGATTTAACAAGTTAATCCTCTTCCCGCGCACACGAGAGATTCCAGTCCGTCCACGTATTGACCAAAGATCCCTTTGTTCATTCCATCCCATCCCATCCAGAGAAACAGAAGGACTCCCACTTCTAAAAGGCTCGGTCGTCTCTCGTCAACACAGAGCCGTCATTCAGCACCGCTGACGCAGCTCTTTTACGGGGATAGGGAGAAATCAAACAGGAGCAATTGGAACCCGAATACAGGCTGAACCTCTCTGCATCAGTTAGTTCATGAAGAGGATAGTCGCAACGACCTTGACAGCTGCCTGGAGAAGGATTACGTCTAAGCCATATTCGACCCTATCAGGTTTCACACCAGTCGCAACCGCTCACGGTTGCTACTATTCGCCAAAAACAATTGTCAGGACAGGAATAGCAGCCGGTTCAGGTACCTTATCCAGCATGGCCCGAGGCACATCCGACAGTCCAAAGGAACAAGCGAGCGAAGTGTACATGGCCTTTGAAGACTCTGATTCCGAGTCTGATATCGAAATCGATCTTGTCACCAAGCCAGCCAAAAAAGTCCAGCCCAAGGTCCCGAAGCATTTTCGAAAGAGCAACGCCCAGGTCTACGACAACATCTCGGTCTATGCCCCACCGGACTCGAACCTGATCTTCCGCTGTTCACAAAAGCGTGCTAACTGGTACCTGAGCCGCGATCTCGCGCGTTCGCTCTCACCGACCTCCATCCACCTCAACTTTGCACCGGCAGGACAAGGACGCGTTAATGATCCGTATCATCTGGAAGAGCGGGAGAACAAGTGCGTTATCTGTGGAGAGGAGACGGCCCAGGTGGGTGCGACGATGCTACATGTCGTACCGGAGCAGTACCGGAAATGGTTCCCGATCAGACTGAAGAGCCATTCCAGTCACGATATCGTTGTGGCATGTCCAGAGTGCAATGCGCACTGGGATCGGGAGGCTGCTATTGTCAGGAAGAAGATTGTGAAGCTGTACAATATACCTCTGGAGGGAATTGGATGGATAAAGGATCACGACGCTGGAGTGGCAAAACGGTCTGCAGGCGCCGTCATCACCGATTGGAACCGGCAATGGAATGAATACCGCGAACAGCAATCGATGGCGGCAGATGTCAAAAATATATCGATACCGACTCAGGAGGCGATCGAGGAAAGCACACAGACAGAGTCGTCGGCCACTCAACTAGCGGATCTCGACACGAAACCGAAAAGGAAAATGAAAGCCAAGAAGCAGAATGTGATACCACCGGATCGACTCAAGGTTTTGGAAAAGAGTGTCTACGACTGGTGGATCAGCACCCAAAAGGAAGTATTTCACAACACGAGGGAGTCACCAGCGCTGAAAAGGGACTTGACAACCGATGATGATGAAGGCAGCAGGAAAAAAATAAAGCCAGAGGTCGACACGGGGATGGATGCAAGTCCTGGGACGACAATACCGGTAACACCTCCCAGGACAGAAGCATCAAACTCAGAAACACCCAAGAAATCCAAGGACGCATCATCATCTATAGATGTCCCAATGCCTCCACCAGGACATTCAACGCAACTGGACAGGACGATGCTGGAGGCGGCATTATCTGCTCAAGCAAGTTACAGAGGACCGGACTACATGGAGCATGGCCAATTGGTTGTAGCACGGATAATGGCGTCCTCTCTCGAATATTACGATGATGCGGACGAATCTCAAGGAACGATCCAGGCATGGAAGGACGCGGTCCCATTGGTCCCAGCTCCTGAGGGCTGGAGGAATGTGGGCGAGTTTATTCGGACATGGAGATGGGAGTTCTTGCAGAGGATTCAGCCCAAACATCTCAGCGCAGAGTGGAAAGTAGAGAATCCTGTTTGAAAAAAATGAAAAGGAAAAAGTAAAGCAATAACTAACTACCAGTGTTTCGTCTTTGCTACCATAAATCAAAGCTTAACGACATACCAACAACGAGTTCTCTGTGTGCGCATGTCGTGACGGATCAAGTCTAAAGAGTACTATTTTTTTTTCTTTCTTTTTAAAGGACGAACATAATCCCTGGTGCTGAGAAGCCTTCAGCGTCAGAACCGGTGGTTAAGGAAAAAAAAAAAAAAAAAGGCGTTTGGTGTGAAAGCCGCATTAAAGAAGCTTTCATCATGGAACAATGGTGCGTGTGAAAACAAAGGACATGGCTGAATATTTGAAGGCCTTCAGACACAGGTTGCTACGCAGCAAATGCAGATGGAGAAAGGGGTTTTGATGTGCACCTGGCTCAGTTTGACTTGGACAATTAGTGCTGGGCTTGGCCAATTAGTTTTTGGAGCCACACCATGTCGATTTAGTGGCAGTAAACAGCATCTTTTTTCATGCGGAGCAAATTATTTCTGTTGGTATTTATTGATAAAAGAAAATCATCACGTTCGTGCACGCAAGGACAATGACTATGAAAATTAACGGGTGGTGGAGAGGACAGAAAAGTCGGAAAGTGGAGAGGAAAAGGAAAAGGGGGTGGGGCGGGGTGGGGTGGGTGTATCCATAAAGTAGAGAAGAATGTCATAAAAAATGGCGCTTTACATCACCAGCCGCTCTCAGAATGGCGAAGCAGGGCTTCCAAACAGCTTCTCCGAGTGTCGATGCACAGCTTCAATGCTATCCAAGAACCCACGGATGTTGTCAAAGTACTCTTCGCTCACCACCGCCGAGTTCAAGATCCGGCTCGACAGCTCGTTCAAGTGTTCGGTCGATTCCTGAATCATCGATGCTGCAGTTATCGCCGTCGAAGCACCCTTCCATGGACTCACAACTTCCTCGCCCGGGAAGAGACCATCTGCGGAGAGCGCAGGTGCAACAACAGCAGAGGCCGTCATCTCCATCATCGCATCAATGTCCTGCTCCTGTGGGACCTCCTGTGCCTCCTGCTCGGCCTCGGCCTCAGTCTCGATATCCTCGGCTTCGTCAGCAGTATCGGCGACGGGAACGACGCCCTCCCATGGACTCTCCTGCTCCGGTAAGTCCTCAAGCGTCGCAAAACTTGATACACTCGAATTCCGTTCCGAATCCGTATACATCATCATCGAGCTCTGCAAACTGCTGCACTCATCCCAGGTCTCATTGTCGGACAACGACGGCGCATAGTAATCATTCACAGACGCCTGTGGAAAGTACTGTTCACGGGCCATAGTTTCATCTACATACACCTCCTCCAGGTCAAAGTGCGGGCTCTTGGGGTCAATTCCAAGCTGCTTCAGGAACTGTGCCATATCAAACAAGGTCGTCCCGACGAAATAAACTCGAAGCTCATATCCTTCCAACGTAATCTCGCGTGCTTCGGGGCACTGGACCAGTTTCTGGAGGATGGCCGAAACTTCGAGGAAGTGTTGGTATTGGGCGTTGGTGATCTCGAGCAGGTTCTCGATAAACCCTCCGTTGAGCTCCTTGGGCGCCCGCAGGGAATCCGTATGCAGAGCCGAGACCATCGTATCCAGATGCCAGAGCGGCGAGGCATCGAGTAAGAAGGACATCTCGACATTTGTCGGGCAGGACTCGGAGCAGTTCAGCTTGGGAAGTTCCTGGATTGCTTCGACAGACTTGCCGGCAACCTTGGCGAGCGAGATGGCGGTGGCAGTTGTGATAGGCACATTGGCGGCACCGGAAACCGACAGGATCTGGTGCTGCTGCTCAACAAGGGTGGCACGGTTCAGGAACGCACGGATGGTCGAGCTCGAGAGACGGCTCTCAGTCGTACGCTTCTTGATCTCGCCGCTTCGGTTCTTGTTTCGGTCCTGTCTCTTCTTGGTGCGGAGTCGGTACTGTTGATGGTGATCCTTCTCCGAAAGTTTTTGGGAATTTGCAGGCAACGAACCCAAAGGCTTGGCATACATCTGCGCCATCATCTTGACGGGACCGTTCAGTGCCGGTTGGAAGGCTGTGGCTCCAGAACTGAACCCGCGGGTAGAGAAGACGCCCATGTTCTTGGCGAAACCATGTGGGACCGCGAACCTGAGGGGTTGATGATGGATCATCCTCTGGGATCCCTTCGAGAGGAGCGAAGCAATCTGGGGACGACCTGCAGAGCGACAGGCATAATCGACGGCTGCGACACGAACGGGTTCGGGGACAAAGAGGTTGCGTGCGAACGAATTGAACTCTCGGTTGAGGTGTGCCAAGAGCACGGGGCCATCCTTATGGGATGGGTAAGGGACCTTGACCTGGAATTGGCCAAAGGCTGGGAGCGGCTTCGAGAAGGGGACGGAGGGGGCATGGAGGTGGTGGGGTGGGGCCGGTGGTGGAGCGGTGTTTGCTGTCGGAAACGCCCTGATGTGGGCGAGTCGAGCGTTAAACTGGACCACCAGCCGCCGCAGCGGGTCTAGGGCCTTGCTCATCAGATAGTGCTGGTGTGTGGTGGATCAGTAATCGATGAGAGTGAGGAAGGGGCTGGCTGGGGATGGATGGATGGAATGTGGAGTGGAGAGGAATGAAGAACCAAAAGGCGCGGGTGAGACCGAGACTAATAAAAGCGTGCAGCACCCCGCCAGTCACGCACCAGTCGAAAAAGGGAATTTTCAGAAGGTTGGCGCGGGGCGAAGCAAGTTCCTTTTTTCGACCGAGCATCGCCCATCCACCCAGCCTATTTGCATAAGCAAACATCCTTCTTTGTCGCATGTGGTTAAAGAAATGCAACCGGACGCATCTGCGGACAAAACATCTTTATTTTTCCTAAATTCAAGGGTGTCGACAATCGCTACGGAAACTGACTGAATCCTGCTAAAGCCTCGCGGAATATGGTCCATGCTCCAAGGTTCACAAAGAAAGAATAAAAATACGAAAGCACAGTAAAAAAAGAAAAAAAAAAAGGCATTGATAATTGACGAAAAGTGCCTTGCCGACAAGTAAAATCGTTGCTTTCATATCCTTGAGTGGTCACCAAGGATAAGAAGACTGACAATCAATTTAAAAAAAAAAAAAAAAAAAAAAAGTGTCGGCAACCATTCGGTATCAGATTGTAACCATGAGCATCGCGACAAAAAAGTAAGTAGAAGATACTCAAAGAATGTAAAATAGAAAAAAAAAAATGATATGCAGTATTGCTTCAACAAATAGCGCATTGTTTCCCATCGCAGGCATTATCCTTATCTGGTAGTTAGGGTATAATCTCAGCTCAGGTGAATCTTTTTCAAGTGAAAAACAACACCTGGGCACCCCTTACGCTATTCGTGAGTCCAACATACAGTAACTCCAAGAAAAAAAAATGAGACGAATTAAAAAATAACAAGGCCATCATGGAGGCATAAACATATCTCCAAGAGCATAAGAAAAAATTAAAAGGATAAAAAAGAAGTAGTACTCGACTGAAGAATAACGGCGATAGAAATAAGCAAAGAAAAAAACAAAGACAAGAGAAACAAAAGAAAGTCTTCAAGTCGAGTTTACCTGGCCAAAGGTCCCATAGTTGCTCCCACTGGATCCAGCAGAGGCATGATTGGGCTGAGGGTCGGCACGTCCAGGTTTGAATCTCACTGCTTTTTTCATCTTTCCCTGTCGCCGATGCACTGGCCGCTTACTTGACCGGGGCAGGGGTGGCCTCAAGAAATACCTCCTGCTTGCCATCGACAGTCGCAGGCTTATCGGCACCGTATTCGACATCACCAGACGAGCCGATGCTAGCATTCTCCGTATGCCCCGCATGATCCTGGGGCACGACCCTCAGTGGGACCGGGTAAGCAAAGCCGCAGGCCTTGCGGATAACGCCCTCGATCGCAGCAGCAATAAAGACTCCGATGGCCGAGAAAACCAGGGGAAGAACAAAGGAGGGCCAATCGTAAGCTTCGATAAAGATATAGTGCATGCCGTCCGCGATGTTGCCCAGCTTCAGGAAGCCAAAGACAACGAGCGAGAAGAATCCAGTAATCATTCCGAAAACCATGGACCAGCCCGTAACATAGCCCTCAAGACTGTCGACCAATCCGAGCAACAGTGGCACAGCGCAGATGGTGCAGACCAGGTTGCCAATCAAGAACAGGATGATGACATTGTAGCCCTTGAGCGAAACAAAGACGATAGGGACGTTGATCAAGAAGACGAGGACACGGGGGTACCAGACGCTCTTTCCACGGAAGAAACGTGAGGCCAGGGTGTCGACAATACCATTCTGGATCGAATCGACACAGCCCTCGTTCATGGTGACGGTTGAGAGGGCGGCGAAAATGGTGATCCATGCAGGAGCAGTGGCCTGTCCAGCGCCGAGGAGGTCAAAGAAGGCAGTCGAACCATCGTCTGAAGACGAGGGGAAGCCAGCCCAAATGGCGAGGAATCCACCGAACCCATACAGAAAGCAGACGATCATCAAACCCAGGGCACCCCAGATAGATCCACGCCTCAAAGCCCTCTCATCAGCGGATGCCCAGATACGCTGCCAGGGAGCCTCTGAAAACATGGTGGCGCAGGTCATGGAGATTGGCATGGCGCCGACAGCAGCCCAGCCCCAGTAGTTGGGACCGAGTAACTCGGGCAGGGGAGTGGGCAGGCTCTCGGGACGGTAGGTGACAGCGACGTAGATGGCCATGACGGCCAGCAAGGCGATTCCAAAGACACCCTGGGCAACGTCGGTCAAGATACTGACGTAGAGACCTCCGGCGGCGGTGTAGATCGAGGTGACGATGGCGACACAGAGGATGATGGGCAGACGGGAGCCGCCGATGACGAATTCCATGAGGTTTCCGATCGAGGTGTACTCGGCGCAGAGGGCGATAGACATGTTGAAAAGCATGACGAGGGTGACGATAATGGTGGGAACGGTTCCGAAGCGCCATTGGACGAAATCGCCGAGCGAGAGGACGTCGGGGTACTTGCGGTGGAGGATGGCGCCTACGCGGGCGACGATGATGATGGGAAGACCACAGGAGACAGCATAGGCAACCAGGCCGACGATTCCTGCCGAGACCACATAAGCAGGCATCGAGAAGATGACCCTGGAAGCGCGTCATATAAGCACAAGCCCCGGTTAGTGTTCAGTTCTTCCACGGGCACGGGGGCGGAATGCTGTCATTCGTATCTGTTTCAAGCGAACATCCTGAGGACTCACCAAGCACCGACACCCTGGGCATAGAAGGACCAGGCGATGGTTCGCAGGGGGATGGAGTGGCGGGCGGTCAAGAAGAACTCGGTATCATCGGCCTTGATGCGCTGGCGGCGACGGGCAAGGAAGAGGGCACCGAGACCGAAAAGGACGATGGTCGCCACCGACAGTCCGTAAGCGACTGAGACGAGAGACATTCCGATTGTGGAGAGAGGGATGAGTAGAATGAATCGCTCGAATGAGGAGGTGAGGAGGGGATGGTGGAGGGGGAGGGGAAGAAAGAGAAGCGGCGGAGGACGCCCTGTGTTTATATGTTTTTTTGAGGGCCCCCTTAGAACCCAAACCGCAGGGGTCCGACACCCAGCCAGATCCTTAGTCCCCAGCATCTTTTGTTTTTCTTCTTCGGAGTGCTAATTTTTTTTTTTTTTTTTTTTTTTGGTTGCTGGTGAGCAAGAGCCATTTAGACTATGATGTCCATCTGCAGTCCCTTTTTCTTCACGTCCGCCTCTTTGTCTTCATTCCCTGACGTGTTAAGCCAAGTAGTCCGCAACTAGCTCCAGATGGCGTAGAAAGGGGATGTCTTCATCGGACAAAGTCACTAGCTGGCTGCCCTCTCTGTGACGATGCTCTCTCCACAAGACCAAGCGTGAACGTCCACAGGAAAGGGCTTTACAAGTAAGGATGGAGTACAGGACAGACAGGACAGACAGGACAGACAGGTCGATCGTCCCAGTCCTGTGGGCAGAAACCGTACACAAAGATCCCATCCCATCGCGAACTACAGTTCATAGACCCCTCTAGATGCGCCTCTGTTTGTTTGTTTGTTCCTGTCGGAGATGCGAGATGGAGTTGGTTGTACAAAGACACAACAGAAGGCGGCTGACATCAAAAAATGAAAAAGGACCGCTGCTTCCCCGCCCATGTGGCTGAAGGCGCTGCTGGTACCTCCTTAGTCTAGCCTGCGCCGGATCAAAGACATCGGCGTAGCACGAAGAAGATCTCTAGCTGGTGTAGCGATCGAGGAATGAGGAAGTAACCATACTAATTGCGGAGACTGACAGCGCCAGAGAAAAAGGGGTCGCGATGTGGAGGAATGCGCTGGGGTAACATGGGCGAAGCATTCTGGCACGCGTGGACGTCCGCAAGCACGCCTTATTTGGACGTCGATTGCTCCTGGAAGCTCGGTGTCAATTGTCAATTACAACGCGTGGTATTCTCATTTCTATTGAACATATTGCTTATGGGCATAGTCGTGTAAGACAGAAAAGTGCCATTTGATATGATAAAAAAAAAAAAGAGGCCCGTAGATCGGCGGCATCACACTAATCCACGTCCATTATCGGCGAGTCTAGGTGGTACCAATTGCCATTGAGTGCTTTGCTTGGAAATGGCTGTGGATGGCGAAGCAAATGATGAGGCAATCATCGACACAAAAAAAACACGAGACGTCTCAGTCAAGTCATCAGTCATGCTTCCTGCATCTCTGTCTTGCACCTCCCGCTGCGACTAACAACGGCATATCATCTCCTTCGTCCTCTCTAGCAGCCAATTGCGCCTTATCTGCCCATTCTTCTCTCGATATAATCGCAGTTTCTTCATCCTCGCAGCGTGTTAGCCATCGTTCATAAGCTTCCGACGTCGGGTCTATAACGCTTGACGCTTGCACTCTCTTCTTTCCTCCATATTCTGTCAACAGTCGCTCGTCTTCTTCGATCGCCAGCCCTTCTTCCTTTGATGCCAATATTTCCTGCTCGCCCTCCCACTCTGCCACCAGTCTTCCGCTCTCTTCACCATCCAGTTTCTCTGCCATCAACATCAACTCCTCTTGCTGTTCGTCATCCCATTTCCGTATCAATCGGTCATCCTCCTCCCACGCTTGATCCTCCGCATTTGATAACAGCTCTTCGTGTAGGTTGTATGCTGGCGCCAGGGGCTGTTGCTTCCTTTGATGGAAGAAGTCTTGAAGCGTGCCATTAGCGACATGTTATCAAATGAAGAGTGTATTAGATAGTGTGCGGCGAATGCAGCGAACGAAATAAAACACCAAGTGTTTCTTACCGCACATTCGGCCTCATGAAATGCGTTTCCACGCGAGGTCCAACAGGTGTACTTACTCGTGTGGATGCTCGAATTGCGTTCTCGTGTGGCTTTGTTGGACCTTGTGGATATCTGGTTGATCGTGGATGAGGATATGAACGTAGTCTGAACTAAAAGGCGAGTAGAGAGATGGAGAAAACAAAGAAAAGCACGTTTTATATTCTAGTCGCGCCAACAATGGGACCGAAATGCAGCAGTTTCATTAGGTAATAAAGCACTGTCTTTTATCTTGAGTACTGCGTACAAGGCTCTGGTCCCTGAGTGGAGAACGCCTTGCACCGCTGCAGGGATTGTGGTTTTGCTGTCCAATTCGTTATAGATGTCATTTCAACTTGTATTGAGTAAAAAGAACGAATAGTGGTGGGATGATGCAGAGAGCGATACTGCAAAAAGGATGGCAGTATGGGAACAATGAGCATTCGATCCGCATTTCCCTCATATCCCAGCCTCCATCGCCCACCCATGGCTAGCTGTGTATTTCAGTGCGCATTTTGTGAGTGAAGAAGGAAGGGATCCACAGCGGGTGTCCAGCAAAACCAACGAGACCATGCTACTCGGGAGGCCCAGTTGAGCAACCTCAAGGATGAGCCGCCGACACCTGAAGAATACAAGGCAGAAATTGACTCAGGATATCACTGGAGGAAATATATGTGGACGGGGTCGATCACTATGAAGAAATGTCTGGCCAAGAAGACCGTTACAGCGGTCATTCTCAGCATCGAGTATCGCTCGCTAGTGTAAAACATCTCAGTTCCGCAAGGATCGCACACTTACACCACAAAGGCATACATGGCTGGGCTTCAAGGGCCGAAGAGAAGAGCTAGATCTCAAGTTGCACGGACTTGGTGATAGATGGTTTTTGCACATTGAGAGGAAATGAAACTAGCAAGGACTTTTGTTACTACGATGCGGCTAAGTGGTGGCCCACAGCATGCTCATAGTCCGTGCCGATAAATGGAAGACCTCTATAACATGCTGCCAGTGCAGTGTCCGAGAAGAGATCAAAGATCGGGCCACCAGATCCCAATAATGCATCCAGGAGAGAGAGGTTGGGGCCACAACGCTGGCCACAATATAGCTCGCACTGTCCTCCATCTTGTAGAGCGCCAAGAGTAGCCCGCAGAGCTGATGTCCAACAACGCCATATGCCTGTAGACACAATGGGGCATGAATAAGTGCCTTGTCGCTATCTCCTGGTACAGGAAATTGAGCCCAAAAGCATAGGCCCCAGAACACGGGCCATGGACTGCGAAATTCAGTTGGTGTAACCACATAGATCAAATAAACACCCCTTAACATCGGGAACCGTTGCCACACGACACACACGACACACACAACACGCGCCAGCACCCATCGCCCCCAATCCTATCCCTCACTCCCTTCCACCTCATTTTCCCTCTCTCGTTGCCACAGGCACCCACTGGATTCCCCCACCATGACCGACGTCCTGCCACTCTTTTGTCTCGTCGAGGGACATTCCACGTCGAGAGCTTTTATTATCGACGTTCCCGCGGCACATACTGTTGCCAACCTTGAGAGCCTCATCAAGGCCAAAAGGACTCCCGAGTTTGATGACATTGCCGCAGATAAGCTCACTCTCTGGCTCGTCTCGATTCCTGTCCTCGATGATGAAGATGATGGGGAACCTGCCGTCATGCTCGACGGTCTGAGCGAGAAGAAGGAGCTCAAGCCGACAACGCGTCTCTCCAAGCTATTTCCAGAGGGTTTACCTAAAGACGCCGTCCATATCATTGTGCAACGGCCACCAGCAGGTAACAACATCCTCTGCTCATTGCAGGTCTTTTGAGTATGTGCACCCTAGTTTATCCCACGCATTTCTCTTCTGTATTTTACATTTGCTTCGCTTCGCCCTGCTTCTCATGTAGGTCCCCGTAGGTATCCAAGCTGTAAGTGAATAGTATTGATTTGCTGTAAGCCTTCTTGGACACACCACGTCTTGGTTCGCTAAACTCATGTATACTTTCTCCTGTATGACAACGATAATACAGCGGTGCCTGTCCCAATGAAGACTGTTGCATACGGTGATATTGGTCCTGAACTGGAGCGTATTATCGAGAACGCAAGCCGGGACCACTGCAACCGTTCCGTGGATGCAAAGGATGTTCAAGCCTACCAAACAAAGAAGCTAGGCTCCTTCTACAAGAAACCCCTGCCATATGATGCGGGAGCAACTAACCTAAGTCTCGTGATGCTGGGAAAGGTGCTGGACAAGGAACCGTCGTCCGAGGAAAACGAGACATTGCATGGCATTGTTGAGGAGGATATCGACACGAATAGTGAATACCGCATGGTGGCCCTGGTTGGTCCATCAGGTTCAGGAAAGACTGCCACGGTGATTGAGCTGGCCAAGACGCACTTTGTTGTTTATGCCGTGTGTTGCGACCCGAGCACCCACTCTTCTCCGGATTTCAAGGATCTGAACTTTGTGGAGCTTGCACAGGATGTCGAGAAGATATGCAGGAAGGACCTTCCAAAGCCAGAGCCAAGATCATTGGAAGATCTGGTGGCGAATGATTTAGCCATGAAACAACGTGCTGAAGATCGGGTCAACATCGAATTCTTGGCACGATTCCTTTTCCTACAGCTTCTCCTCGACAAGAATCCTGATCTCGAACCGCTGCAGTTCTTCCGCGAACAGATCAATGGAGGGCCCTTGACGATTAGGAAGCTGGTTGGGAGGATGCGTGAGTATGATACGGATACGATCTGTGCAATGCTCAGTCATGTGCAGGACAAGCTACAGGACTACCTTGCTCCACGACGACTGGGGCTAGTGATCGCCCTAAATGAAGCTCAGATTGCAAGAAATCGCATCCTGCCTGACATGTTCATCGCACCATCTGCGTTTATCGGCATCCAGCAGGTTCTCGACGACAAGAACAGGGTACAAAGCAGATTTCGCCGCGGGTTCCTCACGCCTCTGTGTGCAACACTGAGTAACATGCGTGCGACACTGGTGATCGTTGGGACGTCGCTGTCATTGCAGGATGCAGAACAGGTATACTCAGCAGTTGGCAAGTCAACAAGTTTCGTAAGAATAACGCACTTTCCCTCGTTCGATGAAGACGACGTGGAACGCGTGCTATCGGAACTTGTCGACACATCCGGCTGCACTTTGCCGCCTGACATGCGCCACATGCTTACGGGACGACCTCGATTCTCGGTTATAGTTGTCCAGCACCTTTTCAAGTGCGACTCTGGCCAGGATTCCAAACAAACCAGGTTGGAAAATGCAATCAGATCAGCGACGAAGCAAATAAAGGCTGACCTGGGAAGCATTGTGCGCAGTCTTATTGAGAACGACAAGACAGGAGAGGCAGCACGTATACTCGGCCGCATGGTTATGGCGTACAAACTGCAAGGCGGTAAGATATCGTTTGCAATCGTCGGACAGTTTGACTTTGTGGACAAGGCTCTGTGCAAGCTGCTGCAGCGCCCCGACGGTGTCCGCTATATCATGAACGAGCCGATGGTGATTGAGGCGGTGCAGCAGGTGTTGGATGTCTCAGAAATGGATGCCGAGTTTATGGAATATCTCGATCAGTTTGACCGGATCGTTGCGAACTTTGGCGTAAACTCAGCAGCAAAGGGAGTTGTGTTGCAACAGCTCGTTCGACGGTCACTGCAGCGTTTCAACAGCTTCCGTCTTGTGGACCTCCCTTTCCTCCAAGGCATCAGATTGCCCGCATGGTGCTCCGCGCTCGAGCTTCAAATCGACGAAATCAACACGGCCAATGGCTTTGGATACACCGCTGAAGGCATTGAGGCCGATCTCGAGTTTCTCAGGGTCTGTCCTTCGAACAAGATGCTGATTGCACATTCTGGCACACGTCCGGATGGAGCATGGTTCTTCTCTGACAAACGTTACGCTGGCTCCCTCGCAATCAAACTATACAGCGACCCTCTGCCACAGGAGATATACAGGGAGAACGTGATATCCAGTGACATTCGACGCTGTTTCTTGAAGAAGGACGGTACCAGTTTGCACCCACCACTGAAAAGGATGCGGGATGAGTTTGAAGCTTCCGACACTCCTGGTGAGGTAAAGGGCATGCTTCGCATTCATCTCGAGTTCCCCAGGGTCCAGGGCGGTAGGCCATTTACCTGTGTCAAAACGGACCTCGCTACCGGCAACGAGGATGTGATGGTCCACATCGACTTGTCGAATATGGATGAGTTTTTTTATGAAGGTCCCGAGGAAAATCGGCAGGATATCCAGCGCCTGAAGAAAATGATCAAGTATATCGCGACGAAATAAGAGGAAGGCTCGGAAATATGCACAATCCCTGTTATCTAACGCAACTATAGCGCAGCACTACTCTACGGTTATAGCACTACTCCACAATCATTGCACCCCATCTATAATCATAGCATCATAGCACTACTCCATAGTTAGCCCAGTATCCCTGCACTCCGTCGTCGCCTTCCGTATTCAGTAGTATGTGGCATCACCCGACAGGTGATATGTTCCCTCGCTTGAACAATCGCTCCTAACAAACGCGAGCGCATAAAAAATTACGTTGTGCACCAAAGATATGCGGTTGCGACTCCACCTATTTCCATGAATTGCCAACTGAATTTACTTGTGGGATTTCGTCGACAATGTGTGTCGGGAAGAACGCTGTTCATCACTCGGATTGGCATGAAGACATGCTCATTATTCCTTCTGAATCGCCAGCACTAAATTGCTCGTGGACACTGCTCGTTGACCTTAAAAAAGATTTAAACTGCTGTTGATACATAAAGGATTACGCTAGAATCATTTGTGCCTCAATGCGAGGTGAGATGTGAATAGCAGGACTACTGATGAAACGAAGAAAGATATGAGCAAGAGTGCAGAGTATATGAAAATACGCCCATCATTTTTCTTCCCCACAAAACGTCTGGTGAGGATGCTCTCTCAGTCCTTGAGCTGTGCCAGCCATGCCTTTTCTGCAAGTACCTCTGCTTGAGCGGTCACTACATCTTGCTCCGCTTGAGTTGCTGCCTCTGCTGCCCCTGTCGCTGCGAGCTCTGCTTCCGTATTGTCTTGACCTTCTGCTGCCTGTACTTCTGCTCTGAACTCTATTACTGCTATCAGCGCATCCTCCTGTGCCTCCGTCGCTGCTGCCTCTGCTTCCTTCGCTCTTGATTCTGCATCCTTTGTTGCTATCATTCTCGCTGCTCTCGTTGCAGCATCTGCTGCAGCCCTTGCCGATGCTGCGAGTGCTGTCATTTCCGTCGCCGTTCTTTCAGCTGTCTTTTCTGCTTCGTGTGCATACTTCACTGCCAGTCTAGCCGCCGTGAGAAATATAACTGTCCAGAGAGTCAATGAGAACAAGAGAGGGATCTTTAATTACAGCGACTGAGCAATTACTTATTGCTCAGTGGCTTAAGTTAATATCTGGACTCAGTCTAGCTATCGAACACAGATACAGCGTGTAAAATGGGCTATATGCCACACGCCGTAGCCGCTGCTTCCGCTTCTGTCACGTCAAGGTCCGTTGATTCGAGTGTTTTTTCGCATCGTCCTGACGCTCTGGTGGCGGCGGCTGTTGCCTCTTTTATATAGTCTACTATTGTTGCCAGTGCTTGTGTTGCAGGGCGCAGATCCTCTGAGTGTCGATGCTTGCGAGGGATGCTAATGACAAGATGTTATCATAGAAAGAAAGAGAGGGAGACAAGCTTAGAGTGAGAGCCACAGCAGTAAGAATGGCGACCGATTAGAGTGACGCGGTTTTTACCTTGAGTCTGCGATCATGGCGCCTGAGTAAGAGTGTGGGTTCGTTAATGTGTGTGGGTGCGTAGAAAGGACGACTGAGGCGGAAAAATGGCGAGGCGAAGAAAAGAAGAGAGAGAGAAGAAGAGGTGTACTGTCATCGCTGGTGAACGTAATGCGCCAAAGCACAGATCCACGGCGCCTTGAACACAGTGATGTTTTCGCGCGGATATCACTGGCTGACTGCTGTGATGCCGCTTCAAGGCTGGAAAGTAAAATAAAACTGAACTAGCATTATCATCGGTTAGACATAGAGACATACAGGCGAGGTACATTGACCATGTCCGCCGTATGTAGTTAGGAGCACCTTGGCCCTATCGGAACATGCGCGAGGAAGGTGCCATGGCCACGTCTGTTGCTCAGCTTGTTTGTTTGTTGACTTCCCGATCGGGCGAATGGGCGACCTGCGTCATTTTTGTGCCACCAAATCGTTCTTCCTCGTTCCGCTCATTCATTCACCTCGCACCCTTCCTCCCATTCACATTCCGCATTGCTGTTCACCAAGTCTTTCTCTCTTCCACCCCACCATTACCATCCCTCACGACTGTAGCAAGTAGATTCCGTACGCCTCGCCGCTTCCATCAACACTATCCCAACTAATTGATAGACGCACAATGAGCTGGCATGTCATTATTGCATACTGCACGCGGATCATCCACTGGCAAGGCTTTGTATGAGAGAAGCGACTGACCTGGCTCTCATCCTGTCTCTCTATCTCATGCTGCAGGAAGGGATTCACAAAGGCTGTCTCTCGACTACCCCATACACTCTCAACAAAAACCGGCATCCGTGACGGTATGTCCTCATCTATCTGCAGAGAACGAACGGAAGGGAGTTTGATGGGCTATCAAAATCGCTCGTATTCACGCCGTGCAATCGTCCTTCTCCCAACGAATTTCATTAGGAACGAAGGATATCGAATTCCAGGAATTAAATTCCAAGTTCACAGCGTGTGAAAAGGTTACCGCCAAGCTACTGGAGGATGTCTGCAAATACCGCGACAATGTCACTGGTGAGTGTCTATTCCGAGTGCTGCAACGGGCCATTTTTTTTTTTTTTTTTTTTTGTTGTCATGGGTCGATCAACGCTCGTGTTTAGCTCTGGGGCTGTCTTTAATTGCTTAAAAAAATTTGGCTTGATTGACATGGGCTGTCTCATTTAAATGCATCGCACTTTTATTCTTTTTTAGCAATGCTGAACCATCAAGCCGAGTTCGGCATCATTCTCGAAGAGATCTACGATCCATCGTTGGGGATGCCCAACGGCGAGGTGACACCCCGCAGGGTACAGACGGCTCCAGAGTCTGTCCAGGCTGTAGATGACTTCCAGGCGGTTATGAGGGAAATGAGGAACATTCTACTGCCCGAAGTGGTACGTTCACAATTCGATGACTTCATTCCAGAAATAATGTGTGGGGTCTTTTCTTTCTGCTCGTGCAGGCGTCCCCATGGGTTGCTAATCAGAAATCTTCTCAATGGTAACGTATGACAGGACAAATTAGAGCTCGGAGTCGTGTGCCCTCTGACCGAGATGCAGAACAATATGAAGCTGATCCGCAAGACCATCACGAAGAGAGACCATAAGTTGATCGACTATGATCGCTTCCGGATCTCGCTCAAAAAGTTGCAGGATAAGAAGGAAAGGACTCTGAGCGACGAGAAGCAGATCTACAAGGTATGTTATGCATGGGCACATGAGTCTGGTAAATGTATTCCCGAATGACAAACCTTATTCAACCTGTTTATTTTCTTGAACCATTTGCAGCTGGAATCTCAATTGGAGGTGGCGACAGCGGATTACGAGGGTCTGAACGGGATTCTGCGCGAGGAGCTTCCGGGATTCTTTTATTACCGGACACAGTTGATGGAACCCCTTTTCCAAACGTTCTACTATTTGCAGCTCCGAATCTACAACATCATGCTGGACCGGCTGGGACCTTTGGCTTCAAGCGGGTACTTTGATCTGAACATGGACGTCCAGCAGGGATATGAGGCGCGCAAGGAGGACACCATGGCCACTGTTGAGTCCGTTGAGCACATCACCAAGAGATCGGCTGCTGCATGTGAGTCTAATGTTCTCTCTGCGCTTTTTACTGTCCTTCCCATCACGTTCGATCCCAGCACCAATGTTAATCATTGATTATCATGATTACCATGTTCCTCATATGCGTAGCCTACACAAGCAAGTATGGTCGACCAAACTATGAGACAGGTACTGTGGAGACATTAGGAGCTTCAGCACCAGGATCACCCGTGACCGGATCAAGGGGATATTCTTCACCGGTCCCAGCGCCTAAGCCTTGGCAGGCGCATGCACCGACTGTAGGTGCAAAGCCTTGGCAGACCCCTAGTGCATCGCCCAAGCCCTGGAAGTCTGGAGCGGCTTCTCCGCGATCCCAGCAGGAAGAGTCGATCCCTCCTCCACCTGCATATAACGCACTGCAGGAAGGCGCATCCGCACAGCCTACGACAGCAGCGTCATCACGATACAAGGCACCGCAGAATATCAACATTCATTTGGCGCCGTCAGTGTCTGGCACGATTGGGGCAACGGCGACAGCAGCAGCGACATCGCATGCGATAAACAGGTTTAATGAGGGCTTGAACGGTACTCTGCAGGCACAGGCAGCAAACAAGCGTCCACCACCGCCGGTTCCAAAGAAGATTGGGGCCCGGACGGTTGTTGCACTCTATGATTACGATGCGCAGCAGGAAGGTGATTTGAGTTTCAAGAAGGACGATCGGATTGAGTTGGTGGAACGAACGGCAGGTTCGGACGGTTGGTGGACTGGTAGACTCGATGGACGACAGGGCGTCTTCCCTGGTAAGAGCCCAAGACCTAAAGTTTTTTTTTTCTTTTCATTCGAGGCAACATATTCGTTTTCGATTCTGACTGATCGCACTTCTTGTCTTTCATTATTTTTTGTGTTTAGGCAACTACGTCCAAGAGATGTAGTCGCGCGGAGAAGCATTATAGACAACAAACACGAGAGATTTTATTGCATTGAAATAAATAATATGTATATGCCGCGTCGAGACGCCTTGGAAGCAATTGACTTTCTGGTGCTGCTCTCACCTTTCATCTTTTTTTACTCCTCAGGTATTGGCAGCTCATCCTCAAGGTTGCTTGACTGGGCCTCCCGAGTAGCATGGTCTCGTTGGTTTTGCTGGACATCCGCTGCATACCAGTTGTGCGTATCCAGCATCTGTTGACCCTGGAATACGAACAAGGCGCGGTTGCAGGAACCAGAATAGGCTGATCTGACCGTGCTCACTCGACGCTTCTTTCTTCAAATCCATGGACCGGATAATGCGTGCACCTGCACCGTTCCCTCGCTCTCGGTCACCTTGTTACACCTTACCTGTCAGTTCAGTGGCGTTGCGCAGGAAATGCATCTGCAGCTGATCAGCAAGAAGCAGAGTGACTCGGCCCATTAAAAGTTGGCATGCTCAAGTGGATGCTGCTGCTCGTTGGAATGATCTGATGCGCGTTGGAAAGCTGGATCAAGGTTTTTGGTGCAGAGTAGCAACACCCGATCTTGCTGTATTGACAGGGACTGAGGTCTACGTTTCCACAGAGGTTCCAAGCTCGGCATGATTGGAGGATCCAATAAAAAGAAACGCGGCCGGCTAGTGAAGCTGTAGTAACTGTCCCTTTGTAATCCGTGTATACAAGAATCCCGTACAAGAAACACTGTATTAATTGTGAAAGAGCCAAAAAACAAACTCTCCTCTATTAGACTTCACTACAATTAGAACTGCTTTGTTTGCTATGATAATGAGGATATACCCGTATGGACTGTAATAGAACCAGAAAAGCGACAGAGTTCTGTATCCCCGTTTTCTATGCACATATCAAGGGTCTACGATCCTCGAGACATCACAACATTGCTAAAAGTTTATCTGATCCGGTAGGGAGCAGTATGAAATCGAATACTCAAGGCCAATCTTACGCAGAGAACTTTCGATATCCAGAAGCTGTGGACATCGTACATGTCGAGAGTATGGCCATAGCCTTTAAAAGATAAAGCGACTTGGACGAAGACACCTATATACAGGTCGCATCATCGTCATCACCAGGACAAGCAGTGAAATCGGTGTAGCAGGCGAAATGTATACGAGCCGGAACACTAGCAGAACAAGGCAGAGACCGACGCAGGATATCACTGGAGGAAATATATGTGGACGGGGTCGATCACTATGAAGAAATGTCTGGCCAAGAAGACCGTTACAGCGGTCATTCTCAGCATCGAGTATCGCTCGCTAGTGTAAAACATCTCAGTTCCGCAAGGATCGCACACTTACACCACAAAGGCATACATGGCTGGGCTTCAAGGGCCGAAGAGAAGAGCTAGATCTCAAGTTGCACGGACTTGGTGATAGATGGTTTTTGCACATTGAGAGGAAATGAAACTAGCAAGGACTTTTGTTACTACGATGCGGCTAAGTGGTGGCCCACAGCATGCTCATAGTCCGTGCCGATAAATGGAAGACCTCTATAACATGCTGCCAGTGCAGTGTCCGAGAAGAGATCAAAGATCGGGCCACCAGATCCCAATAATGCATCCAGGAGAGAGAGGTTGGGGCCACAACGCTGGCCACAATATAGCTCGCACTGTCCTCCATCTTGTAGAGCGCCAAGAGTAGCCCGCAGAGCTGATGTCCAACAACGCCATATGCCTGTAGACACAATGGGGCATGAATAAGTGCCTTGTCGCTATCTCCTGGTACAGGAAATTGAGCCCAAAAGCATAGGCCCCAGAACACGGGCCATGGACTGCGAAATTCAGTTGGTGTAACCACATAGATCAAATAAACACCCCTTAACATCGGGAACCGTTGCCACACGACACACACGACACACACAACACGCGCCAGCACCCATCGCCCCCAATCCTATCCCTCACTCCCTTCCACCTCATTTTCCCTCTCTCGTTGCCACAGGCACCCACTGGATTCCCCCACCATGACCGACGTCCTGCCACTCTTTTGTCTCGTCGAGGGACATTCCACGTCGAGAGCTTTTATTATCGACGTTCCCGCGGCACATACTGTTGCCAACCTTGAGAGCCTCATCAAGGCCAAAAGGACTCCCGAGTTTGATGACATTGCCGCAGATAAGCTCACTCTCTGGCTCGTCTCGATTCCTGTCCTCGATGATGAAGATGATGGGGAACCTGCCGTCATGCTCGACGGTCTGAGCGAGAAGAAGGAGCTCAAGCCGACAACGCGTCTCTCCAAGCTATTTCCAGAGGGTTTACCTAAAGACGCCGTCCATATCATTGTGCAACGGCCACCAGCAGGTAACAACATCCTCTGCTCATTGCAGGTCTTTTGAGTATGTGCACCCTAGTTTATCCCACGCATTTCTCTTCTGTATTTTACATTTGCTTCGCTTCGCCCTGCTTCTCATGTAGGTCCCCGTAGGTATCCAAGCTGTAAGTGAATAGTATTGATTTGCTGTAAGCCTTCTTGGACACACCACGTCTTGGTTCGCTAAACTCATGTATACTTTCTCCTGTATGACAACGATAATACAGCGGTGCCTGTCCCAATGAAGACTGTTGCATACGGTGATATTGGTCCTGAACTGGAGCGTATTATCGAGAACGCAAGCCGGGACCACTGCAACCGTTCCGTGGATGCAAAGGATGTTCAAGCCTACCAAACAAAGAAGCTAGGCTCCTTCTACAAGAAACCCCTGCCATATGATGCGGGAGCAACTAACCTAAGTCTCGTGATGCTGGGAAAGGTGCTGGACAAGGAACCGTCGTCCGAGGAAAACGAGACATTGCATGGCATTGTTGAGGAGGATATCGACACGAATAGTGAATACCGCATGGTGGCCCTGGTTGGTCCATCAGGTTCAGGAAAGACTGCCACGGTGATTGAGCTGGCCAAGACGCACTTTGTTGTTTATGCCGTGTGTTGCGACCCGAGCACCCACTCTTCTCCGGATTTCAAGGATCTGAACTTTGTGGAGCTTGCACAGGATGTCGAGAAGATATGCAGGAAGGACCTTCCAAAGCCAGAGCCAAGATCATTGGAAGATCTGGTGGCGAATGATTTAGCCATGAAACAACGTGCTGAAGATCGGGTCAACATCGAATTCTTGGCACGATTCCTTTTCCTACAGCTTCTCCTCGACAAGAATCCTGATCTCGAACCGCTGCAGTTCTTCCGCGAACAGATCAATGGAGGGCCCTTGACGATTAGGAAGCTGGTTGGGAGGATGCGTGAGTATGATACGGATACGATCTGTGCAATGCTCAGTCATGTGCAGGACAAGCTACAGGACTACCTTGCTCCACGACGACTGGGGCTAGTGATCGCCCTAAATGAGGCTCAGATTGCAAGAAATCGCATCCTGCCTGACATGTTCATCGCACCATCTGCGTTTATCGGCATCCAGCAGGTTCTCGACGACAAGAACAGGGTACAAAGCAGATTTCGCCGCGGGTCCCTCACGCCTCTGTGTGCAACACTGAGTAACATGCGTGCGACACTGGTGATCGTTGGGACGTCGCTGTCATTGCAGGATGCAGAACAGGTATACTCAGCAGTTGGCAAGTCAACAAGTTTCGTAAGAATAACGCACTTTCCCTCGTTCGATGAAGACGACGTGGAACGCGTGCTATCGGAACTTGTCGACACATCCGGCTGCACTTTGCCGCCTGACATGCGCCACATGCTTACGGGACGACCTCGATTCTCGGTTATAGTTGTCCAGCACCTTTTCAAGTGCGACTCTGGCCAGGATTCCAAACAAACCAGGTTGGAAAATGCAATCAGATCAGCGACGAAGCAAATAAAGGCTGACCTGGGAAGCATTGTGCGCAGTCTTATTGAGAACGACAAGACAGGAGAGGCAGCACGTATACTCGGCCGCATGGTTATGGCGTACAAACTGCAAGGCGGTAAGATATCGTTTGCAATCGTCGGACAGTTTGACTTTGTGGACAAGGCTCTGTGCAAGCTGCTGCAGCGCCCCGACGGTGTCCGCTATATCATGAACGAGCCGATGGTGATTGAGGCAGTGCAGCAGGTGTTGGATGTCTCAGAAATGGATGCCGAGTTTATGGAATATCTCGATCAGTTTGACCGGATCGTTGCGAACTTTGGCGTAAACTCAGCAGCAAAGGGAGTTGTGTTGCAACAGCTCGTTCGACGGTCACTGCAGCGTTTCAACAGCTTCCGTCTTGTGGACCTCCCTTTCCTCCAAGGCATCAGATTGCCCGCATGGTGCTCCGCGCTCGAGCTTCAAATCGACGAAATCAACACGGCCAATGGCTTTGGATACACCGCTGAAGGCATCGAGGCCGATCTCGAGTTTCTCAGGGTCTGTCCTTCGAACAAGATGCTGATTGCACATTCTGGCACACGTCCGGATGGAGCATGGTTCTTCTCTGACAAACGTTACGCTGGCTCCCTCGCAATCAAACTATACAGCGACCCTCTGCCACAGGAGATATACAGGGAGAACGTGATATCCAGTGACATTCGACGCTGTTTCTTGAAGGACGGTACCAGTTTGCACCCACCACTGAAAAGGATGCGGGATGAGTTTGAAGCTTCCGACACTCCTGGTGAGGTAAAGGGCATGCTTCGCATTCATCTCGAGTTCCCCAGGGTCCAGGGCGGTAGGCCAATTACCTGTGTCAAAACGGACCTCGCTACCGGCAACGAGGATGTGATGGTCCACATCGACTTGTCGAATATGGATGAGTTTTTTTATGAAGGTCCCGAGGAAAATCGGCAGGATATCCAGCGCCTGAAGAAAATGATCAAGTATATCTCGACAAAGTAAAAGGAAGGCTCAGAAATATGCACATTCCCTTTATATAGCACATCCATAGCACAGCACTACTATAAGGTTATCCCTTCGATCATCAGGTTTACAAGGCAATTTGCCCGTCAATCAATTTTCCAATGCGAAACTTTATTTTATTTTATTTTATGGTTACGATACTCGAGAAAACAGTTTCTAGTCTTGTTGGCACAAAGGGAACATTGCATTCTGCACACCACAACTGGCTTTGGTTACGGTTTTTATGGTCCATGAATATCTGGTCCAACGTATTTTGTTCCGCTCTTTCAATTGAACTAAGGGATAGCATTGTTGTGGTTATAGCACTGCAATCTATATAAAGCATCATAGCACTACTTTCATAGTTAGTCCAGTATCCTTTCGTTCCTTCGTTGCCTTCCGTATTCAGTAGTAAGCGGCATTACTCGCTATGGCAATACCGGCGATATGTTCCCTCGCTTGAACAATCGCTCCTAACAAACGCGAGCGCATAAAAAAACGTTGTGCAATTACAATTTACAACTCCACCTATTCGCATGCATTGCCAACTGAATTTACTTGTGGGGCTTCGTCGTGTTTGTACAGCACCTTGTAAAACTGCCTCAATGTTTCTCAGTATTGCTGCGTCTACATCTCGTGGACAATGTGTGTCGGGAATAGCGCTGTTCATCACTCGAATTGGCATGAAGGCATATTCATGGCTAGTGTCTCCAAGGCCACGAATTAGAAGGAGCTGAGGTCTCTTGTCACCGAATACCTCGGCACCAATAAGGGCCCCAATGCCACTGAGAAGGCTCAGCAGAGGTTTGAGGCGCTGAAACGGGAGGGCTTTAGCCCTATCAGGATCAAAGGCGACATTGCGACCTTGGAGTTCGCGCTCCACGCACACGGCGTAGAAGATGACACCTCTATTTGCCGTAACATTCTGGATTGAGCTAAAGGCCGAGTACCGAGTACCGAGATGATTTCCCGAGCCTGTGAGAATTATCCAGGGAGGTGATAGATCGTTTGGGGGCGAAAAAATCAGACATAGTCATGCCAGTCTTAACGGTTCCTCTGAATGGAACTCCAGCAGCAAGTACGAGGACACCAACGCGCTCGGAGGTCGCCATCGCCAAGAGCACTCGAGAACTCGAGTTGGAGAGAGCTCTCGTAGTCAATGAGAGGGAACTGGCGGAAGCGAGGGCTTCGGGGGGCTACTCCGAATGCGACTTCGAGTTTCGGGACATCTACTGTGAGGATCCAGACCATGTCAAGAAAAAGCGCGCCATGCTAACCAAGGACAGGACTGAAGGGTTCGTTATCGTGAAGGAGAGCGGATACGTCGCCTATGCAAATGGGCCAGGGGATGTCCCACCTGCGCCTTTCTGAAAAGGGGGAATGCGGCCGGCGGTCCTCGGACAGTGGAAACGAAAGGAGGCCCGGGCCGAGGAAGCACAGACGCGATTGGTCAGTGGCGTGGAGAAAGGTGAAGAGGAAGCGACCATCCCGCAAACGCTGATGATACACATTGAGGCGCATGGGTCAGTCGGCCAATGTTTCAAGGCGGCCCCTAGGCGAGGACTAAAGGATGGAGGAAGGACCAACCGCCATCATAAACGCTAGGGTTTGAAATAGGGGTCAAGGACAGGACGAGACCGGCGGCATGGCGGTTCTGAAGATGGACAAGACTTACACACGGCATCCTCAAAGGGAGGCGCGTCGCTTTGTGCTGTGACATAGGTTCTGAAATCAACCTTATTTCGCGCATGGTCTGTGCGGATTTGGGCTTAGTAGTTCAACCGATGCAATCCATCAAGATCAACGGTATTGGAGGGGGCCTACTGAGTGTGGGTGAATGATACAATGTCGTCGTCAAGCTCGGAGAGCCCGAGGCTGTGGCCCAATTTATCGTGGTAGGGCCATTGAAGGGAGGGCCTTTGTTGGGTATGCCCTTCTTGAACGGCGTAGACGTCAAGTGACCAGTGCTGACGAGGCAGAGAAGTGGATGCTCCTTATCAAGGGAGGTCACCGAGTGAAATTTTCACTCGTCAACAAGGGAGCCGAAAGGACAGGAAAAACGGTTGTGCGGAGGATGGATGTTGAGGAGCCTAATGGAGTTGAGGGTCTCGAAGACGGAGAAAAGGGCGGTCGCAATGGTAACCTTGCTGGAAGTGGCGCGCTTACCGGAAGAAGTCAACGTCCGAACGGCCAAGTACAAACCAGTAGACAAGAAGGTTAGGTCCGTAGCAGCACCGGTTCTTCCAGAGCTCCAGTTACCTAGCAAGCAAGCTATACTTTCGATGAAGCAGCGTTTGACAGATGAGCGATTGGCTCAGCTGCACGTGGACGATGGATCCATGACGGAGGAGTATTTCAAGAAAAAACTCAAAGAACTGGATGGAGCCTTTGTGTCCGACAACAGCGAGATGGGGTCGTTGAAGGAAGCAATCGGGCTGCCCATTCGAATCCCCACAGTCCAACATGCCCCTTGGAATCAGGTTCAATCCTGACATCAATGTGTAGTTCAGATGCTTAAACAGAATTATTGAGCAGTCTATTCCATTTGTATCCTCCGAGTTCTGGAATTTCTGCGGGCATGCGGATTGAATAGATGGGTGCTGAGAATTCTGCTTCTCTCTCGTATATTTAACTTTCAGCTGCATCGTTGTGCTGTATTCTTGTATTCGTTATAGTCTCCAACCCCGACCTTGGGGATGTTGTTTTTTTGCCGTTGAACTGGTTTGAGCATTTGCTGCTTGTTTGGAGTCGAAGTGCTAAAACCATATTGCTGGCTACCGTGATGTTTCTCTGGAAGGATATGGTGTCAGTATGTAAGAGCTGGACTATGTGGTTCCATGCTTTTGACGCGTCGCCCTGTGCTCTTTTATGCTGAACTGCGCACATAATTCTTTGAGGGGCACTCTTGATATGCATGTCAAAGTGAGGAACCAACTTGTCGATATAGGATCAAGATTGAAGGCCGTCTTCTTGGAAGAAGTCTTCCTATTGTCTACTGCCAGGAAACGGCAGTAGAGAATAGCCTTGCGTCTTGAAAAAAAAAAAAAAAAAAAAAAAAAAAAAAAAACTAGCAGGCGCATCTTTGTTTGATTGCAGCGGTACCATAAATACGAGTATATTCTTCTGATGAGTACATATATAAGGCGCTCTTTTGATCTTGTCGATGGTAGGCGCTGTTTTGTCCGCTTGGCTCTTTGTACTTTTTTGAAGGCGGTATATTTTTTCTTTCCCATAGATGATCTGCCAGTTCCAACTGCACTATGGTTTGTACTATACGCGCCCTGGCCCCTCTGAGGTCTGCGCTGCGGGCCTAGCAACATATCTTTCTTTGGGTCCTTCCTAGGTCGGGAAGGCGTTTGATCTTCGCTTATGACTTTGATCTTAGTAGAAAGGTGGACTTTACACTGCCGTATTGATGCTTTAGTCACAGAGCAGTATATGAAGAAATATGAATCGTGTTGAATAACAACCTTATCGGATCCTTGAAATTTTGCACTAGATATTTTCGAATGAGCGATGTAACTATCCGAATGAAATAAATTCTAAAAGCGACGTTTATCATCTTGAGCCATTTCAGCCGCGGGAAGTGCCATAGTAGGTGCAGAGTATAGGGGGATCAGATCTGAGAAAAAAAAGGACAAGACCAGTCCGAGAGACAGACCTGTGTGCCTTTACGACGTCTTTATTAATGAAATGAGCTCAAGGAGACCCGTGGGCTCTTGGATGAAAACGCGGTGATAGATCAATGGATGATCTCCGTTGCAGCAGGAAATATAAAACTACTCCGCCCAGCATTTTGATAGAATTGAGGGAGAGGGGATACCTTCCAGGGCCGACCAAAGCATCATTAAAGGTGGCGAAGGTGGCATCTGCCCTTGATCTCTGGATAGCTGCGGGTCCTCCTTCTATTCTATAACCTTGGGAGCGATAGATTGCTGCCATCGAGTCGTGGCGAATCGTGACTGGGTGCAATAGAAAAAAGGGCTGGCTCTCTCTCTCTTCGCCCAAAAGAGCTCATTTTACCCCACCCCAGCTCAGCTTCACTCGCCTCGCCTCGCCTCGCCGCAGCCCATCCGCCTGAACAGGACAACGACAGTTCCCCTTTGCATTCAAACCCATTCTCCATCTCATCTCATCCCATCCCAGCGACGCAAGAAGCAACGATGGCGTCGCTCGCGGGCATCCCTGCCCAGTACAACAAAAAGAGCTCAGGTATTGTGGGACTCATCAACAAGACACTAAGAAAAGCCAATACCAATGGCGAATGCAGACACATCCACTAACAGCACGTTTCCCGTCTTCTTCCCCTTGCGCTTGTGCTGTTGCTAGCGGTGAAGAGAATCATGCAAGAGGCTCGAGAGCTCGTTCGCGAGCCCTCGACTGACTTTGCCGCCAATCCGCTTGATGTACGTTATCATTTGATGCATTTTTTTCACCCCACAATATACTTGTCAATCATCTGCTTAACAAAACTCTCTCAACGCTTCTCATAGACGGATATCTTTGAGTGGCATTTTACAATCCGTGGACCTGAAGAAACGGACTTTGAGGGCGGGTTGTATCATGGCCGGATCCTCCTCCCCAACAACTACCCCTTTGCGCCGCCCAGCCTGATGTTCCTCACCGTAGGCCTACCTCCCTTTTGCTCAACCAATTCACCCGCTTTATGCCATTAGTGCTTGCATCAGGCATCCAACACTTTGTACTTTCTCAATTCGATTAGCCCAACGGACGATTCGAATTGCACAAGAAGGTGTGTCTGAGCATTACAGGGTATCATCCAGAGTATTGGCAGCCCGCATGGGGAATCCGTACAGTTCTGGTCGCCGTCATGGGATTCTTGCCTACGCAGTCCAAAGGCGCCATCGGAGGACTCGATACCTCTGTCGAGGCTAGAAAAGCTCTTGCTATCAAGTACGTAACGAGTTATCTACTAAAAGTTCTACTTGAGAAAATTACTCTTTATTTTGTGTAATCGGCGTCATGTACCTCACTACTAAATGTTCTGTGCCCCTCCACCACGCCGCTGATTGTTGCCAATTAGATCGAGAACGTGGGCGTGTCCAACGTGTCGTTTGGAAAATGTAGCGATCTTGCCGGATGTCGCACCGGAGGATGTAGTCAAAGCGTCATTAAAGGCGGGCGAGATGCCGCCAGAGTTCTCGTTTGGGTATGAGGCCGATAAGAAGAAGCAACGGCAAGTGGAGGAGGAACAGAGACAGAGTAGAGCTGCGGGGGACAATAGCAGTAATGATGCAGGCAGCCGCATGGAGCAGGAGAAGCGGGCGGAAAAGGACCAAGCATCGTCATCTACATCATCTTCGGCAGCATCAACACCGATGCCGTCTATTACGACCACTGAGACAAGGCAGGGCGTACACACAACCAACGGCACCGGCCCAGCATCTTCGAACGTTGAGAGCCCTGCTACTAGCCAACTTCATGACCCTTCGTCGACACCGGACCCTGCAGCTGCTGTATCAACTACTCCTCTGGATCCTCCGAGGACATCGGGCACCGCATCCCCGACAGGTCTGCGTGCTCGGGCAGCCGTTCATTCACCTCAATCTCAGCCCCAGGCTCAAACGCAAATGCAGGCACAGATGCAGACGGTAATCCGGCGTGCACAGTCTGGGATTCCAATGTGGCTCGATGCGCTTATCTTGGGGTTCGGAGGTCTCCTCGTCTTCATGGTCATCCGCCGTTTTATGTGATTAGACCATCGCCTTCTCTCATCAATGTATATAGACAACGATATAGTCCAGGCAAAAGTCGATATGGGTAGACCAAAAACCAAAAGGGAGGCATAGATTTCTAAAAAAAAAAGTGGTGGCATTCAGCGTGCTCAAAACTATGGGATTCTATACGATGGATTTGATTATCGTAGAACACGAACATGGAAAGCGAAGAACTCTTTGGATTTATTTGATCGCAGAACAAGAACGCAAAGAGCGATGATAGCGCAAACTCTTTTTTTTATTGCAAAACTGTTCTGGGAGAGAGGATGTCGCGATTAAACTTACTTGTGCTCTTGTTTTCCTTTTTCTTATTGCTATGTTGGTTGCTGCTATCTTTGTTATCGTGGGAACTCAAATTATCGTGCTTGGATAGGGTATTCTTGCTATTTCTTACGTACGCGGATCTCGTGTCCTTAACGGGGACCGCCAATGGTGAAGCTGGTTCTGTAATTGGGATGGATCCGTCTCGCCGATGGCGGGGGTGAAGCGGGTGATAAGGGCGCATTAACGGACCGTGGGGAAGTCGAAGTCGAAGTCGTTGCCTTGACCTCCAATGCAGCAGCAGCAGCAGCATCAGCAGTCTTCTTGGCCTGCTCCAGTTCCTCTTGCTCGTTTAAGGCTTCTTGCTCCTGGATCTTTTTCTCCAGTTCATCGACTGAGGGGTTGTGAGAGGCAGTGTCGATCTTCAACTCGTGGAGCTGCTGTTCGTTGCGCTCCAATTCCGCTGCAATCGCTGAGGGTTCCAGCGTGTAGGTTCCTGGTACCTCCTGTTCCTGCTCTTGTTCCTCATTGACGGGGATAACCTCAGCAGCCTTTGTCTTGTCCTGCTCCTCCGCCGGGACACCAAAGATATTATGACTAGTCTTCTTGTACGGCCTGGCGGGTGTGGGTTGTGCCATAGGCTGTTGCTGCGAAAAGATCGTCGATGTCAGAGCTGGATGCCCCTTGGGTTTCACGTAATCGGCCCTCCATCCCGCACCACGCTCTTCCTCTGCAGGTGGAGACTGCAATGCCTGATCCTGTCTAGGTGGTCGAGAGGTCGTTGGCTGTGGAGAAGGCGTCTTTGAGAAAATGCTAGATGTAAGGGCGGGGTGACCCTTGGGCTTGACATAATCGGCTCTCCAACCGGCTCCACGCTCCTCTTCCTCATGCTGAGGTGGTGAAGTGGGCCGGCTCATAGCAGCAGGGGCAGGCTGCGAAGGAGGTGGGGACTGTGTTCCCTTGAGGTGACTGAACACTGTCGAAGTCAATGCTGGGTGACCCTTCTTGCCTGGAGACGTAGGAGACGCGGCTCCGTTCCTAGCAGGGAGGGATTCGTCCGAAGACGAGGGGCTCATTGGTAGAGAAGTGTGAGTGTTTCTGTGGCTCTGGTCTTCCTCATCTGCGTTGCGTCCAGGCAGAGGTGCGTTCCTGAGATGACTGAACACGGTCGAAGTCAGGGCTGGGTGACCCTTCTTCTGGTCCGCGGTGTTTGACCTCTGTGGTGGAGAGGTTGGTGGCGAGCTAAAGATCTTTGAGATCTATCATTGTTTACACCACACAAGATGAGTTATTTGGGATCATTCAGTTCCTGCACTAGCGAGTCCTTTTGTTGATTTTTTTTCCAGTTTTTTTTTTTTTCCTACTCGTGTACTTACATTGGACTGAGGACGAGAACCAGCGGTGGCGGTAGTTGCGTTACCAAAAGGATTGAGTCTGAACCTGGTCGGGTCCCGAAGTGCATCGATCTGGGCCTCAGCGACGATGGGCCAGGAGTGGCGCGAGCCGATCAACTTGACCATCTTGAGCACACTGGCATTGTCCCAGAGGTAGCGGACGCTTGCGATGCGGTCGTCTGCAAACGACGCACAGATCACCTATCCAGGATCGAATTGAACATGAGCCATCGCGTGTTAGTATCGGTTATCTTTTTGCCTCAACAAACAACAAGAAGGGCAGGGTTCATTATGGCTGGCTCACCACACCAGACTAATTCGTTCTTTTTTTTTTTTTTTTTTTTTTTTTGGTCTGGGGAACCCTGGGCGATTGTATAGGATTGGTCGTTGTAAAAAAGACAAATGAATAATAATAATAACCACGACACGAGTATTTATTTATCCCAATAAAACTCAACACGCTCTCATAGGTGTATGCCCCCCTACCTTCACTTCCTTCCCATAGAAACGCAGCATTTCATTATTTGCTCTCGTATTGATTACATGATGGGATTAAACGTCGGTTCGCTCTTTTTGTTCTTTCGCATGCAAGTCGTCTGCGTCCATCTCATATGCTCCGCCTGCACAACTGCGCGCATGATTATACCTCAATTTCTCAATTATGCTCTCTCTTTTCTGTGGAGGGAGGGGAAGGAGTATGAATAATATGACATGATGCAGGCCATAATGCATGCTCCGACACATGCAGCTTAACCCTCTTTCTCTGCATGTAGAAATGAACCGACCGTAAAATAAGGGCGGCAAAAAAAAAAAAAAAAAAAAAAAAAGACATTGCCCATTGCCCATTCCCTTTCTTCTTTCAATCAATTGAAAGGAAATTAGAAGCAAGGAAAGACTCACCAAAGGAAACGTAATAGTCAGGTCCTCGAGATGATGGGGTTCAATGCCTGGGAGGAGCCATCCACCAGTACCGGTGACAAACTTGACCGTGACCTCGACCTCATCGACGGCGGAAGATTCGCCCACCGTTCGGTGGATGACCTTTTCTTCGACAGCAAGCCTTTTCGGGTGAGAGTAGCCGCCGCTCCTGTAGAACTCGCGGATGTGTTTCTCGGTGGCAGCACCGGCTCCCGTTGGCAGGAAGATGATATGGCTGTCGGCGTGGAACAGATCCTCGGTCGAGGGGTCAGCGCGGAAGGCGTCCCATAGGATTGCAGAGGGGGAGGACATTGTTGTAGCTGTTGTCGTCAAAAGATTGGATGAGAAAGTGAGAGAGAGTGGGGTGAAAGAGAGGGTGGGTAAAGGAACAAGAGAGTGTGGTAATAGAGAGGGGAGAAAGAAACAAAAGCCAGTGGGCGTGCAGGGGTTAGGCACGGCTTTAATATAGGGGGCAGGGGCAGGGGCAGGGGCAAGGATAAGGAATTTGAGCGGGAAAAAAGGGACAAAGAGAAGAAAAAAGAGAGAAGATGAAGGAGAGAGAAGGCACCTTGACCTTAGTCCTGTCCTTGCTTGGTTATTCATTTGCTTGTTGCTTCTCCCACTATACACATACAAAATGAACCCGCCCCTAATAATGCAGAAAAGTGCTCTCAAATAAACACTTTACTATTTGATGAAGTGAAAGTAATGACAAAAAGTGAAAGTAGTTTTGTTGTTGACATGCTGTTGTGCGTGAGAGGGAACGGGGTACATGCAGACAATGCGGACAGACACACGCGTGGTGAGGGCTAGGTTGAAGCTGTAGAAACAACAACAACAATGATCATGCATGCATTTCTGCCTGTCTTGATCCGATCTAATTGAAGAGGCTGTGGGGAGGAATGGTCCCTGCTCCTTCGTAGTCCATGACCCATAAACGTATTAGGAATCTTGGCACCCAAACCTCTGGTGTCAATTTCGCTCTCAATTGCACCTGAGCCAGAAAGTCGCTGTTTGGTCGTCGTGGTTGTAATTTTATTGAAGGTGTTTTTGTACGTTGTTACATGATCCTATCGACCCCTTGTTCTCTCTTCCTGCTTGTAAAAAGAAAAGAGTATATCCTGCGTCCTAACTGTCGTTCCTTTCCCATGAACACCTCGACTCTATGCGCGGGATGGAGGTGAGACCTAGTAGTACGAAAAAAAAAAAAAAAAAAAAAAAAAAAAAACGCAGGTAATCGTTTGTTTTAGAGATCAATTGCTCCACAACAAAGAATATTGTTCTCAAGAAGTTGCTTCCACACGCTTACCAGGATGACACCATCGCCACGAACAAATAACATCTCACAATTTCTCTTGACAATCTACAGAAGTGTATTCAGAATGAAAGTAGTGAGTTGAATTAGCCTTGTGAAGACAAACGACGATCCATCGTGTGTCCGACTGTTCCTGCTTTTGTCTTGACATATTGAATGTCAATTGACTGTTATGGTGATCCTTTCCCCTAGTGCTGTAGTAAATAGTGCTCCATCGAACCTCCATATAGGTTTTCTCAATTGAGTTCTGTTGTTCCCAAGGAGTGCTATCGTGACACCATTCTAGGAAGAGATCTGCGTTGTTCAATTGATATTTCAAGTCCTGCTATTCTGAATACCCCTGTACCATTGTCCATGTTGCTCAGTTAGTCTACCAGGTCCTGAATACCCTGAACATCCCGCAGCGTTGTCTGTGCTGTTCAATTGACTTTCAGGGTCCTGATGATCCTGACCGTCTCGCGGTATTGCCCATGTTGCTCAATTGACATTAAAAGTTGCTTACTCTGATAACCTCCTCCATAGTTTCCTCATTCACATCCACCACGGTGATCGTTTCCTCGACATCGCCAAGCACCATATTCAAATGACCGTCATATGCCTAGTCATCGTTCAAGGAAGACAATATTTATGGTGTAAGTCTAGAGTTATGGTCAGGTTCAGTTGGCTAGTTGTGATCGTGTTTTTTCCCTTACATGCAACTTTCCACGCAGTTCACGGTCTCCGCGCAGCTTGACATAGATGCGTTCGTCTAATGAGAGACGGACGAGATCAAGAGGCTCCTCGATGCCGGCGCTTTCCAGTGGTGCGTGGTCGTCCATCGTTTTATGAAGGTAGATGTTTGAGGTTAGTGGAGTTTGGTTAAGACCCTGGGGTATGGGTAAGAACCTCATTGAGTATGATAGGGTAATTGACAAGCCACGTCCACGCCTTTTGCGCACGTCCTACCGCTCGCGGCGTCGTCTTCGCCTCCACTTTTCTACCTTCTTACTGATTCCTTTTTCTTTCGCCCACTGCACCACCTTATCTATTATATATCGAGTCGAGCAATATATCCATTTTCAGCTACCTTGTCTCCACATTACACACAGCAACGATGTCTGCCGTCAATGACCCCTCCGCAACAGTCGATGAATCGTTGCCTGAACTGCTCATTGACCACCACGTCAAATACATCCAGGCACTTGACACCGTACGTCCCTTTTGACCTTGTCTGCTACTTTCTTCTTTTTTTGGTGGCGCTATCAATTGGATACCATAACAGAATGACCAAGTTCACGAGAATTGATTATCTGAATACATATTATCCACTGCAATCGCTTCTTTACAGAAAAAAGACGACCTTGAGTATTGGCTGACAGAGCACCTCCGCGTTAACGGCCTTTATTGGGGTACAACGGCCCTTCACATCCTCGGCCATTCTGACGCATTGGATCAGGATCAAATTGTCGACTATCTTGTCAAGTGTCAGCATGATAATGGTATGTAAATCCATCGCCATTTCTGCAGCAACAACTCTTGCCACGAAACCATAGGACGATAAGCATGGATATGACGTAATGGCTGTCTTACGCTGGATCCTATCGAGGAGGAAAGATAACGAGGTCTGATACCATTGCTTTTTTCCTCAACCGTTTAGGCGGATTCGGTGGTCATATCGATCATGACCCACATATCCTGTCAACCCTGAGCGCGGTTCAAGTCCTGATCACCTATGACCGCCTAGATGCTATTAACGTGGACAAAGTCGTCGATTGTATGTCAACTACACTGGATCGGCGCGTTTTTTCGTCGATTTTGTTAGCGAAGGAAACAGACACTCATCTTAACACCTTATCTTTCGTGCACGCAATAGATGTTGTATCTCTGCAAAACAAGGACGGATCATTCAGTGGCGACTCATGGGGTGAGACTGACACACGCTTCATCTTCTGTGCGATCAACTGCCTCAGTCTGCTCAAGCGATTGGACGACAAACGCCTGAACCTGCAGAACACAATCGACTACATTGTACGCTGTCGTAACTTTGATGGCGGTTTCGGCAACTCACCCGGTGGAGAAAGCCATGCGGCCCAGGTGTACGTATGCGTGGGGACATTGACGATCTTGAACGCATTGCACCATGTTGATACGGAGTTGCTGGGATGGTGGCTCAGTGAGAGACAGCTTAAGAATGGCGGACTGAATGGCAGACCCGAGAAGCAGGAGGACGTATGCTACTCGTGGTGGGTGCTGAGCAGTCTTAGCATGTTGAAGCGAACGCATTGGATCGATGCACCCAAGCTAACCAAGTTTATCCTTGAAGCACAGGTAACCATCAAATGGCGACAATTTTTTTTTTTTTTTTGTGTGAAGAGAATCGATTAGACATTAGGTTCTTTTCTTTTAACGATTGGTCAATTGCATTTGTTTATAATCCATTCTTGCTAGGATACGGAGACAGGCGGTATTGCAGATCGACCAGGCAACATGCCGGATGTGTTCCACACGAACTTTGGCATCTGTGGTCTTTCATTGCTGGGATACCCTGGACTGGTTACAGTGGATCCGGTCTATTGCATGCCTCGTCATGTTATTCAGAGAATCGGCCTCTCGGACAAGCACTGAAGCGGTGGTGATATCGACAGCCCGTTCTTCATGGTCAGGCATTGCGCAGTGTTGCACAATCCATGTATATACAACAGCTGGCAGCAGCGTTTTCTTTCCGCAACAGCAAACAATAAATATGCCCTTGCAAAAAGATACAGATGGAACAAGCAAAAGAGCGAGTTTAGGTTCGGGTTCGTTCATGCTCATGTCCGTGTTCATGTTCATACTCGGATTTAGGTTCAATTCGAGCGAGCAAAGATAACAGCGCAAATGGTGTGAGTGTGTTCAAATATCGAAGAACGGGAACGCCCTTTCAGTCGCGCGTCAATATATTTTGCCCTGTGCATGGAGTAGCATATGACGCACTGTTTGTGCGAGCAGTCCACTCGGCAATATAAAAGGACATACCTGGGCCTTGACTGCACTCAAAAGCCCTTCTTTCCTGACCCTTTCCCACATTCCCACCTCAATACTTTATTCTTCTCTTTGTTGCTCTTGCCGCCTTCTCAACCCTATACCTATTAATCCCCACTCTGACCAGACGAGACCAGACTAGACCATGGCATCAACACCCACACCCGACCAGATCCCTATCGAAGAGCAGCCCGTGCTCGAGGCCCTGGTCTCTATCAAACACCGACTGACGGCGATCAAGAAGGACCGCTCGCGCTTCATAAAGACATCGACCGTCATTGGGCTCTACGAGGAGCTATCGGTCCAATTGCTCAGGCTAGAGGAAATCCGCGGCGCAGGCAACTCGACCATTTGGGGATTCAGAAATAATGTCAACAGTGTTCTGGACGATGTCTTTGTGATCCTTTCGTTGTGCTTCATGGCTATTGGAAAGACAAAGGAGAGCCCTGCGACCTATGTACAGTTGCTCACCATCAAGGTAACAAGAGAAAAAGAAGTTGGAAACCTGGAGGGAAGAAGAGGGACATGTTCCTTCGGATTTGGGGTCACAGGAACGGTCATAACCACATAAAAAAAAAAGAGAGAAGTGTTCTGACACCTTCGGGGGGATTTTTTTTTTTTTGCCTATATGCTTACGAATAGCAATGCTTAACGGGTCTTCAAGAATCAGGAATATACGCCGCCGGTATGTCGCCTTTACCTGTGTGTTATTCAGCCATGGGGATCACTCTTTGTATCCAGGAAAAGTATTTAACCGACCAATTCATTCCTCTTTTTTTTTCACACGGCTATTGATAGAGGATCTGAAGCAATATGAGGACCGATTGAAGGAGTTGGAGGCGTTTATTCGCGTGGATGAGGCCAAGGCATCGATACCCGATATCCAAACCAGGATCCTTCGACGCAAACTCGATTTCAACAGTACGTGCTTCGTTCTATCTTTCCCGCCCTCTGTTTCCAAAGTACAACAGTCCCTGGTTTTAAATGATGTGATCGACTGGTTCGCTTCTAACCTTATTACGATACCCTTCATTCATTACCCACACAATGTTCTCGTATCTGTATTAGACAACTTGCTGAAGGAGCTACAGGAGACGTGCAAATCCATCTCTCCCGAACTCTCGCCCATCCACCGACGTCTTGTTCAGCTCAAGATCGAGCTCGACACCCTCGCCTCAAAACCAACCTGGGACTCCTCGGACGTATACCACGTCCAAGAAGAACTGCGCGAGATCGAGGCCAAGCGTGTGGATGGCAAGTTTATGGACGGGGAGGGCCGAGTCGTGAGTGGACAGGCGGCCGTGATCGGGTTGTTGGAGGATTGCTATGATGACTGTCATAATTTGTTGGCGACCAAGGAGAGGGTCCCAAAGGCGCTGCAGGATATCTACCAGAGGCTTCAGGCGATCAAGGCGGATCTGGAGAGATTGGTGCTGACACAGCGTTGGACACTGAGGGAGACGGATCTGTGGCAGTATGAGATTCAGTTGAATGAGATCAGTGTGTTGAGAAAGAACGGGAAGTTTGTGGATTCGGAAGGCAATGTCGAGGAGGGCCAGGTAATAATATCTCGAGCTTGCAAAGGCATTCGTATCTTTTTTTTTTTTTGAAATTCCAAGTTCCAAAGTTCGGTGATCCTGATTGACTTGATTGTACTTTCTTCTTTTGGGAACGAAATCGATAGGCGCTGCTGAACTTCATGCTGCACAAGTGCTACCGCCTGATCTATGTGCTTTTGTCAGCGTCTGAGCCCATCGCAGAGGCATTAATGCCGATCCATAACCAGTTGCTAACCGTCCGCCGGTGCTTGCTCGAGGTCAAAAAGTGGGGCGGTGATTTTACAGGTAAAGGACAACCCAAATTTCTCTCTCTCTTTTTTTTTTTCTCTCTTGCTGGCGCGATGAAAATGGACGACAAGGAGAGCAGGGTGCATCTTCGCCCAGATAAAGACATAGGGAATTTCCTTTTCTGTCTTTGCCGGGACCGTGCGAGCTGCTCTGCTCTGCTTGTTTTCGTTTTATTTGCATCTCCGATGTTTTAACGCGCGCGGCAGACAATCCAAAAACCTGACAATCTTTACATTTTTCTTGACGGTTTCTTTTGAACTGGATTTAGTCCGCGACCTGTACCCTTACCAGATGAAGTTGGCGTCCATGGACAATATGCGCGTGGACGGCAAGTTCTTGGACAAAGACAAGGAAATACCGGAGGGCCAAGGTATTTGTAACTCGTTGTTGAGCGAATGTTACGATATCCTGTACGAGCTGAAGGATTCTGTGACGGATGAGTTATCCGATGAGGAGGATGAGGATGAGGATGAGGATGAACAGAGGGATGGACTTCGGGGATCGAAGGGTTTGGATGTGGTCGCTTAGAGAGTTATACAAAAGGCGGAAGTTTTGACTCCTGTCTTTTTTTTTTTTTTTTTTTGCCTTCTTCATATTGTATATATCAAAAAAATAAATAATTTTTATTTTATTCGTGCGATGCTACTACAGTAATGAGCAATGGTATTTGTCTTTACGACGTCTATTAAGAATAGTTTATAGGATACTGCGACGATTGCTGGCGAAATTGGTGCGATTCTCGCTCCTACTTTGCTTTTGCGCTGGCTTCACCCTTCAGGGTCAGTTTGAGCAATTGTCCGCTGGTTGTCGCAATACTATCGCACCACAGTACACAATCAATGGCCAGCGTTAGAAGCGTCGTTTCGCTTGTTATGGATCCCAAGTAAAAAAAAAAAAAAAAAAAAAAAAAAGTTACCTTTGAACACGTCCACTTCCGACAATGTCATGGATATGGAATTCATGTGGGAGGAATGATCCTCGTAAAGGCTTCGATACCACCGCCTGTCAAAGGCCAGAGCACCGGAAATAAAGAGAGGGAATAGCATCAATAACGTGCCTTCAGCTAGGGAATGGTAAAATCTGGATCATGATCCATACGTCCAAGTGCACTTACCGAGACAAGCATATCACCAAAGATCTGACGCTTTATCATTCTCAAGATCTCGAGTCGTCCTTTTAAGAAATGCGTAACAAAGAGACCGCCTTGTCTGATCGCGAATCTATAGGCCACATCATCCGAGACGTGCTGCCGACGGCCAAGGTTTGCTGTGATGGTCGTCGTTGCTGCTGCTGCTGCTCCCGGTGAAGACGATACTGCTGATCCTGAGGTAGAGGATGAGGTGGATTCCGATTTGATAGTCTTGGCTTGCTCTTGGTTCGTGGCATGGATAAGCTGGTTCAGTGCAGAATGGCCACTGGAGCTATTGCCTGTGCTGGCGCCGCTGCCGCCTGTATTTCCTCCGCGTCCTGCGGGCTGGTTCAGGTTGACGAGATGGGGGTTTGCAGGCTGGGATAAGCTGCGGTTGAGGAGGGAGTAACGAATCAGGATTCTATAATATCGAAAACAAGGTGTTTTAATAATATGAAGGGTAAACACCCTTCGAGGCAAAAAGTTTGGCTCATCGCATTTGTTCTTACGTGATATCTTGATCTGTGGCATCGATGACAGACTGGATATTGGAATGCTGTATCGAGATCTCCAGGCACTGCCCACTCATAACCAAGTCTTTGAACCTTTCAAAAATTTCGCCCGCTTGGGTCTCTTGCGCTGAGGCAGATTGTTGTATCATGTCAGTGGTCTTTTTGTTTGCAATCATTTTCGATCCCGGTATTCGTGCAATAATGGGGCCTGTTCCTGGTCCTGTTGTGCTAGGTCCCGTCGCTATCCGTTTGTGAGCAACTAAAGTTTGTAGGTCGGATGCTGTGTCAAGATTCCTCCGTTTGGCACTCGATGTTGCTGTTTCAACTCCCGAGCCACGTTGCTGCTGATGTGGAGATGTCTGCAGGTCTTTCAGGTACTGTTCTTTGGCTTGCTGAATCTGTACGACATAGTCGCTTGTCAACATGATCGCGAACTCGTCCGATCCAGTGCCGCCCAGATAGAACTTTCGGATCGTGTTGTCCTTTATCAATTGGGCCTACAGCACGATTCCATGAACAGAGACAAATAATTAGTGAAAGTGGCAGCAAACTAAGGGAGTTTTTTTAATGTCTGTCAATTGGTTTGAGCCTGCTCTTTTTTTTTTTTTTACCAGAGCGCGATCGACGGTAGTGTGGTCCTTGATGATGCTGTACAACTGATGGATCATACAGACGCGCGGAAAGGCTTTTTGTTGACGAATCTTGTGTGGGCGAAGCAAGGCCAGTAGGTAGTAGATTGCGCCATAAGTATCGGCGGGGTATTCTAGGGTATCGTTCAGATTTAAGGCAGCAGGATTCATGTTTTCTGAAGGTATCGTTACTGCTGCTGGCCGTCGTGGGGTGGCTTCTGAGGCATTTGTCAAAAATTGGTGGCGTTTTAGCTGATGGGGTGATCTTTGTGCAGGCATGGATATGAAAATGAGGCTGCTCTGTGTGCTGCTAATTGAAAACAGTGCTTGTCTTTGAGCTGAGTACTGTTTCCTGAATATCCTCCGTCTTGGCCTTCCTTGTTGTCTAGGATGGTGTTTGGTGAGTGATGGAAGTGTAGCTGCCTCATGGACTGGAGAAAGAATGTCTTTTAATAAAGTTTGTCTCCGCAGTGCAGCCGTGTATTGACCCACCAACGATAGTTGGATTGTCCATTACAAAAAAAACGCAGTGCGACACACAGACATCATGATCATAGTCCGTGCTGCTGCCTGCTTATCGCCAAAACAGTCTCATTCTTGTCTTGTCTTGAACTAAAAAAAAAAAAAAAAAGGCTAACTCCACCACCTTCTCCTCCCACTTCATTCCACTCACACTCTCGCACCTCTATCACTTCAATCATGTCCAGTGAATACATAAATCCCCATCTCCGCCACGAGCATGAGGAGGACAAGGACTCCCTCATCCTTAAGGCTGCCGCCAAGGGCGCAGGACTCGCCCTCATCACTGGCGGTCTTATCGCCATGTCCGGTGCCCGCTACTCAAAAACCTACCAGACCCTCTCCCGACCCATGAAGTACTTCTTGCTCGGCACCGGTAATTCATCTTTCCATATATCGACTTCGTCATAAACGTCGTGTCTGCATCCCAATTGCTTATGGGACCAACATCTCTCTGTTCGATCCATAGGTACTGCTGCAACCTCGATCCTCTTTGCAGACCACGCCCGCGTGCAACACGAAGACCGCCAGCTCCTGCGCCATCTCGACCATGAGGCCGCGGAAGCCAAGCGCGCCGAGATCCGAGCCCAACGTGGACTTCTTGCGGAACTCAACTATCAAGTGCGTGAGAACCGCAACATGGTAGTTGGTGTTTCCTGGCTGGGCTGCATGACCGGATCCTTGGTCTACACCTTCTCACAAAAGGGTCTGACGACGACCCAGCGCATCGTCACAGCTCGTATGTATGCTCAAGGATTCACGATTCTGACGATGATGGCGGTTGCAGCCCTTGAGTTGACGGAGCCACCGAAACCGAAACAGGAAGTCTTGACGGATCAGTGGAAGGCGATTCTGGCGAAGGATCGGCAGGGTAATTATATTGTCAAGGATCCGGCAGCAATTCCGACATCGGCAGAAGTCCATGGTGCGGGTACTGTTGATGCTCACCATGACTATGCTAATGCTACGGCTGCGAAATCATTGTCTTCATCATGATAAAAAAAAGGGAGGGCAGCAGATATTCAAGCACAGCACGGTAGCGCTATTTCGTTATCATGATATGACACCATCAAATGCGTATTTTCGCACGATCACGACTACGACCATGACCACGGCTACTTTTGCATTCGGAGTCCTTTCTTCTCGTAATAACAATAAAGCAAACTGCACAAATCTCGATATACCGCCTTTTTTTCTTTTTTTTTTTTACTCATCTCTTTGCTTTACAGTGGACATTATCAGACTATATGCAAGAAATTACCAACAAGTGAAAACGTATCATAAAGATGCTTTGAAATAAGAACAGGAGGATCTTCTCTGAAAGGGCGAGACGTCTCTCTATGCCAATGACCCAAGTAACAAAAAGCGCGTGTTGATACCAGCTACGATAAACAAACATATACTCCCCGCTTTCCTCGATGGAATTTCGGCCAGGTCGATGGTGGTGTTATGGCTGAATGTCTTCATTGTCGTTCGGTATTTATCTATTTTTTTCAAGGATGGCCGCTGCCTTATATTCTCGTGCGTGTCTCTGCTTTAGTTCTTTGGCGGCAAACGGGCAGCTTGCCACATTTGCTTCAATTGAGCCCTGATCCCTTTCGGCTATTTTTTTTTTTTTTGGCATTGTGTGTATCTGCGCCAACGTCTTGAGTGCGCGTCACGGTCGGTCTACTCGATCTGCTCGCTCTATTCGATTCTTTTTCGTTCTCCACATTAGTAACCGTTCTCGCTTCGTTGTCTTTCCGCGCAATCTTCATGTCTACTGCAGCTCCTTTTTCGCACACCTTGTTCAGCTCACTCTCTCAGCTGCGAAAGAGAGGTTGAGGGTCCTGTAATTTTGGAAGCTTTATTTTCTTGTTGTGGGGGGGAACTTTGAGATCCAATAATTATTATTTTTCAATTCGTCTCTTAAATGCCACAGCCGTCTCCAGCAAGTCTGCAAAATCGTAGGCTGAACTTACGCCATCCGGGACAGCGCCAGTGTACATGCTGTACACCACGATGCTGCCCTTTATCCATCGAGCTTCGAAGAACTCGACTTTGAATCTCGAGAAAATAATTCCATTAAACGCAGAATATCACCACAAGTTGGTCCGAGGATATGCTAAGGAGCTCTTGAATGATTTGGACGAGGGCTCTGTAAAGAGCCCTCTCCAGCTTTTCAAAGTCTTTCTTGCGAGCCCTGTAGTCCGCGTTTCGCTTTCCCTCCACAATTAGTAGATCCGGTTTATAGATATTGTGTCTGAGGATCGCGTCATGCCGCACGGTTGGGTTTCACACTCCGTGGTTCGGTTGCTTCTCCCCGACGTGGAATTGCGTACTCTCGTTCCTCTGAAAGGTGCCAAAGATCGGACAATATATATATATATATATCCTATAAGCCATCCTTCCAGATGGTTTGCACTGATATGTCGTGTCCCAATGTAAATCTCTAAGAGCCACAATAATTAATAACACCAAAACAAGTCAGCATTTTTTTCTATCGGGTATTTCCATTCAATGGGATCGTCAAGTTTGACTAGACATACATTTGATCCATGGCCATCTGTCAGGAACAGACTTAGAAGAGTAGGATATGTGTTATGGAGGAGACAGACAGTGGACAAGGTAAGGAAGAAATGTATTGCAGACTGAGGTTATATGCTATGGATTCTATGGCTCTATTTATGTGTTTCTAGGATTCTTGGTCAAGGTACTCGGATGGCTACTACGGGACGCGAGGTATATCTGCTAGGAATAGCACAAAGGTATGGATCAGGTACAATGGTTCTGGGCGGGCCGGACAATGGCAATATCAATAAAGATACTTCGTTGAACATATGTTGATCGAGGCAAGGCGGAGCATACGGTGGCAGAGGTACGCGTGCAAGCGCGTGAGCGCGTAGAAGCAGCCATAAATCAATATGAGCAATTGTGCGCGCAGCTCAACTGTCACTGCACCACACGCTATGGTGCTATCCGTGACAGTTTCTCATGCTCGTACCCTACGTACAGCCTGTGCTTGATATGACCAAATGAATGTCCTGTACCTATTCCGCCCATCGTACCATACCAAATGACGCAGCTGGGCCTTCCACCTTGGATACCCTATCTGAGTCCCACGTGGATCGATCAACCGTGCCCGCATCCCAACCTTGCTGTTTTTCCAAACCCACTGGATCCCATCAGAGCCGCAACGATTGATTTTTGTCTCGTCCGTCCATAGAACGCGTTTCCAGTCCTCCACTGTCCAGTGCTCATATCGGCGCACAAATTCCATGCGCGCTTCTTGATATGATCTTTGAGAAATCGTTGGACTTGAACGGCGTTGTCGAGTAATCTAGCGATGATGTCTCGGACCATAAGTCGCCTTCTCCATCACATCACAGTGCTGGACTCCAGTGTGAATGTACGACGGCTTCGTCAAGGGCTGTGTATATGAGATCGTCTGTGTATTTGAGGTTGTCGATGTGTTGCTTCTTGAGGGGCAAAAAAAGAAAGTAAAGAAGGAGAGTTGTGTGAGTTTTGTGGAGCCTGATCTGGATTGTCAGGAAATGTGGTCAAAGTGAATATGTTCTCTGTAAAATGTTGTGCATACACAATATCGCATCTCTTCACGGCGCGGGCTAATATTGTCGTATAGAGGGAAAGCCGCGGAAGACGGGGTGATGTCTGGTCGGATGCCGTCTAATACGCCCTGTGCGGTGAAAGTAAAGAGAATTAAAATTGTAAGCAGCGGTAGTAGTAATTGTAGAAGGCTGAAAAACGGTTCCTTGCTGAGTGTTGATGAGCGAGCTGAACATCATCGACTGGCTCAACAAGAACCTGTAAAAAAGTATATTTTAAAAAATGACAAAAAAAAAAAAAAAAAAAAAAAAAAAAAGCACTTGCCTTGACCTTGCGCGGTGTCCCTGAGCATAATTTGTCCTGGAACAACCAATATAAGGGGGGCGCTGGGTAAGAGTAACGCTTCATATTTTACAGTGTAAAACACGCGCTGGGATCAGTTACGGACGCGCCAATGGAGCAGGTTTATATTCGAGACAGGAATGAAAAGGGCGCTCACCTTTCAAGATTGGGACAATAATATGAGTAGATGATATATCTAAGAGGCGCGTCGACTCTATTTCGCATATAGACGAGATCAACTGGACGCGTGAGTACTACATGGGTTCCATACTCAAACGTCCTCACAGTGCAACGTAAGGCGCGACATACTTTTATAAAGTATAGCCGAGGTACGTGTACATGGTTTGGGCTGGAGTGGCTGATTCCTTTTGGTGAGGCTGTAGTCGAGATCAGTCCTGATCTCGCTGCGATCAGTCATGAATGAGTGGAGGTCGGTGGGGTCGAATGGAGAAGTGCGAGATGGGGTTTGGGTGCGAGGGCAAGCACTCCCTCGCCACCTACTGTGTTTGTGGCAAAAGGAGTGCTTAGTGGCAACTATAGCGGGTGAAGCAAAGGAAAGGATACTGTTGGAGTTGTTTGTTCAGGCACCATCACCAAGTCACGCTGATGCAGTTGTTCAGGCACCAAATCTTACCCCGCATCAGTTTAATGAGCGTACGTTTAGTAATCAGTGACTCGAGGGCGGTAATATTTTATGGCTTTAACAGTTCGATCGCAAGACCAATGCTCCAAAAAATAAAGTTTTCGATGTGCAACCATGCGCTCTCTGTCAGTCGTATGAATAAATATGAATAAAGTATAAAAAGCAAAAAGTGGCCCAGGAGTGTTCAGCACAGCTTCCTCAACCCAGTGTGACAACGCAGAAGATACTCCATTGTCCTATTTAGTCGCCTTCAAATTATTGGTGTGCTTCTGTGTCCCGGCTCCATGTCTTCGTCTTACTTTGTTTGCTTGATATAATATGAAAACGGACAAGCAGTAGGACGTGATAGGTAGGCGAGCCATAGAAGCCGGCGAGCCAACGTATGAAGTGCGCGTTAGGTGGGTTCTTGCTTGAATTGACAGAAAGCGTGCTAATCGAGTGGCTATCATATTCCTCTAATAAAGCTCTATGTTTTAGTACCCCAAGCGCACATGGCCCTGGCTAAGTAGTATGTTTCCTAAGTGTACTCCCTCCTCTGACCCACCTATGACAAGTGGCTATCGCCTGTCCGATCCAGCTGTGTTACAGGATAGCAAAACAGTCGCGATATAGGCGTCTGCGCTGTCGTGCGTACCTGGTGGACTGTTGGCCCCTCCTGTTCCAGTTGATTGCGCCGGGCGTAAAAATATGCCTAGGACCTCATTATCTAGACTATAGTCCTTAAAGATGTCTTGCAGATTTGAATGATGCCGTGCAATCCTTCATCTTCTATGCAGACAGACGAAATCTTGACACCATATTGCTTTCTAAATCTCTTGAGCCATCCGATATGAGCTGGCAAAGCAGCAACGGCAATTCCGAGAGTAAACTTGACATAATTCTGTAAAAGATTAACGCTTGAGCTGTGATCTTCCTGTCTGCTACCCATTTAACAAGCATTCATTCATTCATTTCATTGTATTGAGAGGACGTTCTGACATACGTTTCTTTTCTAGAGCGAGAGCATCGCGACTTTTGCCATCTAGCCATCTACAAACGCCTTGATCTTGGCCTTATTCTTTATGATGTCATGAATAGTGGGGTGTGTCGCATGTTTCACCAGAGCTCACTGTATATTTAGTCTAACAAGTGTACCTCCAGCTCACTATTATATTTAATACAAATAAATACCTAATCGGTGTGGTGTGTGGAGCCACATCTCTTTCTCACTCATTTTCTGAATCCCAAAATATCTCAGGGTGCGCCGTTCTGAAGTGTCGACTAACAGCAGAAATGGATCTAGACGGATTATGTTCACGGTACTCAATGATGTCGAGTTTGAGCTGCAATGCGAAGGCCGTCCTTGATCGCTTAGCCTTGTGTTGTCCCGCTGTTGGATTAACGGTCTCTCCGTGCGGACCTGAAGGAGGATGCTCGAAGACACTCGTTTTTGATCGCTCGCGGATGGACTAGGTGGCGTTTGTTCTCTTGTTGAATAATATAGTATACTTGCAGCCTTCAAGGATGTGGGAAATGTGCAAAAATCTACTTAGACCTCGTACATAATTTGTATTAAATATGACATTGACTTGATAGATTACCTGAATTACTTGAAGGGCTCCATCTCACTGTCGCTGGTCCTCCGTACCTTGTGGCCGCTTTTGTGTTTCTTGCTCCGCTTCTTGTTGCTGATGTGCTTTCGCCGAATTATATATTTGTAGCCAGACGTGAAAGTCCCTCTCTGATATTGTATCGATGGAAGCGTCTGTGCCCGATCAATTCGGACAAGAAAGAAGATTACCCTCGAGACTGTCTGCCACAGTGCCGAGATCATGGTCAATGGTTTGCTCACCAGAACGGTGCAATTCCATTGTTATCGATAATTGGTTTGATGTCTCTATAGTCTTCGTGGATGCAGACGTCTAGATGCGTATATTAGACCACGTCCATTGTATCGATAGAACTACATTTGATCGACTCAATTACCTTTGTCTGCGAATGGGACTGAGTTTGCACCTCCCGCCGCGTTTGCTTCCGTCGCCTGTGCAGCTTTTGGAGTATCTGCACTAACTCCCTCTGTTGATCATGTGGTTCCTGTGCCTTGTGTGACCTTTGCTGCCAAGGACTGAGCATTAAGCCTCACCAGGCTTGCTCGCTTTTGCGTAATCGATGCGGATACAACAGCGAATCGTAGCCAAAACTAGTGGCTCGAACGCCAACCTCACGAGAGCTAGTTTCCTTGCTGGAATCCCGAGATAACAACCTGGGATAAGACGAAGCCTTTGAGGATGATGAAGTCCCTGGAATAGATAGGTTTTCTGACAAAGCTTGTTTACGGAAGCCTTGGGGGACTAAATAAACATCTAGGGTTGATCGATCTAGAACCTCAATAGCCTGTATGGCAAATATACGCGGTTATCTTTACTATACAGCACCCATGATTTCACATTACTCTTAACAGAACATTCATCTCATAAGTTACCTTAATCAACCGGAAGGATTTCATTAGCAGCTTTGAGCGCTTCTCCTGCCATTGCTCCGGTAGTTTGTGTATCTGATGTTGCAGTCTTTGCTGCGTCATAAGCTCATGTATCAGCCTTTGCTTCTCTTGTCGCCATTTCTGCTGCTGCTGCCACTGTGCACGCCTTTTCAGCTCGGAATGTCTTTGAAGCCAAAACGGTGGTGAGTGCGTCAATTGTTCAGCCTGGCTCGGAATTATTACAGCTGCTTGAGTCGAGTAAAATTGTCCGACACTGCTCCCTAAGGGGTCGCTTGGCCCTGGCGACCCAGTTCGAGTACCAGTGGCACTGAGTGATCTGTCGCTTCGAACACGTCCTTGTCCTATAGTGTCTTCTTGAGATTGTATCTGTCTGTCCATCATTGTGGAACGGCAAAAAGGATATATGAGGCAAGACAGTGGATAAATGGAATTGCTTATATGTCGTGCGCAAAAAAGAAAGCACGATGTCGCGCTATGGTGCCCAAGAGCAGGAAAAAAGAACAAGAAGAGTTGTGGAATTCGTCTACCTCATAAACATATCCCCCTGGACGGCGAGGGCATGGTCGATAATAGACCTTAGGTCGGCTGAGGCTCATGCATGCAGCTTTTGCGTAAATCAACCTTGCCGTTATAAGAGCGCAATCTACGAACGTTTCCGGCACGCCCTCGTATTCCCAGTAAAGGAAAATTTTCTCGCATTTCATTGGCTCTCGTGCAAACGTACTCCATAGATTTTAGGAGTGCACGGAGGTACGCGTCTTGATGTATAGCGGCGTTTACACCCTATCAAAAGGTTTGATACATGTCATTGATGCGCCTCGCGCTCACCATTGCTCACCTTTCAGCCAGGTATGTAATTGGCGGAGGAACTCATGCATCCCTTGCTCTACTCCACACATTTCTCTTAACATTTCGCACTTTTTTCTCTCTCCTCTTCTCTCATCTCTATTTCCACCTTTTACTCGGCTCCCTAGACGGCCATTCATCGCCACGCCTATCCTATACATCGTCTTCATTCTTAAACTAACAGTATCTCCACTTACAAACATGCGCTCTGCCTTTAACTTCAACCGTGTCGTACAAGTTCAACAGCAGCTCCAGCAAAACCCTGTGGATAATCTAGCGCCGGCCGTGGCAGCGCTCAATCGGGCCCCCAATCCTGTAGTCACCCAGGACAATCAACAACAATTCCAGGCTCAATATCCAAACCAAGATCAAACCCAATATCAAGCCCAATATCAAGCCCAAGATCAAGCCCAATATCATGACCAAGGTCAAGACCAAGCTCCTATACATAATCCGATGTAGATTCTGACAAAAAGTTCCATTTGATCGGCAGATCCCTTATCCTTGGGTCAGGTTCTCCGTTACAGGCGGCCCTCGCTGCACTGTTTTATAGCTCTACATGAGATATACTCCAGTAACAGAGAGCAGAAGTCTTCGTTTTCTTGTCTTCGACCTCCTAAAGCCTAAATTTATCTCTAGTAATTTAAGTTCATGTACCTTGAAATAATTTGAGGTGGCCCGGGCACACGAGCATCGCCAAGTACCATCGTAATAAACACCAACGGCACCGTCTTTTCAAGGGTACCATCTCCATGCCACATTAGTGATATTCACAAATCTGACAGATACTGGGCTATCCTTCGGCTAGCTACACCTGTCAAAAGGCGGAGGAGTTCAGTTAGAAACTAAAACTACTTTATCTTGTTTTTTCAGGGAACCTCTTATTTTATATTCAGTCTTTGGATCGTACTTACCATAGTCTTTCTGCTTGGTGCGCTTTTACCTACAATTCCTGTCCATTGCGGACATATCGTCGTCTCGCACGGCGATAGCCATTTTTTCAAAGTGTGTAGAGTCCCCTCCTAGAGACCAATTACGACAGGTAGAAGCTGATGTCGCCCCAAAGCTACACCCAGGACCAAAGTATTTGCGACAAAAAAGAAGCTCCGGTCGAACAGGTGCGCGGCATTCTGGCCATATCTAAATGCACCCTCGCCCCGGACCAAGGCATGCAGTCATCTGCAGTCATTCCGTGGCTACTGGCTCTGTTGACGGTCAAGTGGAATAAATGTCCGCTCAGCAGCTACGCTTTCCTGCAGAAATTCAAAGTCAGCAGTACGACCCCCTCCACCATGCCCAGATCGCGCGAACAAAATTATTCGCGAAATTTGGGGACAGAAGGCAGCTTGTCGTCGTTCGCTCCAATCAGCCCTTTGGATGTCCTCCATATCGTTCACCACTCTCGCTTCATCACCTTGCCCCAATCTCCCACCTCTCCTATTTTTCCTCTCAACCCATCTCTTCTGCATACGGCTTCAATCTCTTTTTGCACCTCGGCTTTATTATTATTACTATTATTATATTATTAACGCCGGATTCTCCCAGACGCGTAGGCGTACCAAAGGCTACATTGTCCACCTCGGTGTCGCTGCAAGGTGCATTTAGGTCAAGCCATGTGATATACGACAGTTTGTGGATGTTATTTTTTTAGTTGAAATTGATACAAATGCTACAACATCACTCTACAGCTTAGATCCGTTATCCAGAATCTGCGCACGACGTGCCTTAATCTTCTTATCCTTCTCACGGATTTCATCCCCGCGCATCAGCTCAAAGCGTGCCAACTGCATCATGTGCACCTCATCAGGACCATCCGCAATACGAAGTGTGCGTGCGCCAGCTGCGAAACGCGCCAGGGGGAAGTCCTGACCGACACCGGCAGCACCGTGAGCCTGGATCGCCAGATCGATCGTACGCTGCAACATCTGGGGAACCATGACCTTGGCCATGGCGATGTCGCGCATGGCTCCCTTGGCATTCAGCTTGTCGATCTTGTCCGCGGCCGCAAGGACCATCAGACGTGAGGCATTGATCTCGATACGGATCTTGGCTACATCTGCGGCGACCGTGCCGTGGCGGGCGAGGACTTTGCCAAACGTGCGACGTGAGGGGTCAGTGACACGAGCGATCATGACATCCAACGAGCGCTCAGCCATACCAATGGCGCGCATGCTGTAAGCAGAAACCAATTAATAAGACGTGTCAGCTGAGGATTCAAAAGTAAACATCCGTTGAAGGGGCAACGTTTGCAGGAGAACCTACCAGTGATGAATACGACCAGGTCCCAAACGTCCCTGAATGACCTCGAAACCGCGTCCCTCTCCTGCGATAATGTTGGCTACAGGGACCTTGACGTTCGTGAACTTGACCTCGCAATGTCCCTCAGGTGCATCATCGTATCCAAACACCGTCATGGCTCGGACGACCTCAACGCCAGGAGTGTCTGCTGGGACAATGACGATCGACTGCTGTCTGTACTTGTGTTCGTTGTCGGGATCGGACTTGCCCATGACTAGGTAGACCTTGCAACGTGGGTCACCGGCTCCAGAGATCCAGCATTTGTGTCCGTTGATAATGTAATGATCGCCCACGCGCTCGATGCGGGTCTCAATGTTAGTGGCGTCCGAAGAGGATACGGCAATCTCGGTCATGGCGAATGCAGAGCGGATCTGGCCGTTCATCAAGGGAACGAGCCACTTTTGCTTCTGCTCGGGGGTGCCGTATTTGGCAAAGACCTCCATGTTACCGGTGTCGGGGGCGGAGCAGTTCAATGCCTAAAAGGAAATGCAAGAGTGAAGTCTTAGACAAGTTTTTTTTTTCCTTCGAAAAGATGTGTTCGCATCCCAAGGAAGTGCATTTGTTATACCTCGGGGGCAACGCGAGGGCAGCGACCGGTGATCTCGCAAAGGGTTGCATATTCAAGGTTGGTCAAGCCAGGGCCCTCGGGGTAGCTCTTGGGCAGGAACAAGTTCCATAGACCCAGGGACTTTGCCTTGGCCTTGAGCTCGTCCATGATTGGGGGTGTGGTCTAAAAGCGCAATACGGACGGAGTTAGTTACCGTCTGGGTTCACTGGTACCATCTGATGCTTTAGGAGAAAAAGTCAATGGGTCAATTAATACCTTCCAGCGCTGATCGCCGGCTCCGACCTGGCTCTCATAAACCTCCTCGGCTGGCAAGCAGTCGTTCTAGACATAGAGATATTGAGCGGTGGCGCAACAAAGAAGCATCAGATATGCGGTTCAATTGCAATGCGAAACCATTTACCCGTGGGAGAGGAAGAGTGTGATATGTGGCATACCTCGACAAAGCTGATAAGTTTCTTCTGCAGCTCCTTGCAGCGGGGCGAGACTTCAAAGATGGAGGTCATTATGGAGCTGTGGCGTTGCGAATGTAGAATGAAGGCGGGGTTGATTGAGAATGAAAAAGATGAATGGAAGGAGAACAATGAAGTAAGAAGAAGCGGAGGGTATCCGTGGTATATCGTTATTTTAATGGCCGGCTGAAATGGGACTGGGGTAAAAGCTTCGATCACTTTTTGGCTTTCTTTCTCTCCACAGAGCCCCTGCTGCCCAATCGAGCGCCTTGCCGCGACTTCCGCTGCACAGGCAGAAACCCAATTTATTTGGTCCCCCTGTGGGCGCCGATCCGTCGCCCTTCCTTCGCCGACTGGCTATCCCGTCCTGAAGATCGACACCCTGCGATTGACAGGGCCCTCTCCCCTTGATCCCAAGGTACCCACCACCACACATGTATACAGACACCTCAAAGTGTCCGGGCCATCAAAGGTCCATACCTGCCTTGATTTTACACTCGAAGGGAATTACCGCTTGGTCATTGTAACCCCAGTCTAAGAAGTTCAAGCCGCTATCTGCTAATACCGTTCAGAGACAGACGCTTTTTTCAAAGGAAGTCAGTCGTATTACATATGTACAAGTTGTTTATTATTTTATCGAGAGACACTGTCGATCGGCTGCAGATGGGTGTCAATTCAGGACGGAATCCTCAATATGGGCATGCAAATGCAAAACAAAGCTGGAGCAAGGCAGGCACTGGGTATCCCCTTCACGTGTCCTGCCGTTCCTTGACTAGCCCTGCTGCCCTATTTCGGCACTCATATTCAACAATCATGGGCTTGTCATTGGTATCCAGCTGATTTTTTTTAAGGACTACTGGATGCCTACACATCTAGATCCTCGTCACCATCACCATCGCGTCCTGTGGATGACAACCTCATTTTTTTCGGAGGTCTCTGGTCCGAGTTCTTAGACTGACTGGACTTTTGTTGCTTCATCAGTCTCCGGTTGGACGAGGATGATGATCCGGGACCAGAATTCAAAGTAGGCGCAATGTTGGAAGAAGAAGACGACGTCTTGAGATTGGGTCTTTTGTTGGAGAATCCTGAAGATGGCCGTTTTGATTCATCCTGTGACGACTCCTGGTCCGGGTTCTCTTTGATTTGCAGCGCCTGTAGCAAAAGAACGAATGAAAAAAGATACCACTCCTGATTAGTCTGTTATTCTTGCTGGATGACATCTATGCGTGAGATATATGAAAATGGAGACAGCATCCTGGAGACGAATATGTGGTGGAGAAGAGACACCTGCCTTTGTAAATGTGGTCGAGGACATAGAGAAGAGTCGGTCCGACTCTGAGTACTTGACTCGACTCTTATCAGCCTTCGAGTTGATATAGCCGTCGAATCCACGAATGATGTTGCCCCCATGCTGTGTATCCTCCAAGTAAGAACCCTCAAATGCATAGATGCTATTCTCGAGTCCTGCCTAATACGCAGAACAGTCAATGAGAAGCATTAGATCGCTGCTAAAAATGATATTGCAAAGTTGTTTAGAGTAGACCCCCTTACTAAGTTGCGGTCAACCAGCTTCTTGCGGTTCATGAGCTCGCTGAGCTCTGTCTTGGCATCCAGGTACTGCTGATGCGTAAGTTTCTCCTTCTGAAGTTCAAAATTCAAGCAAGAGTAGAAGGTAAGTTCTTGGCCAGCTAGTGAACTGCTCCTGCTGTTATCGCCTCAATAAGATGCTTTCAGGTGCCTGCCATCACTGCGCTGTCAATCCCTTACAGGTATTTCTGGCATGATTCGATCTGTTCTGGTGATGAGCTTTGGGGTTTGTATGTGTGCTGCTGAGTCCCTGATGAAAGCTTTGTGCTTGTCCTTGATGTGCTTGATGTCGTTGTCGTTGAAGTTGGTTGGAATGGCATCCTCTGATACTGCGTTTTATACCTACACGTGATAAATTTCCGGGCTTTGCCCGCATGGCCCAAGCCAAGGACGGCTGTGAATGGGCTGTCCGCTTCCCTATGTTCCTTTCCTCGCATCGATTCTCGAGACAACCCATTCGTCCTTAATCCCCATTCCTCCATTTCCTGTTCGACTGCATTAAAGAGCAAACACTGCTGTCGACTGACGATTGCTTCTCTTTTTCTCACTCTGATTCATGACCTCACTTGCTACTTCTTATCAAAAGCCAACGTCCGGCGTCCAGAAACTTGTCCACCGAACCAAAAAAATGCGCTTCCCTCGCCGTGCAAACCGGTTCCTGCAGATGCAAGAGGACACCGGCTACTCTGACGGACAGTTCGTTGCGCCCATGCCCAAAAGTACGCCTCAGTCTCACTCTTTCCTTCCTTGCGAGCACCGCTTTTCCGCGTCCTTAGCGCTCAACTTGGAATTAGTCACTGTATCTAACACAGCTCTCGAATTCTTGGACCATCATTGATAGTCCCATGGAAGTCAATTGCTCTTGCAATGGTTCTTTTGATCCTCGGTACCGTAGGACTGACCATTGGATCGCTACTCAAGGTCGGCATCATCGTTAGTCCAGTAAGTGGAGGCAGATTCAAAGCGCCTAGTTGCTCTTTGCCATTTACTTTGCCATGTCTACTGATCACCTCGTTCTCCTCCAATGTAGGACTGGCTGGATAAAGGCACCCCGCTCCTAATTCTTGGCGCGCTATGCTTCATCCCAGGTATGTACCGAGCCCGCGGTCGAAATTACAAATGCGCATGCTCGAGATATATGCGCAGATTACTAAACCATCTGTGAACGATGCATAGGATCGTACCACGTCGCACTTGCTTACTATGCATACAAGGACTATGAGGGCTACTCATTCTCACACATTCCCGACATCGACGATTAGACACGCATCTCAGCAGGGCAGAGAATTATGTTTCTAAGACACTGCTTACTGCCTTGTTTCTATCACGCATATGAGCTTCGCCTCATTCCATTTGTATTATATCTGATATCTTCAATAAAGCTATGGCAGTTCAGGCCATTGTCGCTCAATGTCCATATATTATTGCTGCAGTTTATTTTCATCTTCAACTGAAATTAATGGTCTGGTGAATAGCTGGATGTTCCTCTGTCGTCTAATCTGCATCCCATAGCGCGGACAGAATTTTTGACTGCGAACTAGTTGTTGTCCTTGATTGCAAATCATCGTCATGGCGATCAATATCTCGTTGTGAGTGAACATCACGCTGTCTATGGCCACTGCGATAAAATTGCTGCCGCCGATCCCAGTCGTCGTCCGCTCCCTCGTCTGCGGAGACCTTCATAAATGAGGTAGCCAACATAATCGACAGCAGCACTAATGTCACCCTGAAGAACCTGCCCGAGGCCGAGTCCGAATCGTCATATCCTTGTTTGCGTCGATATTCAGCATCAGCACGCTCCCTTGCCTGCCGCCGCTCTTCCCGTCTCACATCCTGCTCATAATGCATCTCCTGGTGCGATTTCGCATCAAAGTGTGGTACACTCCCGGTCTGTCGTCCAAAGTGGGTCCCAAAAGCACCATGAGCCCTCCTGGCTGCTGCGGCTGCTGCGGCGTCTGCAGCCGCCGCAGACTGTGGTGAGTGGCGGAAGGGCGTCCGCCGAAGTGTTCCACGTGTGGGCTGGGCCCGTTGTGAAGATGAATTGGAGTAGAGCGATCCGGTCTTGTCAAGCAGAGTGAGGTCATAGTCTCGTCGTTGACGTTCGTTGCCTAGGACAGAATAGGCCTCGTTGATGGAGAGGAAGGTTCTGCGAGAATCTTCTGTGTCATTCTTGTCTGGGTGGTGGAGTTTAGAGAGCTTGTAGAACTGGGACTTGATCTCTTTCTTGGTCGCGTTCTGACTGATGCCAAGGCGCTCGTAGTGGTTGGTGGAGTGGGATCGACTTTCGCGTGGAGTAGATGTGTGAAAGTGTGAAGTTGATGCGGCTACTGTTACTGCTGCAGTCAGTGTGTGCCGAGGAATCGAAGGCCATGTTACGTGGACGAGAAGACCAACGTGCGACCTATAGCATCGATGGTGATTCATAGTTGATGAGAAGGAGTGGAGAGTAAAAGACGATTGCGATGCTTCTGAGCTACTTATCCTGTTATCTTATGGAACGAATGAACTTTGTTTCTGTCGTCATTTCGCAGAGGGATGCTCGTGCGACAGTGCCAAAGCAGAGGGCCTTTCAGAATGTGTGCGTATATTCAATGGATTCTAAGGGGTCTAGTTTGGAACTGACGCGACTGGGTGCCATTGCGGTCTCAACCTTCAGTCGTATCCAATAGTGATCGGGGCAGTTCTTGCCATTGAATGCCAGGTAGACGCTTCATTGCCGCAGATGGAGGGACTTGATTATTACCTAGCAAAGCGAAAGAGCTGTTCTTGAGAGCTATGCTTGAATGTCGTTCTTGGGTGTTGCTCTTGGGTGCTGATAAATGCTAGTATGTTATCCACAGATAACGTCCGCTGATGGACGCAATCGGCGTAGAAAAGTCTAATGCATAAAGACGCGCCGCACATATTACCCGTACTCCGCCTAGCGCGGTCGTTCAGACTGCTTCGTGAGCAGTTACAAAATGTACTTTGGGAGATAGAAACAAGAGTAGGTGTCTTCATGCTATGCCCTGGCATGCGGGAGCTATCCATCTGGCTTTAACACATCCATCCAGTCTACAAGTGTTACTCTACGCTGTCCATCTACCCTCTGGATATCTAACAAAGGATTAGAAAACTTGGACACGGCAGCTCGCGGCGAGCAGATTTAGGTAATCAACACCGTAGTCGCCATGGACTGTTCGGGCCCTCCGGCAGTAAAGAGCACACGACCTTGATGCTATCGCCTATAGACTCCTTGTTTTTCATCAAACTCACGTCGAGACGATGCAGTATTTTATTCGCTTGTTTATATCCTCGTCCTTGCTCGACTCATGACGCTGATTCTCTTCTCCTTGTCAAGGTCCAAGACCAGGGCTTTCATTTTTTAAAGCGCACATATTTCTTCTGAGTAAGTAAGCGCGCTTGAAGAATATTTAAAGACGCGTCGTATAAAGAGCGGAACATCGTGCACCGGTGGTTTTCATTCACGTGTACTCTCAATCGATAGTTCTCCTCACCCTTATGAGCCGTCAGTTTTCCCAAGGAGCCCTAATCTGCTCCAGCATTTCTTATTGCGCTCTTGAGATTGTCATTGTAACATTAACCAAGGTCGGTGGTCTTCCTGCACCAAGAGTGTAAAACTAGTGCCAAGGGTGTAAAACCAGCACCGTATCAAGAGTTTATTCCTGTGAGGGTGATATGGATAATCGAGTCTTCGTACACACGGATCTGTACCTGAAAAACTGGTGAGTAATCAAACGAAGACCAAGATAACGGCGACGCGTGGATTATCTCGTTGAAACTTACAAATCAGGTTGAATTTAAACATATAAACCCCAGGCGTTCCTGATCTCTTCCCTCATTCCTCATTCCTCGCACTTCTTCCTTCATTCTCTCACAATGGCCGTTGCACACCTCATTTTGCTTAAGATCAAGTCCTCCCTCACAGAAGACCAGGCCCAGGATATCCTCAAGGCCGTCGCTGCGCTCAAGGACCAACTCCCCGATGTGGTCGAATCCGTCCACCTCGGAACCAACTTCTCGGCACGCTCCAAGGGCTTCACCCACGGCTTCACTATGATCTTCAAGGACAGAGCCGCCCTCGAGACCTACGACAAGTCGTCCGAGCACATCAAGGTTGTTCAGGAGGTCATCCGCCCTAACATTGATGATCTCATCTGTGTGGACTATGATGTGGTCGACTACTCTATCCCTCGCCTTTAGATTCTACTGTGATAGAAGAGATTGCCTCACAAAGGTCTAACACCAGTTGCAGCTTTCGCGTGCCATATCCAGATAGAATAAAAAATCCTTTATGTCGCGCATACATCCCCCATGGTCGGGTCATAGCTGTAACCCCAATAATAAAAATACATACCACGATATCTGCTGTGGGTTAACAGAAACCAATTTGCAATTGAAGGATTGCCGGCTCGTGTGAGCATTAATGGACTCAATTGCTCCTACACCTTCAGCTCCACTTCAACCGCCACCATTCGTGCTGCTGGCGGCTACAGTGAGAAGTGACTGTACACGGTACGTCATTGGCTGTTTATTTAATTTTGGCACCTTGCTTCTCACGCTTCCTCATTCAACTTCGCCTCGCACCAAAATGACCATGGAAGAGCTCAGCACGGACCTCAAGAACAAGGCAACCATCACCAAGCCTGGGGCACAGGAGCAAGTGGGGCCAGTCGAGCAGATAGCCGACGCCAGCTCTACTACAGGAGGAGCAAAGAAGAACAAGAAAAAGAAGAAGCCCGCCGCCGTGAACGGTAACATAATTCGTGACTAGACCTTGCTTTAACGCACTATAGCCATTGCCGTTGCTTAAGCTAACCAGGGATACATGGGGGGCCACTTGTATTTATAGCAGCCTCAGCGGAAGTTGAAGCAAAGGAAGACAAGGCTAGCGGCGATGATGCGGAAGGAGACGACGAAGACGACGAGGACGAAGAGGATGGCGGCGCCAATACTACAGAGGCCGCTGGTATGTCTTTTGGAGTGCTATGCGGCTCATTGTAGAATACAATTGCGTTATATTAAGCGATCTATTCGTCCAGTTACTCACTTTCTCGTTTATGGCTCGTCCTGCAGGTGCAAAAAAGAAGAAAAAGAAAAAGAGCAACAAGAAGAAAAAGGTTGCTCAGACGGAGCCCCCAACGATCCCCATCTCCAAGATGTTTGGCAACAAAATCTACCCCGAAGGAGAGCTCTGCGACTACAATGAAGAGTAAGCGCTTTGGTGTTGCTTGTCGGATGATCTAAAGGTGCGATAGCGTTAATACTTTCTATTTTTTATCAACGATTTGCTTCGTCCTTTTATTGACAGCAACCTATGGAGAACCACCAATGAGGAGAAGCGATATCTGGAACGACAAAACTTTGACCAGTACAACGATGTCCGCAGAGCCGCTGAAGTTCATCGCCAGGTCCGCCAGTATGCCCGTCGTAACATTAAGCCGGGGATGTCTATGATTGATATCTGTGAGATGATTGAGAACGGTACCCGAAACTTAGTCGAGGCAAACGGATTTGAGTCCGGCATTGGATTCCCTACTGGATGCTCGCTGAACCATTGCGCTGCGCATTACACTCCGAATACTGGCGATAAGACTGTGCTGCAATACGGAGATGTCTGCAAGATCGATTTTGGTGTCCATGTGAACGGTAGGCTGCTTAACTCGTTTCGTGGTGCCAAAGGAGACAACACTGTACTATATAAAGTGCTATACTGATAGGTTGGTTTGCCTCTCTGGCTTATTAGGAAGAATTATCGATTCTGCTTTTACGCTGACGTTCGATCCTGTGTACGATAACCTACTTGCTGCTGTCAAGGATGCAACAAATACTGGTATCAGGGAGGCTGGTATCGACGTCCGACTGTGCGATATCGGAGCAGCTATTCAGGAGGTCATGGAGTCATACGAGGTTGAAATTGAAGGCAAAACTTATCAAGGTAACACACTGTGGAGGAAATTCAAAGGCCTGTAGTTCTCATATATTTCGCTCTAGACTCAAAGTAATGATCATCTTATGAATGATTCATTAGTCAAACCTATCCGTAACCTGAATGGACACTCGATTGACCCTTACAAGATTCATGGCGGCAAGTCTGTGCCCATCGTCAAGGGTGGAGATCAGACAAAAATGGAAGAAGGCGAGTACTTTGCCATTGAGACCTTCGGAAGTACTGGACGCGGTTATGTGCACGAAGATATGGAGTGCTCTCACTATGCTCGTGTCTACGATGTACAACATGTTCCTCTCCGGTGAGTGGCCAGTATTCTTAAAGCCATTACTGACACAGAGTCTCGATGGAAGATATTAACTCACTGCGGGTTATTATTCTGACACACTGAACTTTAGTTTGCCGAGAGCGAAGACGCTGCTCAACACGATCAACAAGGAATTCGGCACACTCCCATTCTGCAGGCGGTATTTGGATCGCATTGGCGAACAAAAGTACGTCCTGGCGCTCAGGAACCTGGTGGAGGCCGGAATCGTGGATGCTTACCCACCTCTGGTGGATATCAAGGGATCATTCACTGCCCAGTATGAGCACACGCTGGTGCTCAAACCCACACGCAAGGAGGTTCTCAGTCGCGGTGATGACTATTAAACATGCGGACAAAAAAAGCAGAAATAAAAAAAAATGAAAAAGAAAAAAGTCCTGTGCTCAATACACCACCTCTGTAAAAGTTACTTGCCTGCCTCTTTATCAGAAAACATCGAGCAGATCGCAGGCGTCCTTTCTTTTCCATCAACATCAGGAACTTGCTTCGTCATTTGCATTTGCAACAAACACGCGACTTCACATAAGACATAGTCAGCATATATATTACGCAGAATAATCGACAATGGAGGAAGCAAGTGCACAACAGCAAGGAGCGGCATTCCCAGCACCACCCTATTACTTTCAACGGTACACTCAGGAAAACATCAATCTTCTCGAAAAAGCGCGTGCTGATCCCGAAAATCCAGAAATCGTAAAGAGCCTCGAGGCGCTTCCATTTCCCATCTTGGCCCTAGAACCACCACCACCGGTTAAAAAAGGCATCTATTGGTTATTTGGACGACCATGGCCGGTAACGATCGAACTAAAACGGACAGCAAGGAATGCACCCCATGCATGGAAGGCAAGGACTCACCAATATGTAATATATATCTTTGTCTTATGCAGGTCGAGGACAGCTTGGCGACTTTGGAGGAACAAGGAATTGAGCAGCTCTATCCAAAAGGCTCCATCGGTAGGGGCACGCTGCACGGTTTTGCATTCGTGTGAACGACGAAGTGCGTTAACCAGTGATAAGTGTTGTGTTATTAATCTGGTGCGCATTGTCGGACATTGTTTGTTTAGATCGTGTAAAGGAACTCAAGAAACTGAACCATTCTGCCGTCTTCAACTTTTTGGAGCTCGTTCATACCCTCTCCACATCGCCCAGCGAGGTATGCCTACAATCCCATCATGCAATTGACATAGCACTTTTTTTTTTTAGTTGATGCGAGTGTGCTTATCTACTGACTTTATTCTTCTTAATTGGTGCTAGTTTACTGTGAAAGTAGACCAGATCCGAGTAATTTTCATCAACATGCACCATATGCTCAATGAATACCGACCACATCAAGCCAGAGAGACCCTTCGACTGATGATGGAGGAGCAATTGAGCAGGAAAAAGAAGGAAACGGCCGCCTTAAAAAAGTATGTTTCCTATGAGCATAACCTTTTCGATTCTGCTCAATGGACACAGAGTAAGGGCACTGACCAGGGATACGATATTAACCCTCTGGATTTTCTGTTTCTTTTCGTGCTCTAGAACATGTGCCGATTTGAGGAAAAGGCTAGCAGCGCTGAGAGATTTGAAGCAGAAGCGACTTCCAGTTGCGGGCATGGATATGGATGTGGAGATGGCACTGGCTTCAACATCAACATCAGCAATGGAGTCGGAAGGAGTAACAACAGAAGGATCGTCGATAAATGATATGAAACTATCACGAAGACCGAGCAGCAGCGAAGAGAAAAGGAAGTCGTTGGCTGCATTGGATCCTATAGCGGCCAGGAATGTAGAGAATATGGCTCGATTAATGGATCTATGCGATGATATCAAATAAAATAGTTTATCATGATTCTCTTGTTAAATCGGTGAAGTGCTTGCTCGGCACGCAGTTGGAAATAGAAGGCTACGGCTATCTCGATGTGTACCTATCACGCATAACAGATTGAAGGGCCGATAGGCGAGGCTGTGCATCTTCATGATCGTGCCCTGATTGGCTGGAACCTTAGGACAATTTAGTATAGAACGCGACGCGACGCATCCCTTTCTTTTCTTCTAGTCTAATTCGCAACGGCTTTTATGAGACAAAACCAAGATGCAATACGACCATAGATTCGTGCGATTTTGATTTCAACCAAGCTGACTAGCTACCGGTCCAGCAACGGTGTGGTGTCAAGCGCACGAGGGGTATATGAGATATGTTGGATATATAAACTAGACCGTTTACAGCTGCATCCCTCAGTAAATACAGCATTGACGGGCTACATCGCTCTACAGCACGCATCTTTACCTTCCTAGACCTCGTCCTACACCTTACACCATATTTTAACAAACACAGTTCGACAAAAATCCCTATGAAGATCATCACCACTTCCGCCGTCCTGTGCCTGGCTGCCTCCACAGTCCTAGCTGGCAAGAAATCGACTCTCGACACCGTTAACCGTGCAGCGATCCAGAGGCGCGCGGCTCCGGATGTTGGTGTCACAGTTATGGCACAGATGCGTGGAAGGCCTTTGGCGGCGATGCGCCGTGAGAAGCAAGCTAGTAAACCTCCGCATAAAGAGCATTCTGTGGAGGCGCATCGGGATGGAGAAAATGGGAACCCCAACAAGGACCATAGCGTCGGTCATAAAAGCGAGCGTCACAAAGAAGCTAACGAGAATAATGTAGAGGGAGCAGAATACAAGAATGGGCAGGGACAGAGGGAGAATAGCGACAGCAGCGAGAAGGATGTTGAAACCAAGAAAGACGAGAAGAAGATGAATGGTGGGCAGGAAAAGGAAGAGAACGATGCGCGCAAGACGACAGGAGGCGTAGATACGGGTGTCGGTGAGAATGGAGATGCGGGCAAGAAGGATAATAAGCAGGTTGTCCCGGATTCTACTTCCTCCAACTCCGATCCACCTCGCGATACTGCTAGTCCCCTCTGGCTGGTTCAGCCTTTCGGCGCCAGTGTCTGGGAGCATGACCGCGACTATGCCATTAGCTGGGTACCCAACCCAGATCCTATCTTCGCTAAGACTCTCAAGCCCATGACGCCTGTCGATATCCGCCTGATGCAGGGGCCTCCCGAGGACCTACACGAAATTGCAGTCCTCGAGACTGCGGTTGACTTTGACCTCAATTCTTTCCAGTGGACAATTCCCGCAACGGTGGTGCCAGCTAAGGACTATACCATTCGACTGACACATGAGGGTGATTTGGACACGTATTCGCATTACTTTGAGATTGTCGCTGCGGGAGATCCACGATCAAGCAAGAGCAATGTCGACGAGCCGTTACAGATGCCACAGGAGGGTGATGCACCAGAGCCTGCGACAAAGGAATCTACCATTAATCCCGCTGCTCCGCCAAATCCACTCCCTACGGATAGTAAGTCTGTCATGGTAACCAAGTCCACGAAAAATATCTCGGCGGCAGTGGGAAATGGATCGGGCCAGAGTGCTAGTGTGATGGCGATGGCCTTGGCACTATTTGGCGCTGTCTACATGTTATAAAAAAGAAGAACGTGTCCACCATATCACCTAGTCGTTTGAATAAATACTCCTATGCAAAAGACCACGCATGCATATCGCTTACCAAACCTAGAATAGGAAGGGTATTATACAGGTACAGTAGTTAAAACATTCTAAGACGTCCAATCAGCCCTTTAGATCGGGACAGAGGCATGTTAAAAGCCTAGATTCCAGGAGAGCCCTACTAGACACTAGCCTCAAGTGACAGTGGCAGCGGAACCAATGGGCTGGTTGAGGACACTTCTTTTTATGATCTTTCTCAAGCTGCGAGTCAAGAGTAAGATGTACGTAGAGTGCTACGACTTTAACCTGGAGTTCTTCGACAATCCCTCTATTGCAGCCTTGGTCGCATACAAGCGGTAAGCAAGACACACTTGGTCCTCGATTTTATTATTATTCGTTATTGTGTGGTTATTTAATGCAGCCCCGCTCGCTCTATTTTTCATTGATGGCCTACAGATGGTAGTAGTAGCTGTGCAAAGGTATCTGGGAAGAGACTTGCATCGTTTCGCCATTGGTGGTATTGTCCAAATGACAATTCGTTTCCGAGAGGGTAGTAGTCCATGCTACGCCATGCAAACACATTCTACCGCGCCCTTGACTGTGCTCTGACAACAACCTGTTTCTGAATCCAGGACTTGTCGTGTGGGATATAGGAAGATGTCTTATGATCCAAACTATGAGAATACAGAGAGGTTGATCGGTCAATATATGTGCCCTGGCACATTTCTTAGTTCCCGATGCAGGTTCAAAAGAAACAAAGTGCTGTCGAGTGCTTACACTAAGGCAGCACAATCCGGGAGGTTGAAGACCATCTCCAGGACTTCATTGACATCAAACTCGATTCTCTCCTTGTGAGGAAACTTTTTCTATTGATATAATCGCGAGAGACAAGCAAATCTAGGTTAGAGTGCTGTCACGCGAAAGCCTGAGTATGCTGGGGTGCTGTTTTGCCGATCAATTGCTTCGTTGCTGTCCATTGTGCGGCTGTCTTCTCGGTACCTTCAAATGATCCTCATACATCGCGATGATCTCTGTTATTTTTAAAGCGGAGAGACATTAGTGTTATCCTCGTTAGTACACCTTGATCATGGATGCCGATAACAAATGTCGTTGCTGTAAAACGTCGTCCTTTCCCTTACCGTCCATAGCTTTGGCAACAGAGTCGCATTCGATATATGTTTTGCTGGACGCGGCTTGCGTCTTTTGAATGAGAAGGATTGTATGGCTCTGAGGTGTACGCCAACGTAAAATAGTTTCAAAGGAATGAGAGAGGAAGCATCAGCCTTTTATTCTTCTGGTAGTCGATCGCATCAGTTGTGTTGTCCTTGATCCTCTGCGATTCCGTGTAATCTTATTACCATCAGGATTACGTTAATCTTCTGTGTGTGTTTGGTTGTCCGTGTGTCCGCGTATTGTTGTCCTGCTGGTGAAAACGGGTAGAGCAATCGGGCAAGGTGGTGATGAAGGTTTGAAAAGCTTGCATCAATTTTGTTGCGCACACATTCTTCCTGATCAGCTGAGAGACCCACTCTCTGCCGACTGCTTTTCTCATCATGTTTATACAAGGCTATACAAAAAAAAAAAAAGTGCTGCAGAGCCTTGACCATTCCTCCATCACTCATTAACATACATGCCTGCCGAGACCAAACGCAAGTTCCAGACAGGACAGCCCGTTTCCACCAGGAGGAGGGCCAAGAAGGTCAAACTAGCTGCTGTCCAGGCCCAGAAAGCTGCTACCACACCCTCGAAGAAGGACCAGCGCAAAGCGACAAGACCTTCAAGGCCTAGCAAAGAGCACAAGGCAACGGCACCATCAGCAGCAGCATACGATTCTGAAGGAGATTTGGAGAATGAAGAGCAGGATATTGACCATGACGATGAAGACGAGGATCAATCTGACCTGGATGGCGAAGACACACAAGATCAGGGAGAGGATAATGGACATCATGTCTTGGCTGAGCACGAATCAGATAGCGACGACGACGAAGATGAAGGAGCAGAGCAGGAGCCAATTGGCAAGGGAAAGAAGGGCTACAGAAAAAAGACCAAGAAACCAAGTGGAAAGAAGGGCAAAGTCTTTGCAGATACCGTACGTATCCATGTTATTGTAAACAACTGTAGACCATGGACAAAGAGCAATGCGCTCCGGGAAAAACTACACTGTTGCTAATAATAACCTTCACTACTGTGTTCATGTAGAACGCGATGCTGAGTATTATTGATCAGGTGGCAGGAAAAGAAGAAGAGCGCGCGCAGGCCAAGCAAGCACAAATGGTATGATGTGGACCCAGCAGCTCTTTTGTAGTTTACCGAACTGATCACTGATACTCATTTCTGTGGTCTCTCACCTAACGTACGTGCACTTTTTTCTTTAATAATAATCAAATAACCCCCAGGGCAAGATCAAGTCCAAATTGAGTGCAAAGGAGCAGAAGCAGGCTGAGAAAGAAAAGGCGAAGAAGGCGCTAATCGAAGAGAAGATTGAGGAGATCAAGCGGAAAAAGACAGAGAAGCGCAAGGAGTCGAAGCACAGGGCAGCAGAACAGGAAGCCGAGGCCAATGCATCCTCAGGCAAGAAGTCGGTATCATTCCAGATGTAACAACAGCAATAATAAACCAGGGAATGGACTCCGTTGCTATGCAATTGGAATGAAGGCGATGTCATTGTTCAAACGACCGTTCTTATTGTTTAGTTGTTTCGCTTGAAGTTTTTCATGGTATCCGTGGTATGTGGTTTAGGCTGTTGCGCAGTTGGAGGGAATTTGTGCGACATTCGGCTGCACGTATACACACATTTGGCACGCGTAATGCACGTTGGCACACCACTTTCTTTCTAAGCGTGATTTTTTTTTTTTCCGTTTTTACATCCATACATCCATACATTAACACAAACATACTCCATCCCATTCGGCATCCACACTCCTGTCACCTGGTCCTTGTCCATGTTGCCACTGCCCGCCACCTGCAGAGCAACATTCCACTGGACATTCCTTTCTTCTACTTCTTCCTTGCATTCTACTGGCCGATCTTCCTTCTTTAAAACCGTCTTCCGTGCCTCAACTCCTCTTGCCCAATTCCATTCCCGTCCTATCTCTCTCACTTCAAGGTAGGCACTAACATGCCATACATGCGAATATAACAATATGCAATTATCTCACGTCTGTGCACCGCACTCAAATATCGACTGATCAGGCCTTCTTGACCCTCTTGCACACCTCCTCCACAACCCTGGTCCTCGGGGAATGTCATGTTGTGGAACTGCAATTGGTCCTTTTTACTCTTTACTAGCGCCGCATTCTTTCTACGGAACAACTCCCAGACTCTGTTCACAATTAGATCTCCCTCCGTTCTCGCTCGATTCTCAACTACTTCCTCAATGGCAGCAGCAACAGCAGCAGCGAACCAAGTCCTCCCAGAGGGGTACGTCCTCAGTGAGAAGGGAACCTATGCCGACTTTACAAAACCAATTGAAAAGTCCCTCAATGACGATCGTCAGTATCGATTGATCCGACTCAACAACGATCTGGAGGTACTTCTCATCCAGGACCCCAACGTCGATAAGTCCGCCGCAGCATTGGATGTCCATGTTGGTCACTTGAGCGATCCTGTAAGTTCTTTTACATTTGATCTACGCCCATTTGATCTTTTTAGAGCATTGGTGAGGAGGCTCCTCAGCCCGTGCCGGGCCCGTCTTCCGGCCCTCCTATGCTGGATAGAATTACTCACGCATGCCCCTTTTTACTCAGAAAAACTTGCAAGGATTGGCGCATTTCTTGGAGCACCTGCTCTTCATGGGAACCGCCAAGTATCCCAAAGAAAACGAGTACAGCGAGTTCTTGTCCAAGCACTCTGGAAGTTCAAACGCCTTCACAGGTCTCGACAACACCAATTACTACTTTGAGGTCGGTCACGCCTATCTCGAGGGCGCATTGGATCGCTTTGCCCAGTTCTTTATTTCGCCTGCGTTCAGTGAGAACTGTAAGGATCGTGAGTTGCGCGCCGTGGACTCGGAGCACAAGAAGAACCTGCAAAGTGATAGCTGGCGACTCTTTCAGCTCGAGAAAAACCTTTCGAGCCCCGATCACCCTTACAGTCAGTTTGGAACTGGCAATCTGGAGACGCTGCAGGACGCACCCGGCCGTGAGGGGATCGATGTACGTGACGAGTTAATCAAATTCCATTCAAAGTATTATTCTGCCAACATTATGAAGTTGGTCATCCTTGGTCGAGGTAACAATGAACAACGAAACAAAAGAGTTTACTCAGCGGATTACGGAACTGTGGTGTCAACATTGAATACTAACCAGACTATTTTATCTTCCTTTTGTTTGATATTAGAACCACTGGATCAACTTGCAGAGTGGGCCACTGAAAAGTTTTCAGCGATCAAGAACCTTGGTATCAAACCCCCTGCCAGCACTAACCCCCCATGGACGGCCAAGGAGCTTTTGGTATGCCATTATGCGTATATGGAATAGGAACTTTATTGCTCTAAGCCGGCTTTTGCTGATGTCTATTTTCTATAACAACATTTTACTTTAGAGGACGACCTATGTCAAGCCTGTCAAGGATTTTAGGTCATTAGAAATCAAGTTTCCTTTCCCAGACCAATATCCATACTACACAATCCACCCAGCTCGTTACCTCACCCATGCCATTGGGCACGAGGGAAGCGGATCTATTTTGTCTCTGCTGAAGAAGAAGGGTTGGGCCAACAATTTGTCCGCTGGCACTTCGCATGGGGGGATTGGGTTCGAATTCTTCAAGATCACGGTTGACCTCACCAAGGAGGGCCTTGCGCACTACGAAGATGTTACCCTCATCATATTCCAGTATATCCAGATGCTTCGTCATGAAGGTATCCGGCCTTACATCTGGGATGAGGTACATGTCTGAACGTCGCAGTGTGTTTATCTTTTTTTTTTTTTTCAATTTTATTTTTATTGAAGGCAAAGCTCAATTCCTAATAGGTTTTTTCTTCCACTTTTACAACAGATCTCATCTTTGGCGGCCACGTCGTTCAGGTTTAAGGAAAAGTCGCCCGCTGCTGGGTACTCCTCCCGCCTGGCCGGCGTCATGCAGCGTGGATATGCACCCGAGTGGGTTCTCTCGGGCTCATACTTGATCCGCGACTCAGATCCCAACATGATCATGGAGTGCATCAACTCTCTCAAGATCGATAACTGGAAGAGCCATCTGGTCACGCAAGACGCGTCCATTGTACCTGGCGGGGCTTTCGATGAGACTGAGAAGTGGTATGGCACAGAGTACCATGTCGAGCAGGTGTCTTCTACCCTCTTGGAGGTGAGTCTTATTTTATTATTATTATTCGTATTCAAAGTCAAGCATACTTTATCTGCTCCAGTACAGAGTGTGATGCAGTGACCATCCCTAAACCTCATTTCCCATATTTTGCTTGTGTCGCCAGAAACTTCAACATCTCGAACCCAACCCCGAACTGCATCTTCCAGTGCCGAACGACTTCATTCCGGAGAACTTTGAGACCAACAAGGTTCCTACGGCAACACCTCTCAAGACCCCAGTCTTGTTAAAGCACACTCCTCTGACGAGGATCTGGCATAAGAAGGACGATGTCTTCTGGGTCCCCAAGGTCAGCATGTACTTCCAACTCAGGTCGCCTCTGTCTTACTCCTCACCCAGCAACAACGTCAAGACCCAGCTCTACGTCAGCCTTCTCAAGGATGCCCTGAACGAGTATTCGTACGATGCTGATTTGGCAGGACTCTCGTACTCGCTTGACACGACCGTCGAGGGTATGATCCTGAGCGTCGAAGGATACAACGACAAGGCCCATGTGCTGCTGCAGAAGGTGGTTGAGAAGATGAAGAACCTTGAGATCCAGCCTGACCGATTCCGTCTAATCCAGGACCAGATGGAGAGGATGTACAAGAATTTCAAGCTGGAGGCGCCCCATCAGCACGCGATGTACTACATGTCGTACCTGACCCAGGAGAAGCTGTGGACTCAGGAAGAAAAGTTGGCGGAGCTCAAGGACCTCACTCCCGAGGACATCCAGGTGTTCTACCCGGCCCTTCTTTCCCGTCTTCATATCGAGGGACTTATCCATGGAAACATGGCCGCCGCTGAAGCACTCAATGCGGGGACGATTATTGAGGAGGGACTTTCGCCCAAGACGCTTGTCCCCTCGGAGCTGCTCTCGCAACGTTCGCATATCTTGCCCGAGAACTGCAAGGCTGTTTATAAGCGCGATGTGCCGGACCCCAACAACGTCAATTCTGGAGTCGAATACTATCTCCAGATCGAGGACGCGATCAGCACGCAGAGCCGAGCGCGCATCCAGATCATGGCGCAGATCATCAACGAGCCCTGCTTCAACCAGCTCCGGACGAAGGAGCAGCTGGGTTACTTGGTCTTCAGCGGAGTGCGCAAGCAGACTGGTGCGATTGGACTCCGGTTCATCCTGCAGTCGGAACGCGATCCCGTGCATCTCGAAAGCCGGATCGAACACTTCTTGGAGTCGAGGATGAAGAGCTACTTGGACGAGATGACGACAGAGGAGTATGAGAAGCAGGTGAACTCGCTGATCCAGAAGAAGCTCGAGAAGGACAAGAACCTGAGACAGGAAACCTATCGGTACTGGGGACAGATCGTCTCGGGTTACTATGACTTTGACGAGATTCAGGATGAGGTTGAGGAGATGCGGCGGACGACCTTGGATATGACGAGGGATTTCTTTGCGACCTCGATCTTGCCTTCGGCCCATAAGGCTAAGAAGTTGTCGGTACACCTGCGCTCCCAAAAGGTCCCCCCAGTCGTTGCAGACGAGGGTGAGGAGCCGGCCAAGTTGAGAGAGGGAAATGTGCTGATTGAGGACGTGATCGGGTTCAAGGCTGGACTGGAACTGAGCAGGGCTCCGTACCCTGTCGCAGACCTGTTGAGATATTCCAAGTTGTAACATCATCATAGACCTTTTGACAGCCGTTGTAGACCTTTTTGCAATAAACTCCTTTCATCTCGATCTTCAAAATAATGTGCAATCAAAGAATAGACTTTGCTATCCTTTAAATGCAAAAGTTTTGTATTTTTTTTTTTTATTTATTTCTGTAAGAGTGTGGTTGATACTATACAAAGCAGAGCGATTCCTTTTCAAATGTATATTATTTTACGAAAGAAAACAAATGAAGAATGAGCGGCAAATGCAGACGAAGATGTTTACAGCTCATCGTGGTTGGGCATCTCCTCGCTGGGGGCGGGGCCAGAGCCACCGGCAGAGCCGTAGAGCTTGGAGGTGATGGGGTTGACAATGGCCTCAACCTCCTCCTTCTTCTCATCCAGCTCCTCCTTCGAGGCAGTCGTGCCCTCGGACTCGAGCCACGAGATCTTCTTGTTGACTTCCTCCAAAATGGTCTTCTTATCCTCGGCATCGATCTTGGCACCCAACTGGGCTTCATCGTTGACCTGGTTCTTGACAGAGTAGAGGTAGTTCTCAAGAACGTTCTTGGACTCAATGCGCTCCTTGATGACCTGATCCTCGTTGGCGAACTGCTCAGCCTCCTTAACCATGCGCTCAATCTCCTCGTCCGTAAGACGGCCCTTGTCGTTGGTAATGGTAATGGTCTCGGTCTTGCCAGTGCCCTTGTCCGAGGCAGAAACACGCAAGATACCGTTGGCGTCGATCTCGAAGGTGACCTCGATCTGGGGGACACCACGAGGGGCTGGGGGAATGTTGGTCAACTCGAACTTGCCGAGCTGGTTGTTATCCTTGGTCATGGCACGCTCTCCCTCAAAGACCTGGATCAAGACAGTCTGCTGGTTGTCGGCGGCGGTCGAGAAGATCTGGGACTTCTTGGTGGGAATGCCGGTGTTGCGGGGGATGAGCTTGGTCATGACACCTCCAGTGGTCTCGATTCCGAGGGTCAAGGGGTTAACATCCAACAAAAGGAGGGAATCGGCGGAAGACTCGCCAGAGAGGACACCACCCTGGACAGCGGCACCATAGGCAACAGCCTCATCAGGGTTGATACCCTTGGAAGCCTTCTTGCCACCAAAGAAATCCTCGATCAAGGAGATGACCTTGGGGATACGGGTCGAACCACCAACAAGGACAATGTCGTGGATATCCTTCTTCTCGAGACCAGCATCCTTGAGGACCTGCTCGACGGGCTTGACGGTGCGCTTGAACAGATCCATGTTGAGTTCCTCGAACTTGGCGCGGGTCAGGGTCTCGGAGAAGTCCTCACCATCATGGAAAGAATCGATCTCGATACGGACAGACATCTGGGAGGAAAGAGTACGCTTAGCCTTCTCGACCTCGCGCTTAAGCTTGCCCATAGTCTTGAGGTCCTTGGTGATGTCCTTGCTGTTCTTCTTCTTGTACTGCTTGACAAAGTGCTCAATGACGCGCTGATCGAAATCCTCTCCTCCCAAGTGGGTATCACCAGAGGTGGCGAGGACTTCGAAAACACCATCATCGATCGACAAGAGAGAGACATCAAAGGTACCACCACCGAGATCGTAGACCAGAATGGTGCGCTCACCCTCCTTCTTGTCCAAACCATAGGCGATAGCGGCGGCGGTGGGCTCATTGACGATACGGAGGACGTTCAAACCGGCGATGGCACCGGCATCCTTGGTGGCCTGGCGCTGAGCGTCGTTAAAGTAGGCGGGGACGGTGACGACGGCGTGGGTGACCTTCTTGGAGAGGTAGGCCTCAGCGATCTCCTTCATCTTGCCGAGAACCATGGCGGAAATCTCCTCAGGGGTAAAGGTCTTGGGCTCACCCTTGACGTTAACCTCGATGACGGGGGCGCCGGACTTGGACTTGACCTTGAAGGGGAAGTGCTTAAGATCCTGCTGGACATCCTTGTCATCGAAACGGCGACCGATCATACGCTTGGCGTCGAAGATAGTGTTGGTGGGGTTGGCGGCGTACTGGTTCTTGGCGGCGTCTCCGACAAGACGCTCGTCCTCGGTAAAGGCGACATAGGAGGGGGTGATACGGTGACCCTGGTCGTTGGCAATAATTTCAACACGTCCGTTCTTGTAGACACCGACGCAAGAGTAGGTGGTTCCGAGATCTATTGGGAAGTGAGTATTCAATGCAATATGAGAGGACGTCGTTAGGGATCTGATCAGGTTTCATTTTCATGAAGAGTTGCTGTCTTCTGCAAACACTTTGCGGTAGATCGCGCCGTTGAGAATCAAGGCAGATCGGCTGTCGTAATTTCATCTGGATAAACAGCAGCATATAGATCTTTTTTTTGGGGGGAGGGAGGGAGGATTGTTGAAAAAGCTGAAGGATGACACGCTTATCATGATGTTGATCTATTCCTGAGGTTGCTTTCCACGATTCGAGTTTTTTTTTTTCGTTCGATCGATGACAATGAATGAGATAGACGGGGCAAATAAAGGCATAGAGGGGAAAGAGAGGAAGAGGTAGTACTTACCGATACCGATGACGGTGCCATAGGATTCGCGGGTCTCGTCAGCATCGGCCTTGACGGTCGTGAGGGCGACCAAGCAGACCAATGCCAGAGTGAACAGAGCGATAACGCTCTTGCTGAACTTTGACATTCTGGTATGGAAGGAGAGAGGTGAGTATGAGGATGGGAGGGAGAAGGGGAAGTGATGATGAAAAGAAGAAAAGAGAGATGAGGGAAAGCAGATGAGAATATATACCGAACGACGACAGAGGCAAGCGCGTACTGTACGTGTACTGTACGACTTTGTACTGAGTACTTTGTAAGTTAAATATGGCAGAAGACCATAGAAATGTGTGTTTGTGCAAGGACAGAAACAGCCACTCAGCTGTAGCAGGCACCGAAATTGATATGGCAGCTGCTGATTGGCCGATACGACCCCTTTGTTGACGTGTCGGGACGAGAAAGGACAACACAGAATGCGACTTAAAATTTAAATTTGTCGATTGCGCTCGTGTATGCATTTGTGTGGCAACCTTGCGGAAGACCAATGAGATCCCTCCAGCACCTGGACACTCCCTTCAGTTCCTCCCCTTCATTCCCGCGATATCCAACCCCCCCTCCCTGGCTCTCAAACAAACTTCCTTTGCTCAAGTTAATCCTAATGGCGATCTGCTATGTACTCAATGTGGAGCACACTGCACCAAGTGCAACAACGAATGAGAGACACCTAGCTGGCAGCTGGCAACTGGCTCCGATCTGATCTGATCTAATTTGAGCTGTACCTGAACCTGCATGCACATATTCCATCTAATAAAAAAACTGGTAAATGTGGCACACTCTTGTGGATTTATGCATTCGTTCGTACGACAACACACAACGCCTGGGCCACACGAGTCGAAAATGAAGAAACCAAAAAAAAATGCCAGATAGTTCTTTTTACTACACACAATCTCATGCCACGTTTATTAACAGTTTTCAATCACCACTACAATACCCTGCAGATACCGCTCGATCCCCTCTTCCCGGAGCACAGCTGTCGCCAGCAATGGACCAATGGCCTGCGTAAGAGGTTCACGCACATCATCGGTCGACACCACAGCCTTGGCAGATCCGCTGGCCTTGGCAGCCTCGTTCTTGATGAGTGATAGAAGCCCAGTCTACAAAAAAAGTGTATCGCGGCTATGTTTTAGCATCCTCAATCGATTTCCTGTCAACCGACGTTACAAGTTTCATCACATACCAAAAGTGCTTCAAGGCAATGTGCCGCTTCATCCTTCTTAATCGCCACCGAACTTTCCAAATGCTGCTCAACCTCCATCAACGTTTCATCTTCATGATAATCCAGTCCCAGCTCGGGCTCGATCACATGCGAATACGTTTTCAGATTCGGGACCACCAGCGTCTTGAACGCCTCGTTGCCCATCTTAGAAAGTCCCAGGATCGCGCCATAATGCGTTGTAAGTGGTTTCTCGGGATCCATGAATGCTCGCAACAATGTGCGGGTAACACGAGGTTGGAGTGTATGGTACGAAGAACCATACTTTTCGCAGATCAACAGAACAATGTCCGTGGCTGTTGAGCGTAATGACCAGTGATCTTCGTTTGGAGCAGATAGTGTGGTGGGGTCACCGAGGCGCCTTCCGACAACGCAGGTCAAAATAGGCGGCATGAGTTGATGCAGCTACAGAGGATAAAACGTTGAATTAATACATGGGTGATTGCAGGAGATTAATAAGCGAAAACAAAAAACAAAACCAAAAAAGCTGGCCGCTTACATATGGCTCAATAAACAAGTTGTCGTTATCCAGCAATGCGCGAACCATAGCCATCATCGAGAAGAGCACAGGCAGGTTCCTTGTATTTTGTGTGACCTACACGTAAGATGTAAGAGGTATATGGCGTTAGCATCCGTGTAGTTTCATATCAAATGAGATCCGTGTAGAACTGTATTCGTGTATTCATTACCTTCTCAGCAACAAGTTGGACAAAATAGGGCAGCAGCTGGTGCAGACCTGGATCGTTCTGCAAACTGCTGATGGCTGTTGCCCTGAGCACCTCATCCGGACTCAACACAGCACTTGTGATCCTTTCGTAGTACATCTGTAACTCCTTCGAAAGCACATGCTTGACCAATGGCTTGATCTCTGCACCGTTGCTGCTATTGTTATTATTGTTGTTATTATTGATGCCGCTGTTGTTGATGGCACTGGAGTTGCTGGCACTGGTTGGGCCTGGTTTGATTCCTGGAATGACAGGCTGTGTTGTAGGATCGAGTTTGACGCGCTTGTGTAAAAGTTCCGACTTGGCATCTGAAGGTGTTGGATTCTGAGGAATCGCTGGCTGCACACCTTCAATGGCCAACCAATGCGCTAAAGGGATAGTAAACGTATAATAAAGTCATGAGTAATTGACGCCTATTATTCTGTCTCCTGAGACCGGAATAAAAAAGCACTTTTTCCGCTGATGGATGAGTATCATACCGGTGTAGGTAACGTCAAGTGGGACTTTGGGAAGAGGTGCGCTGAGGATTGTTTCGAAATCGAGCTCTTCGTCCTCAACGAAAAAGATCTCGCTAGTGCCAGTAGCCCCTGTTCCTGCGGTGGTTCTCCTGAATCGCGTTGGGTCCGCAGAGCTGAATCCATACAGTGGCTACATTCACAGCATAGATAGGTAATAATGCTTAGTAAACTCATATAAGATACTTCATGCAGCAAACACGAAACTGTAGATGATTATGATCCTTACTTCGACATTTCTGACGCGTAGGGCATTGTTGATATCGTCCACTGTGAGTTTGGTCCTTTTGCCGTGGCGCATAAACTTCATGGCTTCCTGAACAATCTCATGGATGCGATATTCAACATCCTGAGCGAGCGATACGGCAACATCATCCTTGAGGTTTGGGATGCCGACCGACTCTGCAATGTCCTACAACGTTTCATCGATCGTTTTCAAGGGTCAATAAGCAAAGTCCATTCGTTTCCTGACTAAGGACGGCTGTATTCCATGAAGCTACATAGGTAAGGCGTTTTATGTCGGCGTACTTTGATCGTTGATGCTGGAAACGTGCTCATCGCGCTGGTCCTGAAGTTAATGAAGGTTAGGCGGAGGGAGGGTGTTCAGAACAAAAAGAAGCGTTTCTGTGACAGTGATCTTGTTTTTCATTCAAGAGTGTGTGTGCGCTTCATTTTGGCGGCAAAAAAAGACCTCCGTATCCACCAAGTATCCACGCGACAACAGTAGGCAATGGAGCCAGACAAGAAAGAGGACAACCAGCCAGAGGCAGCACAGGAGGCAACAGAGACAGGATCTGCTTCAACGATTCCATCTGAGATGTAGGTCGTAAGGCTCATCAGTGATTCAGCGCAAATTGAAGCAACGTCGACTGGACCTCGGAGCTCATATCTCAATTTACCTAAACGATGCCGCCTAGGTCTACCATGGTCTCGCTTCTTGCAAGCAGCGTTCAGGGGATGCAGGGCTCACTTGGAAATGCCTATCAGGTATACAGTTAATTGGCGCCAACTGACTATCGCTCAATGACCATACCCTAGCCGCTCATGACAACTCTCAATCATATTCCTCTTAACCAACTAGTCGATGGCCAACCAGCTCAAACAGAGCATGGAGATGACACAGACGATGAGTAGCATGATGGAGCTGTTTCTCGTCAGCAGTTTGAGTATATGTGAGTAAACAATGCCATTTACATCTGCGGAACATTTTGCTCTTCTTCGTCGTGTCCTGACTTTTGCCGTCCCTTCTTTATCTATAGGCTCCAGTGTCGAGCGCGATGATCGAACGGACAAGCCATTGCTTGTTCTCACGACCGAGAACAAAAGCCAATTTCCTATTCCCGCTATCACAGGAAAGATAAGGATAGGCAAAGACAACAACGAAGAGAGAAAGTTCGAAGTCTCGCATAACTCGCGCGCAATACTCCTCTCCAGCAATATGTCGACCATAAAGAGGTATTTTACTAAAGAATGTTCCCATCCTCAGCGATGGAAAGAAGTTTTTAGAATTTTCAAAGAACATTCATTTATGTTTGCCTCTTTCAAATATTTGTAGGGGACGAAAAGAATCGAAGGCAATGCCGGACACAATCTACCGCCAACCTCATGAACCAACATCAGAGGAACCACCACAGCCTTCATCTATACCATCATCGAACATTCTTCTGCCAGGAATGAGATATGTGGATGTATTTGAATTGAATTTGGAGAACTTTGACGAATGGATTATCTTGGTCGAGGCAAGCTTCAGGAGCCCAGGAACGGGCAAGCAATTGTTCAAGAAGCATGAGTGCTGCGTGTATCTTATCGATCAGGTATGGCTTCATACGTTTATTTTTGTCCGCATGAATATCCCATGAGGCATAGCAGAAATTGATACTCATGATTTTTACGATGCATATCTCTGGGCATTATGTCACTAGTGCGCTATTGAATGGAAATCTGACGAGGAAACCACGGAGCCAGTTTCTGGTCATATTGTCCGAATGACGACTACGTCTCTTCGACAGATCCTGAAGGTCCCCGCAACCAAAGGCATCAAAGTTGGAATGGGATTATCTTTGAGCCCATTACAGGTAAATATCTGTTGCTTGACTCCCTCTATTGGACTTTGTTCGTCTTCAGCTCCTCTTCATCACAAGTACTAACATGGTTTGAACGCGTTAGGGCAAGCACAAAATACAGGGTTCTGTGAGCGCGATATCGGAAGATAATCAGGAAACAGATCTGTCACTTTGCTGCGAGGAGACCATGGATGGAGCTTCCTATATTCTGGAGCGCATCTGCATGGAGCTCAATGCCTTGGGCGAAGTCCAGAACCACGCTCGCCAAAATATCTCTGTTTAATGCCCCTTAATGTATCAAGTTTAGGCTCCTGCCCCGTTCAAACCAACACCGCGCCCATTCTGCACGTCTTCGCATTCAATCCTTTTATGACAGACATCGGGCCTCATTCATGCTTCCTAGAGCTCAACATTCATTGCGTCTCGCTCGATCTCTCATCCACTAGGCAGCTTTTTACTTCACCTTTTATCTTATTCAATTTGTACAATATAAAACAACGGCTATATCATGCAATCTCAAGGCCCACATGAAGGACTTCCTGGTCTTAACAGGTACTATGTCAGGCCAGCTGCCGGCTCTGAATAACGGTGACGAACAGAGCTTGGTCGGACATGCTCATGAAAGAAGCTTCTATTATCCCTGATTTTTGAAGTGTTGCTAACTGCTTGGCATTCTGTTTGGCTATACTGTCGCATGGATGAATAATAGTTTTCAGAGCTTCCTGGACAGATTCCCGGCACCCCTGCATCCAGATTTGTTTAATGAGCCCACAGGATATGAAAAGGCGCTGCAGGAGGTCAAACAATACGAGGACTTCACGACAATAGGTACTGGTGTCATTGAGTACACGCGTCTCAACTGCCGCCTCGCGATGCAATATCTTTCTATGGCTAACAAATATATCATTTTGAATTACATGATCTCATTAGATTGGGTCCAGGATGCAGTTCGGGAACGATATCGGCAAACGACAAAGATATCAGAGGGGAATAATTCGTGGACATCTTATCTTTACGAATCTTACGAGGCTGGACAGGCTTGGGTGGTCGTTTCCCTTGTTGGTACGGACTTGTAATGTTCTGCGCGACTATTACTGAGAACTGGGTAGCATGGTTGAAGACTAGGTGCCGCCATTGCACGCATTCTTACGCGACAACTGTCTTTTGATACCTACTAGGAGTGGTCATTGGTCTGAATGCGGCATTTATTGCGATCTGCACAGAGTGGCTTTCGGATATCAAACTGGGACACTGCAGCTATGCCTGGTGGTTGAATCAAAAGTTCTGCTGTTGGGGCGTCGAATCAGAAGGTAATTGCTTTACTCAAGCAATGAGTACAAAGGGCATGCGTTTCGCGGGGTACATTGTGTATACTAAAATCAGCCTTTTCCTTCTTCGTTTCAATTGCGCATAGATGGATACTGTGAAGACTGGAGCGCGTGGAGCGGGTTTGCTATCATCGATTACGTCTTCTATCTCGTCTTCGCAGTACGTGCCGCATGTTCGTCCACAAACTGCTTCCTACACATCGACGGCATGTACCTAACTGGATATCTCTAATCGCGCGATAGACCTCGTTCGCAGCCTCTGCTGCTTTCCTCGTCAAACGGTACGCTCGTTATGCCGCAGGATCGGGTATTTCAGAGATCAAATGCATTCTAGGTAACGCATCAGACGGACCCATTGCGAGTTCAAACTATGACTCGGCGGACTAAACTTCTGAACTGACACGGCTGCTCCTCCTACGCTGTTTGCCTTCATAGCTGGGTTCATCATGAAGGGATATCTGGGAGGCTGGACGCTCATCATTAAGAGTCTGGGGCTCGCTATGTCAGTGGCTGCAAATCTGAGTGTCGGAAAGGAGGGACCATCGATCCACATTGCGTGTTGTGCAGGACATGTCGTTTCACGACTGTTTCCAAAGTATCAGAGGAGCCGCGCTAAATCAAGAGAGATTATCTCTGCGTCGGCTGCAGCTGGAGTCGCTGTTGCGTTCGGAGCACCCATCGGAGGCGTTCTCTTCTCCTTTGAGGTACCTTGCGGATTTTGTTTTGGCACAACTTTGCTCCGCTGTTCTTATTTTAAAAAAATTAACGCATGAATTGTTTATTGAATATTAGGAAATGAGTAACCACTTTCCAGCAAAGACCATGTGGAGGAGTTTCTTTTGTGCGTTGGTTGCGACAGCGACACTTCAAACAATGAACCCATATCGCACGGGCAAGCTGGTCATGTTCCAGGTTTCGTATGACAGGGATTGGCACTTTTTCGAAATTATCTTTTTTGTTCTCCTCGGCACCTTTGGGGTACGTTGTTGCATACATGACTTGTGATGTTCTGGACGATGTGAAAAGTTAGGACGCTCAGTAACACTATTGTTGTTTCTTTTTCTCTTTTACTGGTCATATAGGGATTATATGGAGCGATGATCATTAAGTACAATCTCAAGGTGCAGCAAGTCAGGAAACGATATCTTGCCGACTACGGAGTGATTGAGGCTGCAAGTTTGGCGTTCTTGACCTGCACATTCGCTTACTGGAACATCTTTATGAAAATCGATATGGCAGAGTCGATGAACATTCTTTTCCGTGAGTGCGAGGGATCAGAGGATTACATGGGACTTTGCAAGCCAGAAAACACATGGAAGATGGTTGCGCTTTTGTTCTTTGCCCTTGTCATGCGTGTCGTCACATGTACCATTTCCTATGGCGCCAAGGTCCCTGCAGGAATTTTTGTCCCGTCCATGGCAATCGGAGCTTTGTTTGGGCGAATGCTTGGATTGATTGTCAGAGCGGCTCAAGTAGCATACCCAGGATTCTTTTTGTTCTCGAGCTGCAAGCCGGATGTGCCATGCATCACACCTGGCACGTATGCTTTTTTGGGCGCGGCAGCAGCACTGGGAGGTGTTATGCGGTTGACCGTTTGCGTGGTTGTAATCATGTTCGAATTGACCGGTGCCCTGAACTATATCCTACCTACAATGATCACGCTGATGGTGACCAAGACTGTGGGCGATTACTTTGGAAGAGGAGGTATCGCAGATCGGTACATTCGGTTGAACGGATACCCGTTTCTGGACAAGGAAGAGCATATCTTTGGCATTGCAGTCGGACAAGTGATGCAGAAGGACGTCACAGTCTTGCCTGCGTCGGGTACTCGTCTGGACCGTGTTGAAAGGCTGCTGGCGGACACCAACTATCAAGGATTCCCGGTCGTGGAGGACTCAACCTCACGAACATTGATTGGATACATTGGACGGTCCGAGCTTCGATATGTGATCGACAAGGCCAAACGAACCCGGAACGTCTCTCCGATGGCGCATTGCTTTTTCCGGCCTGGAAGCATGGAGTCACGGCAGCATATGGACCAGAGCACTGTGAGCGGGATGGGCGGTTTGGATCAAGATGTGGCGTCCTCGATGCGACCCAGGAGCTTTCATTCTGGAGGCAATATGGACTCTGCAGGAGGCGTTGGTACCGGGGAGAGAAGCGAGAGCGAGACCAACTATGTGGACTTTGGGCCATTCATTGACCAGACGCCGATTGCTGTACACCCAAAACTGCCTCTGGAGACCGTTATGGAGTTCTTCAAGAAGATGGGGCCTCGCGTGATCCTGATCGAGCACCAGGGCAAGCTTGTTGGACTGATCACGATCAAGGATCTCTTGAAGTACATCACAAGGACCGAGGCATTGGACGAAGAGGAGGATGAGATGGAGGTCCCTGGTGGAGGATATCGCAGAAGCGAGGGGGACTCGGACTGGTCGCCGAGACAATGGTGGTCGTCAGGAAATAACCAGCGACAGGATCAGCATGCAAATGGACACGGATACGGTAATGGTCACAGTCCTAGCTTTGGTCATGAAGGTATGCGTGGAGGCAGCCTTGGCGGTGGGCATAATCGAGGAGTTCCATCATCAGCTGGATCTTTATCGGGTTATGGCAAGCCTGGGGCTGGACAGTACGCACCAAAGACGGCGATTAATCGGCCGGGACGAAGCCCGAGTGTTGGAGGCACGACTCTTGCCAGCTCTATAGGATCGTTCAGAGATAGGATCGAGCTGGTAGAGGGCTCGCAGCAACAGCAGCAGCAGCATTTGTTAGATGACCACGATGTGTTGTTTGATCATAGCGGGTATTTAGATGGCGATGATCTTGATGACCAGGACGAAGACGAGGTTCAATTGCCTAGGCATGGTTAAGAGTTTGTCGATAATAATAATATTAATAAAGCAAAAGATGTGCGACTATTTCTATCAAAACTCATCTGTAATGTTTGAAAAAGAAGCAAAGCTGTACGACATTAAGCTGATGTATTAGCTGCTTATTTCTTCTCTGAAGAAACAAAATGGCTGAACACAAGGGGCTACCAAGAAATATGGAGAGGAGCCTTCCTGCATGCTGTCATCGATACCATGGCAACAACAATGAAAAAAAAAAAAAAAAAAAAAAAAAAGGTCTAAAACAAAGGGGCATGTTACTCTGAGAAAAAAGCAACGAGATAGGAATCGACAACGACAACGACAACCCAAACGGCAACAGATAACATAGATAGCTCAGATAACGACAATTGTAAATGAACACTCGATCTGCAGTTTTCATTGTTCTCGCGTGGAGATCTGCACATGCTCCCTCCCTCCCTGTGATTGCACCTATCAGACTACATTCTTCAGCTTCTGCATGTTTCGCGTTTTATAGGTCCTCTGTGCTACACTTTTTTTTAAAGGGTGGTCCGTGTACATAACCTCCCCCCGTCCTCATTCGCCATCTTCCATCTTTCATCTATCATGGAATGCTGCCTAAGAGCTTTAATCTTGCAGTTTCCACAGGCGAAAACAATTAGCGTGGACGTATGTTGATAACAAAGGCGAAGGAGGGAGGGGAAGGAGGGGCATACTTTAGCATGACATTTTAGCGTAAAAAGTAACAAAGAGAGAACGAGAGAGAGGGAGAAGCGGGACTAGTGGAAGGGTGCGTGGGAGAGGAAGCAGGGAGATGCAATCAGATAGCTCGAACTCCCCTTAGTAATCGAGTCCCATATCTCTTTATCCGCTGATGAAGGGCCGCTCGTGGAAATCGGATCAGTTCTCAGGCAGAGTTGGTCGATCAACAGGGCATGGTTCAGGGTCTGCCGGTAGCTTTGTGAACGGAATAAGGTCTCCCGGAGACCATGTTCCGTGTTCCTTCGGTTATCCACATCCAGTCCTTAAAGATGGCGATCCCTTTTGGCTTCTCCCCCCACCTCCTTCTTCTATATCCTTTCCCCTCCCCTTATTTCCTTCTTGCAGTCCTTTACAAGGCTTACTATCGCTGTGATCCTTATAGAGCAACGCTGATCATCTTTATTCCCTCATATTCGTACATGTGCTTTAGGGGCCCATAATCTTATATTGCCCCGGTGGATCTACAGTCATTGACATGAAAATCTAGGCCATCTGGGCAGTGAATGAACAATCGATATCTGGGAGTAAAGTGACGAGGTCTAAGCATGTCACATAACGTGGATCCACAATAGATTGGGTCGGACCATGGTGCGTGCTCATATTTTATATGGAACTCCATCGTCCGCTCTAATGTATTTTTTTTTTCCGATGCAAGGGCTCCTTCTACCGGTCCGTAGAAAGATGATGTGTGTTAATTGAGCTGCGTTGTGTTCGTATACTAGACTATTTGTAGCCGTAAGGATTTCTAGATGATTCTGCATGCCCCCTGTTCTTACCCCGATTGAAGATAATCGCCGCTCTTTTCCCACATGCTGCCATGCTGCCGTTCGCGTTGAAATTAAGAATTCATTTTTTCAAACAGCCAGGGTTGTGGATATGTGTGTGTGGATATTATGCGCTGGAAGAAGTCATGTGGATGTAGACGTATTGAATGTCGAGCATGAACATTCGCTCATTGTCCATAGACCCAACAAACAGGACAATAAGTGTAGTTTCTTCTGGGCAGCATGGTCCAAGGATTGGGGAGGGGAAAGGAGCGGGAGAAGGGAGGTGGGGTGATGATGGTACCTGTATTTTTCAATAAGGCGCACCTTTCCTTTCAGAAACTAGGCTGGTTTTTTTTGTACTCTGCAAGCGTCCCCTAACAGACCTGAAAGTCGGGATTCGCAGCCGTATAAATCCCCTCGCCTTCCTTCCCCTCACTCGACTATTCCTAACACCCTCGGCTTCAGCTACCAACTCTACTCGCCAGACACCTTCCTCTTCATCGCTTCTCTCTTCTTCGCAGACCGCTAGCTGCCCTGGAGTGCATTTCTCAAGACAGTCGATCACCCCGGATATTCAAGAAACGCGCTTTTGATTTCACCTTTACTGAGCAAGAGAAGCAACTCCTTCAAAACCTACGAACATTCGAGCCTGAACCTACGGTCCTCCCTCTATTTCAGCACACCGCATCTCCTTTCTATAAAAAAAAAAACAAGCAAAAACCATGCTTCTCTCCCCGATCTCGACAAGCAACCCTCTTCTGCCCCTTCCAGGTAAGATATATAGAACAAAAAGAAACAACCAAGCATAATGTATGTGTTTCGTGCCATTGGTTCATTTCCCACTAGTCCGTTTTTCTTTCCAACAATGTGAGTAAAAGGGAGAGTGTGAAAGAGGAGAGATAGTGAAGGTGTATGTGAGTGGATGCGTTCGAGAAGACTACAATGGGCGAGGCTGACTGGCTGGTTGGCTTTGTGTAGGAGGAAGGGGAGGGGACCTTAGAGTTATCGAGAGTGCACTACTCGCTTTGTTTCACAACATAATGGATGATCATCATCCTTGGGCCGACAGGAAGCAACATGCATGTGTGCATTTATTATATATGGGTTTATGGACAATGAACATCACCGCCATCCTAGTCTGCTCTTTATGCCTTTGTGCCTTTGTGCCTCTTGTTTCCTTCTCTCAGATATGTATGTGGAGTCCAGAAGAAAGCTTCATTTCTAGGGAGTTTTATCAGATGGTGGTAGCATTGTCCACAGTGAATGAATGACATGCAAACCAAGAAAAAAGAGGCATTTTTGTTATTGAACATCTTCAATGAAAACCCGGATCATCATGAGGCTGTGAGTGTCTAGTCATAGCCCTGTGTCAGTTGTGTTTGGGCCCTGTCCTGAAACCACGCACATTGGCTACCAAAATGTCGTATCCAGTTAGATAGAAGGCAGTGGGCATAGACTGGTCAGTGGCTTCATGAGCGAACGAGGGAAATTTGGGCGCAATGAGTGAGCTCTGGACATTGACCCGGGTGTCTGCGGTTTCTTTGATTGATACAATTTTTCCAAGAGTGTTCCAGCCATCCCTCTCATCTCCCTTCCAACCCATTCACTTATTCGACTTTGTGCAAAGGTACTAAAGTCGGAATGATGTAATTGTAGCGGGGTATGTTGCACAAATGGGCAAACACAACATAGACTCAATAGGGCTTAGTGTGGCGAGCTTGTTCCTACAAAACTATCGTGGTCATAATCATATCATATCTCTCAGCATTGAAACCATAATGGATGGAGTGTCCCATCGTCCTCATTTTTCTCACACTCTCCCAGGCAGCTCCCCTCCCCCTGCAGTGTACCTTGCAGAGGGGGGTTAGAATGCATATCCTGCCCTCATTTTCAATGCATTTCCAATCCCTCCACGTTTTGGGTGTACAAGGACGATATAGAACACGCTGTCATGATTATGAGAATGAGAATCCGACCGTTCGCTTTGATCGCTCTTTTTCCCATGCGTTTCTCATTGTTCCCTGCTTATTGGATGAGCTGCTAGCGTGAGAAGAGGAAATAGTACCTGGTCTGGTCTGGTTCTGGTCTGTGTGTTTGCATTGAGCATGCATTTGCAATTAGAGAAATGACTAGGAAGCCTCCTCCTTCCCCTCTCCCACGAATCAACATCGTTGCTTTACCAACCATACCCGCAAATGTTTGCATGCAATGATGGATGCGAGGGAGCCGGTGATCCTTGGTCACTTCCTTTTTTGATAAAAAAAGTACAAAAGCGTATCTCTAACTTCCTTTTCTTCTCTACCCTTGTCCTTCACGCTTCTTTCTTCATTACTTCCCCGCACCTCTTTGCTGGCCAATCTTGCGTCCCATTCTGCTATCCACATCTTCCTCCTCTTTTTCGGACACATATCCGCCATGACATTCCTGCACACTTCCCTGTGGACGTCCACCCATCCACATTCGAACCCATCCTCGGTGTCCTCGTCCCCCCTCTCTCTTCTCACGCCCCTAATGATGACAGGCTGCAAGGTTCCCTCCATCAAGTTGCCTGGCAAGTCCAATTCGACCTCGGTTGTTCGTCCAAAGTTCACGACCCGATCCACCTCCACATCGTCGATACCCCGGATGACCACAAGCATGCAAATCCAAATCCCAAAGAGTCTCAAGGAGCCCTCATCGGCTGCCATCAACATCCCCTCGCCACCATTGACCCCTCATATGGGTCGTCATCTTCAAGTCGACGACGAAGACGACGATCAAGAGCCAAATGATCATATCTTCTCATCAAGATTTCATAAACGTCTCGATGAGGACGAGAAGGACTTGTCGCTGATGATGCGTCAGTCCAGCTCGGCACCCTCGGCCATGTCCCCTCTCCAAATGCGATCCGCATCCAATGTGCCCGTGGGCTTCACTTTCTCGAGCAATCTGTTGTCGCCGACACAGGCCAAAGAGGAGCGTGAGAGCTACGACGTGTTTGTGAACACGATGGAGGAAGATTATTGGAAGAGTGTGTCGACGATCCGTACGACTTACTTTTTCGACGGCATCGGTCGCGGTGGTGGATTCTTAGCGGTAAGAGTCTGCACAGAGAAACAAATTTCCTTTGGCATGCATCAGCACAGCCTTTCTCCTCCCCCTCCTCCTCCTCCTCCTTCCTGACGTGACAGACATTCTCACCCCTCTTTTCTCATAATGTCCCCTATGCACAGTGACTAATTGATCCTCTTTTATTTTATTTTTGTCTTGTTGGCCCCTCCCAATAACGCACAATAGATCCCTCATCTGGCCTCGCATGGCAACGCCAAGACGAATGTAATCTGCCGGCTGCTCGAGGCATGGCTGACTAAGAAGTTGGTCGAGCCCACCATCTCGGACTCGATTCCCGTGCTTGAAGACAACATCCAGAGTTCTGTCCAGTCGATCGAGCAACATCTGCGCCAAGACCCTAAAGTCTGGTCCGGTATCTCCAAAAGCTTCATTCGCATCCGGTGCGGACATGTCTTCATGCTCAGCACCTGTTGCGATGACGAGACCATTGTCCACCTAGGAGCAGATGAGTTTTATCAAGATGTAAGTTTGTCTGTGTCCATGTTTTGTTCTTTTGGATTAGTCCTATCGACATGAGGAACTTTCTCCCAAGTATCCATTCATTCATTGATCAAGAGCGATAACTAATTGAATGCTCCTTGCTTTCTTATTTTTCCGATATAATAGTACCCGCTATTTGTTGATGTCGAGATCAAGATGCATTGCGATTCAAACCACCTTCCTAAGGAACACTCGACCGAGGTGTTGATCGCGTTCCAAAATGTTGTCAACCGCACCAAGACTAAGGAAGAAGAGAAGCCCTATGTTCATCACGCGGTCATCCATCAGGATGTTATGTCCAAGCGCCGACAATCCCAGGGATTTAATACGATTGCTTAACACCCCGCCCACTTAGTTCTTGCACACAGATCGCTATAAGGATAACAGAATCAAGCATTTCTTGCGGTTTCTTTTTTTTTTTCTAATTGTCTATATTTCCGGTCTTGCATTGTAATATGCTAATACACCCAGCATCTTTACATCTCATAACCACTTCGCTCATCCATCTTCTCGACAGCGACAGCAATGTTTCGCTGAGAAGGCAGAGAGAGAGAAAAAAGAAAAAAGGAGAGAAAGTATGCTTTTCTTTTGGCTTTTTGCACTCTGGCTAGTGCATGCGTCCACCCCCCCCCCCCCCCCCCCCCTCCATTGTACACATCTGTAATCATAGTAACCCCAAAATCAATAAAGAAACCAAATTGAAACCAACAACAAAAAAAAAAAGAAAAAAAGATCGCATTCAGCAAATGAAATAACAAATTTTTGTAAACCACAGATGACTTAGCTCAATTTCCATCGAGGAAAAGAGATGGGTTGATAGGTCGAGATAGACGAATAAAAAGTTGAGAAAGTGGTAGGTGATGACTATTCGACAAGGCAGAAGCGAGAACGGCGAATGATAAGGAAGACATTTGAAGGATTGGTTGGAGCGGACGCGAAAAGTTACCCTTTGTCCCCAAAATGTTTGCATAGAAACACACATCAAACTAAGCTCCTGAAGGTGAACGTGGGTATAATGAGATTGGGACGAAGGCGCGTAAAATGCTTGCACAGAGACACACCCTCCTGAAAGTGTAGGTCGGGAAGGTCAGGGTGAGACGTTGGCTCCGGGATGTGAGCCATGAACTTCCTCTCTAGCGATCGACTTCTACACCCATTCGTTGCGAACTCAAGATATCCCCGGCATTCAAGCCGGAATAAAAACAGACGCCTGTTAGGCTACGGAATTGATTGTGTAAGAACCTTCAGCAAGATGGAGCAGGGTGACGAGCGGCTGTATAAAACAATGTATGATGAGTCTTAAGGACAAGTCGAAAGATTTTTTTATATGAAAATAAAACATCGCTTCTGTTGTGCTACCGTGGACTTAAATAGAACTGCTCTCACAGTGTGATAGCTGACATGTAGCACACGCACTTGGTCTATTCGGACCTGGACGCAAAGTCATGATCTCAGAGTATAAGCACAAACTCTGCAGGGAGGGGGGGTCAAATCCCTTGTTGATAATTTCGTCCGCACGGTGGACTGTAATGTATTAATGTGAACTAGCAATTTCGAGTGCGGTAGCAAGGATGTGGATGAAAAAAGTAAGGAATGAGGTATGGGTCATTATCGGGTGAACTACACGCCTTTTTGCTTAAGTGAACCTTTGCTGTAATATCCTTAAAGAACGCGCCTTTTTTAATATTGAACTCAGGCTTCTCCAAGGTCGACAAAAGATCGAATGAAGGCACTGATGGAACAACTGTGGTTCTACTTGAACAAAAGCTCCTTCAACTGCTCAAACGCCTTGCAAACAGCATCTATAATATTGGTTGATAGTACTCTTCATATCAAATTGCCCACCTCTCTCTCTCCTATTCGCCTCCAAAACACATTCCTATACTATCTTAACACGATCTTCAATAACATGTCACCTCAGCACCCTTTCAACAACATGTCACCTCAACACCCTTTTAGTAACACGCAGTCTCAACACAATGGAAATAACATGCCATCGGAACAGATAATGAATACACATTCGATTTCAAGAGCCAGAGCTTCAGGTCTTCAATACGATACCAACAACTACCGCCCTCCAGTGCAACTCCCTCCTTTCCCGGGTCAATGGCCAGTCACTAGCAACAACGGATCAACGGAACCATCGTCCGCAGCATCCTTTCATCCGCGGTTAGACCATTCGATAGGGTCAACAGACCTTGCGGGCTACGGCATCAATTTTCTTGGGGCCATCGTAAGTGTATTGGAGGAGACATGCAGTGATCCAGATTACGTACCGCACCTTCGTTGAGTAGCTAAGACTTACAATCTCAATCAACACTTTATAGATGCGAGCAGAGTCTGAGTTGCTTCAACAAATTCAGGAAGTGCGCAGTGGCTCAAAAGAAATTACCGAAGTGAACCCAGCCGTTTTCGAAAGAGTGATGGAGCTTTATGAAGAAGCGACTGCCCTCCGAAAGTTGGAAATTGCAGCTCTGGATCTCGAGATTGCAAATGGGAAGAATATGATTGCACAATCGATGCTAAACGAGGAAGGCTTGTTATGGTACCAAGGCAGAGTGTTTGAAATGATACTTCAGAAAGAGGTAAAAAAAAGGCGTGCTTCAGTGATTCTGTTGATTTTGTCCGATACCACAAGCGCTAACCACTACACCCTTTGCTTCCATGTCGTTTATTAGTCGCTAGAAAAGAAGATTGAGTCTCAAGAACTTGTAATGAGGAACCTGAGAGTGTTTATTACGCTTACAGTTGAAAAATTAAGCCCCAGTCTACTAACTAGAGCCTGAAGAGGGTCCATTACGCCGTATTTTAGGAGCTCATGAAACCAGAAAAGGTGTCCCAAGCATTATCCTTTGCATTAGAATTCTGAATAAAAGCGACTTTTCTCATTAGTGCAGTGCTCTTGGAGTTCTTTAGACTCGTATGCAATGGGCGACTAATCGTCATGTAAGTGGTCTATGCAATGATCCGCCGTGCGAGTAAATCGCACTATGCGCTGCTGTGCTCTGCTATTCTACTCTGTGTTGCTCTAAGCTGCATTGTATTACAGTGTTTTTCTTTCTATTGGAAGATGAAACGAGAAGACAATATCTGGGGAGATACTCAGCAATGGTAATAGTTGATCGCGTCTTGAACGGGAGCAATGAAAAAAAAACGCGTTTTTCAAACTTTATTTACCCATATGTGATCGTGTTCAAGAGTGCTTGTCATGCATGTACGGCGCAGCATAACACAACACAGCATAGCACAGCACAGCACAGCGTAGTACAGCACAGTGTTATGGAGGTTAGTGCTGCCTAGCTAATGTTATCTTTTACGATAACCGACCATATTATTAGTGGTACTCCTGCGCGTCTAGGGAGATCTGGCGCCAATAAAAGAAAAAGCCGGTCATACGCTCAAGTTTTTTTTTTTTTGCGTGCAAGCCGGGTAAAGGTCAACTCTGCTTTAATGTTGCTCTTGGATAGTGTGATATGCATGTGGCCCACGAACACGCCCACGGTATCTTCTTTTTTTGTAACGTTATACCGGCTGTTGCGGCCATGGTAGTAAAGAAGAAAGCCTTCAAGAAATTGTTCTCATCTCTTCCCCGCCTTATATTGTGAGGTGTTATTTTGAGCGTCAAGGCAATAAACCTTCGATGGGCGATCGTGATTACGATGGTGATTGCAAAGGTGAGAGCCCTCTGAATTGGGCAGGGAAGAAGCCATGATTGGGGGGTTTTTTTTGATGGTAGGGTAAATTCGGTGTCCGGCGCCCATGCGGGACAGGGATGGGCGAGAGCAAAACTCCCATGTCTGGACGTGTATTAGAACATTGAGAAGACGGAGCCTTCGACCTGGTACTAAAGAGGGAGGAGGAGCCAAAAAAAAAAAAAAAAAAGTGGAGTAGTAGAGATGGGGTCTGGTTCATATGAGCAAAGTAGGGATGAGCTGAGATAGGTTCAAGCGCTTCGTGGAGCCCGTGTGCTGTCGATGCTCATCGCTCAAATGAGGGCACGGGGCACAAAAGGGAGCCGCTTACACCATCGCGGGCTGGAAAAGGGGTTTGATGGCATACAGTGCCTCTTTACTTGTCTTCACTCCCCCACACCGCTTCTCCAGTCGACTTTCCTCATTCCTTTTCTGAGATTCACCCAATGGGAACTTCTTTTCGGCCTTTTGATCTAATCTTGTCTTCTCCTTGCTCTCATCACTTTCTCTCTGTCTCTCTTGCTTCCACCATACACACACTGTGCTCTTCTTTCTGAGCTCTTTCACAGAAACAGAACTCAGTCTACCCCCTTTTGCACACCCCACTTCAACCTCACACCTTTATTTTGTTTGTTTGTTTGTTTGTTGCACACTCCTGACGCTTTTTTTTTTCTTCTGCTGCATCCTTCAACTCCACCTTGTCTTTTTGTTCGTCTACTTGTACGCCTATTACCCCTCCACCCAATTCTTCTTCTATACTTTTTTGTTCAATTCTTTTCCTCCTCACTCCTCACTCCTCACTCCTCACTCCTCACTCAAAGCTGCCTTTCCTTGCCCCGTATCTATTGACCCAGAGGATGAGCGCCACTCCAAGTCACACTCTTCCCCAGGGTGTTACATCCCCCCACAGCCTTACGGCCAATGGTCACACCTTTGCATCACCTGGACCAGCACCAGTAACAACAACAACCGCAACAGGAGCAGTAACAGCAGGAGGGAGCAATGCTATCAGCACATCACCCATTCCGCACATTCGAATTGTACCGCACCTTGATGCACCGCGGTCACTCCACTTTGAGGTCGTCGACAAGGATGTGCCCGAGGGGTTCGTGCTCAAGATTGGTCGCTTCACAGATAAGCAATCCCTTCCCAACAGGGTTACCTTCAAGTCCAAGGTCGTTTCTCGTGGACATGCAGAGATCTTCACAGAGCAGGGGAAGGTACGCAAAAACGCAAACCGGCTTTCAATTCGGTGCTGTTCGGACTCTCCCCGCCTCCCCCAGTCCAGTCAAACATGCCTTATGAATGGGCAGAAACCCTCGGATAAAGAAGGAAGTAATTGAATAGTATGCAGCGAGACATACGCACAATCCTGCGTTTGGATCGACGTTATTTTCATTTTTTCTTTCATCATATTGATGCAGCGTAAAAAAAATGAGAAGTGATAATAGGGTCGCGGTTGCATACTTTTTATTTTTATTTTTTTTTGTTATGGTGGCCGGTAGTAGTTGGGTAGGTTCCTTCCCGTCCTTGCGCAAGCGCAAAGGAATTCTTTTCGATTTTGAATCCAGGACAACGTTTCCCGACAAAGCACATCATACCTTGACACTACTCTGGAATACAACAAGGCGGAATTTTCATTACCAACTTTTTTTTATCCTCCCCAAGAATATCGTTTTTTTTTTTTTTTGACTGTCGAACAGACAACAGGAGGGAAGATTGTCTTGTCAGAGTCAGAGTTAGATTCAGGGCTAAGGACGATCTTTGGTCTCCCCATTTTTTCAATGTCACCGCACGCTTCCCAAACGTTATTCCTTCTGTGTGCATGTGCATGTGTATGTGTATGTGTATGTATTATTTTTGAACTTTCTTTCTTCTTGAAAGCGATATGGTGTATGGGGGAGGGGATAATACTTCAGCAGAGTGCCGAGTGGAGAAGGTTTTCTTGATTTATGGCATAGAGCTCAACTGTGGAGCCGATGACGATGATGCTGCCGACTGTTAACCCCGCACACCTTATTTCTTTCCTTTAGTTTTATATCCGGGATACAAAGTCATCGTCTGGAACGTTTCTAAACCATGCTCGACTTTCTCCGCCTGGCGTGGAGTCGAAGCCGACGCAGCTCAAGGATGGAGATGTAGTCCAGTTAGGCGTGGATTACCAAGGAGGCACACAAGGTTAGTCTAACAGCACTGTCTATCAGTGGATCTTCTCACTGGACAAAGAACCGCCGGCGTATACACTACAGAGAGACTCCTTCAGGACCTCATTTCAATGGGGCTAGCCAGGCACCACGGAGTGGACATTAAATCAGGATGCAGGAGTCTAAGCATGGCAAATGACGAAGATGACTAGATCTTTTTCATTCCTTGCAGCCACATGGATATTTAAGGAGACTAGTGCCTCTTAGCAATACAAAAAAGGGGGAAATGACAGGGATAGGAAGCGCCATGGCACCATGGCGCCGTGATTTCTTCGATATCTTGGCTCTGCCGCTAACATGCATATCTTTTCCCCTTCGCTGTACGGTTCATATCGAGTACAGAGATCTACCGCTGTGTCAAGATGCGTCTTGAACTGAATCGATCGTGGCAACAGCAAGCAAATCCATTTAGGTACTTAAAAAAATACTTGCAAATGGGTATCTTTTAACCAAAGTCGTAGTCTATGCTTAAAGGTGATTTCTGTGCTAACGGACCCATGGTATTCCCATTACGAATAGAATGAATACATTGAAGGCCATTCGATCGCTGACGACGGCCAACGCTGCGAGCTCGACAGACTGCTGCATCTGCTTGTTCAGGATCGCATCGTTCCAGTCACTTTTTGTGGCGCCTTGCTCGCACGTCTACCATTACAAATGTATCCGCCCATTGCTGATGGCCAACCACCCCGGCTTCCTGTGCCCGCTTTGCCGGACGTTCGCGGATCTCGAGGACACCGTCGAGATCGATGATCCGGTCGAGGAGGAAATACCTGCAGAAGGTAGTTGTTGAGACCATTTGGATCGGCATTGTATTTTTAGAGAAACAGCAAAAAAGCAACGACAGCAGCAGCAACAACAAAACAATGAGAACACAAAAAAAAATCCCCCCAGCTGTATTTCCACTCACCAAGAGCGCTATGGTTTATAAGGTTGCCCAGTGATTGACTGTGCTTCGTTTTTTTTTTTTCTTCTTGATGAACAAACAGATGTTGCCGCTGCAATCGAGAAGGCGAATCAAGAACGAGCGCAAGAGACTCCTTTGGAGCAGATGCAGGAAGACCCAGCTGAACAGGAGACACACTCAACAGAGATACTAGCCGAGGAGGCATATGCGCCAACACCGCCGTCGGAACAGGCACACACATTCCAGGTGCCGTTGAATGAAAACTACATGAGTGATGGATCTGCATCTGCATCACGCGGAGTCCAGGTCCAGATCCCAACCCCGACCCCAACCCCACACGGACTGGCGCCGAGTGCTCTTAGTCACGACGACCAGGGCCATCCGGGCCTGGAAAGAAATAGAGCCGTTCAGGAGACAATGCGTCGGTCCGGTTCAGGATCGATCTCACAATCGCCTGTGGCAGCAGGAGCGGAAGCAGGAGTGCCAGAGGATATGGTTTCTTTGCCAATGAATATCTCCATATTACCATCGGGGGCGGATTCTGTGGCAGTGACGTCGACGGCGTCTTTGAACTCTTTGGCGCAGCAATCGCCTTCTTCTGCGTTCTTTATGGCGCCATCGCCTCCGCCGATTTCGTTCTCACCGAGACAGCAGGCGGCGAGCCCATCGACGAACCATATGGCGGCGGCGGGACATTTGATCCAGAATTTTGTGAGGAACATCACGATCCCGACACGTAACCGGGCACGGACGAATTCGAGCTCGAGATTAAACCCGATGGTGCATCAGCAAGGGTTTGGAAACAGTGCCGGGGCTGCGGCTACAGCTACAACAGGAAGTTCGGCGGCGAACGGACAGGGGCAGCAGCAGGTGGGGCAGGGAGATATGCATGCGGATGTGTTTGGGAAGACGCTGGTGATGACGCCGCCGAATGTGGGATTGGACGGCATGCATCTGGGCGCAGGTGGGGCGACGGAGCTGGGGACATTGACAGAGATGGATGATGATGAAGTGATCGGTGGTGGGCAGAGCAGTGCGAACGGAACGCATGGGACTCGTCACCGGCAGAGATCTTCGTCGCAGGAGGAGCAGCAACAGCAACAGCAACAGTATCAGCAACAGTATCAGCAACAGTATCAGCAACAGGGCCAGGAGCTGGAGAGTGGGACGTTACAGGGTTCGTCGCCCGCTGCAGCTGAGGCGTCAACCTGAGGACGAGAAAAAATAGAATGCGAATAATAATAAAAACAAGTAAAAAGAAAAGTGATATGTGTGGCAAATAGTGTCAAGGCATTTGAATGACATTGCCATAGTGGTTGCTGTCAATGTTGTTGCTGTTGTTTACGATGCTGTTGTCGCTTTAATCTTATGAAGTTGCCCTCGGCAACAATCGCGGTACAATGTTTTGAGGCATCTGAGGCATCTGTGCGGTTGAGGTGTTTAATCGATATACGCTTTATCTTGGATGCCACTGCCTATCCGCTAGCCAGTTATACTGCCATACTGCCAAGGATGACCCTTAGCAAGAAGCATTAAGGCTTTCTACGCATGTCTTGAATTGAAAAGAAAGATGGAGGTAGTGGCAGGAAGGGTCCAAGGAAAAGAAAGTCCATCCAGTCAGCAAGCGGATCGGCAGCGCGGCTGACACGATCTGCACAATGACAGCGCTTTTCCGCATATCATATTCCCAAAAAGCGTGGGTAAGAATGCCCTTCTTCTTCGACCGACCAGAAAAACCATGACATCAACACTCTACCGATTCCCCACTGCCGAAGGCCTCATTCACCTCCTCAACTCAACCAACAATGCATCTGCAAGACCAACACCACTCCCGAACCCACTCACTATCGACTTTGTCCACACCCCAGCCTTAAACGGCGCCTCACTCAACACCTCCCCCTTCGCTCTACCAGGACTTCTAGACTTTGACCACCTGGTGTGCGACTTTGACGAGACAATCACGGATCATGACACGACCTCTTCGTTCGATATACTCGCTTCTCAGATTCGATCCACGGCAGGGTTCCGGGAGCCGGAAATGTCGTGGGATGAGATTCTAAAGGCGTATCTGGATGATTTGCAGAAGGTCGATGTTGCGGATTTATGTCATTTAAATACGGATGATAATGCAGTCAAGGACAAGGCAGAACATGGAGGTGGTGTAGAACAAGGCGAGCAGCAGCAGGAGCAGCAGCAGGGGGCATGCAGCCAGGAGTGCGAGCACGAGAAGCATGGCGCTCAGCACCCTCATTCCACCACCATAGCAACAGCGCCAACTGGACATCCTCACTCTCACCTCCACTCTCAGCATCCTAATCATCACAATCGCCTGATGGCTCCAAGCGTCCGAGAACTGAAATGCCATATTGACGGTCGGACCTTCACCCCCGAGCCAGAACTCCCTGTTCCAAAGCTCCCTTCCCTCCAACCCTGGATCCGTTCCCAAGTTCGAAAGCGTGCCGTCGAAAAGGTTTCCCTGGACCGGGTGTACGAGAGCGGGAACTTGGTTGGGCTAACGAGACGACAGATCCGAGAGTATGGACGCAATCAGATTCGACTGAGGCCTGGGATGGTGGAATTTCTGAAGGCGTTTGTTAAGAACCGAGAGCACAAAGCGGAAGAGAAGGCGAAGGAAGAGAAAATGACGGGCGAATTATATATTGTGTCAGTGAACTGGAGTGAGGACTTGATTCGGGGCGCAATGGACCAAGTCTTTGGGAGTGAGGAAGCGACGGGTCGGTACTTGCCCGAGTCAAATCTGATTTCGTCCAACTTACAGTTCTTCCATGGAGACCATGAACTCCTGCTCCGGCGGAAAATCTCTGCATCTGCTCCATCGACTTCCTTCGACGAGGACGGCTCTGCAACCTCAGAAGCTTTTTCTAGAAATGTCGTTAATGATTCGTCGTTGAAGAAGGAGGCAGAGGAGCACTTGTCGAACGGAGAGGTGAAGGTGCAATGTCTAACGGGAACGGATAAGTTACACGCGTTCATTAAGCTGAAACGGGATTATGCAGCACGACATGGCCTTACACTCGAGGATACAAAGTGGGCCTATTTAGGCGATTCTTCCACGGATCTTGGCTGCCTTGGTAAGTTGGTGCTTCTTGTTTTCAACTTTTATCTTCTTTTTACAATCTATCACGCTGTTCCTTTTTTATTTATTAATACATTTACACCATTTCTTTCTGGCGTTTTGTTCTCTTTGGTTCTGCTGGTCTGGTTGATAGTGGAGGCGGATGTGGGCATCATTATCGGAAAGAGCAAGTCCCTGCTCACGGATTGCGAGCGTTCAGGCGTCCAAGTCATTGATCTCGTGGAACGCACAGATACAGCCGTGCTTTAAAAGCTTTATTTTTGAACACTCCCACCATATTCAATTGACCAATAAAATTGAAGTGTCCTATCCTACTTTTTTTTTTTTTGGAGGGGAAGAGATGAATGCAACGCCCAGCATCTCTCTCCCTTTTGTACATCCTCCCCCCTCCTGTCTCTGCAGCAATGTCACAACCAACTTCGAACGCGGCATTAGGATTAAGTCAGTCACCTGCACTCGCGTCTGGATTCCAGTTCCCGTCTATCCACAACTTTCCGCCATTCTACACGTATGTTTAGCCCTTCCTCTCCTTCCATTGACCGACCACACTCCTGTTTCCGAGGGTGAGGGTTGGGGAAGGGTTCTGCCTTTGATATTCATATCATGACAGTGATAATTTTTTTTTTTGGTGTCCGCTCCGAGAGAAAGAAACTTGATCTTTTATTCAATGGTCTCGCTAACGACTATCCATTTCCTGTATACTGTCCGCCTTACCTTAATCCGTTTCCAATTCCCGTCCGTGGCATAGGTTACAACCGACGGCATCGACATGGAAGAACCAGGCAGATCTGTGGGCGACGATCATAATGCGGTACTACCGGCACCATCGCCTCTATCAGCTCGATTTGGATGATTCTCTCTCAAATGAACAGTTGTTTCATAACCAAAAAATCAATCGTACGTGGACAGCCCTGGAACAGTTTGGCGAAAAGATCGAAGGAAATGAATAAATGAAGGATCGGAGGATGGGGGGAAACGAAGGAAATGGAAAAGAAGGAAAGATGGAGGAGACTGACCGGAATAATATCTCTGTTTGATTGAAATCTTCAATCGTGGAATAGGAAAACTCAAGCCAGAGACGATTCAGGCGATTGTGGACGAGATGGTAAAGAAAGGTAGGTATTTTTCCACCCTCACTCCTGTCTACGGGCATCCTTGCCCTTTTTTTCGCGTTTTTATGATAAAATATCCACTGCGGACGAAATTGTCAGGACACTTACAAGCATTTGTGGCGATCTACATTCTTATGTACTGATTTTTTTTTCCCGCACCATGATGGTTGAATAGGAGACGCTGAGTGGGATGCAACTTCACGGAAGCGGCGCGCGATTATTTACTGGCGGAAACCAGAAGACTGGGCTGCGCTCATCTCCTCTTGGGTAATTTATGATATTTTTCACTTTTGCGATTTCGTCCGCGCCATGGTATCGCACCCCTTGCTATCTTCTAACTCATCTCTACCTCTTCTATACCGTCCCTCCCCCCTCTTCCCTTTCCTTTCCTTTCCTTTCCGACAAACAATGGGAAATAGGTGTTCGAGTCGGGCATGAACAACTCAATCCTGACATTCTACGAAATCGCGCACGGTGAGAATTCTGAGGACCAAGAGTTCTACAACATCCATCCGACAGTTCTTCAAAAGACCATGGATGTGCTTGTCAAGCGCGGCATCGCTGCTACCTTTCAGGGCGCGTCCTTTGATGAAATGGGTGTCAAGTTCTTTAACGCCGGCGCCGCATAGCCTCTGCAGACTCGATGTGAACAGAGGAAGGGATCCATAGCCATAGAACATTGGAGCATCATGAGAGGGAAGCATGGACATGGATCGCAAGAGCTATCTTTGCGATGGTAGTTTCAATATAGACTTTATCCGATAACCACCCACCACCAGCGTCACTGCCAACACGGTCATCAATTTCCGTTCGTGAAGGGATCACCACAAAAATAAAGAAAAAAAATCCCGTTGCGGATCAAACCCATTGACATCATGTATAATGCCCACTTTAAAATCTATCGAGTGTTCATTTTATTTTAATAGCCCTCCGTTCAGCATGATGGCTATGATCTTTTTTTCTTTTTCCTTTTTCTTCCTCTGCTGCGGACAATCCAAATCCAAGAAAATGGAATCGAGTCAAAATCCCTATTTACAACTTCTTGGTCAACTCGGGAACGGCTGTGAAGAGATCGGCGACAAGACCGTAATCAGCGACCTGGAAGATAGGCGCCTCAGGATCCTTGTTGATCGCAACAATTGTCTTCGAGTCCTTCATACCAGCCAAGTGCTGGATTGCGCCCGAAATACCGACAGCAACGTACCTACAGCAGATCAAATTCATTGTATTATGTCAGAAGCGTAAAAGATGTAATAAGTTTCCACATTAGACATTAGGAGAAGATGGTGAGAAAAACAATGGTCTCTCTCTTTCTCTTTCTTTTTTGGATGTCGAAAAACTTACAGCTCAGGAGCGACGATCTTTCCGGTCTGACCGATCTGAAGGGAGTTGTCAACGTATCCAGCATCGACAGCCGCACGGGAAGCACCAACTATTCAGTTATTTTGTTTATACACACATGAAAAAAAAGGTCATCAATAACCTTTACGCCCAATCGTAATCAATTGAGTATCACACATTTGAGTGTTCGTAGTGACATACCAGCGGCGCCAATCTTGTCAGCCATCTCATAGAGCAAGCCAAAGTTCTCGCCGTTCTTCATGCCACGGCCTCCTGCAATGACACGGCTAGCGCTATCGAGCTCAGGGCGGTCGGATTTTTGCATATGCTCGCTCACATACTCGCTCAAATCCTTGTCTGCAGACACACCGGCGTCCTCCTGAGGTGCGGCTGAGTCCTGGTGACCTGCTGCGGGAAAAGCAGTACCGCGGACGGTGATCACCTTGATGGAGTCGTTCGACTTGACCGTTGCAATCGCGTTACCTACGTGGGAAAAAAAGGCGAGGATAGATGTGTAAATAACATTGCTGCCATGTTATTCGACCTATGACTTTATCCTTCCTTTTCCATCAGTTCATCCATTATCCCCCCTTCCCCCTCTCCAATTTGCAATTTCCATAGGCTTATTTACCAGCATAGATGGGGCGAACGAAGGTATCCGCACTCTCAATTCCGGTGATGTCTGAGATCTGCGCCACGTCCAGAATGGCCGCCGCGCGGGGCATAACATTCTTTCCAAACGCCGAATGCGAAGCAATCAAATGCGTGAATCCATGCTTCTTCTGGGCCTCGACCAACAAGGAAGCCTGGGATTCAGGAAGGGTGTGTTCAAATGCCGCATCCTTGGCGACCAAGACCTTGGAGACACCAGAGAGCTTAGCGACCTCGCTGACGACGGCGTCGGGGGCGTTGCCGGCGACGAGAGCGGTGATGGAACCGCCGAGTTTGGAGGCGGCGGTGAGGGCGTTCAAGGTCGAGGCGGCGACCTTGTTGTCCTTGTGCTCGACGAACAAGAGGGCGGAGACGTTTCCGCTGGTGGCGTAGCCGCGAGCCTGTTTCGAGAGGGATAGAGAGAGAAAGGCAAGAAGAAGAGAAGAGAAGGATGAGTAAGTGTGTGAGTCAGCGTTTTGCTGCATGGCTGATTGGGTTGATTTGACTGATAGTGATTGAGGAAAATAATGTGTCCGTGGGATTTTCGCGTGCGTGGTAAAAGTGCAGATTCAGGGACGGGCGAGTGATTGTAGGTGTATTTACCAAGGACAGAGCAGGGAGAGCAGTGCGACGAAGGGCGAACATGGTGATGATTTGAGTGAAGAGAAAGAGAGAGTGAAAGGAGAGAAAGAGAAGGGGAGTGGCAGAGGGATGAAAAAGAGAGTGGGGATGAAGAAAGAAGGAGTTGGTTGATCTGTTTGATGGAGCAATGCGGGGACAGAGTTACGACTGAGTGAGTGTCAACACGTGATAGTCAGGGCATTTTGATTCTGCTGAATCTGATATGCGGGGTAGGGGTCGATATCAGATAAAATAAACCTATGAGCTTATATATATTACAGTTAGTAGGTTCCATGGTGTCACGATACGCGCGCTCTTTCCTTTCCCTCCTTGGCATAGGAAGGATGAAGTAAGGTTTTCATTCGCTCCATTCGCTTTCTCCTCCATCTGAACATTCCTCTGGCTCTTGGACATTCCTTATTCTATTTGGACCACACAGCAGCAGAGCAGCAGCAACAACAAGCAACCTTCGCAGCAAACTCTGGGTTTATATCCGCTCTTTATCCCGTCTCCACTTTCTGTCCCACTTCCATTTCACTCGCTCACCAGCACTTTTCCCCTTCGCCCTTCGTCTCCACTTTAACACAACCTCATAAGAACCAAAGCAAACATGATTATACCCTCGAGCTATCCTGGTGCGAACATGTCCCTCATCCCCTCAGCTACACCCTGCACACCTTGCGCCATCCCCTCGTTCCCTCCTCAGCTTCTCGACTGAACACTGACTCATAACCTACCCCTCTCTCGCTTCCTATAACAGTTCAAGGCATAATCTACTTTCTCGGACATCCGCAACTGATCACGAACCTCATTTGTCCAATCCTATTCACGATAATATGGGCCATTGGCGTCCTCATCTTTGGCTTCGCGTACCTTCTCCAACTCCAGGCCCATGCCCTGATCAGAGCTAACTGTCCCGCGGGGGTTGCATGGTAAGCCAAAAGGCGGATGTTTTTCACTTTCACTCTCTCCCTCTTGCACACATTGAGAACATTGAGGACACTGAAGACACTCTTCGAAGATTAAAAATGGAATACCTTGGTGTGGACAGAAAGAAGAGGCCTTGTTCAAGATTGAAATTCTTCCCAGGTTCTGAACTTCACAAAAAGGACCGTCTGTGCGTTGTTCGAAGTGTTTAAAAAGAAGCTTTCCCTACCTTTCACCAAACATCGTTTTCTATTCCCTTCTTCTGTCCTTGCCGGAAGAAAAAAAGAGCGAACAGCATGTTTTCCACCAGCTCAATCGAGCTTATGCTTCCTCGGCTTTCTTTTTTTTTTTCTCGCGCTAACCATCCCCCTCCCATCTCTCTCTCCTTGCAGGTTCGTAAGCGTGATATTCGTACTGCTCGAAATAGCAGTGATGATCGTCCTCTTCTATTTGATCATATTACCCATCTATCAAGACGGACTCTTTGACCGAGTCCTCAAGCTCAGAGGACTACGGCACGTCCTCGACAAGAGCCAAGGCAACGATATTGCCAAATGCATGCGTGGCGTCAACGGGGGTCTCTTTCTCGCGTTCTGTCAGGCAAGTTTTTTTTTTTCCCTCTATGCCTTATTCGGTCTCGGTTGGAATTTTTTTTAATTGCATGTGTATGTTTGGCTTGGTATGGTATGGTATGGTATGGCATCGTACAAAGCAATTTGGTATGTTTTTTCCGTAGTCGAATCGATAGTTCGGGGCGCGCGTGTAAAAACCCCATTTAGTGGTGCGTTACGGGTTACATGCAACGTTCGAGAGGCCTCAGCAGCAGAGCAGAGCATCTGTCAAAAGTAACTCAGCGTGCTCCCGTGCAGAATGCGCCTAGTCCGTTCTTTTTCTTGTCTCCAGGCAGGACGACGTCCATGTGCAAAAAAAAAAGAAAAAAGAAAAAAAAAAAAACTATATATGTGGGGTTTCAGTATCTATTTTCGAGTCTTCCGACACACCAGACACTGTCCAGGTAAAGACGCATCTCAAAAAAAAAAAAGACGCTCAGCGTTACATTGATGAGCTCTCTATCAATTCGTTTCACTGTTCTACGTGTACCATTCATGGTCCGTATATCCTAGCTCACGCCCCAAGCAGGCATTATTATTGGTGTTGTATTCAGAATTTTTTTTTCTTGCATGGAATCTTGTGCGGGTTGGTCGCATGCTGGGTTGCATACCTCCATTTCTCGCGAATAAAAAAACAAACGAACCCCCTCCCTCCCTTCCCCTTCGCCTTGACTTGAGTCCCATGCTACATCCTAACAATTTGCATCTGCGTTTACAAAAAACATAACTATAGATCGTAGTGTTGATCCTGACATTACCGTTGAATCTGATCCCGATTCTGGGGCAAATCCTGTATGCGTTTATCAACGGCTGGATCCTGACATTTGGGGTCCGGTTCCATTACGACGCTGAGATCCGAAATATCTCGGTCGCACAGTCCAGACGCGAGGCCTGGAAGCGACGAAGTGAATACTCTGGGTAAGTTCATATACACACCTACGGACAGCCTACCCATAAATACACGATGAGCACACATCAAAAAAGGCGTTCGCTTCCTAGGATCCTTCTTTTTTCCTCTCAAATATTATTCTTTTTCCCCCTCAGGTTTTTATCTTTCTTCCACCGTTTAACTCTGTCTGCGCATCAGTGTATCGTGCATCATTTTAACCTGAAATTTTTATTTTTTGGAATCGACATAGGTTCGGAAGTGTAGCGGTCGCGTTGGAGATGATTCCTATAGCGAACCTGCTATTCATGTGGACGAACATTGTCGGGTGTGCACTCTGGGTCGCAGACGAGATCGAGCGTGAAGAACGTCGACACCAACAGCAGGTCGCACAGGACATCGCCGCCAGGAACAATAACATTAGCAATGTCAATAACAACACGAACAGCAACGTTATTGGTTACAACACTAATGTGATCGGGTATGGTGCCGCTGGTTCTTCGGCCTGGGATCCATCGGGTATGGACAGTACGGCCACGGTGAGTCCACCGATTTCGAACAGTCAGCAGCAGAAGGACAGTGGTGGACTTGTACAGCAAAAGGGATCGTCTTGGAGCTTTTTTGGAAGGAGCAGTAGTCGAAATCAAGACCCACAGCCGATCGCTTAGGATAAGAACAGAAAGAAAGAAGAAAGAAAAAAAGAAAAGAAAATAAATGGCGTGCTAAGCAGGTTTGGTGTGTATCGGATGGTTTTCATCGGCCATATAGTCTTTTTTTTTTTTTTTTTTTTTCGCGACAAGAAAATAAAAGAGTGATACATCTTTGAGATGGTTGTATCTATTTCGCAGGATGTATATTTTTAGTGAAGTAGGAAGGAGAGGTGCTGATTTTGTTTCTCCATGTGGAGGACGGAAGGTCCCACGTTTTTTTTTTGTTCGGTATCTCTTTGCGAAATGGATGTCCTTTGAAAATGCGTTGTTTCATTGGCAAATCCTGGGACAGGGTACGCGACTAGCTTGAAGCAATGGGACGCTGGGAAGGAGAAGAGAGAGAGGATGAAAGGAAGATAAGAAAGAATACAACGGGATGCCGTTTTTTTTTGTACCCATTGAACGTTACAACGAACCTTTCCCTGTTCCTTTCATTGTTGGAATTTGCTCCCATTATTTCATTATGTGTGATCCTAGTTCCCGGGAATGCAATTTATTTGACTGAAAGAGGAAGAATCGAGGGTAAGAGTCTCATCTGTTGGGCGCAGGGACGAGTGCAAATGACATCCACACGCCCAGAGAGCAAGATGAATGAGTCCTGTTTCCTTTTGCCTTGTGATTTTCTATAGAACGCTTGGGGTGGAGCTGACGGATGACAAAAAAATAAATAATAAACGAGTAGAAAATAGAAAGAGGAAAAGTGACCTCATGTTGCTGAGCGCTAACGAGAAGGATAGTTACGAGGACCTGGGTCCAGGGGGGTGTCTTTTTGGATCCTTTGACTAAACATACTTCTTCCCTCGTGGAAAGAAAAAAACAAATGAGTTTTTTTGTAAGAAATCCCCCCAGTTGCTTTGTTCTCTGGGGTTGGATCAGAAACGGAAGAGGAGTGAGCGAGTGGATACACATGCATGTGGGCAGATGAAAAAGAAAAAATGGTTTTGCTTTCTCGCCTCTTTGCTTCCGACTCTTCCAATGAAGAGGAAACGGAGGTGTTTGATCATGATCTACCGCGCAGAAAGACACGATGATGATGACGACCAAAGGGAGGGCAATAGAAAACCAAGCTATTTCTTATCCTTACACGTTTCCTATTGCTATTTTCAAGGACAGAAAAGATATTCATCCATCCGGTCGTTGTTTGAAAAATGCAAACGCACAATCAAATCAATCTCCACCACATCATACCACACCAGACACCAGCAAGCGGGTGGGTTGTTGTCGTTGTTGTTGTTGTTTCTTGACTTTCTCTTTCTTTCCCTCTTTCCTTTGGGCGACTGTGTGTGTGTGTTCGTGCTTTTTCTTTTGTTGAATGTGTTATTTTTATGCTTTCCTTGCTCTCCTCCTTCCTTCTTGTTCCGCTCCCTCCCTCTTCTCTTTTCTACACTTTTCCACCTCACACTTCGCGCACTTTTCTTCACACATTCTGTTCATTCATTACTTCCCAACCCTCATTCGAGAACTCCCTCTCCCTCTCTCTCCTTCCTTTGCGCACATCACCTTTCTCTTTTCCTCGTTTCTACAAACTCCTCTCTCTCTCACTCTCTCTCTCTCCCGGCAACACCGCCCCTGACCTTAACTTGCCTTCACTTGAGCTGACTTGAGCTGACTTGAGCTGACTTGAGCTGACTTGAGCTTGATCGTTGTAGCATACATCCACACCACACAGGCAGCAAAGACGCTCACCAGCACACGCACTCAATAGCCAAATGTCAGCCCTGTCCTCCATCGTCAACAGCACCTCGCCAAAGGTACACACATCCTTCCCCTTCGTTCCTTCGAATGCCTTACTGGCATACCTGCATACTATGCTTGTTTTGTTTTTGCTTGCTGCCGCAATTGTCCCAGCTGGCTCACAACAAAACATCATTATCATCATCATCAACATCATTCTGCATATCTTTTCTATTGAGTCGCGAAATAACAAAGCCAATTGCTCTATATTAAAATCCGGTCCCTTTCTTCCTTTCATTCTATATCTTTTCTGTATGTCTTCAACCTCAATGGTATATCTGTTGATTCTAGGAAAAGCAGGTTTCGGCCCCTCCAGCCCCCTCGGCCGCTGGTTCTGCTAACAACGGTCCAACCACCTCTTCTCCCAACACTAACACGAGTGCGATTAGTACTGCTACGAACGCTAACACCAACACCAACACCAACACCAGCACCAACAGCAATACAAACACAAATTCAACGACGACGAATCCAAGTACAGGCACGGGCACTCAAACACAGGCACAAGCACAGGCAGGACAACCTGCGGATAGTGTGAAGAGTAATGCTGTGTCGATGACCACTGCAGATGGTAATAATAAGATGCATTGATCCTTTTTTCTCTTCTTGATTTTGACCCATTGAAGAGAACGCGTTGTTCTACCCTTTTTTCTTGACATGATATTGATGATCTCATTTTTTTTTACTGCGTTTTCCTGTTTCGTAGATATCAAGTATAAGCGCAAATACAAGGATCTCAAGAAGAGGATACGGGATATTGAAGAGGTAAACACAAAAGTCTATTGTTGCAAAATGGATCGATTTTGGGGAAGCCTTGATTTGAATCTGTTCCTAGCTCTGTCACTGCTGAGGTCGTTATTTGTACTATTTGGTTTCTTTCATCCACGATCTGTTTGTTGTTTACAAAGACGGAGCAGAAAGGAAGAAAGGACTGCGGAAACGAGGAAACCCCCTCTTGGCCTTCCGCCTTACAACGAGAGAAGATGTCAAAGAGGACAGGGCATGCCGTTGGAACTATATTGTTGTTTTTGTTATTGGTTGTAGTCTATGGGGGAGAGAAGGGAGAGTATCTAAGGAACGAAAGAGGGGCATGGTCAACAAGCTGCCCCATCTCTCACTCTCTTTGTTCTATTCTTGGTCTTGATCCAACTTTCTGACCAATTTATTTGTTTTCGTTGTAGGACAATGACATCCTCAACATCAAACTGAGCCGTGCCCGAAAGAATATCCACCGCCTGCGTGTCGAGAGAAGGTACCATATACATACACACACGCACACGCATTTTTGCACGCTGCCAAACTGCACTGGCAACGATTTGTTCACTAAACCAGCTATACTCATTTTTTTTTTTTATCTTCTCCAATTGATCTCATGGCAAAAAAAAAAAAAGCTTCCTGTTCGATAGACTGGATGAATCCGAGCAAGGCACACATCCCTCAGCATCCTCCTCCTCAACCTCAGAGTCGGATTCGGATGAAGAACGAAACAACGGTGACCCCTCCAAGTCCCACCACCATCGAACCCATTCTCGAAATAACCATGGACTCGACCGTCTGAAGCGATATCGGCACTCGGCCTCGTCCTCGTACTCGCACCATCACCATCATCACCATCATCACAATAACAACAATAACAACAACACTTCGTCTTCACACCCTCCTGCCACTGGGTCCCATGAACACGCACGCGGACGATCCAAGACCCCGCCATCACGAGGATCTTCCGTCATTGGTTCCGGAAACCAGAACACGAGCACGAACACGAGTTTGAACGTAAACTCGACAGAGCAAGCACAGGGACAGGCGTCATCGCCGAACGGGAAGCGCGGAGCGGCAGCAGGGGGGACGGCGATGACGACGATGACGACGGCGGCGGCGAAGAAAAGACGTAAGGACCCCTTAGCCCCGAAGCGCCCCTCGAACGCGTTCTTTATCTTTTCACAGCAACACCGGCAGCAGGCACGGGAGGAAAAGAAGGAGGGCAATCAAAGTGAGCTGACAAAGTTCCTGGGCCAGCAGTGGAAGTCCATGCCATCGACCGAGAAAAAGGTACAGAAGTCCGCAGAGGTCGTTTTTTTTTCTTGCGAAATGCAAGAAAGAAAGGGGGGGAAAGAAAAGAGCACGGTTGATCAAGATGACGGAAAGGCACCAAACAACAGGCGACGATGGAAGACACAGCGGAACATGCAATTCAGTTGGACCCGCAGTATGCAATTCGGTTGGAACCGCAGCATGCAATAGCATCGGCAGAAGCCTTGAAACGATGCGGATGAAAACGGATCACTGTGGATTGTTCAAAAACGAACAGTGGAACAAAGCTGGATGGAACTAGAAGCGGGATGAGTGGAGAATATAGAGGCCTCGGGATGGTGGGCCGTTTGTGCCCTTGTTATGTTGATGAGAGAGGATTGTGATTACTAACCGTCCTGTGTGATCTGCTATGCGATCTATATAGATCTACTCTGAGCTGGCTGTTCAGGATAGACAACGCTACTTGGAAGAGATGAAGGAATACGAGCACGAGCACGGACAGGGAGCTGTACGTTACCTTTTTTTTTTCTTTTTTTATATTTAAAAAATCCAAGAAAGCATCTATTTATCAGAAAATGAACCTGCGCTAACTTTTTCCCTCTCTCTCTCTCTTTTTTGTATTCTTTTTTTTTTTTTTTTTTTTTTTTTTTTGGATAGAACTCACACAACGAAACGACAAAGGGGCGCAAGAAGGCGACGTCGACTGGCAAGGTTGGACGGCCGTCAAAATATGACAAGTATATTGCAGAGGTCAAGGAGATCAAGAACAACCTGGCGGCGGTGAACGGACAGTCAACGGCATCATCACCTTCTGCAGTCAAGAAGAAGATGGAGATTCATTCGATGATCAATGGTGATACCGAAGGTGAAGCTGAAGCTGAAGCTGAGGGCGAAGGCGAAGGTGAAGTCGAGGGTGAAGGCGAAGGCGAGGATATCGCATCGCATGATGATGAAGATACGAGGATGGAGGACGCGACTGAAGAAGATGAGCATGAGGAGGAGGAGGAAGATGACGACCATGACAACGAGCAGGATCATGAAGATGAAGGGGAGGAGGATACTGCGGGGGAACAGGATCAAGTCGAAGTGCGTCGTGGTAGTCTTGGGAACGGCAGTGCGGTTGCGTACAGTAGGCACGGACACGTACACGGACACAATGGGGGACATGGGGAGGATGTTGAGATGGTGGAACCGCATCGGGGTCAGGAACCCACGGGCGCAGCACATCATGGACTGACCGTTGGTGCATAATCGAAACGTGCTTCATTTACTGCTATCTTCCCTCCTCCGCACCTTTCATGTAATCTTAGTTTTTACTCATCCATTTAGTAACTCTGCTCTTCCTTTCGTCCCTTTCCTGTGTTCCATGAAGATCTATGTTTGCTTAGTTGTTCTGCTACTTATTCATATTGAAAAAAAAAAAAGAAAAGAGATACGATACACCAGGTTTGGAAGAATACATACACAAACAAAAAAAAATAGTTTTCTTTTGCAATAGAACACATATGTCCTTCCAGAGTCATGTAAAAAAAAGGTCTCGTAGAACGGGTACTTACTTGGGCAAGAAAGCAAAGAATGCTTGCGATCGAGATTGTTTGCTTCCAATCTGCGCAGAGCAACTGCTTTATTTTGCAATGATCTGGTTGTCCGTGGGTACAGCAACGTTATTGTGATGCAAAAGGATAGGATGGTCCGGAGTGTGTGCAACCATCGTGGGACAACGTTAATGCTGCTACGAAACCTTGTTTCTTATGTCCTCATGAGAATCAGAAGAGTCTTTGTTGTTAGCTGTTTCTAGATCGAAAAAGAAAAGACTAATAATGATGCCGTCAGCGGTGTGTGTGTATGTGTGTGCTGTGTAGAGTCCAAATCACTGGCGAACCGCAAGATATATTTCTGAATAGTTGAGAATCAATTTAATGAAATAAGGTTTCTTTGAGCAGTAGATCTGTAAGTGCATGGTCATGCTTTTAAAGGAGGCCCAACCACCCACCATCCAAACGACACGGATGGAATTGAAAAGGACTACTAAGGGCGTATCAAATCAAGTCGAGATCTGAGGCACAAGTCGCGAGTCATGGATCATAAAGCCAAGCATACGACGTGTCTCTTGCTGCCGTCCTCATTAAGGAAATGTATAATAAAAAGCAGGTTCGTCGCAATCGTATTTATTCCTCTTAAGTCCCGCCTAGACGTGACCCACGAGCTCCATTGAAGTAGTAGCCCTGCTAGACATTACAATGTCTGCTCTCCATAGTCCTTCCTCATCTATGCTCCGAGTCTTGTGGTATGCTTTGCCGTGTCATTTTCAGTTTATTCAGGGATGTTCAAGATGCCCGTTCTCGAGAATTCTATGGCTATATCGCATAACTCTACATCCACGCCAGTAATCTCAGACAAGCGATCTCTCGTCATCCAGTCTCGGACCTCAGGCGGAGCCGTGGAAAATTTTTTGAAGGTGTTGGCTAGGACCACGTACTCGTCGCGTGTGAGGGGGCTACGAATATCCTTAGAGGCATTTTCGCTTTGAATCCGAGAATCGGGAGGTGACAGTTCACAACTGGATGAGGAGCTTGCGGGTCCGGAGCAGATGAGGGAACCAGAAGTGCGCTCGGCAGGGGTCGACATTGCTTGCTGATTGTATAAGGGATGGAGTTGAAGGAATGAAGATCGTGCATTTCACAAGAGGCTATGCGATTAATTTTCGGCCCCATACATTGATTTCAAACAAAGAATCACGTTTAATTGTGGTTATTCATATTCGTACTCTTCCCCTTCGAATTCGAAATGGTCATCCAGCTTCTCTATGATAACTAATGGCCGGCCATAACGAGCATATTCTTCTTGGAGCTCTTCCTCCCAGTCCGCTTCACTTACAGACCTGAGTTCATCCTCATCCGGATAATGAGACTCCTCCTCATGGTCTGTGGCGGTAGCGGAAGCGCTCGAAATATCACCTTGAGACAGTTTATCCAGGGCATCATAGTATGCTTGGCCGATCTTGACGCTCTTGGCCCACACTGAGATGAATGTACTGTCCTTTAGCTCGCAAAAGTAGTGAGTTAGGGTTCTCTTGAGTCTCAACGGTGTCATCTTCCCTGTCGTATAGGCAGCGACCTTGTTCTTCACAACGGCCCATATCTTCTCGATGGGCTGGAGCTCGCAATGGTAAGGAGGGGTCTTGAAAATCTCATGGCCACCAATTTCCTCCGCAATTTTTGAAATCGAAAACGGCTGGTCAGGTAGACTCTTGATATACGCCAGCATTTCATGGTTCGTTGGTGGGCGTCCGTTCTTCCCATGTGGAACCAGGTTATTGGTGACAGCGTACCAATTCAATATGTCCTCCTTAGTGCTTCTGGTAGTGGGCTTCCTGTTGACCTTACTGAAGTGATAGGAGGCGCCATCAAGGTGAATGTGGCAAGGGCCGAGTCCCATGTCTCGCAGATTCTCGCAAAGTTTCCTGAAGATGCCGTTAAATGTCTCCGAGTTGAAGTTTCCATGATAATCGTCGTCCTTTGCTATGACATTAGATGAGCGAATTACATCCGGGACGTCCTTCCATAAGTCGGCGTCTTGCAATGATTCCAGACCATTGGATAGGCCTTTTTTTGATTTTGCGGGCCAGATATGCACACTGTCCTTGACGAACTTGCCCACAACTTCGTCCGTGTCCGCATCGTAGTACACCACAAAGGCGGCGAAAATAACCAACAATGGCTTCCGACCGGGCTCGGAAACTGCACCTCCTGTTGAAACCCACCGCTTCGCTGCTGCATGATCAAGGTGACAGTACGACTCATCCAAAAATACCTCGGGCCGTTTGGGCACCAGCCTTCCATCCGATAGAGTTCCCAGGTTTTGTAGGCGGCGCGCGAGGTACTGACGTCGGAACTTAACATTCTGCGGCGCATCGTGCAAAATGTTTTGGCGGATCCCTTTGCCCCAGTGAAGTCCCAGTTTATGGAGATAGCGTCGGATAGTGCTGACTGATACATCGAGTACCTTCTCATCTCGTAGCTGGTTTGCAATGCGATTAGATGAGTTGGGTAGTCCTAGCTTATTGGTCTCGACCACAATTTCCATCATCCTATTAGAAACGGCCATTTCCAGCGCTTGCTGGGGAGGTCCAGATCTTTTGGCTTCGCCACCTTTGAGGGTGCTGGTTATCGAAAAATCAATCGCCTTCCTGCATGTCGACTCACTGACGCCGGTCAACAATGACAGTTCTTTAGATCTTGAGCCATTGCCAAGGCTTGAGATCCATTGCTGGACAGGTTCTGGAGCGAGGGAGAGACTCTTGAAAATCATTGCAAGGATGCAGTATTCATTGAACGTAACGCAGGATCTATCACGCTTGAAGGTGGGGTTATTCAGGACAAGATCCTCGCTTGGCTTCGATGCTGAAGCAGGCTTTTTAGGTTTGGAAGAGTCCTTTGGTGCCCTACAGTCATTCCTGGAGTCAAAGGGGTTTGAGGAATCGTCCGCGACAAAGGCCAATGTCGGGGGCACCTTATGGAATTTGGGGGGTTGGATCGGAATGCCACAACTCTTGGGAGGGGTTTCCTGTACAAAGAACAAGTTCCCTACCGGTGGGTGATATCGGAGAGGAGGAGGAGGAGTACGAATCCTATGACTCGGGGAACGGTAAGGGGATTGTCGGTTGTAGCCAAGAGACCCCGGAGACCCCGGAGATCTAGTAGGAGTAGGAGTTCTGCGCCTCTGTGGGGGCTTGGGACAGTTCCTGGGCTTGGCAGAGTTTTTTGGCGTCCTGAAACTATTTCTGGAGGTGAAGGTGTCCGAGGGATCATCCTCGACAAAGGTTAACGTCGGAGGCACCTGGTGGAGGCTGGGGGACTGGGTCGAAATGCCGCGACTCTTGGAAGGGGTTTCCTGCACAAAGAACAAGTTTCCTACTGGTGGGTGATATCGGAGAGGAGGAGGAGTACGAATCCTATGACTCGGGGAACGGTAAGGGGATCGTCGGTTGTAGCCAAGAGGCCCTGGGGACCCTGAAGACCCTGGAGACCCAGTAGGGGTTCCAGGCCTCGGTGGGGTACGACAACTCACGCGAGTAGGGGATGTGGTAATATTCCACGCGTCTTGTTTCGGGGAAGCATTGGGAAGCGATGAATTAACGCGTCCGATGGTCTCAATGGGAATGCTAGTGCTGTTGGACATTTTTTCTCGGTTGTGTTGCAAGATTTGTGTGGTTCATCATCTAGCCATGAGCTTTCAAATGAGCATTGGCGTTGTGCATCCGTAGCCCCATTCCCTAAGTGCACTACGTCTCAGTTTGCTTGTAGAGAGCTACCAGTCGTTCCAAATTGGGAACAACAGGAATCTGTCCAAATCGGGATAGTAATCATTCAATTCAAAAAATATATGCGTCCAAATTAGGAGTATTCACTTCAATTCAAAATTATATTTCGCGGTTTACCAATGCTTTCGACTCTATGTGTTATGAGTGTGTTGAGGCAGTGTGGTAATCAAGTTCAGACTGCGAATCAAAAGAAAAACCCCAGTTGAATCTTATTGAATACATCCCGAACATCCACGAGTGTGATGCGGCAGCAGCAAATCACAGCAATCGATCAGAGATTAAAGCCAGCAGCCAGTAAGCTACTTGGATGGCCGACTTTTCTTATCATCCTTCCTACTACTCCTCCTCCTTTTTTCATCCCTTCACTCTCTGACACTTTTTTCGTCTCTGCTTTCAACATCCATATACCAGCATTCCTCATCCCCCATACTTCCCTTCAGCTTTTGACATAACCTCTCCTTATCGACCGGTAGTCTTTCGTTAACTACCAACCTCCCACACATGTCCTCCTTCCCGAAACACTCTTTCGAGCAGGCGTACGACCATGCCTTCCCTCCAAGTCCTCCCTCCGCACATTCACACCATAATAACCACCATAATCGACGGACAGAAGACGGATTAGGCACCATCTCCGAGCGATCGCCTCTGATCACCAAGGCGCCTCTTGGCTCGACCTCATTCACCAACCACAACGATCCCGCATTATATACCTCAAACGATTCTTCGTCATCCTATGCCGCTGTCGCTGCTGCTGGTAATCAGTACGACGGGAGACTGCCCGGGAATGCAGCGAGGCATGATAAGGCCGCTAGCTCGACAGAGACGCTCCTGGACCCCAACGGAGGACATGGACAGGAAGACGATGGAGAAAGCGGCAGGAGCGAGTATTACTTATCGATCCGGGAGTTGACGATAAGGGAGTTCAAGATTTTGTTGAAGTATTCGGGTCCGGTCGTCTTGACGTATGTGTTGCAGAACTCACTGCAGCTCGCTAGTTTGATTTCTCTCGGACATCTTGGATCCATTGGTAAGTCTTTGTGTTTTTTTTTCACGCTCACTCCCTGAAAGGACCTTAAAGATTGTTTTTTTTTTGGGAAACAAAATGGGAGGAGGAAAGTTGCATGATCACACGTGTGGTCGTTTGTCATATTCGCCATACCTCATCATTTGAGTTATGGAGATGTTATTCCCGTTCTATTCCTTCGTCGGGAAACTATCAGAGGGGAGGAACAAGTGGAGTCAATTGGAGTCAATTTAAAAAAAAAAAAAAAAAAAAAAAAAAAAAAAAAAAAACTTTGCGATTGCGGATGTGTTTTCCTTTTAGGCTTTACAAGTTGAACAACGGGTTTTTCTATGGGATGGGTCGTGCACCATGGGGTTTTGTCTTCTTGTCAGGTACACAAAAAAACAGCAAACAAAAAGTCAGTTCTTTTTTTTTTTTGGTGTTCCATGCGCACATAGCAGCCTTGCTTGCTGGGAATGAATTTGTTCATGTCCGAACGGAGACCTGGAAGACAGAGCCGGACGCTATTATAGCGACGGATAACTTAGCTTTCAGTACAAATGGACGGGGGAGAGAGGAGTGGGGGCTCAGTTGAAGATGTGCAGGGAAACGCACCAATGCCAATGCACGCATCAAAAACGATCGTAACACCGCAAACACAAAGGACCGACTGGACAGGACAGGACAGGACAGCACAGGACGCGGACATGCAAAAAGAAAATGGATAAGGATAAGGATAAAAAAAAAAACTGGATATCGGTCACAGGAGAAATGAAATTGCGGGGAGGAAGTGCAGATTCGCGCCAAATAACTTTTTGTTAGTAGCGGTAGTGATAGTGGTGATGGTGATGGTGATGGTGGTGGTGGTGGTGGTGGTGGCGCCGGTCATCATCTAGGATAGTTTGGTTCAGGATCAACTGCGTGGATGAACCATTCTTCTTTGTCACAGACTCTTTTTCCTGCTTTGACCTCCCATGCATGTGTTTTTTGGTGCCGTCATAATGCACAAGGTCACTGACCATCGTCATATTCTATCTCTCGCTAATGCTTTGGTCTCTAGAATTGGCTGCTTCGTCGTTGGCGTCAATGTTCGCGGCGGTGACATGTTGGTCTGTCTCTCTCGGCACCGCCACAGCACTCGACACGCTCTGTTCACAGTCCTACACCAGTCATCACCCCCACACTCTCGGACTACACCTTCAACGTGCGATTCTCGTCCTCATGCTCCTCTTCATCCCAATCGCCGGCGTCTGGCTCTCGTCTGAATACATCTTCATCCTTCTCGGACAGGAACAGGCCCTTGCTGAACATGCGGCTATCTTCTTGAAGGGTCTCCTTCCCGGCGCTCCAGCATTCCTGATCTTTGAGTGCGTGAAGAAATACCTCCAGGCCCAGGGAAATATGCATGCGTCGACCTATGTGCTGCTGATCGCGTCCCCGATTAACGTGGTCCTGAATTATGCGCTCGTGTGGCATAAGTATATTGGAATCGGATATATCGGCGCGCCAATTGCAACAAGTATCTCGTACTGGAACATGCTGCTCCTTTTGTTGCTCTACATCAAGTTCGTGGATGGATCCCAGGGCTGGGGAGGATGGACGCGCGAATGCTTGACAGGCTGGCCGTCGTTCTTGAAGTTGGCGTTGCCGGGCGTGATGATGGTCTGCACGGAATGGTGGGCATTTGAGGTCGTGTCCTTGGCGGCTTCCTATCTGGGCACGGTTGCATTGGCGGCTCAGTCGGTTGTAGTGCAGACATCAGGATTGCTATACACGATCCCGTTCGGAATCTCGATTGCGGCTTCGAATCGAGTGGGCAACTTGATCGGAATGGGCGATGCCAGGTCTGCGAAGGTCTCGTCAAGAGTCTCGATTGCGCTCGCGATTATCTTTGGCATGGTAAACTCGACCACGCTGATCATTTTCAAGGACCGATGGGGCCGACTATTCAGTGAGGACGCAGATGTGGTCAAGACTGTGGCCATGGTCTTGCCGTTGGTGGCCTTGTTCCAGATCAGCGACGGATTGGCGGGCGTTGGAGGAGGAGTTTTGAGAGGTGTCGGACTTCAGCATCTGGGAGCGTATCTGAACCTGATTGCCTATTATTTGGTGGCCTTCCCGTTGGGGTATGTGATGGCGTTCACGATGGGATGGGGACTGAAGGGGTTGTGGTCATCATTGTGTGTGGCCCTCTGGATGGTCGGATTGGGAGAGCTATGGGTGATTTATAAGACAAATTGGGAGTCCGAGGTCGTGAAATGCAAGGCGAGGAATGATCTTTTGGCGAAGCGGAGGAGCTCTATTTGCGAAGCCGAGGCGCTCGAGGAGGAGCGAAGGATGTTGATCGCCTAGGCTAGACACATATATATATACATACACATAGAACCACTCATATCATTAAATAACCATAAGCATTCTCCGACCCATGTTCATGCCAACTACCCTAAACCGTAGGCGGATGTGTCTGTCATAGATATAATGCGTAGAAAAGGACAGACTAGATTGGACAGAACCTCCGCCAGAAGAAGTAGCCCCTAGACAATAAGCTCCGCGGAACACGGTTGAAAGTCGCAGCTGAGTAGTGCGACCGCCGTAAAGTCCCAAGGTTATAGAATCGGCGAGAGGAACTACGCTCAGACGAGACAAGGAGCAAGGGCACATACAGTCCAAGGTGAGAGCCGTACTGTGCTTGTGAACAACGACGCCATTTGCAACTGCCCCCGATGGCACTTAACTTCTCTCAAAGAGAAGTAGCTCAGCTGTCTCCGCGGATACATCCACATTCGCAAGGAAAGGGACCAATAGAGTGCATAAAAAGTGTTCGTGCCACTAGACGCCATGGCCCAGCGGGAGAAACAAGGCGTTTTGCCACCCAGTGTATTGGGTTATCATTGGAGTCGCACAGCAGTGCATACCGTCTTTTTTGAGTTTACAGAACGCTAAAAATGAGCCGATATACATGTACTCAACACATCCACACGCAAACATGAAACACCCCGCCAGGGATCGTGCGCCTCTGCCCCTAGGTCCCGGTTCCTGTCCTCGCCTCATCTTCTGGTTCTCTTTTTAAAATCCGGGGGAGTTTCGCGCCTGCTGTTTTTCTTCTTCTTGTCATTCCTTTTCATCCCCCCGTTCAGGAATACACCCTTCTATTCAGGAACTGCTCCCCCAACATTGCTCTTTTTTCGCTTCATGTCGATTGTAGTTGTATACCAGAAGTGCCTATAGTTATTACCAGCTTCCATAACAGGATTCGATACATCATCAGAGATTCTCATGGCATCTATAACTTCAATGGGTCCAGATACCCCGATGGATTTGTCAAAGGCCAGTCCTAGTCAACCTACCCCAAGCAAACCCCGATGTAAGGATGGATAGCGCTGCCGATTTAATCTTGGATTCGATTGGTATCTCGAAACAAGGCTCTGATAGTTACTTACCATTGCTGTACATTGATACTTTTAGTTCAACGATGGTACCTAGAAGAAACGACAGGTCAGCCCAGGGTGGTTGGCACCGAAAGGTAGAAGAACAGCATGAGAGTATTCAAAGAAAGAATGCGTATCGTGCATCGATTTGCTGACAACCAATCACTTCTACATCCAGGGCAGAGAGCTCCGTAATGGTTAATAGCAACGAGGAGTGGAAGGTAGCATTTTTTTTTCAGGCATCAGGGCATACCCCAGGTCAAACTTTCATATGCACAACTAACGAACAACTGCTTGCCTCCTCTTTCCCCCACCCCCCTCCCGACATTCAATAATAGTGCTCACTAAAGCAGAAAGGTGAAATGCTGGAAGGGTGGTACTGGGTTACTCTGAGTGTTACATTTGACCAGATCCAAGTCGACAATCTGGATAGTATGACATTCAGTGTCCTCCAGGCAGACGAAAATCATATCTCGTATGACCAGGTACGAAGTCGTTGCATGCACTCCTTGGAAGGGCGTCTCAGGCGCCAGTGTTTAACAAAGATGGCTTATTTCTCTTGTTTTTTTCTGTTTTTTTACTAGGTCTGGTCATCCACGACTGTACTCGACAACAACGAGATTCGCAATATCCGTATGTACTCAGGGACGAGGGCTTTTACCTCAATGGATTCTCCTACACAAGACATTAACGTGTCTCTGTATACTGATAGCCCGAGAAAAAAACAGGCGGCTGAGACTTCTTCGGCAGGTTTATATTAAACCAATGGACCCCACAGGATACGTCGAGATCACAATCTCTTTCGGAACCGGGGCTACAGGATCTTTTGAGGTTCATTACGTTGAGATTGAGGAAGGTGGTATTCAGCCCACAGGTCAGTGCATTTCCAACAATCACCGTCCATTTTGTTGGTCCAAAAAGTCAGTGGAGATTATAACCTAATTCCCGTTCAACTCGGCGATGTCGGTGTAGATCATATCCTGTACGGATTTGGAAAACCACAGCATGCGATCATCATGGAAAACCCCGAGGAGCGATCATACATTTACTATTTCCAACTCTCGAGCTCAGGGACCCACGTCTTAACGCTGACACCCTCGCTGAATCCGCTTCAGTTGCGTCTCGAAGTCTGGGATCTCCGTACGCCCGACAAGGCGATCCCCTGCAACAGCAGCAACGGCAATGGGCAACCTGAGCTCCACACCCGACCATTTGCTCGTGCTTGTTTCCCCCTGGTCACGGAGGAAGAACACGATCCCCCCGAATACTACTCGATCTCGATCTCGCATTCAGGGTTGCAGGTGACCTTGGTCCCGGTTGAACCGATGGTCAACCATCCGTTCATGCTCTTGGAGTGTATGCCCACAGCCCCAGCGGATCAGGATCTGAAGATGCCGTGGCAGTTGAAGCAGGTGCCTGCCATTAAGGAGTTGAAGGAGCAATTTGGATATGGGCTGTTTCATATGGTCGATCCAGTCGATGCCTCGGAGGAGGACGAGTTGTATCTGCTGTCGAACGGCTGTGAAGTCTCGGTGTATCGGACTCATGGCAAGTGGACGAAGATTTATACGGTGACATTTGGATTGGAGCCGAAATTCACAGCTGCCAAGAACGTGCTTATGAGTTTGAGGGGCGAATACTTTGCCTGGACAGGTGGGAATGGTTTAGTGTCGATCTGGAATGTTAAGACTGGGAAGAATGTGTCGAGGATCCCAGTTGAGGATGAGACGAGGCGGTATATGGTCTATTTGTCAAAGGATGGATCGAAGGCGGCGTTCTCGACGAAGGGGTATGTGTATGTTTACGACACGGCTTCGTGCGCGAAGATTGGGGTGTACAACCGTGGACTGAGCGCATGCGAATACAATGAGATCGCGTTAGGTGAGGACTATTTCATGACAAAGGATGATACAGTATCAACAACGGGGCATCCGGTGAGGATCAACGGACGGAGTATTGTCAGGATTGATGATATGGAGGTCGTTAAAAGCTTTCAGGTGCAAGAGGATTACGACGTTCGGCATCCGTTGGCTCCAACAGAGGACGTCGTGTTTGGATATACTCAGGTATGTCAGGCTCATCCAATGCAGCTCTTACTATCCGCAAGGCTGTCTGAGCCCTCCATTGACGATTGTTTCTCTCTTTCTCTTTCTCTTTCTCTTCCTCTTTCCTTCCAGGGTTCTGTTTTGTATTTTCTCAGAATGGATAACTTGATGGCCCAGGATGAAAAGAAATGCGGTCCTGAATGCGGCTGGAACCCTATCAAAGCCGACGATTACATGACCGCAGGAACCTGGGAGCACATCTCTACCTCAGGATCAAAGTTCAGAGTGTCCTCCGGCTCAGTACTCACCAACGGGTCCTGGAGCGTGCATATCAGGATCAGTTGCCCTCGTCCCGACGGCCCCAAGGACGTTGTGGTCCCGCTCTGCTCCTTAGGCAATTGGTGTGCTGGTTTTTTCTTGCCGGGAGCGAAACAATTGATCCTTATGGCGGTCAATAACCTGACGGTTTGGAGCCTCACCGAGACAGGCGCTGATGTCGCAGAGCTGATTGAGAGCTGGAGATATCAGGACGATAACACCGATTATATAGAGGACAAGATCGTCCAAAAGATTGAGGAGTCCAGGATTTGCGATTGTGGACGACGCATCAGTCTTCGCTTCCGGACGCAGTACTTCAGAGGGTCAGTTGATGTGACGGATCCGGACACTAAGGAGCACACGTTGACATATCCGCACTCGTCGGTGGATGACCTGGACTACAGCGAGTACTTTCGTACCTATTTGGGAATGGCACATTTGATCGGTCTGCACCAATATGGAGACGATAACCTCAAGAGGATAATTTGTGCCTTTCTCAGGAAACTTGTCCGTCCGTCTGTGTCTTCCAAGGTTTCCAAGAATTATCTTATTGCGCTGTGTGAGTCTTGGCATCAAAGTTTCTATGAGTCCGTGGAACAAATCATCGCTGCCATCCTGCCTCTTGATCGGGTCAGTTGGATCCCCGTCGTGAAATCCCCGAAAAAAAACAACCCCTTGAACGTGCTACTTCGTTATGCAGAGAAGCAGCCCAAGGCGATGCGAGTCGGCAAGCTCATTATCGAATACTGTGTCACCCACGCCATCGAGTCTAAGAATCTCGCCTTCATGTCCCCGCTCTTTGGCATTATGAACCGTCTCATGGAAATGTATCCGAAAGACGCGCAGTCCATCCTCGACCGGATCACGTTCGTCCCCGTAAAGGAACGCTCTTTCATCATTGAAAATCACCGGATCTCATCCCCACCCCGCATCCGATGGCGGTTCTGGAAATCGACGAAGCAGAAGCTGTACGAGATCGAGAACCCGATTATGCAGCTGGATATAACACCGAGTGAGGCGGATCCAGAGAATGATCGGTTTACAAGGCCGACATTTCAGGCGTCGTTTGAAGCGCTTTGGCATTATACAGATGAAGGAAAAGAGCAGCTGGAGGTGAGCGAGGAAAAGGAGGCAGAAGCAGCGTGGTGGACCACGTTGGGCCAGATGGTGACGGTGGCTCTACGGCCGAGGAGCCAGGCGTTTGTGGAGAGCCATGATTTTAATCTGGCGTTTTTTGACAATCCGGCGATCGCGGCCCTGGTTACGTACAAATGGTAGGCATCTTGAATCCTTGAACCGTTGTGCTTTCTTAATTTCAATCACCCAGAAGCACGGTCCTCACTCGAAATGACTTCTTGATCGTCGATCTCGATTGCATAGGAACACGATCGGATACAGCTTCTGGTTAGCACGGTTTGTTTTCCAGTCGACCTTCTATAGTCTGGTGGTGATTGCAGCGCTGATGCAAGTATACTTTTCGGAGCCGGGCAAGTTGCTGGGGCTTTTCATTGCTATCATTGTCATGGCCACGATGTTTATCTGGCTGGAGATTGTCCAGGCCTTAGAGAGTTGGGTGCGTTATAGGGGGTATGTATTTGCTTTGCCTCTGTACTCTGGTCTTGGAACGCAACAGTTCATGTTCTCTTACTCATATAGTGTCGCTTTGTTCCTTAGATCGTTCTACAACTTCTTGGATATGGTCACATTCACGTTGCCACTGGCAGCAGGTATTGACCAGGTGGTTGTGATCAGCCGAGGCGACCCTGCTGGAAACACGCGCCTCTTGAGTTTCGCAGTCTTGGGTGTCTTCTTGCATATGGTAAGTTCATCCCCAACTAAGCTCGTGAGCTTTTCTCCACTCTCAAATACCACGGACAGAACGAACTTGACAAACCAATTTTGCACGTTTGCATAGCTGTTCGAATTACGGATCAACAAGAGCGTGTGCAAGTTTGTTACGATTATCCAAAAGGCGATTGCAGAGATCCGAGTATTCTTTGTTATTTTTGCGTTGGGGATTATTGCGTTCACGATCGCGTTGATGCATCTGCTCCGCGCGTGTCCTGTAGGCGAATGCACGATTACCGATAGCGCAGAGATGTTCCCGACACACTTTTTCAAAGCTATCTCGGCGACGTATTTCATGATGGTAAGATGCAGAGCTGTATTTGTAGAGAAACGATCGCGTTTCGATGGACGAGTGCATCGCTTAGTTACTTAACGAAACTTTTTTTTTTTGTCCTTTTTCGGATGGTGGATGATAATAGGGAGGAAGATATGATCCAGTAAACGATATGTTCAATACTGATGATTGGGCGTTCCATATTATGATGATGCTCTTCTTCTTCTTCGCCGCAATTCTGATGTTGAACGTTCTCATCGGTAAGTTGTTCGACCCCAAGCCGAGAGGTGAACCTGACTCAATCCATGTGTATCCCGTAAACTCACATCTACTGCCACTTCTTCGTGTCTGATCTCTACGCGACCTTTATTAGCTCTCATCAACGTGGCCTTCTTCCGCGGCGACGACGAGTGGCGTCTGACCTGGATCGGCTCACGACTCAAGCACATCGAAGCCGCCGAGAACTTGTCCTATCACCTCACTGGCTCACGGCGCAAACACGATTTTTTCCCTAGCGAGATATACTTCACTGCGTCGCCTCAGCAACTGGAGGCGTACGAGAAGAAGTACGGGGCAACATGGGACCGGGACTCGGAACTATTGTTGACGTCAACTCTGAGGAAGCGGAGCACAAGTCCTGGTGGAGGCGAGGCGGTGGATGTTATTGTGAAAGAGAAAGAGCAGGAGATTAGGGATTTGAAACGGACGTTGGAGACGATGGCGGAGACGTTGGCGGATGTGCAGAGGAACGTTCGTGAGATCCGAGACCCCAAGAGTTAATTAAGAATGTAATGTGTGATATCTTATCCCCTCCCGTTAGAGCGCCTAGAGAATCAGAATAAAGAAACCAAATATCTACAGCATAGCGATTGAGGGGAACGTGGCTATGACGACCAGAGGAGAAAATGGCGGTAATGGGAAGGATGGCGTATGTACGGGTGCCAGAAGAAAGACGCACTACCCATGTCGATGGGGAAGCGAACGGGCGTTCAGATGCCTCGTTTGCTTGGGCCTTTGCCTCTCTCTGTCTGTTCGGCCTTTTCGGAGGGTTGTCCCATATTCGCCGGAGTCAGTGCGTGCATGTGCATGTGTGCACAAAAAAAAAATCACACGTTTTACTGTATTCATGGCTATGTAAACCGTCGCATTCAGCAGGGCTCTTTATTTATCTTTCAGGTGCTTGGCCCCTCTTTCGCCTCTTTCGAGTCTGCAGCGCACCCATTTGTTGACTGCTAATTCTACAATTGTGCACAAGATTTGTCCAAAGACGCAGCACTTGATCCATTCAGAAGTGCGCTCAGACCTGGAAGATCTCTGGTCCAGCAGGATGCCATCGTGCCAACGTGTTCGCGCTTTTTTGGCGCAAAAAAAACAAGTCGGGAACACGTTCAATTGTGATGATTGCGATAGATATTTGGCATGCTTACCGAGGAATGCGATCTAGCTGCCAGAAGACATTGGATCTAATGCAGGTGTTCAGATGGATGAGGGAGCGTACTTGCTAGGCGCTTTTCTATGTGCGCATTGCCTGAATCATGGGCACCAGAGGTGGTGCTAAATGATGCAGTTTCAGTGCAATGGCGAGGAGGGCCATCGATCATTGAGGAGGAGGAGGAGTGTCTAGAATGAGTAAAAGGCAACGATAGAGAAGCAATAGCATGTACCATGCATCTCCTGCGATGTAACAGGGCTATTAATACGCGATACGCCCAATTAGTAGTCATACAGAGACGCAAAGGATAGGTCGGATGAGGTTTGAACAGTGCCATCACAAGGGATCCAACAATCCGCTAACGGTGCTGTGTGTGTGTATATACGTAGATTATTGGGCCAAGGAGGAGATATTGTTCGTCATAGAGTGAGCAGGTTTTACGCATTAGATTTGCCATGTAGCGTGGGCATTATTGTATATTATACAAGCAATCAAGCATGCCAGTCAGCATCTGAGACTATATACAAAGGGTGCAAAGGCATTGTCTGCTGTGTCCATCCCCCCCTGGGGTCCGAAGAATTCGCCGTTCCATCGTGAGCCATGGAGAGAGTTACAGCAAAGGGCAATTGAGTTTTTGTCCCTGAGCTAACACAAAATGGGATAAAATTCCGACGTTGTCTTACACGGAAGGTCTGTGCATCTCTTTTTTATTATATCACAGACACAGACACAGACACAAATACTCTGCGGTTCCTATATAAACCCACACCCCTCCCCTCAGCTTTCGTTCTCTTCTCTTTGTCTGCACTACGACCTTGTCATCCTGCCTACTACGACTACGCTTTGTTTTATATACCCCTCGCCTCATTGCGCTCCCCTCGATTATCTCTCCACCGCGTAATACTTTCTCATTCTCACACTTTGTATATCCCCAACCTTCCTTCGCCTGCACTTTAATATACCCCTTCTTTGAACTCTTGCACTCCTTGCACACTTTCACTTTATTGTACATACCTCTTCTTCATCAACCATAATGTCAAAGAACACAGAGGACCGTTTGACGGCACCGTCCACGCACACGCTGCCCATGTCTATGTCCATGGCCTCAACCACCACCATCGCTGTCTCCGCCAACAACATGTTGAGCTCCTCTACCTCCCCTATGATGTCCCCCACATCCACATCCGCCCGCACATCCCCATCCATCCGCCCAACAGACTCCAAACACAACAGCAACAATCCCACGGCGATGCAGATGTCCGACAGGGTTTGGTATCTTAGGAACACGATCCAGGGCATCAGCGGCAGTCTGAAATGGGGTCCCATGCCAGCAATCGTCGTGCGCGCTGGCCCGCGCTGGAAGTGCACGCTCGACATCAATGGACTGGAGCCCGGTTGGTACTCGATTGTGTTCTGTGTGTCCTTCAAGAACATGGATACCAAGGCGCTGCAGTCCTTGACCATCGATGCTAGACAGCTCGATGATGATAACCATGGCGTTTACATGGCCAAGACTTGTAAAACCATTATCGGAAATGATGAGCTCCGTAGAATGCGTAAGTCATTTGGAGGATTTGTTTCAGCCCCATACGGATGGATATGACATAATCATGGCTGGCATCTAAGTTTGCTTTATTACAAAATAGCAACTGAACGCTTTACACGCATGAGACTGCACCGCCAGATCGAGCTGGATGCAGGTGGACCCATGGAGCTGTCTTTCAACTTTGGAAGTGGAGCGATCGGTAGTTTTGAGTTGCGCTACGTTACGCTCGAGAGTGGCCAGAACGGTGTCTATGGTAAGCAGCTTAAAATTCCCTTGGAGTACAGGGCATTTGTTTGTACTATAAATTTCTTACAGCTGCTAATCTACGATTGAAATTTCGTCCTGTTAGACCATGTTCTGTACGGAGAGGGCAAGCCTCAACAGTTCATCAGTGTTGGCCAGAGCAAACAGGGGTCGGATCGCAGCACACTCAACGTTCATTCGTACGCTATCTCCTCTTCTGGATCGCACGCAGTTACCCTCTACTTTGATGATGGTCGCGCCTTCCTCGAGACCTGGGACTTGCGCGAGTCCAGAGAGGAGGCCCTCGCTGTCACTCCTCGAGTCCACAACACACCTATCGCGCGTGCGTTCATCAATGCCTTCACCACAAACCATCCGGATCTCATGGATATCTCTCTTGCCATCTCCAGCTTTGGGTCCCAGGTCGTACTACATTCGGCAGAGCCCTCCGAGAGCGGCATCCCTTGCCATATCTTCAACTGTGAACCACCAGCCCCGGCTGACCACGACATGTCCAAGCCTTGGACTCTGAGCCTCAAGACTATCTGCCAAGGTCTTAGAGGATACTATGGTTACGGTGCCTTCCATTTTGGCACTATTGATTCTCCACACGAGAAGGACGAGCGATACGTTACATGCGATGGATTGGCAGTGAACATCTTCAACATTCATGGTGAATGGTCCATGATCCGTGTTTTGACCTTGAGTGTTGAGTCGAACCTTGATGCAGCCTTGGCCATGTTCCTCTCCATGCGCGGACGCTACTTTGCCTGGACGGGTGTCAAGGGCATTGTCTCGATCTGGGATATTGTTGCGGGCAAGCAGGTCTCCTTCATCCCATTGGAGGATGACTACACCAGCGTGTACGCGAACATGTCCAGGGACGGATCCATGGTCGCCATCTCTGTCAAGGGACGCATCTCGGTCTACCAGTCGTTCACGGGTGTGAAGCTAGGAGACTTTGAGCCTGGCTTGAGCGACGAGAACTACTTTGAGGTCGTGCTTGAGCGTGATCACTTTATGGTTTTGGACAAGCCCGGAGCGGACCCTAACGACCCCGAGCAGATTGGATGCCGACGACTGATCAGCACACGCGATATGTCCGTTGCCAAGACGCTGCACATCCATCAGGACTATGAGGTCCAATACCCGGTACCGATTGCTAACCCGGCCTTTGCTTATGCTCAAGGATCGGTCGTGAACATTGTCAAGGCTGCCAACGCCCTTGCCCCACCTCGCGAGGGACCCTGTGGCCACGACTGTCATATGAACGTGTTGGCTGTCGACCTCTTTACGGAAGAGGAGACCTTGGAGTACAGCTACGAGGAGGGCCCACCAGTGTTCGGGATCACCGCCAGCCAGGCTCGCATCAACGGCACCCGGATGACTGTCATCACCATCAACCGTCATGACGATAAGCCCAAGCAGTTCGTCATCCCACTTGGACCCGCCCAAGTCGTATATTCTGGTGTCTTTATCCCAACGAGTTCACAACTGGTCCTGTCGACTGGTCGCTACTTGCAGATCTGGAAACTATCCCCTGCTCCTGGTACTGAGGTCGCCGAGCTAGAGCTGGTCTGGAAACTCAAGGATGAGGGCCGCGAACACACATCGGATATCTGCCATCGCAAGATTGCTAGTGCTAGTGCCTGCAACCATGGGAAGCACTTGGCTGTAGACCTCTATCCCGCACGTTGGTTCAGAAAGTCGAGGGAGCTTCCTAGAGTTGCCAAGCGAAACGCTGTCGAGACCGTTACGGCACCCATCTTCAGACTGGACAACATTGGTACCTCGGAAGCATTCCGTGTTAACCATGGAATCCAAGGTCTGGTCGAGTTGTACGCCTATGGTGAGGCGGAATGCCGTGACGCTGTCCTTCGACACCTCCAGACCCTTGTTCGACCATCGTCCAAGACCCGCACCTCAGCCATTGCTACGCTCTGCCGGTTCTGGACGCCCGAGAAGAAGGTCTTTTTCGAGGAGATTGCAGCCAACCTTCTCCCGACCACCCACGTTACCTGGATTCCTGATTCACAGCCCAAGTCTAGTATCGACCCTCTGGCTGTCATTTTGAAAGCTGCCGAGAGTCAGCCCTCGGCAGTTGGTGTGGCCAAGGTCATCATGGACTACTGCGTGGCGCATGCCAACAGTACCAAGAACCTGTCTTTCCTGTCACCGATCTTTAATTCGTGGCGCAAGATCATGGCGCATGCTCCGGGTGAGGCGCTCAGCTGCCTTGACCGCATGGCGTTTATCCCTGTGCAGCAGCGTTCGTACATCATCAACAACCATGCCATCGTACACTCACCCCGACCGCGTCTGGCGTTCTGGAAGACCAACGCTGCGCCGTTGTGGAAGACCGAGGACCCGATTCTGCAGCTGCAGGTGACACCCAAGAAGCCCAACGCGTTGAACGAGCAGTTCACTCAGCCGGTCTTTGTGGCCTCCTTTGATGCACTCTGGCAGTACAAGGAAGAGGCCAAGGAGGAGGAGCAACAGGTCCTCGCCTTTACTGAGGCAAAGTCAATGTGGTGGCAGACACTGTTCTACACGGTTTGGCTAAAGTTGCGACTGACGAACCAGGCCTTTGTTGAGGTCAAGGACTCGAGTCTTGAGTACTTTGATAACCCGGCCATTTCTGCGCTGATCTCTTACAAGTGGAACACGATCGGCTACAAGTACTGGCTGCTTCGGTTCTTCTTCCAGAGCTTGTACTATATCCTGATCACGGTGGTCGCGGTCATGCAGGTGTACTACCCAGACTTTAGGATGCTAAAGGATGCGTTTATTGCGATCGTTGCGCTCTCTGCGATGTTTCTCTGGCTCGAGCTGACCAAAGCCATTCGATGCTGGACCCGATACAATTCGTAAGTGCATGTCAAGGGTTTAATGGTTAATAATATTGATGCATTTTTTTTTTCTCAGTTCTTTTTGTTAACATTACTTGCTATCTTTTTTTTTTTTTTTTTTTTTTTTTTTTTTTTTTTTTTTTTTTTTCGTTCGGTGCAATAGGAAGAGTTATCATATCGCTGGAATGCTTGCATACTTCTTGCCCATGGTTGCTGCCATCGACCAATTGGTGGTGATCATGACGACAAACCAGGACGGAAACGCCCGACTTCTCTCGTTCTCAGTCCTTGCTGTATTCGTCAACATGGTAAGTAGTCATTTTTTGGACACGATCAAAAGCCGTGGTTCCATCGTTGAGGTCTTCCGTTGACAAACAAACAAACAAACATCCATCCATCCATTAACGACTCGCTTATTTTATTATTATTATTATTTTTTTTTTTTACTTTGGCTCCGCCTTTTATTAGCTGTATGAGCTCCGTGTCATCAGGATGGTATGCAAGTACGTTACGATCATCCAGCGTGCAGTCGGCGAGATTCTAGCCTTCTTTATCATCTTTGGTGTGGGTATCGCGACCTTCACGATCGCGATCCTGCATGTGTTGCATGCCTGCCCTGTCGACACCTGTACTCGAGATCCGGACTCGCTTTACCCTACACAGTTCTTTGGTGCCTTGACCTCGACATTCTTCTTTATGGTAAGTCATCATCTCTTGCTTTGATGCGCCCTCTTTTTTTTCTTTTTTTTCTTTTTTTGGATATCTCTTTATTTGATCGAATTTGCTGATACGAGTTCTCGATGTCTGTGCGATAATAGGCCGGTCGATTCGGACCCATTAACGACGAGCTCTCGAGTCAGGACTGGGGCTTCCATGTGATGATGATCTTTTGCTACCTGTTCACGAACATTGTCATGATGAACGTCCTGATCTGTAAGTCTTTGTGAAGGAGAGGGGAGCCAGTTTGAAAAAAAAAAAAAAAAAAAAAAAAAAAAAAAAAAAAAGAATCGTGTTGTCTAATATATCCCTTTATCTCTATCTTTTTTTGAATTCCTCTTAATAGCCCTGTTCAGTATGACATTCATCAAGGGCGACGACTGCTGGCGCTTGACTTGGTTGGAATGCCGTCTGCGTTACATCGAGTCGGCCGAGAACATGTCGTACCACATCCAGGGGTTCCGTGAGACCAACGAATACTTCCCCAAGGAAATCTTCTACACGGCCGAACCACTCAAGGTCTCTGCGTTCTTTGAGAAGCACCGCAAGTCTGGGGGATTCAAGGATCTGGTCTCTGCAAAGGCTGAGCATAAGAACAGAGAGATCGAGGACCTCAAGCACCAGCAGCACCAGCACCAGCACCAGCATCATCAGGATAGAGATGACCGTAGTTATCATAGCCATGATGGCAGCACGATCGGAAACCAGGAGGATGAATTGGCGGTGAACGAGAGGAGGGATCGAGTCCAGGAGGAGACAAAGGCAGAGTTGTCGGCGATTATGATGACGCTTGCAGAGATGCAGAGGAGTATTTTGGAAATGCGCGAGCCTGTGGTGAGGAGGGATCCGAAGGCTGAGGCGGCGTATGAGAGAGCGCAGGCTAGAGAGATGGTGGAGCAATGGATGAATCCTCGAGGCGAGGAGCAGCAGCAACAGGGTGAATCCTCGAATTCTTTGAGTCACCAGCAACAGCAGCAGCAGCAGCAACAGCAACAACAGCAGCAGAGGGCCTAGAGATAGAGGGAGAGGGAGCAGATTGTGGGCAACGACAAGGAGAGACGGCCTTTGGATAGTGTGAGCTGGAGAAGTATCAGTAAATGGTGCGTTTCCCTATGCTTGTAAATAATAAAAAAGTAAATTGACAGAACTGGTATAGTACTGGATGTAGTAGTAGATTGTGAGTATGCTGTGCTGTGGCGATGCGACTAGACCATGACCTTCATTCACCATGCCACATGGTAGCGGCAAAAAAACAACAACGAGACATCTGCATGGGCATTGTTGAAGGAAGGAGGGTATATTTCTACATGAATAGGTGAATAACGCGTAGGATGGCCCCTGGCTGAGCTGGGCTGGTTGGGCTGGGTCCATCAGGGTTCAGGAAAAAAAAAAAAAAAAGACTGCCTTATCTATGGTATAGGGAGGGAGAGAAAAAAAAAATAGGATCCCGGTTTCGAGGGAACAAAAGTAGTTCGAGAGCGAGGGATTGGGGGACCTTTCATATTATGATGATCATCTTTTTTTTCTTCTTCTTCTTCTTCTTCTTCTTCTTCTTCGCGGTTTATCCTGACCGTGAACGTGTTTTATCCAAGGACGAATATACTATTGAGGATAGATATAGACTTTCGAGAGAGAGAGAGAGAAGAGGGAGTTTCTTTTATTTATTTAATTCAAAATTCTGTACAATGAACGTCCATCAGCATCACGATGCAGATCGTTCGTTCGTCTCTTTCTTTCCTTCTTTCCTTCTTTCCTTCTTTCCTTCTTTCCTTCTTTCCTTCTTTCCTTCCATCTCTAGTGCTTGTGGTGCTTATCCTCGTTCCACGTATGCTCATCCTCCAATTCCTGCCTCACGCCCATCAACGAGTCCACAGGCTGAACAGCCGGCAACTGCGACGCACCCCAAATCCGAACTCGCTTGATACCCCCGTCCGGGATCATGATCACATTAATCATCGCAATCCTCTTCTCCGTCAAATCCGGCGCGACCTCAAAGAAATGCTGTCGGTGTGGTCCCACCGGAACCTGATCCAACAACAAAATCGGTTCATCCGAATGCAACTCAAAACCCGCAATCGTCACGGCCTTGGGTGGGTTACCCTTGTAGTGTGCTGTGTCGATCTCGATGTTGGTCACATGTCCAGGTTGTCCGAGCTTGATCTTCGCGTGGTCCACATGTCCGGGCGTACGCGAGCGTTTGGTCTCCCAACCGTCCGACATATCGTGTCCGCGACCGGGGAGGAGCATATTCGAGGGGTGTCCATAATGTGCGTCCGAGAACTCTATAACCCTCGCCCCCGCGGCCGCAGAGGCGAGATCATAGATCTCATGCTTGTTCTCGGGGATGACCTGGTGCACGGTTCCATAGGCACGGAAGCGGGAGACTCCACCATCGGGGTAGATAGAGAACCTGAGATGGGTATAATACTCCGTCGTCGGCTTTTCCAACTTGAATCCATGACGAGCGTTCGGGTTCAAAGGAACCTTGGCCAAAATCGGTGTCCACTCCACGGTCGCCCATTCCTCATGTGTACGGGTGGTGGTGGCGGGCTGCTTATCCGTCGCTCGCGTGGCGGTGTCCTTGAATCCCTCGACAGAGGCAAAGGGGGCGTGGTTTCCTGTGAAGAAGGTGGTGTCGATCTCAAAGCCCGCGATCGTGCCCGCATATCCGAGCTGAATCACGACCCAGTCGTAGTGGGGGTTGTGACGGCGGGTTTCCCAGCCATCGTACCAGGCGCCCGTCGAGACAAAGTGGCCCGGGCGGGAGATCGGAGCCGTGGGCTTGATGAGGTTCTTGGCGTCTGCAAAGAATTCGTCCGTTAGGGTGATGATCTTGCCTCCACGAGAGTCGGCCGCAAGGTCTGGTCACGATCATGGTTCATGTTGTGGTGGTTGTGATGATGGTGTGGTGTTTGGGACGAAAGGATAAGGAAATACAATGAGAAGCAACACAATTACGTCGGTCGATGGGAGGGCGATAAGGTGGGATGAAACAGGTGGGGAGAAAGAGAGGCAGGAGGATTAGTTATCGGTTCTTTGTTCAACAGAGGACTAGTGCAAGGGATAGGGAGCATTGGACCCTCCATGCGGCTTACCGATATATTCCTTGAAGGTGTCGTCGATCTTATCGGCGGCGACACTGTGGTGTGGGGAAGCAGGGGTGTTGCTCTTCATGATGATGTGTGTATGTGTGTATGAATGTACGTGTGTGTGTATGTAGTTTAGTGTGAATGGGGTAGGGTTGTTGATGGAGAAGAAGAGAAAAGAACCGGCACTATCGTCTGTATTTATACCGCTGTCAGTGCGGGGAGGGGGGTGATGTCAAAGGAAGGAAAAGAGCTCCCTAAAATGGAATGGACCGTGTGGATACGCTTCCTCGCTCTTTGCCCTTCCCCCACTCTCTTTCTCTCTTCACTCCTCTCCCGCTTTTAGCTTATCTCGCGCCACACTAGCCCTCGCTTACGGCCCTCTGTGCGTAACCGTGGATCATCCTCGCAACCCTCCCCAAACGGGCCCTTCCCTCCCACTCGCAATCGCAATCTCCCTCCAGGCTGCGATCCCCCCCTCCCTCTCGATCGGTCCGATCGGTCGATCCCTGGAAACTCTCAGAGAAACCCAAAAATGCATAAAAATCTTTTTTTTTGTGGCTGTGAGACCCGTCTGCCCAAATGAGGAAACAGCCCCGCGAAAAACAGCGAGGTTTCTGTGTTGAGGTCGCCCTCACTAAAAAAAAAAAACAACGCACCTTCGGATCCTGGATGACTCTCCCGGGACTGTAGGGTATGCTTCCTTCCTCTCTCTCTCTGCCTCGCCGACTGGTCCCTTCCATTTTCTAATGAGACACGCACCGTGTTCGTGTCGCTTTCAAATGCGCGATATACTGCAGGATCCAGCCAGGATGGGCAGTCCTGGAGAGTGGAGAGAGAGAGCATTCTGGAATGTTTGAGCAATTGGCTCCACCATAGTCTACCATGCCTGATCACAAGAAAGCATAGAGCACAGGGAAGCATAGAAAGCTAGTTTTCTTTAAAACTTTTTAGTAAATGACAAGATGGAATAAACTATTGTATGATAGACTATGTATGTTTATGTGTATGTTTGTATGGAAAATGAACTACACCTTCTCTCTCCCTCTCTTTCTCTTTCTATTTCCTGGGCTTGTAGTTGATCTCAACGGGTAATACGGGCTGGACAAACATCTTTGTGTAGTCTGAACCGGGCATGCCCTTCTCCGTCAATGAAAAGTCGTACAGGCGAATAAATGTCGAGACCACAGTCTTGAGCTGGACATACGCGAACGTCTCTCCGATGCAACGATGACGACCTGCGCCAAAGGGCAAGTTGGGGTTCCTGGCTCCACCTCCAGCAATCTTTCCGAATCCATAGTCGATCGTCTCTCCAGTCTCCTCCTCCACAATACTCTCCCAGCGCCGGGGCTCGAACGAATACGCGTTCTTGTAAAACTTCTCGTCGACCTGGGTCGCAATGGGCGAGGCAGCAATGTAGTTGCCTGGGGGGATCACATAGTCCGTACCGGGGTAAGCAAGAGGGCGGAGCACCATACGGAGAATCATGATAATTGGTGGGCGAAGGCGGAGGGTCTCGCGGATAACGTGGTCCAGGAGAGTCATGTCCTTCAGAGAGTCAAAGGTCAGGGGAGCATCGAGTGATCCGAGGACGTCCTTTTGTTCTGCAAGCAGGTCCTTGACCAGATCGGGGTTCTGGGCCAGGAACAAGAGCGCCCAGGTGGCAGTGGTCGAGGAGGTGTGCTGACCGGCCATCAAGAGGGCGATCATCAAGTGGCAGGCATCGACATCGGTAAAGGGGGTTCCGTCCTTGTAGGTCTGGTTCATGAGAGACTGCAGCATGTCGGTCTTGTCGGTGATGTTATTGGCACGGCGCTCCTCAATGACCTTCATAAAGATACCACGCATCTTACGGTGAGCAGAGTCGCGGCGGAAGTACGAGGGGAGGGGGAGCCACTCAAAGAACATGTTGATGGGCTGGAAACCGTCGTCGAGATCATGGTAAAGCTGGGCAACTATAGCATGGAAGGGGAAATAAATGTTGATCCGTTAGTGAATCGGCATGTCCCATGCATGGTGTGACAAAAAAAAAAAAAAAATTGGAGGAACGTGGTGATGAGTACTGAAGCCCTGGTTTGTTCGAAAGCAAAGGATGGATCGACAAGGCTCGGTGTCTGACAAGGTCAAGGGACAAAGAAAACAAAACAGAGGCAGTTGCTTACCAGACTCGTCCATCAAGGAGCGGATCTCGGGGCCCATCAAGGTACGCGAAGCAGTGTTGATGATCAACTCTCCCATGGCGGTGAAGAGGTCGCCTCTGCCGCCAGTCTTGTTGTTCCAGCGCTTGAAGTAGGTGAGGGTCTCCTCCTCGATCTCGGGGACGTAGGCTCTGAAGGCGTCGTTGGACATGCCCCACTTGACAAACTTCTTTTGCTCCATCAGCATGTGGTTGGGGCAGTCGTAGACGATGCCCTTGCCAAAGACAGGGGTGGTCAAGGGCTTGTAGGACTCCTCTGCAGAGACATCGGCGAGCTTGGCGTTGAAGACAAAGTTGTTGCCCTCGGTGCCGAGACAGACGGTGAACTTGCGACCGACCATGGTGTAGGTGTAGACATCGCCGTACTTTTTGCGGTTGTCCTCGTAGAACTTGATGGGGTTGACGCTGAAGGAGATGGCGGATCCGAGATAGGGGATCCAGTAGGGGACCTCGGGCGGGGCGTTCTTGTCGACGTTGATGCGCTGGGCGATCTGGGTGAGGATCAAGATAAGGGCGATACCGATGGCGAGGGTGGAGAGGATCTGGGAGAGGTTGGCGGGGTTGGTGAGGTGGCTGGCCAGGGACTGCAGGCCCTGGACGAGCTGGACGATGATGGCCATGCTCAGGGAGATGGGGGAGAGGGAGGAGAGGGAGTGGATGAGCGAGCGGGATGAGAAGAAGAGAGAGAGAAAGAAGAGATGAAGTTCAGACCAGGATGCTATATATAATCCCAAGAAGAAGAAGAGTAAGAAGAAGAAGAGGAGGAGATATCGCCAGGAACAAACACAACAACGGACGGGGATCAGACCAGCGGAGGTACTGGCATTCCCTCCCCTGTGATTGGCTGCAGCCGAGATCACCTCTTTCTCTTTCTGCACTCTCACTACACTCTCATATACTCACTCTCACTCTCACTCTCACTCTCACCCTCATACTGCACTCGCTCTCATAGACTACTGCACTCGCACCCATTCCCCTTCCTTAGTCTATCTCTCGCTATGGTCCACATCCTCCGAGAGGACAGCGCCGAGCAAGCCGCCACAGCCAGCCCACCTCCACCCACTCCCACTCCTACTCCTACTCCCACTCTCACTCCACTCTAGGAAGAAATCAAAAATGTGGCATGATTTTTCTCGGCTTTTTCTTGATCTGCCAGGCTCCGTCTCTTTTCTAATGTTTCATCCCCACATGGCGCCTCTCTCTCTCTCTCTCTCTCTCTCTCTCTCTCTCTCTCTCTCTCTCTCTTTCTCTCTCTCTCTCTCACACACACACATACTGCACCCACCAGGGACCTCGCGGATCTTCCCAAATAGTCAACCAGGGCCCGGGTAATCGAATCCCGCTGCAGCTGCCCTACCCTTCAACAGTCTACCTCTTCCTTGTAGCACACATACACAACATACGCAAAACTGGGTTGTATGAACAGGGTTATTATTATTGCTTGTTATCCTCCTACATACATCATTTCGTGTTTTCCCCCAGAGCATCATACGATTTTGAATTCAAGGGGCCTTCCCCTAGTCGTCCGTAGCCCATACGAAAAAAAAAAAGATTCCCCGAAAAGAACCTTGGGACGCGCGGAATTTTTTTTTTTTAGCTTCCAAGGGAAAAAAAAACCTGTAATTCGTAAAAATCTTGACCGAGATGGATCCCCTTCCCCTTCTTCTAGCAAACGGACGTGAAAGACGTGTTTCTCCGCACCTTTTTTTTTTTTTTTTAAAAAAAAAACTGGATGTATCTAAAGAGCGTTACAAACATTCCATTGCAACCTCTTGCGATCAAACTCCAGCTCGTTTTTTTTTTTTTTTTTCTCTTTTTTGTTATTGTGCCTCGCGAAAAAGAAACTGCAATCTGGAGAAATAGGTGTGCTTTTTCTTTTATTGTATATACATATACTATGGATGGATGGATAAGAATGATGATATGAGAATTATACGGTGTCTCAAAAAAAAAAAAAAAAAGGAATCTCTTTCGCACACGCGTGCGCGCGCTGTTCAAAAACTTTTTTTTTTTTTTTTTTTTTTTTTTTTTCCTTCCCCCTCTCTTTTCAAACCCTCCTCTTTTACTTCTTCTGAGCAGGCTTCCAGTTAGGGTCAAAGTTACTCTTCAGTCCCTGCCATGCCTGGAAGTAATCCTGCTGAACCTTCCCACTCTCCTCGATCGCCCAATGCGTCGGCTGGAGCTGCATCGACGACTCAAACATGAACGCCTGTGTGCCCTTGGCAATGTACATTGGCTTCAATTCCTCCTTTGACGCCTTCTCAAACGTGGGCGCGTCCGGTCCATGGGGGGTCATCATCGAGTGCAACGATGCTCCACCGGGAACGAATCCTCCTTGCTTGGCCTCGTACGTTCCGTGGATCAGACCCATGAACTCGGACATGCAGTTGCGGTGGAAGTAAGGAGGGCGGAACTATCCATTGCAGTCCAGAAAAGGAAGAAAAGAAAAGAAAAGAAATAAACACATATACATTGGGTTTCGTGTTAGTCGTTCATCTTTCTTTTTTCATAGCTTGTGTGTGTGTGTGTGTATGCGTGTGTGTGTGTATTGTCTGCTGTGAGCAGTATATATGTAGAGTTATACTTACAGTGTTCTCCTGCACGGACCAGCGAGGAGGAAAGATAACAAAATCCGCAATGGCAACACCGGGCTTCTCAGACTTGCAGGTGAGCACTGTGAAGATCGAAGGGTCCTAATTTTTGTATTACCCAAATGCAAATCATCATCACGCATAGTCAGTATCCATTTTTTTTTTAAACCATTCCTCCTCATTGTCGAAAAAGAAGCAGCAGCAACAGTAGCTGAAAAAAAAAAAAAAAAAAAAAAAAAACTCTCCAAACTCACAATGTGGTCAAAAGACACCGAATTGATGGTGTTGAACAACGCAAGGTTGTACTTGAAGGGGGCATAGTTTCCGTGCCAGGCAACGACATCAAATGGACTGTTGTTCTGCTTCGCACTAAACAGCTGGCCTCCATACTTGTTCACGATCCGGAAGGGCTTCTCCTCATTCACAAACGCCGCCACGGGTGTCTGGAAGTCTCGGGGGTTGGCCAGACCGTTCGCTCCAATCGGTCCCAGGTCCGGGATGGTCCAGCATCCGTTGAACACCTCGCAAATGTAACCACGGCTATTGAAAGAGAGAAAGAGAAAGAGAAAGAGAAAGAAAGAAATAAAAAACGCGATTGAGTTAGTAGCTGGTAATTGGATATGATTTCTCTCTCTTTCCTTCCTCCCTCCCTTTTCTTTGCTCATGCTCTATAGCTCTCTTCTGTCTGCATCTAGGGTCAGTCCTGTTATCATCCATTATTATTTACCTTGGTCCGTCAGGGAGGGCAACCGAGAAGCGGATGCCGCGCTGGATGACACAGATCTCGTTAGGGTGGACCATGATCTTTCCAAACTCTGTCGTAATATCCAAGCGACCCTGCTGAGGGACTTTTTTTTTTAAGAAAATGGAGCCATATCAAAAACGATGAGGTTAGTCGTATGTTCAACGCCCTGCAACACCTGAAAAAAGGCAGCCTAAAAAAAAAAAAGCAAAAGCAAAAGCAAAAGCAAAAGACAGCCTCCTTACCGATCAACAAATCACCGTCCGAGTTATTGAACGCCGTATCCTCCATATCCTTATTCGCCGCATAGATCAACACGGCCATCCCATGCTTGACACCGACATCGCCCGCACCCGCGATCGAGTGCAGACCCTCCACAAAGTCTGTGGGCTCTGTGGGCACATCAAATGGAGACCAACGCAATTGATTCGGCGTCACCTTGACGTTGGCCGCATCCGTGTAGTTCCCCACGAGCTGGGTCTTCTTGTGGAAGGGCTCATAAGGCGTGTGGCAGACCGAGGGACGGATACGGTAGAACCAACTTTTTTTTTTTTTTTTTTTCGATACATGGACACATGGGACACATGGACACATGGACGTAGAAAACGGAGGAAACAGTAATAAAGAAAAAAAAAGAAAAAGAATGTACCATGGGTGAGTGAGTGACAAAGAGAATTATAACTTAAAAAAAAGAGACCCCCCCCCCCCATTCATTAGAACCCCCCCCCTTAGGACCACTTACGTCCTCTCGTTGTGCTTGCGGTCGACCGTGAAGGCTGTTCCGGAGAGCTGCTCCGCGTAGAGGTTGTAGGGGCAGACCTGGGGCGTGTTCTGACCTAAGACGAAAGAAAAATGAAAATGAAAAAAAAGAAGTTTTTCCCCACAACCGTGAGTAAGTTAAAGAATTGTCACTGCTTTTTTTTTCATATTTAATGACCACTTAGACTTTAATCCCACTCAGCGACAATCAATCAAAAAAAAAAATTACCCTTGGGAAGAGCGTCAGGGAGAGCCTCGGACGAGAAGTGGTTAGCAAAACCAGGCTGGTACTGGTAGTCGTTCTTGATATCGGTCATGGTTGGAAGGGAAGTTCTCTGAGGTGGATGGGAGGTGAGGAATGAGTGATTCGTGGGGAGGGATGAGGAGAGTAAGAGAGGAATGAGAGTGAGGGAAAAAAGGTGTGTGAAAATTATGGAAGTGGAGGGGACGCGACCCTTACCTTATATTTCATTTTTTTAGTCAGAGCCCTGCCGGCCCTCTTCTGAGGGACCATCCAGCAAGCCCCTTCATTGCACCCAAAAAAGAAAACGGCGAAACAACTCGAGACTCTCTCTCTCTCTCTGCCTGGGACACCCAACCCATCGAATGCTTTCCCCCCAACGCCGAGACTCTAGTCGTCCGTCAGTGAATACATAACGACACCGGTTGTGTACCCCACCTGCCCTCATCCTCATCGAGGGATTGGATCAAGAGCTGGGTGTGCTTTTTGTTCCAAGGAGTTTTTTACGCGTAAGGGTTAGAGTAAAGACCCCATAAGGCCTAAGATAGAAGTAGGAGCAGTGCCGGATAGCAACTATGGTATAACATAACCACTTGCCATTGGCGATAGAAGATCTGTCGAGTCAAAAGGAACCTTCTTGAAAAAGAACCAGAACATCGTAATCATTCAGTTTTGCGCAGATCGTGGGAGAGTCAGCCCAATTTCGTCCTCAAATAAACACCGTAATTGTGCGCCACCAAAAAAAAATACCTGTCCCCGGACCTGGGAGGCCCCTCCCCCCCCGCAATTTCGCTTTCAATTCATAAACTTTAGTTATGCTTTACTTATGTACAAGTGTTCGCTATGGAAACAAAAAAAAAAAAAACAACCAATATTGATATATATATGTTGTGTGTGTGTATATGCAAACGTTTCAATGAAGTCCCACAGTGATGTAGTCCTGCTTCGACGGCTGTGGGTTATACATCTCTCCGTCCTCCGTCTTCATCTCCACCTGCACCCCGCGCAGTTCCCGCACCTCCATCTCCAGCACATGGCGCTGGAAAATCATCTCCTTCAGCTTCTTGTACGCCATCGCCGAGAGCATCTCGAACTTGTCGCGCGTGTCCTGCATCGCCACCGCCGTGCGCGTCCGTGCCCGTGTCTCCGCCGCCAGGTCTCGTTCGAGCGATGCAACCCGGGCCTGCAGGGCTGCATTCTGCTGACGCAGTTGCGCCAGTTCCTCTTGCTCCGACCTCGTAAGAGAGCTCGTCCCGACCGTGATCGTGGAGGACGCGGCTATGGAATCCGTTTCCGTGGACGTGCCGGCTTCCGCGGTGCCGGTGGCACTATCCACGAACCCGGTCTGTGTTCCGAATTCCTTGAGCTTGAGATCTTGTCCGAACAAGTCCCTGGGCTCTGTTTGTGTGTACATCGGTCGCATTATACAATGCTGTGTCTGGATCTGGACATGGCGCACCTTCTTGCGTGAGATCGGCTTTGGCAATGTAACCTCCGGGGCCTTGAACTTTTCTTGTGCATAGAGATCCTTTGCACCAACACCGGCAGTCTCGTCCGTAAGCATGCCCTTGGCCATATGTGCCTTGTGATTGGCGATGCGATCCGATAATGCCAGGGAGATTGCTTCTTCGTCTATTAGTGATTGCTGCTGTTGTTGTTGTTGATGATGCTGTTGTTGATGCTGTTGTTGATGTTGATGTTGATGTTGATGCTGTTGATGTTGTTGTTGTTGGTCCCCAATATTAAAAGTCACCTTGTTGGCTCGCTTCGGTACATTCTCGGAACCCTGCATAGCCTTGGGGGAGCCCGTGGTACGAGGGACACTTGAGGCGGACTGCCTATTCGGTGGTTGACGTCCCTGAATCGGTTCCACACCTGTGGATGGCGTGATAAAGCCCGTGTCCAGTGCAAAGTTATCGAGCAAGAAGGGTGTGCTATCCAAGATGAAAGAGGATCCCTCGCCGCCACCGGCTTGGATGACGATGGATCGACGCTTGTCTGCACCATAGCTGGACCTATTGCTCTTATTGTTGCTATTGTCGTCGATGTCACCATCGTCTTGAATAGTTGTCGTCACCTGGATATTAGGGTTGTTACTCAAAATCGAACCCCGGTTAGATCCCGGTCCTTCACCGCCCATGCTGTTCGTACTCACACGCTTGGGCGGTGATGCCGTGGTCGACGGTCGACCAGGAAGCGCAGTAGATCCTGTCACGACTGTGCCTCCTACTGCACCCACGTCCTTATCCTTGTAATCAACTGCGATCATGATGTACTTCTTCCCATTGGGAAGCGTCGCGACCTCGCTGCCCCGGCTTGAAGTGCTGATAGAGCTGGTGCTGCCTAGTAATGAAGGCTCAAGCTCGCTGCTCCTGTTTGGAGAGTCGCGGCCCACACTGAAGCTGGTCTTGCGAGCCCTCAGCCGCTGCAGCAACGTGCGCTTCTTTTTATCGTCGACCACTATTGGGGGCAAAATAGGAGCCGGCTGAGGTGGAGGCGGTCCGTTCTTGAAGAAATCAATGAGATCCTTCTCGGTCTTGCGCTGGGCTTTGTAGTCTGAGCTCAGCTGATGGGTCTCCTCTTCGTCGCTGTCATTAAAGTCTCTTGCTGCGGCCGCCCGGGGTTGAAGATTGCGAAGGGCCGCCATTCGGGTGCCGGAGCTGCTTGTACTGTATGAATCCATGTTGTGCTTAATAATGCAGGGTACGAAAATGCGGTTGTCCGTGAGCGCCTTTTTTTTTAAAAAAAAATAAGAGATGTAACTTGTTTGTAGATGGGGAGGGGTCTGTGGGCTACTTGTGCAAGCGAAGGCAACACAAAGGAATTTTTTTTTTGTTACACCACGGAAAGCAGCGGGATGAAGGGGTGCCTTGTGGCAATGAAAAGAAAAAAATATTAAACACTAAAAAAAAAAACAAGGAAAAGCTGCAATGGCTGATTCCGCAGCGTAGGGATGGGTGTCTCCGCTTTTTGGAGATTCGGAGGGATAGGCGCAAAGGAGCGGGTGGGAGCAGATGGAAGCAGGAAAGTGAGATTAAATACAAGCAAAAAAAAAAAAAAAAAAAAAAAAAGACTCTTGTACAAATGAAAGACCCAGGCAGATGAGGACTTTGGAATTGCGAGAAGGAGCAGGCGAGGACCCAGATGAAGAGATCGATAGCCTAAAGCAGGGAGCCAGGAGAATCTTTGGTGAGCATCGAATGGAATCGGTGCGTCGGGCCCCTGAGACCACCAAAGGAACGGACTCGCTCTGTCCCTGAAGAGGGATACGTACTGGTCTCTCGATCAATACTGCAGAAGATGAAGCTCAACACTGCGGAGGAGGTTTCCTCGATTCTGATTACTGGCGGTACCGAGTAAAAAGAGTAGCGTATGAAGAATGCTTGTGAAGGTATCGAGGACAGTGGGCAGGATGAGGAGGATAAAAGAGAGAGAGAGAGAGGAGCGAGAAGACGAAGGCGGGATAAATAAAAGGGATGCTGCCATGATGAGCCGTGGTCTGCAGATTATGAGGCACTGGAGGAAAACAAGGGGTGGCCGTGGGAGAGGGGTATCAAACAAACGGCGGCGACCCGTTGCAATGGGAAAAGGCAGGGGGAATTGCATGAATGGGCTGCTGGACTGAGCACCGCTGGAGGGATGGAAGGATAGCGGCGGAGGGCTTTTCGAGCCGTATGGTCCTCCCAGGTCCTTTGCGAGTCCTCTTCCAAGAGTCTTCCTGGCGCTCCCCACAGGCCCGTGCTTCGGACACGCTCAAGTGGCAGGGAACGTGGATTGCGTGTAACATCGTCGGCCTTATCTCACACGGGACACTGCACCGGGCCGTTGGAGCAGCAGCGGATGGCAATTAAACGTGGGCCGGTAAGTAGGCGTGGGCTAATTTGTGCTGTTCATTTCATGGCGGAGGTGGTACAGGGCGGGAACGGCTCGGCGGGAACACCAGGGAGGTTGATTCCCCAAACAGGGGGGAAGGGGGAGAGGGGTTGGGTCTATTAGAATATGAGAGCAAGATGAGGAGGCCCCCCTGGAGCAGAAGGCAGGTACGTTAGTGAGCACCGAAGCGTCCCCCACAGGTACTCGCACAGGTCCTCCATGGTCTCCCCGGAAGACTACCCCTCGAAGGTGCCGCATTCTTTGATCAGGGGCAAAGTTCGTTTTGGTGGCGCAAGTCAATGCAGGTACGGTTTCAGCTAGTACTCGGTTCTTCAGCTCCATGGCTCGCTTCCCATCCACTCCCTGACATTTCATACTCGGGGACTGGAAACAATGACGCGTATGTGCACGTCGTTGAATGAGTTCAACGTCAACACGGAATGCACTGACGGCAAGAAGAACAAGCGCCTTTGAAGACAAGAAATTTAACATTGCCCATGCCGCCAGAATCGCACAGGCATCACCTTGGAACGTACCGCTCCTGTTGAGAGGAGGCCTTGCAGAACCAAGCAACAGCTATCAAGGGCCTATTGAACAGCTACATATCTTGAGAGATGAAGAGGCTAACAACGAGAACGGTTCTGCAGCATCATCTACAGTACCTTCACAAGCGAAAACAGGCCACGACTCTATAAACCTAACAGAGTTTAAAGGCTATGGCGTTAAGCCTTCAACGGGACCCGAAGCAAGTAGAACCAGCAGGGCTGTATTTGGGTATTCAGGGCACCTGTGTTGAGCTACTAGCGCTTGCCATCTTCGCAAATGACTTCCTAGTCGGAGACCAAAAGCGCTCTGCACCAGGAACTCCAGATGGTTGAATCGAAATTCTTGATCACCCAAGCGAAAGCTCGAGGGTGGCACAGGCAGCCTACGAAGAGTACGTTGCCCGGTCAGAATATGAGAAGCAACAGCACGAGGGAGAGATGGCCGATATGAGGAAGGGACTTCCGAGGAGAGGTCAGGAAGAGGGGAAGGACAGAATACAAAGCAAGAAGGTAATATGGATTTTTTTTTCTAAGCGCCAACAACGGCTCTATCGGCGCTTTTTTTTTTTTTTTTTTTTTTTTTAATTTCATACTTTCATTATAAATACCACTCAGAATCACTCAGATTGCTTACATGGGTCTTGTATATCGCTGCTAGAAGCTACAAATAAGCATAATTCAGCCCTCACTGGCATTGCTGGGACTGATCTGCGACGCTTTGTTGTACGCGTACTAGAAACCTGGAAGAGAAGTTGAAGAGCCCGTGGTCTCTACGACAGAAAAGCAGGGATAGGATTCACCCTCGCGCTTTCCAAACCCCCACAGGACCGGATAATGGTTCTGAATGAACGGTGCGATGCTTTTATTATTCATCGTCCTTGTACAACTTTTGGTTGGATGCGCCTGCCACATGTGGGCATATAAAAAAAACGGTTTGTCATCGCGATGTGGAGACATGAAGTGATTGGCGCAAATTTCGTGTACGACATAAACACGAGTTGCGCTGTGCTATGCTATTAGTATTATGCTTTTGTGCTGTGCTGTGCTGTGCTGTGCCATCCTGCTCTGCAGCGTGTCACAGCATTTTGACAGTCCGTGAATGCCTCTGGCGACCCCCGTATCTGACAAGTAAACGGCAGTGGCAGCGATGACAGTGAAAGTTGAACGCAGACGGGGCCGAATAAGGCATCTGTCTCGTACGTGGAGTGTTCCCAATCAGCTATCAAAGCCTTTTTTCCATCAGCTCGCCATCACTCCAGCGATGAATGGCATCGCACCCAGCGATCAAATGGTAACGCACACCCCGCGTTTCTTTTTTTTTTTTTTTTTTTTTTTTCCCTTCGCATCCTTACATTTGACGCTTCCAAGCTGCAATCTCACATCACTTTAACCCTGGCTTCCTTCATCTCAAGGCCATTCTTCAGAATATCGGTACAAAAGACCATTGGTTTAAAAGAAAAAGCCCTCATCATCAGGAGCCGATTCCAGCCATTTCGGGCTACACGTTTGGCCATGGCATCTTTGTCCAGCACGGTATATTATCCTAATATCTTTAGACATGTCCACATTCGGTTAATATCCTGTGGAGCCCTAACCACACCTTTTTCCCTCTTCTGAAATACATCTTATTCAGGGCCGCCTTGAAGGCACAACTAGGAGTGCTATCACTAAGCCATTGGTTCTCGACCCTGGCTTGTACGACATTCAGCCTGCGGAGCTTGAGCGGTTCAAGTCAAGCAGTGGGCTCCCAGCTAGCCTGAGGTCGGCCCCTACGGCTAATCTCCACGACTTTTTCACCCATCTGGTTGCCAAAGGGGCCTATATCTGCAGGCCTTACGCCGACGACTCATCAGACGATGAAGTCGGGCGTGAGCCTCAAAAGAGCGAAACGGAACTGCAACCCCAAAGAGATGACAACTCCAATAGCAAGCAGCAAGCAAAGATCAAGAAGCGCAAAGGCAAGAAGAGAAAGAACAAAAAGAAGCCAAAGCAGCAGGATGCAGAGTCAAGCACACCACTGCCCGACGACGTACCTTTACTGAGGCCGGACCCCATCAAGGAGGACAAAGAATCCGCTTTGCAGAAGCAGATTGAGGTAAGCACGGTCATACTTGAACCTCACACGGAGGGACTTTGAAGGAGTGAACGCCTTGGATACCACATCTTTAACACTGGCAGATGAACTGCACTTCGGAATCCTTCCCCAACGTTCTTCCATTTTTGACCTTTATTATTGTTGATTTTTCTTCTTCTTTCTCTCTCTTTCTTTAAAACAACTGTGATTCAGCTCGCCGTCAATAACATGCCAAAGAAACCCTCACGGGATCCACAGGAACCACCAAACAAGGCTCTTTGGGAGCGGGCGCAATATCTGCCAGGAGGTCTTCAAGAGTTTATCCAGAGCTATCAACCGCGAGTCAAACATCTGAATATAGTACGTCCAAGGAACTCTGACGACGACGACGACGACGACTCTGCAGGACACAACTGGAGAGATCTAATCGATTTTGAGGGCTGTGACATTGACCCGTCAGAGGAAACTGACGTGAGTGGGACCACAAGGGTTCAGATATTTCGGGTCCATATTACCTGAAGTGTGTGTGTGTAGAACAACTAACCTTTTTTTTTTTTTTTTTTTTTTTTGGTAGACACAGCAAGATTACGCTTTCCTATATCGACTACTTGAAGATCTTTGGACAAAGTACCTAACCTCTCAACGGAACCTGAACCATAAAACAGAGATGTTGATCACGCTCCAAGAGAACTATAACGATTACAAGAAAGCCCAGGAAGGAGAGATTTCAGCAGCAGAGAGAAGGGTTACGGAAGCAAGAAAGAACTTGGCAGTGTCCGAAAAGGAGCAGCGGCAGCTACAGCTCCGTACAGAGGAGGTAAAGGCGATTCTTTTTTTTCTTTTTTCATGCATATTCCTGTGGACTCATCTTGTGCTTCAAGGAATGGCTTTGGGAGGAGGGGCGTGTATCTGTGTGTGCGTGTGTGTGTGTGTGTGTGTGTGTGTGTGGTGTTTTTGTTTTGTATGTCGGTCGTTATCATTTTTTCTTCCCTGTTTCTAATAGCACTTCAACTTTTTACTCGACCCTTACTTGCAGCTGGACACGGCGATCGATCAGAAATCAGAGATCATCAACAGACTCAAGGAAAGACTCAGGCAGAAGAACGACGCTCACAAGGAAGAGTGTCAGAAGCAGAGAGGTGAGATCGAAGAGCTCGAGAGTAAACTGATCAAGGCTACGGATGCGGCTTCCGTCGAATATACAGAACGCGCGAGACTACGACAGCGCTCGCAACTTGTAAAGCACACACACAGCACCGTTTTTTCCTTTTTTTTTCCTTTTTTTTTCCTTTTTTTTTTTTGGGTTCGTGTGCTACCCGATGGTTTGAAGTATGAATTAAGTTTTGACTCGACATTCTATTTCTGCTGGACCATAGTCGGAAGACATGCTTTGCCAATTCGACGGCCTTCAAACTCGCTTCGAGGCGCAGGAAAAAGAGAACTGGACCTTGCGCAGCGAGAACCATGATCTCGTGCTGGATATCGAGAGGTTGCAAAGTCTTTTAAGTTTTGCAAGAACCGATGATGACCAGTCCTCAAATTCGTCAAAGGACTCTTCTGAACTGGACCAACGGGTAGGCGATCAAGTATCGAAGCAAAACGCTAATGCCGTGTAATGCAAGTCGAAATATATATATATATTTCTCTCAGGTCTTCTAATCGCCTTGTCGCCTTGGCGTTTATCTCCCTAGTCATTATGGGAACAGCTCGGTGCTGCTAATCCGGACCATATGGTAGAATCCGATGTAACCTCCGGTCCCAATGATGCTTCCGAAAGCAACAGTGGAGATCAAGACGCACCAGTCATTAACTCTGTCGATAATGCATCAAGCGGGTCTGATCCCAGTGAATTACCTGCCTCAATTATCCAGAAAGAATCGGCTGGAGCGAGCCAAGACTCCCAGCTGCAACACGAGAACGAGAGTTCGGATGTTGGAGACATATCGTCGGAGGACGCCGAGATCGACAGGGGCACCACTGTGAGCACATGTGAGCAGGATAACATGTCGTTATCTCCTTCATCATCGGCTTCCGAATCCACGGAGGAGGAACAGGACCTCGATCACAACGACGAGCAGGAACACGAAGCGTTAACCGGTCAAGGAACACGGGCGATGGACTTTAGTAAGAGCAAGTACGATCAAGACACATCGTACAAAATGTTATGAAGCAGATGCAGTCTTCGAAACCATTCTCTAACCTCGGATTTAGCACTAACAGCCTGGACAAGGACCATACAGGTGCCAAAGACCGCGACAGCGATCACGATCAAGGTCACGACCACAATAAAGACCACTCCCAGAGCCATTATGGCGATCCTGACCACGACAACAACCAAGACTACCCCGATAACTGCGATCACGACGGAAACTGCGGTCCGGAGCGAGTCTACGATGGTGAATTCAGACGTTTTCACGATCACGACCACGACCGCGACCACAGAAACGATCACGGAATCGACCGAGACCATGATTATGACCAACGAATCAGAGATGATTGCCCAGTAGCTGTCTCCGCCGCTCTTCCGGATTCTTTTGGACTCGCCTTAGAGTCATCTCAGGAATCCGGTACCATTGGAGAAGACAGTACAGATGGGGTTCCACAGGAACTACAGGGGCCACAGAACATCGGAGACGAGGATTCACAGCACATCGAAGAAGGTCTTTCAGACTACTGCAGGAGAGATCTATCACAAGTTAGCGAAGGGGATCTTACACAACACAGCGAAGAAATTGAAGAAAAGGCATTACTAGAACTATTCGACGGCGACATAGGCGAGAGCATAAGCAGCGGCTGCGATGATTCGTTTGATAATAGCGCGTTTGACTATGATGCGTTCGAGGATGACACGTTTGAAGAGGATGCATTCAAAGATGCCCCAGGTCGAAACGTCCTCGAAACCCAAGACGGAGAAGTCCTCGACCGACTCCCCACACCCCTCCCCGATGATGACGACGCCGACGACTACCTTAATGATGATCCAGCCCGGCCACTGAGCTTTGCTGACGCCCTGGATTTGGTCCTCGAACATATCCTCCGTGAGGTCCTTGACCGGGTCGAACCCCTTCTGCAGTCCCATGTGAATCTTGTGCAAGAGCAACTGGAGCAGTACTGCCGAGAGAACCAAGGAACGCTGATTGAACAGATCCGTGCACTCTCTGGACAAATTGAACACATCAGCCAGTTCCTTGAAATGCTGCGGTGCCAGGACTCCTTCCGCGATCACACCCAACAATTGTTCTTGCGGGCTCTGGAGGATTATGCTCGGGGGCTAGCAGAGTTGAAGCAGCGACTGGACGGACATGATCAGGAGCGACAGATAAACGCGCAGGCCTTCCAGTATCTGGACAACATGCGGAACGCGCTGGATCTAAAGCAGCAGGAACTTCAACGGGCCCTCAAGGACTTGCAGGACAGAGGAGTATCATTACCCCCTATGCCGGACATCCAACTGAAACCATGGTACCCTTCGTGGCAGCTCATGATCTTGTTGAGTGTTCTGTTCAACCTGATCGCCTTTGCGATCCTCAGCTTGTACCTGGGTGGAGAGGTCGTATCCGACCCGAATGGTATGGTCTCGGTCCTGGCATCCATCTACCACGAAGAATTGGCGAGCGAGCAAAAGATCTCTCGTCTGGGAATCATGTTCCGTTTGTTCTGGAAGATGTTGTTCTGGTTGGGTCAAATGCTGACTTATCAATCGGCCGGTGTGAGTTATATCCGGACCTGAAAAAGTACTCGAAGAGCGCCATCCCCCTCCCCTCCCCTCCCCCCCTTGTTATGTTTCAACAATAAAAAACGCATTTCATGTGTAGAAAATGAGCACAGTGGTACCTGATCACAAGTGAAAAATACCAACCTGCGACTGCGAGGCAATTCTTTACAATTACTCGCTTTATGGTTTGGCTACCTTCCGTCCGTACCACCCTCTTAATTATTCGATATATTTACGCGCCTATGTAACCTATTGGCACAACAAACAGCCTCCACCAAGATCGAGTAAGCTTTGGGGACGCGAGATCGACTGACCTTGTGCAGCGCCCAAGCTCCTTCCCGTGCGGATGGGGAACGGACGGACCCATGGATTCTTTCCTTTAGCTATGCGGCCTTGTTGACCAAGGACGTCGATCCTTAAACTGATGTTTTTTTTTGCCCGAGAACTGCTGTACTATCAACGACCCGTGGTACTGAACGAAGATTCGAAGATAGCCCAAGCTCTTTGCTATCCTTCTTCGGTCTTTGTTCTTTAAGAATGTCTTTGTTTTTTACTAGGACGAATGTGCGTGTGTGTGTTTGTGTGTGTGTGCGTTTGTGTGTGTCTGTATGTGTGGGCTATCATCAGCAAGGACCGCATCCGCCACCACGGTTTCGACCACGAAAGCACCACATCCAAGAATATAATAGACTGCAGAAATGACACCTCAAACGACTTTTGCCACTCTTTCGAATACTCCCCTCCTCCTCCCTCCAGATCCGCAACAGAACCCTATAACTGTGTGGCGGTGACTCTCATAATTCAGGAAAGAAAGGGAACTGACTCGACAGTGAGCAGAATCTCTCAAAAGGAGTGACAACGAGAACCTCTACGCAATGCGCTCCAGATATGAGTCCAGCGAGGACGAGTTTTCGTACCGCGAGGAAGAGATATTGGCCTCCTCATTGTCGTCACCGTCGCTACGGTCCTATGCTGTCAAAAACAAGAGCAAAAGCAAAAGCAAAAGCAGTGTTGGTGGCGACGACCCTCATTCAAATTTTCTCGAAGCCGAGGATGGAGAACCTCTTCCCCGTCTCCCCACGCCTATTCTCCATGACCATGACGACTCTGAGGATCCATTGCCGCCACCACCACCGCAGCATGAAGAAGCCATCCATTGGATCCTCGAGCGTGTCCTCCAGGACGTTCTCGAGTACATCCAGCCATACCTGGAAGACCATGTCAACACCGTGCAAACCGATCTTGACCGGTATTGTCGAGAAATCCAAGAAACACAAGCAGACCAGACCCGTGCCTTATCCGAGCAAATCGAAAGGATCCAGAAAATCAAACGAGACATCGATGGGCTGCAGTACCAAAACACCCACCACAACCAAGCCGAGGAGCTACTCGTCCAGGCCCTGGAAGATCAGGCTCGGGGAATGGTAGGGTTGAACCAACGGCAAGAGGCACATGAGCAGGATCGACAATTATGCGCGCAGGCCTTTCAGTATCTGGAGAACATGCGGATCTTATTGGGTTCAGCACATCATGAATTAGAACAGGCTTCCATGGCCTTCAGATCGGCGGCGCGGCCGGACCCAGGTTACCGTTCGTGGCAGTTCCTGATCCTGTCGAGCGTGCTGTTCAACTTAACTGCATATGTGTTGTGGCATCTGTGTGTTTGGGCTACATGCTGACTTTGTAGGAATAAAAGCGATTTTATGAATGGTAAAATACAGTAGAGAGACTAAAAAATATGCTATGTTACAAGTCAAATGCCACCATGCGTCGGATATATGAACTCAGCTCGAAGAGCTGTACGCTGTTAATACTCCTACGGCCGGCATTTCAGAAGCCGTAGTCTTGGGGGTGTTCCTTGGCCACACGCTGGCCGGGACGCCCAGACATCCTCCAATCCCACATCCCTTCCACTCGATCGGAACCTTGGTCTGTCCCAGTAGATCCTGCCAGACCACTACGATCCTGCACGGCTTCCAGAACCTCCGCTGACATCCCCCACACCGGTTATTCGTCCGTGCTCTCCTATAGTGGTCAAGCAGATACGGCGTCATGTACGATTTGATCGTCTCTTCCTTGCACACATATCGTCTCTTCTTTGCTTGTGGCACTTCATGGGATCCTTTCGATTGATAGTGCTGCTGCTCACTCGTTTCTCCAGTAACCGCTTGATGGTCCGAGCATTCTTCTTCTTCCACTAAGGCCTTGCTGTCTTTCCGTGGCCGATCGACACTGCCCTGCATAGCCTTTGTGTCCTGTGCCTCCATGTGACTCAGCAGTGCATTCCCTGCCAAGACAAGCAGCGATGGGACGCGAGATCGAGTGACCTTGTAGGGCGGCAAATTCCTCTCTACGGACGAATCTACGGATTGTTCCCTTATAGGTTCCGTTTCACTAGCTGCGGGTGTTAATTCTTGAGACGATGGTTCCGCTGAAAACAGTGCCGTGTCCATGACATCTGATATGAATGTCTCTGACCCTGTGGTACTGAATGAGGTTGATCCAGGGTCAATACTCTCCTGCTCCGGCGCTGATATCATGTCAGTATCCTCGATCTGACCAGGATACGGCGATGCTGGAGGCGAGATAAATGAATGTTGCATTGAATGCTGGCCCTCCTCTGCTTGAGCGAGAAACCCTTCCTGTCCTGGTATCAAAACCTGAAGACCGGTATTGTTTTCGCCTTGCTCAGTAGGAGGATGGGGAATGGCATCACTCCCAACTTCAGGTTCAGGTTCAGGTTCAGGTGGCGTCAAGAACGGATTCGGATGGATGGTGAGGATATGGAGCTTTGGCAAGAGTGCGATCTGGGAAGGCAAGACCTTCTACAAAAAAATAGAATAAAAAATATGAAAAAATTAGTATATTCAACGTATCAGCATCATGATCATTTATGATCTGGGGGGTTTTTTTCATATCCGTCTGGAACTCGCGTCCCAGGCAAACAACGGACGATTTTCGTACCAAGAGATTGCCGCCGACAGACAATTCCACAAGGTTATGCAGCAAGCCGATTTCGGGGGGTATAACCTCGATGCTGTTGTTCCCTATCACGTCGAAACGGTGGTTCCACGTTAATGACTCATTTCGTTCGGTTCACGTCCACAGGCGTGCATGAGGGATTTTTTTGACATGGCCTTCAAGCCGTACTTATTGATAGCACCGAGAGATTGGAAAGTGAAAAGACGTGCATCGGGATCGACGAGAATTGATTGGAGCTCAAGAACAGTTTCAGTCTGTTCTTTGAGAGCGAAAACGACCCACGTTCGTTGTAAACGATCGCAAAATTCAGGTCTCGAATATCGGATGGGAGATCATTCAGCTCAAGGTTACTAGAAGACGTATCAAGAACAAATTCGGATGAGTGCTCAAGCACTTTGCCAGCGTGGAAGAATCAAGAAAAAAAACAAACATGAATACGGTACCTGAGATCGAGTTCACCCACACCGTCCTCCACAGCTTCCTGGATCAACTTCCGTACATGCCCCGCAACCATACGGCCATTCCTCTCATTGAAATATGGGCCGTCCGTCACTCTCCGTGCCTTCCTGCGTGGCTGCAGCTCATACATACAATCACCTGTATCCTTATAACTTTCAGAACGGCTATGGTTCTTTTGCGACGCCTCAATAGCTGCTGTAACTCCGACTGAAGATCTGCCGCTGACAGTCTTCTCTGGCTCTATCCTCGTGTGCTGGAATGCACGTTCCCTGAATGTGCTTGTCATTGTCAAAAACGTAGAGTCTGGCGGCCAAAGACATCGACTAGACCCTGCTATGGACGTCAAGGGCCTCCTAGGCTGCTCGTTCTCAGTCACATGGCTGCCGCTTGTTGAGAGCGAGACCCTATCCTGAGCGGGGTTGGATAACTGGGTGCTGTACAGATGGCGGAACGCTGGGTGCTTCTCCGCTCCTGTTGCTCCCGATTCTTCCAACCACGCGAAGCTTCCTGAAGGCAGTTTTCGTCGTAATTCTGGGCGAGGAGGCGAGGGCGGGTGCGTGAAAGCGGGCGGTGGTGACGGGGTGCGAAGGATGAAGTCTATCTCTGGGGCCGAAGGTGAACTCAGAGAAGACCCTGGCTGCGCTGACGTGACCATTCTTCCCAGTTCAACTGCGGACGGCGCCAAGTCGGGGTTGGTATTGTATGAGAGGCCATCCCCAGCTGTTGTCGCTGTTGTTCCGATTCCCTTTAAAGCATCGATTGCTCTCTTCGAGGTCAACGGTGCTTGCCCCGAGGCCTCGAAAGTGAAGGCAGACGATAGTCGCTGCTGTCCTTGGTTGTGTTGGCGAGGGTCCATGGTTGCCTCAGTGCTCTCAAGAATGATAATTGCTGGGACCGTCTTTTTTTTTTTTTTTATCAATTGAACTAACGGATAACGCCTGTGTGCAGCAGGGGTAATTGTGAACGAGCGTGTGTGCGAAAGATGTTAGGCGTTAGGCATGTGCCTTTGTGATGGGTTTGTGTGTAGGCAGCTCAGAGGTTTCGAATGAAGTTGGCGAGAAGTGGATGAGATGAAGAAGCGAATTAGAGCATAAAGAGCAGATGGACCAACAAAGACATCCCCCCACCCCTTTCCTCCTCCTCTCTTCCTCTGAGAAGGGGAAACATCGCCTGCCCGCACAAAATGAATGATGTGCAAGCAATTTTTTATGCATTGTGAACGTGACCAATTGAGCCTCGCTCGCATTTCCTCTTTCAACCATGCATTTTGTCTGCTTTACTCCATCTTGGGTCATTTGAGGGGACCTTTATGGTATTGCACTACTCTTGCTTGTGCAGGACAGCACGTCGTATCCGGCTCTCCATCGCCTTACCAATGTTCGTCTCCAGGAAACGCAGAACGACCAGCCAACTGACCCATAGTCGTGTTAGGAAGTAGATTTGCCAGCTGTAGCGCACTCCAAACAGGACCAGATACACCATCATTCCATCCAGAAGCCCTATCGTTATCCTCACATATCTATGGATCAGCAATAAGGTCCATGATTTAGTATCCTCAGAATGCTCATAGAACAATCAATTGCCTAGCTCTGACATATAGTTATCAAATGCGAAGTACCTTTTCCAAGATGTCCTGGTCACTGCAGACCCTTGGGCGAGATTTTCGACGAATACAATGAACGGTGCGACATAGTCAACACGGTGATCTGATGGAAAAGACTTGAGCCAGCCCACGGCCAAGTTCCGGATCCAGACCATAAGAACTGGTACAAAGAACGGCAGGAGGAAGAAGAACATGACCAGCATGGCCATTGAAAAATGGAAGCGACCCCATGCCACCTCAGAGTTTGTGCTCGGCTAAATAAAGGCATTTCATAAAAAAAAAAGAGAGAGAGAGTTTAATTTTCGGCTGCTGCAGCAGGACCTATACAATTTTTAGCAGATGCAATTACCATGCGCTGAGCACGAGCGAGTAGACTGGCACAGATACCGATGAGTGCAATGGTGGTCGCTGCGAATGCAAACTGATATGGAACAACTGTTGCCACCAAGATGAATATACCGGCCATCGTCACTGTACCTACAATGCTGGTACCCTGACGATCACTATGAACGCAGACAGATAATGAATAAAAACTTGTTTTAGTCATAAACCAACGAATATACATTCACCCTTAGCAGCCACGTCTCTTACCTATGGCCTGTAGCGCTGTCTCTGATTATAATTCTCATGAACAGAGCAACAATCCGGACAATGCTGTTCAGAACGAACCACACGAACACAACAATTCCGACTGCGAGCTGGAAGAAAACAGGGGCCAAGAACGCAAAGAAAATGTCGTTCCGTCCCAGCAGCATATTATCGATCCAAGCGCCCGAAAACCACGAGTCCTGGCTCAAAGTCCAGTCCGTGGTTCCAACCAGAGTAATAGGACTCAAACGAACTAGTTCGCTCTTGAGAGATTGAACGACAGAGACGATGGCGAACCCAATCGACACCTGCCAGAACAAAGATTTTGCCAGGCGGCTCAAAACCAATCCAAAAGGCTGGAAGTCCCCAGTACGACTCCAGCCCTTGATCTGCGCTCGCAAGGTCAAAACGACCACCATGAATGTAAATACAATGACCGAGGTTCGATAGCGAATAACGACCTTGCCCAAACTGCCGTACTTATCGACCGTCAATGTGAATGACAGTTGTTCTGCACAAGTCGGATCCGTCCAAAATAACAGATCGATGCCTTTGTCTTCCCGTAATAGGATTTTATCGAAATATGGGAGATCTCCGTGGAAGTTGATGTCAATTCCTAGTGCCTTGTTGGCAATATTGACAGCGTATTTGTCCTCGTTCATGGTCCAGCTCGACTGCTTCATCATAGGCTGGAATCGCTGCGAGTTTGACCCTATAAAGCATGAAAGAGAGCTTGTAAATATCCAAGGTAATTTATCCCGCTTCCCAGCATTGCTTTTATTACCATTGCAACTCGAATCCTTGACCATGAGATTGTATGTCAGCAGACTGTTAGCAACATTAGACAGTCTGAGGGTCGTAACCAATGACGGTGCGGTGGGAAATTTGCTCCGCACGATGCCATTGCGCAGAAGCCCTATAAATGTAATGCAAGTTAGTTTATCTCCTCCGTCAAGCGTTGAAATTCACTTTTAACTAGAAATCAACGCACCGATTGTGCTGGTCTTCACTGTGTCCACCGTGCTCGCTTCATTGGCAAACTCTGTAATAAGATACTGACGATCAGAGTACGCCCTCCCTCGGTCCTCAACCATCATGTACTGAAAGTCCGCAAAGTCTCGTAAAGATTTGGAGACGAAGAGCTGGTATTCCCCTGTAAAGCTGTTACCCTCATACAGCGGCATGGTCGAGACTGTGGTCGAGAGCGGAATCGGGACTGCAGAAAGGCGATCGCGTACACATGACAGAACTGTGGATGGCAGCGATGATCCAGACCCCGGGTTCTGGGCTTTATCTTTGCAGAAAAGAATTGCAAGATTCCCGAGCGGTCCGTACTTGACATCGGTCAATAGTCTGAGAATATCCAGCTCTTTGTTTTTCGGTATCGTTAAAATATAGAGATGTTTGTTGGACTTCTGGGGCGGAGTCATCCCCTGCCAGTGTATAGGAGGATATGCCCAAATATTGCCTGGCTTCTCGAACGAGTGACTAATCTCAGAGAGGGATATGGTCTCTTCGCCTAATTACCAATACCAGCAGGAACGGCTGTCAGTGACGAAGCAAAAGGACAGAAGACTTTGAAGAAAAAAAAAAAAAAAAGAATGCTCCATCACGGCTCACCAGTTTGAGCGACGCCGTAGTCGAACTGGTCAATTGATCCTGTCAAGAGTCGCTTCCGAAATAATTTCATCCGCTCAGACAATGGCTTAACTTGACCTGGAATCCTCCCATCAACCACGTCCCCGAGCGTTTTCGCGATCGTACTCGCCACTTGGTTGCACCACAAGATAGATAGGTGATCCGAACCGACCCATGCATGTGGGATTGAAGACGTGAATACAGAAAAGCCATGGCTCTGAGGCACGATATGGTGGATATTGCCCGCATCGCTATTCACGGTGATATCCTGATTGCCTCCCAAAATCGAGACAAGTGATACGTTGGCAAGTGGCGAATGAGGACCTTCGTAACCGCGATTCCAAAACGTCTCGATCCTCTCATAAATCTCAGTGATTTCGTAATCGAGTGCCAGCGGTGGGACCATGTGTGGGGTTGCGAGCGTGAGGATGGTGCTCACAGATCCTGGTAAGTAGCTATCCATAGTAAAGATTGTACGCGCAACAATGCCTCCCATACTGTGGCCGATAACCAAGACGGAGCTAGGCCGGGGAAAACTGGACCCTCTGTCGCCGTACAACGAAAGAATGAACGCGATCACCTCATTGACGTACTGCGCTTGATCTAAGAGCAGCTGTCCGTGAAACGCCGAAAATTCTTCGTTGAAATCAACTATGTCATTGGCACAAGGATACCAAGCGCGGATGGTGAGAATCAAGGACGCGGCAACGTGCATTTACTGAAAACGAATACATTTGACAAGCCCTTGAACCAACCTGAGAAAAAATCTATGGGCCTCACTCTGATTTGATCCGTCCCCGGTCCGTCCCTCGACGATTTTGCACTCTGCTGATAATAATTCCAGGTTTCTGTGGCGATCGAGCGCACCTGTTTGGCACTGCCAGCATTGCCAGGTATAAACAGCACAGGAGTTCCCGTGGGTTGGATCTAGGGCGTGGTAAACAAGTCAAAGGATGTAAGAAGGCAACCCAGCCCAATGATCCATGTGATTCTTACTTTCGTTCAAAAAGGAAGGGAGAGCTGCATTGTACCTTTGCTGACTTTGCAATTGTGAAATCAAATTCGCCGACCTGGGTCAATTGGCTGGCGTCCGATACTGGAGGACTATCATCGTAGTAGTTTTTATACAGCATGAGGCCATACTTGCCCGCCAACTGCGTCTTCTCCTCGTCAAAGCCCAAAATCTTGTAATAAGCTGGATACATGTAGGTCATGACGCATCCCTTTGGGTCCAATTGATGGTAAAAACTCGAGTGGATGGTGCATACGAGAAGTGCAGTCGACAGAAGAAGTAGTGCGGAGATAATGAACGAGCATCCATAAGTCGGTGACCGGTATCGAGGGGTCGTGTGTATCTCACATATCCGTTCTTGAGACCCGCCATATTTGGCTGCGGAACGGGCGGCCGTAGCCTGGTCTCCATCGGAAGAGGTTAGGCCTGATGAGACTCCCACCGAATCCATGTTTTTGGGATGAGAGATGTCCTGCCCATGCATCCTTAGTATTCGTTGATGAGGGTCTACCCTCACACCTTGCAGGCCTCTTTAATTTATATTTGCCTAATGGCCCAAGAGATCATTTGCGCCACAACGAAATTGCTCATCCACAGACGCGTCTCCGCACAGATTTTCCGCGGTCGTGGGCGCGATATACGAACACATATACCAGTAGGGCCATATTCGAATACGTGTGATATGTATTATGAGTCGCATCTGTGTGAGTATACGGCTGCTTTTCTACTTTATGACTATGGTGCACTTGCTCTGTAGGATGTCTTGTGAGATATGGGTATAATTTTGTATTTACATTTCGTTCTTCTGGTTAAGGCCATCCTGAGCCAAGGAAAGGAGCCTAGACCCAGACGCGACTATCGACATCCGTAAACTTGTCGCCTATCAGGACATAACAAAGGCAGAGGTAGAAACAGCCAAGATAAGGACATAGGCAGTTTAGTGGTCCGTAGGTAACGAAAGTCATAAAATTAAAATTAAAAATAATTGCATTCAAAAAGGTTCGAATAGTTATGATGGACACTGAGCTGCTCACACTTACCATCGTAAAAGCCCTTCACAAAGTCGTCCAATTCAGGACGCTCATCGCTTCCTCCTTCTTGAACTGAGATAGGTCTTGGCTCCCGTTGGCGGGGAGGGCGCTCTGGTTGGTCCGGCTGATCTCTGGTGTTCTCGTTCGAGTCTGTGTCGTGGCCATTTTGGTTCGGGGTTGAGAGTGATCGACGGTCGTTTCCGCTATCGGCGGCAGAATCGTCGCATGGTCTTCTGGTGGAGGCGAGTGACGAGGACATTATGGATGTTTTTGACTGGAACGCTGTGCGTGGCACAATATCGATGAGGAACGAGAAGCAGAGCGAAATCACACCGGCGAGTATAAATCCTGGAGTTATTTCCTTGATGGCCAAACAGCGATATTCAACACGGAAGAAGTATATCGATATCGACGGTGCTGAGTGCTTGTGCGGAGGAGGACGTACTGCTTTGGTATATTATTCGAGCACAGAATGTCGCAGGCAGGCAGGGCTGTTTTTTCTTTAAAGATGACAAGGTTGGATTACGTCCGATAATATTCAACGAGTGGATATATTTTGTAGGAGTGGGTTCTTGCTGTGCTGAGTCCTGTTGGCGCTGATTTCTTGATGCGGGCAAAAAGGCGGAGGATAGGATGAAGGTTTCTGAATGAAATTTTCTTCGGTCTTTACTCTTTGCTTTTATACACGGTCATTCGCCCTCGACAACATTGCGCCTGAGGTTAGGTGAGCGCAAAACAAAATACACGGATACGAACTAGCGCAAGGAGGCAATGCTAGTGTCAATATCAATGCCATTGTTGCTAATAAAGTCGTTGTTGTCGCCGATGCGATTGTTGACGCCGATGTTGAGGTACAACGTACATCATGGATCCGCTGACCATGGTCGGCCATGGCCCCCGTTCACCATCATCGCCGCAATTGCCGTTTATCGCCGCGCTACAACTCTGTGCGCAGCAAAAATGGCCACCAACCGCACTGTGTTCAATCACTCCTTGGCCACTGTCATACGTGCTACGATCGGGCGAACGCCCTTTTCTGCATTACAGCACCCCTTGCACTGAGCTACAGATGTAGTTATTGATCGGCTCACACTCGCGATGTCCCACTGTGCAATGCAAGTGGCAATGGTTTGTTTTACTTTACCATTTTACATTCGTACCGCTACTCTGTCAGTATGTTGATAGCTTGCGTGCCGGCACCCGTGTTGTCATAAATAGATATGTTGCCAATGTTGATGTTGATGTTGCTGTGGATACTGCAGCTGTTGATATTGCTGATGCAGTTACAATCGTTAATGCAGACACAATTTGCCTCGCCCCTCGAACTCTTGTCAATATCCATTCCTCTTGGCGGATAGAATGTTCCTTGTACGTCCGCACAATCACTTCCCCCGCAGTCCACCTCCTTCACCTTTTCATCCCCCTGCATCTGTATCTGTGGCAATTGCCTGACGCTGTTGCGCCTCTCCTCGCGACAGTGATTACGGTTCATGCTGCTCGTCGTACAACAGATCTCCAACAGAGGGGCGTAAACCACGTTGTCATTTTTTATGTGAGTACGGAGTAGGTTCGGAATGTTGCCAGCACTTGTGCAATTATCCCTGCTCGTTTCGCCACTGATGTCACTATCGAGGCGTATGCAGTCGGTAAATCCAATGCATTGTTTGTCACTCCCTATGTTGCTTGTTGTTGTCAAATCCTGCGTCTCACTGGCCGACTCGATCAATGATGCTTGTTCCTCCCCCTTCATATGTTCCAAGGCTTCGGTAGCGGGCTGTCTAGGCTCACCAACCACGCCTTCTGTCGGAGTTACCTGCCGCAGGGGATGAGCGAGCACAGCTGGCGTATCTGTTACTCGATAGACGAGCTGCGGTACGTCTTCCTCAGGACCTAGACGTGCGACATTAAGTCGTGTTAAGCCCTCGTCTGCAGAATTCCCTGGCCAAGAGCCGCTTGGCCTTTCTGTAGCACTGCGGCGTGATCCCAAGAGCGGTGGAGACAAAAAAGATGGCCTAGCTGTTGGAATAGCATTATTCTGTCTGAAATCAGTCAGAGTTCGTGTCATTTCTGAGCCGAGTTGTGTTCCTGAATCCCTGATCGATGACACCTCTAGCCCCCTAGACCTTCTCCTTGACCTTCTATGCTCTAGTTCATAGGTCGCTCGTGCATGGATATCAGGGGCAGAGGCCTTCCTTTGATACAGGGGCAAGGATGACGAGCTAGAGATGATGTCCGCGGATGGCGATATTGAGGATAGCAGATAGGAAATCGAGGGTGATGACGACGATGACAGCTGAGAACTCATCGGGGATGCCTGCAATCGGATAGAGCCCGCCCCTGAACCTATTCTGGTCGCCCTCGCCGATGGAAATGAAGGGAAGGGCTGCAGCGACGATAAACCAGGGCCATTGCCACGAGACGACATCAAAGCCGAATCAATTGAACCAGCGTAGGGATACCGCGGTCCCTCAGATGGCGAAGGCACTTGACTGGATGAGGGCGGCGAGGAGGAAGGGAGAGATAGTCCAGAAGAATTCGGGAGCAAAGAGGACAATGCGTCTGTATCTCCTTCGCTCACCACTGTTGCCGCAAGTGCGACTATAGGTGCTGCATTATGATGTGCTTCGCCATGAGTCCCACTTGCATCGATTTCATTAAACCTACTCTCCCGTTGCTCCTGTGACCCTTGAGCTGCTGATACCAATTCTGAGAGCATCTCACCCGGCCCGAGGGGCAATGAATTCTCTCGAACTAGGTTAAACGTGCTACCCATCTGAGCAGGAGTTCTCTCGGTCCAGGCCAGGGGTGACGAGGCGTGAGCGGGAGCAAACGCTGGAAAAGACGTAAGACTGCGAGTCCTCTCGACAGATGCTGCCTGATGAAACTGCTCACGGGTGGAAACAGCACTATAACGGTGATCGGCTTGTATGCCCCTTGCCAAGACAGGTTCACTCAAGCGAATATGACCATCTGCGTTTGCGGTGGACATCTACTTACGCGCGGATCCAGCTGTCAGTGTTTAGTAACCGGCCTCTTTCCACCCAAAACATTTTTATTAAATATGTCTCACTTACCCCTTTCCACAAATGTATGACGATGGGAATCTGGGCTAGTTTCCACAGTTCCACGGGCTCTTCGATAGAACAGCACATGGCGTTCAATACGGGCATCAGGCTGCACACCTCGCGCATCGGTATTCCAAGCAATCGGGCTGCCTCTCGAAATGATTCATGGTTTCGCACGGCACCACTATAGTTCATGCTTGGTTCCACAAATTGAACAATGATGGTTGAAGATGCAGCATTGTGAAACGCTGAACTTGTTGCTGAGGAGCTGTGATGGCTGCTGTTGCCGCGTGAATCAGAAATGGTTGTGGTACTCGTGTCCACTGCCGCGAGCGAGCTTGGTGTCGAGGGTAAGGACGAGGTCCCCGAAGAGGTAGAGAGCCCGGGTCGAGGGCGTGGCAAGCGTTGATGGTGGCTATGAATATATTGACCGCGATGGCGATGCCGTCTTGCGCTTAGCAAGTCTGGGACCACAGTCTGATGACCATGTCTCTGTTTGATATCTGAATTGGCCGTTGTTGGGGTTAAGAACAGCTCGGTAGTCGATGTCTGCCTTTCCTGTGCTCTAAATCTGTGACCAGAAGCAGCAAACTGGGCCTCGTACTGCATGCGTTGCTCCTCTTGGACGCGTTGTAGCTGCCGTCTGCGCTGGAACCGCTCGTAAAGTGCCACTTGCTGTTCGAACTCTAGTCTCCTGTGCTCCTCAGAATGTCGATGACTGTTATCGCCAACGGGTGTTGACCGTGGAATGATGCGGGCGGGCCGAGATGGTATCGTAGGAATGATATTGGCATTGGTGCCAGTGTTCTTGGCGGAAGCCATAGCTGCTGAGGTTTGTTGTCTGGGCGAACCATTACGCTGGTTAAAATGCTGACCCTCGCGTTGCTGCTCCCGTTGCTGCTCCCGTTGCTGCTCCCGTTGCTGTTGGTAGTGTCGAAACAATGTGCTAATGGAACGTGACGTTCCGCGTGTGGAGGGGGATCGACGATCTTCGGACAGATCTGAGCTGTGCTCATTATTGCGACGGCTCGGTCGCTGCTGTGGTGGACGTTGAAGCTGATTACGGTACAATAACTGGGGTTCCTGGCTCGGCTGTTGAAGCGCCTGATAGTGTTGGGTCAGCCGCCGATGTGGATGTCGAGGGGGTAGTGTGGGAGGCACCACCGAAGGGTTATTGGTATGGACTATAGAGACAAAGTTTTTAGAAAATATTGTTGGCACCGAGTCGTCCTCGACGTCCGTAAAGAGTAGAATTCCCATGGTGCTGCTGCTTTATGATCCAAGCACTAAGGGCCAGATTGGGTAACAAAAAGAAAGAGTCGGTTCCGGTTCTTTGTTTGTAAAGAGGGAGGAAAGGACGATCAAAAGAGAGGTGTGATATATATGTAGTCAATTGCTACCATGGTTCCTGTTGGTGTACCCCTGGTGGCCTCAAGTCTGCATTGGAACAAAAGGGGGGACATATACCGCAAAGAAAAGAAGGGGTAGTCTCACTTACAGGAGGTGCAAGCCGCCTACATGAGGGACTCCTTGCACATCAAACCCCCACCTCCTTTTCCGTCCTGCACCGTGCGTCGCGGGCACTTCATCAGTTTCATCCTCTGCACCAATCAACCAACAGCCGCGTTTTCAGGGCTCCCCCCAGGTACCCCTGCCACATCTCACATCCTCGTTGTCTCACGCAACTAGTTACAATCAGAACCTGTGCACGGACACCAAGGTCCGGACGCGTATTGCCCATACCGTCCGTAGTTCTCTAGTTTTCTTCGGTGACGCAGCTCTCACTCCACGTATACAAGAACAAGGTTAATGAAAACTAGTCCAATGGGCACACAAACTAGCAAACTGGAGGGTCCAAGAGCATGGAATATGGTTGGATCGCATCCCGTTTAGGATATCATCACACCGCTCTTACTTCAGATGGTGTGTTCTTCACTCATCCTTCGAAACAGGACATCAGGACGGGTGGGACATAACAAAGCAAGGGAGCGCAAGGGAACGCAGGGCGGAGTGACTTATGTGTGGATTTATAGACGACGCCCGACCATTGTTTGCACATGAAGAAGCGAAAGGCGTTGACAACGCAGCAACAGTCTTAGACATACAGAAGTGAGCGGCATCTAGAGTGCTTCGGGAGCTGCAGAGCGCAGCTTGCCTTTGGTATTGGGTGCAGCGGCCCCTTGTTCAAAGGACTGATGATGACGTTCTCCAGGAAGACGAGCAGGACGGGGGATTAAAGTCGCTATATACTCCCTTTGGACTGACAGAAAACAGGAGAGGTGGGATGACACAACAAGGGGAGAGGAGAGTGGAGGCGTTGCCAGTGTACATGTATTCTGCTATCTGCCCATCCGTCCATCCATGGACGCCCGATTGATCCTGCGGGTTCCTTGGACGTGCTCTTCCTTCCACCGCCGGGCGGTGTGTGTCGCGATAACTGGAGGATGATTAGACCATAGCCAAGTGTGTATACGAAGCTGCGATACGTATACACATGCAAACAATTGGGACTACATGAATGAGTAATGAATGCACGGGATGGTATAAATAACGACCCCAGGAAAAAGACTAAGGAAGACCCCGTCTTTCTTTGGCAGCACGCCCCCGATTCGTCACCTGCGCTATTCGTCGTGCCTGCGGATGTGGTCACACGGCACTGCAGCGGCCAATGGCCGTCCAAGGAACACAAACTCAAAACGGGCTTCAAGGGCCAGGGCGGATGAGCGCATCCGACCCCAATATGGTTCATGATTCACTCTAATAAAGTCGTCCTGGAACACTTGGTGCCTTCATATAAAAGACCAGCAGCCCTCCTCACCCATTCCGCTTCTTTGTTCATTCCTCCATCAACCAACTCATCCCGCTCCCTACTCTCTTTCTCTTTTTCCTTGTTTCTTGCGCTCCCTACTATTTATTCTCAATTGTTTTTATTCGCTCCATTTTATTTTATTTTATTTATCAAATATTTATCAACAGGCACCCAGCAACCCAACAACTTCAAGCAAGAAAAACAAGACATAACCGGATACCATGAAGTTCAGCAAGACCAAGTCCTACTCCCTCGTCGCTGCCGTGGTCGCCGTCGCTAGCACCGCCGCTGCGCACCGAGCCCGTGTGCAGCCCTTTGGTCCTGAACTCGCCCACAAGGAGTACATGACCCCCTCCTCCTTGTCGTCTTCGTCGTCCTGGGGCAGTGACTTCATCAGTGGCAGAGACAGCGATGTCTTCTTCACCGGTTCTGCTGCCAACCCTCAACAGGTCGCCTTGGACTTTGTTGAGCAAAAGCTGTCCGACTCGGACTACATCGTCAAGAACGCCTACACTTCCAAGCACAACGGAGTCACCCACGTCTATCTCCGCCAGCGCATCGATGGCCTAGAGGTCATTAACGGTGATATCAACGTCAACGTCGACAAGTACGGCAACGTTATCTCCTACGGAGACTCATTCTACAAAGGTGACGTCCAGAAGAAGTCCCTTACGATTAAGGAGTGGATTGAGAGAGAGGCCGAGAACATCCAGGAACAAGGTCGCCAGCTCACATTCGGCAGATGGGGACGCCGCCCCCAGCAGGTATGTATACGTACTACTGCAATTACTCTTCAGGCTCGCTTCCTATCTCTCTATCAGTGTGTGTGCCTTTCTGTACGCGAGCACATCATTTCATAACATCATTGTTTGCTTGGCACTCGAGTCCATGCACGTTCGCCCTGCATCATCTTTTTCTCCGCTCCTTATATTGGTCACATGCTGCGGCCCCTGGACTAATTTAGTCGTCCTTGTCTTCATTCTCTTAGCAACACCGGGACGAATTTGAGGCACCCGAGCTCAAGGCCGAGCTTTCGCCTCAGGATGCACTCGTCTCCTTTGCACGCTATCTCAATATCGAGATCCCTCGCCCCGAGGATATGGACATTGTTTCGACCAATTCGCTCCGCTCTGACAAGGTGGAAGTTATCATGACCAACTGCCCTCTTACTGAAAACGGCAAGGTCCCAGTTGCCCAGGCCTACATCCAGACTGCAGATGGTTCTCTTGAACTTGTCTACGATTTCCAGGTCGAGATGAAGGGCACTGACAACTGGTTCCATGCCCAGGTCAGCGCCAAGACTGGCAAGGTCCTCCAAGTCGTTGATTGGGTGGCCGATGCCTCCTACAATGTCTTCCCCATGGGAGTCAATGACCCTGAAGATGGCAAGCGAAAGCTCCTTAAGGACCCCCATCACCCCCCTGCTTCGCCTCTCGGATGGAACCGCCAAGCCCAGAATAAGAACTTTACCACGACCGTCGGAAACAACGTCTATGCTGGTGATAACCGACGAAACGGCAACGATTGGCAGAACAACCCCAAGCCCGAGGGCAAGGTTGATAAGGATGGAGAACTGATCTTTGATTTCAAGATCGACCTGGAGAAGGACCCTTCGACTTATGTGGATGCTGCCGTCACCAACCTGTTCTACTGGAACAACCAGGTCCATGATATCTTCCACCATTACGGCTTCGACGAGGAGTCGGGTAACTTCCAAGAGAACAACTTTGGACGCGGAGGCTTGGGCGACGATGCCGTCATCGCCAATGCTCAGGATGGGTCTGGATACAACAACGCTAATTTTGCCACCCCACCCGATGGTCAGCACGGCAAGATGCGTATGTATGTTTGGGATGTGACCGAAACTGCACGCGACGGTGACCTTGAGAGCGGCATCATCATCCACGAGTACGCGCACGGAATTTCAACACGTTTGACTGGAGGTCCCGCCAACTCGGGATGCTTGGGATGGGGTGAGGCTGGCGGTATGGGAGAGGGCTGGGGCGACTTCTTTGCCACCTTGTTCCGTCAAAAGAAGCGCCATGACTACAATTCCGAGTTCAGCATGGGATCGTACGCGAACGGCGGCCAAGGCATCCGTCGCTTCCCTTACTCGACCTCGCTCAAGACCAACCCAGAGACCTTCAAGGTGATGGACGGCCCAGGCTACTGGGGTGTGCACGCCAAGGGTGAGGTGTGGGCCCAGATGTTGTTTGAGGTTTATCAGAACCTGCACTTGCGCCTGCCCTTCACTGAGGACTGGTACACCGACGATATAACCCATTATGCCAACACGCTTGCTTTGCAGCTCGTCGTGGATGGTCTCAAGCTGCAGCCCTGCACACCTTCATTCATCCAGGCCCGCGATGCCATCATCCAGGCTGAGAAGGTCTTGACCAAGGGCAAGTTCCACTGCGATATCTGGAGAGCCTTTGCCAAGCGTGGTTTGGGTCCCAAGGCCAAGGTCGTCGGCGCCAATTCGCCTTTTGGAAGCGTCCGCACCGAGAGCTTTGACCTGCCCAAGGCCTGCGCCGATAGCGAGTAGACAAAAAAAGGATTCGATACCCCTTTTCTCTTCGTCTTGTCACAAAAATCAACCTCGGAGTAGCACACAGTCGGATTTTTATTTTATTTCCTTTGTATATTTATCACAATCCTTTTCCTCTGTAGCAGTAATTGTTTTCCTTTCTCTGTTCATATTTTTGATATTATTATTAAAGAAGCACCAAGGTGTATTGTAAAATCAACGCAAATCAAAGGAACCAATTGTCGAGTTCAAGTATAGCCCTCTACACCGACGACGACGATCTGCTACCCCAGTTCCTTGTAGCAGTATACGGTGATTATCGATCCACGCTAGGCACCGCCGCATATTGGCATGAGAAGAGAGAGGCTCTTCCGGTTGTGCACAAGAAACACATCCTAAGTTACTGCGGGTGGGCTGAGGCGAAATTAGGTGCACACGGAAAGATAAATTGAGGCGAATAGTAAAGGTTGAGAGGGAGTGGCAAACGATGGTGTCGACGTCAACAATGAGGCATAAGAAGAGCCAACAATTGATTCACCAAAGAATGCAGCGCGAAGGAGTGCAATTCCAGGCCTTTATTTTTATTCTGCCAAATGGAGCATGCTCACAAGTCAGGTCGATGATTAGCAGGACTCTTGTGGTGGTGTGAGTGCCCGTTTATGAACGACAGTTCTCCATAACTATCGATAATCGCGTTGGGGGAAACTGTGGCCGATACATAAAACTTTACCGATCCCTCTTTCCGCTGGAGAACAGCATCAGAGGAGTTGAGGTATGCCTTGATGCCCTCCTGCACCACTGGTTGTGGTTGTTATTGAATATTACAGAGCATGCCATCCAATAAAAAGGGTCCATTCGCACCGTTGTCCCTGTTCCTGGACTTCCAAGCTTCTAATATCTCCGGTTATATATATCCACTCGCACTCGCTTGTTTTTGCGCTCCTTTCCCCACCCACACGCTTCTCTTCTTCGCTCCTTTCGCCCCCAACCCCACCACTACCGCCACCACCCCCTGTGGCACCAATCCCTCTGTCCCTCCTCAGCCGGGCTTGAGCGTCTGTGTGCAACCATATATATAACATTCGGATCTTTGCTGGTTCGTGTCCCTTGTGTTCCTTTTCATTTTTGTTATTCCACCTTACAAAGACCTTCAATTTGTTCACTCGAAAGCGAACGTCCCATTACGTCCAAGTTTCTCATTTCTCATTCTCCATCGGACCCGAATAGATCTTCACATCCACAGAAGCGGACAAAACTAACAGGGCAGCACAGCACAGTCACCTACCATGCCTCGCAAGTACGGCACAACGGTCTATGTCCGGAGCAAGTGGCCATTGATGCTCCGCGTCAAGGGAACAGTCATCCTTGCTATTTGGTGGCAAGTTCTCCTGCTCGCCGTTTATTCCAGCGTTGTCTTTGTTATCCACAAGTTCACAGACTGGAAGATGAATTACTCGCTGGTATGGGCTGGAGCTACCCTGTGTCTTCACAATAATGGCTAGTAGAGATTCTTATCCCTGAAAATGTCTCTTTCCTCTTTTCATTGGCCCAACGAAATAGTCCCTGGTCTCAGTCATGGGCATGGTCGTCTCTTTGCTCTTGGTCTTCCGTACCAATACTGGTAAGTCGTCGCGCTGCCCACCCCTTGCCAGTGCGCCAATTGCTCGTTACCCATCGGACTATCTGTTTTCTTTGAGCAATATCCACTCGTCATGCAAGTGAGCTTGGCGCCTCAGCCCAAGCGAGCGCTTGTTTCCCACATGCGACCATGCTCTACCACCATCCCCATCCTCTGTTCGGCGTACATGTTGGGGCTAAGGAACGATATTGACTGTGTCTATCTTTGTTTTTTATCCTGTCCCAAATAGCCTACGATCGCTACTGGGAGGGTCGTCGTCTGTGGTCCCAAATGACGCTTTGCGTTCGTAACCTGACCCGCGGTATCTGGGTCTGCGTTGCTGAGACCGAGACCCGCGACCTGCTCGAGAAGAAGTCCGCCATTAATTTGTTGGTGGCGTTTGCCTTTGCCACCAAGCACTACCTGCGCGAGGAGTATGGATACAACTACGACGACATGATCAATCTTTTGGCCCACATCCCCAAGTACTCCATCCCTACCTCGACTCAACCCATGGACTGGAGGACCGACATCCCCACCCCACTCGGATCCCTCCAAAAGGAGTCCTACCAACTCCCTGAGGAGCCTCAGGGGAAGGCAACCGCCTCCAGCATCGACCCAGAAAGAGTCAGCACATCGGACGCTCGCACCCGTCGCCACCAGGCCAAGAAGCAGGCCATTGCTTTCGACTTTTTGACCCCAACCAACATCCCCATCGAGCTTTCTTACTACATCGGAAGCTACATCAAGAGCTGCAGCAATAAGGGTCGTGTCGACGCTGCGACCCTGACCATGATGAACAACGCTCTGGTCTCAATGATCGACTGTTTGACTGGATTCGAGCGTATTTTGCGCACACCTATCCCTCTGGCCTATTCAATTCATTTGCACCACGCTACTTGGCTCTATCTGTTGTCACTTCCCTACCAACTGATCGCTAACATGGGCGCGCTCATGATCCCTGCCGTCGTCCTGGCAGCTTTCACTCTTTTGGGGATCTTGGGTATCGGTTACGAGATTGAGAACCCCTTCAACGACGACTATAACGATTTGCCGCTGGATGATTTCTGCAAGGTCATCCAGGCTGAGGTCGACACCATGGTCGCTACCCGTGCGCCCGTCCCTGCGGACTGGATCTTCTCCGAGAACAACTACCCCCTGGCCAACTCACATTTGTCGGCCAAGGAATTGTCGGCCCTGTCGTTGGATGAGGTCCATAAGCTGATGGAGCAGGAATCCACACCGATTCATCATATGAACTATTCGCGTCCTGTGAACGGTAACCACAACGGAGAGCCGCTGATAGAGACACCGGCCCAGGTCGTACCCAGCGTCGTCGTGAACGTGCCTGTGGCTTCGTCAAATGCACCGTTGAGCAAGGCGCAATAAACTCATCAGGATCATCTTTAAAGCAGCACTTCTTCCATGTAATACTCCGCACCTTATCCATATCTATCTTACCTATCTATTAAATATCACCAGCATCCGTTAAACTTCAGTTGTATGCCCTGTATTATGCTGACGCAGTTGTGTTGGCCTACATGCTATGCTACTCTGTGCACCATGGTATATTGAGAGACACAGGTGTAGAGTATGTAGCTTGAACTCCTTGTAGCACAAGTGATGTCCCGACCTTGAGAATGTCTTCAAGCGAGTCGAAGCTGAGGTTTCCGTGAACTTGCTGGGGGATGTGGTGCTGAGACATTTCTGATATATCTGTTGCACCCACTGTAATAGATCACATCTCCTTCTCATAATGGACAACTCTCGGAGTCGTACGCATACCTTCAGGGAGAAACCTGTGGTAGTGGATATAGCCTGCATGAGCCAGGAAACTCGCATGTTGACCGACTTTAATCCGTCTCAACTCTCACAGATAAACACGAGGGTGGCTTTGCCTTAGGATGGTTAAACCACCCAGGAGCCTGAATATCGGGGACGTCCATCCATGTTCTCGCTTGTTGTTGCGAACGCGCTGTTCAGATCAGGGAAGCACTTTGATTCGACGTATCTCAAACCAATTTACATGCAAAATATGGCATGCAGATCAACGGCGCGACAAGCTGCGTTGAAGGGATGGCGTTGCTTTGAGTGTATAATCCTTAGAGGGTACCGTATGTTTCTACGCGTACCATCCACGACGGACACCTCACTGCTTCATATTTCGCATGTTGTTCCGACAGTGGTCAATGAATATTGAGATTATTAGGGGGTGTTTTTTAATGTATGTAATAACGTATGGAACGTTAAGAGATATAATATAATACATGGTAGGAAGAAGGTGCACTATCTTCTTAAGCCTTAACATCGGACTTCTCGCCGGGGTAGACAGCCTCAACGGAGGCAGGCTCCATCTCTGCGGGCTTCTCGCCAAAGTTGGAGAGGTCGAAACCGTTAGAGGCCAAGTACTGTCTGAAATCCTCGTCCTCCTCCCCCAAGGCCTTCTTGGAATAGTCAGGGATTAGGATCCAGGTGAAGATGGAACCGAGGATGGCAAGGCACGAGGCCAGGATGAAGACGCGGCCCTGGCCAAGGGTCTGATCACCATGACCAAAGCTGGCGATGGCGGGCTTGAAGGCGCTGGTGCCGACGAAGGCACCGAGCTTTCCAAAGGCAGCGGACCAGCCGTAGGCAGTGCCACGGATGGCGGTGGGGTAGATCTCTGCGGAGACGAGTCCGAGCATGTCACCAGGACCGAACTCACCCATCATCATGAAGACACCGTAAAGGACGACGAACAAGGGGAAGATTTCGAGCAGGTTCTTGTACCAGATGCCCATGAAGATTCCGAGAACACCCTGGGTCAAGAACCCAAGGGTCATGGTCTTCTTACGACCGATCCTGTCCGAGGCCAAGGCACCAGAGATGGATCCGGGAAGGTAGAAAAAGTTAAGAAGCAGCATCCACTCGGCAGTCTGGACAAAGGTGGCATCGGCTCCGATGGCGTTGTCGAGGATGGTTCCAGCAAAGATACCGAAAGGATAGGAAATGAAGTTATAAAAGAACCAAGAGCCACCGGTTCCAAGGAGATACTTCCAGTAACGACGGAGGATCAACAGGTATGGAACATTCTTCTTCATCGAGTTCTTCTGGAAGATCTCCGAGTTGTCCATCTTAAGACGGAAGTACATAACTGAGAGAGGGGGCAGGACGCCAAAGGCGAATGAGGTTCTCCAGATGACTTCGTAGCTGCAGCCGGCAGCGCCGAGGATCAAGGGGAACAGGGCTGAGAGAACGAATCCAGAGTCGATGACAAAGTTGGTGACAAAGACGAAAAGCATACCACGTCTGCCGGGCATGACCTCGTCAGCAGCTTCAGAGGCCGAGGCAGACGAGCAAGGGTATTCGCCTCCAACTCCAACACCGAGGATGCCACGGTAGACTGTTAAGGCCCAGAAAAGGCCTTCAACAGAGCCGTGAGCGCCATAGGCGCCAGCACAGAGGGCCGCTCCCAGGATGACGAGGAAAGTCGTGAGCAGCAATCCGACCTTGCGACCCACGCGATCACAAACAAAACCAAATCCAATCTGTCCAATAATGCAGCCGATGAAGAGCGAGTTTCCGATACGGGTCGACATGGCGGAGGTGAATTGATCGCCATAGATCTTGGTGAAGCAGACGTTGACAAGGGAGAGAACACCGACTTGGTATCCATCGGACAAGAGGGCGAAGCCTATGTGAGAGGAAGGACATGAAATTATGGATTAGGTTTTTTTGAAAGCATCGCAATCTATCCAATTGACGTCCAATGCGACAGAGTATGCGAAGAAAGCGGTGTGATGAGTTTGTTTGTATTGGTTTTCCTTACCTGAGAAGATGACAGTGAAAATGGCAGAGATTCTGGACTTTGGCTCCTTAGCCTCGACTTCGTTCTGCTGAAAAGACTGGTCGGGTAGGATGACAGCCTGGATGGGTTCCTGGTACTCAGATTTGTCCATGACTGTATGCTGTTCTAGTTCCCTTGGAGTGTGAAAGTGTTCACGGGAAGAGGAATGTGAGACTAGAAGAGGGTGGGGAGTGAGGGAATATCGCTTGCGAAGATCAAGGAACAGGCAAGGTGAAGGGAAAGGGGAGGAAAAAAAGGAAAAACGAAGGATCCCGAGGTATCCGTATTTATATGATGGTTGTTCAAGGCATGACAGGTACTTGAAATTGAGAAACCCGCCATCCTCCAGCGAAATGTAGTCAAAGCAACGTACTGACCTTTCTTTCTTTCTCTCTGCATGGTTGTACAGTACACCATTACAAATGCTGGGTCTAAAGCGTCCTCCAATGGCAAGAAAGCAACTGGATCCCCGATACGACGAGCAATTGTGGCAGTGGGACCACCAGTCTGGTCCCCCGCACTACATAAGAAAATGAATCTCAGCATCAGCACCAACCCAACACACCCAGGTGCTCAGCATTACTATTCGCTCATTGAGTTGGATACAGCGATGTTGCGGGGTGCAGAAGGATTAAAGTATCAAAAGTATCAAAAGCGGGCATTCTCTCCACTTCATGGACTATCTTCTCAGCTCCATCCAATCAGAACAATAGATCGGACCAGACAGCTCCCAAGACCACGAATGGCTGGATTATTCTTCTCCCGCGGCGCGAGTGGGTCGATGCTGTGCATCCTCATGTGCTACTGAAGCACTGTAATTCTTCAATGCTGCTGCCTTCCCTACACATCCTTACTCGCTAAGCTGGAAACAAGTTCAAGTGACCAGAGGACTTTTTTTATTATTTTTGTGCTACATTAGTAGGTCCGATAAAGAGGTACCAGTCGCAACTACGTGGATCTCATCAATCACGAAGCAGCACCCAGAAGTCAACCCCATGTTCTTCGCTTCTGACCACGTTATTCATCCGCAGTTTCCATTGATGGTTGTCTACGGGGTCTTTGACATGGCTTATCATCTCATCCACGATGAATCAGGAAACAACCTTTGTGGTCAGCGGGTTCGCCTTGATACCTTTTCTGTAAAAATTAGCCCACCTGCACAGGTCTCTCGGTCTTTTATGCTTAGCACTCTTTTTATTGTTTGTTTGCGTTTGCCTCATTTGTGAACACAAAGCATGAATAGCGCACACGGCAAAACGTCAAAAGCATGATAGCATCTGCTGCACGACTACATGACACGATGTCTGACCAATTCTCCACAGGTCCTTTGAAGACCTTTATTACATGTCGTCCTACAAGTACATCGCTTAGAAAGGAGTACTGATGTTCCTTCAATCGTCAAGGAGGCTAAGCCTGCAAGAGGATCGGCAATTGCGCGAGCGGACAAAAGCGCCAATCGATATCTATCTTGTGCAAACATGCAGATAGATCGACTCTAGCCGGTTGGTAAAGACGGATCTTTTCTACACATTCCCTCAGAGGTTGTGTTTCCTCGCGTGAGTAGCGCCTTTTACCGATCCTACCTGCACCGTGTTCAGTTCTTTATTTCCATGTGATTGTTCTCAAAACAGCCCCGATGAGACGAACAGGAAGCGCAACTAAGAGCTGAACATGTCCTCGCTTTTAGGTTATGGTTATGGGGCTCTTAAAATCATTCGATTCACCTCGGAGGTAAAAAGAGCATCGTACTACTGTTATGTCACTGTTCTTGTTGTCGCTTTTCAAAGGGACTCTCAGCAACAAGGAACAAACATGGCCCCTCCTTTTTTTTTTTTTTTTGGTCTGTAAAAACAACAGCTCTGTTTGTTTGGAGCGTCATTATCAGGATAATTGGATAGAATACATCAGTCAAGCAGCTGGAGGCATACCGCAGGACGCCGGGCAAGTTCTATTCGAAGGGACTACATATCAAAACTACCCCACGTTGGGCGTTGCAAGAGGCCTGGAGAGCGCGTCCTTCCAAATATATTCTACCCCGCATTCGGAGTGGTAATCCTTCAGGCGCGGATCAAACCAATCAAACAATGCTGCAGTTCCTGGTCCTTCATCATAGCATGTATCACTCTCTGTCTTTTAGCACCACATGCAAAAGGCAGGGATGCCAGGAACGAAAAACGTGCCTTCCCTTGCTCACTGTTCTGGAAATCAATATCGCAGCCTAGACCTCTAGCAAGCACCTCGTCGTGCTTGATCAGAGCCGTGATTCGAAGCTGGAGCTTTAACTGTCGTACTATTGGGACGCGTTTATGTCTCTAGTGAAGCGTAGAAACGGCTATCCCAACGGTGATCTCGCGAGCATCAATAGCTTGCAGCACCTCCGTATACAGAAAGGACACGCGTATCTTTGAAAGTGGACAACGGGTGATCTTTCACCTCCCGGCTTTCTTCTTTTTTTTTTGCAGTAAGGGTTGGTCGTGTGATGCATCTGTGCGACCTTTAAATCCTTGCAAATATTCCCGTAAATCCACACATACACTTCCAGCTTAGAACCCCTAATGTACCATCAGCACGACTGGGTGATTGCTGGCGCTTTATGGCGAGTATGAGCGAGGTTTGAATAGGCTTATTTCGTGCAGACTCCAAGAGTTGCCAAACGGGTTGCCAGTTAAGTTGTATGCGCGATTCCTCTTTTCTTTTTTTGGTACCAAGCAACTGGCGAGAGTGCTCAGGCAATCTCAGCCACTGATTTTTGTTTATGTTTTCGATCCGCTGGTGGCCTCGGAGTAAAGGCGAAACCACTCGCTCCACGCTTCTTGGACCGTTGACAATTCCTCTGGAACTGCACTTTGACCCTCTCTCTGTTATTCACCGCCACCATCCCCTTGCCTCCTGACACGTTCGACTGCAGTTTGGGAAGGGACTTTCATTACTCGCCAGGAACCCACGCATTCAATAACACCCTATAGGATCTCTAACAGTCGTCTCACTCGACTTCACTATGGCACCTACACTTCTTCGCAGTTCCTTCCGAGCTGTACATCGGGCTATGGCTAGCAGCTCTCGAGGTAATCATCAGACGCTGACATTGGAATTTATTATCCTTCCACAGGAGTAACCTCGACACTTGTACAGCACCTATGTCAAAAAAAAAAAAAAAAAAAAAAAAGGAGCTGTACTCAGTGAACGTGCCTGCGTCCCAGGGACAGCAGAAACCAGGCCATTACAGGTGGTAATGATATCACATGAACTACGGCTGGAAGGATAACTAATGCGAGCTCTTCATGTCATGTATAGTCGCTCGTCCCACTGTCCAACAGCACAACGCCCGTACCTGGGTTCGCGCTACTCAGGCTAACATGTACTCGACCGGCAAGGGATCGGGATCGGAATCAGGATCAGGATCAAATGTCGGCGATGATGATATTCTGGATGCCATGTTGGCTGGCATGGATATGGATTTCAAAGTGGCAACACCCACTACTTCAGCAGAAACCTCTACTGAATCATCAAAACCATCATCCGAAGACCCCACATCCACATCAACATCAGGAGAAACGACCGATCCTGAACCAACATTTGTTGGACAGCCTGTTGATATCGAGAAAAGGCTCAAGAGTCTTAGTAGGTCAACGATATGGTTGCTTCGCTGATAATCAGCTCAATGAACATCGAATTGCCGTACTAACGAGCCGAACTGTTTGCATACGACCTGTAGTGCCTGAATTCATGTCATACGGAGGCCAATTGGCACCCAAACCCAAATCCGCATTGAATGACAGCCCTTCGTCCAACTCACTGACGATTGCTCAGCTTTTGGCTGCAGGGTTGCATCTCGGTCACAGCACCTCTCTCTGGAACGTGGCCTCGATGCCCTTTGTCTTCGGCGTTCGTGAAGGAATCAGCATCATCAATTTGGAGCACACTCTGACGCACCTTCGTCGTGCCTGCACTGTCGCCAAGGCTGTTGCCCGTCAGGGAGGCATCATCTTGTTCATTGGAACGCGCCCTGGTATGGACCATGTGACGATCGACGCTGCAAAGACCTGCAACGCCTACTATGTCGCCTCGAAGTGGTGCCCAGGCACGATCACCAACGCCCAGGAGATTGTCGGCCCTCATACGCCTCGCTTGCCTGATGCCCATGCTGGAGATCTTGCCAAGCCCTTCCGCCCAGATCTGGTCATTGTTCTGAACCCGATTGAGAATATGATTGCTATCAAGGAGGCAACTCGGTTCAACATCCCAACTATTGCGATTACAGATACGGATGTCGACCCTCGCATCGTGTCCTACCCTATTCCCGCAAATGATGATTCTGTCCGCGGTGTGGAGCTGGTGGCGAAGGTTCTTGCGGAAGCTGCCAAGGAGGGAAATGCATTGGCGTTGGAGGCCTCGAAGTGGCAGTCAAGACAGAGGATCGAGGGACGCGTGGATCGCATGAAGGCATGGAGCGCGCGTGCATAATTGTGGTCGCGCACACGGCAAACATATTATCACAACCCGGGCACTACCACTCTACCTTTATCGTTATAGACATCCACCATCGCTTGTTCTCCTTCAGTTGTCATTTTCACAATAAACATTTTATATGCACATATCGCTTTTACATTCGTTTAGAAGGCCTTTATAACGCGCTATCGACTGTAAAAGGAGATCAAGGTTGAGAAAGCGAGATGATAATGTAACTAGACAAAAGACGGAAGCGCGAGAACAATGTATCACCCATTTGATGCGTCCCCCCAGCCCTCCTTGTACCTAACCTGCAATATTATAACGGCTGTTGTTGTCTCTGCTACTCTTCCTCCTTCTCTCTCGCTGTCTCTGACTCGAGCTCAGCTTCTAGATCGTCTTTCGACTCAGTCTCTGCTTTGACCTTGACTCCTGTTACTGCGTTATTGCCATCTCTGGCACCTGCTCGATCCTCCATCTGGCTCTCTCCTCGATGTTCTACTTCGCTTTTCACTCCTACAGTTATCTGGCCTTTGTCACCTGCTCCTGCTGCCAATGCCGCTCTTACTATCACTGCGGCTTTCTCGACTTTACGAATGGCTTTCATCACTAGAAATTCAACTTCGCTGACTGTCGCAACAGTCTCATCTGCAGCTTTCTATGCTTCCTCTGTGGCATCAGATGCGGAATGTACCGATAGTTTCGCGTCGAACAGTGCCCTTACTGCAACCTGTACTTTAGCTTCTACATCGGTCGCAGTGGCAGTGGCTTTCGCCTACTGCTGCTGCTGTTGATGCCTCGGCTTGCGTTCTGGCGCCTGCTATCAATGTGGGCTACTGCAGGTTTTGAGTTTGGTCTTGGGGGATGCTGTTGAAGATGCATGGTGATAGAGGACAAGAATGAGATAAAAAGTCATGAGGAGAACATAAGTGATATAAGCTTCTTACCTCCACCTTGAGTTCATTGTTTCAATGCGTGTTCATGTGTGCGTGTGCGTAGGCGTAGTTGAAGCGAGAAACGCGTTATATCGGCTACACGCGTCATGCACAGCACAGGCAACATAGGTGTTGGATATGATTGGCTGGAGGTGCGTAATTCGATACTGTTATAATTTCGCTGCCCCAGCCATGGCTCCCTCCTTCAGGCCCGGAAGCTAGCCAGAACGCGTTTGAGTATATGCCTTGAAAAAAGGCGTCCGAAGCGCACCTCACGCGCAGATGCTGTGGTGTGGTAGCAGTTGTTCATGTCAACGAAACCGCGTCAATGATCCCTTCCCAGCAACCTGTCAAGGCAATTAAATAACGCTTTCTGAAGCGCATGCTTCATTTCTTTGACGCGTGCCAAAGCGGAACCATAAAAGTATAGAATAATGACCAGGCTCCTAGCTGGTTTGGTCAGCTACCCTTTTTCAACGGAAATGCCAATGTCAAATATGTCTAGCAAGTTCAAATGAGAAGAATATAATATACAGCGCGATGGCTCTCCACATAGTTCGCAAGAGAGGGCCGTGAAACGTCGAGGGTGTCGCTGCCTGGAGTTAATGCTTTTGAATTTGACAGCAGTGATACACAAGGCATCCGGATCACAGGCAGCAAATAAAGATGAAGTCACACTCGCCCTGAAGGCCTTCGAGAACGTGGCACACTTCCCATCGCTTCGTTCTTTACTTCTTTCATCTCACGCTCGCTTGCATTCAACAAACATGGCACAAGCACCTCGGGACCCGACTTTGCGAGACCAGCAAATTGGTAAAGATATTCACTCGGATAAGGGTGCCAGCATGCTCAGGACTTCAGGCGCGACTTAACAACTCATCATCTCTCTTGGCACATCTTTGGTTGTCCTCAACCTAGCTGCCATCGCTTCCATGCTGAACCTCAACCAGAAACCTGAGCCGGCATCACAAATTGACCAAGTCATTCCTATGGCTTCCGACGCGGAGTGGAAGGTCCTAATCTTTGACAGCTTTGGCCGGGATGTCATCTCGTCCGTGCTTCGCGTCAATGACCTCCGCGAGAACGGCGTCACAGTCCATATGTAAGACCTAGACCCGTTCAATAGCCTTTAGATCGCTGTGTCTTCCCGAAGCACAGCGCAAATGTTCACATAGGTCACTAATGACGCTGAGGATATCGTTTTAACGCCTTCTCTCTCCATTGTCTTCTCTCTCCATTGTCTTTTCGTCTGCAGGTTACTCAAAAATGAGCGACAGCCGATTCCAGACGTTCCCGCAATCTACTTTGTCGAACCGACCTCGGAGAACATTCGCAGGATCGGCGAGGTTAGCGCCCAAGAATTTCCAACAAATATAGTTGCTGTGTCGTGGCAATCTTTGGAGCCCAATACTGACGCTTTGCCATATTATCGATCATTGCGTATAGGATCTGTCGAACCACCTGTATGACTCTTATTACATCAACTTTTCTTCAGTAATACCGAGACCTCTCATGGAAGAAATGGCAGCCTCCACCATCCCCAGTGGCAGTTCAGCGCAGATCCAGCAGGTCTACGATCAGTACCTAAACTTCATTTGCACGGAGCCCAACATGTTCTCGCTCAATGATCGCCAGTCGTATTTGGCACTGAACGACCCAACGGCACCCGAGACAGCAATTGAGGCATCGATCGATAAAGCAGCCAGCGCCTTGTTTTCTGTGCTTGCTACTATGGGTAAGGAGATGAGATGACTGTTGATTTGCAGTGGATATACTGGAAGCAATCATCAGCACGACTAAGCCGAGTGTCTCATTTGCTTTAGGTGTCATCCCAATCATCCGTTGTCCAAGACGCGGAGCGGCTGAGATGTTGTCTAAGAAGCTGGACAGTCGCCTGAGAGATCATGTCATGAACAGCAGGAACAACCTGTTTTCGGATACCAACACCATGAATTTTCAGCGACCAGTACTTGTTATCTTGGATCGCAACATGGATCTGGTTCCGATCCTCAGTCACTCATGGACATATCAGGCCCTCGTGCACGACGTCATGGACATGAAACTGAACGAGATCGTTGTCCAGGTATGAATGGACCAGGACCATGGGCGGGATATTTGTCGCTCCAAAGACTGACATCCATTTCTTTGGTAAATAGACGGAGGAGAATGGTCGAACGGTCAAGAAAAAGTACGATATCGAGGCCAAGGACTTTTTCTGGAACAAGAATGCGTCGGCTCCGTTTCCCCAAGTCGCCGAGGAGATTGACAGTGAATTGACAAAGTACAAGAAGGATGCAGCGCAGATTTCCCAGATGAGCGGCGTCAGTAACTTGGACGATGTCAGCCAGCTGTAAGTGAATGCCAGGAAGGGAGAAACATGTCTGTCTGAACCAACACCGAGTCATCCTGATTACCAACGCTAATATCTTGGTCTTGGATTTCACAGTGATTTTTCATCAGGTGCAAAGCACCTCAAGACTGCCATTACAGCCCTTCCTGAACTCACAGCTCGAAAGGCAACACTGGATATGCATATGAATATCGCCACTGGACTGTTGCAGGGAATCAAGGACAGACAATTGGATACGCTCTTCCAGATGGAGGAGTCAATCACTAAACAAACAAAGGCCAACATCCTGGAAGCGATCAATGATCCTGAGAAGAAGGTGCCAGAGGACAAGATGCGCCTCTTCTTGATTTATTATCTGTCGATTCAGGAAGACATCCCCAGCGACGTTATGCAAGAGTACGAGGATGCGTTGGTCAAGGCTGGCTGTGATCTCGCGCCTCTGCGATATGTCAAAGGAATTCGCGCATTCACACGAATGACCAATGTGGCTCAACAGCCTCCTCAGAGCTTTGGTCGTCCCGATTACCTCTTGAATCGCCTTGGAACCATCGGAAATAAGGTAACTTTTATTTCTTCACTTGGCAAATGACAATGGACTATGGATAATTGAACGCATATCGACCAATGTTACGTTGCTTTTTCTGAAATGTAATAGCTCTCGGATCACTTGGGCTCTGGTGGATTGGGAGGTGGTTTCGAGAATCTGTTGGCAGGGGTCAAGAACTTTTTGCCTGCAAAGAAGGACCTGCCCATGACTAGGATCATCGAATCGATTATGGAGCCAGGTGGTGGCGCCAACGAGACGAACGAGGACTTTTTGTATTTTGACCCCAAGGTCAGTCGGGCATCAAATGCAAAGATGCCACGCACGCGGACACCGTTTCAGGAGGCAATTGTGTTTGTGGTCGGTGGAGGCAACTATGTGGAGTACCAAAACTTGAACGAGTATGCACAGCGTCAGACGATCAAGAAAAAGATCACTTATGGCTCAACCGAGGTACTGAATCCAAAAGAGTTCTTGCAGCAACTGGCCACTCTCGGCAAGGAACAATAGCGGTCGTTAATAGCGGCGAGATAGAGGCGGTGCAAATGTGTGAGCACAAAATAAACGTTTGAACTCTACGAATTGTGGATTCGATTGCGGATTGCGGACACAGGTGTGATCAGAGCGGTGTGTGGACCGCATAAATTTATTCGGTCTGCAACTCCTATTTTCCTTCATCTCACTTCACATCCAATTCTAACCATGGCCGGCGGAAAATTCAAGAAGCCCCAGCGCGGAGGTGGCAGAACCTTCAGTCGTCGCATCGAGGCTGTTCACACCAACTCCAACTCTGTAAAACGCCATTCCGACTCACCGTTGTTCTTTACTGCATTCACCTTTGTGCTGCAATGGAATACTGATCGAGCCCTTCCACTTATAACTCTTTTGCACCGATTATCGACTGTAGTACCGTGATAGAGAGGAGTCCGAGGGAGACTCCTCAGCCGAGTCCTCGGAGGCCTCTGGCTCCGGATCTGAATCCGAGGAGGAGTCTGAGGAAGAAGCTGTCGTTGTTGTAAGTTGGTCATACGGAGTGGGGTGTATCGAGACACTTGGCGATCGTGATCTTGTGATGATGTCTTATCGTGCGTGTGCAATGCCCTGGATCTGGATCAAGTAGCATGGGTAAAGGCTGACAATACCATTGTTTTTTTTTGTTCCTTATCTACAGCCTAAGAAGAAGACCGCTGCCAGTGCTCTCGATGTTGAAATCGCAAACCCCAACCGCGCCGGTGGAAGCAAGAACTTGAAGGCGTCTGACCTTACCACGCCTGTTGAGATGTCTCGCAAAGAGAGGTAATCATCGCACCCTTCGGCTACTGGACATTTGCACGCTAATCAGGAGAATAACTCCTTTCCCATGATGGTGATGCCATTTGTATCTTCTATCACAAAATGCCACTTGGTTATTGTTTTCTGACGCTTTTCTCCCTTTTCACTATGGTAATGTTCGCTATCTATAGAGAGGCTGCTGAGAAGGAGGCTGCCAAGCAAAAGTACTGGAAGCTTCATCAGGAGGGCAAGACGGACCAGGCCAAGGCTGACATGGCTCGCTTGGCCGTCATCCGTCAAAAACGTGAGGAGGCTGCTGCTCAGCGTTTGGCCGAAGCCCAAGGTAAATCTTAATTTTACTGCGGTTTTTTGATGCCTAGTTTATTTTGTGGACTATTTTTCCACGGTAAACCTCAGGTGAACGATGACTAACGCAATTATTATCTGCTACCATTGTACGATTCATTAGCAAGAGACGAGGCTGCTGCGGCCAAGGCCGAAGCCCGCAAGCGTTAAACCGCATGCGATGGTCGAAATATTTAGAGTCCTTTTTTATGGTGCCACATCGTGCAGAAGTAGAGATGAATAAATCAGTGTTCAAAATCAAAGTCACTTTGTTTGTTTATATCCCTTTTCTTTTTTTTCTATTTCTTCCCATTGACACCAAAGCCAACACGCTTCGCTTGAACATCCCCTTCAGAATGACCATGGTAAGGTGACATGGGAAAAGAAAGCGTGGAATGACGCCATATGCTGGTCCCAGACGAGATATCACCTAAAGCTAACAGGCATCTTCATCTCGCGTCGCTACTTTTACACCCTCCTGTACCTTCTGCAGTCCAACAAAGCCGAGCATAAGGGCAAGAAGAAGGATAATATTAATTGGGAGATCCTCAAACTCCAGGCCCAGGTGGGAGAGACGACTTCAAGGAAAGCCAAGAAGGTTGTCGAGGCAGAGAGAAAGAAGGAAAGCGCATCAGCCACATCAGCAGCAACAGGAGACGCGGACACAGCAGAGGATGCGGTAGTTTCAGAGGCGGTTAAAAAGCTGTTGAAGTTGAAGGAACAAAAGATCAGCCAGAAGATTGTACGTATACCTCGACGCCAGTTCAGCGCAGATCTTCTCTATATAGTACCTGAAAATTTATGGGATGCTAATGGACGCTATGTTTATGATCAATTATAGTATCATGCAAAGAAGGAGATCAAGAAGGCATTCGTGAAGGCAAAGACGTTCGAGACGCAAAGACTCATCAAAAGACTTAAAGAAGCTAGAAAAGCTGTTGAGTAAGATCATACATCATACTTTTTTCAAATTCGTCAATATTTCTGGCCGACATATCGCTATACTGACAAAGGATTCAATTGCGATATTTAGAAACAAAGACGCGATTACAGAAACCAAGGACGAGGTTTCAGAGGAGACCGAACCAACACACAAAAAGAAGCAGGGCTTGACAGAGGAGGATGTCGCTAAGTTTGAGCACGAGCTGGAATTGGTCAAGGTTCGTGCATACTTCAACATGCACACCAAGGAATACATCGTACCCTGATTACATGTGTAATCGGCACTGAACTAAGTCCGATCTTTCATGTTTTATTAGAAAATGGACATGGACTCACTATCGGAGCACGCGTTTGTTGTAAAACTGGCCAAGCACCCTATTCTCGGAGCACACGCGCTCATGGAGCCATATGCGGTAGAAGGAAAAAATGTCAAGAAAGAGAACGGCGATACCGGTGAGAAATCATCGGACGACGCACTAATGCAGATCATCGAGGCGCGTCTAACGAATACAAAAACGGTGAAGGAGCATATGTCAAAACTCTGGGACGAACTGGAGCACATCATCACGGGCAAAAAAGTCGACCATGAGGCACTGAAGAAGAAGCGTAAGGCCGTTGGCGAAGACCAGGATGAGCCAGAGGTAAGAGGAATGCGGATCAAATTCATAAGCAGCTCATCTGCAATGCTGGCGTGAGTACTGACACATATTCACCTCAATTTAATTTTCTACTTTATAGATTAAGAAGGCGAAAACAACAGAAGATACCAAAGCTAAGTCATTGAGCGGCAGTGCAAGCGACGATGACAGCGATGAGGATAGGAGACACTTGGCGGATATGTCCGACATCAGTGACGCAGAATACGATGATGGATATGACTCAGACGGGTTGCCTTTGCCCAAGAACGGAAAGGCAACAGCGACGTCGTCAATGTTCATCGGATCGCTGAATGCTGGTAACGATAAGAAGGGCAAAAAAGACAAGAAGAAGAGAGGCAATGATGACTGGGTTGACGATAAGTTTGACGAGATTTACGGCAAGATCAAGAAGAACCGACCTGGTCAACGTGCAAGGAGAGAGTAAGCGCTTTTTGTATATTTAAGTTGCATGATAAGAATTTCGCCTACCATATACCCCTGACGGTCGTTAACAATATGTTATCATATCTTTATAGGAAAGCGGAACGCAAGTTCGGAAAGGAGGCGAACCACGTTAAGAAGGCCGCAGAGGAGGCACGTCTACGGGAAGAAAGGAAGGCGGCTCGTAAGGTCAAACAAGAAAAGTTCAAGTCTCGGGATGCCTCATCTGCCAATGCACAAAAGCTACCTAACCGACGCATGATCGGAGCTGGCGACGGTTCTGCAGCATATTATCAGCCTCCCGCTGCACCCAAGCCGTCGGGACCGGATCCTAATGATCCCACATTGCACCCTTCATGGCTGGCTAAGCAGAGCGAAAAGGCTGCGATGGCAGCGGCTCTTTCTGGGAACAAGAGCAACAAGATCGTTTTTGATGACAGTGATTAGTGCTTGTCCCATAATAAATAAAGCCATCTTCCATCTATGCATGTCCTGAATATGGATATCACAAACATACCTGTGCAACATAGCACCACAATCTTGTCAAAGGAGGGCGAAGGCGCTTCAGGATGGGCCTGGTCTCTGGTCTGGGTATGCAACAAAGGCAGTTTGCCGAAGAACAAAGCGAAGAGCTCAGGGATGGTACCTACAGATGTTTGGGGGCGATAGGATCATTTGCATATTGCTTGTTCGCAGAACAGCATTATGAGAATTATTTTCGTTTGACCTTTTGGCCTGCCAGCAGTCAAAACAGGGCAACCTTTTTTTTTTTTCTTCCTCGCTTTTCGTACCCGCTTCTTTGTGCACCACACTTGACTCTTTTCTCTTCCCTGTCCACTCCTCACTATCCCTCGAGGTTCGAATACTGCTTCGATCACCGGCCGTGGTACGCCATTCAACACTCCCACACATCCTCCCAAGATCTGTGTCCCATGGAAGACTTATCGGTAAGCTACAACACCCTCATGGAACTTCGCCCCTCTAGACTTGACCCTGTCAGCCTTTGAACGCGCATGACACACCTGTAGGGGTGGCGCAAAAGGCTCGGGGTCCAGTCTGACCAATCGCCCTTGAAGAAGGACAAAGGCTTACCATTATTCTTTATTTCTTTTTTCTCTTCTGGATCTCTAGACCATCACTGGGCGAATCATTCCCTCGCTCCTTGTCACGCAGTTGAAAGCGCTCATCAAAAGTCTGAACGAAACTATCCGCCCACCGCCCCATCTCAAACTTAGTGGCAACAAACCGGAATTGATTACTCGGCTTGTGGGATTCGTCACCCAATACCATCAGATCGGCGATCAGGTAGCGATTCGGCAGATCCGGCAGTGCGTGGCTGCATACAGTAGCGGGTAAGGTCGACGTTCACCTGTTTTATTTTTTTTAGTATTGCAGCATATGGCGACGTCCATGGAACACTACCTGTCGCATATGCGACCAAAAAAAAAGTGGCGAGGTTCTTTCAGCCAGCAGCTCTTGGGAAGGCTCAGCAACCTCCCTAGTGTGTGTGCGCCTGTACCTTCTGACCCTAAGCGGCCGATTCCATTTTCCTTTCTGCTATGATATCTTTCATAGGGACGTATCGACCATCGCAACACCCTCAGTCCCGCTGCACCACCCACATAATAACAGCAGTAACAGTCCCATTGCTACCACTCCCACCACCACCAGCCTATACAACAGGAATCCTCAGCCATCATCATCAGCATCAACACCATCGATGCTCACGTCAAGGGGGCCCGGACAGCCTACCTCGCACCATGCCAGCTCGAGTGTTCATAGGACTCAATTCCCAGTGCACCATTCTTCACATCAATATCGCCCAGGCATGAGTTCGCATGGACCACCTCACCAGACTTTCAAACCGAGCCCATTTTATCAAGATATGAAGACGTTGTCCGATTTGAAGCTGTGTTTGGGTAAGGATAGGGATGAATTGGCTGTTGTTGGGTTTTTTTTTGTACAAGACAATACTTTCGAGTTTGAGGTCGGTCGGCCAATTTTAACCTCTTTCTTTACGTTTTTCGTTATCTATGCATTATGGATCGTTTCATCTGAAAATGCTGGATATCGATTTCAGAGGCGAAAGACCGGACGTTGTCAGTTCCCATACCCTTCAATGTCCCACCCATGCTGGCCATGCAATTGAAGAAGTAAGGACCTCACCTCAGCAGAGCGCTTTGCATGCGGAGATAATTTTTGGAGCTGGATACAACGCTCACATGTATTGACCCTCGCTTCCACGCTTTTGCCTGTGTATAGGGATCCTCAATATCAACTGATGGTTTTTTGTGCGTGGGCGGATGGAAATTCAGGCGGGCAGGTACTCATGGAATTTCCTCATGTGTGTGAGATCAAGGTCAACGGACGAGTTCTTGAAGCAGTATGTTACGACGCCGAGCAAAATTTCCACGCCCGTGTTCCTTTGCACCTTTGACTATACACGAGTGATACTTATGCTGACAACCTATTCATTTGTTTCCCTAGAATCTTCGTGGGATGAAGAATAAGCCGGGAACAGTATCGCCGGCCAACATCACAAGGCTGTGTCGACTGGAGTCGGGGGATTACAATAAGATCGAATTCATGTATGCAAACTCAACTAAGGTATGCATGCAATGCAAATCTTTTTTCTTCTTTGTGCTCACTTGCCTCATGACCTTTGTTCACTGTTTAACAACTCGATGCTTTTTTTTGTTTTCATTGTTGATGTGGTAGCGATACTATGCGTCCGTACATCTTGTCAAGAAGTTTTCTGTGGAGCTGATAGTAGCAGAAGTTGAGCGCGGAAAATTTTTGAGCAAAGAAAAGATGCTGCAAATGAGTAAGTGAATTTCACGCCTTTTCTGTATGACTCGCAGAAGAGACAGGAGCAAAACACTAAGTTGTGATTTTTATCCATATCACTTTAGTCGAGGACCGGAACAAGGACGAAGACATCATGGCTACATCCAGCACTCTCTCACTCAAATGCCCAGTAAGCTTTTGATGCCTATGCAAGATGCCTGTGGCTGGGAGTGTTCGTCAGGGCTAACCAATGTAACACTGACTGACTTTCATATCGTTATTCTATTTTAACGCAGCTCGGGTTTCAGCGCATCAATATTCCTTGCCGTTCACAATACTGCCATCATCTGCAATGTTTTGATGCCTTTACATTTTTCAACCTGAATGAGCAGACGCCGACGTGGACCTGTCCGGTGTGCAGTCGAGTCATGCTTTCTTGGGAGGAGATTGTTGTTGACGGGTGGGTCTTTTTCTTGAATTCACTGTGCTACATCCTCTTTGGCTCTTCGATCGCCTAACTCTTTTCATGTTCATTGATTGATCCTACAGGTACTTCAAGGATATTCTTAGTTCGACACCAAAATCACTGGAGAGCATCACAGTGCAGGCAGATGGCTCATGGGAGATACCATCGTCATCAACACAAACGGAGGCTGCACCATCTCCAAAAAAGAAATTATCGGCACCTTCGGGTGACAGTGTATTTGTGATCGACGAGGATGATTCAGACGACGAGGAAGAGGAAGCAGTAGCAGCACCTACGCCAGTGCCGAGCAAACCAGCTGTCGTTGTTATCGATCTGATTTCGGACAGTGAAGACGAGGAAGAGGATACAACACCAGCAAGTCAGGTCGATGCAGGCGGAGACGCCGTGATGGAGGATGCTGCCACATCATTACAGAACATGGCACAGTCAGGATCAGGGAGGCTCCCTTCTGTGAAGACAGAAATGCTTGACAAACCCACGCCCACAGAATCTGCAATTGTACCGCCACCTGTGGAGATACACAGCATCTCTGGGTCTAACAGCGCGTCTCCAGCATCGGCATCATCATCAGGGGCATCGCCACTCCTTTTAGCGCGAATGGTACAACCAGAATCCATCCAAACAGGCCTTATTTCGCCAACATCTAGGATGGCTGGTGGCTGGGAAACCAACGAGGATTCGTTCATGAATGTGCTTTTGAATCCAAGGCGGAAGCGGCAGTTTGACGGTAAGCTGGATTCTCCACTTTACGTTTGAAACCGCACCGTTTAAATGAAGTGAAGCTTTTGAAACGTGTATATCCAGCATTTAATGGAGGATATTATGCGCAACAGCCGTCTCAAAAAAAAAAAAAAAAAAAAAAAAAAAAAGGGGGGGATCGAGCAAAAGAGACATTCCCCTTCAAGAAAATAAAATAAGCGGTGCTTCATATATGATACACGCTAACGCTGCATATCATGTATGAATGCGATAGATGCTGGAGATAGCGATAGCCCGAATAGCATGGCGTACGAGACAAGGCAGCGGATAGCAAGGTTGGACATCCGCTCCTCCAACGTAAGTACAGACGGATCAGCGTCGACAGTGAACTCACCGGATGTCATCGGACGATCAACGTCATCACCAACACCTGTCCCTACGCTCCACGACTATGATCGAAGAGGAGTCAGTGAGCATCAAGCCGAAGTGGACGGAATGAACAATAGGGCGCGTCGAGAATACATGCCAAACCGACCTATTCAGTCGCCTTTTCTGGAGAACGGAGGCCATACCGTCAGCGGGCCCGCCTCGACTGTTGGACAGAAGGCCTTTGTTTCTCATCATTCTCCTCAACACCATCAGAGCCATCATCGCAGTTCGCGAAGCGTGACTATGTCGCCACCGCTTCAATATGGATACAGCGGTGCGTCACCACGTCACCATCAACACCATCATTCAGCCCACCGGTCCTCGGACTCTCCCGGAATAGACTATTATACGAGTGTTTCTCGACCCTCATCAAGTGCCTCCATGGCCCCGAATACAAGCATGAGCTCGCGCTCCAACTCGCTGGTAACAGACCGGCCATTGTCAGGGGTGCCATCTGCACCTCTATCAGGCGGCTCCTCATCGGCATGGAGTTCCGCGGACGGATACACAAACGGAAACCAGGATCGTGTCAATCGATGGAGTGCCGAGCTGAGGCCGAACACGTACGGGGCCAATACTCATATGAGCTTTTACGAAAGTTCACGGCGGATTAGCGGGGAGGAGGCACGAGCCAGTACGATGTCGAATCCATCCTCGCCCGAGCATCGTGCTACCACTTCCAAGTACTCTTCGCCGCATTACTCGCATCCCTCCGTCTCTCAATCACCAAACCACCAGCGTCACCACTCGAACGACGATGTGGCGATACACAGACGATACCAGGACCAGAATAACGGGGCTTGGGACCACAGCCGCAATGGCCGCGAACAAGTTGACGAGTATGACGGATATGGATCACATCAACATGTTCTTAATTCGAACCAACACGGTCCTAGCGGCAACGGTGACCAGATCACCTTTTCGCCGAGTCCGCGGAGTGACGAGGCGCCGATTTTTTTGCATGGTCTTCGTGGAGCGCGAGCGCGTTGAATGATGACGGTGGCCGACCTTGTAGTCGTGCTCACTTGCCTTGTTCTGTTGGCATTTTTTTTCCCTTTATTTTCTATGACTTGTAAAGTAGAGAGAGGGGTACGACTACATAATAAAATGCACGCTGCCAACGCTGTTCAAGCTGCCGTAGTCGCGTCTTGTGTGCGCTCTATTTATACGTGCACAAATCACTATGCATCAAGGAGGTCTGCGTTGATTGATATTGATGCACGCGCAGGGCCCCTTTGCAAGATGACGATTTCCCGTGGCGCAATCGACCTGAACGACGCTTTCATATTTAAGCGCTTTTTTTTTTTTTTTTTTTTTTTTTTTTTTTAATTCAGACAGCTAAACATCTTTTTTTCTTTGCAGTACTCGCTCTTTCTGCTCTCAACGTCCAACACTCATCTCTGCCTTCGATAAAAAGCGCACGTATATTCCTGGAACCAGATATACTTCATGCATCCAAGATTCTTTCGCGCGACGGTGCTTCAAGCCGCGTCGCTGTTACTCTTACTCTCTTCAAGCGATCGCAGACGCTCTCTTCTTTCCATGGCCAGCGTCATGACCTGGGCCTTGCAACCCAACAGTAACGGCATCGTCAACATGGCACTCGTCCTCCAGGGCGGCCCTGATGGTACGAAAGAAGGCACGAAGAACGCGCTTGCGCTCCAGGGTGCCAAGGAAGCCTGTCAGGCGAACCTGCCGTCGAATATGGGGTACCAGTACAAGAGCTGCAAATTGAACGTGTTGACGCCCTCCTCCGAGACACAGGGAGCGTATGCGGGGTTGATCCCGTCCAAGGCCGGGGAGAACGATTTCATGATGGCTCTAGGGTATTATCCCTCGAAGGCGATTCAGTCGGCGGCGGATGCGAATGAGGGAAAGTTGTTTGCGATCGCAGACTTTGAGTTCTTGCCTCCGGTGGGGAACATTGCGAGCGTGATGTATTCGGAGGACCAGATTGGGTATCTGGCTGGGTTGCTCGCAGGCGAGGTCGGCAAGACGCGTGGGGGCAAGGTTGCGGGTAAGTAAATCGTATATGTCATGAGGGGAAGGCTAGAGAAGATCAGTGATCTGAAGAAAAAAAATGGAAATGATCGGCCATGGTCTCAACATCGGAGGTATTTCTTTCCTTATTATTCTTTTTATAGTGATTGGAGGAGTCGACCAGCCAAGTGTCCGGCGCCAGATGAACGGATTCGGTAACGGCGTGAAGATCTCTTGTCCGAACTGCAAAGCCTACGGAGTCTACTCTGGCACATTCGAATCGGACGCGAATCTCTCGAGCACGGTCCACCAGATCTTCAAGGACCACGAGGTTTCTGTGGTTTTTAATGCGGCCTCGATCTTTGGGACCATGACGCTCAAGAACATGACGACGCAGGAAGGAACGTACGGGATTGGATCCGGGTCAGATGAATGGGTGACGAATTGGGCGTATGGATCCGTCCCGGGGAGCGAGCACATCCTGACGTCGATCCAGACGGATTATACGGTGATGGTGCGGTCGGTGATGCAGTCGGTCCTGCGGGCGAATCTGACGGGGGGTTCGACAGTGTTTTATGGAGTGAACCCGGATCCGGCACAGAGCGCGATCAAGTTGGCCCCGGTGCATGAGGCAGGTGGGGTGGTAACTAAGGAGATGTTGGTGAGGATGCAGGGGTATGTCGCGGATATGGCGAAGGGACAGCTGAAGACGGGAGTCGATCACAAGAGTGGAGAGAATCGGCTGGGAGGATGTAAGTGCAATGTACTTGACGCGTTTTTTTTTTTTTTTTTTTTTTTTTTGCGATGCTATGGCTATGTATGAATGTGCACTATGACCAGTGTTGTCCAACCCTGAACGTCTTTTTGTTGTTGTTGTTGTTGTTGTTGTTGTTGTTTGTGTGCACCAGCACCGACGAGCGTTGAGCTGCTGTCGCTGACGAGCACTTCGAAACCGGACAACGACAACGACTCGAATAGCACGTCCACTGACGGCTCCCCGACCCGCAAGAGCAGCACCTCATCCTCAACGACCCGAGAACTGACCGGCGACCTGACCATCTGGGCTCGACTTTTGGTCGTGTTCGTTGCTGTCCAGGTCATCGTCGTTACCCTAATCGGCGACGTCTAAGCAATGCATGGAAGTAATGGATAAACTCTTCCCGAGAACGAAGAAACAATAATCTTCCCGACAAGAAAAAAAAAATAATCCTGCTTCATCCCTTTTTTCTCTTCAAGAAGATCTCTCGTTACCTTACCCGCTTTTCCCGACGAATCGGCCAACTTTTTTTTTTCTCTCTTCTGCCGCGCGTTAAAGGACGCAACATGAAATAAATAAAATGTGATATGCACCTTGCTTACTCATGCGTTGTAAGCCTGCTTTTTGATACGTTGTGTACAAAGCGAAAAAGAGGAGCGGATGCCCTGTCCATGGCTGGACTTATTTCATTAGTCCATCTGTTTGTTGCTTCTGTTCCTGGATTCGGACTTTGGGGACTGGACCCCATTGGGCACACTAGTCTAGCATGGGTCTAGTATGTGGTAAGCAGCCTTACCATGCATGGACATGTATCCGTACAGCACGCGTGTGTATCCTCTTTGGTTTTGTGTATCTTTGTATATATGCCCTTTGTGTCCCAGTTCCAAAAGCAGGAGGTTTTATTACCCATTAGCAAATATCTAGATTGCGCCTTCGGATTGGGATTGGGTTGGAAAAGAAAGAACCAAAAATGTTTAGAGCGACGGCGGGAAGATCGTCTCTCAATAGAAAGCAGAATGGAGATGGGGGAAGGGAGGGGAGAGGGGGAGGACATGGGTAGGGGAGATGCCTGATGCCGATGTCGATGCCATGTGATGAGGAAACCTCCAGGGTCATCTTCTACCACCATCTTTTTAGTTCCGGCCCGGTAAAAGAGGCCACCCACCACCATCTTTCCCACTTCCATTTTTAAATTTATCGATCGACTGGCACCCAAAAATTCGGCACCAAAAATGGATTGCGCTCAGACCTAGTTTGCCTAGATTGGGCGCCGCCCTCTTTTGATTGTTATCGCCCATTAATCATTTGCGATCGATGGACCTGTCCCAAAGCAAAGGGCAAAAAAAAGCAACAGAACGTTCAGGACCTGCTTGTTAAATAAAATAAAGGGGAGATAGGATCCCAAGAATATATAAAAAAAAAATAGCCTCGAGGTGAATTTTTTTTTTAGTACCTCTTCTCATATCCTCATGGCGTCCATCGTCATGAGCACATCATGCAGAGCACTATTATTAAATGCATTCCCAAGGACGGAAAGAGGTGTGAGGAGGGGGGGCAGGGGATGGAGCACTGGTTAGGGTGTACCTGACATCTTCCTATTTAAAGATATTACGTCTGCCACTCCTTTTCCTTTCTGCTTTTATGCTTTCTTCTGTTTCCCCCCAAGAATTGGACCTTGGACAGATTAGCACCCTAGAAAAGAGAGAGAAGCAGAATGATCCATAAGGTGGCCTGGGATGTAGTTGGCGATGTCTACGCAGAAAGCGGACGGAGAGAAGGTCCCCCTCGGCCGAGTCAAGGCGAGATGGGTAGAGATCGTCGTTGGATGATGTGGAGAGCAAGGACTGGCTGGGTAGGCAACGGTGGCCACAAGCTGTCCAGGAAGGATGTTTTCTTCCGCGGCATAGAAAGGGAGCACTGTTTTGTTTGTGGTACAGCCTCTGTGTCTTTCCAGGGCAAACAATATGCAAGTCCTGCGATGCCACATGGTGCTTCGTCTGCTGCTGCTGCTGGTGTGCAGTGGGGTGCAGTGGGGTGCAGTGGATGCGTCTGCCGTGTGTGTAGTCGTCTTGGAGCTGCTCTTAGACTACAGACACCCTCCCCACCCCCCTTTTTTTTGGTGCGTTTCTCCCTACCCCGTCCCTGTCTCCCACCCTTCCTTCTTCCTCCATCCCCATCTCATCCTCCCTCTTCCCTCTTTTCTTTCTGATGCATACCCCACTCCTCCCCTGATCTCTCCTCCCTGCCCTGTCTTTGTCTTTGGTCGAGTCCCTTTCTCTTTCTCTGTCTGTCTCTTCGTCCTTCTTCGTCCTTACTTCCTCCCATTGCACGCCCGCACACTTCACCCATACCATACCATACCATACCATTCACTCCCTTGCTGTGCACTACTACTGCCTTCTTCCTCCCCCCTCTTCCCTCTTCCCTCCCTCCCTCCCTCGTTGCCCAATTGCCCTAGGATCCATCGCTCCCTCCCTATTCACTCGCCCTCTGACTACTCCTCCCTCCGATCATGGGTGCTGCTGTCTCACGCGACCACGCCAAGCTGCCCTTCGGCTACACTCACGCTAGAAAGGACCACTCCTTCAACACCTCGTCTGTCTCAAGGAAGAGACTCGCCCCCAGACTCCTCAGGACATCCGACACCACCTCCGTAACCCCCTTCCCCATCCAGGACGGCAACGTCTCCACGTCTGCTTCTGCTGCCCCAGCAGCGTCATCGGCTGTTTCTTCGATCCCCGAGACAGACTCGCTTAGTCTCCAACAACAATCTCACACCTACCACGAGACGACCTCACACCACAACTACGGCTACAACCACAACAATAACCAGCATAGCCACCACAGCTCCTCTCCTAGCCATGACAGCAGTAACACCACCACCACCACCATCACCACTACCACTAACAATAGCAGCAGCTTGAACGTGGAGGATGGTTCGACTATCACTAGTCTGTCTTCTGTTCCAGATTCCGGAACAGGGGGAGGATCCACCTCAACCGTCGCTGCCTCCGTGTCCGTTCCTGAATCAGACTCTGCAGCTGAAACAGCTACGCGAACCTCCGTATCAGCAGCAACAGCACCATCATCACAGCGGATGAAGACAAGGTCCTCACAGCAACAGCATAGGACCACAGCAACCACCTCAAACGAGCACACTGGCCAGACTGCATCAGCCCCGGGCTCATCGCTGACGTGCGCAACAAGCACATACCATCCACAACACTTGATCAATTCTGACTTGGCCCATGCTACACCCAATATCAACAACGCAAACAACAATGATCAATATGAGCACCAAAAGCGGATACAGACGGAGCAGGACAATGACATGGATGTCGTCTCAGCCCTCGGCATCGCTGATCGTCTCTCCCAGACTTCGTACGACTTTTTTGGCAGCAACAGTAACAACACTGCAGCTTCGCCCCCTCGTTCGTCCAGTCTCAGCAGCCAATCTGTACAGCTTCGCCCGCATCCACAAATGCTGACAAAGCAGGATGCGGCCACACTGTTTATCAGCGGTTCAAGGAACTTGCAGCAACAGGGGGAATATGAAACGCGAATGAGCACTCGATCTGATTTCCGAGGACACCCATCCTACTCCAAGAGAGCGCTGTCTTATGAACTCAAAGGAAGCGAGAGGGGGCTTCTGCAGCTTCAGGAGGAAGACGAGGACTTCATGGACTTGTGGGACGACAACGCTCTCAGGCTAGAAGGCGCTGGCGAGGTCGACTCCATCCTCGATGAGGACGTGGAGCACCTCAGTCCGATTCCCTTCTCAGACCTCCCTAGCTTGACCAACATTGGACTGTGTTCCCACGGGCTTGTGAAGCTGTCTTCGAACATTCGCCTTCTGGCCTCGGCGACTTGTGTACAGATGTAAGCATTGGTCCTTTTATTCTTTATTTTTTTCGCCCTATTTGATGTGCTTTTTTGTCCTAGACTCTAACATGCCAATCTCTTTATTACATTTTTCACCCTGGTTTCCATGTGCGATAAATTGCCGATCAACTAACCTCGTCTCGCACCAATTGAATCGTCTCTCGATAATTCTGTCTTTAACTAATTCCACCAAACCCAATCTAAACGACGCTACTTCGACACTATGACAAACAACAGTTGCTGCAATGAACTCAGCAAGATCCCCATGGAGATCGGCTATCTCCATAATCTCGTCCTCCTCGACCTATCCAAGAACAGTCTTACGAGCCTTCCAGAGACCATCATGTATCTGACAAAGCTCGTGGATCTCAAACTGTCCTTCAACCAGCTCGAGTCCATCCCCGCCGGCATTGGCGGGCTCACTAAACTCGCAGCACTGTCCCTCGATAACAACCGGCTTGAGTCGATCCCCTCACAAATCGGTCTGATCAAGGGACTGATCAACTTGGATCTGTCCGATAACCCCATCACAGTGTTGCCAGCTGAAGTCGGAAAGCTGCAGTTCTTGAGACGGTTGAAGCTGGATCGGTGCCCGCTTGTTGAATCGTTCTCACACTCGCCACTGCATTCGCCACCAACACTCCTGGAGCTGGCAGCCAGGGTCATTGTCCGGCATGATGTCCCAGTCCCGCCAATGACGCTGCCACATCTGAAGACGTATCTCAAGAGTGCGAACACCTGCACGTTCTGTGATGGACCTTACTTTGATGCGTCGGTGAAGCGTGGAAAGATGATCGAAAAGAATGACATGTTCATCCCGCTCGAGTACACGCTCTGCCAGCCTCATTGGAACACGGAGCTGGAGAGGATCAAATTGTTGTTCTGCAAGCGCCCCATCACCTCGCCACCTGCCAATGCGTCCTCGGTACCCCAGGGAACTATTGGACACATCAATGTGGCGAAAAGGCAGTCTCAGAGACCCGCTTTAACAGCAAGGTCGACATCAGGATCGACCAACTCGACTTTGGGATCAACATTTGATTTAGAATCTTCTTCTGCTGCTTCGACTGCTGCCGGCGCTGCATCGGGCACCAGTCGTCCTCGGAACCGAAAATATGCGTCCGAAGGCGACCGATCGCTGTCGTTTGTAGGAAACCGGCTATCGATGCTGTTGGGACCCAGGGGTGGCGACAAGCGTGAGAGACCCACATCGACATACCGCACCGCTTCCATGCCAGTCGTCGCCACCTCTGCGAATGCTGGATCAACAAGCGCGACGGCAGGATCTTCGCGATTGGCGTCTTTGTCTTCGTCTTCGTCTTCGTCAGGAGTGGGCACACCCCGAATTCAGACGAACGGTGCTGCGATCGTCCAGGAGGGAAATGGCGAGCAGCCTATTCGACCTAGGGTACGACGTTCAGTGACGAGTGGCATCCTGGCGAGGGCGGCGTTCAAACTGAGGCGACCGCTGTCGATGGCGTCTGCGTTTGAGACCGCGTCTGTACCAGTGGGTCATCTTGATGACCTGGGTACTTCGTCGTCGGCAACTGATGCAGATGCGGCTACAGCCACGAATTAGATATTCTTTTTTATTTTTTATTTTTTTTTTTTAGATGGCTTTCGACTACATAACTGTATACACTTTGCTTGTGCATTTTTATTTTTTTTATTTTTTTATACCCTTCACCACACCCACACACACATGCACACACACACATATTCTCGTACCATTTCCCTCCCCAAAATTTCATGTGTTTCTTTGCTTTCTTTTTGCAATCGCTTTGTTCTTTAGAGTCTTTCATTTTTATTTAGTTTTTGCTTTGTTTTCAAAAATAAAAGAATTGTCCATTGCTTTATGAATACATGTCTTAACACGGAGGAACGATCAACAATACGGCCCTTTTTTTTTTCTAGGGGTTATTCTATTTTATTTTTAGCAAAGTGATGCATATGTGATACCCTCCAACCCTTGTATAACTACGTCCACCCCCTTACGTCTGTTTCCTCACCACGTCTACCACCACCACTAAAAAAGATGCTTCCAGTGGCCCAAGGAAAATATTTTACACCCAAAAAGTTGGGTCCTTGGATATCAAAAGAAAAAACAGGAGCCTGAGAAATTCTTATAATGGGAGATACCGAAATATGAAGGACAATGGAAGAACCAACGCGATAAACCGCCACGCGGGGGGCGGACAAAATAATAATAATAATAGTAAACTGCCTTTTGCTCATGATATTTTTTCTAATTGGAATCCACAATCGACGTCCTCTTTTTTTACTTCTTATAAACGACTAAGGGGGGGCATGCGTAACAAGCCGTAACTTAAGCTGGTATATACATAATCGCAAATTCAGGAGCGCGAATTCATCGGCCTTGCGAGATGCAAGATCTCGTCAGGCGAATGGTTCTCGAATAGAAAAGACGATATCCATGGGATGAAATGCGTTTTGAGATAACCCTACTCGGGTGATTCGTGATATGCACTTTTGAATGATGGTCATGATCTCCAGCGGTACCCTGTTTTATCAATCATCCTTTCTTGCACCATAGGTTTATTCCCCTCTACTGCGTGTAAACTTGGCGTTCGGATGATCCTGTTCGTAAGATAGACCCTTGCTCGCGAATACTAATCGATCAATGTTTGGCTCGGGACCTCTTTGAAGGCGGTTAAAGGGTCGTTAAAGGAAACCCCCTATACCGTTCTCGGAGGTCCTCATTGAAAACATATCACCGACCGAGCGACTTTTGGGTAGAAATATACTCTCAAAGAAAAAAAGACATTGGCAAAACACTCCTGTGTCTGCTTGGGGCTTTTTTTTTTGCGGAGCAAACTATCTAGCCGCTACCTCTGTAATCTTTCGTGACTCCACGAGGGGTATACTGTGCGACAGGACGGTGGGCATCCGCATTTCAATTCAGTCTCCTTCCAAAGGGGGGGGTTTGCTATGTCCTGAGCTCCTCCTCCAAATACAAAAACCATGATATCTGTCCAGGGGGATTGTAAGATGGCTGCTCCGGAGACGATTCAATGACGGGTGGTTTGAGGAGAAAAAAAAAATTCCTTGGAGATCATATCCTTAGCTTTCTAAGAAAACAAAATATGACAGGTTTAATGTCTGCGGGACGCTTAGCGTAATGAACTTCTTTCGTTTGGGCATATTTCTAGTAGTAACATTATTGCGAGCAGTTATTGATAAGATGAGGAAGACTCTTATTGCCAATATGTCATATTCTTCTTTCCGCGCATCGCGGGTAACAAGTTTATCTCGACCTTGCAAATGCGTTTATCTTGCTTTCAGAATTTTTACTCCGCTTGCTTTTGTATGTTGTCATTTTGTCGCCTCAGGTATCCAAATGTAGACACCAGATTTATTCCGCCTCCTTCCGCTGCTTTCATCGGGTCGAGAGGGGGAGGAAAGGGAGTTGTAGAAGGTCTGCCATCCATCTGATCAGAGAGCATCCCCAAAAAGGAGCGAAGGCTCCGAAGTACAAGAGGAAGGTACGACGGAGCTCATGGATGAGGACTCTTTAAATTTGTTCGCCTCCAAGTCCGATGCTCTGTATCCATCCACCATGGCGAGACTCTATTGAATTTTTTCGATGGAGGAAGCAAGCAGTGGTTTTTCTGAGCAGATCCTAATGCCTAGCGAAATTTCAGTATAATAAATTATGAGAAGCTGCCAAAAAGAAAGAGACATACGCGCGTTATTCGAATGATCCCTTATAAAAAATAAAAAATGAAGTCCTCAGGCCGAAGAGAAAGCGTCTCTTCAGCCATTTGAACGTGCTAGAAACCGTCATACTTCTGTAAAAAAAGGAAGAGGCATCCCACGATGTGATAACAAAGGTAGCAGTTACCATGTACAAGCGCTAAGTGGACAAGAAATGCTCCAGATATCCTCCCGTAGAGCTTTTGGTCATTAGGGTCATTAGGGTCATTAGGGCGTGGCATGGACCTCACTTCCCAAGATATTTTGCACGATCGAGTAGTAGCTGTTGTCGCGACTTCGAGGGCGACTGCCATTCCATGCATAGGGATTGTCATCTGTTACTGTGAATGGCTGTGAGTTAGCAAAATCGGAGGATAGAATCATGGCTTACGATGCAAAGTTAAAGACAATAAGCAATACGACCAGGAATTACCCCTTCATTTTCCTCTTGCTCTGTCAAGTTCAACCTACACGATGACGAATAGTACCAAAGAAAAAGGGCGACGAGCAGCGTCCGGCACGACTGCATTGCAGATGCTATTAGACAACAGAATCCCCTGTGTGCTGTGCTCGGCACTTGATCTTGAAACTGAAAAATGTTTGTTTTCGCGTCAACAACACGAGAATCATCGTTCAGGGCTACAAATACGATGCTAGGCTGTGTTATTTATCTCTAACAATGATGGCAATACAACACGCACGATATCATTAACAACATGGGTTACAACTGCTACGGTGGTGGCAATTAGATTGTATATGCGTTTCGTTGCCTCGGTACCTCCATGTATTGAAATGTTATTTCTTTGGAAGGAAGTTTTTCAAAACAGTTTATTCAATGACAAATGCTTTTTAATTTTTTTGCGAAAAATACACTTCCAAATAATATTTCGGCTACTACAATTCGACGGCAAACCGTTTAATCGGTCTTGGGGGCCTCCTTGTAGGTGATGGCGGCCTCCTCACCCATGGCGGCGATGACGGTGACAAGGAGCTAGGGGAGGAGAAAAAAAGAAAAAGAAAGATTGAAATGTGATTAGTACTCAATGGCATGACTCATAAATGTTATCAAACTCTCACAATAAAGTACGAGAAAAAAGAACTTACATCCTTGCCATCCTCAAAGTCAGCCTCCATCTTCTGACCGAGCTCGCCCTCGGGAACACGGACATCATCCTTCTGGTTGGAGTCGGCATCGAGCAAGTTCAAGAAACCTTCATCGATGTTGACGAGAGTGTACTCAACACGCTTGATGTTGGGGACATCCATATTGTGGGTCGAGGGGGAGAGATCCTCGAGCTTCTTGCCAGTGAAGATATCGATGGCAACCAAGTGGACCTTGGCGTGACCGTGCTTGCCAGTCTTGGAGGTCGACATATCGACGATCTTGCAGGGACGGCCCTTGATGACAACGTGTCCGTTCTTGCGAAGAGCAGAGCACTGCATGGGGTAGGTCAGGGAAGCACCCGAGGAGGTACCCTCGAACTGGACATTGTGCTGCTCGTCGTCGTGGTTATCGGCCATTTTTGATCTACTGGATAACCATTGTCATTATGTGGAAAGACAGAAAATATTAGTCGTGTGTCTTTTTCTTTGAAGAGAAAAAAACCCCTTTGGTCGGCTCCGAGAAAAAAGTGAATTGATAAAGTGTCGATATGAAGCAATTGACGGATCATGCTTCAACGCCCCTCATATTCTTTCTAGTCTCCTTTTCATTCCCTCTTTGAGGCTGTGACGCCTATAGAATATGCTGTGGCACGCACCACGTATGCAAGGACTTCCTCCCGAAATCAATGAAAGGATGGGCTGACGAGACGAACATGACCAGTCGCCCGTGTCGAGATTAGTCGACAGACGTGGAAGGAGTTGTTTCTTGTTCAGACAACGATAAAACAAAGACCTTCCCAACCATGAAAACAGAGATCAGATTTTTTTCCCCTCTCGTCCGAAAGTCATCTGGAGTTTTTGTCCGTGTGTCGCCAGGTGGGGTTGGTAGTCTACGTATTCCACATACGAATAGCACTTTTGTTGAAGAGGAAAGGGAAAAAGAAAGAGGAAGAGGAGGAAGCAAGAGGAGGAATGAAAGGGAATGACAACAAAATGGAAAAGAAATCGACAATCAGAAAGCGGGTTAGTATGGCGACGGGGTGGGGGTGCGAGTTATTACCTTGGAAAGTTGGTGAGAAGAAAAGGAAAGAAGACAAGCACAATTGCAGTGGGTGGTCTTATTTTATCTTCTGCACCCCAACCCTTGGTCTCTCCTCAGTCTGCAGGAGGGAGTGCGGAAAATCAAAACAAACAAAAAAATTTGTGTACGATTCTATTAAGGGGCCAATAACTCACGTGAGACTTACACGTATTTACGTCCATAGAAACCAGCCCAACGGCAGCTGAGCTGCATACGTGAAACCAGGCCCTTTCAGCTCATCTCGCCCTCTCCCCCCCGCATACACCCCTTTCCTTTTGTCTGCATCGTCGCCCGAGGGTCCCCAGGAACAGGAAACACTCTGTATTATTCACCCGACTTCATTCTCTCCCCTTCATCGCCCTTCGCCTGAAGTGACCACGTCCATTACCCTCCAACTCATTCCCCTCACAGACCAGGACGACTACATAAGCAACAATGTACAACGTAGACGCGTACTTGAAGTCCTTGACATCCAACGCCGCCAAGCTGTCAAAAAAGGTTCAGGATGGCATCGCTGAGAACACACGCGACTTCCGTTTTGAGAACCAGGCGCACTTTCTTGATACGAACGAAGACAAGATGAGGTACGTATCGTCTTGGTTGTTACCGGGCCCATGTGGCATTTCTCTATGACTGGTCATGACACAGCTGGCCACTTTAAGCGCGCTTCTTTTCTGGCAGTATTGCAAAGAAACTAACATTTTTTTTCATTTTCATGTCCCGATAGGGAGATTCGAAAGAACTTGGACTCGAAATACGAAAAGGAAAAACTGGATGGGCTGAAGCGGTTAATCGCTGTACGTTATTCATGAACCACTTCTCTCTTTCAGGATATGGCTTCGGAGACCTTCATATCTTCGCGTAATGGATCCGGACTTGAAGCGACACATTTGCACGTGTTTCTCACCATCAATCGTCTTCCCTTCCAATATCCATTCGCCAACAGATGATCTCCAAGGGCAGGGATGTATCCGAGTTTTTTCCTGACGTGGTCAAGAACGTGGCGTCGAACAGTCTGGAAGTCCGCAAGCTCGTTTACATCTACATTCTTCGGTATGCAGAGCAGGAGCAGGACCTGGCATTGCTCTCGATCAATACCTTTCAGAAAGATCTAAGTGATAAGAACCAGTTGATCAGGGCAATGGCACTGCGTGTCATGTCCGGTATCCGTGTGCCAGTCATCAGTCCAATTGTCATGCTGGGCATTAAAAAGTGCGTCACGGATCTGTCACCTTATGTCCGCAAGATTGCAGCGCACGCCATTCCAAAGTGTTACCAGTGAGTTTTTTTTTTTTTTTACATGCGATTTTGAGCGAATGGTACTCGAAGGACTTTCGTGAAGACGGCCTGTCTAATTTATATATCATGGCACAACTATCCAATTAATAGACTGGATCCGGCTCAAAAGGATGCATTGATCGACATTATCAACACCATGCTCGGCGACAACTCGACGTTTACAATCGGCAGCGTTCTTATGGCGTTCAATCACGTCTGTCCTGATCGGCTGGATTTGATTCACCCTCAGTACAGAAAGCTCTGCAGGATGCTCGTAGACATGGATGAGTGGGGTCAAATTACAGCCATGGATTTGCTGCTGCGATACTCGAGGTTTGTTCTCTGATATTATCGCATGGGACTTACCGAATTGGAAGACCACGTCAGGCTAATCTGGACAAGCCGACTTGTCTTCTTTACGATTCGCAATCATGATTAGAACTCAATTCTTGAATCCCATCGGAAAGACAAGCGCGACAACTACTCGGGCCAAGAAGGAAAAGAGCGTTGTCAAATCATTCTACTCAGACGACGATTCTGATATCTCCCACCACTCTTCCGACGGCTCAGAATCATCTTCGGATGACGAGAACAACGCTGTCGATCCTGATCTTGCATTCTTGATCAAATGTGCGCTGCCATTGCTCCAAAGTCGCAACAGTCAGGTATCGTCATCAACTTATGGCATTATACATGGAAGTTTTTGAATGAGAATCTTCGACCCTAACACTTATTACACCGCCTCAATGTTGGCTGTAGGTTGTTCTGTCGGTCGCTAAACTCTACATGCATCTGGCGCCTGTGGAAGATTCATACAAACTTGGTCGACCTCTCATCAGATTGCTCAGGAGTCATCGGGAAATCCAATATGTAGTGCTGAACAACATTGTCGCCATTGCCAGCCAGAGGCCCTACGTGTTTGATCAATTCTACCAGCACTTTTTTGTCCGCTCGACAGATCCAGTGTTCATTCGCAACTTGAAGCTCGACATCCTGACTATGATTGCAACAGAGAGCAACATTACGTTCATTCTCCGCGAGCTACAGGAATATGTCAAGAGCTCAAACAAAGGCTTTGTGACGGAGGCCATCGAGGCCATCGGGCGGTGTGCTTCAAATATACCTGAGATGGCCGAGAGCTGTCTCGGTGGTCTTCTTAAGCTGGCGTCTAGCAAGTCAGGTAAGCATCTATCATTTTACCTGTAAGAGACTTCTCACTTTGTGTGTTCTCATTCTCTAAACTTTTTTTTTTCTTTTTTATATACCGCACTTTTACATGCAGACTCTGTTGTTGCCGAGTCCGTTGTTGCAATCCGTCGTCTTCTTCAGCAAAGACCTGACGACAGTATTGCTATGATCACGCAGCTTACAAAATTGTTGGATGATATGACGGAACCACTGGCTAGAGCCAACGTTTTCTGGCTTGTGGGCCAACACTGTGTTCAGTTGACGACAATTGCGCCGGATGTACTTCGCAAGGCTGCCAAGTCGTTCTGCTCAGAGGTGTGCAACATGGACACGGGTCTGTTTGCAGGGGTCGAAACTTACCATGCTGCGGTGTATTAACTGTCAATCGTTCATTCTACTCATGTTCAATGACTCATTAGAGCGAAGGAACCAAACTTCAGATCTTGACACTCGGAGGAAAATTGGTTGCACAAGAAGGAGCATCGTCCAAGACGATCAATCTACTGTTCCAATATATTCTCAACATGGCACGCTATGATCTGGACTACAACGTGCGCGACAGGGCTAGGTTCTTGAGGGCACTTGTTTATGGAAACCAAAATGACTTGCAATCGGGCGGCTCAGGCGATCAGAATCAGGAGAGCGATGAGAATGGAGAGAGCGAGGAGCATCGTGATCACGGTGAGGATATGGGAGGGTTCGAGTACAGCGAAAAGGAATTGAATCTGTCGGATCATATCAAGGCCATTCTATTGAGCGAGAAGCCAGCGCCTGTTCAAGAGAATCCATCTCATGGTATGCAAAGACATCGGAAGTATTGCTTCGATGGAATTACAGCTACGATATTCAGTAAAGCACTAACACTACTGCTGTTATTTGTGATGCGGATAGGTCGTGAACAATACAGGGTCGGCTCGATGTCACTGGTGTTGAACCGCGTTGTAGCAGGGTACGAGCCCTTGCCAGAATGGCCAACCACTCAACCTGATCCCTCGGTGCGTCGATTGGCGGCTCAGATGGATGCACCAGGATACATGAATGATCACACAGGATTTGGGAGTGACTCTGCATTTGCGAAGAGTCGTCAGGCAGCAGGCGGCTTTGATGCTTCGGGTGGGTCGCGATATGATGGACAAGCAGGAGCGTACCGTGGAGCGCAGTCGCTGGACAAGTTCTTGGAGTCGTCTTCAGAAGAAGAAACGTCGTCTGAGGAGGAAACTGATTCGGATGAGGATGATGATGGAGAGGAGGAGACGAGTGAAGGAGAAGACGAAGAGGAGGAAGAAGCGAGCGAAGAGGAGGAGGAGGAGGAGGAGGAGGAGGAAAGCGAGGGGGAAGAGGAGGAGAGTGAAGAAGGGGTATCGTCTGAAGAGGAGGCGATCCTGCCACCGACGTCGAAGCGCTCCAACGGACGGCGTTGATAGCTAATGATGAATGTTTTTTCCAAAATGAAAAAAAGTCTTAATTGCAGAGCAACGACATGACCAATGGACTAATGGATCGCAATGGTATTGATTGCGGGAATGGTGGAGAAAGGAACACGAATAAGGTTACTATTATTTTTCTCGGCTACCTTGTTATCTCTCGCGAGACTTTACTCATCGCTCCTTTCCCCCACATCCCCACATCCACATCTATATCCGTAAATCCGCATATCCGCATATTCACGTCCACATCCACATCATCTCCCTTGTCATTGTTACTTCATAAGAAGTAGACTCTCAACACTATTCTTCTATTCAGCCCGTCGGTATTGAACAAACTCCACCTTCATCCCTCTACATCCCCGTCTATCTCAACACTTCAATAAATAGACTGGTGCTCACCACCGGATCCTTACACTCACATATATTTCCGACGAGAGCAAAACCTCACGAATCAGATCGTCTTTGTTCATTCTTTCCTTAACCATCCCTCTCCTTTCATTCCTCTACTCTTTCAAGTCCAAAACATCCAGCATAACAAGTAGAGTGAGCACAACTCCATTTCAGTCACTCAAGACACGATGGTCGACGCATCCTCTGCCTCAGGGGGATCCTCAGGATTACAATCGACCAGATCACTTCTTTCGGCGGGTAACAACTCTGTGACACCAACCAATCTTTCACACCACACCAGTGACAACAGCACCAACAACAGCAACCTGCTCGATGCACTGTCTGCAAATCCTGGAGTCGTTGGGTTGAGCTCCCAACAGAACCCGTCTTCGTCAATCGCGCATCTGTTTGCATTCACGCCCCATGATTATCAGCTCGTTCAGGACTGGGCATGGAGTAAGTGCTCATTATCCTTTTTATTTTATTTTTTGTGATTACTATGAACATGAAAAAGAACGGATGGCAATTGAAAACAATTGGGATTAACGGAAATATATACGTCTCAACTTTATGCAGAGAATAGAACCGTGTTGGCAGCGTCGAGTGCTGCAGTGTGCAGCGTGCTTTCTGGATTTCCTGTAAGTCCCATACCAATTCTCCTAGTGGATCAGTAAAACAACATCATATCGCATCGCAGGACGAGAAGAAAGAATGACAATACCACGATTCTGCGCTGGTCAGGGAGGGAGAGGGGTGTGTGATTGGATTCAATCTGACGAACAAGCTGGACCTTGTGTATGCAATAATAGTTCGACTCTGTCAAGACCAGGATGCAGACTCATTCCTATAACTCGATCATGGACTGCGTCCGGAAAACGTATGCAGAGGAAGGCATGGGAGGGTTCTTTCGAGGTAATGTACTCTTCTCCTCGTTCGGCGCCTCAAGCAGAAAATCGACCTTTTTGACCGAGAAGGAATCGAAACCCGGTTTATGTTCCTAATTAGTATTTTCCATACCCCACCTTTCCTTTTACTTTTAGGCATGATCCCGCCACTGATCACAGTCTCGATCATTAAATCAATCTCGTTCTCGGTCTACGAGGGCTCAAAACGGAACATCCGGACCCAGTTTCCAGAAACACTGCAGGGCAACACGATTCCGTCCTTAATCGGACTGACATTCATCTCCGGAAGCATCGCAGGCACGGTCGTGGCGATGATGTCGAGTCCATTGGAGCTTGTGAAACTGCAGCGGCAACTCGAAAAACTTATGGCGATGGATGCGCGACGACGCCACGCAGCCTCGGTCTCTGCCGCCGCGGCCGCCGAGATGACGCTCTCCCTGACGGGGGACACGCTTCTGAGAAAAGGATTGGCGGTGGAGAAAAAGAATCCAGCGGCAGAGGCTGCAGCGATGATAAAGGCTGAGAGACAGACACATGGATCGGTAACGCAGTATGGACTATCGACGGCGAATAAAAAGGTCAACGTGATTGAGGAGGCGGGGGCGTCGAGCTGGAAGACCGCAAAGACGATCGTGAAGCAAAAGGGATGGACGGGGTTATATAAGGGCGTGGGCCTGCATATTTCGAGGGATATGATGGGCACGGGTATTTATTTCTCGAGCTATGAGACGATTAAGCGATTGATGTCTGAAACGATAGAGCATATACGGCCGCATCCGCACCAGGCTTTGTCATCAGTATCAGCATCAGCATCAGCGCTACAGGGTCAACCGCAACTGCAGGCGCAGGCGCAACTCAAGGGGCCAGGACCGATGGTACATTTCTTTGCAGGAGGACTCTGCGGCGTCTTCTCGTGGCTGGTCGTGTTCCCGGTCGACTTGGTCAAGAGCGTAGTCCAGAAGGAGGTTCTGATGCCACAGCCCAAATATTCGGGGGCGCTGGATTGTGCAAAGGATATTGTCCGACGACAGGGCGTGCGAGGGTTGTATCGGGGATTGAGTGTTACGTGTTACAGGGCGATGCCGATCCATTCCCTCAATTTTCTGGTGTATGAGGCGGTGATGGATTATGTGAAGCAGTGGTCGGGCCATGGGGACGATGTGTTGCCGGCGGGGGCGCGGTAACGAAAGGATAGCAGGAAACGAAATTCTCCTCTCTCTCTCTCTCTCTCTCTCTCTCTCTCTCTCTCTCTCTCTCTCCACTCTTGTTTTCCACACCATTTAGAATTCTTCCAAGAAGCAGAAATATTGTACATTAGGGAATCTGACAAACGAAATATAGAAGAAACAATCCGATTGAGATCAGTAGCATGCAAATGGCGTTCGTCGAGACTTAGGACAAATGTTTAAACAACTGGTCATTGTTCTACGGGGAGGCGCTTGGGTCGCTCACTCTATGAATATATACATGTGAACGCCTAGATGGCCCTGGCTGACCATTATCGCCTCGATCCCGATCTCCTGCATCGTGGCGCTGCACTCCTTCGCCTTCGTCTTCACCTTCGCCCTCCCGTTCTTCCTCTTGGTCACTTTCCGTCAGAAAACAAGATGATGTCGCTGCGGAAGCGATGCGCTGGTAATGAAACAAATGGCCCCGCATACGAACCAAATGAGCAGAATAAACGATTGCGCCGACAACGACACAAGCGAAGGACAGCGTACAAGGAATGAAATACACCTGTGGATCGGACCAAATCATGGTGAGAAAGAACTGTCCGAGTTCGAAGAGGCTCATCATAGAGTAATGCCAGCCATTGATGACACCTGCGTTGCTGTTGTTTATGGTTGAGGAAGAGTAAAGGGAGTTGGGGGAAGGGTCGATAAACTCCTGCATGATCTGGGTGATAATCAAATCAAAGGACCAAACACCTACGCGGGAGAGCGCCATTCCAGCTTACAAAGCGATGTAGGAGTTGGGAAAAAAAAAGGAAAAGGATTGCTAGTTAGCGCTTCCGCTTCGATGAAACTAACAAGACGACGCGTCACCTATTTAGTTTTTTTCTCCCAGTGATGGTTGTGGAAACGCACCAAAAACCATGGCCTGAACGGGCAAGCGCTCAGAATAGATCGACAGCAAGACCGGTGTGAGCGTGAGGACTTCGAGCCAGATTGACCAAGCACCTGCACGGACGAGCCCGAGGTAGCGTGTAAGGATCGGCATGAGAATGGTGCCGAGCAGCTCGGAAAGGGTGCAGATCCCCTTTAGCAGCGCGATTGTACTGGCGGAGAACCCTCTCCATTGTAAGTAGCCGATCATCGTACCCGAGACACTGTTTTGAACAAACACAATGTTAGTTTTTAAGGTCCAAAGATAGGGAACCTGGAAATTAGTAGCGTATAAAGTCGTACCTCATCATGTTAATGTAAATAATCGCGTAGGAAAGGGATGCTACATGTTAGGGACGTGTCGATAGAGGGTTACAGATACAATTAGCGCGGTGAGTTCATTGCGTATCCATGAATGGGAGAAGTGCACTCATATTTTCATACCAAGAAATACGATATGGTGAGTGTATTCGCGAAAAGAACTAATGCTTTGCCAGAAGAATGACGAGCGCGAACGTTCCCTCCTCTGCCTACGTCCTGCTGCTCCTGTATGGTCTCGTTCGCCATGCTCAATCCTAGCATATATCAAATCTTGCTCCTCGTCATCTAGTGATCCTATTGATCTATGAACCGCAGCTCCCTGCCTGTGCTTCCGCTTCGGGGTTCGATCTCTGTGATGTACTGTTGTTCCGAATGATCGAGCCACGGACCGGGGCTGCCAGAGCACTGGCGAAGTAAACCAGATCCTTCGAACAAGAACAAGCTCCGCCGAGAAGGAAAACATGCACCATACAGCCATGGCTAGGCTGCAGTATCCTGCATTGAATTGAGCGAGCAAGGCTGCAAAGACTAATGGCGAGACCAGCTTGCAGACAAGGTCAATTCGCTTCATCGTGACATTTATTTCTATTGATACAAGTAAAAAAGAAACAGGAACAAGTTTTGTGAGTCGTCCTGTGTTGCTTTTGTTCGAATGTGGAAACAACATATTCATGGGAGCAAACCATTGCCTGACAAACATAACGTGTGTTCGCCTTACTTGTTAGCATGTCAGAATCGGATTGACAGAGTGCGACGACCCAATCGCGTTCGATAGAGATGGACCAGCCTAGGGCGGATAATTTCAAGGTCCCGCTCATGAGGATCAGGAGCGTAAACAGTGAGTACCCCTGAGATAAGGTCATGGACATATCGTCCTCTGCTGAAATTGCTGCTGCTACCCCTATTGCTGGTGCTGCCGTTGTTGAGACTGGTGTGGCTAGTATAGGAGAGTCAAGAGCGGACGTAGGATCGAACCAGGTCAAGAGGACCCAGAATCCGAGGGCGCCGAGCACCGTGGTGGATTTTTGTGTCAAAAGAAATGACTGGACGGCTACCAAATGTGACCACAGAGGATTAGGATTTAGCACGCTTTTAGATAAGATAATAATTGGATTGGGAACCGACGTTTCGGATTAATGATTCATAGACTTAATGCAACGCACCAGGTAATCGGGGGGTGGAATCGACCAAGGACCCAACGCTGGTGCTGAATAGGATTCCGGCAACGGTGGTAGAGAAGCCGTAGATGGACATGGGTAACAAGGTGGTCTTGAAGATCTCCATGATGAAAAAGTAGGATGCAAATTCGTATATCCGCTCGTCAAATGTGCTACAAAATGGATCAACAATGGATATGTAAATGCCAGCGACTTCCAGCCTTTGCGGAACGTTTCTAATGGCATGAATACCATTTCAGGCGAACGTATTGATTGCTTGCTTACCAGAGGGCATGCACGGCATAAAGGGATGTGGAAGGGATATGATGCGTTTCTTCATGAGCATTGTAGTCGCTGGGCTCTTGGTCCTGGTCTTGATCATGCCTCGGTATATCATTATTGCTGTGCTCTGTGAGCAGATCTCGATTGGATTGCCTGGCGGAATAAAGTAGATCTGGCTGATGCGGCCCAGGTCCAAGAAGGGGCTGATCGGACCACTGAATCCTATCCTGTTGGTCTGGTGAGGAGGAAGAGGAGAGCGGTGATACGGGTGGATGGGTGGAGCTAGTGAATGAAGAGGTCATGAGGAAGGACGAAGGAATGGATGAGTGACGAGTGAAATGAGAAGTGTGTGCATGCGTAGTCAACAAGGGCGAGGAATGCGGGAGCTAAGACAAATAAGGTTCTGCCCGATGGGAAATACATAATTCGATCGACCTTTGCCACACACAAGTGCACCACCCTTTATGAAGCGCTTGATTGCTTGAAAAATGCAGGCTCCCTGATGACTGTGTAAAGAGTCTTCAAAGCTATGTGTACAGCTCAACTGCGAAACAACGCTTCAAGGAAGAGGAGCCAAAGCAAACTTTGCGGCAGAGCGGAGTGTAATCCATGAAAGTCTTTTTGTGCGGCAACGCAGGAGTAGCATTGCCTTACTTTGTAATCTGGCTTTACCACCTTTCCTTCATCCGCCTTCACCTTTCCTGCCATACTTAGTGCACGGGGATGCGGCACAAGCGACTATCTAGCTCGAACACTTACACTGACTTGCACCTATTCTCATCTGCATGGCGACACAGACAGCAGTTTATCCTAGGCTTTTCTGTAGTCCATCGTTTTATAGCGTTGGCCTGATATACTATGACTGCATAAAGTTCAAGGATACCGCCTCCGCGAACTTCAGTTCTGGACACGTATTTGCGGGATGCATTTTTAAATGCACAAATGGTTTGTATTGAGGAAGGAGCGGCTCATGCTAAAGCAGAAATACGAACATGACTACCATCTCTAATGGTGCTTTGTTTTTACTCGAGTCTTCATATAACTGTCATTTTTCTTAGTGCGCGCTTACGTATCTGTGTCGGATGGCTGTTTCTGCAGGTGGTGGAGGAGATTGTGTGTGCCGAGACATTTGCCCATACATCGGCAATGCCATGTCCCGATATTTTCATCTGAATCTTAAAAGCATTATGCTCCCGTCTACATTAGCTGGCAAACTTGCTCACCGTCTGACATGGTTTTTTGTTTGCGGGATTTCATACACCTTATTGTTATCAAAAGAGAACAACCCATTCGCCCAAAATGGAGATCTATGGCTGGATGGCCAAGGTCTCGACTTACATTACTCCGCGGAGCTAGACGGGTGTTATAAGGCACAACGTGGCATTCACTTCTTCACCGCTTCTTTTACTATAGAGCTATTAAGATTCCCAGCGTGTCCACTAACTGTGGAGGTGCATTCTCTGGCGCCTGGAGTCTTCTCTATTTCTTTTTTGGTACTTCGCGAATGGGCGCTTGGTAAGAGGTCATTTGAGTAGCGCATCCATCTCTCTCTTCCTGGCAGGCTCTAGCTTATCATATCGATATCTCGCTAGGCGCTTGGGCCCGTTCAGAAAACTCGGCAAAACCTCGCCACGGCGTACAGGTACAGGGCATCGGACCTAGAGGCGAACAAATCTGAAGAGTCCTTGTTCATGAGATCTATCGTGCCTTTCGTCTGTTCTTCGGAGTACTTTCGCTCCATTCCAAGGCGCCTTTTATCAGATAGAGAATGATCTACAGTGCACCAGATAAAAATCTAAGGAAGGCAACAGGAAGACCGCATTCTCAAGATTGAGACAGACTTTAACAGACTTCAGGACCTGTTGAGGGACTGCTACTTTGACATGAACCTGGCAAGTTCTTGTCTAAATTGCTATGATAGTACAAGTCGGGCCAGAAGCCAGGACGGAAATTGCCATTAAATATCACCATGGTAGCCAAGGACGAATAGAACGCGGTAGTTGGTCATTCGCATCTTACCACATGTATAAAGCGAAATATGCTTAAATTTTATGCTTTTCAGGTACAGTTTGGAGGACGAAGGCTATTCGTCCCTTCCTAACAAAGTCCTCGGAGATTAGTGCATAGAATCCTTTGATCGGGCCCAGATTCTCGTTTTTGTTTTTGTTTTTTTTTTCGCGACAACGATGCTGAACCCTACCATCTCCATGACTTAAAACTAGAAGGTCTTCTCTTTTGTTGCGTAGCATCTTCGCTCTTTCTGTCACTCTTCCTTCCAAGACCTTGCCTTCTCTATCTCGTTCATAACTCAAAGATGCGATTCAAACGGCCGATCGACTCGAAACCCTTTGCCTGCCTTTGGTGGACAGCATTCCTTTTCGTCAGTACGGCAGAACTTTGATGAGGATATATCCCCAGACGCCGTTCCTCACTATTGGTTCCTCATGACAGCCAAAATTAATCATTCTCGATTTCATTTTTAACTTTTCATGGACTCATAGACGGCGTTCTGATATGTTATGGCGTCTTCAAAATCATAGACCTTGACTCCAGGGAATTCTTTATTAAGACCACTAGAACTGAAACGACCCGGGAAAAGCCATATCAGCCCTTTCCAGACGTCATGATCTGTACTCGAGGAGGGGTTGTCGAAGCATCGCTCCTGCTAGAATTTAATGCGGCTGCCACCATCAGACATTACAGCTTACCCTCTGGTTTCCTTGGTCCCTGTGGTCAGGGGGATGACACCTTGGCCATCGTTTCCATGAACAATGCTACGGTCGATTGCATAGAAAACACGTCCCTGGGCCTTTCAATCAACCCCGCAAATACATCGTCAGCAGTCGAATTTTCAGTACGTAACTGTAGACCATATACGTCAAACGTTGCCCATATCATATTGTTTATGTCTGCTCACGGATACCTGCCTCTGTCTCGACGTAGAGGTACCACGCTACCGTCATTATAACTTCTGGCCGTAAGTTGCTAACATTCGTTTGTCATCCTAGCAATGCTTTGGATTTCGATCCTGTTTGCAGAATGCTTAATCCACGCGCTTCATGTTCCTAACAATAGAGAGTAACCCATACGTACAACCGGGTGCATTATCGCAGGACATAAACCAGCCTGAAGATCTTTACATCAACACCTACACAGTCCCGCATAATATGACGGGCATTGATATCCGTGTCGTACCAAAATCGACCCGTGTTATCGGCAAGGATTTCTGGGGCCTGTTCGGAAATCACGAGAGCGAGAATATGCAGAGCATATCGTCTACTGCAACTACATATACCGAAATCGGCGAGACCAATATCTATGTATTCGTGCCATCATATTCTCTGGAGGACGAACAGATCCTGTAAGTCCATTTTTGAGCGCCTCGGACAGCCCAGAGTGTATAATAATGGCCAATGAATAGCTTAACTCACATCGTCGCGCTCCTTCCTCCAGGGTCACGCCAGTTCTTCGCGTATTTTCTGATTGGGGAGGTGCATTCTCTGCCGCCTGGGGGGTTTTTTATTTCTTTTTTGGCTCGTCGTAAGTGAAACGTTGGGTGAAATGGCCATCCGAACAGCAATAGCAGCCCTTTCTCCCTAATATGTCCTAATATACAATACTGATATCTCGTTAGGCGTGTGGAGCCATTCGGTTTAATCACCGCGCGCTTCCTCCGCCGGAAAACCAAGCGAAATATCGCTGCGAAGTATGGTTACTTGGCATCGGATCTTGAGGCGAACAAACCTGAAGAGTCCTCGCTCGTCTCTACTTCACAGCCTTTGTACCCTCCTGAGAAGTCTCCAGGTCAGGAGAAAGAAGTGCCACCGACAAATCTCCCTTATTCATCCGATATAGCGGCTGAAAAAGGTGTAGTAGATTTGGCGTTGATTCTTGAGAAGTTGAAACAACAGGAGGAGCGCATCCAAAGGCAAGAGAAACAAATTCAGGAACATAAGAAAGACGCCTACAAAGTCAAGAAGGACTTTTACAATATGGAGGGACTGTTGAAAGACTATTACCTGAACATGGACCTCGTCGATGCGGAGGGTCTTGTTTCTGCTGGTCAACGCTGGTATGACCTGTTCTTCTAGTGCAAATCAAGCAGTGGTCAAGACAAAGACAGCTACGAACTGTCACTTATGCTGGACAAAGAAGAATAAAGTGCGTAAGCAATATCCTGCACCTGTATAATACCCTATAAAGTCGTCTACTAAGAGATGTATAATGCAACTGGAAGCGGATCACCCTTTGCCTCCATCTGCTTTTTCCTGTGGCATTGAACGGTGCTGTGGTGTCGCTGCTCCTTTTTCCCTTAAAGGTTTAAGGACTTAACTTGATCTTGTTGCGCAAGAGCCCTTGCCCCAAGGCGTGCAGGTGTACCAAAAGAGGCATTGTCCAAGCCGTAGCTTGGACCGGAAGCTGACCGATAGCTTTTTTAAAATCGCTATCAAACGACTCCGTACCAAAGTAAAAGCCCGAGTACCTATGGTACTCATGCTGAATAGCATGGTCTTTAGGCGCTTGAGCCGAGGGCCAAAACCGGTCAGTTCCAACCACAAGGATTCAGGTCAATTTTCTGCAAACCGTCACGCCATCGAATGCTTCGCTTCTTTTCCTCTTTCTTCTTTTCCTCCTCTTCACACTTTTCCTTACACACGCATCCACATACAAACGACAGTAACGACTTTTACCTCAACCTGAAAGACGACTCGGTTTTGAGAAAAAGGAAGCCATCTTCAGCGCAGGAATACTATACACACGACCACACACACGATTATACAGACCATGGACCATCCTTCTGCCTCGGCCGAAAGCACCGTTACCACCGACAGACCTTCAGCGAGCGACGCATCTAACGCGGCCCCACGTCGATCGCGTCATGAATACTGGTGTCATCAGGCAAGCATACCCCTTCTCATTCTTGCTACACCGAGCATATAAGCTCCTTCAGGACCACTGAAAGCCGTGTCATGGGCGTGTCATTTTAACCGACCCCACCTCTCTCTCAATTGTCTTGGCGCACACTCGCCTACATCCGCTTCCCATTTCCATGCATTATTTTCTGTGGATCGCTCTGTGTATAGTGCTCTGCAGAGATCACCCCACTAATGGTCCCTGATCCCCTGTGTCCACGGTGCCGCAGTGAGTTTGTCGAAAAGGTATCAAAATCACATAGCGTCCCTCATGTTTTTCTTTATTGGGTCGCATACAGAAAGAGAAAAGGCGAGGTGAAAGGGCTAATAATAATGATGGTTTCGTTGTCTTTGTTGTTGTCATCATATATCATGCCACCCTGACCCAGATCGAGGAGGAGAACGACCCTCGCAGCTTTGTTGAATTGGCGGGCGAAAATGATGGCGATGACGACGAGGGCCACGAGGCACACGAGCCCCTGAGCATGGAAGACCTTTTGCGTCTCATCCAATTGATTTCCGGATCTCCACTACCTCGGGAACAACGACAGCGACGACAACAGAGCCAAGGCCAGCCTGGAGACTTCCCGGGAGATAGTGATGATGGAGGTTTTCCTATCTCGTTTTTACTCGACCCTTCAGGCCTCCGGTCGAGCACAGGAATAACAGCAGTTCAGACGAGGGATGCGAGTACAGCCACTGTCTCTGGAGGCGAGGATGAAGATATTGAGATGACAGATGCTACGCAGGACCAACAAGAGACAAATCAGAGGCCACGGGATCCATCCACATCGCTGGCGAGGTAATGGATGATGACCTGAATAATCTCCGCACCTTTTTCATGAACATATCGGCGACGTCTATCAGCTAACCTGGGTGGCTAACTAACGTGGGATGATGACTTTTTGAATGCATGTAGTCTACTGCAGCGCATCGGGTTCGAACTGCATCTTACGCCCGATAATGACCGCGGTGGTGGGTTCTTCAACATGATCGGGAATCCTGGAGACTATGTCTTCAGTCAAAGAGCACTGGACGATGTGATCACCCAAATGATGGAGATCCAAGCGTACGTATCAATTCTAGCCCCCTTGATGAACTTCTTTGTTTATTCCAAGACAGCGGTAACTGACGCCGATTAACGCTCCTCCTACGTAGTCGTCAAAGTGGCCCTGTCGGAGCTTCAGAGGAAATTATTAACAGTATACCGCACCACACGCTCACGACCGATGAACTTGGTACGAGAGTCCCCTAACGAACGCGTTCGAATCAATCGCTGACAGCTGCATTATCTCACTGAAACTAACCGCGGAATCCTTTTTCACATCCGATTGGACACCGATAGAGGCCAAGATAGAGTGCAGTGTCTGCAAGGACGAGTTTACAAAGGAGGACAACTGTCTTCAGCTCAAGTGTAGGCACATATTCCACGATGATTGCATCAAACCGTGGCTCAAGACTAGCGGCACTTGTCCTACCTGTCGATTCGAGCTGGTGCCTCAAGATCGTCATGGGGGTCAGGACCAGAACCAGGACCAGGACCAGGAACAGCAGGACGGATCAAGTTCTGATAGTAGCAGTATCATGTTCGAGTTCTGAGCGTAACAGAATCAGGCGCGAGGGCAGCACTGGCTCTGCGAATGTTAGTAAAGTGCCTTGGTCGTACTCGTCATCGTTGTCAAGAGATGGACACCGAGATAGCGCATCCCCCTGAACCTGTTTCTTGCTACATCTGATGCTTTGCTGGACTGGATAACGACGAGAGTGGATGCTTTGTATGAACAAAAGAATAACGAAAATAGAAATCGGCTTTTTTTCCCCTCCTTAATCATTGGCTGGTTATCCTGCGGAGGCTGTGTGTGTGTGTTTATGATGATATTGCTGGCGGAGCAGTGTCTTGGTCATAGAGACACGTAGGTACGTCCCTTCCGCAAAAAGCGAAAAAGCAATTGAGTTTTGGACAACATCCTCGTCAGCATACAGATGCATGGTCGGGACGTGTGAATATGGCAGCTGAAAACAAAACAATCGCACCAAATCAATTGAGATAGTATATCAGCGGCAGTAGCTTTTACCCCTAATTTATTCCATCCCTGTCTCCCGCTACAGGAAGGTGTCCCATTTTTTTGTTCTATTTCTTTTTTCTTGTTCCCCGTCCCCACGCCCTTCTCATGCGACTTCGCCTTTTCTACCCTTGTTATTCTTTTTTTATTTGCTCCCTCGTCCTTCGTCGTCCATATTGTTATTGATAGTTGATACTCGGTCGTTCGCTACGCTTCTGAGTCCCCCCACTGAGGCCTCAACGAACTGCGCCAGTCCTTGTCCATTAACATGAACATGAGTGGGTATGCCAGCAGCGGCCAGATAGCCAGGCCCGCCAACCAGCAGTACGACTACCACCGACGTCCTCACCCTGGACTTGCGGCGAGAGCGCCCCTATATGTCGTTCCGACAGATGGGAGTTGGAACCCAGGCAGCAGTCGCCTAGTTGGGTCCCGAGTCGACAGTCCTCAATCCCCGCAGCAGCACAATGGCTATAACAACGGTTACAATGGCCCCAATCGCCCCTACAACTACAACTACAATTACAATTACAACAATAGCGGCGGCATCCTTGGACAGGGGCTTGCCAACCCAATAGACAGAAACACGATCCTGAACAATCATCGCGAGTACCAGCAAAGCCTTTTCGCCCAAAACCTTGCCCAAGTCGAATCGGCCCTAGATGCGATGCGACTTTCGGGATATCGCACTAATGTCTATAGGACCACTCCTACACCGAGACAACATCGTGGGCCACCGCTTTTCAACCAGGCCGAGCTGGATCTCACTCGGCGAAGGCTCGAAGAGGAATACAACCACTTTACGTTCCTCCAGAATAAGGGGTTCTACAAACCCATGAGTTTGATGATCGACTATGTGGAGCGAGACCCACTCCTCGAGGCCTTTAGCAGGATGCGTCCACCACCGCTGCCAAAGGATATGGATCTGACCCGATGGGAGTATGTCAAATCGTGTACCCCAATCCAAATGAGCCATCTCAAGCTGTTTAACCGCCTGCCGCGTGAGATGCCCCAGCAGTACAAGGCGTCGTTCCGAAGGGCGGTCGATCATGTTACGGCGTTGATGAAACTTCCGGAAAAGTTACCCATGCCGACGATGGAGACACTGGCGAATGTCCGATACGATGGATCGAAATTTGCAGGACTGGATTATGCACGACAGATGCTCAAGACTCGCAAGGAGGCTCATGTGGTCGCGTTGGAGGATGCGAAACTCGTCTGGGAGGCGCTTATGGCGGGTCATCGCGTGAGACCGCACGATGCACGGTTGGGTGGCAAGGGCAAGTTGATCGAGAAGCTCCTGGGACAGCATGGTCGTGTGGATGATGATGTGGGTATGGGACGACTGATTTTGATGTTGAGCCATCGCGATTTACTGATCCTTGGCTCCCTGGAACAGCCATTGACGGCGTCGTATCTGGATGCGCAGTGGCCAATTTACATTGGACAGAGCTGGTACCATGGCGGGGCGGAGCGGTTCGTGAACAAGATGGGGAGGCATGCGGTTTATCATTGCTTTGATGCCAAGAAGTTTGATGCCGCAATCGACGGATGGTTGGTCAAGGAGGCGCTGTTGATCCTAAGACAGCAATATGAGGGAGGGATGGATCCGAAGTACGACACGCTCTGGTCGTTCGTGTACGAGAGTCTGATCGAAGTCGTGATCTGCCGTGATGACGGGATTCGGATGCAGAAACACGTTGGCACGACGAGTGGAAACTGCTTCAACACGCTGGTGCAGAGCATTATCACCATGTTTCTGGGATATACGGCTTTGATCGTCAAAGCTCAGGAGCGCATGGGATCGATTGGAGTGGAAATGATCCTGACTCAGTGCGAGATCGAGGTCCTTGGAGATGACATGGTCATGGCGCTTGAGACCCCATGGATGTTCTTGACGAAAGAAACGCTGGCGGCGGTGGTGCTCGACTGCTTCAACATCGACTGGTCTGGCAAGAAGTCCTTTACAACCAACCATCTCATGGACAACAGTCTGCCCGACACGGATCGATTTAAAGGGATTCAGTTCTTGGGGATGTATTTTCGGCATCAGCGTTGGGGTGAAGGTCGATATGCACCCAAGATCGTTGTGCCGTACAGACCATTCAAGGAATCCTATCTCAGTTTGCTGTTCCCAAAGTACGGAGAATATTCGCGTGAGCACTCGTGGTTAAGGGCGATCGGGATCTATCTGAACGCAGCGGGCAATCCGGACACGCAGGAATGGTTGGAAGCGTACATGGATTTCTTGGAGCTGGTTCCGTTTGTGAGACCGGAGGTTTGGCCGCCAAACATGGAGAAGTTGGTGACGAAGGACTTTTGGAGTCTGGGAACCAAACCACCCCTGCCCGCCAGGATCTCGGTTCAAGAGTGGATGCGCATGACTTGCTTAGCGAGGGCCAAGGACGGGGACGAATAGATGAGTGATGGTTGACAGAATCTTGTTTCGTCGATCACACAGCACTGGAACATCCTTTGCACTCATTTTTTGTCGACAGAGGCGCCATTTGGCATCACACCTACACTGGTCTTGGCGGCGTTTTTTTTTAACTCTACTTTTCGACATTGTATTCATTCTTCAGCGCAGCATCATATTGCAGTCCGGCCATGGATTCCAATAACAAGAAAATTAAAAAAACGGTGCTGTGTCCCTCGGACTTTTTTTAACAATTTATCTCTCGAGTCGACTGACCCTGCGAATCTATTAGTGGTTGTCAACCGCCTCCTTCCTTGCAGGCAGACTAGTAGCGTTCGATCCGCTGCGTCTGGGTCGAGCACGGGGCTAGAGCGGCTTCCTTTTTTTTTTTTTTTTTTTTTTTTTTTTTGATAACTAGAACCCACGAGGATATGTAGTATATGTTAGTGAGTGAGGCCAGAGCTCCCTTTTTTTTTTTTTTTTAAACAAGGATCCTCAACGATTTTTTTTATTAACATAAATCCACATGAGCACGAGACGCATGGCCCGCAAAGGCCTTGAAACCATAGATGCCTTCCATGCACGGCAAAGCCGCGTCCCTTACCAACTATGTTGGCTTGAGGCGTCTTGGTTTCATAACCCATGTCGCATAGCTAGTCTAACCTAACTCCTACGTGACCCGAATATACCCTCCATTATGCCCAACTTTCCTCGCCCCAAGCAATGCTGTAGCGCCCTATAATCCGCGGTCTGTCTACCTTGCTGGATCTCCGCTGTCTCCCTTTCAAATCAGAGAAATCACCAACACTACGTTGGTGTCCCCGATCACCGTTGCGTCCTCCGACGTGTTTGGTCATGAAGGTGATTCCAACTGACTTTCCCCAGGCGACAGTGTCCTCGCATCGTTTGTTCCATATCTTGGTCCTGCCAAACTCTTCGGTCCTGCTCACGAACTTTGTCACCACAATCGTCGCAATCCACTTGGCGGTGGTAAATATCTGTTTCCAGGTCTCAATGAGTCTCGTTGGCACTAATCCTCGGTATAAATCACAAGGATCCTCAACGATTAATTTTTTTATTTATTTATTAACATATATCCCCATGACACAAGGATCCTCAACGATATGGGGTATTTTTTTTTATTTTTATTTTTTATAACAACTTATCTCTCGAGTCAATTGACTCTGCGAATCTATCAGACTAACTAGCAAAGATCTACTATCGCTGTCCTCACCACCAAAGCGGAACCGATCCACAGTCGCCAGTTGACAGGTCACATTCCCCGGGCCTGCCCCTAGGGCCTGCGCAACAATTGCCACACCTCATCAGTGTGTTAAAAGCTGAAAACACCTTGTTACAAGAAGGGTATCTTCCCCATCCCCTCCATGGTTGTCAACCGCCTCCTCCCTTGCAGGCAATCCAGCAGCGTCCGATCCGCTGCGTCTGGGTCAAGCACGGGGCCAGGGCAGCTCCCGTTTACATGGTCAGCGAGTAATGCACCACACGGACATTGGTCATTGTCGCTAATGTATCCATACCCATCACTCCAGTCCCCTCTCGGTCCCTTGTATGGAGTTCGTTTCATCTTGGCTGTGATCCCCCATTCTCGCACATAAATCCCCATGAGCAAAAAGACGGAGGAAATCCATGTAGATATTTGACACGTGACTTAGAAAAATTCTAACATGGTGAAGCTGGAGCGGGACTCCCTCAAGCTCATTCCCTGGTAGTATAGTGGTGAGTATCTCCGCCTGTCACGCGGAAGACCGGGGTTCAATTCCCCGCCAGGGAGCTTCTTTTACCAGTTTTCTTAAGCTGTTGTCATTTTTTGCACATGAAACCCCAGGCTGGCAAAACGTTTTCGCGGCAATATTGCGACCATTATGTCAATCGGCGCACGCTGTTCTCTTTCGCTCCTTGACCCCCCAGACCTTCTCAAGCGCTTCTATTCCTGCATTCAATCTTCATTCGCTTCAGTACCAACACTACCTACTATGAATGTAGACGATCACACGGTTGCTCATCAGGGCGTGCATCTCGTGGTTTTACACCATGGTCTGTGGGGTAACGTCGGGCACGTCCGGTATATAGCCGAGCAATTTAAGCAGCGACTCGGTGACCGAATCCTCGTGGTATTGTAGTCAACCAATTCAATTGCTCAGTCCGTTCGGTGCTCCATTGTATGCACCACACATATACATTAATCAACGGGATTGTCACCCTTTTAGTACCGTGCACAGGCCAACGAATCCGCGTTGACATACGATGGCGTCGATATCTGTGGTCGGCGCCTTGTTCAAGAGATCCACAGCGTCGTCAAAGTAATTGAGGACGGCGGCAACATTGAAGAGATGAAGGGTCAAAAGCACAAAAAGAAAAAGAGGACGATAGCAACAACAATAACGACGACGACGTCCCCGGACACCAGCAATTCGGATCGGAATCTGTCGGAGAACTTGGAGGCCCCAATGAGGAATGGCTCGAAGAAAAAAGTTACCCAGTTCTCATATCTTGGCTATTCGCTCGGAGGATTGATCGGTCGATTTGCGATGGGTCAATTGGATCTCGAAAAGTTCTTTGATCCTGTTGAGGATGGTGGTCGAGGGATTGAGCCGATGTATTTTGTGACAATGGCGACACCCCATCTGGGAATCCGGTTGCCGCCTTTGTCCAGATGGAGCAGGATCTTCAATTATCTGAGCGCACGCATGCTTAGTCGGACAGGTAAATTCCGCCAGAAAAAAAAAAAAAAAAAAAAAAAACGAAAGCAATGCTGAATGGTACTGACTTTTTCCTTTGTGAAACATTAAACGCCCTCTCATGACAGGCGAACAGCTTCAACTCATAGACGACTACATTGGTGGCAAGCCTCTTCTGTTGATCATGACAGAACGATCGAGTATTTTCATGCACGCGTTGGCAAGGTTCAAGCGGCGGGCGATCTATAGCAATATCCGGAATGATCGATCTGTACCCTTCTGGACCGCAAGTTTCTCAGACGCGGATCCATTCAGGGATCTTGATTCCATGGAAATGTAAGGAAAAGGATGGATACAATTATTATTCTTTTTTTCTCCTCTAATAAATTTTTGTTACTAACCGTTCATACGTTGCGCTCATGGGATCCAAAATGACGATGATAGTCAATATCACTCTGTATATTCGTCGCTGGTCGAATCTTTCGGGCAACAGGACCTGGAGGCCATCGCACAACGGAAACAAGAACGGAAAGAAGCCCTGAAGAACGCGTCTTTTATAAAGAGAGCTCTTCACCGACTCAAGGCAATTCCTTGGAAGAAATACGCCCTGTTTGTGCTCCTCGGACCCATCCTGCTCCCACTCTGGATCGTTTTCGCGTGTTCAACCATCTCGATCCAGGGACTGAACTCCAGGCGGAGGACCAAGCACATGGTCCAATCAGATCAGGACCTGCATAGAATGCGGGATGAGAGCCTGATCACCAGGATCAGCACGCAGACTGGAGGCGATGACGAGGAGTTTGGTACGGCTTTAGTCGATCAGGAACAACAGCGGCAGGAGGAGGAGGAGGATGGACAAGAGGAGCAGTATTCGCAACCATCGTACGAAACGGTCGTTCATGTCCAACCTATCCCACAGAACACCAACGCGGATTCCTTGCTCACGCTGAACACGCCCTCGAACGAGTCCTCCTCGAAGAAGAAGTCTATGAAACCATCGACCTCTGCTACAACTTTGATGTCCGAAACCCTAGCCGGAGACTCTGAGGCGCAAACGTCGCTTTCGTATCCACATTTGAAGAAGATCAAACCGCTTGCACTGCTGCCTGTTCAGGTCGAGATGTCGAAGAACCTGAACAGGTTAAAGTGGAGGAAGAATATCATCCATATCGAGACGTTTAATGCGCATGCATCGATCGTCGTGAGAGAGAAGCGGTTCTCGAACGATGGAGGCGTGGCAGCGGTGCATCATGCGGTGGATATGTTTCAGGATGATGGTGAGGATGAATAAGAAAGTGGGTCTTTGGGGACATGACAAAGTCGTCTTTTCTAACATATACCAATAAAAACATGTCCACAATACAGTTCGCCTTTATGACTGTTTTGCTCTGTTCTTTTCTCTACTTCTGCTCTGGTCTCCAGAAGTGGGTCAGGTTTCAAGAAACAGCAATGTAATTAATTACTCGAGGATATATTTTAATAAAATGCCTGACCAGGTCTCTCGACTAGAACCAACAGTTAAGCGACGCGGATCCATATTTCTTGTTGCAAACATCCGTGAAGATGGAGTTCTGCGCGTCATTGTTAATCCCACAGCTGCCGCCATCCCAGTTACCACGGGCGTTCAAACAAACCCAGTGGATGACCTCATTATTGGCACAGCAGCACCAGCGTGGGTAGTGGGCTTCGACGACGACGAGGGAGAGCAGGAGGATCAGGAGGAGTAGGGCTGGAAGGGCCTTTGAGGCGCTCATGGCGATGGACATGGCTATCTTGTATATATTCGAAAGGACTTGACGAGATGATTCGATTCCTGGTAGCAGCGAAATTGCGGGGTGGCGATGGCAAGGATTGCTTGCAGAATTCTTGTTGATGCGTTCTTTGGCTCCAGAGAAAAATGCCCTGCGCTTTTATACCAAAAAAACTAATCGTGTAGATCTGCTACATCCAATTTACAGCGCGAATTTGCTTTTCGGGAGGGCAGTCAACGATATGCACTGCACCCTTTCTGTTCTTTTTACAGTACTATGAGCTTAAACATCCTGGCGAAAAGAGTAGCCAGCAAGATCCTGGATCGACTGTGGGGGCGCGTCTGAAAAGGGATGAGACGCATGGGGGTGCGAAATGGGCTACCTTTCATGTACTGATGGGGCTGCAACGCGCTCAGGATGCACAACGAAGTAGCGAAACTGAACGCTCATCGTCGCTATTAGACTAGGATCTATCGGTCTAGAGGGGGAGGCTCGACATGCGGGCCACGTTCATCTGCCTAATTTTTGATGTCCCCCAACGTTGTCTTTGTTCTCACCAGCATGGGTTAAAGATAAGGTTTAGCGTTTTGCCACAGATGAGAAATTGGGTTGGGATGGGAACCTGAAAATCTTTCTGCCAGATTAAAGCCCGATTTGTATTTGTCAGACAGGACAAAAGAACCAACTGTGTGACATCTTCAAAGCTTACGACACTAAGGTCTTGCGAGCAGTTCCAATGGATTCTGTGGCTGCAGGTATATTTATCGTTATAATGCGTACAAAAGATGCTATATTAGGAGGAAAATAGAGGGTGGATAGGAGAGAGACAAGTATCTAGTCTTTTCCTTTAAGCACCAAGAGCCTCGTTGATGAGCAAGACCTGGATGCGATCGGGGTTGAAGGGGTTAGCCTGGCGGATGACCTGGTAGTTGCTCATCACAGTGCCAGGGGCCTTGAAGACCTCTCTGGAAAAGGCGCTAGCAAAGGGAATGCAGAGCTCATCGATTCTCTTCTGAGCCTCGGCTTCATCCTTGACGATCTTGTTAGATCCAACGACGACGATAACGTTCTTAGCTCCAAAGGCGACACCGCCGACCTTCGAGCCGGAGAAATCGCCGTGGGCCATGATACCGTCCTCAGTAATGGCGCACATCGAGGTCAGGAAGTAGTCGACGGTGGTGCCGAGGACGCGACGGAGCTCTGCCTGCTTGGCGGGGTCCGTCTCTGCGAGGATCTTTGTGCGGACGTTGTCGTAGGGGGTCTCGCCCATGAGGTAGTTGATGAATCCAAGCTATAGATAAAAAAGTAACCACCCAAAAAGATGAATGGTGAGTTGAGGGCGATCGATATCCTTGCGGCAAAACTGTTTTTTCGGGTTTGTTTGTTTGTTTGTTTTGTTCCCCTGTTAACATACCTCCTCGAGGGTGGTGCTGTGAGCAACGTTCAAAGATACGCCCTACAAGATGTTTTTTCAGAGACAGATTCAAATCCAAGCCGAAAGAGAAGAGTTAGTTAGTGATAAAGAGATCGACGGGCTTAGCAGACACAACAGAAAATAAAAAAGTGCGATGCTGAACATGTTTAAGCGTGTGGAGAAAGAGAGGGAGGCGGGCGAAGTCGATTTCAGTTGCACTCCTCCTCGCAAGCCTAGTATTTTTTTTTCCTGTCCACCTAATTCAACTTACAGCGGGGATGAGGGTCTTCAGCTTCTCAAAAGCATCGTCCTTGTTCTCGGCAACGGTGACCTTGAAGCCCTTGGCCTCAAGACCAGCTTTGGCGGTGTTGAAGCGCTCAGGGCTGGCAGCCTTGGTGTATGCGTTGTCCTTGAGATGCGCAATCTGCTCGTCAATCTTGACAAGGGCATCGAGGGTAGTGTGAGCAAAGGTGTTCTCTGGGCGGACGGACATGGTGTGCTGCTGCGTTTCGTTTGCGAGAGTAGAGTTGGGGTTGGGTATGCGTTTTCAGCTGGGAAGAGTAGAGTGAAGTGGGATGGAGTAAAGAGGGCTGTTGAAGGACAAGGTGGACGTATTTATACAGAGGGGCCGTTGTTTAGATGATTATCCAGGACCAGGGCCTAATTGATAAGCATGGAATCTACTCGCACGCCATTGAAACGAGTTTCAGCAACATTTTCGTTCTCAACGAACCCATTTTCTTGGTTTGATCGCTTATAACAAATCAACTTGACTTGACTCAGCAGGGAAACCCAAAAACCACTAAGTGGGCCACAAATTAGAGGTGGCTTACCTCTGCCTAGTGGCTTATGGCAACTAGGCCCTAGGGGTCGCCTCTTCAGGGTCCAGCCTGGTTCCAATGGGGTACGAGTGTCATCTGGGATCTATGAACAGGATCCCTCTTCGACGACGCCTCAATGAAATCTTCTGATTTCCCCCTCGCCGCTTTCAAGTCCATGCAAAATTCTGCAACAACTGATACTCAGCCCTAACTAGTTAAAAAAGAAAAAAAATGCGTTCAAAGTCCTTTAAAGGACGCGTCTCAGGTATTTTTATTTTATATTATTACATCTTTGTTCACACTCACTCCAACTACTTTCTTCTTCGCAATTCTCAGTTCTCTTCTTATTCCACCCACTATTTCTTTCCACAATCAACGATGAAGTCGCTCTCGGTATCACTGGCGATACTCGTGCTATCGCTGCCATTTCAAAACCATGTCGTCCAGGGTTCAATCTTTAGCCGCAACCGCCACCATGATCTCCACGACCACCTCTCCAATGCCTTGACAGCCCGCGAAAGCTCCTTCTGTGGGCCGCATCACATGCCTTGTCCCGCAGCAGAACCATGCTGCAACAGTAAGTACACTTTACGACCACTCTACTCGGTAGAACATAGGGAAAAAACCCCCCCACTGGACTGGATTTGTGGGCACAGTACTGACAGAACACCTCCTTGCACTATTCGCTGTTACTGCTGCTACTGCTACTGCTGCTACTGCTACTGCTGCAATAGACGGCACCTGCCACACGACATCGATGGAGGCATGTCCGATTTCACTAGGATGCGATTCCAGACACTCGCACCCCGACGGCTGTTTCTCCTTGCCGGCCTGTCGCAACCTGAAGGAAAACTTCAAGGATGTCAAAGCCTTGATCCCCAAGTATGACTTCAAGGGTGATCCTGAGCAGGCGCATTGGGTCTCGGATTATCACCATATTGCACACTATGCCAAGATTGACAAGCACCAGCACAAGCTGTTGCTTCGAGCTCGCAGGTAATAATGTTGAAGCGAGCTTTTTATTTTTATTTTTGTTTTAGGCTATGACCATCTTTCTCCACAAAATAATTGTGAGATCATCCTGATCACTACAATGGTGCTAAATTAAAATTCGTCCCGTCATTTTTGCATATACACTAGGGATGTGGTCCAAACTCAGAGTGGTGGAGGATTTGGCGCGACCGTATCCTCGACGCGCTGGAACAAGTACGGTACCTTCACCGCCAAGCTCAAATCCGGATCGACGGGTCCAGGTATCGTCACGGCCTTCTTCCTCTCGAACCCGGCCTTGGGTGAGGAGATCTCCTTTGAGCTGACAGGCAAGGATCCCAAGAAGGTCGTCACCAACTACTTCCGCCGTGTCCCTGCTGCAGCCTCGAATGCCGTCGGTGGCCACGCGCATGTGATCGCCAACGCTCAATCCCATCCGCTTGCACACTCCCATCTCGAATCGCATGAAGAGACCCATGGGCTCAAGGCCGACACTACCAAAAAGGAACATACGTACAAGATCGAGTGGAGCGAAGGCATGATCCGATGGTCTGTCGATGGTAAAGTTTTGAGAACTGTCCACGCTAAGGATGTGGAGTCGGATGGAGGTATTCCTAAGAACCCGATGCAGGTTCAACTGACGATCTGGGATGCTGGATATACACCCGTGACGATGGACTGGGCCGGAGGGGAGACGAGTTATGGTGTGGACGATATGGATGAGTACGTCGCCGCCGTGAGCTCGGTCCAGATTGCATGTCACGACCCCAAGGAGGGCAACAGGCCCTGGCCTGGCCCTGAGGCATCGAAGCGTCTCAAGTTGGCGCAGGCCAAGGCTGAGGCCGATGCAAAGAAGTTCCGGAAGATGAACAAGGGAAAATATGGACACAAGAAGGGAATGTTTGCGAATGCAAAGTCGTTCTTTGAGGCTGCAATTCTGTCCTTGCTCAAGTGGACCTTTGTGCTTCTGGCGATCATCTGTGGTGCCGCCTACCTGACGGATCCAAAGACGAAATCCCAGATGACGTCGTCCTCGTTGTCTGCGGATAAACGCAGCCTTGCTACGACGAACTCGTAGGCGAAAGGATCGTTTTCTATCATACGTTCACCAATTTTTTTTTCTGTATATATTGTATATATTGGCTTTGTCTTCAACCTGAAATAAACCAACGATTTCTTGGGTACAGTATCTTTATTTGTAATCTTGTAGTCGTCTATTGCTTTTCTTTAGTCCTGTAAAAATCGTCGTTGTCAATCTAAGAGTACATCCAATCCTGGTCAATCTCAGCCTCTGCAGCATATTTCGCAAGCTCTGCGTCGCGCTTCTTCTTGATCCAGTCCGGATCATCCGAAGGGACCTCTGCACGGCAAGCCGGACAGTTATTATGCTAAATACCGATTAGTATTATTTTTTTTATGTTGGCAAAGAAAACGACCGCAAAAAGAAAAAAAAAAAAAAAAGAAAAAAAAGAAAGAGGAAAACCGTCAGTATAAGCTCATCTACGGGGACAGAAATCCAGATATTTTTTTTATATGAATCGAATCGCCAAGCACAACTTTTTTTAAAGAAACAGTTCCTTACAAGTTCGAGCCAAGGCACAATACATTCTCGATCGAAAAGGTGCTTGCACGGCAATTTTGTAATCTCCGCATTCGATTCGTTTTCATGCAAATTCTCGTTACAAATAATGCATGCTTCGTCTAGCCAAAGCCGAATATAAATAATTGTTTTTGTTAGCAAACGCCTGTACTTCATTAGAAAAAAAATTAAAAGAAAAAAGAAAAGAACTAGTTATGTTACCTCGCTTTACATCTGTCTGTGGAACAAAAGGCAGATCGCGGATAAAAGATTTAGAGGCCGGAGGAGGTCCATGCTTCCCACTATGCGATAGAAAAATAGAAAATAATGATAAGAGACATGTCAAGTTAGTGTGATGGGCTGCAATGCCAAAGTCGATGTAGCAAGGTGCAAGACGCATTCCTAACCTGGCTCCAGCCTCATCCATCAGCTGTGTGATCAGATTGTCGAGGAACTCCTGATGTACCTCGTCGCCCAATGGTTCCTCTCGCACGCGGAAAGCTCCCAACATCCTAATGGGCGTTACAGTCGAAAAAAAAAGAGATTGAGCGTCCAGTTGTTTACTAGTTGTAGTATCTACACCTAAGAGGGTACGCAATATGGTGGGTTCATTACTCTGCCAGCCGATGAAAGTCGGTTGCTCCTGGTCCGGAAGCACCCGTAGTCGACCGTGAGGCCGAATGGCGTCCATTATAATCGTCCACGTCATCCTCGCGTGGCATGAAGTGCGACAGGTCCGGGTTGAGTGAGCGACCCTGGTTGTTGTTGTTGGCCCTCTGGGCCTTGTATGGATCTTCAAGACTGTGGTCGTCAAAATACGATGCCATTTGTAATCTTCTGGAGAGGTTCGGAGAGAGAGATGAAGTGGGATGATGAACGAAAGGGAATCAGAAACTCGGAGATTCGTGATGACTGTTCCTGAATCAGGTTATGTATGCGTAGTGCGTAGTGTGCTTGCGCGTCCCCTGTTGCATTGGGCGTAGTATCTTCGGTGCGCACAACCTTATTTTATCACCATGCCAAAAAACAACAACAGCATTTGCTTCCCTCAGGGAAATCCATCTGTAGATGCATATGCCGATGTTGTTTCTGTTTGGCTACTTGACAATAGCCTGTTGCAGCCCTCGGAGTTCGATCGTCTACGGTGCAGAAGCCAATACTTCACATATGACAATAGTGCGCGTCAGCAATACAAATAGTCTAGGTATGCATGCAGACCTACAAAACACTGGACATGCAGAAAAAGGAAAGGAAGAAAAAGAACTCACGCCGTACCCTATGCTAGCATGTACTGACCTTGACGCCCATGCTCGACATCTCCCATTTCGGGAGTAGTGAGCACCCTGTCCTAGCCGCGTTTCAACGCAGCAAATCAGTCCTAACGCCCTGGGAACCAACCCACAAAATGGAGATATATCAATGGCTGAAGCCGAGGAAGACAATCAGTCCCCCTCCTTTCTATACTCCACTTGAGAAGGAGATCAAGCACAAGGCTAACCATACCGGGATTTTTTTTACAGGCCTTGGTGCGACATTGCTGACGATGTTTCTTGTGGAAAAACAGCAGTCTGTCTCCTGTGTGTGTGACAAAACTTTCAGAGTCGCCGAAAAGCCTCTTCCATTTCAATAGTCTAGTGGGATTTGGTTGAGAGGAATTGTGTATCGAGGAATACAAAATTACTGAAATTTTAATGGCAACAGGCCAGGGACCCTGAAAAAAAGGGTTCAATAAACTCAATACGATATAGAAGTTTCCCGGGCATTTTGGGCCTGGCAAGCGAGGAGCCAGGAAACTTGGTAAGAGGAGGCCATATATCAAGGAGTTGCTGCAGGAGAGGAATCTCAATACGATATCGGGCGCACGATATGAAATGAAATGAAGAAAGATGCAGTGTACTACGTCGCGATAAATGAATGAAGACTCAGGAACGCCCACATGGTGTCGGCAGTGCTGTCTCGCTGTCCTCCCTCTTCCTCCTGGTGGGCAGTGATGAGATAATGACCCAGGCCAAGTAACCATTGTTGTAGTAGTGGTAGTGGTGGTAGTGATAATGTCGGTGGTTCGTCATCAGGACCATCACCACTATCATCACATGTGGCGAATGACAGAGGGTGGGCAGGGTATCTATATATCCAGGGCATTAGGGGATGTGCATACAATGTAACCAGTTTATGCTGCGAGTAGTTGGTGAATTGCAACGCCATGACATAAGAGTTCCTTCTCTAGCGATGGTTCAATAAGTCTTTGACCGATGGTTTATTCTTTTTTTTACTTGCTCAATTGCCAATTGCTGCTGTGCACATGTCTTTTTAGTTCGATGCAATGGCTCAATGGCTGCATGTGTGTCCTTCTCCCTCCGTCTCCTTGCTTCCTCTGTTTCGTCCCCACAGAGAATGCGTGCTCACCTGAGGCTGGCTCATTGCTTGCGGACAGGTACAGGACAGTGTACTGCATTCTTGTACTATGGTGTTTCCTCCTTCCTCCTCTCCGAGTGCGCCAATGGAGCAATTGAACAAGCGTGTGTCCATCATCCCAGCCCAGGTTGAAATATCTTAAATACCGGACATACCGCGCCCCACGGCATGGACACCCCTCTTTCCCTCTCTCTTTTGAATCCTCCTTCCATTCTTTCTTTCTTTTTCTTCTTTTCTTCTTCTCATTCGTTTCCTCCATTCGACATCCCACATTCATTCACGGCATCCCGTCTTGAACCCCTCTCCCTCTCCAGCCACTCCCGACAAAGGACCCCCTCCCCTCCCTGGTATAGCTCTTGATCCCATGTCCCTCCATCGCCATTGATCGTCTGTTTCCTTCCCTTCTATGTGTTGTTCCCGCCAAAAAAAAAAATATATGTATAAAAAAATAGCTGTTGGTGTGTGTTAAGCTAATTATTTTCTATGGTCAATTGATCAAATTACGGCGGGTGCCTGTTTTTTCTTTTTCTGGGCACTTTTGTTCGTAAACAGCAGAGACTCATACTGGACGTTGATCACTCCGACAATCCATCTTTACCCTTTGCAGCAGAGCCTCAGCATCATTTTTCGCACTGTTGCTCATTCGTTTTCTCCCACTCTTTTCCACTCATTCCTTCTCCCCCTCGCGATCTGATTCCCCAGCCCCTCCTCCCCGCATAGGAAGCAAGGAATACTCTGGTTCTGTCCCTGTCCCTGTCTGACAAGCAGCTCCTCACCCTGGTCTCGCGTGCTGAAAAATATAACCATCGCTTTAAATAATTGACCCAACAATGCCGATCGCACGCTGGGCATTTGATATTCGGCAGCCGCTCCTGCTCGAGCATATCGAGCCATTGGTGACCTCGCTCACCGCCGACAACGGGCCTAACATCGTGCCAGTGACCAACCTGCTCAATTTCCTGCCAAAAATCGAGTGCGATCGCATTCTCCGGTTCCGAGCTGAGGATGACATGCGAAGGGCCCTGATCGGTCGCTTGATGATCCATGCCTTCTTTGCAGCCCACCATGGTTGCCACTGGGAGGAACTTGTCTTTTCCAGATCCGAGACAAACAAGCCTATCTTGGTAAGTACTGGCGTACATGCACCCTTGCGAGACGGATTGGATGGGAAAGTGGTGAAGGACATTAGGCTACACATCCATGCACAGATGTCAGCTAGTCTCTTCTGTAATCTCGCGAGATGTTATTCGTTGGCTATCATGTCCCGATGGACCCCTTCGGCGTTGTGTTATTTTTGTTTGCTGCTCTTCCCCACCCCCCACCCCCCTCCTCCCCCCCACCCCCTCCCCCTTCTGTGTCCAACCGCACGATATCCTCCGCCTTGCTCACTTGCTCTCGCACACACATCTCATTCAATCTCCCAGATCGTTTAATGTCCGTGACCACATCGATTCTCAACAGGCGCAAGCACCCCTCCCGTCTTCTCTTCTTTTGTCCGGACTAACCTTGGTGAGGATTGATGAGGAATGATGAAATAAGATGGTGCCTTGTCCACTGCCCAGTGCACACAGCTAAGGAAAACGTCATGCTGCAGCTGCGAAGCAAGCAGGAGGCAGGCAGTAGCGCCAACGACGACAAGGAGAACAACAACCCTCTTGATGGCCCCATCTGGACCTTCTCCTTCTCTCCTCCATCTCCCCTCTCCCTTCTCCTTTCTACTCCATTGCCGACAACCCAAATGCTTTTTGAGTTGGCACCATCGCTCCAAAAAAGCTTCTCCAAAACTCCAATTCCAGCACCGCTCCCTTCAGCCTCATTGGCGGAGAACTAGTTTCTTTTCTTGTCTTCATTGTCGTGAAACACAATGATGACTGGCCTCCTTGGTACTCACACTCTTCTTATCACTGTACACTGTAGCTGAAGCCAGATCACCTGAGAAATATCAGCTTCAACATCTCGCATCATGGAAATTGGGTCCTCTTGGTCGGCGACACCTCCGTGGAGAGTACGCTCCGTCTCGGGATTGATGTCATGGACTTTCAGAAGCAGGTCCCAGAAGAATCATTCGACACATTTTTACGCTGCTTCCAGGATCAGGTAACGAGGCCCTGTTGCATTTTATCTGATCCAAGATGAAGGAGGAGGGGGCACGACGACGCGTTTTCAAATGCTTACAATATGATGCTTCTTTACTCATCCATCGTCCTATCTTTATTCCTTTTCTCTATGAACTACCGCGCCTTTTCATCTGTCATCTTGGATTTCACCCAATTTCTCGCTTGATGCCCTTGTGGATCTGGTTTGTTGGCCATGGCGTCATTATGATAACCTTTGGTTATATTGTGTCCCCTACACTTTCTGATTGGCCGGCGCTTGTGTTGCCTTTGCCGTTTGCCCTTGGAACCCTCTCCACATACACACTCACACATACACGTGGTGCTAAAAATGCTTGGCTAACGCGCCTCATCCATCTCCATATGTACTACGCACTGTGCATTATGCGCACGGTTGCTCTTTGTTTGGTTTTTTTTTTTTTTTTTTTTTGCATGGATGCCAAAAAAAAAAAAAAGTTTACGAAAGGAGAGTTAGCGTTCATGAATAGCGCGCCCTTAGACCAGGACGCGTCCTCGAGAAGTGATGATCAATTCAGGCGATTTTACAGGCTGTGGTGTCTCAAGGAATCGGTTGTCAAGACATTGGGCGTCGGGATCGACTTTAACCTGCAGTCGTTCGAGTTTGTGATCCAAAACGAGGAAGAGGTTCTTGAGGTAATGAGGAATCACTCGCTTGTGAAAGAAAAAAAAGAAATAGGAAAAAAAGAAAAGAAGACATGGACAGGGAGACGGACAAGGATAAGAACAGGGACAGTGATGGATATGCATGCATTGCCAGAATGCTTTTTGTTGATTCTTTTTCTTCGCAACACGGAGGAGGACACGCGAAGCAAGAAACAAGGAGGTCGTGCAGGAACACACACAACCTGAAACAAATAAACAAACAAAAACAACAACAACAACAACAGCAACAGCAGTGATAACAACAGCAGCAGCGATAACAACGACAACAAGAACATGTGCATGCAGCTGCAGGCACGGTGGAAGGGAAAAAAAGAAGATGTGCGAAGAGGAGCCCACTAGCTAGACAGATGCAGGACATGCAGGACAACGAAAAAAAAGAAAAAAAAACAAGTCCAACAATTGTAGCGCCTACATCAAGGAGGGAGACACACAGCAACTAGCTTCAAAGGATGTCTAGAGTGTTTTCATTTCGGCTTTTCGGGCCATGTTCCGGTATCCAAGTCCAACCTTTGACTTTAACAAAACAAAAACAAAAACAAAAAACCTAATCCGACTAGGGACCTATAGCATTAGTTTCGTTGCTTTGCTTCTTCGTTCTGCAAGTTAACACGCTTTTTTTTTTTTTTTTTTTTTTTTTACGCTAATTAGCCAACGCTGTCAACTAGGATGGATGTGTATGTGCCTTCAGATCTGCTTCCTCGAGAGGGTTGGTTCTTTGAGGAGGCACTGCTGGATCAAGACCACTGCTATGCGATCGCGGCCCTGACGGATACGCCAGAGAGTGTGGAGCAAGGTTCGGTCATGGACGGATCGGTGATTACGCGATTGGATTGGAAGGAGCTGCTCAAGGATGCGGTTCCATACCCATTCTCATAATCTTTTTTTTTTCTGGTTTATTTTTTTCCTCTCGTATTTGCGTATGGCAGTATTGCGTTATGTCGTCTTTTTGTTTTATCTGCTATTCATATTTGGATCGCTTAATCCCATCCACTTTCATCTCCCCTCCCCCTCTTCCCTTTTTTTTTCTTGTAAGGACATTTGGGTTCATTTGTAAAGCAATAAAAAAGTTGTTGTCTGGGCGCTTCATATTAAGCTGCAAAAATATCGGTGGGTTTAGACACGTGTCACTTGGCCCGAGCGTCACCCCTTTGAGCGCGTGCATCAATTTTGGTGGCAAAGTGAGCACAAACGTAGAATTCAAGGGACCGAAATGAGTATCTTCTTTCCCCCCCCCCCTCCCCCCATTGTGCACAGCATCCTTGGCCTCATCCTTTTCATTTTTCACTCTCCTTTCAGTCTAGAGCCAGCTCGCGTAGTGTTGCTTGCATCCTGCGGTTGAATGCATAGCCTTACACGAAGGAGATTGGCCGGGACAATAGCACTGCTCCCCTCCAGATCGAAAAAAGAACCGGACTACGACGCGACTGACGATGACAAACCAGAGATTGACGAACTGGGCAATGGCAAGCTCGGTGACAAGGAGTTGGAGGATGGGAGAGCGTGGGAAATGCCGGAGACGAAAAGGTTCGATTTGAAGCGGGTGTCATTAAATAAAAAAAGTTGTGGGATTTAAAAGTTGTAGGTTTATTTTGTTTTTATCCTTCTACGGGGTCTTTCAAAGGATTCATTTTGCTCTGTTTTCAGAAAGTGCCTTTGCATCGCTGCTTTGAGAGGGTAGCAGCGATACCAATAACAACAAAGACACAAGGATGACTTTGAAGAAGAGGGTATACTCGAGATCAAGGGCGGAAGAACTGGAAAACGACCTCTACGGAGGACAGTTGCGCCTCCGCTTTATTGGAACCCAAGGGAAACAAGGGGGGCAAAAAAGAATAGACGTCATATGGCAAGTTATCGATGACTACGGCCGAGATGAAGGAGCAAGCATCAAAGTCTTGTAGCATGGACATGGAAGCACCCCATGACTACATAAAGGCAAAATCCACTTTTGTGTAGAAGCGTCAAGTGGCTATTGAGGCAGGATGAGCGCCACAAGGTCGGTTAAAAGTCTCCCACCGTGAAGGCGGACGGAAAGTACGCCCCTTTTCGGATTGCCTTTTCGACCGATGGCCTATGAACAGTGGATGGGATTTGATAAATCCATAGTACCGGACACTTGACAAACGGTTCGGTCATGAGAAGGGGAGAGAGTACTACGAAGATTCAGTGGTAGTTGGAATGGACCCTAGTGAAATCATCACAGCCTCGTTTTAGTGCAATCAGGGCTCTTAATGAGAAAGTTCAGTGGAGACACTGAAGATAAAACGCGCAGCCCCGTACTCGCCGAAGCAATGTCACGTCGGAGTTTTGCAGTGAGAAACCCCTGAAAAAGTCGTCGACGGCCGATCGTAAGGAAGAATGATATGATAGATGTGTTGTTGTAGACCATGGTTCCTGCCTCTGCCCGAGAGCCAAGTGGACCAACCCTCCATCGAACTCCTAAACATCTCGGAGGCAAGAGCAATCCCTACCTGACAAATTATTTCTCGATCTTGTCATCTTACAAGGTCTTCTAAGTGGCATTTATGGTTCCAAAAACTGCTCGAGAGGTGGGCCTGGGAAGGAATCAAGGAAACGCAGCACCACTCCATGAACCCATCTCGGCTTCACGAATTAAAAGTTATCAGAGAAAAGCATCGTAGGTACCTTTTTTACTTTATTTTTATTGCTAGTTACATCAATTAAAGAAGCATCGCACAAAGCTATTTCATTTGCAGAGCTTGTATTGCCATGAAAAAATCATACATGAGTAACCTTCTATCGGATCTCGTCATAGCTTGGCGGCAAATCCGAAGGAACTCCTTGCGGCTGCAGTTGCGGGTACGGCATAGGTTGCGGAGGAGGAGGATGTTGATTCCATGGTGCACCACCCCCAGCCCCCGAATATGCCTGCGCCTGGGTTGGTGTCGGGATCAACGGTGGTGGCTGCACATGTGGAATCGGCGCCGGTTGAGGTATTGTTGCAGATGTCGTCGCTGAGGGCCTTGGGAAAGATGTCGTGTCAATGGTTGTTGAAGAAGATGGAACGTATAAGGGCAATTGCTCCAGATGCTGAGGGACAGCGCCATCCAGTTCTGTAAATGAAGGAACGGAGAAATGAGGCGTGGAAAAAAAGGAAAAGAAAAAAGAAGCAAGCAAAGTTGTTAGAAAAAATGCTCCATGAGAGATGATAGGATTTATCGGTGTTTGCATGCATGGCGAGAAGGTAGAGAGAAAAGTACCTTGACTTCTTTCACGAAGAGAGCGGTACTGAGCATCAAAGTCGTGAATATCTATATACCGACAACATGCAAAAGAGGAGGATGACGACGTAAGTACACCGTTTTCTCAGGGCCCTCTTGTGATAGTCCATCATCTTTTGAAAACTTTACCTCCACTAGTGAACGAGATAGCCAACCGCGCGGGCTGTGTCAGCCCACCTCCGGGCACGGGCATGACCACGGCCTTAAAGACCGGTGCCGAGAACCAAGACTGGACCAGCTTGCTATCCTGGATGTTTTTCACCGGTAACGAGGCTGAGCTGAAGAAGGCTGTGGGTGCAGCGCACAGATAGACAATCCTCTGGTTCGTCAACATTAATGTCCCACTCTTGGAGGTGTATGAGGCTCTGTGTATGCGATGTGTAGGGTCGTCAAGGAAGGTGTTAGCTGCTGCAATTGGGGCCGAGAAGTCCAGAGTCACCCATATATGCATAGGGTTGCGCGCAGGAAAGAGACGAGGGGAACAAGGAAGTGCTTACCCAGCACCTGGATATCCTCCGTTGGAACAGTCGAGCTCGAACTTCACGCCCAGTTGGCGCAAAAAGATCGTCTCGTTCTGAAGAGGGACGATGTCCTTCGTGTCGGGGGTGAGCATGACCCAGTTGACAGACATGGCGGAATTGGGAAAGAGAACGTGTTCCTTCTGTATTGGGGCGCTGTAGTTGTTGGCTGAACTGTTGTTGATGCGGAAAATGAGGAAGAGTTGGGAGGGAATGCACAGTTTGGATGTTGACGCGCAGAGAGAAGGGTCTCACACGTTCTTCTGTCCATCCTGGTCTACTCTTGCGCCCAATGGATGAAACCAGTCATCCTTGCGGGGCGTTGAGATGCGTGAACGCTATTTCTATTCCACCATCGAAACCGCAACGCGTTCGACATCTCCTCAAACAAACGCTCTTTCGATTCGATCATCCAGAGGACTAATTACAGGGAACAAACAGTAACGCCAGGACACACCTAATCTCATACACACAGGATCGACATTATGATGCAGCAACAGCAGTTGGCGCCCAGTACCCGTAGCCACATCACCCTTCGGGGGTCCACCAAGATCATCGTCGAGTTCTTTGGTGAGTTGAACCCCTGTCTCTACGACGGTCTTCCTTGTCTCGGAAACTCATAGTATTTGTGGACCTGGAGGACATTGTGATCGCATAGCGGATTTCTACTGACACTGCTTTGTTGCCCTTTGTCGACTTTAGAATATTGCATTAATAGGTAACGCTGCTGACCGGCATCATTTTTTGACATCGGCAATACAAAGGATACGATAGAGGCAGGATGACAAACACGAAGGAAAATACCAGGACCGTGGACAGAAAAACCAAGCGTCAGGATGAATGAACAAACCCTTCGCGCCAAAAAGCAATAGAACCAGTTCCGATCCGACGCAGCACCATCACCATCACCATCACCATCAGCAGCATCGCAGCTGGCCTCTTTTCCTTTTACAACGATATGCTCACCCACCCCACCCTTTTTTTCCTCTGCACATTTGCGTTTGTCACCCGCATTGTCTAGTCTACTCTTCCAGCGAGGTCTTTATGCGCCAGAGTATTTTAAGATGACCAAGAAATATGGCCTCAATATGCTCGTCACAACCGACCCCGCGATTAAGAACCATATGCGACTGATCCTGAAGCAGGTCGAAGGTAAAGAGACGCTTTATACACTTTTCGACATTGGGCACATTGTTTTCGACTCGTGCTTGGATGCGGACAAAATTATGTTTCTCACCAAATGATCTCTTTCCTTTGTAATTTCTCTTCATTTATTTATTTATTGAAAAAAAAAAAAAAAAAAAAATAGCGTGGCTAATGGCCTGCAAGGTTGAGAAGCTGATCTTGGCCATCAAGTCCAAGGAAACAATGGCGGTTCTCGAGCGCTGGCAGTTCGATATTCAGAACACAAAGGATCACACCTCTGCAACATCATCATCATCAGCAGCATCTTCGTCCCCATTCTCATATTCAAGTCAATATCACAAGGAGAATATGGGCTACTCAGAAAGCAGTAGCAATATTGGCGATGGCATGGGAACAAACGCTTCTTCTTTATCATCATCATCATCATCATCATCATCACCACCGAAGCAGAAGCCTGAGAAGACTGAGAAGGAAATCCAGTCAGAGATCCAGGCCATTCTGCGACAGATCACTGCCAGCGTCACTTTCCTGCCAATGCTCGACGAAAAATGTAAGCGGCGCACATCCGTAGCATTTCAGCAGAAATATTGTTACGACAGGTTCTCTTCATCCTCATTAACGAAACGAGGTTTTTTTTTCCTTCTTTTCCTTTTTTTCTTCCAAGGTACGTGGACAATCCTGTGCCAGACTGAAAAGGACGCAGAGGTGCCGGCAACCTGGAGCGACGCAGACCCACATTTAATCCACAATGCAGAGCAAGTCAAATTGAGATCCTTCAGCACAAACCTCCATAAAATCGATGCTCTGGTCGCTTACCGCCTCCAGGACGATCTCTAAATCACTCATTCGCTCACTCTGTTTGTTTGTCCGTTCCTTAACTGACCTTATTTAACGACGCAAACCCTTTAAAATAAATAAAAACAAGAGCATCCCTGCATCAATCAATTGCTTGAAATGAAGGAGAAACACTTTCGCATTTTATTTTTTTATTTTATTTCTCGAACAATGTGATGGTTAATCGGCTTTGAAGAAACACGCTATCAAGTATTTCTGGTTCAGTCTGCGAACATGCCAACATCCTCTCGCTCGTCCATACCCATGCCCTCATCTTCCTCTTCGTTATCATCAACATCATCATCGCCAGTGCCGAGTAAACCCTTGAGGTTAAGCCGTCCATAGTCGCCGACAGATTCCTTGCCCAGCGTATACCGTAGCCCCGGCCACGAGGTCACACGCTTGTTCCGTCTATTGGATCCGACCGAGTATTCTGCTGCAGCTTCACTTGGGTTGAATCCGGCACCAAACGCCTGCATTCTCGCATTGACAGTGCTTTCGCTGTCCTCTGACAACAATCCTGAGATACCCGTATTCCGAGTGCCCCGGCCATTCGTCTTATTGTCCAGCTTTCCTTTGATATCAGCACGGCACTGGGCAATCAGCTGCTCGATTTTCATACGATTCGCAATCATATGCAGCTTCGGGAACGTCTGTCGCTCGCCCACTGTAAGACAGTGCTGGAGACGGTTCTCGTCTGGATCTGTGAGCAGCTGGAGCCAATCCGAAATACCAGACTTGGGCTATAAATTTACACAGGCAAAAAAAAAAAAAAAAAGGCATCCTAGCGTTAGTAGGATGAACAGGGAGCTTCTATAGCGAGTTATTGTATCATCAGACCTTGCGAAGCACACTTACAAGGATGGTAACATGTCCATCGAACTTCTGCAGCCATATCCATGACCAGTCTTGGTTCATAAACTTGGGCAACAGCTCCAGATCGCGAAGAACTTTGAGCCACTTTGACAAGTCCAGTTTTAGGAACTGCTCAATGGATGCAGCCAGAAATCCTCCACGCCAGCCCTCGCCAGACAGATGACTCACAGGTCGACCGACACTGCCTCTGGCGGCGTAAAAGAACAGATGAATATGGGGGTTGACCTGGGACACGATCGTGTAGTTGACGTTGAAGTGGGTATGCAAGGCCTAATCATGGAGCAGAGGGTCAGGGTTAAATAAACTGAATCACAATAAAGAGCGGGGGGTTTTTTTACCAGAGATGCTGCTCGCCTTACCTGAAGAGGAATATCAGCACGAAGAGAACCATCCTTGTATCCTCGTCCTCCGTAGCTAAACGGAACCAATGATCCATCCGCTCGTTTGCGCATCAACACCACAGGGTTCAGAATTCCGGGAATGGCAGCACTAGCGATAACTATTCAATATCACATAAATACCGTTGATTAGTACACTATTGGCGAATAAGATAGCGGAATGATGCAGCCATAAGATCGAGCAGTCTGCTTACCTGCGGACCAAATAACACAGTCCGGAGTTGTAAGGTAATTCAGCAGCTTTGGTGGAGAGTGAGGGTCGTATGGGATGACAGAGATGTTGAGGATGCGTCCTGTGCGCTCATATGCCTCCGCAAACGTCAATCCTCCCCTGGTGACCCATTGCATCTTCCGTGCCCAATCCTCTGAATCAAACCGTGCACCCTTCTTAAGCAATCGAGGGAGCCAGGTCTATAATATTCAATGAACGATACCCTTGTTAGACATGTTGTTTTCACAAGCAATGATTTCCATGTGCGTCTCGGCAAGGTCCAAGAATACATACAAAGATGTTATCAGCACAGGCTGTGAACTTGTGGGACAACTCAGGGACCAAGACTTCGTTTAGTTCCTTGTCAGTGCGACAGCATACCAAGGCGGCTGTTAATAGACATGGAGAGATAACGAAAAAAGAGCAATGAGCATAGTGCGTTATTAGTAATTTGAATTACTGACTTGGGGGTAATTCGAAAGTCAGCTTGATCATAACGTGAGCCTTACCCAACAAGGCCCCAGCACTTGTTCCAGTGATGACAGTTGGCAAGACTCCTGCTTGGAGAAGGGCCCGTACGACACCCAAATGGTAGTATCCGAATCCTGCTCCTCCTGAAAGACAGAGTGCTGTCCTTCCATAGTTCTTGTAGATGCTCTTCAAGAAGACCCGCTTCTCCTCGTCTGTCAGCTGCTTCGACTCGCTCACTGCCTGTAGTGATGCGGCCACTATCATATTCCAACATCGAAGACAATTGTCAGTATCCATGATGATGTCGGGCACAAAATCGGGCTGCAACTTGTTAACTTTGTCGCAGCCAACATACCTTCTTGAACATACTCCTCGATGGGCTTCTTTGTGCCATGATAGGTCTGCGAGTAAAGTCGTGCATTTTCAACGCCACCAAAGTTGGGCTTGACCACACCCTGTAAAGTATCCTTAAGCTCCTCGATCCTGTTGGCTTCGCGAGCACGATAAAGGTTCTTGTTGACCTTGGAGAGTAGATGATAGTCATAGTATCCAAAGTCTGGGTCGTTCTTCCATTCGTCCTTCTTCATATAGGTGTCGAGTTTTTGGGCAGCATCCTTCCATTCGCCATATGTCGATGCGTTCCTGAGATCCTTGCGAAGGCGATTCCTCCGTCCACGCCTATAAAATTTCATTCCCAAAGACATATCCTCCTGTTAGCGACTAAATTGTTGTTTTCTCTCAATAAAGCTGATATTTCTCCTGGTGAAAAGAGTGTAGAAAGATAACTTGCCATGTAACAAAGTACTCCCAGAAGTTTACGATCTGTCGGACGCAGACATAGATCCACATCTCCACAGCGATGATGCTAAAGATCAAGACCTACGTAAATGCAACGGTTTTAGTACAGCCAAACAGATCAATTGTAAAGAGAGAGAAAAGGGAGGGGGGAGCACGGATGCACGCAATCAGCGACTGATCTGAACAAGTGACATACCATGAGGGGTATTCTGAGAAGAGTGTAACTGTAACCGTTATACTGCTTCGGTGATTTGCGACTTCGTGCGCGCTTTGGAGGTGCTTGTTGGACGGGAATGAAGTCTGTTACGGCCGAGATGAGTTCTGCACCCGATTCGCTGTGGGCGTTTTCTTCAATGGCTCTTCGAAAGGCATCGATATGTTCTTCGTTCGCGAAAGACTTGTCGAATTCGGGGATGTTGTCGTCGGACTGGTGAGTGGGGCTAGGTGCCCTGGACGAGTGGTTACTGGAGTCTGAATGTGATGTTTCGTGGTGTTCATGATGCTCCTCGTCGTAGGGATGTATGGCGCCGCTGCCTGGGGATGCATGGGTCTTTTTCTTGCTTGGAGTCGTCTTTCGAGTCCTGCCATTCGACCCTGGGACGGTTGAGGCAGCCATGGTTGGGAGAGATGTAGAAAGAAAGGTTGCTTGTGAGAGTATGTAGAGAGAAAGCGAGTTGGAGGGGACGATGGGTGGCGGTGGTGGTTGAAAGGTGAAAGCGAAGTTGATGAATGTGAATGGTGAATGAATGGGGTAAAAAGGAATACCGAGACAGCCTTTTATGACAGCAGTCAAGCAGAGCAGCCAACACTAAGAAGGTTTCAATTTGATAATATGTATGACATACTGATATACGGAATTCATATGAACACCATAGGCATCACATCAGCCGCCAGCCAGGACACATGTTCCCAGCGCTACCCCATCGAACGCGGTCGCAGCACCCCATGGGCGGATCGCCATAAACAGCATGCAGCTCCAAGAGAGCAAGCCCTTGGCCGGCCCTTCTGCCTCTCCCTCAACACACACCCCCAAACCCCATCCCACCCCACCCCACTCCAATGGGATACACAATGCACAGACAGTGCAGCGCTATGCTGCACAGTCCTTTTTCATGCACAAAGTGAACATCCCGCTCTCATTCTCTTACTTTCGGTGTTCTCTTTCGATCGCTTTCATTTCCTTGGGGCTGCCTCGATCGCCCGAAGAGGGGAGCAAACAGACAGACATGCAGGCAGGCGCAGGCAGTACCCACTATGATCACCCAGCCTTGCTCGTGTCCGCCGACAACCGATGCTTCTGTTCACTTCAAAGTGACCCAACGTTTGTTGCATTGACCAAAATAAGGATCGTCAGATAAAGTTTTGAGGGTCTCGCAAATAAATGAACAAGTCAAGCAATCCATCATTTGCTCCTTCAAAGGGGAACACCGGGCTACTGTCGAGCGATACAATGCCTATCCATTTCTGTAAGCGATCTTGTGTATCTCTATAAAGTCCTTTTGTTCTTCAAGTGGGTCGTAACGAGAACTAGGGTCTCGATCTACACTCACGCGCAAGTAGAACGATGATGCAATGGCTAATTGCTCTGACTATAGTCTATCAATAAAAGTGATGACGACCCTACTACTTATACACGAGTGCGATCTAGACTGATGCATACAAGCATGGTTTTATTTTATTTTATTTTATTTTCTTAATATTGAAGTTAGTTGAATAGTATAATTTTAATAGGTAGGCGGAAATAAAAAGGGATGAGATAGGGACTTTGACAAGATAGGACAGGGTGTTTGCAAAAAAAACCAGCAAAAACGATTCAAATGAACGAATAAATGGGATATGCGTGTCTCCTGCGGGGGTAAACGGGTCTTTCTCTCGGTCGGCCAGGGTTCTTACGACCACACCTAAAAAAGTGATTCAGAACATCAAAGACATGGATCAGCATTGACTATACACTACTGCCGACCATTTTTTTTTTTTTTTTTTTAAAAAAAAAATAAAAAAAAACCAACATACCTTCAGTGTCGTGTCCCAACTTCCTGTGCACATTGCCATACCATCACTTGCCACACCCAGACAACTGACGCGGTTGTCGTGTCCCATCAGCACGCCCACACGTTCTCCTCTGAGAGTATCCCAGACGTTGCAGTTAAAGTCGTCGTATCCAGAGAACAGCAAGCGACCCGAAATCGAAAATGCAACAGAGGTGATACCACAGAGAATATTGTCGTGCGTGTAAATGTTCATTTCCCGATCCGCGCGAAGATCAAAAAGTCGGCAAGAAGCATCATCCGATCCAGTGGCGAATGCATCGCCGCTTGGGAAGAACCTAGGAAAAAAAAAAAAAAAAAAAAAAAGGAAAGGAAAGGAGGAGCGGAATTGAACAAGATCGTCAATACCATGTAAGCGATTCCCTATATCCATCCATCGATTCATTCGTCCATTCCTTTATACAGCTTCAGAGATACATACTGGACAGCATTGATGTCTGATTCGTGACCGGTGAACGTCTGGACACACCGTGCAGTTCTGATGTCCCAGATCTTTGACGTGGCATCGCAGGCTCCTGTGACAAATATGCGTTGGTCTGGGGATATAGACAAGCTGCAGGTTCATTCGTAATGAAATGAAATATAAAAAAAAAAAGAAAGAAGAGAAAAAAAATCAGTGAGCATTTGACATTTGGATAGAGGGAACGAACGATACTTCCCTGTTGTGAGGTAAGCAAAGTCGATAGCTATGAAGCATGATGCGGGTACAGGGGTCGCATCACCCTCCCTTGCTCTGCGCCCACCTCAAATGCACCCATGTATCAGTCAAGCCTAGCGAAGGGATGGTACATACCTCATGACATCTCCAGTATGGTCATTGAACTCCATCAATTTGATGCCCGCATCCAGATCCCACAGCATACAGCTCATATCACCACTGGAGGTCAAAATCTGGCGGTCGTTGAGGAATCGGCAGCAAGAGAGATAGCCCGAGTGCGCGCTCAATTCCCTGGCAACCTTGACGGACCCTTCTCTTGTTCGCAGATTGTAGACGGAACACATATTGTCAAGACCACCGCAAGCAACAAAATTGCCAGTAGGCGCGTAAGCGCAGGTCATGACCCAGGACGAGCGCAGGGGGATGGCGTAGACCTTGTTGGTCGTATATGCGTCCCAGACAATCAGCTTGCCGTCCTGAGAAGCCGAGACCAGATGCCGCTTATCGGTGGCCCAGTGCATAGCATAGATCTTGGCCAAATGGCCCTTGAGGACCCTGCGAATCCTCATTCCAATGCGGGTCAAGGGCTCTAGTTCCTGAGACATCGACTTCACTGCAGTATCCAATCGTTGTTGTTATTGTCGCCGTCGTATATGTAATATGCGAAAGTGTGAGTTAGAGACAGGAGCCTGGATGACAAACCAATGCAACAATATCGAGAACATCCACTTCTAAAACGTTTCCTGTTCAATAATAGACCTTACATGAAGTGTCGTTCAGAGCCGACTTCTTCTCTCTGATCTTATCCTTGAGGAATTCGGCCTCCTTCCGCGCATTGGCGATGCGCTCCGCCATATCGGAACTCATGATGATGGTAAAGTCGGCTGGATGGGCTTAGGTTGAGAGCTGGTTGGAAGGACAATTGGGCGAAAGGACAATTGGGCGGGATCAATTGGATGAGGCCTTAAATCGGTTAGCCTAGTGTATATGCACAAAAGTTGAACGAGCGTGTCCCTTTAGCGATTGGGAGCGGAAGAAGCTAGGCTAGCGTAAGAATGGACGGAGAAAGTGTCTGTGGATGGTACTGGGGCCTCAAATGTTACAAGTGACGCGGTTCGAGCTGGGTATGAAAGATATAGGAATAGGAAGAAGATCGCAGGTAATGTGTTTCAGTTGGTGTATAACACGGCCCCAAGAGTTGGGAATGAAGCGCGAAGGTCGCTGGCAATATGGTTCACGTATGAGAGCGCACGGGTGGATCGTTCGTGATGTGATGGGCAGGGACAGGAAAAAAGGTGTTCCAATAAACGGACTACTGCAGGCGGCCCAAGCATAAAATGAAAAATGAATTTGGCAATTTGACGAGCAATGGTGGTATCAAGGGCAGCGGCAAACCCGGTCGAGCGATACAAGGCAGGGCAAGGGAACACAAGGGAGTAGCAGCTGAAGGAGGAAGGGACGAGAAAGGATTAAAAGTCGGTTCAATTGGTTCAATTGTGAGCGCTCATAAAAAAACGGAAAAGGTTCACAACGATCCATCATATCTTGGATGAGAGTTGTTTTCCATTCCCTCGTGTGTACGATTGAGTGTTTGTATGCGTTTGCATGCGTTTGTATGCGTTTGTATGCGTTTATGTTTGGATATGTGTAAAGGGAGCGAAGGACGGATAAATTATCCAGCTGGGGACAATATAACGATCATGAGAAGCAATGGAGAAGGATGGGCATGTGGAATGTGCAGGAGTGAGATGTCAAGTGTGAGGTGTCAAGGCGCGATGTGACAAGAGATGGGTCCTGGTTCTGGTTCCTGAATGGATTCCATAGATGAGGATGTGGGTTCGGAGACGAGGGTGCGACATGGGGATGATCTGTACCTGGAGAGGTGGGGAGGGAGGGATCGGATGGTGGGGCGAGAATGGGTATATGAAAAGAGGAAAGACGGGATGAGAGGAAAAGAGGGCGGAGTGAAGAGGGAGGAAGGAGTATGAACGAGACTATATCGGTCAGTCGAATATGAACGGGAGGAAGGGGAAGGGACAGAGTACCAGGGCGAGTTGGACAATTGCTCGAAAATGGGGGATGCGGAGCAGACATCGCACGAAAGAAAGTGAGCCATAAGCTGGTGCAGGTGCAGGTGCTGGTGGGCCGTGGTGTTGCAGAGAAAATGAAACATGGTGCCCGAACCAGTCGTTAATTCGTGATTGGTGGATAACAACACCCTCTTCCCTATTCACAGGCAATCACACACACACACACGACGACAACAGCAAGCCCATTTATTAGCAACTCATCTTCAACGCTCTAAACCCGCATGCATTTCTCCAGTAAGCTGGAACGAGGGATGGATACATAATCCTGACCATTTCACAATTAGGACCATCTCCTCGCTTTCATCAGCCAGGAAAGCAACGCGAGCACGTCTTCAGCTCAACCATCCTGTGAAGCCGTCAAGGGCCCTTCAAGAGGTTTCGTAGAGTGATATCGCCACTAGCCCCTTGCCCTTTGGGATGAACCAGTTAAAAAAAGGGAGCCAAAGTGGCAGGGGCCAGAGCAACACTGTTCAGGGTCCGTTGGCAACCACAATGAGCGGCGGCCAAACATCGATATAGCTCCCAGACGCGTCGGAGGAAAAAAAAACAGAGGGGAGCAACGAGGGGTGATGCGCGTTGGCCGATCGAAACAGAAAAGGGGTCTCGACATTTTGCACCTGTTGATATTTCTCTCGTGAGCTGAGATGGTACAGACGAGAAAGGCGATGCATGAATCGCACCCTGAGCATTTGAACGATTGTATCTAAGCCGAGATCCATCACTGAATCAACAGAGGATCTCGGTAGTCCAATTGCATCCCGGTACCTCATTGATGTCCCATAAAGGTCTGCAACTGAGACGTTTGGTACTACCGTGCGTAGAATGAAAAGTCGTGCTACAGGGAACGCTCACCATTTATGTTTCTGACATTTCAATAGTGCATGCAGCGTTTAATACGACAGCTCCTTCACAGGTCTCTGGCGATATCTGGTCCCGTATAAAATGATGAACAACCCATGGTGGCATTGACAACAACCGCTTCTTCCTTCTTCCGCCGGGACGTTCAGTTATATTGCGTTGATGCAGAGAAAGGTGGTATTCACAACAAAGAAGAGTTTGTTCCTATGTCTCTATTTTTTTAATTTGCAGAGAGCTGCATCTCAGGTCTATATTTATGAGAGCGAACCAATACTATCTTTTTTGTTGAGAGCAGGTTATATTAGATCATGAAAATCGAATAGAGGGTTGTAGGTGGTCGGATGTTGTAAACAAATAGAAGAGTGCCTGAAGTCTGTCTGCGCTTAAAGAGCAAACTGGAGAGCGGCGGCAGCAGCACCGGTCAAGGCAAAAAGCGAGCCAGCAAGGAGCGACGACGCAGAGCTGGGCTTGTCGGCAGCCGCTGGGGAGGTGGTGGCCGCTGGGGGAGCAGCGGTGGTGGAAGCAGGGGCAGAGGTGGGGTTGTTGATCTGGAAGGTGGTGCTGTACGAGGTCTGAGGGGTGGTGACAACACGGATGGAGTAAACACCGGAGCTGACGGTGGTGGGCACAGCGATGTTGGCTCTGGTGGTGTTGCCTGAGCAGTCAATGGTGCCAAGTGCAGCAACGAAGCGAACAGCAGTCGAAGGACCATCGACGAGCTCGACGGGCACAGCGTGCGACGAGTTGCCCATACTAGCGCAGTTGCCACTCCACTGGAGGAACTCTGTGTTACCGGCAGTCCACTGGCTTCCGGTAATGGGATTGCTATAGTCGAGAGAAACATGAAGACATAAAGCGATTACTATGCTTTGCTCGACCGTTTGAGACAAGTGCTGAACGCATTTACTTTTATGAAATGCGAATGTAAAATCCCTACCTGATCTGGATAGACTGGGCGCTGGAGACAGCGATGGCGGTCGCGGCAACGGCAAGGGCAGAGATGAACTTCATGGTGGATGTTTACGAGTGAGTGAGGGTGTAGGTTAAAGGGCAGGAGGATTTTTTCTTTGCAGGGATGCTGGGATAGGGATTGGGAAGGGTCGAGATTCGAGAAGAAAAAGAAGAGGAGAAAAGAGGAAAAGACAGGCAGTAACACTGCAGAGATTATAAGCATCGAACGGAGACAAAGCTTTGGCTCCAACTGCTTACGGCCCAGGCTGCAGGCACATCGGGGCCATATAGGGACAGCTGGAACGTTGAAGGTCAAAATACCAGCAACTGGTCGCGTCCCAAAATAGCCCCTGCAACTGCTTTGCCATACCAGAGTTGAGCTGCTCACAAGATTAATATCGATTAGGTATTGGTAAGACAAGCCACTGGAGGGAGTCTGCATCGCATGTGCTGTGTCCTTCCCGTTGCACGACCGCGGCATATGAGCACTGTACCCCCCACGACTGGTTGAACCCTCTCTTTTTACTATTCAACTTCATTATGGGTACTGTGATTGACTATTGCGTTGGATTGTTGTGCATCCATCGATCGCAAGGAGACATGATAGCTAACTATCGATTGCCATCTATTCATCTATCCACCAATCTATATACTATCGCTTTATGCTGCCGCTCATTAAATCGCACCCATCGACCACTTTCGACTCTAAACTGCCTTTGATATCTGGAATCAACAAATCTCTGCGGGATCTTGAACTCGATCGCAACTTTTTTTTTTTTTTTTTTTTTCACGACTTGGCACTGGAACAACGAAACTTGATGTTCATCATGCCGAATCTGACATCATCCAACCTTTGCTCGTTCGCACTTGGAATCGACTCTTTCACGCGGATCTATTGCTTCCGGACTACTGGGAAAAAAATTTTGACTGGATCACAAACAACAACTGCTGCAAACCGATCAACTCTTGGAACTGCCGCTATGAACAACAACAACAGCCGTTGGAAAGAATAAGTAAGGGATTTTATGGCAGCTTTGGTTTTCTATCGCTCGGTAATACTATAATACCATCTGGTTTGTGTATTGACATAGACGTCCTCTTCACTTTTAGGCGTCTCTCGAAAGGCAAGAAGGGTCTCAAGAAGAAGGTGTAAAGTATCGTTCCAGGGCATCTGCTGTGAACATCTCAATATGGACAGAACCAAGGAAGCACAGGAAAGCAGCTCGATCAGGATGGAGAAACGATTAGCGATCAGGGACTGCATGTTATGGACGGATCAGCTTACCTAGTGTACCGCATCAGTATGCTCAACAACAGCGGCAACTTTGCGAAAGGAATGAGCTTTCAGTATGGCTCGTTTGATAGACATCGCTCTACACGACCCCGAGACTGCTCATAACCGCCTGTGAAGACTACGCCCCTCTTCAGCTTCAATCACCTGTAGGCGGAATTCCTTTCGAAGGACTGAGCCTATACTATAATGCAACATGTGTCTATACACCAAGGACAGATCTCCAACCCTAGTGGAACAACGATTATCATATCGCCATAACAGCAATTACATCGCAGCTTCGCGAAAGTCCAAAAACAATATCGGATTCTATCTCTATCAACACGGAAGTCGTGATGGGCATGGTGCTGATATTATCCTTGCCCGTTTTTTGTGTTCGTGATAATTAGTGTCGACCCCTTCACCCGTAAGGATTGGTATGATATCAAGGCTCCTTCCACCTTCGATGTTCGCAACGTCGGCAAGACCCTCGTCAACCGCACCCAGGGTATGAAGAACGCTAACGACGCCTTGAAGGGCCGCGTCCTCGAGATCTCCCTCGCTGATTTGAACAAGAACGAGGAGTACTCTTTCCGCAAGGTCAAGCTGAGAGTTGATGAGGTCCAGGGCAAGAACTGCCTCACCAACTTCCACGGCATGGACATGACCTCGGACAAGCTCCGCTCCATGGTCCGCAAGTGGCAGGTACGACAAACACACCACATTCATTTCTTTGGATTACAAGGATCTCTATAGACTGGAACAGTTGTCCGCGCTTTTCAATTGCAATTACTGATATTGTGTTATTTGCTTTATTGCGACAAAATAGTCCATCATCGAGGCTCACGTTGATGTCAAGACCACCGATGGTTACTTGCTCCGCCTCTTCGCTGTTGCCTTCACCAAGAAGGGTATGAACCAGGTCAAGAAGACCACCTACGCTCAGTCTGCCCAGATCCGTCAGATCCGCAAGAAGATGTTCGAGATCATGATTGCCCAGGCTACCTCGTGCGACTTGAAGGAGCTCGTCCACAAGTTCATCCCCGAGGTCATCGGTAACGAGATTGAGAAGTCGTGCAAGTCGATCTACCCCCTCCGTGATGTTTTCATTCGCAAGGTCAAGATCCTCAAGGCCCCCAAGTTCGATCTCGGCAAGCTTCTCGAGCTCCACTCTGGTGCTGACAACGAGACTGGCGCCAAGGTCGACCGCAAGGACTTCAAGGAGCCCGAGGTCCTCGCTGAGGTTTAAAGCCATTCCTACCCCTCACTTTGAACGCTCTGAAATAAAACACTTGTTATCTTTTTAGATAACGGCCATTTTGTTTTGTTGTTTTGCATGTTGACTCTGGAATGACTACCTATGGGCGATGGGAACGACGAAGATGACAACCGCTATCGTGGCAGGGGGCAAGGATTTCGCGCCAAACAGTCAAGCATTTCAGGCACATGAATTGTTTGCGGATTTTATTTGAAGACCCCATTTTTCGACCGCATTTGCCCCAGATGGACTCAGCAGCGAATTGTCCGGAAGACCGCTCTGTTTGTGTTGCAAAGCGTCTTTTCAACCTCCACATGCTAAAGATAAGAGAACGGTCAATGCATGCGCTGTGGCGGGGTACCGGGACCCATGGGGGGCATATGCTCACAAGTACAAATGTACTTTATTCTCTGTTGTCGTGGGGTACAAACCAAGAAATAATGCACAAATGTGAAGCCATTAATGACAACGTTCTTTTTTCTTTTTTTTTTTTTGCATTGAAAGTAAGCCCAGTGGCACAAATTATCATATGCGAAAGGACAATAGGCCAGTACCCGATCGTTGTCGAGACAATGCTAAAAAGCACAAACGGCTGTAGTTGATTTTGCGCTTATGAATAGCCCTTGAACAGGCGTGAACCCTAGGTCATAACGCGGTATACAAACCTGGCATCAATGGAGGTAGACTCTGTGTGCCTTTTCGACGGTTCCTAAAGTCGTTCATCGACAACGACGTAGAGAACACGGACACACAGATTGCATCTGCATATGACAGAGCTGTAGGAGGAACGAGAGCCCAATGTCGTTCGATGTTATTTGTATGGTGCGTAGAAGAAATATTGCATGTGTGTGTGTCCCTTAGAGGGAGCAATTGCTGAGGAGAATGGCCCAACCGCTCCTCGGCCTCGTGGATGGCCGCGGCCATATTTATACCTGTTGCAAAAACACCTGCTTTCATATTTCTTTTGCTCCTTAAACTCATTCAACCCCCGCATCTCATTCTCATTTCCATTCTCATCTCATCTCATCACTGCACCCGTTACGCTTGATCAGACAACTATGGCCGCCACGCAAGAGAAACCAAGAACCAAGGAGGAGTGGATTAAATCCGAGGATGGCCACGAGATCTTCACAAAGACATGGTACGCTGTCGGTACTCCCGTGGCATCCATCGTCTTTGTTCACGGGCTCGGAGAGCATATCGTTCGTAAGTCGACACTTCTCACAAGGATCCCACCACAGGGCAACTTCCCAGTTCGTGAACGCGTGCAGTGCATGTTTGCTTGCTTGTTTACTGGGCTAAGTCGCTTTCGAAACCTTTTCGATGTTAGGTTACGATCACGTTTTCGAAGAGTTCAGCAAGGCTAACTTCCAGGTCTCTGGATTCGACCAGCGTGGATTCGGTCAAACAGGTGAGGAGTGTTGCTGGAGGGCTGTGAGATATGAGAACGACGATGAGAAAAAAAAAAAAGAAGGGCATTCTAACACGGTTTGACATATCCCCCCGCATAGGCAAGAAGACAAAGACCTTGGGACGCACTGGAGGATATGCCAAGGCCATCCCCGACATCACCGCTGCATTGAAGCGCGGTGAGATCGAAGGTATTCCTTTATTCCTTATGGGCCATTCTTATGTAAGTTGATGAACCAGCTCGATCGTTTGGGATATCCTCGGAGATTATAAATGGATGTTAGTCTGGACCTAATACACCGTGCACTTTTTTATTTTATTTTTTGCATGTTTGATTGAACACAGGGAGGAAGCCTGGTTCTCAACTACGATTGCATCGGACCCTTGCGCACAAAGCTCTCAGGCCTCATCGCCTCTGCACCCCTCGTCCTCGCCTCAGCGCCGACTCGTCCTAACAGCCTGACCGTGTCCTTCGCAGGTGCTGTCTCCAAGATCATGCCCTCGCTCAGGATTCCCATCAACCTCTCCTCAAAGTACATCTCGCGTGACCCCAAGGAGGTCACAAAATACAACGACGACCCTCTCGTTCACGGTTACGGCACCACCAAGGGATTGTTTGACATGTTGTCGAACGGAAAGTTGTTGCTCACGACCCGTTACCAGGAAATCTGCGCTGATGTCCCACTGTTGATCTGCCATGGAACTGCGGATGGATTGACGGATCAGGACGCGAGCAAGGCCTTCTTTGACAAGATCCAAGTCAAGGACAAGGAATACAAGGTCTATTCGGATCATTATCATGAGCTCCACAATGAGCCCGAGGATGATCGCAAGGTCGTGATTGATTACTATATCCAATGGATCCGTGCTCATTTGCCTAAGCAGCCTGTCGCGGAGACTGTTATTGCTGCGCCTGAGGCTGTCCCTGTCGCTGAGGCCGCGGAGACAGTAGTGGTTGCGTAAGGGTGATGTGAAGCACTCGGGTCTGTTTTTTTTTCTTCTTCTCGGTACACATCTAATAATGCAATATATCTGTAATTCCCTGTCCAGAAGCAATAAAGTACGCATCCTTTCCACAATGCACAACTTCGCGGAGTAAGCAAGCTAGAAAATAGGAGTTAGGGCAGCTACTTATTTAGTGGATCATAGGCACCAGAACAGCACTCTAGAGAATGGCCGTTGCGTGGGATCTGTAGTAAGCCTAGTCTAGCACGCCATGGACTCGTATGAGAAGCGTCAAATGGTGATGGAAAGGGCAGCAGGGTATGATCCATTCTGGATAAAGCATGAGCAGGTTTGTGACGATCATGATGGTAAACTGCTGAACACCGGCCAATGAAATCCGTGCATTTATGGTGCTGTGCTGTGCATGGACGCCCCACCTATGACTATCAGGACCATAAATCTGCTTCTTCACTTCTTTCCCCAGTTCTTTCCATTGCTCCTTTTCCTTGTTTCCTTCTTTCACATCCACCCTTCACGTTGTTTTTCTCACTTTATCTCTTCACTTTCTTCTTTTACTTCCTTTTACTTTTACCTACCCACAGCCGTGGACAAACAAACATAGCAACACAAGGACATTACAACTATGAGTTCCGGTACGAGGTAAGGACCTCTCGACGCCGATTCCACCGCGCTCATTACTGCAGTGCATCTCGTTAAAACTCTGGGTGACTAAACTCCTCCAAATATAGTTCCCAGGACCTTCGGCGTCAAGAGCAGCTAGACATAGTACAAGCAGCGTTGGAAGCCGCAGCAGAAGTGAGAAACACTGTGGAGGGCGGACAGGCAGTAGCATCAAGCGTCGATTCGGTAGCCGACGAAGCTGAGGACGAGGTGGGGTCAACATGCGCCGCAGCAGAAGATGCAAGGCGCGCGGCATCTGACGCTGCCGCTGTGACGGCACGAGCCGATGAAGCAGTCGAAACAGGACAAGCAACCCTATCACGACTTCTTCAAAACCAGCAGCCTACTGTAGCACAGGAAGCTATACATGCAGCTGGAAAAGTGATAGAGAGCGCGATAGCGGCCGTGATGGACGCAGAGGAAGCGATAGAGGTAGCTACTTCAGCAGCGGAAGCAGCAGATGAAGAGGCAGTGGCAGTACAGGAGGCAGCAGATTGGGCAAGAGGTGATGCAAGGAGAATTTCCAGAGCAGCATATACTGTTGATGAAGCGGCACTGGCGGTAGAGGAACGGGTGGAAGAATTAGAGGAGGCAGCAGAGAATATACGGTCCGAAGAGCGATGCCTACGGGTAATGATGGAGGAATCTGACGACGCCGTACAAAATGCGAAGGAAAAGATAGTGAAAGCGGACGCAGCTGCAACGAAGGCACGGGCGGCAGCAGAGGCGACAAGAGAGAAAGGTGAAATCGTCGGAGCAGAAGCAGCAGCAGTTGAAGCGGCAGTGGAAAAAAGCAGCCATTGCAGTTATGGCGGGGCAGTAGTAGGAGAAGGGGCGGGGGGAGGACCGGACGAGGAAGCTGGAGTGATTGCACTACTTTTTTCGCATTCTCCGATCCGCAATTTTCGCTAGTATCCATCACTACGTTCTTCTTCTTTTTCGCATGTGGGAGAACATAAATACGATACATCTTTTGAACGAGGATTTTCCTGGCGTATTAACACGAACAGGTGTTTGGAATGCAAGGGCCGATAGACAATAGACCTTGAAACAGTGACTCTACGTAGAGCCAATGTATTAGTAAAGTACTTCATGCCAATTGTAGATAGATACCTAGTTCCTCCAAAGAGATCTACTTCACCGCTAAAAACCCTCGCAAGAAGTATCGCTTTAGAGACAAGGATAATACTGATGACAATGAGCTAGCTGATCGAGGATTGTGAACGCTTTAGCGAGGCGCAGAAATAGCGACAGGAACCTCGAATGTACCGAAAAAAGATCGGCTTTGAAAATACAGATGTTTTTTCTTCAAAGGACGAGCTAGGGCTTCGGGCCGTCCACGATCGAGGGATGAAGCCGAAGTGGGGGGCGATGCCGCTACTATGCAGCAGCATATGCTAGAGATTGAACAAATGAGAAAACAGCTGGCTCAGCCAAGAGTCAAAGGTCTGCTAATTCTCCGCACTTTGCCTTAAACTGCGCTTGATACCGAAAATCCCTTTGAGCTTCATAGACATAAAAGAAATGGAATGCATAGTTCCGAGAAATATTTTCGTCTGCTTTATTAGCGGTATGTTGAATACAGATGGGTCAAGGAAGAGCAGCGATGGGGGGGGGTATGTTGAGATACTTTACAATGATTAAGTTGGGGAATAGCTAACTAGATGACAGGATGCAAAATGCAGGAGAGGGTATGCCTTTTTTCGTTTACTTTGTCTCTTCGAAAACCTCCTCCTTCCCGTCATGGACTGGAATAATGCCATCCAATTCCTGGAGGGCGATCTCAGAGATGGGTCCCTTGAACCACTTGCGGGCAGAGAAAGACCAGGACAAAGTCGTGAAGACCAAGAGGAATCCGACAGCGGCTGGCGTAAAGTTGAAGGTATCAACATTGCTAACGGGCCAGCTCTGGGGCAAGTTGAAGATGACGAAGATGAAGGCTGTCCAGATGACGGCAACCCAGCCGATAGGCTTGGAGTACCGCCCGAGGTTGAATTCACGCTGAACAAAGGTCGACGATCCGACTGTGATGCGGAGCAAGATAGGGATCGCGTATGAAGTAGTGAAACCAATGATAGAGATTCCAGAAATAGCGCTGAGGGTGGCAGTCGAACCCAATGATGGCAGAGCAAGAATAATGACGACCACGACCGAGAGCCAGACAAGGCGCAAGGGCATCTGCGTGCGCTTGTTGAGCACAGTCCAGAAGGGTGAGAAGGGAAGACCGCCATCGCGAGAAAAGGCGTAGAGCATGCGGGAGTTGGAAGCAACAGTGGCCACACCGCAAAGGAATCCAGCAAAGACAATGAGGAAGATGAGAATACTGCCACCAGTCTTTCCAGCGCAGTCGAGGAAGATCTGGGGAGCAGCACCGAATGCGCTGGCAACAGTGTTGTCGTAATCCTGGATACCGAAACTGAGGGCCAAGGCCAGACCAAGGCCGATGAGGAACGAAGCCAAAATGGACATCAAGATTCCACGGGGCCCATTAACGTATGACTTGTGGGTCTCTTCAGACATATGCGCGGAGCTGTGCAAGTTCAAGGGTGAGAAATTGGATGGAGATGTCAGAGAATTGAATGATAATTGAATTGTCGCAAGCCATGGCAAACATCAAGCATCGCAAGACTTACGCATCATAGCCGAGCATCGACCACTGCGACTGCAAGAGACCAAGCAGGAAGACAAAGACAGGCGAAGCGTTTGAGGACGTTGTGTATCCAGTCAAATCCCTGAACTCTGTGAAGACAAACTTTGGAGACTGGAGCTGAGGAGCACCGACGAGGACGACAACGATGATAGCAATGGTGCCGAAGATGTGCACACCGACCGAGACCAACGAAGCGACCTTCAAAGCGCGACCGCCTGCAGTGTTGATGATTCCAGCGAGAATCATCAGAGCCGCCATGATGTAAAAGTTCTTCTTGCCCGAGGGCTCATATTCCGGTTGCCAGACAGCGATCAGGGTATTCATGAACGTGGCAGCAGCAAGGACGGATCCGGAACATCCAGCAACTATTTTCAGTTCGCCGCGCAAAGGAAATGGGCCAAGGTTAGTAAAAAATTGATTACACAAAGCTGGAGCGATTACGGCAAAAAGGCAAATCTAATGCATGCATGATGTAGGTGCTTACCCTGTCCGAGAATGTTGAACCAAGCTTCATACCAAGAGAACATGGGTCCCCACTTTGGGCCTCCTCTGCAGAGAAAACAAGACCATTGTATTTCTTACGTTAGATGGCGGTCATTCTTGAGCAACATTCCTGCATTGTAGAACACTCGATTCTCCACGGTACTTACAACTTTGCAGTCCAGAAGTACAGACCACCGGCAGTTGGGAAGGTACTGCAAATCTCAGCCATGCCCAAACCGATAAACATAACAAAGAAGGCGACAAGGAGCCAACCCCAGACAGCGACGACGGGACCTCCAGTGATCATACCGAACCCGAACAGGGGAACAATACCGATCAGGACCGAGGCATTGGTCAGGGTGAAACCAAAGTTCTGAAGACCAGTGAACTGGCGCCTTTTGAGTAAAGAAAAAGGGATCGATCGTTAGCATTTTGGTACTCGGTGAAGCGCAACAGGTACACTGTAAATAAAAAAATAATAACCTACTTCATGTTTTGCTTGTAGCCCAGCTATTTGAAAAAAAAAAAAAAAAAAAGAAGAAAAAAACAAAAATACGGTGAGCTTTCTTTTCTTCATAGGTCAAGCTGAATGGAATGAGTACTTCAGAGCGACGATCATGAGATGAAGGATGGTTTGAATCCGGTCTCATTACCCCGGCAAGACGAGCCTCGTCCTCGTTAAAGTCGGCAGGGTGACCCTTTTCGCTGTTGTCCATGGCTGGCGGATATGTGTGGATAGGGGAAGGGTGGGTGCTGTAAGAAGAACGGACGAGCAGGGGGAGCAGGAGCAGGAGCAGAGAGAAAAGAGGACTACGGGCGTGGATGGGATCCGGCTTTATAAGTAGGCTATTGGCCCAGGATGGGCCGGGACAAGCTCAGGAAACATCCGAGTACAAGCATCCCGCAAAGAAGTCTAACCTTGAGCCACGGTGTTAGCCTAGCCCGCTATTCCCCTGTGTAAGCAATGCTCCGACAGCGAGGCGGTCCTCTTCCTCCAGCGCCACAAGCACATGTGTAGGCAACGCTCCAAGCGAACTTTTTTTTTAAGCTTTGGAACCAGGCACGTATCTCTATTGGCTCTTGCAATCTCCCAGCCTAAGCTGGGTCTTCATGTGTCGAGGGAGCATCAAAACACAAACATAAACACAAACACAGACAGCGCACAAACAGAACGCAGCCCAACGACAAAGTCCACGCGACATTCTGCATTGTTTGGTGCCACTCCAGCACATACAAAAAGCAGCCATCCATGCAGCCACATCTATGCATGCTCCAGGGTCAAGAATAGGCTAGCACTCCTCCAAGGCGTACATACACAAATACATACAAGATCTCTATGTACTTGGTGCGTGCGATCAACTCTGGGGGGAGCGAATCATCGGAATTTGAAATGGCTTTAGAGTAGCGACACTTTACGTTCGTTGGGGTAATGGACTGCACTCCCTCCAAGGCCCTTTCTTCGTCGTCTTGAACATTCAAGTCGCCTTGTGTGAAGATCATCGGGGAGGAACCCAGAGTGGTGCAGATGCGACCCCTATGCGGCTGAGCTGATTATGGACACTGCATTTCACCAAACACAAGAAGAAGCAATCGTTCGGAACAATCATAATTGGACTTTTTATTTATATGATGATGTTGGTGTTTAGTACTATTGACCTGGTAACAGAACTGTTGGACAAGAAGTTCAGGCGAAAGCTATTTCACTGGAGAAACTGGTGTTGTTGAGGGAGCAGCGGCTGAAGACGAAGAAGATCCGATACGGCCTATATCCTGCAACGACTGATCCTTGATTAACTGAATCAACTCCCGCTCCTGCTCAGAAAACGCATCCTTTTCGGAGCTACTCAGCGCCTCCTGGTGGGTGTCCGGCCGCTTTCTATGATATTGAAGTACTTGTTAGACGTGATATCTCGGATCATATCAACCGCATTAATAAAGTTTTTACGAGGTCCTTACCCATTCCTGATTGCTGTGGAGACATCTCCAGGTTCAGAAATCCGGTAGAGATCATTGGCAAATGGGCCCGCATAAGACTCCAACTTGGGTGATTGCGAAACACCCTTGCTCTTGCTGTTGATAGAGTCCATCAACGTGTATCCAGAGCCGACTCCAGATCCTTCGTCAATAGCAATGGGACGTTGAATTAACATGTCGGAGGTCTTGTTGTGTATATGCTGTAGACCTGAAGCCTGCTGAGCTGCAGTAACATCTATGGACTGGTTTGCTCTGACTGTCCTGGTCGATCTGCAGCGCTCTATCATATTATCGTAGGCAGTAAACGCCATAACCAACTCCTCGTTGCAGGCCAAGAGAGAAGCTATAGAATTGGTGTCATAGTACGAAACAAGGCAAAGCTGTGAGACGAGAGCTCATTCGGAGATTCTCAACTTTAGTGTACTTTGTGATACTTACTAAGGCATTTTTCATTGGGAATGGGTGCCTCGGTAACTTCGGTCAGGTATATTTGGATTCCGCGGTGCAGCGTAATGCACTTTGAGTGGAACTCCTAGAAAGTGATATCGCATAGGTTTAGTAATGCGGGCGAGATTCGTATCTTGCGGTATACTGAAAAATGAATCCGTACCAAGATCAGCTCGTTTTCCTCAATGGCCTCGAGCTCAGGATCCGCAAATGAGACAGCCTCGACCAGCATATGGGCAATGTTGTTTGCCAGACCAATATCCTGAAATATCTGCATCATTTTCTATCATCATAGTGTATGGTTGTTAATGATGCAAACAGGGTTCTTCGCTTTGCCGAATTAAGTGGTATCAATGCAATGTTCTTGTACCTCTTTTGCCGTAAGGACTGGGGGTGGATGCGGTGCGGCTGCCCTCGCTGCGACAGGTGATGGGGAATGTACTACCGGGTTGATCTGGTAGGCATGAAACGATCGAGGGTGCAAAAAAAAAACAAAAAAAAAAAGAGAGAGGTAGTGAGTGCTCGATCATCAAAACACGCTTTCTCCTAGGCCGATTAAAATCGTCAAGTGTGTTGATTAAGACATACGTTATGAAGCACGCCAGCTTCGAGCATGCGGCGGTAGAGGTCGGGAATTACAGTCAGACTCGGATCTTGAGAAAACGCAATGGCCCAGATTGCGAGCCTTTCCATTAAGCGGGCCTTTACCGGGTGATCCGTCCTCTACAAAGGAGACGGTCGTGGACGTTTACGGTCCAGGTTAGCCCTTCGATTGCAGGTATTATAAAAGGTTGTTCATAAATGGTTATGTCCAGCGTTTGTTGATCATCTTACATGTGATAGGAGGACATGGCTGATTTCCTCCGCAAACTTGGCGGTGGCAAGTTGAGCTACGGGATGCCGTGCAAACACACCAGGATGGACGGTTCAATGGATGCATGTATGTATATATGCTTGGGTTAATGTCTGCAAAGAAACTGGAGGCAGGACGTCGTTTCGATCGTTTATTTTTGACTTTATACCTTTGTATCTGGACCCGCAGCAGTCAATTAGAGCCTGATTGATCTGTAAAGGAAATGGACGCAGAAAATCATAAGTAACTTAATACTGCATGGGGGAAGCATGCAGCTCCAACTCTAAATGATTAAACACCTCCTCGGCCTTACAGTGATCGCATTCATTTGCTGCTGGGGGGTTCCCAGGCGCAGCTTCTTTCGCAAGGCCCTTGCAGCTTCTCTGGGACTATCGTAGGCAATCGAATAAGGTACAGCCGTTCAGATCGTCGCTTCCATGGACGCAGCTCGTCTCTAATAAATATTTTTCAAGTATTTTATATTACCCGTCTTCGACAGAGTTGACTTCCGCACAAAGGTTCACAACGGTTTGCCAATTGCTTATCACCTTCAAGTTGGTGATGATTTCTAAGGCATGAAATAATGATACACACTGTTGTCAGGACCTGAAATTAACAGATGACTGTCGTTGCAACCGAAATCAAATGGACCTGAATGTACCTATGTAACTGGTAATAATGGTTTCTCTTGTAAACAAGCCCATTGCGATGTTGGTTTGGAGGGATGAAATAGGAAGGCGTTCTTGATATGAAAGGAGACGAGGATGGAGTGATATGCTGGATTGGGGGAGGTGGAGCATGAATCAGATCTCGATATTTATCAAAAAAAATAAGGCTGCGGCTCGTGGACGAAAACATGAGCGACAATCATCACAGTGAGTATGGATGACTATCGAAGAGTTAAAAAAGGGCTCCTTGGTTGAACAATGTGGTACAGGACAACAGTCAGGCGTGGTGGCAAAACACGGACAGCAGGGGGATGCTCAACATCCAAGCTTCTTTTTCTGATTCTGGTGTCCGACGCGTATAGTTTGTTGAGGAACGGCTCTCTGATGGGAAATGGGGACAAGGCGGTCGATCTTCTTAATCGGTCCGCAACTGTCAGTTGACACTGTTTTTGAGAGCATGGGGGGGCTCATTCACAATTCAAAAATACAAAGGACTCCTGAACAGAACAAAAGGAGTTCTTTTTTCTAGGCTTTCTTAGACCACCGACGGTTATGGACGAGCGGATTGCTTTTGTATATAGAGGACGCTTGGAAATGTGTAGTGATTAAAGGGTATCTTATTGTCGTCATCAAGATAGACGTGGGAGTGCTTCGTTAAAATGACTGGATGTGTTTCAGTCTGACGCGAAAGAAAACAGCGCTATGCTATGCAACGCGACGCGTCGTGCCTTGCTCACTCTCAGCTCCACCAGAGTAGCAATAGGGAGGAAATAAGGAGCTGTGGATGTAGTCAAGCAGCTTTGTCCTTATTTGCTAAACCCATTGCGTTGGAACAGCCCCTCCCGCAGATATACCGTACCGTGCATTTTATGGTACATCACGAGAACTCTATCGGCACATAAACCCATACCATGCCCGGGTCCATGCCCGTCCAATGCATTGCACTATCTTGAAAACATCCAGCCGTTTCCCTCTTTCCTCCCTCTCCTCGGGCAAGGACCTATGGATGAAGGAAGGAGGGGGAAGGAAGGGGTGAGCAGCCAATGAGGGATGGGCCGCTTCCCTCCTGAATGATGAGAAACAGTGCTAGAGATGAGCGTGGCACTGAATGCCTTATGGTGATCCCATTCACCCTTTTTTTTTCTTTTCTTTTTTTTTTGGGTTGTTTGGTTACATTCTCCTGAACTCGCTCCTTCCCAGCCTCCCATCGTCACTGGCATGGTTGCTTGCTGGCTTTTGTTGCCACGCCATTGTCGATTCTGTTCTTCCTCCTCCTCCTCCTCTTCTTTATTCATCTCCGAAACTGCCGTCTCGCCTCTCCCGACCTCAACAATATCACTAGCACAATGAACTCGCCAAAACGTATCGCCGACTACTTCTTCATAGTCGGCCTCAGAGACGATACCAGCCTATACCCCCCAGACACTTATGAAGAACACCAAGCAGATGCTACAACAGAGTTGGACGAGGAAGGGGCAGACAACGTCAATATGGCGCGGACTGCAGTAGTAAACGCAGGAAGCACAAGTCCACGCCAAAGTACAGAGCAACACCAGGGACAACAACAGCAAGGGCAGCCAGGACAGCCTCCACGACCAATTGATCCCAGGCATCTCCGCCCAGGTCTAACCAGCACACCAGTGGGCCAGCGTCGGCTCTCTTATGCTGCAATTGCTGCCTCCAACATTGCCAGCCCAAAGTCCCCCTCGAATTCTACCACCACCATAGTACCCTCGCCCCTCTCCAATTTCTCCACTACCAGACCATCCAACAGAGCACGTTCACAAACAATGACAGTTATACCCGTCTTTGACCAACAAGAACCGGAGACTTTGGCGCAGCGAAGTAAGTGTCCCTTTTTTTTTTTTTTTTTTATCCTTTCACTGATTGTGCCCTGTGCACGTCTGATGCCAACAACGAGTTGTGGGTTTCCATCTACAATCATACCCTGCCCAAGTTTTTTATTCACACGCAGCTGTGTTCTTTTTTTTTTTTTTCTTATCAATCAGGTCCTCAGCCTGTACGTTCTGTACGACCTGCTCGGCGGTTGAGTACAGCATCGATGGTTGGACCACCTCGACGGACAGTGACACTGAATAATGTCAACAATCCAGGAGGCGCCTTACTACAACATAGGCCGAGCTATCGATATGTATCAGCGGGAACGCTCTACAAATGCGTGCAGGAAGGCATTGAGCACGATAAGAGTATAGAGGGAATGCAGGAGAACATCGAACAACGCTCAATGGAGAACCAAATAAAAAAAGAACAAAATGGACTTGGTAAGACCACATAGCCTGCTTCCAAACGACGGGCGGATTTCTTGCAGCCATGCCATTTTTAAGAAACCCCTAAATATTTGCTTTTGTCAGGTTCTTGTATCCTACGTAGCTAATCATGCACCCTTTCTCTTATGCAACTCAATGGCCCAACACAGTGTCTACACCAGCAAACAATGATAAAGCGACAACAACCACGCAGGAAACTAAAGGTGCTGCAGTTGGAAAGAATGGAAACATGATCAGGAACCGGACCAAGCTGTCAGTCAATGGTGAAAAACCTCCGGTACCACCAGACCACCGAGAAACCAAACCGGAGCAGCTCAATGTTCATCCTGCAGAGAGGGCGTTCACACCGGTTGTCACCTGTCGGTACCCAGAGACGAACTGGAAAGACGCAGAACCATTCCCGACATTTTTGCCCATGGTAAAGACTGTAATTGGGCAGCACTTGAGCGCAGAGTCAGGAATGGCCTTGGTTGTCATGATTCTTCTTAACCACGTAGCTTCTTCTTTGTCGCCCTTGGCACATAGTTTTGCTTTCCAGCAGACCTATCGTTCAAATTTTCAGATGAGAAACCGCCAACAACATATCATTCGTTTGTGCTGACCCAAGAAACTGGAGGGCGGTCCTACGCCATGTGCGTGACAATGTATGAACGACCACCACGCCGAATGCATCATCAGTTTGAGAACATTTGTCAGCGCTGGACCCGGAGTAAAATGGTAAGAGTTTATTCAATTGCTTGTATGTGCACCAAGCCTCGCGCGGGCTTAACAATCCTTACGTTGCACTCGTTGGATAGTCTGAAAGCGAGATCGAATACGCTCGAGCCATCAAAATCAAAATCGCACGGGAACGAGAGCTGCTGAAAGGCCTTCAGATCCAGCTCAGAGAAGAAAGGACACTGGGTCGAAGAGCGAGACAAGCGCAGCTACAGCGAGAGGTTTCAGACTCTGAGGAGAAGCTAAGCCTGCTGCATGATCAGATGAAGCCTTGGAAAGGCCTCTTCATCGAAGCTGAGGACGCATGGATACCTCGGTGCATAGGAGTCGTGAGCACCGTACCGTATCACTATCTCTTGCGCGATTGGCTTCTAGCCGTTGTTGTCGCATGTGCTGGAGGAGTGGAACATCCAGGGCTGAGTGTTAGCTCGCTTCGGTTGGAAAGGTAAACAATATAATGTATTCCGGTACTTTTATGCTGACATATTCTAAAGTCTTTGAGAAGACTACCTAACGCTCTCCCACGGTCTTCATCACTGTAGCTATGTCAAGAATTTGATCCACGAGGTTAACTTGCCGCCTTTCGGAAAGCTCGAGGTCGGGATTACAATCAACAATCGAGTCATCTATGCATCGCGGCCTGCGCTAAACAGCGTACCCATCGTTAAAAACGTAAGGAAGTTGATTTCGATAATTCTACTGGCCTCTTGTAGAGTGTGCAGCTAATCAGTCCCGCTCTCTTTTCTAGTTTTCGCTCTTCCCACTTTTCAGGTGTCTCACCGCAGAGGATATCGTCACTGTGTTGGAGGTACGGATGCCGACAGAAGAAATTTGACTGTCTTGTCTATATTCCAGGTTGTTAATAGCCATGTCCTATTGATCTATCCAGGTTATTCTCTCGGAAGGAAGGGTAGTATTCCTGTCATCTTACTTGGGAATGTTGACACTAGCCAGCGAGAGTTTCCTTTACCTCTTGTTCCCGCTGTACTGGCAAGGCGTCTACATTCCTATACTTCCCTCCGCACTCATGACATGTCTTCAGGCGCCAGTACCATACATTATTGGAGTGGAGCGCCGTACTCGTGATTCCGACTTTCCGCCGGAGGACGTAAGTGAACATGCAGACAGGTTTACATGCAGTATAGTGCGATTGCAGTTTGATCCGCAAACTAATTCAGGAGTGGTATAATGTAGGCATGCGTTGTTGATCTGGACAAGGGCACAGTCGAGGTTCAGTTGGCGCCAGTTCAACTCCCATCTCGTCAGAGACGGAAACTCATTCAGTCGCTGGAACAGTATGCACCAGCATCCGCCATCAAGCGCCCAGCAACAAGCGCCAACTTAGTCCTCGGACCACCGGCGTATGTTAAGGAGGCATTCCCCCACTCACGACTGACGTTGTTCTGTGGTGTTTCCCGGGCGCCGAGATGGAGCAGACGTGGCGAGCCTACGCGACCAGTTTCTATGAATGGAGTCTTAAATGGCAGTTCGACTTCAATCCATCATCGCAGTTCAATGGATTCTCGCAGCAATGGAATGACTGGTGAAGGCGGCAGAGCGTCAATGTCAGACACTTTATCCCTAAAATCTGTAACACAGAGTCCTCAGCAACCGCTATATTCAAAGGTGGTCGGAGGTATGGCGAGGTCTGCTTCAGATGGCATCCTGGATAAGAACCAGGAGTTGGAGAGGAATGATGTGCCAATGACCAAGGTATGCATTGGCGACGAGCTCGATCGAGTAATAGAGCCAAGTACCATCAACGTAATGAAACCATGATTTACGAACTCTTTATTGATTTCGTAGGATACACTTAATCGTGCCGAATCGATGAAAGAGACCTCGCCCCTCTCACAACATGTATGTAAATTGTGCGGAGAGTACTCTTGAAGGTATTTTAGAAATCTAGAGAACAGCGCCTGACGTCTTGCTGCTTCTTTTCTTGGCAACCAAAAGAGTGCCTCTGAATCGTTTAGGTCGGTGTCGCGCAAGGTCCTCTCACCAACAAGGGCCCGCTCGAGCATGTTTGAGGGTTCCAGGAAACATGAAGGCGCCAATAACCACCAATCTTCAGCAGGAATGCTACCGGCTCATCCTGGAATCGACCGACAGAATAGCGGCCACAGTATGAATATGAGCTCGATCGCCGGTACTGGATACGATGGTCCGGGACTAAGGCATCGTGCGTCATTTGCTTCGATCGACTCCTCGAGCTCCAGTGTTCTTTCAAAGTCACCTGTATCCACTATCACGTCCAATACAATGGTCAGCATCAATGGGCCTTCTTCAGCATCAACCACAGCCATCGCGATGAGTTCGGATGATGACGGCGGCAACGACACAGAGAAGATTCCGACCACAACCATCGAAGGACATGCATTGTCGTCTGTGTCGACCCCAGTACCGATGTCTCTTCTTAACTGTCGTTGCGGGATCTGTTCGAGAAGTCTTGCACCCCAGAACGCCGTCTACCGCTGCGAAGGATGTTCTCTTTATGTACACGCGGGATGTATCGAAGAGCTACTATATCCATGTGTCCCTCGAGGATTCGATGAGTCGGGTGTTTGCTGGAGCGTGCTGCAGATGTGGGCTGGTCTTATGAAGGGCTATCGATCGGGCATCGTGGCTAGTGTGCCCATGAACCACCAATCGAATCATCAGCATAATCATCAGCAACAGCAGTTCCATGCACCAAACCGCAGCCCTCGCAGACACAGCCACGCGAAGCAGCTATCGAACGCTGGGAGTGAGGTAGAGCGAGATGGCCGGGATCGACTATCCTGGGCAAGCTTCCAGAGATGGACAGGGCGGAATGGGAACGGAACAGGCAGCAATGGCAATGTCAAGGCCGGTTCATTTTCCCCGCCCAACCGTGCCTCGGCCAGCATGGAACAACTTCATCAGCAACCGCACACATCTCCACAACGTTCGAATACCATGACTCAACCATCGACGCGGCCACGGAAGGGTACCACCAGCAGTGCACATAGCGCACATAGCACACATAGCGATTTCGTGGCCTTTCACAAGGATACGTTTATGAAAGGAGTCGATAAGGAAGCGAAGGCAAGTGCGAAACTTGGACCGTGGGTTAACGTCGCTTTTGAGATGTCGTTTTGTTTGTTGAGGAGCTGTGCTGACACGTATCGTTTCAATTCCGTCCGTAATGCTTTTTTACGTACAGCCATTTATGTCTGCATTCACAGAGTCGCAGGCGTTTGCCCAATTTATCCAGGATCGAATGGATCGCTCGCCCGGCGATCCAGAAATTATGTTTTTCGATGAAGTGATTAAGGCCAAGATTAATCGCTCCCGGTTCAGGATCGGCAAGGAGGATACAAAGTTTTTGGACGTAAGGAAAAAAAGAAAAAGAAAGAGAAAAAGAAAAAGGATATTCTACAGCATGAGGATGCACAGCATTGGTAGCGATATTAATTTACTCCGCAACGAACTGACATTTTTTGTTTTCTCTTACATTTGGTAGGATCCAAGCTATGGAGTTCAGGGAACTGTCAAGGCTCCTCTACCCTCAGGCGAGATCCAAATTCATGGTAAGAGCCTTTTTTTTTTTTCGCGATATACTCTTGAGGATCCCCACTGGAATGCGCACAACCCCCGCTAACGAAAGCCATATCTACATATCTTATCCTTCATTTCTTTGCATTTGTAGATAATGATGAACGACGATTCCCTACCAAGTTGGACCCAGCATATCTTTAGAATATGTATTTATTAAATACCATGATGGGTAAAAAAGAATAAATGGATCGTCGTCGCAGAACTGGTTCCTTGCTACTGGTTGTTTCGCGAACATGTACATGACCGATTCGGATGTATAAACAAGTCATCAATGAAAGGCTCCTTAGTTCGGATAGCACCCCAGCACTGGCGTTTATCACACAGAGGAAGCATGGCGAATTTACCAAAGCCATGTACTGTAGGATGGTTCGAACCCATTGCAGGGCCCTGGATCTGGAGAGTGTGTATCAGAGAGAGCCATAGGCAGGTGCACTGCCGAGTGAAGTACAATGAGGAAGAGAAAGCTCGTAGTGCGGGCATGGACGAATGATTCTCTGGATATGGTTTCATGATTTGTGCTTTCTCCACTTCCAAGATAATCCAATAATATCTTCAAGATCCGTGGTACTTAAAATAACATTAACGCGACTGCAACGGCCAAGAGCGCGGAAACAAAAAGAAAAAAGGCCGCCAAAACGGCCGCTTTCTAGTGCGACAGCCGTGTGTTTCCGGAAAGGGATGATGATTGGAGAGATGCGATGCGAAGGAGTCATAGGTAATGGTTCTCGAGGGGCTTAATGTAATAAGGCCCGGGGACCGATGATCTCCACAAAAGAGCGTTGAGGGGCTTATGTGGGCAAAGCGGAAGAAAAAAAAACTTAGAAAGGGCGCTGAATGAGAGCCGTGCTACCATTACTACAGGGGGGCGTGGAAAGAATCACGAGTGAATGCTCATAAATGGAACTGAATTTGTACTTCTTCTTCCCCACACTCGACCGCATCTTCTTTTCTCTCTCTCTTCACCCTCTACTCCTTCTCCTTCCTCCCCTCCCCACTCCATTCCTTCCCTCGCATACCCCTCCCTCATACCCGTGTGCACCATGACCCTGACCATCGTTCTCCAGCAGGCTCGCCGTGGTGCTGCCAAGGTAACGGAACATGCGTCATAGCATCGTGTGTCTTCATTTTTGTTCCCACGGCTCAACTGCGCCTACATGCCTTCGGAAAGCTCACTTTGGACATTCAGAAAATGACGTCCGTTGAGTCTGATCCTCAACTGCCCTCGTCCAAAGGAACAAAGAAGCAGTGCCTGTGGTGGGCGAGCAGCGATTCGCGTTCAAGGCAGATGCATGGAGGAATCAGTTTTCTCATTGCTCAGGGCAAGCTTTCAGGGACCTCCAAAACTAAAACGGTCTTTTCATTTTTTGTTCCATATTTTTTTTTTTCTCCAGCAAGTGACAATTGCCACTTTCACAACGACTTTTGGTCGCCAATTCTCGACATTCCGCCCTCTGTTCAAGCAAGCGGATGGTGAGGTCGAGAACTTGAGCAAGGTCTTCCCCTCGGCAGAAGAGGCCGTCAAGGACATTCCCTCAGGATCAACCTTGATGGTCGGAGGATTCGGATTGTGCGGTATTCCCGAGAACCTGATCGCAGCCCTCAAGAAGCGCTCCTCAGACTGCAAGGACCTCACTGTTGTCTCCAACAATGCCGGTGTCGATGATTTCGGTCTCGGACAGTTGTTGCGCACCAAGCAGGTTCGTGTTTCCCTTTGTTATTTTTGTTTTTGGGGGCAGGGATGCAAGATGTAAATCGAGAGGATGTGCGTTCTCCTAAAGTGTAAAAAAAAACTAACTAACCACCACTTGTGTTGTTACTGTCGCTCCTTCTTGGCATACTGCCGCTTAGATCAAGCGAATGATCAGCAGTTATGTGGGTGAAAACAAGGAGTTTGAGCGCCAGTACCTCTCCGGTGAGCTGGAGGTTGAACTGACCCCTCAGGGCACCTTGGCAGAGCGTGTCCGTGCCGGTGGTGCTGGAATCCCCGCTTTTTACACCCCCACCGCATATGGAACTGAAGGTAAGCAGATATCACGGCCATTTTTATCATTGGTTCCTTGGTCCCCAACATCAAAGAGCACTCTCCTTTTGTACCTACTGTTTTCTCCTCTCACACGAGGAAGTCATTTTGATGCCTGGACTATGCGCATGTTGTCATGCATGCTAATCTCTTTTTGTATCTTTTGTTGGCTGAATAGTTCAAACCGGCGAGCTGACGATCAAGTACAGCCCTGACGGCAAGACTCTTATTCGCAGCAAGCCCAGAGAGGTGCGCGAGTTCAATGGCCGCAAGTACATCATGGAGGAGGCCCTTCTTGGAGACTACTCGCTCATCAAGGCCTGGAAGGGTGATGCCTACGGTAATTTGATCTTTAAGGGATCTGCCATGAACTTCAACCCCGTTATGGCGAAGGGCTCTAAGAACTGTATCGCCGAGGTGAGTGGCAAAAAAAAAATTGGGGATTATATTTTGTTTTTGCTGATGTGCATGAGGTGAACACGAACTAACTATAACAATTTGACATTCCACGCGTTAGGTCGAAGAGATCGTTCCCGTCGGCTCATTGAAGCCCGAGGACGTCCACCTGCCCGGCATCTTTGTCAAGCGCATCATTCAGGGCAAGAGCTACGAAAAGAGAATCGAGCGCCTGACCTTGACACAGGATAAGCCCGTCAGCGTCTCTGGCGACTCCGCTATCCCAGACGTGAAGGACGAGGCTGCTCGCCGTCGCGAAAAGATCGTCCGCCGTGCGGCTAAGGAGTTCAAGAACGGCATGTACGTCAACTTGGGTATCGGTATGCCCATGCTTGCCTCCAACTACCTGGAGAAGGGCGTTAATGTCCATCTCCAGAGCGAGAACGGTATCTTGGGCTTTGGTCCCTTCCCCAAGCCTGGTGAGCAGGACCCTGATATGATCAATGCTGGCAAGGAAACCATCACACTCCTGCCCGGCGCCTCGCTGTTCTCGAGTGATGACTCATTCGCCATGATCCGTGGATCGCACGTTGACCTGACCATTTTGGGAGCCCTTCAGGTCTCTGCCAGGGGTGACCTCGCCAACTGGATCATTCCCCGCAAGATGGTCAAGGGTATGGGTGGTGCCATGGATCTTGTTGCCAGCCCCGGCACCCGTGTCGTGGTCACAATGGAGCACTTGGCCAAGGGCGGCAAGCACAAGATCTTGGAGGACTGCTCGCTGCCCCTGACTGGTGTTGGCTGCGTGGACAGAATTATTACGGACCTGTGTGTGTTCGATGTCAAGGACGGCAGCCTTGTTCTGACGGAATTGATGGAGGATGTCTCTGTAGACGATGTCAAGCGCGGCACTGGGGCCTCCTTCAAGATCTCACCGGATCTGATTCAGAACTAAAATGCACTCCACTTGTAGATAACCAAAAATAAAATCGCAGTTTTTCAGAAAAAGGAAAATCATAGAAAAAAAAAAGTTGGTAAGAAACGCAAAAGGAGAGGGGGCAACAGGATCCACCAATCAAATGGAGAAATGCAGTAGGGAAAAATGGTGAGGACGTGCAGTTAGGGAGAGAAGAGGCGCGCCACGGCCCTTGTGCAGGTAGAGAGAGGCGAAGCGACAGAACTGCATGGAAAACTGACGAATTCTCTCGAACACCAGTCGACCAGTGGCGAAGGCGGCCTTGGACTCTCATGCGTCGCATAAATATCGCCCTTGCCCCCCCGGGGATGAAGGAATTATCTCTCTTTCTCTCCACCGAACCACTCCCCTCATTCCCACCACCACTCTCTCTCTCTCTTCTCTCGCCCACTCTTCAACCTTCGCCCCCACTCTCAAGAAGATCGCAATCTCATAATCCACACCTCCGTATCACACACACCGCAGCACATCATGTCGACCGAAACCTTCTCTTTCCAGGTAAGTAATTTCAAACCACGTTGTAATAAAAGGCTCACACCTCATTGCCTGAACTGCACATTCTGACCGCTGCGTATATTGTAAAAAAAAAATGTCTATTAGGCTGAGATCTCGCAGTTGATGAGCTTGATCATCAACACCTTCTACTCGAACAAGGAGGTCTTTTTGCGTGAGCTGGTCTCCAATGCTTCCGATGCCCTCGACAAGATCCGTTACGAGGCCTTGACCGATCCCTCCAAACTCGACTCAGAGAAGGAGCTCTACATCCGTATCACCCCCGACAAGGAGAACAAGATCCTCTCGATCCGCGATACCGGTATCGGTATGACCAAGGCTGATCTCGTCAACAATCTTGGTACCATCGCCAAGTCCGGTACCAAGGCTTTCATGGAGGCTCTCAGCAGTGGTGCCGATATCTCCATGATTGGTCAGTTCGGTGTCGGTTTCTACTCTGCCTACTTGGTTGCTGAGAAGGTCCAAGTCATCTCAAAGCATAACGATGACGAGCAATACATCTGGGAGTCTGCCGCCGGTGGTTCCTTCACTATCACCCGCGATACCGTCAACCCTCCTCTGGGTCGTGGTACTGAGATGCGCCTTTTCATGAAGGAGGACCAGCTCGAGTACCTCGAGGAGAAGAAGATCAAGGAGATCATTAAGAAGCACTCCGAGTTCATTGGCTACCCCATCCAGCTCGCTGTCGAGAAGGAGACCGAGAAGGAGGTCGAGGACGACGAGGAGGAGGTCAAGGAGGGCGACGCCAAGATCGAGGAGATCGAGGACGAGGACGAGAAGAAGGAAAAGAAGAAGAAGACCATCAAGGAAAAGAAGATCGAGAATGAGGAGCTTAACAAGACCAAGCCCCTCTGGACCCGCAACCCCGAGGACATCACCAACGAGGAGTATGCAACCTTCTACAAGTCCTTGACCAACGACTGGGCCGACCATATGGCCGTCAAGCACTTTGCCATTGAGGGTCAGCTCGAATTCCGCGCCATCCTCTTTGTCCCCAGCCGCGCTCCCTTCGACATGTTTGAGACCAAGAAGAAGCGCAACAACATCAAGTTGTACGTCCGCCGCGTCTTCATTATGGACGACTGCGAGGACCTCATCCCTGAATGGCTCAATTTCATCAAGGGTATCGTGGATTCTGAGGATCTTCCTCTGAACATCTCACGCGAGATGCTCCAGCAGAACAAGATTCTCAAGGTTATCCGCAAGAACCTGGTCAAGAAGTGCCTCGAGATGTTTGCCGAGATTGCTGAAGACAAGGAGCAGTTCACTAAGTTCTATGAAGCCTTTTCTAAGAACATCAAGTTGGGTGTCCACGAGGATGCCCAGAACCGTGCCAAGTTGGCTGACTTGCTCCGCTATCATTCTACAAAGGCGAGGGATGAGATGACTTCGCTCAAGGACTACATCACACGCATGCCCGAGAAGCAGAAGAACATCTACTACATCACCGGCGAGTCCCTCACGGCTGTCGAGAACTCGCCCTTCATCGAGGTCTTGAAGAAGAAGGGCTTCGAGGTCCTCTTTATGGTCGACCCCATTGACGAGTACGCTATCGCTCAGCTCAAGGAGTACGACGGCAAGAAGCTGGTCTCTGTCACTAAGGAGGGACTCGAGCTCGAGGAGGACGATCAGGAGAAGGCTGCTCGTGAGGCCGAGGAGAAGTCGTACGAGGGTCTCTGCACACAGATCAAGGAGATCCTTGGCGACAAGGTCGAGAAGGTTCTGATCTCGAACCGTATTTCCGAATCGCCCTGCGTCCTCGTCACCGGTGCCTTTGGCTGGTCCTCGAACATGGAGCGTATCATGAAAGCACAGGCCTTGCGTGACTCTTCCATGTCATCGTACATGGCCTCAAAGAAGTCACTCGAATTGAATCCCAAGAACCCCATCATCAAGACGCTCAAGGCTAAGGTCGATGCGGACAAGAACGACAAGACGGTCAAGGACTTGACGTTGTTGATGTACGATGTTGCTTTGATTGTTTCTGGCTTCAGTATCGAGAAGACGGATGTGTTTGCCGACCGCATCAACCGCATGATCAAGCTGGGCTTGGCCATTGACGAGGATGATGAGGAGACCTCGACCTCGGACATGCCTGCCCTCGAGTCTGAGGACAGCCACGCCGAGCCCTCTGAGATGGAGGAGGTCGATTAAAGACCGTGAACAACTTTGCTTTTCTCCGGACATACAGATCTTTCTTTTTTTTTTTTTTCAACACATCTTCATTGCCCGCAAAAAAACAATGTCCTCCCCTCATACTCTGTAATTAGCAATAGCACAATCCCTTTCGAAGAACAAAATAAATGCAAGCATACAATGTGACAAAAAGAAACGAGAGAATCTTTCGATGGATTCACAATAAGGGTGGGCTTGTATTTTTCTATTCGGGTTCAAGTCTCCCTATGTCTTTGCCACTAAAAGGACTGGAAGGTGATTTTGCCACCAAAAAAAAAAAAAAAAAAAAAAAAAAGGTCTAACAGCGCAGCGTGAATCAGAACAAGACAACACTATGTAGAATAAAGACGGAAACATTTGTTTGAGAAAGAAGAAACCATGTTCTTGTTCGCGGGGAATACGGAACCCCACACTTTTAACGTGCGACTGAGTGACCCAATGAACGATGGGGCCGGAAGGGTATTTTGTTGCCTGGTCCGTGGCCTGACAAAGGACTAAATAAGCAAAGTGGGGTAGATGCAGGCAGGCAACTAGACTAAGCATCCCTCGGATCGATTGCAATTAAGGGCACAGCAGGAGGATCACTGTAGGAGTGAGTCTCCCTGGATAGGGAGGCGCATTTACGGAGGGGAGCGATATCCGATCGATCCGTAGCTGCACATGTACTGTATTGCCTTCCAGTCGAGGTGGATAAATTCAGTCCGGCGGGTGATCGCACTGCAGAAGGTTGGGTCCATCTTCATATGGGAGGAGCACAGGAGCAGTGCAGCGAATCAGGGGCCAGGAACAGCCTACGGCAATCCGGCCTCGGAAACGCTGTCTATTTGCTCGTCGTCGGTGCCTCTCTCGGCGGAGGAAGGAAGCCCATCGATCTCTCTCTCCCCACCGAGGTCTCCGGGGGAGCATTGGCTGCTCCACCAATTGATAAAAGGGAACCCACCCTACCCTCTCCTCCTCCTCTTCTTTTTTTTTTTTCTACTTCTTCCTCATCCCTCATTCCCGCCATTGACATCTCTTCATTCCATCGCTTTTCTTTTGTTCATTTAAAGGAATCAATTGTCTGTGTTACCGTCTTGTCAGACCTTCCTGTTTCTTAGCCCGTACCTGTTACATCATCACACTCCCCCCCCCCTCTATTTCTGATCTGACCTTCACATAACCCACACATCTCTCTCACACACACACTCTCTCTCCCCCACTCACACATACAACTATATCTAATGTCTGCCCTTCGCTTCCCCGACTTGGCCCCCTCAGAGCCCCAGGGCAGCGATCTCCTCGCCCAGGAGCGCGCAAAGACCACCTTCTCCGTCCACGATCTGTCCAACTACCTCTATGGTGAGGAATACCTCCAGCGTCAGGAAAAGATGCTGACCCTGATCGAGAACGAGCCCGCCTTCGACAAGTCGGACCGCTACTTCCTCGGCCGCACCGAGCGCTTTGCCGGTGCCCTGAGGAAGGACTACGCGCTCGTCAAGCTGTCACAGGAGCAAGGATGGACCCCAGAAGAATTCCAGCAGGCCGATATTCTCATTGACGAGCCCGGTCCATTTGGTCTGCACCGTGGTATGTTCATGCCCACGCTCGTCTCCCAGGGCACAGAGGAGCAGCAGGAGAAGTTCTTGAAGCCCGCTCTTAGATACGAAATCATTGGCTGCTATGCCCAGACCGAGATCGGACACGGATCCAACGTCCAGGGCATCGAGACCACAGCAACCTACATCCCCGAGACGGACGAGTTTGAGATCCACACTCCTTACCTGACTGCGAGCAAGTGGTGGATCGGAGGACTTGGCAAGGCTGCCAACCATGCCGTCGTCATGGCTCGCTTGATCACTGCTGGCAAGGACTTCGGCCCTCACGCTTTCTGCGTCCCCATTCGCTCCATGGAGGACCATACCTTGCTCCCCGGTGTCATGGCTGGAGATATTGGTCCCAAGTTTGGGTAAGTTTTTTTAGGACAAACGGCTCGGTCAACAAGGGCGGGAACAATTTATTTTACGATGCAGGGGAAAGAAGCACGTGGCTCTCTATTTTTGCGTTGTTATTGACATCCGCAATGATGAAATCTACCAGCCATTTCAGTTCCCCCAACCCGCAGATTGGTGCATAGCCCCTTTCATCGGATCATGTCTCTCATAAACTAACCATGTACTGCCATTTTTTTATGATACAGTTACAACACTACCGATAACGGCTGCATGTGGTTCGATCACTACCGTGTCCCTCGCATCTCGCTCTTGGCTAAGTATTCGAGCATCAAGCCCGGCTCGGGCGAGTACGTCAAGCCCCCCAACTCAAAGCTGTCGTACGGTACCATGGTTCTCATTCGCGCCTCCTTGGTCGGATATGCCCGCATCGGACTCGCCAGGGCCGTGACGATTGCCACCCGCTACTCGGCGATCCGTCGCCAGTTCGTTGACAAGGATTCGCCAAAGAAGATGGGCAAGCAGGTGATCGAGACCCCTGTCCTCGACTACTCGATGCAGCAATACCGCCTCTTCCCCATCATCGCCGCCGCATACGCCTGCCACTTCACCAGCAAGGAGATGATGCGTCTTTACTACCTGAACATCAAGAACATGGCCTCTGGCAACTTCTCGCTCTTGGCCGATGTCCACGCCTCCAGCTCAGGACTCAAGTCGCTCACCACAACCATGGCCGCGGCTTCGATCGAGGAGTGCAGACGTGCCTGCGGTGGTCACGGTTTCTCGTCCTTCTCAGGTCTTCCTCTGCTGTTGCAGGACTATGCTCCCAACGTCACCTGGGAGGGCGACAACTACATGATCACACAGCAGACTGGTCGCTACCTGTTCAAGTCCTTCCGTGACCTCATCGCCAAGCGCGCCTCGGGCAAGTTCAACGCTAGCTCGATCACCAACCCCACGCTCGCCTACCTCAACACCTACCTCGACAACCCCAACCTCAAATGCCCCGCCACTAGCCCTGCTCAGTTCCATAATCCCGAGATCCAGCTGGCCGCATACGGTCACCGCGCCGCCCACATGATTGCTGAGGTCGTCCACGGCCTTGATGTTGAGAAGCGCTCATGGAACTCTATGTTGGTCGATATCTATAACGCCTCGGTTGCTCATTGCCAGTTGATCCTCGTCCAGAACTTCATCCTCGGTATCCGTGGCGATATGCCCCAGCCCGAGGGTGTTGCCGCCCTTGCTCTCTCGCCCACTGCGAAGGAGGCCCTCACAGATCTGTCGGATCTGTTTGCACTCCATCAGATCCACAAGCAGCCTGGCGAGTTCTTGACCTCGGGCTATATCGATGCCAAGCAGGTGTCGATGATGGGTAAGGCGATCATGGATGTGATGGAGCACAAGATCCGTCCCAATGCGGTTGGTTTGGTCGATGCGTTTGCGTTCCCAGATTACTACCTCAACAGTGCATTGGGTCGCTTTGACGGAAAGGTGTATGAGGCCTACACGGAGATGGCAACGAGGGAACCGATCAACCAGACAGAGGTTGTTGATGGTTATGAGAAGTACATCAAGCCCTTCACGAACCCTCTTGGAAAGCAGGGCAAGACTATCCAGGCGCGTCTGTAAAGAAAAAAAAAAAAAAACGCCTTTTTCTTTTCTTTTCTTTTCTTTTGTAAAAAATAATCCGATCATAGACAAATACAGCGCATAGACTAGCAATAGAACTTCAAAAACATACCACCATGAACGTGCTTTTTTTTTTTTTTTTTTTTTTTTTTTTTTTTTTGGAAAAAGCAGTTGTCTACGCGTTTTTGACTGCGGACTCGATCGATCGCAGGGCCTAGGACTGCTGGTTATCATTATTTACGTCTTACTATATTGCCTAGGCGCTTTGACCCTTATTATCAGATGAACATGCGTCCAAACGCGCAGCGCCGTCAGTGGCACGAACATTAAGAAGATAGGGGAAAGGGGAGAGGAGGAAGGGGAGGGAGGGATCGATGGCACCACAGCGTATTACACGTGAAAATGGTTAGCTTAGCTGTTAAAAGGTATCTCTGTTTATATAGTGTAGATCCAAGGAAGACTCGGTCTCCGTAATATTGCAAAGACAGCGACGAGATAGTTTTTGACTAGTTCCATCGGACATTCAATAAAACTTGCATGAAGGGCGCCCCAAATGCATTTCTTCTAGGGTTCATATAGTCGACGCGACGCGACGCGTGCTGCAGCAGTCGTATCTAAAGTGCGGTTAGATTTGTAAACACCCTCCCCCTTCCTCTCTCTCTCTCCTCTCTTCAAAGTTGGGGCCATCCCGCGTTGGCTGTGGCATTTGCATGCAGGCCATTGCATGCAGGCAAATTAACAGACAAATCGGCTTTTCAGAAACACTCCAATGTTTCCATCACACGCGTCCTGAAATCCTTCGCCCCCATCCATTCTTTTTCTCCAGTTGGGGGGAGGTGGGGGAGGGGAGGCCAGATGTAGGGGGTGGGGGTGGGGTGGGAGTACATATTTCAAAGGAGCCTGGAAAGGGTCGAGTGCATGAAATATGTTATTCATGCAGTGAAACCTTTGCCCCCACCAAGAGTTATCCTCTCCACTGGTAGTACAAAAAGAGAAATGACGGACACGCATGGGGATTTTCTCCACAGACGGAGGAGAACGAGAGTCCGATGGTGCTCGTACCTGTATCTGTGCCTGCACCCGAGCGCCGGGTTCGGCTCGGTGGATGATCCGATGGGGGGGGGGGGGGGAAGGGCAATACATGATGAATATGCGACCGATGTCAGTGACTACGGACATGGTTATCGCGTGTCAATATCGTCACGAAAAAGCGGGACCTCTGAGTAGACTACTCACATCTCGCTCCACATCATTGTTGCCATGGATTCATGTAAACGTGAGGCGCATAAATATGCTAAGCACGCATAAGCACGCGCTCCACCTACGTATCTCCTGCAGCGAGAGAGCAAAGAGGTGTTCCCAATTGTGTGGGAACAATAAATGTTGAAAAAAAAAAGGTCAGCGCGGTGGCCGTCGCTGTTTAATGTTGTCGCCTAATGTTGTTCCATGCACGTACTCTTCTAGCGTATATTTGCTGTTTGATGTTATTATCTTTTTTATCTTTTAGCGCAATAAATTCAAAGGTTCGCTCGCTGCCCTGTGACCTTCCCCCGACGTCAAACACCCTTCCATCGTTCCGTGGTTCCCAAGCAAAGAAAAAACAATCGCGTGAAATTTAGATAAACTGATGTTAAATTATTTGTCTACGCGCTGTACACTTGTATACACAAAACTCGCCTTCGGCATCATCCTGCGTATACAGCTGATTTGATACATGCAAGAGCAGTGGAGGGATGTTTTAAGAGCATGTGGAGCGGGATGGATATGGACGCAAAATGGAGATCATGCGGTTGCAGGTATCCACAGGATCTCGTCTCCTTTCGTCGTAGTTATCGCGCGCATGCGAAAAAAAAAAAATGGATGCTTTTGGCGAAGCCATCAATTCCATGTGGGGGTAAGATGCTCTGGCGTAAGGAAAGGAATTTACATGTACCTTCGCCTAGATACGATCCACAATGGTCGAGTGAAGGATGTACCATGGTTCCTGTACATGCATCTTGTACTATATCGCTTACAAACATGCATGGCTGCAAACGAGTGAATAGTCTATACAGCAGTTCGGCGTTCCCACTCCGGTCTCTCGGGAAACACTTTACAGGATCTTTGATATCTCTGGAATGGTGAACATAGTGAGACGTTGATGTGCAGACTTTTTTCTGTGAGACTGGTTGCATGGAGGTAAAAGTATAGCGGGGAGGAGGAGGAGTACTTAGGCCTAGATTGGCAGTGATAACCATTTGGGAACTCCGTTGGCGGCGACGAACTAATAGATGGATACACCGTTTTTTTTGATTTTTGTTTTGACAGGAAAGAATTATCTACGCTATTGACACACGCATCATCTGGGCTCAATGCCTCTTCCCATGCCATCCTCTGCGTTGATTTGATTTACTCAATTGAGCCATAAAAATCGGCGACGAGGATTGGCATATGAAACTCACGATAGACTATTGCGGCCGTGACAGAGAAATAGGTTTATGGTATAGTCTAGCAATTAATGATATCGGGGGGTCATGGCGTCGAAAAACTACAGACGCTTGATGGACTCAAGTCATGTAACGCGACGGGGTTCCTTAGCATCAATATAAAGATGGGGGCAGTAGGAGTTCACGCAGAAGGAATTATTGTGGGGTGTAGGCAGCCGACATGGGGATCACCTAAGAGGGGACGGTACCTCGAGCGAGATACCCGCGAGATGCATGCATCCCTCTCTCCCCCTACTCCGCTCATCCCACACTTCTGGTTTTTCTCTCTCTTGCTCCACAGGTGCACAATATCGCTGCTCCTAATTGCCTGTTACGTGTGCTGCTGACATTTTTCACGATATGTACTCCTTTGTCGTAGAGAATACTCTCTCCCTCGTGTACGACCCGGTCCCTTATGCTCTCTCCTTTCCTTTTTTCTCTCGCGTCTTTCACGTTCACTCTCTCGTCCTCATGCTCACAGTTGTTGTTGTCTTCGTCATCAGTCAAGCTGCAGCAGACATGTTTCTATCGCCATCATCTCCGATGGAGCTGGGCCTTTACGAGGAGTGGTACAAAATCTCTCTAGGCCTCAGGAGACCCTTTTAATGTATACAATAAAATACCCTGTGTTCTGCATTAGTCTCTCAACAGGGCTACTGAATTTTCACCGACGGAATTTGATGCGCTGCTTAATTCAGTTGGCTCGTTAATGTTGATCACAGACACAAAGGTAACTCTTGGTTTTGGTTCCTGCATACAATCTACAGTCTACATGCCATTCTGCATTCCCCGATCATGCGCCAATGGAAGTGAAGGTGCGAACCAGGCTGCCGCTCTCAGCCCATTTCCCTCTGTATATTTGTAAACGTTTGTGCTTGTACTCAATACTCTGCATAATATCCTCCTCTATCCTCGGCACTCCAGACAGTTGCTTGTGTATATTTCCCTCTCCCTCCATACTACAGCTTTGCTCATCCCCTCCACAACGTTTTATCCTCCGTGTAGTACATGCACTCTCCTTCACAGTTCCCCTCGCACACTCAAATGCTCTCCAGCATAGAGGGCAAGGGTGTGTAAAAAACTGTTTAAATACCACCATCCCCTCGCGCTCGTTTTCTGTTTTTTGTTCCTTGTCGATTCTGGTACCTGACATCCTGACCCATTCCTCCTCCTTCCCCTTCCCTCCCTCCCTCCTATCCTTCCGCACCCTTGCGCGCCTGGGAAATTCCTTCCCCTTCTCCTCTACGTTGTATATAGTCAATCAACTCCTTCAATTTAACCTTCTAACGGTCGTACTCCTTCCCATCAAGTCCCTGTATATAACATAACATTTCACACATCATGAAGCTCTCGTTCTCTGCCCTGTTCACTGCTGCAGCCACAGCTGGTCTGTTCACGCTCTCATCCATGGTCAAAGCTGCGGCTATCCCCGCTGCTGGGCATTCTCCTGTCGCTGTCGCAACGTTGCCGACACACAGTTTCGAGAAGCGCAGCATTGCCGGGATCAACAACTTTAACTGCAAACTCACGCCCAAGCACCCACGTCCTCTCTTGCTCGTCCACGCGACATTGCTGACTATGGATTCATGGTGGACTTTTGCGCCCCATCTGATCAAGGAGGGCTACTGTGTGTTCGCGTTGACGTATGGTCGGTACGATAACATCCCCTTCGTCGGAGGGATCGCCCCGGTGGCGGACGCGGCCCAGGAGGTCGCGACGTTCGGGGAACAGGTCCTGCAAAAGATGAATGCCACGGAGCTGGATTATGTGGGCCATTCGCAGGGAGGCATCTTGGGAAGGTATTGGGCCAAGTATCTGGGTGGTGCTAATAAAATCAACAGGTAAGCGAGGGGAGAGGCACCGTTTGAATAATACGATGGGCGGAATGCGCGGTTTTTATTTTTGTGTAAATTTGTTCCTGAAGATCCTTGTTAACCTTATTTTTTTATTCTTTTTTTTTTTTTTTTTTTTTTTTTTCTCGTTGTAACGATAGACTGGTTGGTATCTCGCCCATTAATCACGGCACGACCCTCAGTGGAATCACGACCATCGCCCAAGCCTTGAAGATCTTTGCACCTGCTGAGCCCATCTTTGACAGTTTCGCTCCTTCCTTCTATGACTTGGGTAAGCCATTCTTTTTCCCTTCAGATTCCAAGGGCTCATAAACCGCCGAATTTTATTTTCTTTGAAAAACCGCGTGTTTTTTTTTTTTTTTTTTGTCTCCTGTTTCGTCGTCGCTCACATAATCCAAACACTTTTTTTTTTTTTTTTTTTTTTTTTTTTCTCAGTCGATACCTCGCCCTTCATCGCAAAGCTGAACGCTGGCGGCGACACAATCCCGGGTGTGATCCACTCCAACATCGCGACAAAGTACGACGAGGTCGTTACCCCTTACAAGACCGCCTTCCAGAACGGAGCCACCAACACGGTTCTCCAGGACCTTTGCATGCTCTCCATCAACGAGCACTGTAAGTCTTTTTCGAACATGAGGAAGGAAAAAAAAAAAAAAAGATGCAAACAAACACGCGTCTGACACCGATGTTGACTATTGGATTGCTTTTTTTTTTTTTTCTTATTTTCCGCGTGGGCCCCCTCTTCACCCAATAGTGACCATCATCAACTCCTTCGTGGTCTTGCGCTGGGTCATGAACCAGCTCGACCCCGTCAACGCCAAGAGCGCAAGCTGTCTGTCCTTGCTCTCCTTTGCCTAAGTTCAAGCCCCCCCAAACGAGACCTTCCATAGGTAGTTTTTTTTGGAAAATTGGAGTTTGTAGGAGGATGAACATTACCTGTATTTACAACATACCCAATACCCCCCCCCCTCGCCCTCTTTCTGTTCTTCATTTCCTTCTCATTTTGCCGGTCGTCTACTCTGATCTACTCTACCATTATGGTTGTCCACTTACGATTCCCAAGTAAATAAATATAAAAAAAATTGCATTAAAACCAATAGTCCTTCATTTGGCATATATTCGTGGTTCCGCTGCAGCGTACCAAGTCAATACATATACGTCGAAGCTCGGGCCTGTGGTTGGACATACGTTACTAGCCTAATAAAGGATCCCTAGCCCCTATAACACCGCAGAGGGATATTTTACAGATCCTCCTTTTGCATCTCGAAAGGGACTATTAGGTCGCGACGCCTTTTTTTAATGCAGAGAGAAGCAGTCGATCCCAGAAATATCGACGCGCAGGCAGAGAGAACAGACACAAAGCGACAAAGAAGCAAAGGCACTTGGCCCCCATGTCAATTGGCAAAGACATTGATTGGGCCCCACACACATACATACAGCAAACACAGAAAAAATAGCGCTCATAGAGCAAGCACTGTTTTTCATAGACAAACAAGACCATGAACAAGGATCCCAAGAGCATCGCCCTTCCATACATACATACATACATACATAGCCTTAACCTCCAAAGGCGGCTTTATGGTATGCAGTGGTGTGAGTCCACTGGTCCCCCCCCCCCCATCCCCCATCCCCCTCATCAGCGTTCTCTAGACGATAAGGCGCCTCCCCTCTGGGTAGTCAGCTGTGGGCATGGGCGAAGCAGCAAGAGGAGATGCGATAGGATTGACCAATGAGCGTGCGAGAAACCAAAGCACAAGCATAGACACACATACTGGCACAGACACACACACTCACACTGGCACAGACATCGCTCACCCTCACGGGCTAGGAGGAGCACACGATGGGGAGGAGTCCCATGGAGCAGGATGATCACTGACCAAGGACCCCAAATACACTAGACGTACTATTTTTTTTTTTTTTATTTTTTTTGGTCTTTAATGGCGGTTTTTTGTTTGTTTTGCAAGGCAAAAACGGCTAATAGTTACAAGGCTGGCAACACAATTACTGGTACACGGTGTGGACAGGAAATAAGAACATCAAGATACAAAAAAAAAAGAAAAATGGTAATAAAAAGCAATAAAAACTTCAAGTCTCTTGCTTCGTCTCTTTTTTTTTTTTTCTGTAAGTCATCTAGAAAGAAAGAAAGAAAAAACAGAAACAAGAACACGTCCTTAAACAGCCATGACAGGCGACTCCTGACTAAGAGCCGGTGCCTCTGCTGGGTGCTGCTTGGCCCGACGGTTCAACAGGGTGGCTTGATTCATGTTCAACTCAAATCCTGCACGGCGACGACGCGACGACGATGTGGTCGAGGTTGACCCCACTGTCGATGCAGAGGTCGATGTGCTCATCGTATTACCACTCTTGGAGGGTCCGACCTGGTTGCTGCGCACAGCACCCGACAGCGTGTTCGATGACGCTGACGCCGCAGGCAAAGTGTGCTGAGCGGGTATCGAATGTCCAGCTTGTTGCTGCTGCTTCAGGTACTTTTGGTGGTTCCGTGCCGCAATGTCCTCCTGAGCCTTCTGGTATTCCTGTTGCTGTTGCTGGAGCAACACTCTCAACTCTTGCGCCTTCTGGTCTTCCTCAGTGTTATTGACGTTGGTGTCTTCCTGAGCCTGTTCGATATTGATCTGCACATCGCTCAATCCAGAAATGATCGCCTCGTCGTCACTCGTCATTGATTCTGTGCCATCAGAGTAAGACGACTGCTCATCCTCCTCGTCCTCCTCGTTCAATTGAGACATAAAGGCCTGGCGCTGACGGGTGGTGGTGTTCAAAGCATCGACTGGATGGAGACCCGAGACCTGCGGTGTATGGCGACGACGAGATTCTTCTTCCATGCGATGGACAGCATTCGAGACATCAAAGACCTCCTTGAGACCAACACCAGGCGACAGTGGGTTCTCTGCTCTACGCTTGTAAGGAGTCTTTGGCCCACCATAGTTGGGCGTCATAGCAGCAACACTAGTCAACAACTTGTTCTCGGGAGCGACGGCGTCAGGGGCTTCCACAGCAATAACAGGAATATCACTGCTTGCAGCTTCGACCACCTCACCAGCCTTGACCCATGGGTGAGCCAAGAACTGATCAATCGTGTAGCGCTCGTTGGGGTTGACGCAGAGCAAATGTGTAATCAGATCCTTAACTATATGAAAAATAATAATAATAGAAGAATATGTCGTTGATAGGTCAATATCATGATAACGACGACTTTGACTCATGGGGACGGAAAAAGAAGAAAGAAAAAAAAACATACCTGATGAAGAGATCTCGTCCCACCAAGGGCTCAGGAAGGTATATTGTCCCCGGGCGACCTTCTCAGTCAAAGCCTGAATGCTCTCATCGTAGAATGGGGGGAAACCGCAAAGGAGGGTGTAAAGGACACAGCCCATGGCCCACATATCGACCGACTTTGAGTAGCGTTCATCTTTGACAATCTCTGGTGCAGTGTAGCCAACAGTTCCGCATGGCGTCATGGTCTGCTCGTTCCACACGACCTTGGACAAACCAAAGTCAGCAATCTTGACACGACCGATTCCTCCTCCTCCAATGCCGGGCTGGAAAATGCCCTCGTCCTCCTTGTCATCTTCATCGGGGCGGGATCCGAGAGGCGAAGGTTTGATGGGAATGGGCTCAAACAAGATGTTTTCGGGTTTGATGTCGCGGTGGATAACACCCTTTTCCTCGTGAAGATAACGGACCGCCTGCGCGACCTGGACAATGACATGGCGAGTCAGCTCCTCCGAAAAGTATGTCAGCTTCACGATGCGGTGGAACAGTTCTCCTCCGGGAGCGAGCTCCAGGACCAAGAAGTAGTGCTCGTTCGATTCCGAGAAGTCGTACAACTCTACGATTCCTGGGTGCTTCAGCTGACGCATAATCTGGACCTCCTTGAGAATATTTGCGCGCTATTAATGATATAGTTTTATAATTTTTTTAAAAAAAAAAAAAAAAAAAAAAAAAAAAAAGTTGAGCGTCAATAAGTCATGGACCTCACCAGGATGGATATGGTACAGAAAGAGGTAGAGGAAAGGAGGAAACAAGCAGCAAAGTGGAAAAAAAAATAGACCAAAGCAATTCCATGTGGTTGATGCTGACCTCTGTGACGCGAGGCTTCTTTTTCATGTCGCGATGCAGATGCTTATTCTGTAGACGCAGATGGTTGCATAGCAGAGGACGGCGGCGATCCATGGCATGGTTACAAGAATGTGAGTATGAATGATTTAAAGCAGGTTGTTATCCATTAACGTGTTCCCGGTTTTCCACGAGTCCAAGCCCTAAGTTTCGTCTCTGTCTCCTCCTGAAAACGAGCAATCACACACAGGGTCTAATTTGCATTCCACTGGTGTGGGCGGTATGAGCAAAAAGAAACCAAAGTGCGAATCAAAAGCAACGTCTTCAGAAAGAGGAAGCGCTGCGTCATCAGAAAAGCACGAATGCCCTCGCCTACTACATAGTCAGTGGCTCCTGCTTCAGTCTAGTCTGACAGGATCGTGTTTCTTGTCCAAGTCCACATGCACTGGCCGTACTTTCGCTCCTCCTCTTCTCCATGTATGAAATAAAAAAACGCACCTGATGGGCATTGAGCTCGAACTTGCGGACGATCTTGACGGCGACCATGCGGTCCATCTTAGTATCATGTGCCTTGTAGACATTACTGAACGCTCCGCTGTTATGCAGGTAAAGACGAGTTGACGCAGAGGTTAGTTACCTATCTGTATGTGGTTATTTAGCGTGTTCGGAGACAAGATCCCGTCCGCGTAGATTGGGTTGAAACCCCGAGCCCCAAAGTGACTAGGTAGACCACACAAAACAAGAAGGGCACAGGCTGACCCGTTTTGTTCAAGATGGGGTTCGCATGAATACAGACCACAAGGATGCTCCTCCATCAGGGTAGGCCTTCTGCTAAAGGGTAGCGATGACGATGGTTTCACTAGTCTGGATGCGGCCCCCCCCTGCTTTTCAGGTCCACATATAATCCCCTTTCATTCTTCCTGCCCCTTTGGTCTATGGTGTTTCGCACTCCCCAAAATTAAATGGAGCAGCGATGATATCATATCGTCATCAGCAATTAAGGACACCACCACCGCTTTGTTCCTGTTGTTGTGCTCTTGGTGCTACAAAGCAAGGAGACAAGGAGAAGGGGTGCATAATCCAGGCCGCCAATCGATTTCTGCTGTATTGCTGTATTGCTGTATTGCTGCATTGTCCCCTTTCCGCTACAAGGAGAGGAAAACAAACAAGACCGTTTGGCCGCTCCCTCTATGACCGCAGCACTGCCCAATGAGTGATCAATCCCATCAAGGACTCTCGTCTGCCGTTACAAACGTCCGTTTTCTGTCCAAAACCTCACATATTCAGGATAGTAGACCCATTTTTTCCAACCTCTTCTTCACCTCAAATAGACCCAATAAGTAAAAAGGAAGGAATAAACCAGAGAAAAAAAACTTGAACTTACTCGCCCATCTTCTCGATCAGTTTGTATCGCTCCAATCCAGGGTACACTGGCATCTTGCTCTTTTGCTGCTTCTCTTCGGCGACAATCCTCGAGGCAGCTTCTGTATTGGAGGCGGCAGTGTTGTAGTTGACATTGTCCTGGGTTTCGGCACTACGGCGCTCTGCATTGTTCGTATTCCTGGACGGTGAAGGGTTTCTGGACCCGCCACGGGATCTGGACTTGATGGAGCTCTGCTGTGGCGAGTGAACGGATGCTCCAGAGTCCCGAGTCTTCATGTCTTTTCCGCTCTTGCCGTGGCGAATAAAGTTCTTGAGTTGCTCGAGCAAGGGAGCCATCTTGTGTGCTTATATGTGTTGAGAGGGAAGGGGGACGAGAGAGTGGGGTAGAGGAACAGACTGTGCTTGAAATGACTATTGAGGATCAAGGCAAAGAGAGCAAGAGGAGAGTTAGTTGCGGCCAGGGACGACGCATTGAGACGGGGTGGTGGCAGGTGTAGACTGAGCAGGGGAGGGGAGGGCGTAGAGAATACGGAAGTCAACTGCCACTTACACGAGTGGATTGCGAAACAGACCCGAATCAGAAGCGAATGAACAGCCAGGCGGTGAGGAGGGGTGGAGGTATGGGAATGAGAAAGTGATGGGGGCGAGGTGTGTTTTTGGCAGCAGGGGTTGATTTGTAAAGAAGAGAGAGAAAGAGAGGGAGGGAGGAAGGAGAGCAAGGAAAGGAAGGGAAAGAGAGAGGGAGAGAGAGTAGAAAAAAAATAATAACCACTGCGCATTGAGGAAAAAAAAAAATATTAAAAAATATATTTTGTTTTTTCCCTTTCAGGCTGCTACCGACCGACGACGACGAACGATGATGATGATGATGATGCAAAGAAACCATAAAAATGCGGGCTCCTTTGCAGACACACGGACGTGCCAAGAAACTCAGGAAAGCGGACCAAGACTCTTATATCATCATGTCCCATGTCCCCATGTCCCCATACCCCTTTACTGTACTTCCTTTCTTTCTTCTGCCCTGGCTTCTTCCTCCATACCATTCATGGACGCGGAACATGGACAAGGAGCAAGGGACATGGGCATGGCCAGGCACCTCGGTCCATCCGTCATCTTGATGAGTTTAATTCTTCCGGAAAAAAGCCTTGTTTGTCTCGACAGCACCCCCTCGTTGCTGTACCATGACTTATGCCGCAGCAAGCATACGATCGAGGAAAGCTGCTGCTGCAGCCCTTTTTCAAAGAATTGCTCACAGGTCACCCCCTTCCTTCACTCTGCTCACCTAGTCCCTTCTTAAAAGGAGGGCTTGCAGCCAGCCAGTTACTGGCAGGGAAATTCACAATTCTGCAGTGCCTTTTTTCTTTTTTTCTCAGCAAACGGATGCCGCACGAATGGGCTTTGCCACCATACAAGGTCGTCGGAGCCATTGGCCAATGACGTGTCGTTATTTCAGCACCCACCTTCAAACACACACCATCGCAGTTGAAAAAGTGAAAAGGGTCGTTTTTTCTTTCATGTGCAATGAAGACAAATGGCCGCTTGCCCCGTGCACATATTATTATTCTATGATGTGCGTGCGCATGCGCGTGCGTGAAGTACTCATGAGAAAGCATACTATGTACATAGGCCTTCCTACCAAAGGAAGGAGAGCACAAAGCTAATCGAGATATAGAAAAAAAAAAAAAATCTACAGTAAAAGTCCACGCCCCTAGTCTACCCTCAAGCTGGTGAAACTATTCTGCCACGTCGTCGTCATTTTGCCCTGCGTATGGATTATCTTATTGACATGGCTCAAACGGGTCATGCACGTTTTTATGAGCAACATTCAATCGATCAAACATGACAAGGATCGATGAGATCGTCCATTCATGTCTAAAATATCATCTTGCTGTCATGGGTCAACAAGTACCAACCATGAATGACAAATGCATTTCAAAGGGATTACTCAATTATGTCTCTGCCTATGTGCTGTGTGCTACGGGATAAACTGCACCAGAGACGAAATGAAGGAGAATCAGCCAGCCGGTAGGGTACCGGTCATTCAGTCAGCTTGTTGGGTTCCCTCCCCTTCTCAAATCTGGTGTCAAGGGCTTGTTTATTTCCAGTGGAGTCAAGAAGTGCCTGGAAATAATCAGAGGGGGATCTAGTCGATGTGAACAAAGACCAGACCTTGCGTCTCCTGGGGTCAGTTGTGCATAGCATAGTTCTCGTTACCATCCCACATGAATGGATCAGTGATCTGGCCCCAATGCCACTTATGGCAAGAGAACCACTCCTTCTCAAGACCGGCGTCTGTCTCGGTATTTTGGTTCTCGCCTCTGGTGGTCTAACAGGTGCATTCACGTTTTTCGATCAGTCTGAGTGAGGGTGTGTCAGCCAAAGGAGAGCAGAGCAGACCTGCCTTGCCTCAATTGAGACGATCCGTGGATGTTTGTGTTCATCTGAGATGTTGAGCAACATGAATGTGAAACATCTTTTGCAACAAAAAGAGAAACCGACGCTGGCGAAATGTATTACTGCACATGGACTTGGTACGGCAAGAGATGCAGTTGGACGCCCTGAGTCTTTTCAATGGCAGATTGGTGGCAAAATGCGGGGTAAGATCGAACATTTGATCACCGTCCAGTTTCTGGAGCGGGTCTCATCTCAGCTCCAGTACATCAGTATGCCTGAGTGCTTGAGAACGCTCCTCGACAAGCAAAAAAGCTATTTTTCGGTGGAGAGGGCAATGCGTCCTTTTATGTTGTCCGAGCCTCGGATGGACTTTGGGCAGTGATCCGCTAGTCCATGCGGGTGGGTGTGAGGGCAGTCGATGTGCCAGGGCAGGCAATAGCGTGGAACGGATCAAGGGAGGGAGCCAGGTTAGAGGACTAGCACGTGGGATTGTCTCGAGGGTTGGATCGGTGTCCCTGAGAGCGAGTCGAGGAGCTCCATAGGGACGATCGCGGGGTAGATCCATCAAAAAAAACGGCGCATGATCCACGAAACCCTATTGGCGACACTGGTTCACTGGTTCTGCAGCGAACCAAGAAGAAGGTTCAACCAGGGCCTCTTCTCGGACGGGAGTGGGATGGGCTTATGGCAGAACCCACAGTGCGATCTGGAGAATGAATCCTGTGCTGTCATTTTCACGTGAAATTTGGGTCTTTTGTTGTTTCTCAAAGTGTCACTCTAACATCTAACATCTGGCAACTCAACTCGTGGTAAAAAAACAACCACCAGCGAGATCCTTTTACGGCTGGGCACGAACTAACACGCACACGAAACAGGGCAAAAGGGGGAAACAAAGGACACCAGCAAAAGCGTGGCACTAAAACAACATGCACAACAATCAGATCAAGGGCACAGACAATCGGTTGATCGACCCACAGACACTCTCCGCTACAGCGGGACTGCAGTGCACTGCTGCTGTAGTGCAATAGACCGAGAGACAGCCAGGAGTATTAAGGAACGGTTGAGGGACAAGCGAATGATCCGCCTTGGAGTGGAGAGCGGCTTCAGTGCTTTGTCATGGCAATAAGGTAGTTTTTTTTATTTTATTTTATTTTATTTTATTATATTTTATTTTTGCCTTACCTGCTCCTCCCTCCACTCAGGCCCTCCCAGTACAGTGAGTGAGGTTTACGTTTTCGCCGACCGAGCCCCATGTGCAGATGAAAGTCCCATTGCTGAACCTTGTTGAAATTTGTGCCGTGTGTACTGTAGGTAAAAAAAGAGTGATGCGATCCAATTGAGTCGCCCTGGTCGAAGAAGGTCCTTGTTTGTGGCACTAAGGGTACATGTGCGGAAGGAGGAGGGGAAACAACATGTCCTGATCTGGATCTGCGTTCCTGTGGGCAGCATATAAAATAGGCGGCGCATTTCCCCCTCCTTCCCGATCCCTCTTTTCCTCTCTTCTTTTCCTCAGTCCCATTCTGCTCTAATTTGCCCCGCTTCGTCTTCTTCTTCTTCTTCGTTTGTCCTCATTCCTCTTTCTCCATCCCTCTCATCCCCACATCCTCTTTTCTCCTTCCCTCTCTTTCCTTCCCTGACGACCTTTCTCGTTCAATTGACCCGCTACTGACCGCACACTTCAAACACAAACACATACCACAACCATGTCCGAGTCTGCTGCTGCTTCACAACGCCTGGCCTTTGTCCAGAACCACTTGCAGGTCGCCGCCTGCTCCAACAAGGAGGAGCCCAGGAAGAAGACGTAAGGAAGCCTCCTTCTTGTGTGTACACAGCAATTGACTCCATCCTCCTATATCTCACTAACAGTTACCCTCGCCCTGCTCAACGCGATTACGATCCAATATAGTCCTGTCGAGTCCATGTCCGAGGAGAGAGAAAAGGCCACCTTCGATGTCAGGGCGCTCACCTACTTCCTCGACGGCGGCGAAAAGTACACCAAGATCAGAGAAAAGTTCATGATGGAACTGGAGCGCGATCCCACCTTCCGCATGTACGACATGTACGATGTCACCAAGGACGAGATCCGTGTGCGCACCATGGAGAAGGTATGTTTCTCAGGATCTTGGTCTCAAACCACTGCTGTCGCACTTTTGATTGCACTACAAAAAGCGACAATCAAGAAGGGAAAAAAAAGTATACGATCTAATGACCAATTTTGGTGTAAACCATATAGTTCCGTACCATCGTCCACTACGTCTCTGCAGAGCCCGTCCCCATCTTCACCATGCGTATGCAGACCATCTCTTTGATCGATCCAGGCTTCTGGACCCGTTTCGGTGTCCACTACGGTCTGTTCTTCGGTGCCCTCCGTGGTTCCGCTACCTCGGCCCAGTTCTCGCACTGGGTCTCCAAGGGTGCCCTCGCCTTGAACGGCATGGTCGGATGCTTCGCCATGACCGAATTGGGCCACGGCTCCAACGTCGCTGGACTCGAGACCACTGCCACGTTTGACGAGGCTGCTGATCAGTTCATCATCCACACCCCCACTGTCACTGCTACCAAGTGGTGGATCGGAGGTGCTGCCCATACCGCCACCCACTGCGTCGTCTTTGCCCAGCTCTACGTTCGCGGCAAGCGCTACGGAACAAAGTCCTTCGTCGTCCAGCTCCGCGACACCCGCACCTACACTCTCATGCCCGGCGTCAACATTGGAGATATCGGAAAGAAGATGGGTCGTGATGGTATCGATAACGGCTGGATTCAGTTCACCAATGTCCGCATTCCCCGCACCAACATGCTGATGAAGCACACCAAGGTCTCACGTGCCGGTGAGGTCAAGGAGCCCCCTATGGCCCAGCTGACCTACGGTGCCTTGATCCAGGGTCGTGTTGCCATGGTCATCGATTCCGGTAACATTGCCAAGAAGGCTGTTACCATTGCCGGTCGTTACGCTGCCGTTCGTCGCCAGTTCCAGTCCAACCCCCACGATGTCCAGGAGACCAAGCTGATCGATTACGCCATCCACCAGTACCGCCTCATGCCCATCTTGGCCATGGCCTATGCCTTCCACTTCACCGGTGTCGAGACCCAGAAGCTGTACGATGATCTCATGGACAAGTTGGAGTCGACCCAGCCCGGTGATGCTGCTCTCCAGGACACCCTTGAGACCCTCAAGGAGACCCACGCCACCTCGGCCGGTCTCAAGGCCTTCTGCACCTGGTCGACCTTGAACGCCATCGAGGCCTGTCGCCAGACCCTTGGTGGTCACGGTTACTCTGCCTACACCGGTCTCGCCACTACCTACAACGACTTTGCGGTCCACTGCACCTGGGAGGGAGACAACACCATCTTGACCCTCCAGTCCGGACGTTACCTCGTCAGCTGCTACCGCGAGGCCCTCGCTGGCAAGGCCCAGCCCGAGGGAGTTGACTACCTTAACCACCTCGACACCCTCCTCACCCAGGGATGCGCCGTCAAGACCAATGAGGAGATCCTGAACTTTGACATCATCCAGCAGGCCTGGGGTGTTGTTACTGCCAACGTTGTCAAGAAGGCCGGTGATGACTTTGCAGAGTCCTTGAAGCAGGGCATGAGCCCCGAGGCCGCCTATGAGGAATGTTCCCAGGCCCGTCTCGCTGCCGCCAAGATCCACTCTTTCGGCTATGTCTTCCGTCGCTTCGCCCAGGCTGTCAAGAGCGCCCCCGAGGGTCTTCGCGCCGTCCTCACCAAGGTCTGCTTCCTCTACGGTCTGTACTCGATCGAGCAGAACGCTGGATTCTTCTTGCAGTACCGCTACTTCACTCCTTCGCAGATGGACTATGTCCGTGCTCAGGTCAACGTCCACTGCCGTGAGGTCCGTCAGGAGTACATTCCCTTGATCGATGCCTTCAACTACTCGGATTACATGATCAACTCGCCCTTGGGTGTCTATGACGGAAACGTGTACGAGAAGTACTTTGACCAGGTCAAGAGACAGAACCCCGTTGGTCAGCCCCACCCTTACCTGCCCTTGATCCAGTCTCTTCTCCGTCGCGATATCGAGGACGATGAGCCTCTGGAGGAGGATGAGGAGGATGACGAGTAAAAAAAAAAAGAAGTCCTTTGATGGAATCATCGCGATCAAGCTTAGAAGGAGGAGAGAGAAAAAAAAGAAGATATATACAAACTCATAGAGCAATAGCTATTGTTCATAGCGCCCTTTCCTTTTGTCTGCCCAACAGACATTGGAGTTGTAACATAATAAATAGAAATATACGATTTAAAAGCACCGCATCCCGACCTTGATCTGCATAGATTTTAAAAATGAATGGATAGTTGTTCTCCCCCCCCAGGATGTCTGGCTCTTGGCACCATAATACCATTTATCATTTACCATTTTATATCTCCTCAAGTCTCAAGCCCCGATGTTCTCCAGAACGTGCGATCGCCCTCAACGGCCTCGCCTCCCTCCAACCAGCGTCGCATCCCTTCCTCACGTATTCTCCTATCCTCTCGATCCTCCCCTCCCTCATCATCATCGTCCTTCTTCTCGCCGTCAGAAATCAACCCTTCAAACTGCTCCAGCTGGGGCCACGCCTCTCTCATCCACTTGAGCTCATCCACCGAGATCCGATGCCTCAATCCTGTCAAATTCACCTTGCGCAGCTTCTTCAACCCTTCCAGCTCCTGTAACCCAGTCTCGAACGTAAACTTGAGGCATTGGCTCTGACACTTCATGGTCCAAGGAAGCCGCACGTTCGCGTTCACAGAGACATAGTCGTTATGCGTCATCGCCATTATGCCAGGAGTCGATCGTACCAGTCCATACGGGCCTCGGATCTCATAGTTGTCCGGTGTCCAATGCGAAAGGTCCAGCTCCTGAAGCTGATAGCACCGTCCCAGTTGCTCCATCACTCGTCGCTGCAGCTCCTCAGGGCTCGGGACGGCAACATCTTCCTGTTCTGCCTCATCCGGATTCGCTAATCGTATGGGTTCGATCGAGCTATCGATCAGTGGTGCCTCCAAGAGGATCTGGCATCGGAACATCTCGAGCGTCTCGACGCACGCCCATGGCTGCTGGACTGCAAACCGGGCCAGGAAGTACAATCCTTCACCTGAAAGGATTCTCAACCGAGGTGCGATCATGAGGAACTGCTGAATCTCCTCGCTCCTCAGGGCTCCTGCATGGATGCCCAGATCCAACACCTCGACAGTCGCGGCCTTCTCTAGAAGCGTTTCCATGCATGTACTATTAAAATGATAAAATCCTCTGAGCACGATCGTCCTCCAGCTGGCGCCATTCAGAACGCAGCACATGTACTCCTCACTAAAGCAATCCGGGTCCTCCTTGAGTTCGATTCTAAGCTCCATCAATTCACGAGCCACTCGCTCGTGTCTATGAGCGAAAAACTCGCAAAAGTGGCCCGAGGGCTCAATCAGATGGATTGACCGCAGATGAGGGCAACGGTCCTCAATGAAGAACCAAACCAGGCTCCGAACCTCCTCCGCATTGGTGATCACAAGCTCCCGTAGATTGAGAAGCGGCTGCCGCGGGACGTCGTTAAAATAACGAGGAAACGTACTGCCCCAGCCCCAGAAGTTTGGCAGCTCCGGCCTCTGCAGTCTAGCGTGGTACCAGCGCACGACCTCGTCTTCATCGTAACCATCGTCCGAACCATCATTCGAGTCGTCCTCTTCTTCGTCCTCTTCCTCATACTCTTCCTCAACATCGCGTGCTGGGTTCAGATTCGGGTCATAGTCTTCGTCCTCCGAGTTATCGTATGACTCTTCATTCCAGTGATTGGGAACAATGATCTCGAGCCGCACCAAGGATTGTGGAAGGATGCCTGGCCAGAGGAGATGATTGAGTCCGCCCATATTGCCAAGCGCTCTGACTTGGATCTTGAGTTTACAGAGACCAGGGCATTGACGGAGTAATTGGATGACACCATACGGATCCTGAGTCAGGTATGCAATGTCACGGACGCGGTTGCGGGGAGAGAAGAGAGCACTGTATATACCCATGGCTGGATCTTCTGACACGGACGCGTCGTTGTCGCAGTCATTTCCTTTGCACGAGTCCTCATCATCGTCATCCGACAGATCCTCCGAATCGCTTGCGTAGAGGAATCGAGGTTGAGGCACTGTAGATCTGTGGGAGCGGTGAATATCATGACAGAACGCGATCGACACGGATTTCAAGTTCGGAAACCAAGGCTCAGGACGGTCAGCAGCCGCCACTACAGCCTCGAGCAACAGCCGAGCAAACGTAGGATGTGAAGCCTCTATCGAATGAATATGTCTTGCGTTGTTGGCTGTTTGGCAAAGAGTCTCTGGGGATGTAAATGCAAGGTAGCCAGATTGACTAACGCGGATATGGCGGGAGAGTGCTGGAATGAAGGCCTCGTTCCATGCCCTGCTGACGAGGACGCAACTGGCCAGATCACTCTGCTCGAGATCCTTGCTGATGAGCACGAGGACTTCTGCTGGAAATGAAACGAGTCGTCGATGCATGTATGCAGGGGCTCGGTGCTTGGGTTGGAAGTAAGATGGGGAGAAGGTGTGGTATAAGAGCGATTTTTATATGTTTTTTTTTTTTTTTTTTGAATGCACTGCCTCAAGACTAAAATTCCACTGCTAGTTGTTGCAAACACAAGAAAAAGGATATCGTCGAGTCAATATTTCTGACTTCCTAATAGACTAATTTGCAATGGAGACTTGAAAGTACTCTTCTCGACTCACGTATCATAGTTCTGTGATCGTCTATCCCCAGACCCAATACTGTCATCACCGACACAAGGTCGACCCTCTAAAAAACAATTGGAGCCCTGATCCCTGATATAGGGAAACAGTAACGGAAAATCGTGACAAAGTTCAACAACGCTGGAGCAACGAACACCTCCAGGACGATCGTATAATAATTGAGCTCACGCTTTGATATGGATGCACGTCAGCGCACAGTACACCGTTACTTACGCTTAAAAGTCGTCTGCTACAATGGGATTTATCTCTTCCAATATTTGAAATTAACATCGATGGGAGCCTCATAAAGCCTTTCCACTCTACAAGGCCACCCTTCCCCCCCCCACGTAGCATGATTCAGGACCCGATGGGTCGATTCGTATTCAACTAAAAATCGGAAAAGGGCGGTGATCGTCGCGTTCTAGCATGGATTCTGACTTTGAGGCCGTTCAGTCAAAATCCAACAGATGATAGCTTCAGGCCCAAATACCAATTATCCGAATAAACGGTTCCTTTCGTACTAAGCTCGTTTACTATTGCAACAGTTCATCAGTAAGGTAAACCTAACCTGTCTCACGAAGGTCTAAACCTAGCTTACGTTCCCTATAAATGGGTGAACAACCCAACGCTTACTGAACTCTGCTTCAGTATGGCGACTACGCTGCTGGCTGTAGATCTGGTACTGGCTGCAGTGGCGGTGCCGGTGATATTGGCCAAGATCGGTGAAGGAAGCTGGGATGATACTCTTCACGAGGGAATTGTTTAGGATCAGAAGAGTTATGTTTCTCTTGCGCGTTTTACTTAAGACAGCGGGCTGCCA